GGGAGAGAGAGAGAGAGCCGAGAGAGAGAGAGAGAGAGAGAGAGAGAGAGAGAGAGAGAGAGAGAGAGAGAGAGAGAGAGAGAGAGAGAGAGAGGTTCCGAAATTGTTAAAATACATCTATAATAAAAAAGAACATTGAAAACATAAGATGATTGGTGAATTTACTGCAGCCTCAGCTATTTGGCCAGCAAAGTCATACTACTACTATCGCCGAAGTCGCACCAACCTCTTCTTCACATTGTTGTCCCCAGCGCGGGCTTGCGAATTAGATGGTTTGGAGGCAACAACGTTGTGAATGGCCAGCGGTCCTCAGCGCTTGTTCAGCACCTCAATGAGCGACACTGACTCATGCTGCTATCTGGTGTTCACGAGGTGTTTGTCGCGCTGGAAACGGAGCGTCTCTGTAAGTTTGTATCCCTGGTGATGTTTGTGCCTGGAGAGCACTATAATAAGTGGTGCTCTTCAGACACAATCTTCCTCAGCCTACTCAAGCTCAACTGATGAGTGGTGAATTCCCCGAAACACTGTGTATTGTACTATTGAGCAGGGAGTGGTGTTTTCTTGCAGGTTTGCCGAGTGGACGGTTTGATGGACTTCTCGTGTGCTCTGGATGGCAGTCGTGAGTCAGTCAAGTGAGAATTCAAGTCGGCAGGAAAACCGCGAGCTCCCATGTAGGGAGCAACACACTCTTCCCCTACTATCGCCGAAGTCGCACCAACCTCTTCTTCACAAAGTCATAGTTGTTACAGTAGACAAGCTATTACATGAACAAGGGGGTGCTAAATGAGCGTTAGCATGCTAACGCAATTAGTTAGCAGCCAGCCCAGCGAGCATGCGCGAGTCACGCGGGCACATACCCCGCGACCGGTGCGACCGTCGCCTCCAGGCGGTTAACCGGTTGTAAGTTGCCAGCAGTCTTCAGCGCAACCTGTGCAGTCTGGTGTCCCGCAGGGCAGCATTCTCGGTCCCACATTGTTTCTCCTCTACGTGAACGATTGTGAGGATCATCTCTATGCGGATGACACGACCCTCTACCAGTGCCTGTCTGCCACATCCGACATCGCCGACTCCACAGTGCAGCTCCAAGCCGCCATGGACAGCGTCGCTGAGTGGACTGGGGCGCAGACTGGAGAGTGACATTAGAGCCATCCAAGTCTCAGGCGATGACCATTGACCTCCGTAATCCACCCCCAGCCATGCCACCAGTACTGTTTGCAGGAGCTGCTCGGTGTCACCTTTGACACCCAGCTGTCTTTCTCAACTCAACTCCACTCCATTGCAACCAAAGTTGCTCAGCGGCTCCACTTCCTTGCCAAGGTCGCCCCCCTCCTAGACGCCAGAGCTCGCACAACTGTGTACAAGGGGTTTGTCCGCCCTCTGATGGAGTACTGCTCATTGGTGTGGATGGGCTCCAGTACCTCCCGCCTGGACAAGATGCAGCACAGGGTGCTAAAGATCATCGGCCCAGGAATTTGGCTTCCCAGCCTGGAGCACCGCAGAATGGTTGCATCCCTGTCGCTCCTCTTCAAGCTAACGTATCTTCCCCCGACGAATCCCCTTAAGGCCATTACATAAAAAATGTAATAATATTATGTCGTGATCAAATGTGTCAGTTCTCAGTAAGCTGGCGCAGTTCTCTGGAATTCCCTCCATGCGGATATCCGAGGCGTCACCAAACTGGCCACCTTCAAGTCAAGCGCTTTGCAACACATTCTTGCCTGCTTTTAGCTTTACGCCCATGTTTCTGTAGCTGTGCTGGAACTGCTCTATTTCGCCGCCACTCCGAGGCGTCACCAAACTGGCCACCTTCAAGTCAAGCGCTTTGCAACACATTCTTGCCTGCTTTTAGCTTTACGCCCATGTTTCTGTAGCTGTGCTGGAACTGCTCTATTTCGCCGCCACTCCGAGGCGTCACCAAACTGGCCACCTTCAAGTCAAGCGCTTTGCAACACATTCTTGCCTGCTTTTAGCTTTGCGCCCATGTTTCTGTAGCTGTGCTGGAACTGCTCTATTTCGCCGCCACTATTTGCCATTAGCCATGTCTCCCCCCTCCCCCACCCCACACAGTGGGTCCATTGTTATTAGGCATCTGCCTGTTTTGGTTTTCTCCACTTAGAATAAAAGAATACTACTACTTAGTACTGTAGTACTAGTAAGGAGAGATAAAAGAGCAGAAGAACGGCAGAAGGCTAAAAGTAGGCAAGGTGTATCACTGTTGTGTAAGTATGCACTCTAATTATTTGGTAAGGACGGTAAGCACTGTAGTATCACAGTATGGGCGGCGAGACACTACTCCACGTAGTATCACAGTGTAGTCGGCCAGGCATTCAGTCAGGAATGCAACCGTGGGCCGGGATTTGCCGGCGCGAGTGAGGCTTTGCTGGCTGAGAAGCCCTCCGGTTTGTTGGCGACGTGTTCTTCTGTCGGTTGGACGAGAGATGAGGGTAGTTAGGGAGGGGCTGATCCGTGCTCGGAGTTGCCTCCACACGAACATGAGCAGCTTACTATACGCTTGCAGAGTTCCGTGAAGCGAAATAGACTGTCCTTGGTCAGCAGAGGTTGGATGGTTGTGTGGGGTGGGTTATTTATTTATTTATTTTTAGATTCCCCAAAGGCCGAGGCCTAAGTCGAGGGGGTCTCCGTTCATGGCTTACTGGGAATATATCTGCAAAATTATAACATATAGATTGAGAAGAGGAAGGGTTATAACAAATGCGTACTGTAGAAATCAGCCATAACATTCGCTACTATGTTATAGAAACTCTGGAAGGAATGAAACCAGCGGGTTCAAAGCGGGTGTTGGCAAAGATGGTACGAACACGAGACACAAAGCAATGACTATTTTGGGTGGTTCTAATGTCAGTGGGGAGAGAATTCCAGGTGGCAGCGGTAACAAAGAGGAAAGTGGCACGCGAGTAGGTGTTCGCCCTGGCAGGCGGGACAAGTTGGAGAGGGCGCCGCGCGCTGGTGGAGAGACTATAGTCCAGCTCCATAAGGGCAGTGGTCTGGTGGTGGACCAGGTGATGGAGCTCCCGGAGGCACTGGATGTGTCGCCGCCATGCCAGACTGGGCCATTGCAGGTGCGCCAACACTCGGAGATGCCTTCGGTTCAGTAGCGGAGGGAAACACACCGTACTGTCTCAAGACGACTCCTGCCAATCTGGCCGGCAGACGCTCAAGGCCTTAAGGGACCGCCGCTTGGGTTCCCGTGTATGGAGCCCGCATAGCTCGGTGCTGCAGTGTTCGCAGGCGGTCTAACTGGCGGCCAAGTAATCCGGCAAAGAATGCGCTTGACCCATAAAGCAAGTCAGGCATGATCACCGCCTGAACGAACATGCGTCGTGATTTACCGGACATTGCTCGTCGGGACCGCCACAAAGCGACCCCACGATCGACAGCTTGGCATCTCTATAGCAGGGAGGTTTAGTCCCACGTAATCCGTGGGTACTTTACGTGTGTGTACCACGTGATACTCAGTGACCCACGGCCACGTACAGCTGTACGTACAGACGTTTTCTGATTCACGACATAATTATATACCGTGTATGGTCATGGAGGCGCTAGCGCTACGCTAGGCTCACCCACGGCCACGTTCCGCCAGAACGTGGGTGAAAATCAGAATGGAGCGCATTTTGCGAGCTGTGAGGGTGCTCAGCTGAAGAAATTTCCGAAGCACGAAATCAAAATATTCGATGAGCTTCTTAGGCCCGGGTAGCTTCGTCTTTGGGCCTTTCGCTTCATGCTTTTGTTTGTTCCGTGTGACTAAACATAACATTGCAACGTGGATGCCCTGCATCCACTTTACGTGTATCACCCACGTACGCGTTTCCGTTACGTCGGAACTAAACCTCCCTAATCACACCGAGATACGCAGCGGAGGTGGCTGAGGGAAGAATTGTTCCATTGCACAAAACCTCTACCTGGCCATCTATATATCTGCCGGTGGGGCAGGACTGTCACTACCTTGCTCTTTGTAGGGTTCAGAATCAATTCCCTCCGGCCAAGCCAACTGAGTCATTGGCGGCTCCGAGCGGACAGCGGAGTCATTGGCGGCTCCAAGCGGAGTACAAGCGGAGTCATTGGCTGCTCCATGCGGAGTCATTTGGCAGCTCCATGCGGAGTCATTCGGTGGCTCCATGCGGAGTCGTTTGCCGGCTCCATGCGGAGTCATTCGGCGGCTCCATTTTCCGGCTCAGTTGCGAGCCATCTAGCGGCTAGCCGGCTCCAAGTAGAGCCATCATACCAGTTGCTCGAATCGGCCCTCCCAGCTTAATCCAAAACTCGGTTGCTCTGTTGTGAGATGGGGGGATGTTAAAAATGATTACATTGAATAGCGAGCTAGCAATATGATTGGATGTGAAAACGAATTCATCCTGATGATCTGGGTTAGGACTCAGTATGATCAACCGGACAATTTCTGCATATCTCTGGGGAGCGGGCGAAACAATAACATGAAACTCTCCAAAGCACATGTAGAATGTATGTGTGTTCAAACAAATTTCACGATCTTTACAATCATTGCGAAGGACGCATGTAGGGTTGATTGAAGCGGGGTTGAGCTGGAAAGAAGACTGCCTTCATTCCGCTGTACACACTAAAAGATGCATCTACGTGGTGTTGTCAGAATCTCAGCTTGAGATACTCATGCCTAGACCACACAGCCAGCAAGACAACAACAATCTGACTTGGCACCTGCAGTCGCATGTCACGGTCTCTTCCAGTCTACATCTGTGTGGTACCAATGGCCGGTACGTGTTTCCTGGATTGTGCAATTCCAGACTTTCACGTACTAATCCCAAGCAGCTACCACACCAGTGCACTAATCTTCATCAAACGAGGCATGCATCGTACACATTATGTGACATACCTCTCTGCATATCCCTTGAGACACTCTCTTCGCATCTTACCCCACTCATCTAATTACGGACATGAGAGAAGATCGAAGCAGCACTGAACGGTTCGGTTATAATGCAAGTCACATTATCGTATCAGGCGTTTGGCAGCGTGCATAAAAGACGTTCGTTTTGACTGGTATTGGCATATCCCCAGTTTCTGGTTTTGTAAGGTCTCTTACTAAACCACTCAGCTTTAATCTGTTGTTGAGAACAAATCACACTATTCAGTATGTCTTTGAAAACCCTCCTTCCCATCCTGGTGGCTGTTCTGGTTGCAGTACTTTGCAGGTAAGTGTATTGTAGACCCCCGTTTGTCACTTCTCACCTCACCTTTCCTTCATGTTTTCCTATTGCATACTGTGTGTTCGCTGAATTTGTAATTTTAATAGTTGTGATGATTACCACCCTTGTGTTGCTATTCATTGGTTCTTTCTGCATAAATTTCACTTGCAATTCTGGAGTCCTCATGATGGTGGTTAAGAGCTTGAAGTTGCAGTTATTTCTTACTGAAGTTGATATTGGTGTGGTGTTTCCTTTGCAGGCCTGCAGAAGCCATTGTATATGGTAGCATGACGTGCCATAACCGTAGCGATACCAATCAGATCTTACACCAGGAGGACTACACCAATGGACTGCTTGCCTTCTTCCAATTCGGACGCGACACAGCCAGCAACGAGTATTACCCGAACATGGAGTGTAACTTGGACTACAGCACCATTGGTGGTAACCCCGTGAACGTCTTCTTCAATCCATGTATCCTGCCTATTGGAAATATTTGCAGTCAGGATTCATTGACGGTCAGCACTGCTGCATCCAATCCACACACTGTGGTCTGCTCCGACCATCCAGCTGCTGATCCAGGCGTGATCGAAACTGGTGATTCCAGCATTTCCATCAAGTTCCTCACTGACGCGAGTGGGCAGACAGTTGGCTGCAATGGACTCATGTGGGCGTGAGTAATACTATTCTATTTCTTCACTAGTTTGAGGGAAAGACACAAACGGGAAAAGTCTGAAGAAAAAATTGACTGTCACCACCAGGACTCGAACCAGGGACCCTCGCTTGTACTGTTGTAGCTAGCGATGCTCTAACCACTGAGCTATGGTGTAGTCGTCATCCCAGCAGAGATCGTTCAACATTTTCTTCAGACTTCGTAACTCACACTTCCTGTGAATCCACACAGCCGGGTGGGACGCAGCCCTCACTGTACCCACACACTTCACGTACAAATTAGCACGCGGGGAGCCCCAAGTCATAAAATCTTCACTAGTTTGAGGGAAAGACACAAACGGGAAAAGGAATTCTATTTCTTGGTACTGTATTCTATTTCTTGTAAATGTACTTGAAGTACATGTAGTTGTAACATACAGATGACAGTCGTAACCCCTCTTGCCTTCCCAACCCTATTCGGAAAACTAAAAGGAATCAAGCCATCATCACCCCGGTTCTTATCGGTATTATGGAGTTATGTTCGATAAATCGTGTTTTAATAATTATGTGATTCGCTCGTGATACATGTACATGTTCGATGAGCTAGTCGCATCTCACCACAGGCACAACTGTCATTGTCCTGCAATCAACGTGCACTAACATGCAGTGATGCAGTAATATTATTGTATGCTAATGTTAGTGAAGAAATTCCGAGTTTTGCCGTTCACTAGCAACTCACTGTTGGTAAACGAGTTACGTTGTGTCTTTGTTTGCTTTTCTATGTTCATGTATATCCTCAGTGGCGGCCCCTAAACTAGAGACTCAGAGGTTGAATAGGCGTCGTGCAAACCTGCCACTACACCGTGCACGGAGCACTGAGGGGTCCTGGCTCAATCATCATGCAAAGCTGTCATGTTGTTTGCATTTGTGTAGAAGCATCGTATTGACATTATTTTTTTTAAACCACATAATTCCTTCCAGCCAATCTCTGCCTTTCATTCCAGCCAATCCGCCCTGCCTCCTCTTTCTATTCCATGGATATATTATACAGTCATGTACCGGTATGTACATGTATAGAGAACACCAGTGCAGTAGCGGCATGCATTACATGAACATACTGACTCTAGCTCTGTATTATTTAATTTTGTTCTTTCTTAGCCCTAGAACTACTGGAGGCATCATAATCAGGGAGTCGTATAGGGTCTATACGACTCCCTGATCATAATAATGATGCATTTGCGAATTTCAAACTAGGGTTGCTGTGATATGGAGGGTTAGAATCTCGCCAAATTTTGTGGCTTTTATTCATTTCATATTTTGTTCATGGAACTGTGCTGTATCTCCAAAATGTAGGTAGTATTCAAGCTACCTACAGTGACTACCGCGCAGCTTCATTATGACTCCACATACTGCAGGCGCTAGGCATCATTATAGAGGGCGAATTTCGCTTAGAACTACACGTGAATAACGCAATCGGGAATATATTTGGGAGCAAGGAAATGGGGGACCATGAAGATGGTAATTCGTACATATGGAAATGATACGAACTTCAACTTATCATACTAATTACTAGTAGTAGAAGTAAAGTTAGTTGCGACTTCGGCGGTATTATAAGTAGTTACGAAGTACGGTGCGACTAGCGACTAGCTGTTGGATCATGGAGGTGACCAGGTGACAGCGTTGTGAATAGATACCAAGAGTACATAACCCCCGGGTTATCATATTACCGGTACTGTAAAAGCAGAAAATTTCGGTGGTGTTTTATTTTCGGTAACTTCGGTGCTCACAATTTTTACCGATAATAAAACGCACCGAAAATTTCGGTACGACCGATGCTAGCGCTGTATACATGTAGTACATGATTGTACTAGTACACTTATCTGGAGAACGGGTTATACCGAAAATTTCCCTCTACCGAACCGCCGATTTTGGAGAATACCGAAAATATTACACCACCGAAAATTTCTGCTTTTACAGTACATCAAGAGTACATGAAAACCAGAGTGTGCAGCTTGGGGCCTTTTCTGCTATGGGTGTCTGTCACGGCGAAATTCCGTGATTACATCATATTTGGCCCAGATCTGAGGCGGGAAATGGCGTAGTGCGTACAACTGAGCTGCAGTTGTGCAGAAAGAGGCCTGCTTGAATCCTGCTTGTACGCACTACATCACTAAAATGATGTAATCACGGAATTTCGCCGTGACAGCAACCCATCCGAGCTGCACACTCTGGTTTTCATGTACTCTTGAGTACATGTATGTGTCTGTTGCGTTTGTGTTGCTTGCTGTGGGGAGGCTGGAATGGGAAGGGAATTTCCCGCGCTGGGTGTTCAAAAATCGCCACACGTGGTGATCGTCCTGGTTCTTTTTAGCTGTTTGGAGCTTCACTGACGTCGAAAAGGGAGTTCACTGGGCTTGTTCTGACTTGTTATGTCGAACAAACATCAGTAACCACGAACTTTACGTGATGAAGAGTGAAAAAGGACCAAAATGTGACCCTACATGCAGTGGTGCTTACCATCAGAAGTGAGTCCCTCCTAAATCCTAATACTTAGTATTTTGATTTGGATCATAGGGCGTAACTACACAGACCGTTATTACAAGATCATGATTAGCCAATACGATTGAGCTGCTGAGTTGTTTGTACGTCGACGATGTTTCCAAGAAATTAGTTATTCGCGCCGGGGAAAGGTAAGAGGAATCGGATTACATTGTAAAGAGCTCTATTTTACTGTGTGTTGTGCATCAATGGCCTGCTGCGGAGAATAGCAACAGATAAAATTGGCAATTCAACGACGAGACAAGTACCGGTAGTGTCCAAGCATGAGCAGGCACTCCTTGTAGCCTGCTCTGGAAAATAGTGGACATTTTAATTTTGGAATATCGGATGCAACAGACAGTATTTTACAACTTTCTACGGTGTTTATGCGAATGATTTCATGGCGGATTTTCTAATGGGCGCTTCAGGGTGAGTCAGCAGATTTTCAAATGGGCGTTATGTATGCAGCGTAAGTCGCTAGTGCAAGTTGCGTGCAGCACTGTGCCACGGCCCACGAGGGGCGGATCAACGGCACTTTACGGTAATTGCATTCAATGAAAACATGGACAAAATATTCGAGTGAAGTTACATCAAACTGCGCGGGCTAGAAAGTGCAAGACAACAGCGATGGAACCGATTCCACTGCCCGTCAGCAATGACAACGGGCGTCGGGAACAGAATCCACTGTCTGAGAACTAAGTCTACCATTTCAGCGACAAGCTTGATTAGGTCGTTTGTGGTCTGATAGTACAACCATCATGTACATGCGCTAGTAGTACTAGTACTAGTACACAGTTGTGGAAGTCACTCCCGGGTCTCGACCCACGGCCACAGGCCACAGTGCATCTACAGCCGTAGTTGAGCACGTGATTGTGAACAACTATCTTCTTGGCTTGGGTGCATCCGGGAAAACATGTTCCAGTCACTCGTACTCGGGCAGTGCAGTGCCATTGTTCATTCACGGTACTAAGTTACCCTCATGGTCATCCTTGTGCAAGAACGTGTACATCTGGCCACTCTGTGCACTGTACATCTGGCCACTCTGTGCACTGTACATCTGGCCACTCTGTGCACTGCATGTACTGTAACGTTATACATGTACATGCATATCTGGGCAGTCCGTCATCGGGATTGGTATGTACAGTATGACGGGTATTCCCCCATCCCGCTGCATGTAGCACTTCACTCAGTGCAGCATGATACGACACATCTCATTCCCAGTAAGTAATAGGATTGGTTTATGGGCTTGAGTGTTTGATGATACCCTTTCCTCTGTTACTTACCATGGTATTGATGTACCACCACACTTCTTATACTTTCTTTCTACGCCATGGCTGGCAAACGCCCCCCCCCCCCCCTCCTCATCTATATTGGCACTGATTCATCTTTAGCCACTGGAAGGTGCAATAACGGGGGCGTCGGACACGGTACGGTCACTATGGTATTGACCGTACCACTATTTGACCCAAGTACCCTGTGAATCAATAAAATGCACTGATTTGGGCTCTAATTTCCCAAAATTTTCGGCTCAGTCATCCTTCCCACACGAGTGAATTGTACTTCACATGGCTGACCGTACTACACTAAATTACCTTCCGATGCCCCTGAATAATAATAATAATAATATATCAGTGCTTCTCAACGTACCCCCGATTCGGTGAAGCCACTAGTGCCGGCCATAGTGGAGCCCCAAACATACGGACCCTGGGAAGTGCACTGGTGCAGGGTGCTTACGCATTCATGAGATCTAATCTGATTGGATTGAGCAGCATCATTCATTATACACGTATATCTAAGTGTTACACACTCTTTATGTCATGTGCTGGTCTTTGCAGGTCCACGCTAGCAATATGAGCTCACTTCCACTACGCGCCGACGTGGTTGTTGTTGGCGGTGGGATCGGTGCCTTCTCAGCTCTGTATCACTTGACTAAGCTAGGCAAGACAGATGTGGTCCTGTTGCATGACTCGGCGCTATCTTGTCAGCAACATGCGCCAGCTAGCATACGTTTACTGTGGCCGGATAGCTTGACTGCTCAACTAGTTGCTCGCACTCGGGAGCTGCTCTCATCTGACGATGGCCTGCAAGCGGAAAGCGGCGTCGATGTTGGCTGGAACTCGAATGGCTGTCTGTATGTTGCCGGCAGTGAGGATCGGATGAGCGAGCTCAAGACCTGGGTGACGGTAAGGTAATTACTATGAATTGATGACGGTAGTGACCTGACTGGGTACGCAGGACTAACTAATGGAATACCGGATCGTTCTCGGGTGTACTGTAGCACCACGATGTTCTGTGCAACTATGGCACACACTCGGGTGTACTGTAGCACCACGATGTTCTGTGCAACAATGGCACACACTCGGGTGTACTGTAGCACCACGATGTTCTGTGCAACTATGGCACACACTCGGGTGTACTGTAGCACCACGATGTTCTGTGCAACTATGGCACACACTCGGGTGTACTGTAGCACCACGATGTTCTGTGCAACTATGGCACACACTCGGGTGTACTGTAGCACCACGATGTTCTGTGCAACTATGGCACACACTCGGGTGTACTGTAGCACCGCGATGTTCTGTGCAACTATGGCACACACTCGGGTGTACTGTAGCACCACGATGTTCTGTGCAACTATGGCACACACTCGGGTGTACTGTAGCACCACGATGTTCTGTGCAACTATGGCACACACTCGGGTGTACTGTAGCACCACGATGTTCTGTGCAACTATCGCACACACTTCTTGGGCTACTAGTGCAGCGCGCCAGGAACTGTACTCGAAGCCCATTCTGTGTTTCATCGATCGCTACTGTAAGAATGCATTATAATTGTAATGCATTCGTATCAGTAGCAAGAGGATTTTGTAACTAGTATTTACAGTTCATGGCTAATGTAAGACATGATGTCATGACCTGCTGAGCTTGTACGCTGCCCAGGTCGACACTGTCCTGTGGGCATCTGGAACAAGCAGTCCTGGAGTGAAGTTCACGTCGTTTCCCATTCTAGTCATGTTTGTCATGTTTGCTTTCTCCCGATTTATGATACGGTGTAGCTGTGCTAGTCTAACTTTGGACCAAGTGGTATTTCCCCCAACCCATGGAAATCCGTACTTTTCTCCTACATTCCAGTGTGCAGACAGTTATTTCCGTTATCAGTATTTTGTACTACAAAGTGCTTTCTACTGACAGAAATCCTATTTTTACGGGCAAACAGAGCACAGTTATCACCGGTGAATAGTTTAACCCAGCTTTCTTCTCTTTGTCTGCCTGTTTTGTTACTTTGCCTGGATCGTGTGTAGCTGGGTAAATCCGTGGCAGCCGAGTGTACAGTTCTGTCTGATGCAGAAGTCCAGGATGCCTATCCCCTGCTCACCATGGATGATGTAGTGGGTGCTGTGCTTTGTACCAGTGATGGTAATGTGCAAGCAGCTAGCCTAGCTGCTGCCTATGCCAAGGCTGCAATGAAGCTGGGTGCCAAGGTAGGGCTTTTTTTGTGCTCGAGGTAGAAGAACGTAACTTATCTGCATGTACACACGCAGTCTGACACAGTCATGTCCCACGGTGCATGTACACAATCAATCAGTTATATATTCCACACAGTACCTGATACACTTCACACGTCTTGTTGTAGACCATGTGTACACCACATTTACCACATGCAGTAAAACCTGTGACTAAAGACCACCATGACTAGCGACCAGCCTGGTACTACAGACTACTTTGCCAGGCACGGACAGTCTCACATCCATATATTATGGTTGTGCGGTGCAAACGTCTAACTAAGGACCACCTGCCACTAAAGACCACCTGCCACTAAAGACCACCTGCCACTAAAGACCACCTGCCACTAAAGACCACCTGCCACTAAAGACCACTTTCTCTGGCCCCAAAGGGGTGGTTGTTAGTCACAAGTTTTACTGTAGTCTGAAGTTACACTCTACTGTACCCTACACCAGCGATGCGCAACAGGTGAAAGACCTGCGCCAGACCAAAGGCCTGCTCCAAAAACTCGCACTATGTTGTATACTGGTCCGCGTTATAAGCCGCACCCTGCCCCCGTCACAGGTGTAATGTCACATTCAGGTTGCATTTGTGTGTACTGAAATGCATGTGCGGTTTTTATCCCATAGACTATGGTAATTGTCACCTAGACTATGATATCTGACACAAGACCTGCAGTTGGTGTTCTTTCTCTGGCTACCATCCATTGAGTGAGTTGGTCAGTGCTTGAACCAGTACCCAAGGCGCGAGTTAGTGGACGCCTGTATTATAATTATGTCCTGGATAGGTGAAAGGTTGCTTGATCTGCTCAGATACCAGGGGCAGACTGCTCCTGGTGATGTACATGTAGCATAAAATCCATCTCACTTGTTCCTTGGAAAACACGTCGAGCAGTTTTGGTTAGTGAGTTTCATATATTAAATGTAGAAGTGTTGATTTTCATCCACCCAGGTGTTTGATCAATGCTCCGTGACTGGAATCGACACAAAGGATGGATCTCGGTGTTCGCGTCGCGTTTGTGCTGTAAGAACCAGCCGTGGCATTATACAGACCAGCTGTGTGCTGAACTGTGCCGAGTCCCATGCACCCCACATTGGCCACCTGGCCGGTATCCAGGTGCCACTCATGGTGACCCGTAGTGGACGAGCATTCTTTGACGGTGTTGAAGGCGTTTGCGGTCACGCCGACATCGTTGACTGTGATCACTCCGTTCAGATGCTTGTCCATGGTGACAGTGTAGCTTGCTATGAATGTGCCAGGGAGCCAGAGCTACGGGAACAGGTGAGTGTGTTGTACCCCCCCCCCCCCCCCACACACACACACCACACATAAACACCACTCGTACCTTTCATTGAATCGCTCCACTTTAATAGCGCTATGTTTCCCTTCACCTGTGTGATTGTAGATTGGAATGTGTGTAGTGAGAGTGATGTCATGTGTAGTGTAGTGTGTTGTCTCTGGTGTGACCATTGCCAAACAGCTAAAAAGCATGGAGTTACATTGAAGGAAAAGCGCGAGCTACAGTGTGGGGCACCCAACTTCCTTAGTTACAATGATGTGAAATCTATTATTGCAGTGCTGCTCCATGAAATCGTATTGTGTTAGCCAAGCTTGCACCCTGCATCAGTGCACTGCCCTTTGTTCACAGGTCCGGGGCTGCACAGTGCCCACCCTGTGTGTGTACATGTACTTGACCCGCACGATCGGGGGGATTTCATTGAGCAGCATGGTAGTACGTGTTTCATAACAGTGCGTTGGCACCTGTCATCATCATTCTATGAGCATAAACTTAGTCTCTGGGATTTCCGGCTTCTGATTAACTGTCTGCTTAGAGACGATATGCACCAGGGAGTAGGTATTTTACTACTCCCTGGCATGCATGGAGAATCCGTATCACCATTGTGCACCCCAGGCCCATAGTACCTGCATGTGCACATAGACCACGTTCTGCACATTCCAAACCGTGTGTCACCTTACAACACTTCAGTCTTGTCACATTACAGTCCTGTCACATCTATGTGTAGATGCTGCCCTAGGCCATGAACTGCAAAACCCTCAGTGTCCTATATGTTTTTACTACTTTTGGTATTTTCATTGTCTATATGCAGGCCTCTGGTTTCTCGAACATGGATACACCAAGCAACCTAGAGTATGCACAGTCACTTGTGTCTGGGGAACTCTATTCTAAGCAGCGATTGCCGCGTTTGAAGAAGGCTGGTTTTCAATTGGACTATTGGCTTGGTATGTTCCATCACGGCAGTCTCTCCACAATCACACACCGAGTGGTCTCTTTGCTGTGAACACGTCGACATCTTCGGACATATCCCCAGAGATCATCATCGGGGTGAAGAAAAATCGTTTCAAACTTGTATTTATAAAAAGTGAAAAAGGACCAAGGAACTACAAGTTACACTATAATGTCCACTAACACCATCAGTTACTAAACAATCAGCTCATGCGATAACATTGCACGACACTGACCGGCGGTACTGACGTTCTACAACTAACTGGCTACCAGCTCTAGCACATCTTGGATGCGCACTCCAACAGCCTTCCAACTTGGAAGGTTCTAAGTTATCGAAATAGCATAAGGAGGGGAAGGTGAGCGCAACCAAGATAAGCACGAGCTGAAAGTGTCAGCTGTGAAGGACGTTGGCGGATGTTCATGCAGGTCGATGACGATACTGGCAAGACCATTGGACAATACGTTCAAACCACGATTCAAGGACGCAAAGCAACATTCCACACAACTTGCGTGGCTCAAAAGATGCAAAGATCAAGAAAAGCCTTCCCCTCCCTATGTTATTTCTATAACTTAGAACCTTCCAAGTTGGAAGGCTGTTGGAGTGCGCATCCAAGATGTGAAAGAGCTGTTAGCCAGTTAGTTGTAGAACGTCAGTACCGTCGGCCAGTGTCGTGCAATGTTATCGCATGAGCTGATTGTTTAGTAACTGGTGGTGTTAGTGGACATTATAGTGTAACTTATAGTTCCTTGGTCCTTTTTACTTTTTATAAATAATCCTTGGCTCTCCATCCGAGTTCATTCAAACTTGTATGTTCTTTTTTAAGAACTTTTCACACTTCAACGCATGCAACCATTTGCACGTTACTCAGTCTATTAAAGCACTATCACTAAAATGAATCGTCTCGGTACTGCAAATGTATCTCCATCTTCACCTGTATGTTCTTATGTTCATTTACTGATAGATACTGTCACCCCCGATGGTCGGCCGCTGATGGGTGAATCACCAGAAGTGCGTGGGTTCTACCTCAGCTGTGGCTATAACTCTAATGATGCAATGCTCAGTGGTGGATGTGGTCAGCAGATTGCAGAGTGGATTGTACACGGCAAGCCGAGCCTGGACATGTTCAAATACAGTATCAGGTAAAGAGATCCGCTGGGCATACGTGTGTGTGTGTGTGTGTGCCTTGTGAATGTATTTCCTTGATAGTACTCATCTTTGCTTTGAGTCTAGTATACTAGTCAGTGTTGATCACCGTCAACAACTCTATGTGGCTCAGCAGCAGGTGCATCCTGGCGTATTACAATGCGGTGAGCCTCCTACCTATCCAGGTTATACACAAGCCAGCAATGGAATCTGAAGATCAGTGAATAACCATGGAACTCAGAGCGATAGCCTTGTTCCATTGGCGACTTGTGCCATTTAGCTCTGTTCTCACGGTATCGAGCACTTTCGCAAGTGAATAGCAACTTAGCCTGTATCAAGGTTACATATGTTGTGTGCTAGAAAAGATGAAAAAGATTATCCAAGTGCGATGGCACTGGGTTACGTCTAACCATCGTTGGCAGCTAGATCATTCCATCGGCTTTACCAATGCCTTCCGTGTTCAGCGGTAGAAGGTAAGTGCCAGTTCGCCCACCCTCTGCCTGCATCCTGCTTTTTGCCATAGCCGGTTCAACCGCCTGTGCGTGGACAATAAGACGTGGCTGAAAGAGCGCTGCCACGAGCAGTACTGCCAGAAGTACACGATCAAGTACCCACATCATCAACCACTGGCGGGAAGGAACATTATCAAAGATCCTCTTCACAAGGCAAGTGATATTGTCTCTAGCCTAACCTGTTGTACAAGGGGAAGGACCGAATGTTACAAGTTATGACTAACAGTCCACCAAGGAAGGTTATAGTAACTAACTGACTGTATATTGTATAGTCAGCTAGTGTGGCAATAAGGCACAAAGCTGACAAGGGTACTGCGACATTCACTGACCTGACACGTCTTACTGGTCTCGTCATCATCCTGTAGCATTCGACGTCGTTCTTTGTTGCCGTGGGACATAGCTCATGCACACCTTCATTGCGATTCCCTTCCCCTCATTGGAACTTTCCACACCTGAACCTTCCAAGTTGGAAGGTTGTTGGTTTGCGCTTCGTAGATGTGTTGGAGCTAGGTGTCGGATGGTTGAATGTCTCGGCACCCCTGTAAGTTTTGTCACACTATCTGACTGTGTAGCATCTCGTTACCTTGGTGCAGTGTTAGACTCGCAACTTTTCCCATTGCAGGTTACTGGCAACGGATACGTCCATGAGCTTTGTGCCTGCAATAGTCAGTTGCCATGTATTGCCACTATTGAAAGCAGAAAACGCCGTCTGCGTTTCCAGTTGACATGCTTTCGAATGACCCCCGAAAATTTGCTGAAAATTCTAACGAAGACCTTCTGGAGCTTTGACAGCTTCGTTTCATCCCTACGTCTCACCAGAACATACTGGACGAAAGTGTACAATTTTTTTGTGAGTGCACCGCATTCCCACCTGAGACTGACATGTTGGTAGTTATATGTGTGCTATGGTTTGTTTGTGTTTGCTGACAGGAGCTACTTGCGGCTGGTTGTGTCTTTGAGGAATGCCATGGCTGGGAGCGGCCAGCCTGGTTCATGACCAACAATAGAGTGTGCAAGATGCTAGAAGTCGAGCAACCTGCAGAGGTTAGTGACCAGGGACGCCCGAATAACACAGTACTGATACGTGTACATGCACTTGACCAAACGAATCCCTTGTTCTACTGCTCCCCTCCCCCCCCCCCCCCTCCCCCTGTCTGTCACGTTTGAATGTCAAAGTATATGTACTCAAAGTAATTTCCTGAGTGCAATAAAAATGCAGAACTGTATACACACTGTACCATTCGCATGCCTATTTCACCCTGCTGAGGTGTTGGTGCTAATATCAGACATAGTGTTGCTGAAGGTCAGTGGGTCCACCGTGAGTATTAGGCCTGTGCCTGTTTTGATTCCCATCTTTAAAGGGGAAGTTAAGGCAAAAAATATAATTTCACCAGTTGTAGTCTTCGGGGTGCTGAGTCGAATGGTTTTGGTCCGAGAAAGCTGAGACGCTCCCTTCCTACTTGAATCCCAATCGAACTCGCGCACTTCCACCGAAACTGGGTGACTGCGCCCTACTAGATGGGGATTTGTATGCAAAATTTCACTAAAAGCGCCGTTTCGTTCTTATAATAGCACGGATGACCGCGATTGGCCCATATGTTGCAGTCTTTTGGACGCTGAGTCGACTGGTTTTGGTCCGAAAAGGCTGCGATGCAGCGTTCCTCCTTTATTCCCAATCGAACATGGTTGAACAAGCGGTCACGTGCTCCTGCGTACACCAGTCAGCTGGTCACCGTGCCTGCAGGGTACAACTTACTAGCCTGTTTGACCTTTTTTGGGTGCAGTCCTGTCACTCGAGTTGAACTCGAGTTGAACCTTGGTGTGAAAGTTGTCGCCTGCTGGCGTGGTGACCAGGTGATTTGGGCACCCAGGAGCACGTGACCACTTGTTTAACCATGTTCGATTGGGAATAAAGGAGGAACGCTGCATCGCAGCCTTTTCGGACCAAAACCAGTCGACTCAGCGTCCAAAAGACTACAACATATGGGCCAATCGCGGTCATCCGTGCTTTTATAAGAACGAAACGGCGCTTTTAGTGAAATTTTGCATACAAATCCCCATCTAGTAGGGCGCAGTCACCCAGTTTCGGTGGAAGTGCGCGAGTTCGATTGGGATTCAAGTAGGAAGGGAGCGTCTCAGCTTTCTCGGACCAAGACCATTCGACTCAGCACCCCGAAGACTACAACTGGTGAAATTTTAATTTTTGCCTTAACTTCCCCTTTAATAAAGTATACAACAACAACAACAACAACAAGAACGCCTGCTGCAGTCATTTGTACTTACACTACATGTACCGCCACACACTGCAGGTATTGTCGTACGACTATGCTGGTACGTCGGGCCACACCCTGCACAAGGACTACATGTATCGCGACACTGCTCTCAAGCATGATCACGTCTTTGGCGAGCAACCGGGATGTTATGAAATGGTAAGACTTAGCTTTGCCCCCAGTTTTGTATGGGCTACTGATGTATGGGCTACTGATGTTCTCGGCGCCGATTTTAATGCTACAGTTTTCTGCGGAATATTGGATATGCTTCTCAGCAATAAGGACCGTAGCGGAGCCAGTAAAAGTGGTCTTTGCATCTGAACTTTTGTAGCCTGGCCTCAGTGGGCCAGGCAGCAGACAAGGAGAATCATCAGATCACAGTTCAGTTGTAGATCAGATGTAGACTCAGAATCAGACTGAATCGGAAGAGGATGAACTGGTATGTGGAAGCCCTACTTATACCTGGCCAGAGTGCTCTCTGGCCAATCAGAAGCTATGCATGTGACTACCATGACTACAGGTGTGGTGCATCTGCACCAACTAGGAAATGCAGTGAGTCATGCATGATGTCAAGTAACAGTTAGTTGCCTGCTAAAAAGTATAAAAACAAGAAAAAGAATAGGCTGTACAACAAGGTGGCTCGAACCTAATCTACATGATCTACTGTTCCCAAACCACTGGCATCCCTCCATACAAGGTACAATGAATGAGGCATGCCCAAATGCAATATGCACTGTGTTACACTTTGTATATAGCCCCCCCCCCCTCTCTATTCCGAAATTGATCCAGCAGTACACGTAGGAACCAAGCACCGCATTTCCTTGTGTTTACTGCTGTTCCCCAAGCAGGTACACTATGTCCTACAAGTTACTACGAGAACAATGGCAAATCCCGTTGGGCTCTCATCCACTCAGTCCTACATAGATGGTGGAAAGCAACTGTACTGTTACAAAAACCCATGGCCAAAATGGAATGGAATTTTTAGTCCAACACAGGAAAGCTAATGTGGTATCAAAATACTTAGACAAAACTAAACCGACGGACTCGCAAACAGTTGAGGCAGCACTAGTGCCCAGGAGTTGAACATTACTACACAAATTGAAATACACCAAAAAGACAAATTTCAAGATCTACCGGCAGCCGAATACTGGAGTGAAATCATAGAGAACTTGTCCGCCTTCCCAGCAACATGGAAGTGGGCTGATCAACTCACACTCCTACTGGAGTGAAATCATAGAGAACTTGTCCGCCTTCCCAGCAACATGGAAGTGGACTGATCAACTCACACGCCTACTGTGGTAGATGATCACAAACAAGCCAACCTCTTGCACATCAAAAAGCTGGACAAACTATGCCCCCAGACCGGCATCTCACCCAGCTCCCAACGCAACCGCACAGAACCGAGCCTCGTCAACTTGTCCTCTCACACCCTCACGGGAGGGGGAACCAACCTACTCCGCATAGGCAAGACCAATACATCAAGATCCCGCCCGGGCCCGTGCGCACCAAAATCGAGCCAACGTCGAGTTTTTTAAAAACAGTAGTACACGTACGCACACTGATCGTGTGATTTGCCCTCAGCTCTAATTTTATACAGCCATAACACACACACACACACTACTTGCCCGCTGCGTTTTGGATTGTGCAAGTGCAGATAGCTGCGGAGAGCGAGTCGGCCCTCTCTCAGGACGCAGTCCTCTGCAACAAGTCCTCGCTGGGCAAGCTGCTGGTGTATGGCAAGGACGCTGAGGCTGCAATCAACTGGTTGTGTGCTGCGGATGTTGGAGAAGAAGGTACTAGTACAGAGGATCACCTTGTGTTGAGCACTCCTGATGACCTCACTTTGATACGTGTCTTTCCTCAATTCTTGGCTATCTTTCACGTAACTGGCTGAATGTATAGGAAGAAGAAGTTTCTGCCGAATGAACTCATGGTGTAGACTGCACTGAAAATCCTGCTACAAACATGTTTGTGTCCTACTTCTTTATTGACAGCATTCTAAGTTATTTCTAAGTCAGTAGAACCTCTCTTATCCGGACACCTCACTAGAACAGGCACCTTGTAGGCAGGCAGGGCAGCAGTCAGATCTTGAACACTGTATGTTTCTTACTTTTCATGGCGGCCGGCTGAACTATTTCTGCATGTAACTGGGCTTTAGCCTTCAGATCCTATTGTACATGCTTGTGAATGGTACTGATCCAGATTCAGTGAACCCATTTGAGGGAAATGATGTGTTATATCCAAGTGTAAATCCGACACAGAATGCCAATGCGTCTCAAGTAGGAACATTAAAATTGACCTAATATGCAGTACATATTCCATGTTGGGAAGGACATTGTTGCAAATTCTGATGATGCCATTAATTCCTGTTTTCTTTCTTCCTTGATAGGACGTGTAGCGTTCTCGTGCATGCTTAACAAGGATGGTGGCGTGGAGGCGTATGCGACTGTCACCCGCTTGTCAGCTGATCTTGACAGCTCAATCATCGACGTTAAAGCGTTGGAGCGCACCGATGATGAGGAGGAGAGCACGGATCGCGATTCGTTCTATGTGGTGTGCGATGGAAATAGCCTGACACACGTGCAATGTCATGTACGACGTGTGATAGAGGACAAGTTGTTTGATGCGCACGTGAAGGACTTGACTTTGGACGTAGGCATTCTCTGTTTGGAAGGACCTAATAGGTAATGCTGTGATTGCCTTTGTTGTGGATGCCTCTGAGCGTGCGTTGTTGTTGACATTGGTAGCTGACCAGTTGATGCAAAAGGTGATCTCAAGTGGGTTGATGTAACTGACATGATTGTGCATGCGTGTGTGTGTGTGTGTGTGCACGTGTGTTTGTTTGTTTTACAGCTACCCCATCATGAAAGCATTGCTGTCGTCGGACTCGCGCGGCACGTCCAAAGTTGACGAGTGGCAACAGCGGCCCATAGCGGTTGGCGATGATCATTGTCCTGCGCTGGTCATGCATATAGGTACCCTGGGCCATGAGATACACGTGGCCATGCCGGCACTTCTCAGCATGTACACTCTCATCAAGAAAGCAGCAGAGAGCAGCCAGCCGCACATGGTGCATGCTGGTTTCCGAGTCTTGAACTCCATAGCAATGGAATGGAGCCATTTTGTGTGGGGCGAGGACATAGGCAGCAGCGACACGCCACGCGAAGCTGGCATTGCCTACAGCTGCTCAACCGGCAAGGAATACCTGGGCAATGCTGCCATTGCCAGACAGTCCTTGAAGAAGTGCGGCATTAGTCGGCGCTGCATTTCAGTGACAGTCGATTCGATTGTGTAAGTCCATCTTCAGTGCTGCATTGCTTGTCAGAAATTGCTTTGGGAGTGTTATATGCTGAATGTGATGCATGCCAATGCATGCCATTGAGTTAATTTGCAATGCGAACCTCTACTAAAGCCCAAGACAGTACACAAGAGTCAATGTTTCCTCTGCCCATTCACAAGCAATACCCACCACCACAAACCAGATAATATACCGGTAAATGCAATATGAACGGAACGGACATGAGATTATAAACTCCTTTTTAGAGGAACAAAGGCAAGAGCACCGTAAGAACAACAGACTGGCCAAACCAAAATACAAACTCCCTTTTTTAGGAGTACGTATAAGCAACAAAAAGCACTCCTGCTAGCAACAGCAGACACAACCTATGTCAGTAGTTCAAAGTTTGTGAAAGTAAACAGAATGGCTATGCTTCACTAGAAACAAAACACCTTTTCAGCCGGCTCAGCATGGATGTGGAATGCCAGATTTCCTATTGCTGTTTCTCTCTCTCTCTCTCTTTCTTCAACCCAGCAATATGCAGCTGCACGGCAATGAAATCCTACTGCGAGACGGTCAGTTTCTTGCTACACTGCGCCGCTCGGAGTATTCCTATTTCACCGACACGTGGCTATCCCAGGTGTACATACCCAAGGATCCGACCCACAGCATCTATGACAGTGAGGTCATCGACGAGGGAGAGTTTGAAATTGAATACATGACCCAGCGTCACCCGGTGAGAACGTTTCTTATCTCTCCGCTTCTGACCGACCTTCACCACTTCTAGCACCTGCACAGCAGTGCGTATTGTCATGAACTGATTAGCAAAACGGCTCAGCAACTGTGGCAGACATGTTTTCTCTTAAACATCGTGTTCAGTTTTAGCCACTGCACACGGCTAAGCATTCCAGGAAGGGTCGTTTAGGAATGCAATGATGGGCAAACGAATGTCTGATGGCAATGCACTACTGAGCATGCGTTCTATGAGGGGTCGTAGTTGTGAGCCGGTCTCCTATAGTGCACACCATTCTCTCTGGCCAGTCTGGGAGTGTGTTCAGCTGAGCAAGTACACTGTATCATGGTTTCGCAGTGAAAATATATTTTCTTAATTGCCCTGATAGGTCAGTAGGACTCCACTGTAGCTACTTCATATTGTTTGTAGTATCTTTAGAACACACTTGCTACTATGCGTTGCAGGAAATTCTGCACTGAACCTCGTTGACTTTTAACTACTCTACAAAGCCGACTTGCTTTCAAGCATGACAACCAACAATCATTCGATGTCAGATGGCCCGGCGGGTGATTACTGGTCAGCTCCAATGATCTAGCATGTTGAGTTGAATGTGGTACTTTTAGTTCCATATTATGAAGCCACTCAGCCCACCGGTTGGATCACAGTACGGCGGTGTAGATCATGCAGTGCGGAATTAACCGTTCCTCGCTCATCCGCTCCCCTCGGTCCGACGGTTCCTCGCTCATCCGATTGAACCGATTCCCTCGGTTGGAGCTGCTTTTAGCAAATTTACGGAAAAGCGTGATTTTGAGAGGAGTAAATGCAGTGCCTTGTGTACCCGGAAATTTATTCTCTTTCCACTCCACAGCGAATACCGGATGAGACGTAACGCCACTTGGAGCGGCCGACAGATGAGGAGGCATGTACACGGATCCTATAACCCAGAGCTCTTACGAATCCTTGAGCCCAGGCAGTAATGAACCGAGTAACTGTGAGCTACTTCGGCCCACATACATCTACATGGACTGTGACATGTGCATACAAGTGCATGTATGTGTGTGTATGTGCGTGTAGCACTTCTCCTTCTGCACTGACATAGAAGTACGAGACGAGCACAAGTCAGTTTGATGCCCGTTTATCATCTGGATTGAAGATTTATGATAGCTCTGGAGCCAGGCTCATTTGTATGTCTGAATTATTTCTCTTCATTCGTTGGCTACTCCAAGCGGAGTTTCTCTCGTACTGTTCCGTCGTGAGTCGGAATGGTAGGTCCTGCAGATCCGCATGAGAAAAGAAGTCAATGCCATTGCCATTGGCACTGAATGTGAATGATGTTGTTGGTGCCACACGTATTGTGATGGAGTGTGTAGACTTGTAGTACATCATACACAATACGTTTCTTACCCATCGTCAAGAACACCATGATCATGCATGGTGCACTCAGTCACTGTATCATGTAAATAGATTACTATGCAATGGATAACCTGATGGAGTGATGACTGATGACTGATGTAGAGTCGGTGATGCTGCAAGGGCAGATCAGTGAGAGCACTCCATCGCCAGCCCTGCCTTTACACTGTTTGCAGTCTACTCTACAACTTACAAGTACAAAATTTAATGCAGTCTTGAGTGCATTGCACATCGCATGCCATGAGCAAGACAGTACAACACTCAACAGCAACTACACGTAGACCAGCTGGTAGACCCTACGCTACAAATACCTTGTCTTGTGAAGCCCCTACTGTGAAAAGAGGGGTTCTGTGGACGTGTGGTCTGTTTATAGTGGGACTGGCCCAAACCCACCTACAAAAAACATGTCAAGAAGCCGACAAGTGCGAGAGGCGTGTCCCATCATTCACGACACGTCTGCAACACAATCATGACTACTACTGTCTTTCAATAAGGCTAAAGTCTAACACAATGCACATGACTACAATGTCATGATGCCGGACTATGATCATGATGATCGCTGACGCTATGCTGAGTCGATCAACCATTATTTTGACAAGCTCGTAGACCTACATGATCACTACAGTACCCGTTGTTTACAATGCATAAGCTACCAAGTAGATTTACTGGCACCATTCATGATTCATGCCGCGCCGCAGGTCCATCAGTTTTTCTGGACGTCGACGAACGATCACATCATGTCAAAATGATGTGTTCCGCCTGCAAAATGATGTGACGTGACCTGGTGGCTCGAAATGAAAATGAACCAACAACAGGGTCACACTCACACACACTACAAGGTTATTTTGCCAAGAAAAAGTAGTTCAAGAACCCGCATCGCATTTCTTTGAGTTGATAGCAGTAGTTAGTGCCTGCTGCACTTGCGGCGCACGGTTGACTCGAGCATGGCGTCGATGAAATCAGCGTTCAGGATAGCAGCGGAGTTCTACCCGACTCAACTCTCGTTGCAGCAGAGTCGCATGAACTTGTGGAAATCGGGGAGATCGTACAGTCGTGCCTTCAGCACAAGTAATGTGCGTGGGGACGGATCTGGACCCGTGCCGTCTGCTGTTCCGTACGACAGGAGCGGCAGCAATTTCGACTCAGCTGCGACCGGCGACAAACTGCCCAGCAGTGCGGACGCCGTGATTATTGGCGGAGGTGTTGCAGGATGCTCCGCTCTCTACCACCTGACCAAGCTGGGCATGAAAAATGTTGTCCTCTTGGACCGCTCCAAGCTCACAGCGGGTACAACGTGGCACAGTGCTGGACTGGTATGGCGACTACGTCTACCCGATACTACCATTCAGTTGATGACAAGGACACGTGATTTGCTGGTCGATACAAGTGAGACGAGTTTGCAAGCGGAGAGTGGCGTCGATGCTGGCTGGGTTCAGAATGGCACACTGTTTGTTGCCACCCAGAACGATCGTCTGGACATTATGAAACGTACTGCGTCGGTAAGTGAGAGTGTATCGTACGGATTAAAAATGTTCAGAACACTGTACTTATCATGTTGCCATGCAGTGTGTATAGGAAATGGTGGCCCTAATCACTCCACAACTGTGTGGGAGGGAGGGGGATAGCTGGGGTAATCCCATTACCCCAGCTATCCTCCCCCCCCCCCCCCCCCCTGGAGTAGGTGTGAGGATGACAGCACATCACAAGGCGAGGGCACACTGTGTGAAAAACAGCGTTACTGACTGCAACCAGAGAGGTTGGCAGGATCCCTGGTTTTGCGGCCATTTGAACCGTATGGGGTCACGGTCCTGCCCCGGTCAGACCCTATTTGGGGAGAGGGTGGGGTCAGGGCATGACCCCATACCGTCCCCGTATGGTTGCAAGACCAGGGTCTCCGGTTGTAGTCAGGAACACTGTTTTCTATGCAGTGGGTCCCCTGTCTTGTAATGTGCTATCATCATCACCACACCGGCCTTGTAGTCTATCAAGCAAAGCTTATGTAAATTATAGTGCTGGAATGATGCATGTAGGCTACACAATTTCCATATGCTTGTATTAATTATAGCCTGGTATGTAAGAATATCATTGAATTTTCAAACTATAGCATCTACATTGTATGCTGACCGGTCTGCACCAAGACCAATTCTGGCCAAGTGTGAATAGCAACATTTACAAGGGTTGACCAAATCCTGATTATGCAGTTATATCTCCCACCCCATTCACGCATGTGTCCCCATTCATTCTATTCCGGTGTGCATTGACGTACGTACCTCCATTGCTAGCTGATCGGGCATGGGAAGTATGGGGGGGGGGGGGGGAGGGGGACCAATAGCCCTGACCGTGTTTCCATTTGTACTTGCTGCTAGATGGGACATGCCGTTGGCATAGAGTCATCCGTCATTTCCCCTGCTGAAGCTAAGGAGATACACCCATTCGTGAACGTGGATGATGTGGTCGGTGCTGTGTATAGCCCTGGTGATGGGATCGTTGAACCGGCTGGCCTTGTGTCGGCGTACTCCCGAGCTGCCGTCCGGAATGGTGCAAAGGTATGTGTGTTATCATGCTCCTAGTCCTACTGAATTGATCACGTACGTGTACCTGTATTGCTGTATCCGTGGTCTGTAGAATAATGTGATGACATCGTGTGTTCTAGCAGGGTTACTGTAGCCAGCCTGAAAAGGAACTTGAAGAGGGTGGGCTGACTGAGCTCGTACGTCATTGTACACACTGGTCACGGGTCTACGAATGGACATCAATTCAGGGGCGTCGGAAGGTAATTTAGGGTGGTATGGTCAGCCATCCGAGGCACTATTTACTTGTTGGGAGGAGGTGGCTCCGCAGAAGAGTTCTCGAAAATCGGAGCCCAAATCAGTGCATTTTATTGATTTCCAGGGTACCTGGGGCCAAGAGTGGTGCGGTCAATACCGTAGTGACCGTAGCGTGTCCGACGCCCCTGCACATCATGGTAACGTAGGTCGATTGCCCCTACTTACTGAAATTTTCCAACTGGACAAACACACTGGTCTACTCTTCAGTGACTGTATGCATGCATGGTGTCCTGGCTGGATAGCCTGGAATCTAAATTAGCAATGTTGGTGATTCGAATCATGCATTGGACAGGGACAGTTTGCCACACCATGTCGCTTTGGCTAGCGCGACCCTGACTGCCAGATGCATCCTCAAAGATCCGTTTTAGTCTAGAAAAGAGGTTCTGCGCATGGGGCAAGTGACATGTTTTGCCTACAGTAAGATCGGGCGCCGAAGAACGCAGGGGCTCGAGCGCAGCCTAGGAAAGTTCTTAAATTTTTGATTCTAGCCAGACCGTTCTTATTCACACGCGCGCGGCGAGTCGAGTGACGTCATGACGTTTGTCATGACGTTTGTCATGTACATGTACATGTAGTGCAATGTAGTACTTCTAAACTAGTGGGTGTCGTAAATAGGAATGACTGTACATGTAGCAGTTACTGTTTACACGTGTACATGACATGTACTCACCTCCCATACATGTACAATGTAGATCTACGTACAATGTAGATCTAGTGTTCTTAAATCTGATAATTCTAGCCTGGACTGTTCTTAAATTTTGCCGGTTTTCCAGCCTGGGTGTTCTTCGGCGAGGTTTTCTTCGGCGCCCGATCTTACTGTACTGACCAGGAATGTACATTGCACCTGTTTGTCAAAATTAATGACATGGGGCTCGTATCTGGAGTTTTGAGATATGAGATAATCCTTATTGCAACGTGAGCTCCCATAGCTCAGTCGGTTAGAGCGTCGTGCTAATAACGCGAATGTCGCAGGTTCGAGCCCTGCTGGGAGCACGCTCTTTTTTTCTTCCTCTTTTCTTGTTCATTTGGTACACTGCAACTGTCCTTGTACTCTTTCTTTTTTAACAGATTTTCGAGGACTGCCCAGTGTTGACTATTGAGACGAGTAAAGAGGGCTTTCACTCGTCGCGTCAGGTCTCGGCGGTTCATACAGACCGTGGAACCATTCGCACGCAGTGCGTACTGAACTGTGGAGGTGCATGGGCACCGTACGTGGGTGCTATGGTCGGCGTCAACGTGCCCCTGTATCCCGTGCGACATCACTACGTCGTCACCGACTCCATCGAAGGCATGCGTGGACTTCCACACGTGCGCGACTACGACCAATCAATCTACTTTAAGACGCATGGAGACGCCGTGTCGTTTGGTGGTTACGAGAAGGACGCTATCTTCATAGACGATGTGAGTATCCGGCAAGCCGTGGTGCACTGCATGGCTGGTGTTCTAAATGAATTCAATGCACCCCAGGTGTTTGTCTTTGATAGAATCACACTTGTGGGTAACATCCCGACCTTTACCAGAAAACTGCCTGAGAAGGATACATGTACGTCATGCATGTTGCAATTCTACTAGTGTCGCACGGTGCTTGGATGGCTGGATTCCGGTGTCTGCTCTGTAATTCACGTCCGTGTGAAACTGTGAATACTTCCTCTTGCTGTGCAGATCCCCAAAGACTTTGACTTCTCGCTGTATGACCTGGACTGGGATGTGTTCTCTCAGCACATGACTGCGGCCATGCACCGCATGCCTAGCTTGGAGAAGGTGCGCCTCAAGTCCACAGTGTGTGGACCAGGTAAGTGCTGTCGCGGTGGTGCATCAATGCCAGCATCAGCATGTACAAGAAAATAGGAGTTACTGGGTGTTGTAACATGAGCCCAGCTTTCTCACTGATGCTGGCGGGTTATTGGATTGCTACCGCATTGCCCTGCAACAGCTGTGGCCAATGTGCAGCAGTTCATGTTTCGAATTGTGCTGGCCACGCATGTTGCATCAATAATAATAATCCCTGTATGAGAAGCACATATCATTCTTTGCTGTGCATTTCCTCGCCAGAATCATTCACACCCGATCACTATCCGCTCGTGGGGGAATCCCCTGAAGTGCGTGGCTTCTACGTAAGCTGTGGATTCAACTCCAGTGGTATCATGCTGAGTGGCGGAATTGGTCAGCAGATTGCAGAGTGGATCATACATGGCAAGCCAAGCCTGGACATGTGTCACTTTGACATCCAGTATGTTGGTAGCATATTATCTAGCTGGTTTTCCTACAGGGCCACTGCCACTGCCAGTGTATGTGTAACGTTATTTGGATGCAATATGAAGCCAAGCCTTTCTGCCAACGTTTACCGTGATGTGATGCCGACATTGGTTGAAGCCCCGCAACAAATTCTGGAGTACATTGCAGCTTCTTACTGTCGGCAATCACGTTGTGTTTATTAGACTGAGCTTGTGCGATAGGAGTTGTTGTTGTCGCTGATAGTCCCAAATAGGGACGTGTTTTGTTACGGCCATGGTTATTTTACTGTTCCTACGGACAACATGTATGTGCTATTAAACAAAATTTGTGAAACATGCTAGTGTTGATCTTCTTCTGCAACCGTTGTCTCCCTTAGGCGGTTTGGTGCGTATGCGCGAGGCAAGACTTGGTTGCGTGAACGCTGTCATGAAGAGGTGGCCACGAAAGATTCAGTCAAATATCCCAATGATCAGCCTCTGGCAAGTCGTAACATGATCAAAGACCCACTGCATAAGGTACTCTAATTTCAGAAATTTTAGGTGCTCAATATTTTCGGTATGAGGGCAAAAGGCCAGGTTAGGTGAACAGAAATTTTAGGTACAGAGAAGAAGTTCTCTATTGGATAATGTGTGTAAGTGTTTGTTCGGTGTAATGAAATTTTAGGTATGAAACAGATGCACCGAAAGTACCGAAAATAAAAGTACACCGAAAATTTGTGAAATTACAGTATGTACTTTGTAGTCACTGCCGCCGGCACGGTGTCTTTGTTCTCAGCCAGCTTGTGTAGGTCAGCAGCGGTGTTGGGTATGTCGGACAGTCCCCAGTGCTATTACATCGTCTTGTGGTATCTCTTTGCACGATGGCTGGCTGCTGCTTGTCGGTGCTACACTAGTTAATTAAACTCGTTGTCTGTAAATAAGTTTGCACCTTTCCCTCTAACTGATGAATTTGGTAAATACAGCCAATATGAAAACGAAACACTCTCAGCTGCGTTCAATGATCTTTATACGTTTGTTTACAATCATTGCATCACCACTTGCCATGAGAAGGGTCGGTTTTTCACATTTCGTGTGTGTGTGCATGTGTTGTAGGAGCTTCTGAAGGAAGGCTGTGTGTATGAAGTATCGAATGGTTGGGAAAGACCTGGGTATTTCTGGCGGCAAGGCGCTATACCGGATCTGAAGGTTGGTGACGTTGTTATTGGCACTCCTTGCCCAGCTATAATTATTATGGTTGGTGTCTGACCGCATGGATAATCTATCTTATTAGTGATTTAGAGAGGAGGTTTGACATTACTAACGCAGGGGAGAGTTCAGCTAGAACCCCTCCCTATGGACTGGTACTAATGTAGGAGTTGCATTATTTAGTAAAAAGTATATATTTCATGTTTTTAAAAGAGTATGGCCATGGCTACTACACTAATCCATACTTGGTACTTGTAAGTAGCTTGCAAATGAGGCTGGATGGAGTCAGGTTAGACCGCTGTGCTATCACTAAGAAACTAGTAAATAAGAATGGAGTAGGCATCCTGCACGCCTGTGCGCATGCCGGGTTCTGTGATATTAGAGAGGTTAAGATGCACGTTATTTCCGACGTGACGCGCAATTTCACGTCAAATTTGGCGTAAAACTCCAAATTTCGACGTGAGCAGCAGGTCACTTGCGTTGATTTTTCGACGTGCGAGCAAATAACGCGAGCTGAACTTTCGCGTCACGTCGGAAATAACGTGCATCTTAACCTCTCTATTGTGTTCATGTGTGTTCGCACAGCACGATGCATTATTTTGTGAATTTTGACTACATGTGTTTGATTGAAGTGTGTTTTTTCGCTCTGTTTTCCATCAGATTTTGCCATATGACTATTGCGGTGCGTATGGGCATGGAGCACATGTTGACTACCCCTACCGGGATGCTCTAATGCAGGAGTGTTCATTCACCGACCATCCTGGAAGCCACAAGAGTGTAAGGCAACGGTAGTGGTGCTAACTGCTAAGTAATTAGAAGAAAAGGAGAAAAAGTGGTGCTGAGTAATTAGAGCATTAGTACATAAGACTGGTACACAGAGGGAAGTGGGTCTCAAGCAGGCTAAGGTGCAATGCAACCTCTGTGCATGTATTAGGCTAGCACATAGTTCACTGAACCAGCTCCGTCTGATGGTCAGTCTGATCTGTGTGATACGGGAGCATGTTGATCTCTTTCATTTATATCTTCTATTTTGAAGACATTAGTGTTGACCCACACATTACAGGTGAACAATGGTAAAACAATGTGTTCCACGCTACACTTGGACTAAACTGTGTGAATCGCTTACTCTATGTTGTCACAGCGATCAAGCATGTTGTCCTACCCCCCCCCCCCCCCCCCATCGATGCTCTGGAAGAATGGCAAGATATATGCATGTGTGTTGTCATGCATGGGCGTGTGTGTGTGTGTGTGTGTGTGTCTGTCTGTTTGTATGCCCTGCTTGCATCCTCAGATTGGTCAAGAGTGCGAAGCAACGCACAAGACTGCGGCCCTCTACAACTTGTCATCGTTTGGCAAGCTGCTAGTGCAAGGCAGAGATGCACAGCTGGCCATTGACTGGCTTTGCAGTAACAATGTCCGACAGGAAGGTAGGATACCACATTGAACAGTGATAAGCGGCCATACATATGGCTAGAGATACTGGATACAGGCTCAGCTAGTATACTACGTGTCCCTTTCTGGTTTAATATATATTATAGATTTTGAGAAGCTGTGATGACAAGCCTCAGAGTCCTCATTCCGGTTACCAAGAATGCTTTAACCAAGGGTGTGCAACTCGATGATCTCTCAGCCCAGGGCGGATTGTTTTTATGACATCGGTTTTCCGCATCCGTTTTGCTCACTGATGCTATCATGCGGAGTTGAAGATCAAAAGTGAAGAACAATTAGACAAAGCAATTACAGTAGTGGAAGAGAACAATGAGTGGTAGATCTATGCAACCTACTGTACAGGCAGAAACTTTTGTCGTTCTATAGTTTCGTCCAACTCCATAGAAAGGGAGTTCGTCCGGTTCTAAATTTCGTCCATGGATCGCAAGAGTGTATTGAAAAGCTGGACAAATCGACATTAGTCCGGCATTTAATTTAGTCCAAAAGTTCCTTGGATGAAAAAGACGAAATTAAATTCCAGACGAATATTTCTGCTTTTACAATTAAATCTGATGAACCGACACCATATGTACATGACAGGTGTGGAAAGGCATACACACTTGATTATGCTTCTCCGAAACGTAATGCAGTAAAATGATTTTGTCCTGGGCGAGTCCACTGCCCCTCAGGTAAATGTATGGCATGCACTCTTGCGAAAAGCTTTTACCTACTGTCACACTGTACTAGCTTGTCTAGCTGCTGACTCCCCCCCCCCCCCCCCCTGTGTATCGTAGTAACTGTTACTTGTCTAGCTGCTGACTCCCCCCGGTGTACTCAAGTAGTAAATCTTACTTGTATGGCTGTGTTTTGTTGTGGCAGGTAAAGCGGCGTTCTCGTGCATGCTCAACAAGCAAGGTGGCGTGGAAGCTGAAGTGATGGTCACTCCACTCTCAGCCGACTTGCACCAGTTCTTGGTTGGATCGCCTCCCGGTGGTGCCGATAACGACAGTCTGTATTACGTGGTGTGCGGTGGATCCACCCTGACGCACGTCCAGTGTCACATGCAGAGGGCGATACAGGACCAGAAGTTTGATGCTGCCGTGCAAGATGTAACTAGCAACATTGGTGTGCTCAGTTTGCAGGGACCTCGCAGGTGAGTGCTTTCGTTGAGGCAGGTATGACTTGTCTTCACCAGCCCATGGCATGAACCAATGGAGCACATGTTACTGTTATCTCACAAATCTGTCCTTCATGGGTTCCTGTCTGTGGAAGAAGATAACGTCTGTTGCCGCGTTCAGCTGAAACGTACACTGTACGAAAAACCTGTGGCCTTTGCAACAGCATGGTGTGCGTTGCTCTGATAGCCTCGAGCTACAGTTGGCACACAAGTACACATCACAGGCTGTGTACTGTCTCAGTGCTACAGTACCTGTTGCTGTTGATGCTCCAAACAGATCAATCTGGTGTATTCCTTTTGTTTTCCTCTCATGGGCAGCACTGAGATTCTCCAGCAGCTGACCAAAACTGATCTGTCGGTAGCCGGCGCATCAGGCATGGGAACGCAGTTCACAATGGACATAGTGGGACGCCCTGCGCTAGCCATGCGAGTGCCATACCTGGGCCAGTCGGGCTACGAGCTGCACATCACCATGGACTCTTTGCTGCAGGTCTACGAGCAACTGATGAAAGTGCCCGACAGCGGCCTGGTCAACGCTGGCTTCCGCGCCATGAAGTCCGTCAGTCTGGAGTGGAATCATTGCTCGTGGGGTGCTGATCTTGGAGGCTGTGATACTCCCGTTGAGGCTGGTCTGGGTTCGACGTGCTCCCAGTTCAAGGACTATCTTGGCAAGGAAGTTGTGGATGAGCAGCTGCAGAACGGAATCACTCGCCGTCGTGTGCTGCTGGCAGGAAAGCCTGAAAAGTAAGACCCTGTCTGTCTTCTCTCTGTGTGTATGGGTTATGCCATGCGTGGATACAACCGACTGGTGTGAGGTTTGTATCTAATACCCGTCCTAGCCCCACCCAGTCCTTTCGAAGAAAGTGTTTTCACCTTTCCCATTACATCCGTTTCATGTACAATCAATGGTTATAATTAGGGCTGAGTCGGGTAGCATTTTCTTCGGGTATCGGGTCCGGGTAGTTTTCCACGGGTAGCACGGGTACCCAATCGGGTAATGTTTCCATGGTAAGACCACAATGCACACCGGCCCCTTCCCTTGCGCATTGGGTAGACATGCGGGAATTATTTGTACACGTGCACTGTATATGATGTCATCTGCGACCTCGGGTTTTCGGGTACTATTCGGTACCCGACTACCCGAGGTCCTCACGGGTAGCACGTGTACCCGACTACCCGTGCACCACTAGTTATAACCTGCCCCCGGGCCAGGGCGTGCAACTCTACGTAGGTTTGCAATGGGGTCCACTGCCAACAAAAAAACTCCCATCACGAGCTGTAGTATGCTCATAGTACGTGAAGTGTTCTGGCAAACGGTAGAAAAAGAAAGTAAATAGCATCCCCAGCAGAAAGTGGGCAAAAGCTCTGGCAGATGCAGACTGCGCACATATCGGCTTCTGGTGTATATCATACAAAACGTCTTTGCAGGGAATATGGACCATGGGGTGTGAGTTTTCGCCATCGTAAACCCCGTACAGTGCAATTTTTCACACTCTTGGGAGGTCTCGGATTGCCGGACTCTTGGTATAGGGAATGCAGTGTATTCACCGAGTCTCAGCGGCTTTTAATTAAAACAATGTGTGCACGTACTTGTACGTGTTTTTGTTGTTGCAGTGGTGGCCCTCTGCTTGGATCGGAGCCAGTGTATAGAGATGGCAAGGTGGTGAGTTACACTCGCCGTGCTGAGTACTCACACCTTCTAAACACCAACCTGGCCAGTGCTTATATTCCCGTTGAAACTGCCACGACTAACGCCGCTGACTTTGCCAAGGGCCGCTTTGAAATTGAGCGCATGGGCGAGCGCTTCCCAGCCGAGCTGTTTCTCAAGGCACCCATTAAAAAGTGAACTCTGAAGACCACCTCTGCCATATGTCATTCTGATCTGGGTCGGTCCACGCCCAGTCATGACAAGCCAGGAGCATAGTGATGCTACGCTGTGTACCCTGTTGGAAATTTGAGTTGAAAAAGTGTGGGCCAAGCAAACCCCTCATAGCAGTGTAGTGCAGTGCACATAGGTGTATCTTCACATACGAGACTTGAACTCGTGCATCATAGTGTTGCTAGATTGTCAATTGAAATTTGTGTCTTCTTTCACGTGTCAACTGCTTATTGCAAGCATTTTCACCGCTGGCTCCCACAATACATGTGTGGTGCTAGTATGCAGGGAGCGCTGTGCCGGGTTCAAACTTGATTTCCAGTGTCAGTTCAATGATATTATGTTTTGTGTTTTGGAAGACTAGCAGCAGCTGAAGGTTTGCGGCATTTTGCTTATTGGCTGACTGCGCCTTCTTTAGTGGACCCGCTTAGGGAGAATTTTTACTCTAATGCTATTCATTTTATATGGTACTTTTGACAACACCATCCCAGTTTCCTTCTTTTTTTTGCCAAGGATCGACTGCCTTCTAGACAATATTATCCTTCTGTGTTGGAAACGGCAGGGGCACCGCTCCTATCGAACACATGTGGTTGAGTGGCAAACTAAGCCATACATAGCACTCATCTTCCGTTCCTCTCTTCCTCATCCTTCCCGGCTTTCACAGGAGAGCGCCTCGATAGGCTGACGCAGCCTTTCGTCAATCTTAAATAAAACTGATCAATCAATTAATCCATCACAATATGGGAAGTTGTCCATGTTCATACTATGGACTCAGTGCAGCAGTGAGTAACAGCAGATTAAGTCAAGAGATCACGTCACATGACGTGCATGGAGCATACGTACTATATTTCACAGTCACGTGCTCTATACTATTCCGCTTCTGTGGACCATGGACACGGGATTAAAGGGGATGACATAGCCTCACAGCCCTGCTGGAGAGACTTCCTGCCTGCCACTTCCAGGTAATGTATGATTTGCCAATCTACTACTATTGTGTGTGTAGATTCATATACAGAAACAGGAAGAAGTAGGAAAGGACACTCCATTCCAGGTCAGAGGTGTGCTCAGGGGAGCATTCATAAGATATTTGGTGTTGAGAAAAAGTCACAGCTTTCCTAATATTCCATGGCAACATTACGTACTTTTAGATTACGTCTGACGTTTATCACCATTCCAAGAAGTATGGTGTATATTTTCAAAGTCGTTGACTCATCCATGCATTTTGTTCCAAAAATTTCCATCCAGATCTTTGATTTTTTTGTTAGAAACAGACACAAACTGTTAATCCGGGCTTGCCCCTGTTGTTTTTACAGCTCCGGCACATATTGCCTCGTAGCCAGACACCTTCAATTCATTAGCCACAAAAATTGTCGAAGTACTCTAGGGAGTAGGGTACATGGTAATCTCAAAGTAAGTGAAAGTGTGATTCATGTCTAGAGAAGTGGCCAGGGAACTCGGTGCAGTGGCAAACTACATGAAACATAAGGCCAAGTCCTAATGTCAATCTGTGAATATGTGAAGAGAAATCATCGTGAGCAGTAAGCTGGCCAGCAGCCTATGTACACCATGTAAAATTTTCTTTCTATTAAATGTGAAGTATTTTGTAATGATGCTAAAAGTGTACGAACCACGATCCGCCAGTCAGTACATCACAAAAAACTAATAGAGGTGGAATGCAAGGCAAGAATTCTGTCAGTTACGGAAACGAATTGCATGGCCTTCAGCATTTGACCAACCATGTGAAAGTCCAAACAAGTCAGTTGTTAGAGCTTGGATTGGGTGCCAGCCATTGCAGCGGCTGCATAGGGCTTGAGCTCGCCACGAGCAACGGTGGCCAGGTGGACCTCATCGGGCCCGTCAGCAATGCGCAGGGAGCGTGCCAACACCCACAGGTGAGCTAGTCCAGGGTCCTGACTGACACCGGCGCCACCGTGGACTTGTATAGCACGGTCGAGCACGGCACAGGCCATGCGCGGTGCCGATACTTTGATCATCGCAACCAGATGACGGGCGGCGCGATTGCCCCGAGCATCAATTAGCCGAGCAGCCTGCAAGGTGAGCAGACGCGCTTGATCAATCTCGATGCGGGACAGTGCAATATCAGCCTGAACAGTGCCCTGGCGCGCGATGGCCTTGCCGAAAGCTGTGCGCTGGCAGGCACGCTGACACATCGCCTCCAAACCCCTCTCTGCCATTCCAATCAGACGCATGCAGTGGTGTATGCGACCGGGTCCCAGTCGACGTTGGGCAATCTCAAATCCACGTCCCTCGCCCAGGATCAGGTTTCTGACGGGAACGCGGACATTCTTGAAGTGCAGCTCCAGGTGTCCGTGTGGTGCATCGTCGAAGCCGAACACGGTCAGAGGGCGAACTTTCTCCACGCCGGGTGTGTCAAGAGGAACGAGTATCATGGAGTGCTGCTTGTGGATAGGTTGGTCTTCAAGACCTGTGGACTTGCCCATCAAGATAGAAATCTTGCAGCAAGGGTCACCAGCCCCAGAGCTCCACCATTTCTTGCCATTGATGACATATTCATTGCCGTCGCGGCGAATCTCGCACTCCATGTTCGTGGCATCTGACGACGCGACATCCGGCTCGGTCATGCAGAAGCAGGAGCGGATGCGGCCGTCCAGCAGTGGCTCTAGCCACTCGGCTTTCTGCTGCTCCGTTCCAAACAGATGAAGCACCTCCATGTTCCCGGTGTCCGGGGCGCTACAGTTAAACGCTTCTGGTGCGATAACCACGCTCCTTCCCATCTGCTCGGCCATGAATGCATACTCGGTTTGGGAAAGTTTGGAAACAGACGGCAGGAATAGATTCCACAAGCCGCGTCGTTTGGCTTCCACCTTCAAATCTTCAATAATTTGCGGAACTTGCCAGCGATCCTTTTCGGCCAGTTTCGCATACTGCTTGATATACACAGGCTCAGCGGGATACACAAACTCGTTCATGAACCCAATAACTTCAGAGTAGATTCGCTTGCCCCTGTCCGAGCAAGGAAACATATCCATGGCGGATGAATTTGCTGCTGAACTGGTCATGGTCCGAAAGATCAGAGAGGAACCACGGGAACTGACTCGAGAAGCTCTTTGGAACATCGCTCTTGTTACGCAATGTTTGTAAATTGATATTCATTCACCTCCTGTCCATCTCTCTTGGAGTTTGAGCCCAAGCTGCAACTACCGAGCTGTCAAACTCAAGGTCAAAACTAACTGGTTGTCAGAATCAGAAGCAGATCAGAACGGGTGAAATACACTTTCCATTCGATTTCTTTTTGAGCTTTCTTTTGTCGCGTCGGTCAACTTGATCCTGACGCCGGGAAGGCGTCGTAGGTATGTAGTTGTGTGAACACTGAAAAACATCAGTTTTATTCTGACAATCATGAATGTCACGACTCGGACATAAAAAGTGTGACATACGGTAAGCTAATAACAAGAGTACATAACCCCCCAAGACTGCAAGAGTACCACTGGGGTTATGTACTCTTACTAAAGTTAGTCTTGGTAATAACAAGAGTCCATAAACACTCTTGCCTGAGTCTTGGTAATAACCTACACTGAATGTGTGACAATCAGTGCAAGGTGCAGAATGTAGCAGCTATGGATGTGATTTCTCCCTACATCACCAGTGTCTCACGCTCAGGCTCCTCCTATCTATTTCTACAATGTAGTACCATCTCAGCGGCTTTTGTTATCTCGTTTTTGTTGTTAGCACCTGCGCTGCACTGAATTAAAAGAAGTCACAACAACATTGCATATCTGTGTCAATGTTATCGCTTTCTGCTGGCTTTTTAAATATGCTGGTGATGGTGATGGCTGATGGAAGGCTTTTTCAGTTGAAACTCCGGGCCCGATGATGGAGAATCAAAAATAATAAAAAGTTCCGCTGGCATTCACGTGGGGAGACTGCCATGGTTTACAACAGCTGGCAAGCAGCAACCACCAGTTTGGTTGACGGGGTACAGTAACCCAAATGCTTTTTCGTGACAGGTATTCAAGGCTCGGAGCCGGGACGCAAGCGGCACAATGTACATGATTGTACATGTCCATGACTGTACAGCGGAGCACAAGCCCCAAACTTCATCTAATCTGGACAATTGTCCGGATGATGATGATGGTGATGATGAACGGTCAGGATTGTTCTTCTTCCGGCTGGTTATCAACCCCAGCCGCTCGTAGAAAGCAGAAGCTGCCTTGTCCTGGCCTCCAGTAGTGCTGAAAGCAAGAGGCACAGCGGGCATGCACTCCTCACTTTGCGAACATGTTCCTGATAGAGATGATGTTACTCCACCGGGCTCCTGCTCATACATGCAGCTTCAAGTTGTATTTAAAGCGGGGATAGAGAGGACCAAACCGGCTTGAGCGAGCATGAGGGTTGACCACTGACATAATTCGAATGACGGAAAACCGTATCTGGCAAACCAGCCATGTACTAATGATGTTCCCAGGTGGAGGAGTCAACTCGAAAATGGCTGAAGTTGGACGCAGTGCTGATGTCATGAACACTGAGCTCTGGAGAGCATGCATGCTGGTGCTGGCGCATCAACTCATACATACCGGTACTACATAGTCGACTCCTAGTCATAGTGTCCCAGGAGATGGATACTGGATACTGGAGTGGAGTGGATAGCCACCCAACGGGCACACGAGAACACTACAGTAGAGAGTACTGCACAAATGGGTCAAATGCAGCTGTGTGGGAAGTGTGCGGACAGGTCCAACCATTGTGAAGATGGTCAGACAGCATTGAGAAACATGTGCTAGTCAGGAAGAGCAACTCCCTGATATTGCTTGAGTGAATGGCAGGTAACCAATTCCCTGTCGGACTGCCGTTTTCCGCCGCAGGGTCCTGGATCTCTGTAATTGTCGGCTTCCGGCAGCACTCGCATACTGGTAGTCATAGCCTCATAGGTCACTTTGGCGTGGTGGCCCTCTGCCGTCCTTGCATCTGCCCTAGTTTCCACTTTCACTATGACGATTCTCGTGCTTTCTGTACTTGACGCCATCCATTGACATCTTCTGGCCTAACTTGCGCTCGACCAATAATGTTAGTGGCACGGAGGAAAGACGCTGGGAGGAAAGACGCTGGGACTGGAAAGACGGAAACAGTACTTAAAGTGATGGCGGGGAGACAATCCCGACGCCTCCGAAACGATGTTGGAACGGGTAAAGCGAGAAGGACAGGGACAGATGTACTGCATTTGGCACATCTGAACTGCTAAAGTATTAGTTGAGGGCAACGTCTACATCATGCATGTGAGGAAAGATTAGCTTGTAGCGGAGAGCATTTGAATGCATCACGTAAATGTGCTTGTGTCCAGCTGGGTGGAAATGAGAAGGGGGGGGGGGGGGGCAGCGTGGTGATCATGGTTATAAAATAATACATCCGTTGATCCTGAGCTACACTAGTGCTCAATGTCAGAGACGGAGCTTAGTAGACCTACATAGCAGACTCAGCGGAGGTTGGTTATAAGTTAGTTGTAACTCTGAGTTTCATGCCGTTAGGCAATCATCAGACAACTGATACTCGGATCTACCCAGCAGTATTCTGATAGACATTTCCGGTACTGCTCCTTGGGTGACGGTAGAGGGATGCTCTTCAGGGAATATCCCAGTAGCATTGGCCTTGAAGCGACCATAGCTAGCGTGCAGTGTAGGGATAGAGTGCTCGACTGGGTAGAGCCAGGAGTGTGGACAAATTATTTGTCCATAGTCCTGATCTCACGGGATTTAATCCCGTGAGATCGTCGAAACAAAGGAAAGGCCGCCACATACCCAGTACTAGTACTAGATCTACACTAGGCTGCCGGTGTGACCAGGTAGATCTACACTGGGAGTAGACCTACTACAATGATTGTAGTAGGTCTGTATCGGTCATGTTGTAGATCTACTCTACTCTTTTTTCTCTTTTTTTGGCGCTTTAAAACCCAATATGTCGCATCAACATCGAGATATGCACGAACATCGTCAAAAGGAGAACATGCAGAAGAAGAAACTCTAGTCTTAGACTTAGGGCGCGTTCGAATTGTCTTCATCAACTGTTCTAACAAATTATATAAAGAGATTAGTTGAAGTGTCCCATTAGAACGGTTCTATCATTTTAGAGTTTTTCAGTGGAATTGTCATGGCGATGATGACGTCCGATCAGATCGACCACCTCCAGTGCTCCACGTACTACGTGACGTAGCTATTCCAAACTCTTCGAAACTAATCCACCTTCCCATCGGATCAGTTTCGAGGAGTTTCGAGGAGCTTCGTTTTTCTAAAGAGGCCAATAAGGCCACCTCTTCAGAAAAACGAATCTCCTCGAAAAGTCAAAGAGTGACAATTCGAACGCGCCCTTATTTGTAGTCTAGACTGATCAGAGCCTCGATACGTACGTACGAGGGTAGCGCTAAGCAGCCAAGGCTTGAAAGTGCTACGTCACAGCATAGCAACAATTTCAAAAATTCAAAATTGACAAAAATTGGATCCACTGTACTTGGATCCAGTTTTTGTATGGATCCAAGCACATTTCAAGCCGTCTTACTCACAGCAATTGCAAGATGATGTAACCAGTGAAACTGACTGATTTGGCTACTGGGGGCGGGGTTACAACTGGTGGCGAAGTAAAAGTCACCCCTGCATACGACATGAGTGGGTTGCTATGCACCCACATACTGATGCAATAGCAAAGCCACACCTTAGTGGATCCAAAATAGAAATCTGATGTCAACTTAGTACTCCCTGGCCGTTTTTGACGTCATCACTTTCAAGCCCTCAGGACTGGTGTTGGTACATGTAACACTAACAAGTAACAGTAACACTAACAGTTACATGGTGCTAGCACTAGCAGCTACAAAGAGGCCATGCATGTAGTGCCCATGGTTACAGCGATGGTTTTCAACATCTTGCCTTCAACAAAGTAAAACTAATGTTACTTACTAAAAGCCAATCAAGGCTTCATGTTGCAGTTTGCTTCCTGTTCTAGCTCTGCCATTTTCTGTTTTGTTCTTTTGAGCGTTTGTGCAATACCGATGTTATGTCCGTTTCGAGGCAGAGACAGTTTTAACTGTAAAGTTTCGAGGCGGAGAATGTTGCAAATGAGCGAGTACTAGTAGATAACTGATTGAAAGATGTTTAGTTCCACCTGTGTACTGACACTGTGGATCTTGGAGCGATAGCCGTAATGAAATGTGGGCAAAGCGGTGAAACGCGTTTCAAGAGCCGGCTCAAAAAAAGTGCATCGCGGATTGTACAATGTCATGTATGTACCCAAATACTAGTAGAACGCTACTGAGTCTGTTGATTGATTGTATAGCCTATAGGGGTGCTTGCTCGCGCAGCTTCACTTCAGCAAAACAATCGCATTAGGATCTGCATCGGCTCGTGCACGCCTGGCTCTTCCATTGTTGTTGCATTCTTTCCCGTTCTGCCAGTACAGGCTGAGAGGCAATCGGCATGCTCGTTACATGGTTATTATGCTGTTTACAGCAAACGGTCGCCCTGCCGAGCGCAATCGCTTCAAGGGGTCACGGCCTTCCAGATCGAGCATCCGTACTTCCGTTCCCAGCCGCATCGGACCGGTGCCGCGAAGATTGACCACGGAATAGGTGAATGCACAAACTGACACAGCTCCTCCAACCGTTCGAAGAATGTATACGCCTCTGCCATAGTTCTCCCTACTACTAGAAGACGCCCCTGGTCGGTGTTGGTTCCAGTTCCTCTGGTTCGTGCTCAGGGAAACCTGTGTGGATCAGAAAGAATTATCTTCGACGAAAGCGTCATCCTCATCCGGGCGGCGTTCACAGGCCACATACCTGCCTTGTCGGCCACCCCATCGCAACAATGGCGTCTTCGTCTTTGCGCCTCACAGCTCTCGGTCTACTATTGGTTTCCGTGCTGTGTCTTTTCCGACACAGCTCGGGCCAAGTTTTGGAGACGCCCACCCTGCTCGTGGATCCCATCGAGTTGAACGCGTTCTCCGCGGACGGCACCTGTCCAGCACCTCCGGGCGCCGAGGAGATGTACCAACTACCCGGGGAGGCGAACACGCGTGTGTGCAACGCCACCAGCAACCCGCCGATCAGTGTCAACACCAGCACGGCAGGAGAGTTCTGGAAATCCGGTAACGACGTGGACGACAGCTCTATCACCGTCGAATTTGTTGTGGTAAGGAGCTGATCGAGCTGGTCGAGGGGTTGGGTCATGATTAGAAAGTTACTTGTGTGAATACAATAGTGACTGATGGCCAGATGTATCACCATATGCTATGGATCACCCGCCTGTTCTGTTCTTGCTGTAAGCAATCCCAGTACCAGTTAGGTGTGTGTGTGTCTCATCATAATGGATCATTGCGTAGTTTACGCACAGGTAAAATGAGGTGGACCGACTTAGAGTGGTTCTCCAAACACACTCCAATAGGAAATCATGGTATGTCGGATTGTCCAGGAAAACTGGGAGGAGGAGGAGGAGAGAGAGAGAGAGAGATTGAGAGTAAGGCCAGTAAGGTGATCTTTTGCCGCCGTCCATGTCTCCTTCTTGAATTAAAGTAGTCTTGCAGTTGCTGGGTGCCTTTTCCGGAAGGTCTTTGCAAACACTGGCCTGGCTTGTTTCACTGTCTTGAATAGGATACATGCTGGCTGTTGCCTGCATGCAGCCTCTACTTGTAGGGCCACTCTCTCCACTCAGTGGGGTGGAAATGTAGTTGTTCTGTGGCATGTTGGATCATCTTAGGGGTTCTTCCACCGACCTGAAGTTAGTGAAGAATGGCAACTGGGCCCATGAAGTTCACCCAGCCTCTTCTTATCTGCAGCCAGTCCAGGGTAGTCCAGGGTAGTCCAGGGTAGTCCAGGGTAGTCCAGGGTAGTCCAGGGTAGTCTACATGTACTGACACTACAGCAGTAGCAGGGAAGACTGAGGTGCTGAGCATAGCTATGCTACACGGTCTATGGTCTACTGTACACAGATACATAGATACACAGATACATAGATAATCGTCTCCAGCTCTGGGAGGACAAGACGTACCATGTACCAGTACACTGAACACAGCCACACTGTTTATAGTCTGTTGTCTAGACAGGCACCTGACACTGCCCATACCTATCTTTCAATGGGGAACTGAGGCCAGAGATATGACATATGGCTATATCCACAAGAATGGAAAAAGTAGTAATAACTTATTTCCACTAAAACTCACCCAAAGGGTGCCCATGGACCAAGACTCATGAGAGAATGAGTGTAACTTGGCTCTGGACTGGGCAAATGCATGGATCATGGAAGAAGTGATAGTTGGAACTTGGAATGTACTGAACAGTTAGCGGTACTTACTCCTGTGCCTATGGGCAGGTGTGTAAGCTAGTCAACCTATAACTACATTAGAGACTCTTCACTGATATAGAAGTATTGGTTCTGAGCTGACCACACAGGGTACTGCACCACCACATTACCATGTGAAGACATTAGTCATTAGGAATTATTTACAATGTCCAAGCACTTTCAGTTGGACAGATGTATGTTCTGTGGTGCCTTTGGGTGGGTCTCCATAGTAGCTTGTTGAATGTTGTGGACCTCATGCTTACAGAGGTCAGGCACTTGAATGAAGCATGAGTCAAAGACAGTCTGCCATGCTGGAGGTGTTTCAAAGGATTGTTTCTATGGGCCACTTAACCTCATTTCACTGGCAGACCTTCACAGGCCGTCTGTGTACACTGCTTCATGCCTACTCACCGGGGCACAAGCACTGTTTTCATACCTGCAGTGCTGGATCTAGGATACTGGGTATTAAACCTCTTCACAAACATAACCTCTATGGATGCCTCAGTCCGGTACATGCTGTGCAATGGCTATTCAGCACTAGCTACCAGAACAACATACCATAGACTGAGCTACATGCGTGGAACTCTGCTTTCAAGCTACATGTAGTAACACATACATGTACATGATGAGGACGCACACTAACCACACAAGTAGCAGACCAGTGCAGTATGGTATGGCAACTACTACGTTATCATAATTATGTACTGGGATTGTGTACATGTGCCCTTGGCTCTCTCTCCTCAGAGTCTCAGTCTCCAGTGACAGTCCTGTACTAGTACAAGTACCAAATGTAGTAGTGCCTCTAAATTCTTTTCTTGCAGCCACCTTGCTTCTTTGCTGGTGTGCAGGTATAAGCCCTAAATGCAGACAGATACATGAACATGCACAGTCAGTGCCTGCTCACTGTGGTCCCCACAGCTCACAGGCAGAGGTATGCATCAAGCATGCCACTCAAGGTTGAAGTGCAATACAGTCATGTAGATCTACTTCACATGCTTCCCCTGTACATGCAGGTTAGGTACATTAGAAAGTTGATTGCTAGCTGTCATCATCTCAGTGGTCACATTCCACATTCCCCCCTGACTTGACACTAGTGCATGGCTGTGGGTTTCAAGTCACAGTTTGAAGGACATTCTGCCAGGCCTGTGCGATCTGCAGGACATTCCGGAAACTGACTTTCTGATAGTGAAAAGGATCACTTTGATCGTACTTGTGGCTTGCCTGAGCAGGTGGCCTGTTTTATGACAAGGGAAACTTCCCATGTCAGTCGACCAGCTTTCCCACATGGGAAAGTCCCCCTGGCAAATACTGGTTCTCTGCTCTTGCTTACAAGCACACACGATCTTACGTGGAAAGGTCCAGACCGGAAACGATGTACACATGTGATGCTGTTTGCAAATATGGCTACTGTAAACAATGCAAGTAGCGGATGCCCCCCCCCCCCCCCCTCATGAAGAAGGATGAGTTCATATGATTCGCACAAAACATCTTTGAGGAAAAGGAGAGATGGAAGTGGTCAACGTTGTTTTTCCGCATGTACATGTATGACGATGGTACCGTAACTGCCACCTGCAAGTATGGCGAGGGCGCTGTAAATAATTAGCTCTGATGTGATGTATGATATGCAACATACGAGTGTGTTGTACATGACAATATTCATCATGATGCGATCACAGTTTGAGCATTTTGCATGCTTGTTTGCTTGCTTTCATAATCATCTCCAAACTGGTCAGTGTGCTGTACCCTGTGGTTGATCTACAGCCATTCGTGGTGAACTTTGTGCAAGTCACCTTCCTATCACCAATGCCCAGTGCACTGGTGCTGAGCGGCGAGTTCCAAACCGGAGTGTTCCGTCCGTTCATGTACATCGTCAGTGACGTGGCACAATGTCAACAGCTCTTCGGTGTGGACCCGGCGTCAAATCTGCTGCCCGACTTCAGCAACATTGCTGATCCGTTCTGCCAGACGTTCCTGGACATCAATCCCAACTCTCAGCAGGTAGGTCAATTCGTGGGCTTGCATGCAAGGCCACGAGTTATACATGCATCTGTTTGGCAGTTTACTGCGGCCAGACCCAAGAATGCATGTGTAATAGATCACCGAGTGTTATAGGGAGGCACACACAAAAGACTGACAAATGCGTTCTTCGGCTCAATCTCCCTGAAGTTATGCTTTACCTATACAACTGCTCCGGCTCAATCTGCCAGGAGGGACAGGAGGGACAGGAGGGACTGTGAAAGGAACTTGATACAGCAGTAGCTTATGTACACAGTAGACACTAGACGTTACAGGCTAAGTAAAGAAAAAGCTGCAATTGAGAATCATTCAGCAGGTTGTATTATGCAATGCAGCTTTGAAATGTACTACACGTATTTGGGTGAGTATTGCCGTGCAGCGAGTTCAATGTACTTACTGCACTGCAGTGAGTACAATGCGTCAACATGTTACAGTTCACCAGTTCGTGAACCGTATGCTGAGGCGTACAAATAATCTTGGTTGGCTCCAGAAATTTCGCAACACGAGCAACAGTTACGTACTAGCAAGGCAAGGATATTACACATGCTGTACAGACTATTCACATTGTGATGTTATACCGGGTGGGAGGGATGGGGGGGGGGGGGGTATACCGGCCCATGGTAAGGTAGGACGGAAGAGGGGAAGGAGGGGAAGGTCTATTTTACATTTTATTATTGGCTCAGTATCCGAGTTAACTGATTCAGTTTCTTTTTAAGAAAATCACTGGAGAATCGAAGTTGTGTTCTTTCTGGAGAAATCTTTTATCTTCTACGTGTCAGCTTGGTATACCCAGATTTGATCATCAGTGTTTGACTTCCCTTCTACTTTGCTGGAGATCTTGAAATGTCCTCCTGTCTTGTGGGTGTTACTGCTGTGCACAGACATTTGAACTACGGTTGTTCAACGAGAGAATTACTCTTAACGGATCCGCTCGTATCAACCCGCGTCAGAATCCAGCTGTGATCGTGAGTTGCCGATAGATCTCTTGGACGGCACAAGTGTTTGCAATGCACCGGTGTGCGGCATGTTTAGCGCAATACTCATTACCGGGTATTCTTACGTTGAGTAGTACTGCATTGTATAAGCATGGTCCAAATAATTGCAGATAGTGCAGTAGGTAGAAGTGCATGAATATATTGTGCTCTTGCGCATGCCGACGTCACCTGATCAGTATGGCCAATTACTATAAACAGTCCATTGAATGCGGTACATGAGACTGTAGCCAGGCATGGCACGACTAAAGGGATGAAGGTGGGTAGACAAGCTAGGAACCACAGCGTTAGAAGGGTGAAGAAAAGTTTAAAAACAAAAGTGCCGATTCCGAAAGCCAGGTATACCATGGTTCTCGTGGAGCATCATTGATTGCATGTATGATCTCCTGTTGCTAGCCGTTCCGTTGGAGTGGTGTGCATGTATGCATGCATGCAAGCCTGTCATGTTTGACGCCCATTTCCCCTTACTGTCACATGTGCTGTCATGGTTGAGCTGGACATTTCTTTCATAATATCATCTCAGTGTCTCTGTTTGATCCTGCTTCTTTGCAGAACTTCTTCTCGGCAGGCCAGATCCGCCTGAACTTCTCCTCATTTGCAGATCCAGTCTTCGTAAGTAGTATACACATGGCATATAAAGTGAAATACATTGACCCGTGCATGCCACGGTGCACCATGGTCAGCAGACTCAGCACACATATGTACGAATGGGAAGAGCATGCCGGAGCAGCATGTTCAACACCGTGATTTGCAAAGTAGCATTGGCATTCAGTTAACCCGACATGGACTTCCTAGATCAAGTTGTCATTATTCTCCCCCCCCCCCCCCTCTCATCTCTCTCTCTCTCTCTCTCTCTCTCTCTCTCTCTCTCTCTCTCTCTCTCTCTCCCTCTCCACCTCTCTTTGGATAACCCGTCATTTGGTGTTTTTGTTTGTTTACTGTAGCCATATGTGGCAGTGGAGCAGATCCAGGTTGGTGGCCACTGTATTTGCAATGGCCATGCTACTGTGTGCAGCCTCCTGCCCGGCACAGAGGGAAATATCATGTGCGACTGCCAACCACAGCGCTTCACGCAGGGTCTGCGCTGCGAGGAGTGCCAGCCACTGTATAACCAGCAACTATTCCGAACGGACGCACCATGTGAACGTAAGTCCTCTTACATCTCCTACTGCTGCAAGGATGCTTGTGTACTTGTATTGCATTGTGATGTTCTGCACTTTTAAAATCACAAAAGGCAGCTCAATCATCAGTGAGCCATGCTTATCGAGCACAACAGCGAACAAACCTCTTTATTCCCTGATGGAGGCCCGTTCCCGCACACACACAGCAATGCAACCAGTAGTGAGGCAGGATACGCAGTCATTGAACATTTTCAATATATCTATAATTATGTACTTATGCAAGCAACAGCATATAGCCAGCAGAGCAATGTGTCACGATCGTGAGCACGACGACACTGTACCACGATCAGGCCTGGGACAACTCCATCTCCTGGATCGTTGCGAGCGCCTCATCTGCCTGTGCCGCTGTCATTGCCGCCCAGTCAGTCGCATTGTCCACCGACAAAGACGTCGCCCTCTCGGCTGGCTTTGGCTGACCGCCCTTGGCACTCACCACTAGGGCGGTGCAGTCCTTCCTTCATCCGGTGCCCAACTGAGCGACACCGCCAACAGATCGGCTCCTTCGGTCTTTGTTGGACCGGCTTCGCCTTCTTGGCGGGCGGCTCCACAACCTCCGGACGATCAGGTTCCTGGTCCGGCTGGCATCCCGTGGAGTGCCAGAACGCACCACTGGCCTTGTCAAACTCCTGTAGTGCCGCCGCCTGGCGACGCAACTGCTGTGCCGCGGCCCTGCGATGCACGGCATCCAGCGCGTTCGCTCGCCTGGTGGAGATCCTTCCTCTTTCTAGGAATGGTGAACTTGTTTGCCTCAGTCCTACCAGCCATCCTGGTCACAGCACCACTTGTCACAATCGGGGGTCCGGTTAGTCTCGCCCTATGGCTATGTCGTCTCTAACCCTCGGAACGTTTTCTGACAAGCATAGTCACGGCCGGAAGAGCACACCTTCACCCGGTCCTAACCCAAGACACACTGAACCAACTGGTCTTGTCAAAGCAGAGAATGTTCACTTGTCAGGAGAAGAGCAGCAAGAGATCTCTTCGCTAGAAGCAGCAGCATGATATCACCCAATATCTGAGAAAATAGACCTTCGGGCTATTTTAGTGAAATTGATTTTTATTGCAAAATGATGTCTAGACTTTATAGAGTAATGTGACATCGTTTTACGACCATCCGACAAAGATTGCCCATGTAGCAATGCGTTTTATGGTTATGAGTCATGTTAGTGAATTGTGCATTTTTGCAATGATTTTGAAAGATCAGTATGATTGCCACTACCAAAAAAATTGTTTCCGTGTGATAACAATAGCAAACTGTAGTAGAGTGTTTAGGTACTTCTTTTCCAGCATCCACGTACATGTACATGTAAGTTTTTATTGGTTGTGCAGTGAGGCAGCACAAACTCAAAAGTTACAGCACGTTACTTGCGATCGCACAGCCTCATGTGCTCCGTGACATCTGGTTCGCCAAGCCTACCTACAGCATAGAGCTTGCCATCCGAACCATTTGGCGATCATCGTCGCCAAGATAAACCCGCATAATTTCGTGCTGTTTTCAGCAGGTCTGGCAGGACACTCGGGAAACAGTTCTGCCACCCGCGCAAGGGCGGCAAGCAACCCTGCAAGCGACGTGTCCTCAAGAATCCACCTGCTTGTCCTTGCGTGGAGTTGTAGCAGCTATCGCTGAGGGAGACTGCGCTTGGTGTTGATCACACTCATCCAGGCCAAGTCCTCTTCATCGTCGCCCCTGACAGGCACCGCGTGTCACCTGTCATTGATTTACCTGAGCTGCGCTCTCAGAACTAGAAATGCTGTCGCCGCTTGACAGGATACCCACACAGAATGGTGCATCATGATCTTTGTGATCGTGGTTGCTGTCCTCTGTGAACCCTATAACCAACTGATGCAAGAATCGCCTACAATTTCCTTCCGCCATTGTCGTTTTTGCAGTTTGCTTTGATAGAATCAATTTTTTGCGATCAAATTTGTTTTTCGCTTTTTCTTAAAAAAACACTTAGTCCCGAAGGTCGAAAAATCTCAGATACCGGGCCATATGATATAGTACATTGTAGAGACAGCGAGCAACGGCATACTTGCCAACCATACCGGTTTTCCCGGTATACTACCGGAAAACTAGGGTAGTTACCGGCATACCGGGATTTTTGACATTGGTCGAAAAACTACCGGGATTAGCACTGAGCCATGAGTGTTCAAAAAAGAGGTGTTGTGGTGTGACAAGGGCACATGCGGCCCTGCATTCACAGAATCACACATGTAGGGGCGATCTGATAAGGAGGAAACTCAGGTCACAGTTTGGTCCCCCATTCTTAGGGTAACTCCATAAACCTGTACTTTCTGCTTGTATTCTGAAAAAGAAAGAAAAAAATGCGCAAAGAATACGCCAAGAATACTAAAAAATGCACACAAAAAAGAGAAAACGGCCGAAATTGGCGAAAACCAGCAAAATAAGGGAAATGGGAGGAAATTAAGGGAAACTGGGTGTGCGACTAAGGGATTTGCTTTGGCTGGGTTGGCAAGTATGCAATATATTTGCGGAACATGCAGCTGAACTGCAACTTTGTCCGCTACGCGGAACGGCGATCGGCCACGCACGCCTGTGTGATCTAGCAGCGGCTGTTGTCATGATAAGATATGCAAAGTGTGAACGACCATTAAACGGGGCAAGCCCAGACCCGGCGTCTGGACCGCAATACACGTGATTAAAAGCATAGCCAGCCAATGGTCTGGCAAAATCACATGTGAAAAATTCTTCAAATCAAGCATTGGTGTGTTCGGCAGTCAACCACATACTGTAGCGTCGTGATAGTCTAGTACTGTGTACATGTGGGCAGGCTGCTACGTGTGCTGTTGCATCTGTTGTAACTGAATCAGTGTGCAATGTATGCGTTTTTTTGCCGTCTGTTCCCAGAATGCCAGTGTTACGGACATGCCAGTTCATGTGTGTACGATCCGAACGTCGTGGGACAAAGTATCAATATCAACGGTGTCCTTTCGGGTGGTGGATTCTGTCAAGGGTGCCAGGTTGGTGTTAAAATTGAAAAATACAGTGCACTGTATGTGTTCTGCATGAATCGGTAGTTCCGCAATAGTCCCAGCGGTACTGACTGGCATGACCCCTCCTAGCCGAGGACACACTTTGAGGATAGGACATAATTCACACTACAAAGAGGAAACGGAGTAAAATAGCTGAAACGAAGATGTTTAGGTTTCATACTCTTTGTTCTGTCATTGCAGGGTTCCACTACTGGTGTCAACTGTGAGCAGTGCATTCCTCAATTCTATCATCCAGGAGTACCAGTCAATCTGACCACTGATTGTGTTGGTGAGTGACTTGACCATAGCATCGGCTTTTAAAAGAAGAGTGGCTGCTGACGAGTTTTGTTCCTGTGCTATCTCGACCCAAATTGCCTATGCCAATGCTCCTGACAACTCCGGGATTACTGTGTTTGTGTTTCCTGCATGCAGCGTGCAACTGCAACACCGCTGGTCAAATGTTCGCATCTGGTAACTGCACCGATGGAGTGAGTTATTTGATATGCTCTGCTCGCATTCTGATGTGTGCTATCATAGATTCCATTGCACATCGAGAATATTTTGTTTGTTATGATTATGATTAACAACATATGCCATGCCGTTACTCAATCTCCGCATGCCATCTTGATACTCAATCTCTGACTCCGGACAGCTAACTGTCGTGCCATCTTGTTAGATGGTAGATGTGCATGTACTGGTCACATTGGTGTTCTGCAGCAGGTACTTGTTACGTTTAGCCAGCCTGTGACCTTAGTGCTTGCCCTCCGTTCCGCTTCCTGCTTGCTGTCTCTTTGATGACTCGTTTCCTTCTTCTTCCTCTTCTCCTAGACGGGTGTGTGTATAAATTGCAAGCAGTTTGTCACTGGTGACCAATGTCAACTATGTACAAACAACTTCTTCAACTTGCAAGCCAGCAATGCAGATGGATGCGAACGTGAGTTTCCGCAGCTCAGCTCTGTGTTTAAAACGATGCACTACCACCAGCTGCATTTGCTCGTCATAATGCAAATGAGTAGATGTCCTTGTTACTGAATCATCGGTAACCAGCTGAACAAGCTCAAACACTGGGCCAATGTCACTACTACACCATCCCTGTCTGCTTACAGGTCCCGGCGTTGTCAAAGTACCAAGTTATATGCCTTCTGCATGTTGTGCTGTGCTTGGTATCATGCAGCCTGCAACTGTTTTGAACCCGGAACAACCACTGGCCAGGCGTGCGACATGGTAAGCATTACAGTCAGTGGAGCAACTACTGTACATCCACATTGCCTGGCAAGCCTCACAGTCTTGTACTAGGCCAGTGAGTCGAGCAATACGGGTCGCTACTGTCACATGAGTTTTAAATAAGACAGAAGCATCTTACCAACCTACCATTTGTGCCAATGCATTCTAGTTGCCCTGACGATCTTTGCCCAGTATTACATGGTGAATACGCCTATGCATGTTGCCTGTACTGGCTGCATGCTAGTGGGCAGCATGACATGTTGTTGCTGCTGCTGTTGTTTGAAATCTTTATTGTTAGGATGGCCAGTGGCCAATAAGAGATTTGTTGTTGCCGTTGTTGTCGTTGTTTTGGTTGTAATTGCAGACCAGTGGACAATGTAACTGCAAGGCCAACGTGAATGGCCGCACGTGCAACATGTGCAACGAGACGTTCTTCGGCCTGGACGCTAACAACGTGGATGGGTGCATGCCGTGTGAATGCAACCCCCTGGGCAGTTCCAGCGACGTGTGTGACATGGACACGGGTGACTGTGTGTGTACCAGCACTAACATCACCGGCAGACAGTGTGACAGATGTATTGTAAGTGAAGTGTGCGTTTTGCTGATGTGCCGGCCAGCATGCTAGAGCCATGCAGGTACATGCATGTGCAGAACTCTGCACTGGTCCAGTATAGGAATGGCCAGGGTGGAGAAGAAAACGGGCGCCTCCCAGGACTTGAAGCATGTCATTTATGCGTGGTAAGGGGAACGGGTCAAAAGGAGAGGGAGAAAGGAATAACTAAAAAGCCATTGAAGCAAGGCCGCACTTGGGTTATAAAGCGCTACCTAACCTGAGGTCTTTCTGGCTGGATGCGATCCAGCCAGAAAGACAACAAGACCATCCATTACAGACCTGTGGTCAGGGCGAGTCTAGGCAACATATTGAGGAGCGCCAGCAGGAAGTGACTGACAGTGACCAAAAAACAGGAGAGCAGTGATAATGAGTAGTAGCAATTATCTGAACACACAGTTCTGTCTTCTAGAAACGTACCTATAAGTACTACGGTGCATGCAGAATCATCACAGGAGTATTACGTGTGTACATGATTGTATTTGTTACACAACATTGCCTCTGCTAAATAGCTTACCATCACTCACTGATGTGTGTGCTGGTCTTGATGTTGTGTCACTGTTCTCTTGCTCTTCAGGAAACATCCTTCAACTTCCCGACCTGTAGTGATTGCGAATGCTTCCTGGCCGGGCAAGTGGACCGGACCAATCGCTGTGACAACATGACGGTAAAGGGACATACAACCCCCCCCCCCCCCCACCCACCCACCCACACACACACACACCACAAAGGTCCATGTCAATTTCTGCAGTAGCAAACGCTTATTATTCTCTGCTAGCTGCTGCACATGAAATCCTTCATGGCTGATGAATCGCTGATGATGAAAGATTTTTGTATTGCTGTTGTGCCAAAAGATAATGAGTTTCCAGACGATAGGCTCTTAGACTAAAGTACCAGAGTACCAGTGTGCTGTGGAAATCTCCTGTGTTGAATTCACTGTAGGGTGTGTGCATCAACTGCAAGCAGAACGTAGATCCATCCAACAAGTGCGAAATGTGCAGCGACAACTTCTACGACCTCCTCGACTCCGACCCACTGGGATGCAAAGGTAAGTGGGACCGGCCTGCATGTAAACCTGTTGAACCGGCCTGCATGTAAGCCTGTTGAACCGGCCTGCACGTGAACCTGTTGAACCGGCCTGCATGTAAACCTGTTGAACCGGCCTGCATGTAAACCTGCTACCCAGTAGGGAATGTGTGTGGACCTGATAACATATTATTATGCTGCTTATAAAAAATATAAAAAATAAAAAAATTCGACGGGTTTGCGTACCGGGCAGGTCAAGAACAAGGAGTCGTACAACTCCCTGGTCAAGAACCACCTTTCCGCTTCCGTGGGACGCCACCACCCCATGATCTGGCGTCAGATGCTTATGCCGTGCTCAATAGCAGGATTTTGCACTGAAACCCATAATAGCCTTCGCAATTACTACAGCAGGAGCGGCGGAAGCAGTTTGTGATTGGTCCGGCCATACCATAGCCTTTCATACATTGCGTATGATATGGAGGATACCGGTAAACACATGACCTCCTTAGCAGTAAACACACGTTGGCGGGCAAAAGGTTGGTCCGGCCGTGGCCAGACCAACTGGACCGGTTCCACCGGGCCTGTGTAGGTGCAGAGTGCACTTCAGTCCAATGCCTTCCCTAGAGCATTGTGTGTGTGTGTGTGTGCGTGCGTGCGTGCGTGCGCGCGCACGTGCATGTGTATGTGTGTGTATGTGTGTAAGTGAGATTCCTGGGCGCACACCACCCTAAAGAAGATGCAGCACTGCACTTCAGCATTCGGAAGACGGTTGCTAAGTGTGATATCTGAACTGAAGCCGCGTCACTACTACCCGGCGAGGAGTTGATCACTACCTGGGTCAATGTTGCTGCATATGATCTACTCTACAATACGTGTACATGTACCGACAAACCTGAGTACATGTACCGACAAACCTGAGTTTAGTGAACACCCGACCCGGGGTGAACGGAGAGCTGGTCTTTATAGACAGGTGTTATTTCTATACAGTTCGGAATGCATGTTGAAGCATTGTATGTGCCGGGGATACCCGGTCTCATAAATACGGTTGGTCTGTTATAGCAATGGCTGTTTACCAGAGCTTGTACTGGACATGTGTGTGTTTGGATGTGTATGGGTGTGCGTGTGCGTATGGGTGTGTTCGTTGTTTTCACTTTGTTTGGTCCAGCTTGTGACTGTAATCCTCAAGGCACCACATCGGGCACTGTCTGCGACAAGGTATGTGCCCCTCCCCCGCCCTGGCCTTCAACACTCTTCTGCCTAAAAATAAGCCATCCATTAGTTGATTTTGTCTGTTGGTCCTCACAGGATGCATATTATAGGGTAGTCTGTAACTATGTCCTCGTAACTCTGACATGGTCACTTCATTTCATTCCTTGCCTTCACTATACTGGTGAAGCAGGTAATTCTGCATACCTTGTCATCACTGACCAAGCAGACACAGTGGGTTGGTCAAAGAGTCCATGATTGAGACACGAGAGGTACCTGGTTCAAGCCCTGCCTGGGAGCGGTTTTCCAGCCGTGCTGCTACCCACAGTCAACTGAGAACTTGTGGCCCGGCACAAGGGGTACATGGGTGCGGCTAATTGGGTTTCTCGGCACTTGTGCCAGTGGTTGTGAGACTTATCCACTCACCCCCACCGTTAGGCGCTTCATCTGCCGCTAGGGTTTACCGGGTGTGTTCGGGAGCGGACACGATAATTTACTTTTTATCATCACTGTCCATGGTGGAAAGAGAGTGTTTTGCTGTTGTTTTTTGGGTTTTTTCAACATGCCCTGCTTCCTGTGTTCATTGTATCACTGTTGTGCTTGTTACCAGATCAGTGGTCAGTGTGTGTGCAAAGCAAACGTCATCGGCCGTCAGTGTGACATGTGCGCTGATAACTTCACCATGTTCGACAGTGATCCCATCACCGGATGCAGTCGTAAGTCGGATTTTAAAACTGCCAGCTCTCTGGGCAGCCGCTAACAGTTTGTTACAAACATACCGAGTGCACACTTACCAATCATGTAACTCACACACTGTTGCCACCCTTCTATGCGGCTCATGCCCATGCCCGGTTCACCATTCCATTCTGCCAACCCCATCATTGACGAATCTGAAATACTTATGGCGTAAGTCAAATTGCCTTCACGCACGCATGATTCTGCTGCCACTTACCAAGTCCCCCGCACGAGTCCGGCAAACCTGGCCTTAATCCGGCAAACCTGGCTACAGTCCTGCGAACCTGGCTACAATCCGTCTACTGAGAGGCGCTTGCCTTGGTGCTTGTGTCTTTTCTGTTTTCTGTTTCGCCGCACAGCATGTAACTGTGATCCCCAGGGCAGTGTTTCACCAGTGTGCAACAAGAACAATGGTATCTGCAGCTGTTTTCCGAATATATTCAACGACAAGTGCACCGCTTGTGTGGTAAGTCTTGTACTAAGTCTTGCCGCCTAGTCTACAGTGAATTGATCATAAACATTCCGTAGGAATGCCCAACTGACTGTTGGTATTGCGTATTGAGATCCTGGTACGTATGCTCGTAAAGGCAACAGATGTGCAGGTTAAACCTGGCTTCATCAACCAGCCATGGGACCAGCTTATTGCGGTCTTGGAACGCAGGTGACCTCTGAAACCAGGTTGACCTTTGCATATTCCAAACATTTTATGCTGAAGAATGGTGGTCTTATAGCCCAGGTTGATTAATATGGTGGTAAAGACACACCTGGCAATATAGCCGTGAATACACGCCTGCTCACACACGCTCTCGAGGCTGCAAAGTTCTGGCACAGAGCTCAATATGGATGTGCTGTTTGTTGTGGATTCACAGGGTAATTTTGCCTTAACGCATGCTCCGTACGCGGAGGCATACACGACCCACACACAGACACAGCAGTAGTTGGTTGGCACCACAGGGTAACTGGGCGAAGGAGCTGGCAGTGTGTAACCATGGAGGCGGCCGACCCGACAGAGGCGGGGACCGAGAGTGAGACCGAAATGGCGGCTGACCTGCCAAGGGCAGTAACCGAATAGAGTGATTCGGAGTGAGACCGAAATGGCGGCTGACCTGCCAAGGGCAGTAACCGAATAGAGTGATTCGGGAGAGTAGAGAGAATGCTGCCAGCTACTGAGAGTTCAGTGCCCAATCCCTGCTTGTTTTTGTTTAGAAGAGTGAGTTTGGAAGACGAATGAGGTTAGTAGTATAAGCGGGGTGCTACAGAATGAGAATTGTAACACAATGAAGTCGGTGTGGGTGGGTGGGTGAAAACACGGAGCAAGAGTCATGCGAGCCAATGCAACTAACAAAGAGAGCCAGGCACGAAGGCTGCTGAAGGGTGTACGTATGCAAAGCGAGCTGCTGGGAGAGTTTGCGCATGCGCACAACGGCGCATCCGTGAGCTGGCGCGAACCCGCGCGTGATAGACATCAGCATACAGTGAAAACATTACGTCACCGCGTTAACATACTTTAGCTACGCAAAACTTGCATTAACGCATGCTCCGTACGCGGAGGCATACACGACCCACACACAGACACAGCAGTAGTTGGTTGGCACCACAGGGTAACTGGGCGAAGGAGCTGGCAGTGTGTAACCATGGAGGCGGCCGACCCGACAGAGGCGGGGACCGAGAGTGAGACCGAAATGGCGGCTGACCTGCCAAGGGCAGTAACCGAATAGAGTGATTCGGAGTGAGACCGAAATGGCGGCTGACCTGCCAAGGGCAGTAACCGAATAGAGTGATTCGGGAGAGTAGAGAGAATGCTGCCAGCTACTGAGAGTTCAGTGCCCAAGCTAGTTACCCTGGTGGGCCAACCAAATAAGTCAGTGCTCAGAAATAACGCGAGCATTGAACGAGGAGTATAGCAGGAGCTGCTAGCAGTCAAGAAATCTAGGTACCGATAGCGGTACTGAGAGTTGGTATGTATACCGGAGGAGACATTCGTCAAGGTGCAGCGCTACTGGTCAGTCACTCACTGTGGCTAGCTTCTCTGATACTAGCCGCACCTCGGATGGCTCAACACGGATATAGCGCAGCACGGCGTCGCTGCGCCATCGCCCCATATGGCGGATCACGTGCTCTGGTACGCCTGCGATAGCTGCAGACGTGGCTGCTCCGATCCGGAATGAGTGGCTGGCATAGCTGGACGGATCTGTAATCCCACAAAGCGGTAGGAGGGTCCGCACCTCCCTCGTGACGTCCGCTCGTGTCAGAGGCTGGCCATTGTGGTAGACGAGCAGCTGATCTCTAGGAGATTGGGACTCTGCCGACACTGCCGTCAGGTACCGCACCATCGCCGTAACAGGGCAGCTGATGACATCGGTACAGCCGCCCACGTGGACTACCGTGCCCCTACCGTCCGGGTCCGTGTTTGATTGCAGCAGCGTGATGGTGATACGAAATGATTGTTGGTCCAGGGCCACGTTGCCGAACGTCAACGAGGTGAGCTCACACCACAGCGCAGGAAGCCATAAAAGGCCAGGGTGAAGGCACACTGCAGCATTGCCTGGTCAACTGCGTGCCGCATGGAGGAAACTTGGAGGCGTTGGCAGAGTTGCCGGAGGATGGGCGTTGTGATAGGCAAACGAGGGCGGCCAGATCCCGACGAACGGGCTATGCCTCTTAACACTCGTGACAGCAGGGACGTCGGCTGATTCGGGTACTCGAGGCCCATTTCGACGTGTAAGTTCCAGATGGCTGACATATATGTGCGAACCGAGGCCGGCCGCAGTGTGCGCATGAGGAGGGCTGCGTAGTAGCACAGTGGAACGTCGCTTCCAGGCAGGGCCACAACGCCATGCTGCTGACAGAAATCCAGGTACCGCCGCTCTGAAGCTGAGTATGTCCTCCTGGATGACGGTGCTATTGCCAGAGAGAACCTTGTGCTTTGGAAGGTTGCTTGTTGCACGGTCAAGGTCGTACAGGCGCCTCAGGAAGGTACGACCGACAGGAATAGCCCGGGCCGCGAACGAGAGATTGCCCAACACGGAGGCGAGTTCGCGCCGGGACGCCATGCCTGATTGAAGGAGGCCGTTGACTTTGCCGAGATACGCCCCATGTTTGGCGGACGGTAGCCGGATCTCAAACGTCAGCGAATCCAGCTCCAGGCCGAGGAAGGTGAGACATGTGGATGGGCCTTCGACTTTCTCAGAGGCCACCGGTATCTGCAAATAGCGGAGCATGTCTAAGATATGTGAGCGATGATGTTCCGCAACGGGCAGGTGGGGCGGACTAACGTTCAGAAAGTCGTCCAGGTAGGGGAGTAATTGGCTTAGGTGGCATGCATCCTCGAGAATAAACTGGACGGCTGTGGCGAATTTATCGAATATGTATGGTGCAGAACGCAATCCAAATGGTAGCACTTCGTCATGATAGAATTGTCCCTGCCAGAAGATGCCCAGAAAAGGCCAGTCACAGGGAGCAACAGGACAGAGACGGAATGCATTCCTGTCGACCTTCGTCAAAAGAGCGACACACCCTGCCTGCATGATCAGAGAGATAGCTGTATCGACAGTTTCGTACTGCAGGCTGAATTCATCCCGAGATATACCGTCATTCACACTCGAGCCGGCAGGGGGCGAGAGGTCGTGGATGATACGCAGTTTGCCATCAGACTTCGGGATAGCACCCAAACCAGAAATATGCATGTGAGGGAATGGCGGAGATGCAAATGGGCCCGCAGTTTCTCCGCGGTCACAACAGTTAAGCAGATGAGTAGTAACCTCAGCAGGGCAAGCACAAGCCGAAGAGTGATTAGGAGACATAACAGAAGATGCAATGGGGCGAAAGCTGCCAATACGAAAGCCATACTGCATGCCTTGTGAACCATAAGAGCGAAATACTGCATTTGGATGAGGAGAGGGAAGATTGATAAAGCGCTGAACATGAACAGGCGTGCTAGTGGGCACCTGTAAAGCAGCGTCACCACTGGGGTGAGAGTTACTTCTTGGTCGAGTCACCAGACTTGGAGCATTGGCGTGCGGGGTGACGGCCGCGGCACTGGATGCAGACGTGTGCTCTGGAGCAGGGGGAGAGCAAGCAGCTGCCGAAGTTGAAATTACGACAGATGGCTTTGCCGTCAAAGCCAGGCTGGTGCGAGAACTGGCTCCCCGTAGGCGCTGTTGGGGCTGGGAGCCCCCCACGAAAGGGGCAGCTGCTGGGCTGACTTGGATGGACCATGGAGCAACGCTGGCACGGAGGCCGCCCACGGCCCGTGAGACAAGACTGCCACAGGTTTGGGTCAATGACGGACCAGGAATAGCGGTGAGGGAGGGACGCCGTGGCCATACGGAATTTGCGGTCGTAGGACAGCCAGGCATCATTGTGGAACCGGACGTTGGCATCGACAATGATGGCCTGATACGCCCAGAGATCACCTGCCAGCTGTGGTGAGGCGTCGGCCAGCACCCTCGAGTATGTGGTGAACGCTTCCACCCATGTGGCAAGATCATAGATGTGTCGTTTGGCGGGTTGCCGGTGGGAAGATTTGGGGACGAGCTGCACAGATCGGCCCGCGCCCACGTCGAGTTGCATCACATCATGATCCCCCTCGAAGCCCAGGGATTCAGGCAGCAAATCGCTTAATTCTGTGAACTCACCTCGCACAATCCGGTCTCGAAGGCGAGGCGGCACCACGGGGAGGTCTCCAGATGACGGCCACTGTTGTGTCGGGTGGCTGACAGCCGGTACTGATACTGGTAAAACCGGCGCTGCAGTGGCGATTGATCCGGCAGCACAAAGCGAGGCCCCGCTGAACGTCGGAACATGAGCGAGTCCCGAGTTTACGCCAGTTCCTGGGCCGGCGAGTTGGGCTGCGCCAGCCTGCTCCAGCAGGGTAACCTTGTCGGCCAGAGGCTGAATAGCAACAGCCACGGCGGCGGAGATCTGGCTCGCCAGCGTGGGCTGGGGTGGGTGGCCGGCCGGCATTGACTGAGACGGAGGCACTTGGCCAGGTAGAGCCGAAGCACGAGGAGCACGAGGCGGCGCGAGGTTCTGGGCCGGGGCTCTGGCCTGGGTGGTTCCAGGAGCAGGGGAGGATGTTGCTCTAGCGTAGGGGCTAGAAGATGACCTGGCGGACCTGCGCGACATCTCTTGCCTCAGCGTGGGAAAATTTGAGAAAATTTGAGTAAACCACTCCGCGGATACAGCACTCAGAATTCCAGCCCGCCCAGGGACTGGACACCACAACTAGGCAACAAGAGACCGAAACGACGATGTCACCTTGTACAAGGAAGTCTGAACAGAACTGAAGAACTCCGGAGTTTGAAAACACGGAGCAAGAGTCATGCGAGCCAATGCAACTAACAAAGAGAGCCAGGCACGAAGGCTGCTGAAGGGTGTACGTATGCAAAGCGAGCTGCTGGGAGAGTTTGCGCATGCGCACAACGGCGCATCCGTGAGCTGGCGCGAACCCGCGCGTGATAGACATCAGCATACAGTGAAAACATTACGTCACCGCGTTAACATACTTTAGCTACGCAAAACTTGCAGTATCCCTACTTCTATTGCTCAATTTTCCAAATTGCGTAGGTAATAGTTGTCCCTATATATGGTTTGTGCTGTGTTTCTCCCTAGCCAATGTTCCATTCTTTCCCAACATGCACACCCTGTGACTGTGTGACGGCTGGTCAGTCAGGCCCACTTGGTGTCTGTGTTCAGGTGAGTTCAGTGCTGCATTGTGTCATGCCTGCATCGCTGGGTGCATACACGTGGTAACGTTTGTCACTTACCATAGTAGGTCATGGGAGCAACCATGTCAGTACGATATTGTCCGGTGCAGATTCTGTGAGATTCTGGGGGAGAGGGGCTCTTGGCATTGCATGTGTATTATTCAGGTCTACCTACTGTAGGTAGACCTGACTTGTGCTGTGCATGCTGTACTGTGCTGTAGCTCTTTGAATGTGTCCACTCAGGTTGCTTTGGATATACGCTGGCTTATTTGTCACTTAGCCGAATAATTTGCCTTTGCTACTGTTGTGCGACTGCATTGTCATGCCACTGTTTGTATCCATTGTGCCACTGGCTGTATCCATTGTGCCACTGGCTGTATCCATTGTGCCACTGGCTGTATGTGCGTCCGCAGGAAACTGTTGGCATGTCTCAAGCTGGAGACTGTGCGCCGTGCAAGACAAACATTGCGCTGGATGCACTGCGCTGTGAGCGCTGCAACGACGTCAGCTTCAACCTACAGGCAGCCAATCAAGACGGTTGTGAATGTAAGTATCTGTATTCGGTGTGATGGTGATTGGCATGGGAGGGGGGGGGGGGGGCACATACATGTACAATTGTCATGGAGGCAGGTACTAGCACCTACAGCGATGCGGACAACTGATGTCCTGCAGATAGTGAGGTCCGAACCATCAGCGCCGCAGAGGCGGAGGGGCAGCGGTGGCAATAGACATTCCTCACGAAGTCCTAGCTCCGCGGCAAGTGGCAAGAAGAGGAGGCTCACAGCTGCGCCAGTGTCAACAAGAAACTTAACAGTACGACCATTGAGAGTACCCAGGATCATCATGTCCGGGGACGGCGGAGTGAGACCTGGCGAAGCGTGCGTCATGAGGGAGGGACCATCACGTGGTGGACCGGAGGCGTGGATCGTCGCTCCGGTCAGTGACCGTTTCCCGAGGGATAGCGAGGAGCAGACTTAGGTGGATTCCAAGCATTCTCACGCGGGTATTCCGGGACAGGTGGCGGATGTCAATCAGCCCTGCGGTGACCGGGGCGGCCACAGCTCCAGCACCCACTCGGCGCGCGGGTGGAAGACTGGGAGTGGGGACGGCTGTCCCGTGGAGGTCGAGGGCCTGCGGAGGGCATGGCAAGGCGGTCAATTTTGCTATTCAGCGACCCAATTGCAGCGGCTAGTGCGGACGGGATTGGCTGCAGGCTGCGCAGCATGAAGTGAGCCAGGAGCGGCAACAGGGGCACCTGTCGCAGCCACAAGCAAGGACGGCTGAGCAAGATCGGGTTGACCAATGGTACGAGAGAGGTCACCTCTGGATGGCTCATTGTCCCATACGTTCTAGGTGCAAAGCCGTTTCCACGACAGGCTGTACTGTAGCAGGCAGATTCTCCTGCAGGCAGAGGCGGAGCGCGAGCGGCGTGAGGCACTATGAATTGGTCCCTGACTAATTCTTCCCTGTCATTATCAGCCATATGCGGGTACGCACGGACAACCATGTGACGAAGATCATCGGCAATGCGGGCCAGGTCTTCACCAGGCTGGCATCTGCGGGCCTTGAACTGGGCCTTGCACAATCGCACATTGGCGGCGGGTGAGAAAAGCTGTGTCAGATCGGCACAGATATGCTGCCAGTTGGCACGGCGAGCAGCGGGCACAGTAACATAGAAGCGCTGTGCAGCGCCACATAGCCGTACTCCCAAGAACTGGGCCTTCTGGGCATCTGCCCACCCATTGACGAGAGCACAGTGTTTGTTAATACTGGTGGTACTCTACCCAGTCAGCACTACCGTCATATGCCTCAGGCATAACAGCAGGACGTGCAATCAGTGGATTGGCAGCGGCAGCAGGGGCTGCGACAGCAGCAGCAGCCGGCGCTGGGGCACCAGCAGCGGCTGCGGCTTGGACAGGTTGAGCCATCTCAAGGTCGTTCACTGACAACGATCTACAGCGTATGTCAATGGTCTACCAATGCGGTCGTGCACCGATATCTGACAGACAAACAACGGAGCGTGGGACAACCCACGGTGAATGCAGGAGTCTACGACTCGACGGAAATGAACGACAAGCTCAGAGGAGGGCCCACAGGAGTGCACGTTCGTGCAGCTGAAAACAATACACAATGGAACTACAAGCGGAATAACACAACACCTAGCAGGCATATAGAGTAGTGGCCAGCGCAGTGGGCAAAACGTGAGTTACACAAGTTCTGCGGGCATTTCGGATTCCTCCAGCGCAAGTGGGTCACTGGCTGACCTGTCGGCGAGGTCCGTCGTGCCCGTGTCCTTTGGCTCGGCCTCTGTTGGGGCTGGACGGGCGTCAGCATTGTCATTCCCGCGCCGTGCCAGCGGGCTCCTACTCCTAGAGCGGTTCCTCGACTCAGCTCTGGAGTTGTTTGGCTGACCAGGGTGCAGACGATGAGGGCGACCAGGTTGTGCAGCATGCGCCAGATGCGGTGGCCGAGTGTGGCCACCGCATCTTGTCTTAAACGATGGCTGCCGCCCGCAGCTCCTCGTCAACGTTTTCCGCAGGAACCGTACCAAAATGCGCTCCAGGAACGACAGGTCGTCCTGGAGACGGCGTAAAGCTCTGGCAGAGCTAGTGTGGCACATGGCCTGCAGGGCGTTGGCCCCATCCTCCAACGCTTGGCGTACCTCACTCATGGTCGTTGAGAGTGAGAGAGAGAGAGAGAGAGAGAGAGAGAGAGAGAGAGAGAGAGAGAGAGAGAGGAGAGCTGAACTGGCTTCGGACGGGGACCCGGAAGAATCCCGGTCACAGCACCAAGTGTCGTGGCCTAAGGCTGAGTGTTGTCTTTACATAACTACATAACCCGAAATCCGTTGGCACAATATATATGTGCACTTCTTAGCCCCAAACCTAAGCGTAACGAACAACACAAAGCACAAGCAGCTAGTTGTGGATTCAGTTCAGGTTCAATAGTGAGGAAGGATGTTGCGCTCACTCAGTTGGATCAAACTCTCTCTAAAGGACTAAAAGGGAAAACAAGCTCTAATATAGTAAAAGAGAGTAAAGGAAAGGGTAGAGATCGGGGGTTGGGAGGTAGGGTAGTGATAGCAGCGAACGAGCTGTGAGCTATGCTAAACTAGCTATTGCTTATGATGAATCGGAGTAAAAAAGCGGAACATCAGACCAGCAGACCGGCAACAGAGACAATAGCTGACCGCTCTGTGGTAATGAATAGTCTAGGTCCGGCGACAGCAGAGGTTAGCTTATCGTAATCAAAAGGAAGGGAACATTGATGAGGGGCTACGGTAGAGGTAGGTGACAGGCTGATAGTGAATGTGTGCAGCACTACTATACAGTTGTATTGGTGGGTCGTACTATCTCAGGGCCATGACACACTCATGTATACTGTGTTTGTCGTGTGTGGATTAATTTAATCTGGGTGGTGTCTTTCTTGTGAGATATTTACTCTCAAAGATACTGTTGCTTGGTCTGCAATAGCCTGATACTACTGGAGAAGATTTTCTGACTTGTCTTTGTTACTTCCCATTCCTCTCTCTAGTGTGCAATTGCTTTCTGGCCGGCACAGTCGAACGGAATGCATCATGTGCCCAGGTGAGAATAGCATCTTCAGATGGCGGCTGCTTGTGCAACCTGCTTATGCCCTGTATAATGAATGAATGCAACAACATACACACACACACACACACACACACACACACACACACACACACACACACACACACATACACACACACACATACATACATACATACATACATACATACATACATACATACATACACACACACACGAAACCCTGCTACCAGCTCCTCATGACCAGTCACTAGGAGAGTGTTCACTGGGAGTGGAAATTTGAAGTATTGCTAATAAAAAAACATCCAGCACCAGCCCTCACCACCACCACTACCGCCGCCGCCGCCGCCGCCGCCGCCGCCACCACCGCCACCACCACCGCTACCACACAACACATACGCACCCGCACATGCACATACGCACCCGCACATGCACATACGCACCCGCACATGCACATGCACAAACCATGAATACACAAGGAGGATTCAATGCTGTCCGTGCCACATTGTGCTAGCGATAGTCTTACTGTTGCCTGTTGCTGTTCAATCTGTGTTTGCAGATGAGTGGACAGTGTAACTGCAAGCCCAACGTGATCAACCAACAGTGCAGTCAGTGTGCTGATCTCTTCTTCAACCTTCAGGATAGCAATACGGATGGATGTGAACGTGAGTCTTAGCCACTCTGTGTGTGTGTGTGTGTGTGTGTGTGTGTGTGTGCGTGCGTGTGTGTGTGCGTGCGTGCGTGCGTCCGTGTGCTCTACGTAGCCTTCTAGTGGTGCCAGTGGAGTAGCAGGGCGTCACAGGGCGTTGTGCAGTGGTGCGACTGGGGGTCCGGGTTGTCCCCCAGGAAAAATGGCTTTTTCAGCCAACAGAGCACGTTTAAGGGCTCTACATGCACTCTGGGCGGACCATCCTGGACGAAACGTGGTATGACCATGGTCGTATTGGTCATCATGGCCGTGTGTGACGCCCCTGAGTAGGATAAAGTAGAAAGTAAACTTTCAGCACCCTCGAGGTAGGGTCTCTGGCAGTCACCATGTGATGATACCCTGCAGTGTGAGGGGTAATGTGAGGGGTAATGTGAGGGGTAATGTGAGGGGTAATGTGAGACCTTCGGAAAAGTTAGCGAATCGGCAAAGAGATTTACAATCACTTATGTTGAGGAATAACAAATTAAAAGTTATATTTCTGAGGGTATTTGAAATCAACCTACAAAACCCCCAAGTAGTCAGCGAACACAATTGAGGGATGCGAGGGATCTGGGGTGAATGTGTGGCACGGTGGTCAGTGTGGTATCAAGCTACTGATGTGCTGACTATTGATTGATGTCGCGGGTGTTTGTCAATGATTGCTATATAGCATGTGCCTGCAACCCAGATGGCAGCACTAGCCTGGTGTGCAACAAGACGAATGGCCAGTGTCCGTGTCTCGAAGGACGCACAGGGAGACAGTGTGACCAGTGCACGGTGAGTTTGCCACTTAGCAGGCTTTCCATGTGCTCTGTATGCAACGACAGCTCTCTGTAATCACTGCTATCACTGGACATTTAAACCTTACCAGTCACTCGTATCTGACACTCGTATCGGACACTCGTATCGGACACTCGTATCTGACACTCGTATCTCACACTCGTATCTCGCACTAGCATTTTGCACTGGTGCTTGTCTTGTGTCTGACCTTCGTAACTCCACAGGGAATGCGTGTGTTTCTTGCTCAAAATTTGAAGTTTGCAATCGGATGCGATTCGAAGTGTACTGTCCAGTTCAGTTTGCATGATGACAAGCTGCACTGGCCAGTTCAGAGTGCTCAAGATCCGTGTCCACCTTGTATAGGTAACTGTGCGTTAGCAATGCGAGCAGTTTGACATGCCTTTCATGTTGTGAGTGCATGTACTGGATAAAAATGCTGCTGAAAACGAATCACCCATTCGAGTGACGAGGGAACTCTTACAGCCATGCTGCTGTTAGTTGAAGCCGTGTTGTCCCGATACACTGCTGTTTGTCCAGGTGGAGCGTTTCAACTTCCCGACGTGCGAGCTGTGTAACTGCAATGAGTTTGGACGTCTGGATGTCAGCTGCACAGACCCGGACGGTCAGTGCATGTGCAACACAACAACGACCGGTCTGAAGTGTGATCAGTGCGCTATGGACCAGTTCGGACAAGTCGGTGTTGGCGCCGGATGTCAGCGTGAGTGCTCTCTGCCTTAGACGGTTGTGTGTTAAAACCTGTAAAGGCAGCTGCCATGTGGCAAGTATTTTGCAGTCCATGTGTTCTCGTTTGGGTTGCGAACCGTGACTTTGGGGGGGGGGGGGGGGGGGGTGCGGAAGAGCTCAAACCGGTGCCAGATTGCCCAGTTGTTGCTATGAAATGACAATTGTGAAGGAGCAATAGTTCAGCCAGATGGACACAACTGTTTTCATCATTTGTGGACGGATCAATTTATCTAAAAAAAAAAAAAGGAAAGTCAAACCTGTTGCTAGTGTTGTTTTTGAGCCAACGTGCAACAAGGCCTGGCTGGGCACACCTGTCAACATGCAACAAGGCCTGGCTGGGCACACCTGTCCACATGCAACAAGGCCTGGCTGGGCACACCTGTCCAGAAAACTGTAACTGAACTACTAACCGGCTGTATGTAGAACTGGAGTGACACTGGTGTTTGTTCTCTCACCCCTGTCCGCGGCTTGCTGCAGCATGTAACTGTGTACTGGACGGCACTGTGAGCCGGAATGTGAGCTGTGACATGCAAGGCACCTGCGTCTGTCTGCCCGGAGTTGCCGAGCCAAAGTGTGGAATGTGCCAGCCGACGCACTTCAACTTCCAGAGCAACATGGGATGCACACGTGAGTTGCATTTCAGCCAATGTACATGGCAATGTGTATGGCTAAGCAGACCATGGAGTGCTGTTAAACAGACATACTTCTAGTTCTATTGCGTGGCCTGGATGGTTCAAGGCATGGAGGCGGGGGGGGGGGGGGAGGGGAAGGGGGGGGGGGGGTGGGGAAGGGGAGGGGGGGGGGGGGTGGCAGATAATTGCCAACGTTGCAACCAAAATGGTTTAATACATTCAGGCAATAGCTCATTCATTTCCACAAACTCACCTCGTAGAATTCAAACTCACCTCGTAGAATTTGATCCCTAAGACGAGGCTGAACCATGGCTCTGCGATGGAAATCATCTTGGGAGGTTATCCAGACACCACCATCAACTCGCCATCATTGCAACATGCTCAAGGGTGGCGCTGGTAGTAAATATGATGACTTTTTTTAGAAATGTTCCTAGAACACTTATGGGAACATGCACTGGAGAGACTTTCTCGGAGTGAGCTTCAAAAACACCCTCCTCGCAGTAAGGATCTATGCAAGCTGATTTCTTTGCTCTGAGCAATTGTTATGTCAGACACTAACGTGTCACCTGCGAAGGTATAGTGATTATTGTGACTGTGGTTTCATGTATAATTCCAGGCCTAATGCTCTGCTGTATACTAGTTCATGAGTAGCATGGCAAAATGCAGTGGCGTAAAGTTAGTTACCGTATTTTACCGGTTGTAAGTCGAGCCCGGTTATAGGTCGACCCCCGTATCCGGAGGTCTCAATTCTGCGTTTTAAAGTTTTCACCCAACGAAGCACTACTAACCACTCCCTGCTACTAACACATCAACAAATCATTATATAAACATTCCTTTTTGGAGGGTATAACGTCCCAGTCCTTGAAAAAGGCCAATAAACTGGCAAAAATGTGTGCACATGGTGCACTCGTGTATGCAGTGCAGGTCATTTTTTGTAAGATACTGATAGTTCCCGGTTATAAGTCGAATCCCGGTTGTAAGTCGACCCCCACCCTTTCTCCTTCTATTTTTAGTTGGAAGAGGTCGACTTACAATCGGAAAAATACGGTATATCACAGCAAAGTAGTTAGTTTGCAGCTATTCCAGATGTAAAGATTAGGTGCCAGTGTCAGCCCAAAGTGTGAGACAGAGATCTATCCTTTGGGCATTTCAGCGTCTTGAAGGGCGAGCAGGCCATCGGCCGACCTTTCATTCGCCGTAGCAGTTGTGCCTTTGTCTTCGGCGTTGTCCACCGGCTCTGGACGTTCCTACTCTCGCTTAAGGATCGATAGAATACACTTGTATGTTGCACTATCCGTCTGGGCTAATGCAACCAACCCGGCTACGCCGACATATTCCACAATCTGCATAAACACATGCCATGTATGATCACGCAGAAATGTGAGAGGCAATACTGGTCTTAGTGTTGGGCGACAAAGCACGCCCCGCAAACATGTTAGCGCCAATGTTGATCCAAAGTACGGTTGTACCCCTGTAATATCTGCGAGAGCCCCTGTCGTGTTGAAATACACAGAGATGATATCTGATTTATGATCAGTCTTGCTGAGAGACATATCTACTGGATAACTCCAGCAAAACGGAAAAGTCAAACGACAAGCTATTGCAGACAGGAAACACTAGCGGTGTAATCTCAAACTGCCTTTCTAGTTGGTCAGCACGGAACTGAGGCTTGCAACCTTTAGAACCGCCTTATCTTGATGCGCTGGAGGTTGATGCATCTACTGAATCTGCTCGCCTAGGCGAGGACGCTGAGGAGCGGTCGGTTGTCGCACCGGACAGCGGTCGAGTGTGGCCACGGATTTCATCCTCCACGACTGCGGCCACTTGCAGCTCCTCGTCAACGTTCTTCCTCAAGATCGGTACCGATAGGAACGAGAGGTCATCCCGGAGGCGACGGAGCGCGCTGATTGACCCAGTGCGGCGCATGGCCTGCAGGGCATTGGCCTCATCGTCCAAGGCCTGGCGTACCTGCATAGAGCGAAGCAGGGAGAGGGAGTAAATAATGCATAACTACTGACTTCCGAAATCCGAGACCAAGAAGAATCCTGGTCACAGCACCGAGTGTCGTGTTCGGCTGACCGACCTATGTACACGTATAGGGACCCAAAGCTTGTTTGCAAAAAGTGTATTTGCTCGCATTATTCTCAGAAACCCTAGCGTAACAGCCAACACAGAGTACTAAGAAAGTCAGTTACGGGAACCTTCAGGCCCAATGAAGATGGTAACAACAGTTAGGAATGATGTAACACTCACTCATCTCTAGTCAGACTCTCTCTGAAAAGTCAAAAGGGAAGCAAGCTCCAATATAGTAGCGAAACGAGTGAGGGAAACGAGTGAGGGACACGAGTAAGGGAAACGAGTGAGGGAAACGAGTAAGGGAAAGAGTAGAGGCCGGGAGCTAGGAGCTAGGACAGCAGCGGCAGGGAGCGAGCAGTGAGGTGTGCTAAAGAGTAAAGTATCAAAGTATTAAAGTAAACTAACGCCCAGGGTAAATGGGAGCAGCAAAGTGGAACGGCGGAGCAGTGGCCTAGTAATACTTATAGAGACAAGAGATGAGAGCTCTGTGGCAATGGCTAGAGTCTGGGCCTTACATTGAGGGGCGACAGAAAGAGGTTGGCTTATATTGTAATCAAATGGAAGGGAAAGAACAGCATAATAGTTATGCACTAACGAACACGGATTAGAAAGTGTGGTAGAGGCACAGACGTGACAGGCTGATAGCACTGTATGTGATAGAGAATGTGTACAGCGTCTAGTACGTATGCACTACAATGCACTATAGTAGCAGTGAGTAGTAGTATCAAGAGTACATGAAACCCAGAGTATGCAGCTCTCAATCCTCCGCCGGCGCCGCCGCCGCCGCATGGCAAATTGTGTTTTGTTCGCCCGTGAAAGAGGCTTTAATCTCTTTTGGAAAAAAAAGAGCATGCAGCAGCTTGGGGATTATTCTACTATGGCCAGAGTATGGGTGTCGTGTCACGGCAGGATTCCGTGATTACATCATATTTGGTGCAGATCTGAGGCGGGAAGTGGCGTAGTGCATACAACTGAGCTGCAGTTGGGCAGGAAGAGACCTGCTTGAATCCTGCTTGTACGCATTACATCACTAAAATGATGTGATCACGGAACTTTGCTGTGACAGCAGCCCATCAGAGCGGCACACTCTGGGTTTCATGTACTCTTGGTACTACAGTGGTCCCTCTATAATCCGGCACCATTTGTGCCACGAAAATCTGCTGGATTAGGGAGGGTGCTGGATTAACAAATCTGATTTACTGCTGCAATGTGCATGAAGAGGACATTTTGGCTACTGAAAATTGTGCTGGTTTATCGAGGGTGCTGGATTATAAAGTGCCGGATTAGAGAGGGACGACTGTATCTATACAGGCTCACGGCATCGGTATGTGATGGTATATGATTGTGTTTGCTTGTGTGTGTGTTGCGTGCGTGCGTGCATATGTGCGTGCGTATGTGCGTGCGTGTGTGTGCGTGTGTGCGTGCGTGCATGCGCACACGTGTGTGTGTGTGTGTGTGTGTGTGTGTGCGTGTGCGTGTGCGTGTGCGTGTGCGTGCGTGCGTGTGTGTGTGTGTGTGTGTGTGTGTGTGTGTGTGTGTGTGTGTGTGTGTGTGTGTGTGTGACGCACGGTTTCTTTGCAGCATGTAACTGCTTTCAGCCGGGTCAGCAAAACCCTTTCAATGGCCAGTGTAATCCAGCGTCGGTGAGTCACAGAATGTGAACAGACAGAATGTGGACAGACAGAATGTGAACAGACAGAATGTGAACAGACAGAATGTGAACAGACAGAATGTGGACAGACAGAATGTGGATAGACAGAATGTGGATAGACAGAATGTGAACAGACAGAATGTGGACAGACAGAATGTGAACAGACAGAATGTGGACAGACAGAATGTGGACAGACAGAATGTGAACAGACAGAATGTGAACAGACAGAATGTGGACAGACAGAATGTGGATAGACAGAATGTGAACAGACAGAATGTGGACAGACAGAATGTGAACAGACAGAATGTGAACAGACAGAATGTGGACAGACAGAATGTGAACAGACAGAATGTGAACAGACAGAATGTGAACAGACAGAATGTGGACAGACAGAATGTGGATAGACAGAATGTGGATAGACAGAATGTGAACAGACAGAATGTGGACAGACAGAATGTGAACAGACAGAATGTGGACAGACAGAATGTGGACAGACAGAATGTGAACAGACAGAATGTGAACAGACAGAATGTGGACAGACAGAATGTGGATAGACAGAATGTGAACAGACAGAATGTGGACAGACAGAATGTGAACAGACAGAATGTGAACAGACAGAATGTGGACAGACAGAATGTGAACAGACAGAATGTGAACAGACAGAATGTGGACAGACCGAATGTGGACAGACAGGATGTGGACAGACAGAATGAAAAATATAGCAGATTGATCAAACACATGTACTGCTGGTCCGTGCCTTCATCAGCTGTTCCTTTCAAGCCCTGGCGATGACTTTCTTGGTGACACTGTTTGTAATCATTTGACATAGCAATTTGCATTTGCTCCTGTAACATTATTACGAATCTCTGCCGTGTGTCAGCTAATCCATTGCGTTGTACTTATTCGCACCTTCTTCATTCCACCTGACAATGGCAGGGAGTGTGCTTGATGTGCAAGGACAACGTGCAGGGCGATCGTTGTGAGGAATGCATGGATGAGTTCTTCAACATTCAAGACAGCAACGATGTGGGATGTTCACGTAAGGCCTCCATGCATGTACCGCCAACTCATGAATAACGACACAACTTCGGACCCAGTGACCATTTAACTGCGTACTTTGAACCTCACAAATAACGACAATTCTTGAATAGTTGAACTCGGATGGTGAGCCAATTTAATTATGGTAAAACAAGGAGAAGGACGGTGTCAGGTCGCTGAATGTCTCAGTACTCCTTGTCAGTTTTGTGCCATATTTGTCGCACTCACTGACTGTATATGATCTCTGGTTACGTTGGTGGACAGTTAGTCATAACTCGTAACATTTGGTCCTTCTCCTTTTTTTTACCATGATTCTTGAATAACGGCACTTTTCTAATGCGTGAGTGATGGTCGTTATTTGCATGGTTGACTGTACCCATTTCAAGATCGCTTATGTGATTTTGTGTAAAGACGGTTATTTTTCTTCCTCTCCTCTGCTCACTAGATTTCCGAATGCTTATGTCACCTCAGATTTAATTGCTTGAGTCCGACCTACCCAATGAAGGATGTGTTATGTAATTATACCGCAGCTCACACTCAATTGATTTGGAACAGTTAATTAAGGGCTTAGCACATGCGTTGGTTCTGTGATCACGAAGTAGGTGCTAAAATGAGTCTCTTTTGTCTGGTTTTCTGCAGCCTGTGAGTGCAACGCATTTGGTACGGGTGGAAACAACGTTTGCAACAAGGTATGTTGAAACAGTCAAACGGCTGGATTTATCGTGCTGTGATGTGGCAAGCAAGCATCTTCCACAGGGTGATGGTTTTGCAGCAGTTGCCCATTGCAACTTCTCTGCTTGTATCTTATCATCTTCCTGCAGACAACCACACTTGGTGAATGTACATGCTTGGCAAATGTGATCGGTGTTAAGTGCGACACTTGCCGATCTGGATTCTTCAACATCCAATCAGGTGATCCCGGCGGATGTCAAAGTAAGCAAACCTTCACTGCTTTCATTTGTGTCCTCTTGCCCCTTCTGGTAAAATGGTTGTCTTGTATTTTGATTATTGCTCAGACAACACCTCCTGGCATGTCAATAGATGGCCAACTAGTCAGTTGAAATGAAGAGTGAGAGCCAACCATGGCAAGACGGAGTATACAGAGAGGGAAAATGTTTGAAACAATTTCTGAGAGCATGGACAAGAACTGTGCATATAACACACAAGTTACGCAGTATTTTTTTCAGTCTTGGCCATGTGGATACGGTTGTATTTCCTCTTGCACTGTTACCACCGTTCTGCACAGACTGTAGCTGCTTCTTGCCGGGCTCTGAGGACAACGCCTGTAACAACGAGACCGGCGTGTGCTCGTGTTTGCCTCGCTTTGCTGGTGCCACATGCAGCCAGTGTGCTGTAAGTTGAACAGTGAATCCTAGGGAGAAATCCCCAGACCATCCCTCACTGGCACTGTTCTGCATCAGAGTGGAACTGTGATAATACGTACCCGCAAGCGGGGAACATGAAAGAATGCTTGCTATCCAAGGTACTTCTTATCTGAACAGGCGAACACACTTCATTTTTTGAGCAATGCACCCATAACCCTCTCAGTGCCACGGGCGACTTTAGTCGCCCAGACTGAGTATGTGAGTACAAATAAATTTGTATCTCCACTTCTACACACAGGAGAGTTACAAACGACCACTCTACGTCTTCAGGAAGACCTTGGCTATCGACTCATCACAACGTTTTGTGTCCGTGAGGATAGATATCGCCAGGGCGAAGCCTGAAGCGCGCGCGCTCAGACAAACAATTGTCGCGTGTAGAAAACATGACGTATGCGCATCGCGGGTTTCTCTATTTCTTTCGCGGCAACCCATGCGTATTGGGTATCAAAACATCGAGGTTTGCAGTGGCTTTCAGGCCAACTTTGTCCGAATTTCGTGCGTTGAAATTTGACTGCACTGCGATCGGTCGCGCGCGTGAGAAAGTGCAGATGCTACGAAAATGCAGAAAACGGACTTCGCTCAGGCGCCCTCGCGAGGAAGACTATTTTCGCTGCATATTCTCTTCACAGCTGTCTGCCTGGCCATGATATCTTTCCAGAGAGCCATCGTTTGTAAAGATCCGTGGATATACAGCTGAGCTATGAAAAATTTGTGTTCAGCTCAACTCGGAAAAATTTGAATTTTTCTGACCCCCTTGGCACTGAAAGGCTTAACCCCCGGACCATGTTCATACTAAGCAGGTATACGTCTTATCAGAGTATGTACTGGGTGAGTTACACTCCATACATAGTACTTCAGGAGGGAAAAGAGAAACTACAACCCCCCCCCCCCCCCTCCCCGCTCTCTCTCCCCTCCAATCTTATCCTGTTGTCCAACTCTGCTTTTCTCCTATCTGCTGCCTTCTAGTTTGACTAGCTCTTATGCATGCGTTGTGCTGTGTGTGTGTGTGTGTGTATTTTCTAGCCTGGTTTCTTCAACTTTCCCAATTGCGAAGCATGCGACTGCTCCTTGCCCGGTACGGTCAACCGTAACACCACGTGTGAGCCGGTGTCTGGACAATGCGACTGCCTCTCCACACACGCAGACAGGCGATGCGACAGCTGTGCCGCCAATCACTTTGGAGTGCCGGACAGTTTCAACCTAGCTACCTCCTGCCGACGTACGTACTGAACATGACGTCTATCCACGTATTGTTTGCTCTTGTGTCACGGTATCTTCGTGATGCACTGAGTTGGCTGTGCCTTGCATGAATCTGGACAATACACGATTCCGGCTATGTCCACTAGCACTACATGTCTGCATATGATTGTGAATGTAGAACCTGTGGAACCTGTTGTGCAGAGGAACGTATCCTGTTTGTTTGAAGGATGTTTCCTGGTAGGCATGCTCTTGGTGCAAAGCCACAATGTGCTTTGCCCCCCCCCCCCCCCACACACACACAAGCGTGCGTGCTCACAGCTCTGCTTTTTACTGCCATGCGTTTGTATGGTTCATTGTGTGCGTTGTGTCCGGCAGCGTGTGAATGCAATCAGTTTGGATCGATCAACGCTACATGCGATACCCTCACTGGACAGTGTGTGTGTGTGGCAACTACTCGCGGTGTGACGTGCGACATGTGCCAGCCCCGCCACTTCAACATCACCTTCTCCGACGACGGCTCTGACACCTTTGGTGGCGGCTGCCTGCGTGAGTAGTAGTAGTGAACTCATTCCAGTGTGTAGTAGAGTATTCTATGCCAACTTATCCCAGTGCGCAGTGCAGTCTGCTATGCCAACTCATAGTCAATGTACCCCAATATATAGTACATGTGCTGTAGAGTGTGATATGCCAACATAGTCTACCTGTTGGTTGTACCTGATACATATACTTTGAAATATGTACAATGCCATGTACACGTGTTGCCTTATGAATCAATACAATAATCATTACTTTCTGTTTCAAGCTCTGAAGCAGGGTATACTATCAGAGGAAGTACTGAAGTAGGGTATAGAGTAGAACCTGACAAGGGTATGGAGGAAGAAGCAATTGGTAGAGAAATACAGGTAATAGCATTGTTTAAAAAAAGTGTCTTTCTGTACTAATATTGCATGATCGTGTTGGGAATGATATTTTCACCGTCCTCCAGGTTGTGATCAGTGTGTGGACGATCTGCTGGACAGGGTTTGCATCCAGGAGAGTGTGGTGATAAATGCCACTGCCCGTATCAATTCCACTGAGGTCGTTGGTCTCATTGAGTCCGCCAATGCTTTGCCTGGCCTGGAGGATCGCTATCGAATACTGAGAGTGAGTTGCATGTCAATATCAGTACTCGTACGTATCTTGGTCATGAAGCTAATGTAAACCATGGCTGTCTCTAAGCTTTTTCCGTGGTTCGACCATGCCATCAGTCGATTGGACAGGATAACATGATACAGTCAGACCTCGCTTAACCGCACACATCTGTTTTCCACAAAAACATCCGGATAGGCGAGGTAACCGGATAACTGAACACACATACTGTACATGCATGTGGCATGTCAAAAGCAGTGACATCATACATACATGTAGACAGGTCCTATGCAGTACAACTAGCGTGCCCAGTATGTAAAACAAGCGAGAAAAATGACAAGTGCATGCAACTGAGTGCTGTCCGCACACACCCAGCAGGTCAAGGACCTCATTTGCTTGTACAACTCATTGATACTAGCTTCTGCAAGCGCTAGCCAGCCACATGCAACCGGATACGACGAAGCATTTTGTACACATTTTAACCAGTTTGTACACAAAATCATGCACCGGTATGCGGATTGCGAGGTCCGGTTATGTTGTATGCATAACATATGCTGCACATCGGTAACCAGCGATTTTCTTCCGGATGGTGGGGGATCCGGATAAACGAGGACCGGATAAACGAGGTCTGACTGTAATAGCCATGTAGAAATTCAGAGTGTGGGCACTCAGACTGGTAGCATTTGATGGCGTCCCAGCTCGTGCAATCTGTGTGCTTTATCAATGCTTTGCATACATGACTTCTTTATTGCACACAGGGTCAGACTAACACTTGGCGAGGTGCCCAGATCGACCAACTGCAGCGTCTTCAGATCCTTCGCAACATCGAACTGTTCATTCTCACCAACATCAGCACTCGTGTTGCCACGGTAAGTTTGCCAGCTGCACACCGGGAGTAGAAGCTACCTCCAGGACTTTGTGTGCAGGGATTTGTACTGGCGCATACATATGCACAGTTCTATTGCACATGTAGCACCAGTACTGTCGGGGACTGAAGAGCAAACATGCTAGAGTTCATCCTGGTACGGGATGCCCGTATGTATATTGTGGCTCAGCTATGCAGACAGCTCTACATGAAAAACAAGAAAGGCATAGGCTGCAATTCTGACAACCCCCTCCCTGTTCTCCGGCATCAGACAGTACTGTTCATGTGCTGCAGGCTATTGTGGCAGATGACGGGTGAGCTGGCAGCAGGCTATCAGCTATTCTTATCTTTGTCTTTTTGGTTGTAATGTGCTATACACCATGCAAACCACAGTGCTTGGCTATCACAATGCAATCCAACGAAGGTTATTTGGTTGTCCTTGTTGTGACCATGCTTGTGTTCCTGTACCCTGTACTGTTGTTCCCATGCAGCTTAGTGACTTGTCAGTCCTGGCACAGTCAGTGAGTGGCAGAGCTGTAGTCCAACGTGATCGTATCAATGCCATTGCCCAGAACATCGAGATCCTCTCACAGAACATCAACGGTGAGTATCAATATAGCCCGTGTCTTTCTTCCTTCTTCTTCATGAATGTATGTGTTTGCCTGTTTTTTTTGTACGTTTCCACTCGATTGCGTCTTTGCAATGGCACAATAATCATTATATTCCATTGCTGATGTCAAAACATCTGCTGTCTGTTCCTCTTCTGTATGAATCATGGTATACAGATCTTTCCTTTCTGCTGATCAATGAGTTGAACAGTCTGCGCCAGACAAGGAATTCATCACAGGAAACAGTGGCATCGGCAGAGTCTGTCTTGGCCATCTCATTTGCCGCGGAAATGAGGATGGTCACCTACGCTTATGACAATGCCACCAGAGTTGCCGCCATTTCAGGTAAAACCTTTAGCTTCCCCATATTTGTAATTATGTTGTAGAAGTCCATTCTGACCTGCTGTTGGTTCGCTTTCAACAATTCGGGGTTCTAGCCAGGTCAAAATAGTAGGAGGGGGGGGGGGGGGCATGGGAAAAAGTTACTCTGTAACCCATTTTCTACTTTTCAAAATTTTCTTGCCATGCGAAATGCAACGTACGGGGCGAACCCGGGCGAACCCCCGACTTCACCCCAAACAAATGTGCCTTTATGAACCTTCTAGTAGGGACTACTGACTGCATTTTCGTTGAATGGCTTGAAAAAGACACAAAAATCGACAAAAGAGTAGGGGTGCCAGTTTTTCACAGGGGCTCAATCAAAGTATGAGGGCATTGCACCTCCTACCCTCCTTTGGCTAGAACCCTGCAACTGCATCGCAATAACTCTCCTTTGTCAATTTATCTTCTCCCCAGTGACCCAGTGTTAGCTTTTGGTGTCGGACTGGCAATTGGTTAATACTCCGTGTGTGTGTGTGTGTAAATGTGTGTGTGTGTGTGTGTGTGTGTGTGTGTGTGTGTGTGTGTGTGCGTGCGTGTGTGCGTGTTTGTGTATGGGTGTGCGTGTGTGTTTGAATGCGCGCGTGTGTGTTTGAATGCGCGCGCGTGTGTGTGTGTATGTGTGTGTGTTTGTGTGCGTGCGTGCGTGCGTGCGTGTGTGTGTGCATGCAGCCACTCAGCTTACTCGTGCACAGGGCAATTACAATGAGACACGGGATCTGATCAATCGCCTGAACACCGCCCTGGCTACTATTCGTGCTGATGTCATACGGGCACGAATGATCATCGACCTTGCCGACAACATTCCACCGGATAATGCCACCGAGGAGTATATCCTTGAAATCGAGGTAGGCTACATAGCACATGGTTGCAGCAGTTCGACTAGACTCGGAATTTAGCACAGAATTTAATACATACCAAAAATCGCATCAGCAACGTGTATCAGACTGAAAGTTCACATTGGAGTAAAGTTTACCAAAACCTCTAACAACATTTTTTGGAGTCATCTGATGTTTTCTGTGCTGTTGTCTTTTCTCTTACACCGAACAGAGACTGTCACAGGAAGCAGTTCTAGGTCGCAGTCGCTACATGGGATCTATTGCCCTGACCAGTGGTGCTAACACTGCAGCCTACAACTCCCTGGATGCTGCTCAAGCTAGCCTTGATATGGTACGTGTGCCATGCTGAACGCAGCCCAGGGTACCAGATACCACTTATTGAATGCCATGTTAATCGTGTGTCAGTGCTGCGGAGTTATTTGGGTTCTTCTTGCCAAGCACTCATTTCTCTGAATGAATTATCTTATCTCCCACTGATAAGCTAAATACTTTCCACTGGAAAGAGCTGAGAAGTTTGATTGACTGACATCGCAGGACAAGACTGTGTGAACAATGAGGATCTATACAAGCGATGCGATCAGGATCTTTATTCTACAGACCACCCTTGCAATAGTTCTGCAACAGGCTGTGTTGAAGCAGAAACTGCCTGGATTCAAGTCAGACAAGCATCTCAAAGGAACAGCAGACTTGGCTTTGGACCCAGTAGCCGCACACAGTGTTAGCTACTGCACTGGGTACAAGATGAAAGTACTGGCATCGACCACGCATACATAAGCTTCACCTTACAACTGAGATCATCTATCCATGTGTGTATTAGTTTCATAACCGCTTGCAATGAAACTATCATCACACTCTCAGATCTTCGTGTAAGAAAAATCCAGGGGAGTGAACAATCACTCTCGCTATCCTCTCAAGGAGAGTGGTGGGAGAGCAGTCCCCAGCACCCCCCCCCCCCCGATCGCTCACCTCATCTACCCAAGGCGAGCACAAATCACAATACGGGTTTTTCAACATCTTGCCATACCCCAATCGGATTCAACACCCAATAGGTGCCAAATTCATTCCGGAAAATTGCCGTACGCCCTACAAATGGAAGCTGTTCGGGCTCCCTTCATCCCAACTGGCCTCTGCCTGTACAGCCTACTGCTCTTTACTTACCCACTGGATCAGCAGCAGATGCTCCTGCAGACGCTAATGCGGCCTCAGCAGTACTGCCGGGCTGCCCGGAACTTGTCGACAGGTTCCAGCTTGGCCAATAACCTCGCGCTGGCTGGTGGCTCGACTTACGGATGCATTCAAGGAAGGTGTGGAAGGATTCGTCATCACCAGTGCTTAGTGCATCGAGCAATTCCTCATTCTGCGCTGCACGGCCAGTGTTTGATGCAAATAGCTGACGCTGTGCACGCGTAATCAACTTCTTAGCCTCACACTGGCGACGCATATCACCTGGAGTTAGCGTGGAAACCAGGTCAGGCCGAAGTTCTGTGAAGACGTCACTCTCCCATGCTGTCATGTCAGAGAGCTGTTGGTCAAGAGACTCGTCTGAAAATGTTGGCACAACACACACATAGAGAGACAGAATCAGACCTTCGTGTAAGAAAAATCCATGAGAGTGAACAATCACTCTTGCTATCCTCTCAAGGAGAGTGGTGGGAGAGCAGTCCCCCCCCCCCCCCCAAAGTCGCTCACCATATCTATCCAAGGCGAGCACAATACGGGTTTTGTCAACATCTTGCCATACCCTAATCGGATTCAATACCCAATAGCTGCTTCTGGAAAATCGCCTTACCCACTACAAATGAAAGCTGTTCGGACCACACCTTTAATTTCCCTTCATCAATTTGGACGATGACACGCGCAATAGGAAATTGAGCCAATTCGCATCCATGGTAATTTTGTAGTATTCATTGTGGAGCGCTACTTTCTTCTGTAGCTAACCGCTCAAGACCTGTGCCTGACGTCGCACAGGTCTATGCATGCCCGGACTGTCACGCAACAGAGGGAAATCCTTTAGGTCAAAATAATAATAATTGGCACCCAAGTGCGGAAGTGAACATTTGCAACGGTACGTGAAATACCTTGCGAGTGCCGTAACTCCACTATTCGACCTCGGATCGACTTCCGATTAGTTGGAGCCGACAACTGAGAACCTTCTAATACGAATAGACCTTTCGAGTACTCGATTCCGTTCAGGGAAAGCCGAGTTACGAAATATTTGAGTGTTTGCAGAATGCACTTCACAGTGATGCGGATGCGTTCGAAATTCTCAAGGCGCGCGACGAAAAGTGCGCCCAAAAAGAAAATAAGGAGAGCAAAGGCGCGCGAGAGCGATCGCTCTCCTTTTACCAGATGGTCTGCACTCTTTGTTGGCATGATCTGCTTCAAATGCTGCTCTCCTATCCTCTCTGATTACATATCTCTGTGTGTGTGTGTGTTTGTGTGTGTGTGTGTGTGTGTGTGTGTGTGTGTGTGTGTGTGTGTGTGTGTGTGTGTGTGTGTGTGTGTGTGTGTGTGTGTGTGTGTGTGTGTGTGTGTGTGTGTGTGTGTGTGTGTGTGTGTGTGTGTGTGTGTGTGTGTGTGTGTGTGTGTGTGTGTGTGTGTGTGTGTGTGTGTGTGTGTGTGTGTGTGTGTGTGTGTGTGTGTGTGTGTGTGTGTGTGTGTGTGTGTGTGTGTGTGTGTGTGTGTGTGTGTGTGTGTGTGTGTGTGTGTGTGTGTGTGTGTGTGTGTGTGTGTGTGTGTGTGTGTGTGTGTGTGTGTGTGTGTGTGTGTGTGTGTGTGTGTGTGTGTGTGTGTGTGTGTGTGTGTGTGTGTGTGTGTGTGTGTGTGTGTGTGTGTGTGTGTGTGTGTGTGTGTGTGTGTGTGTGTGTGTGTGTGTGTGTGTGTGTGTGTGTGTGTGTGTGTGTGTGTGTGTGTGTGTGTGTGTGTGTGTGTGTGTGTGTGTGTGTGTGTGTGTGTGTGTGTGTGTGTGTGTGTGTGTGTGTGTGTGTGTGTGTGTGTGTGTGTGTGTGTGTGTGTGTGTGTGTGTGTGTGTGTGTGTGTGTGTGTGTGTGTGTGTGTGTGTGTGTGTGTGTGTGTGTGTGTGTGTGTGTGTGTGTGTGTGTGTGTGTGTGTGTGTGTGTGTGTGTGTGTGTGTGTGTGTGTGTGTGTGTGTGTGTGTGTGTGTGTGTGTGTGTGTGTGTGTGTGTGTGTGTGTGTGTGTGTGTGTGTGTGTGTGTGTGTGTGTGTGTGTGTGTGTGTGTGTGTGTGTGTGTGTGTGTGTGTGTGTGTGTGTGTGTGTGTGTGTGTGTGTGTGTGTGTGTGTGTGTGTGTGTGTGTGTGTGTGTGTGTGTGTGTGGGTGTGTGTGTGTGTGTGTGGGTGTGGGTGTGTGTGTGTGGGTGTGTGTGTGTGGGTGTGTGTGTGTGGGTGTGTGTGTGTGGGTGTGTGGGTGGGTGTGTGGGTGTGTGTGTGGGTGTGTGTGTGGGTGTGTGTGTGGGTGTGTGTGTGGGTGTGTGTGTGGGTGTGTGTGTGGGTGTGTGTGTGGGTGTGTGTGTGGGTGTGTGTGTGGGTGTGTGTGTGGGTGTGTGTGTGGGTGTGTGTGTGGGTGTGTGGGTGTGTGGGTGTGTGGGTGTGTGGGTGTGTGGGTGTGTGGGTGTGTGGGTGTGTGGGTGTGTGGGTGTGTGGGTGTGTGGGTGTGTGGGTGTGTGGGTGTGTGGGTGTGTGGGTGTGTGGGTGTGTGGGTGTGTGTGTGTGTGTGGGTGTGTGGGTGTGTGTGTTAGGTGATGAGTGCGTTGCAGAGGATTGTAGCCTACCTCCCACAGCTGAGTGATCTGCGTAACAACATTGTACGTGATCTCACGAGCAACACACCGGCAACAACATACTATCTGGTGACCATTGCTGAGGGACTGGTCGCATCCAGGAGAACATACACCTATCAGATTGAGAAGTAAGTCTTCTGCATTCTGCATCGTCTAAATAATACTATAAACAGGTCGCATGTTGCCTGCGTAAAACAAATCACACAGGAGTCATGTATCTACCAATGATTCGTTAACCAGAGTCATCGTCGTAGGCGGAGATAGAATTTCTTCATTATTGAATTGTTATACACTTAGCATTGCATTGTGATAAGTTAGAGCTTGCTCTTGTGTGTGTGTGTGTGTGTGTGTGTGTGTGTGTGTGTGTGTGTGTGTGTGCATGCGCGCGCGTGTGTGCATGTGGTGACCTAATGCAGCCTTTTCAACAGCACTCAGCCGCACGCAGCTGACGCAGCCGAAGCCATCATTGACTATCGCATGGCCGACGAAGATCTGGCCAACGCCACCACCCTGGTGCTTGCCGGAGAGAGCGCTTTCAATGCTGCTTCCACCGCTGTAAGGGCTACATTCCGCGACTCTAAACATGCCATGCATGTCTAGCAGCTACCATTGCAACCGCATCACTCTTGTTTTGATCATTCAATGGTTTCTATCAGGTCCAGTGGGGAGAGTGGATGAAGGAGAGGAGTGTGCAGATCAGTATCTGTAATGGATTTCATGGTAAAGCTTACAAGCATTGCACAATACGGGCCGGGTTACATGCAAGGAGTTGCAATTTTGTACAGTAGCATCCACTCTTCAGTGTGAACCTTCAGCTTGACCACTGTACTGTATTGTACTGTACTGTACTGTACTGTACTGTACTGCGTGACCTTAGCATATTGGATTGCATGGTTTTGTGATTCTTGTTCTGATTTTGAACTCAGGCTGGCAACACAGCTGCCACACAGCAGCAGGCTCATCTGGCATTGACAGCTAGCAACACACTCCTCACTTCTGCTACTGATGTGTCCGCCCTCACTGGTAAGAAGCATGTGCTCTTAGTAGATGTCCTACCTGACAACAATCACTTTCTTAGTTTTAGTTTGTTTTAGTTTTATTCCAAACAACACATGGCTGGGGTAGCCAATGACCACTTTGCGTGGCAATTGCAGGGCTTTTATAGCCAACCACGGCTAGCAAGGAAAAGAGTAAGAAACTTATCCGATTGCCTGTGTTTGCTCTAAGTCTGTAGTCCTAGTGCTGTATCATGTGTCTGCAGTATCATGTGTCCACAGCATCATGTGTCTGCAGTATCATGTGTCCGCAGCATCATGTGTCTGCAGTATCATCTACACTTGTTGTGATTGGTGCGCGGAAAATGCCACCTCAGACCCAACTCTATCTTCACCTTGCTTGCTCTTTTTATTTCAAATTCACAGGTCAGCAGGTTCTTCAGGGTGGTGCTATTCTTCAAGATATAAGCCAGCAAATTGAGACCGCTGCGCAAGCATTGGCAGCTGATTCCATCGCTTGCAGCAATCTCGGAGTACAAGTTGGCAGTAAGGAATCACCCGTTTTACTGTGTTTCAATCGATACAATGCTCCCCTTGTCTTTCTCTCTAAAGCCAGTTACATATATAGCCAGCCAGCCATACATCCATCCCTCTTCCCTCGCTCCCTCTCTGTCTGTCTGTCTGTCTGTCTGTCTGTCTGTCTGCCGACCTGTCTTTCTGTCCGTCTGTCCGTCTGTCTGTCTGCCTGCCTGCTTGTCTGTCTGTCTGTCTGTCTGCCTATCTAACTATCCATCTATCTATCTCTTTCTCCACCTCCTGGTTTTCCTTCATACTAGTAACGTTTTGCGACTGGGTATGACACACTTTGCATATGCTTTCCTCTATCAATGTTTCCTCAGACAACGGTGCCATAATTTCAACCCTTATCGGTAACTTCATTCCTCAGGCCGAGTGTGCTGGAAACGTCACTACTGAGCACCAGCCACGTGTCGAGCAGGCATACCAAAACCTTATTACAGCCGAGGCGACGGCTAATGCAGCTGTGAGCGGTGCTGCACCAATTGCGTCTGAGCTGGCAACGCTAGAGGCAAGACGTAAGTGATGGCGATGGTCACCGGAGGCGCACCCCTGGTCTTGCAGTTCGTTATGATGCTCTGGAGCTATGAATTTAGTGCAGTGCATGCACCACCTATCACTGGGAGAAGCAAAACTGAGATTCCATTCACCACCGGGTGGCACTTGAGCTCTGGTAGACCAAACGGTGCACTGCAATACAGTACTGCCGGACGCCGAAGGACGACCAGGCTAGAATGTCACCAAGCACAGCATACCAATGTATACACGGTGACTCCATTACCCATAGACTGTAATACATGAAAATAAGAAGGGTGTAGGCTAGGAGGCTGCCCCCCCCCCCCCCCCCCCAGTTCTTTGACAACCGACAGTACTGTGTAATAAGCGGATTGAGCCGTGCTGGTATCACTTCCTTGCACTTACTTCTGTATGCATATCTCTGCTGTGGCTTGTAGCACCCTTCTATGTTGCATAAGCCATTATAGAGAAGGGAGTAGAAAGCGTAATAGGTTAGTATGATAGTGGGCATGCAAAATCGGTCAATGTAGGTCATATGTATGCTAATACAGTACTTGCTGCCCAATTAGGCCAGGGAAAACTCTGAAAAGGCATTCAGCTAGTTGCCCTAGAGGGTAAACAGGCAATATCAACGGGCGCCCGCTGAGTTTCAGTCATTTGACCCTAGATGAGGTAATCAGTGTCGGTGGGGATCGCTTTGAGTCCCTAGATGAGGTAATCACTGTCGGTGGGGATCGCTTTGAGTCCCTAGATGAGGTAATTACTGTCGGTGGGGATCGCTTTGAGTCCCTAGATGAGGTAATCACTGTCGGTGGGGATCGCTTTGAGTCCCTAGATGAGGTAATCATTGTCGGTGTGGATCGCTTTGAGTCCCTAGATGAGGTAATCACTGTCGGTGGGGATCGCTTTGAGTCCCTAGATGAGGTAATCACTGTCGGTGGGGATCACTTTGAGTCCCTAGATGAGGTAATCACTGTCGGTGGGGATCGCTTTGAGTCCCTAGATGAGGTAATCACTGTCGGTGGGGATTGCTTTGAGTCCCTAGATGAGGTAATCACTGTTGGTGGGGATTGCTTTGAGTCCCTAGATGAGGTAATCACTGTCGGTGGGGATTGCTTTGAGTCCCTAGATGAGGTAATCACTGTTGGTGGGGATTGCTTTGAGTCCCTAGATGAGGTAATCACTGTTGGTGGGGATTGCTTTGAGTCCCTAGATGAGGTAATCACTGTCGGTGGGGATCGCTTTGAGTCCCTAGATGAGGTAATCACTGTTGGTGGGGATTGCTTTGAGTCCCTAGATGAGGTAATCACTGTCGGTGGGGATCGCTTTGAGTCCCTAGATGAGGTAATCACTGTCGGTGGGGATCGCTTTGAGTCCCTAGATGAGGTAATCACTGTCGGTGGGGATCGCTTTGAGTCCCTAGATGAAGTAATCACTGTCGGTGGGGATCGCTTTGAGTCCCTAGATGAGGTAATCACTGTCGGTGGGGATGGCTTTGAGTCCCTAGATGAGGTAATCACTGTCGGTGGGGATCGCTTTGAGTCCCTAGATGAGGTAATCACTGTCGGTGGGGATTGCTTTGAGTCCCTAGATGAGGTAATCACTGTCGGTGGGGATCGCTTTGAGTCCCTAGATGAGGTAATCACTGTCGGTGGGGATTGCTTTGAGTCCCTAGATGAGGTAATCACTGTCGGTGGGGATCGCTTTGAGTCCCTAGATGAGGTAATCACTGTCGGTGGGGATCGCTTTGAGTCCCTAGATGAGGTAATCACTGTCGGTGGGGATCGCTTTGAGTCCCTAGATGAGGTAATCACTGTCGGTGGGGATCGCTTTGAGTCCCTAGATGAGGTAATCACTGTCGGTGGGGATCGCTTTGAGTCCCTAGATGAGGTAATCACTGTCGGTGGGGATCGCTTTGAGTCCCTAGAGCATTTGGGTTTCACTATAAGTATTGCTTCTTGCTGTTGCACTCTTCGTGTACACACAGGTATCGGTATGGGCAATGAAGTTGCAAACGTCACTGATGGTGTTGCTCGTCTACAAGTGGCCGCTCAACAAGCTAACCAATCACTGGATGATCTTCTATCCCGCCTCGAGCGCATCAGAGGTCGCCTTACCGTGGCTCAGACTGCTTACAGGGCTGCCAACTTCTGCTGCGAGTCACTGCGTCTTGATGTCTGCCCCAACAATAACAACCTGGTACGCTTGTCCACGCCCAGCAGTTTCATTCGATTCGACTCGGGTCACTCCGGTGCGCAGCCGTTTGACTTCAACGGAGACTTGTAAGTCATAACATAGTCGGGTAACAGCTGCCTTGTGTTGGAAAGTATATCATGTATGAGCAGCTGCTGCCTGGCCAGTAGCAGTGTGTCAGTCTTCTGGACACTGTGTGTTGATCAGTTCTTGGTGGGTGGGCAATACGGTAATTATTGGTTATCAAATATCACAGCTGCGAACAGAGTAAGTCTGCCATGCATTCCAGCTATGTTACAGCAGCTGGCCTAAATGCTTCTAGTATACATGTACTGTACTGTCGTGTTTCTGCAGCATTGATCTTGAGTTCTGATGCACCATACATGTACTGTGTTTCTGCAGCATTGATCTTCAGTTCCGCACTCGTGAGGCCGACGGTGTGCTGCTGTACTTCTCCAACCAAATGCATAGCCAGTTCTTTGGCATGGAGCTGCGCAATGGCAATACTATAGTTGTGCGCGGTCTTCGAGCAGATGGTGGAACGGCTATGTTCAATGTACCAGCTGCCAATAATGGAGTCTTCAATGACAACATGTTCCACTCGGTAAGCCAACATAGGTCAATGCTACATGCACGTACTATCTCACTGGGAGGTGTGAGACTGAAGGCGTTGCATCTCCTCTCAATGCCAGCTGGTATTTTTCTTCGTCGTGTACATGCACATACACACATTTCCTTTTTATACAGTTGTTTTTTTTTTGGGGGGGGGTAATCTTATCCATGTAACGGCACAGGCAGCACAACTACATAGTGTAGCATTATGCCTCTTCTTCATCTTGACTGGGTCGAGCACTCTTTCAAAGTTGCCCGCCCTCGTGAGAAGGTCTCTGTGTGTTTTTTTGCAGTTGGAGCACCCTGACTTTGGTGCTTCGAGCCGGTTTAATTATAATGTGTTGTTGTTCGCTGGACATCATTTCAACTGCCAGGGCTTGGTCAGTGATTCTGAGCTCCACTAGTGACCAAACAAGGCCGAAACAACCAGCTCTCTGGAGATTGAGCAGTGTAGCATTTCTGAGGCTAAAGCCCATTCTGGTTTGACCTGCTTCATTCAGTACAAGTGCATGTGCAGCACGGTAAACACGCTTTGTGTGTTCTCTTTGCTTCCTGCTCTCCAGTTGAGACTTGCCATCCTGGGCCCAGTGTACTTCTTGAGCATCGACAACGGCCCCTTCCTGTTTGACATGTTCAGCTCGCCTGGTGCATTCACCATCGCCGGTGCACCATTGTACATTGGTGGAACACCGCCAGGTGTCGTGGCCGTGGGTCTGCTACAGCCAGGAGAGATGGTAAGTGCGCTTCAAGGAACTTCCTCACTTAGCGAAAGAGATTTGAATGCCAACAATAGAAAGAATAAGCCAAAGAAATGGAACAAAAACGTCGCACATTTAGAGGTACACGTATGCTTCCAAACCATAAGTGGACCTAAAATAAGTAAAAAGAAAGGAAAAGTGGCTCTAGCTGGGACACGTTGTGGTCATTTGTTGTATATCGGGAATTTAAATCGGCTTGTGACGTAGAACGCTGTGGACGTTCCCATGCACAGCCTCCGCAAATGGGGGTGTCCGTATCTTGCTGCAAGGGACCTCCTACAGGTGCACACTGTGTGGTGCGAAACTTCTCTGTTGACCCGTGCGACCCTCTCTGGATAGTGGATACATCCATGGCTCACCTGCAGGCATCTACAGCACTGCTCAGTGATATCCAGTCGCGTCACTCAAGTACGCGCCGGGCGTTGCGCAGCCCTAGACCTACCAACACTGGGCTGCGAAATGGTGCAAGGCGCGAACTTGAGTGACGCGACTGGATTTCATTGAGCAGCACTGTAGCTGCCACGACTCTCAGTAACGGAGTATTCTTGCAAGTCTCATTGCTGCATGAATTTGTTTGCTTCTCAGTTTACGTAGACATATGCTGAACCTACCCACTCTGATTTGCTGATGGCTGTGTTTGTCTTTTCTTGCAGACTCGTCCATCACTGATCGGATGTTTCCTCGGCGTGATCTACAACCAGGTGCTGTTGAATGTGCTGTAAGTGCAGGAAGTGATCTTACCTTTCCTGCCCATTTGTTTGCAGGTAGCTCGGCGTCTAGAATTAGTACTTCAAAGTTGGCGAGTATCATCTGCCCAGCAAAGCACATGATAGTGCCAAGAGTACCTAACTCCCAAGAGTGTGCAACTCCAGCTATGTGGTCTGCGACGGCAGAACTTCACATCACGTGATGAACCCGTACACATAACTTGCACCCTGTGCATGATGGATACAGGGTTGTACGTAACCCTGCTTCGGCGGGTTTAAATCTCTTGTAGTCACTCTGCACTGTTTGCCTGTGTAACCTGTTGAACAACGTCACGTGATGTGAAGTTCTGCCATCGTAGCACTGTATAGAGGTTGTGCAGGCAGTTGCACACTCTTGAGGGTTATGTAGTCTTGAAAGTACTTGTACCAAAGCTGTGGTCTATGCAGGCTCCACTGATGTACTCTTGTCTGCAAGTGCCGGCCTTTGATGGTACATGTGCTGCATTGATACGTACGAGTTGCTACGGCCATGGTTGCCATAGTTACCATTGCTACTGGTTGCCCGGCTTTAGTGCAGTGCCTACAATTGTGTCTGAAGTGAATGGCCTCGCGGTGTCTATGCCTGTTGTGCAGTGAACCAAGTTTCATCGGAGGCCATGTTCCGTGCAACTGCACACTTGGTAAGATCTCCGGCACTGTATTATTGCATACTAGTGTGGTGTGCTGTACTGCTGCATGGCTAGCTAGCGGAATGCTAAGAAACAATACCATCCCGTGACCATCGTGCATGAGAAACTGGTCGTTGAAAGTGCCATCATGCAGCAATCTAGCATACACAGAGAGTAGTTCATAGTGCATTGCCAGATTCTGGAACTATCGTTCTTCAACGGCCAAGTAAGTACATGTGAGTTGTGAAATACATGTACTACACAGGCAAGTGTGTACATGTACGGGTTAAGTAAAGCTGTCCTCACTGTTCTATTGTATGCATGTGATACACAGATGCTCCAGTGCCAACAACTCCACCACCTGTCACCACTCCTCAACCAACCACCATGGGTTAGTATAATCATGTAGCTGTGTGTGTGTGTGTGTGTGTGTGTGTGTGTGTGTGTGTGCGCGCGTGTGTGTGTGTGCGGGCGGGCAAGCGTGCAGGCGGGCGTGTCCGGATATGGGAGGTTCTCCATTGTACATGAGTGATGTGTGCAATCTGTGCTTCTCTGTAGTAATAATTTTAATGTTGCCTCTGCACGGTCTGTTATTGCTACACAGCTCCAACAGTAGGACCCACACTGGCGCCATGTATGAATGTGACACCAGCCGCACTGGGACAGGGTGTACGTTTCAACGGTGCTGTGGCCAGTGAGACCTTCCTGCAGTTTGAACGCCAGCCGAACAGCATTGCGCCGCTGAACTTCCAAGAAGGGTGAGTCTTAACTCACTACCTCACTCCCTGACACACTCAGTGTATATGCACATGTACTGAGAATGAATGTGGCTTCCTCTTATCCAATCCCATCAGCTTAGAGCTCCACAGATACCACTATCACTAGCTCTGCCATGCCTTTAGTATCGTAAGTGTATGGTAGAAACTCCCTCAAACTTATGAGTAACAGTACATGCCTAACTGCTAACATATCCCGGATATAATGGAGGATGATACGTTTATGGAGGATGACACGTTTATGGAGGATATGCGCTAATGGAGTACGATACGTTTATGGAGAATGATACGTTTATGGAGGATGATACGTTTATGGAGGATGATACGCTAATGGAGTATGATACATTAATGGAGAATACGCTAATGGAGGATGGTACGTTCATGGTGGATGGTATGTCTTGTGTCTGATTTCTTGCTGCACCTTGCAGAGCCCTTGTCACAATATCATTCCGTACATTTGCACGTGACGGTGTGCTCATGTACATTGCCAATGCTGACAACACACACGTGGTAGCGGTGGAGGTTAGAAATGGCTACATCAGCACAGTCATCCAGGGTGGTGGTGCTGCCAGCCTGCGCGTGTCACTCACCAACGTATTTGTCTCTGACGGCAACATACACCAGGTAAGCCGTGGTGTTTGTTCCACAGACTCCTTACTAGTGTAGTACTTGTTGCTAATGTGATGGCTCATTATGGATTCATCGTAGACTCATAGCAAACCGTGATTTTGTGTCACACTCTTTGCACAAAAACACATGCCACACACCTTACCTTACACCTTACAAGTGCCCATCGCTGAAGCGATGATAGCAAACAAGGTACTACAGTGCTGGCAATTGAAATCCGACCACCCTGGGCAGCGCGCCGCGCCGCCCAGGGGGTCGGATTTCAGTTGCCAGCACTGTAGTATGTTAGACAAAGCAACTTGTGCTGGGATTATGCCATTCAACTTGTGCTGGGATTATGCCATTCAACTTGTGCTGGGATTATGCCATTCAACAACTTGCAAGGCTGATGGATTGACCGCCACTAATGTTAGCCTGGTCTACACCGCCCAGCTGATTGAAGTACACACGCATACACACACATGCACACACACACACACACACACACACACACACACACACACACACACACACACACACACACACACACACACACACACACACAGATGTTTACATGTAGAGGGCAGTGAGTAGTGGGCACACTGTGTCCACCCATGGGCTGAAACATTGCCATACTGGTGTGGGCATGGACATAAGACGAAATTTCTGTGAGTTTCTTTCCATCTATTGCCCATCGTAATCACAATCAGTTTGATATGCTACTATTCCCGCCTATGTACTGTACTCTGCCCGATGTGAACCTCCTGTTGTAGTCAAGGTGTATTGAGATTTAAAAAAACTTTGCCAAGTGTAGCAAGTCAGAGTTATTCTGGTGTTTGTCTGCATCCAGATTGACCTGTCCGCTGTCCCCATTGGCGGTAACAGTGGTATCATCTTCTTGATCGTCGACGACCAAAACAATCCGGACAACAGCTTCCAGGTCATCGACATCATTGGTGATTCGTTCAACTTTGCCGACAGCAATCTGTACATTGGCGGTGCGCCGAACACACAGGCACTGCTGATGCCTGGAGAAACTGTAAGTGTGTGACCCAGTGTACTACCAGACTATTCGGCATCTCGGACATACTAGTAGCTGTTTTTGATTGCAGAATGTCTACACTCAGCAGTACATGTATAGTACATGTTAGTATTAGCACGACGCGGGGTCATTGCTTGTGCACTGCCCAACACAAAGTGTATAGCTTTGCAAAAGCTCATGCAACTGAACTCAACTTGCACAAATTTCCTACTATAGTTTGCTTCCATCATGGAGCGGCACTGTTGCTGACTGGTGAAAGTAGTTTTATCAGTAAATCTCTTTCAAGAATGCTATAAATGGTGAATCTACTAGCATAAATGTAAGATTTTGCTTAGCCAGAGAAGTGTGTAGCCTTGACCCCCCCCCCCCCCCCCAATTTCGAAATATCGTTTAACGGATGACCTCTCAGCCATTTCAGAATACTTCTGTTGCTGGCTATCATCTGATATTCATGCTCGTCCACTTTTAATACTTTCACAGACTCGACCAGGATTTGATGGCTGTGTTCTTCAATTTGTCCAACAAACCGTCTCACTGGACTTATCGTGAGTTTCCCGATAGTCTTTAGGCATAGTTGATAATAGTGTTTGTGGTATGCCTCTCAAAGTCCTGATATTACGACGCGTGCAGCAGCACAGGGATATGCCATGTAGCCAGAGTAGATGCCCTCATCAAATCCCAGGGTCAATCTGTGCTGCTAGGATGCACTTGTTGTGTCAACTAAGCGTGTTGCTTACTGTGTATCATGTCATGCAGGGACCAAATCAGAATACAACGATCCTGAGTGGCATGCTGGTATAATAGATTACAGTTGCAGACAACACAGAATGGTGACAAAAGTCACAGGCTTTAATAGTAAAAAATGTCCTGTGAATATTGAACATGTCTCTCTCGTCTTTTGCACTCTGGTTGGTAATAGGACATATTCAGCACGGCGTAACGTGGGCCCATGCTACAGCCAGCCGATCAATGGCCTCCGCATTCCCGGAGCGGGATACGCACAATTTGGTAAGCATAACTGTAGCTGTGTTCAGACTAGCATAAACACATTATAGTGATACAGAACATTATAGTGATACAGAACATTATAGTGATACAGAACAGTATAGTGATACAGAACATTATAGTGATACAGAACATTATAGTGATACAGAACATTATAGTGATACAGAACAGTATAGTGACACAGAACAGCGTGAAACTGTGGACACCATTCACATTGCACGGGTTGCACACCAAGGTGTAGATAGACAAGATGCGAGAAATGTGCGGAAGAACTTTCCGTTGGCTTCAACTTCAATGAGCCTTGATCCTCGTTATTCAAATCAATAACGAACCGGTTTGTTGGTGCTTGATTTTCAACGCTTTCTGTCTGTGGTGCATATGAAATGACTTGTGATTCAACCTTTAGCAACTGTGTCAACTAGATTGTATTTTCCTCTCAGCGAATTCAGCATTGACATAGCTAGCAGTGTAGCCATGCCATCAAGCTGCCTGGTCACTTCACATGCGCCTACTGAAGTGCCCTGAAAGCAATAAGCAAGACGTGGGAAAGGTGATGGAAGCGCTGTAATGCAAGCTGCAGATCAAACCCAAAGGGCCAACAATGCATGGAAATATAAAAACAAAACCGGCACGAAACCTCGCATTCTGCTTCTCTTTACCCTGGCTGGAACCCTTGTCCAGGCCCAAGAGGTGCCGTGCGAAATGTTCTGCCATTCCGCCATTGCGGCGGGGCAAATCTTACGTTGTCGTTTCACCGTGCCGATTTCCCCACCCCGCCTAATTTTCACGTCAGTCCTAACTAAGGAGTTGACTACCGATTCAGACCATTATGGCCGTTATGGACTACACAATTTGAATTGAATTAGACGAATTGCTTGCGTCTGCTGACCAAATGATCTGCTCATTTTCACCTGTGTGTGTGTGTGTGTGTGTGTGTGTGTGTGTGTGTGTGTGTGTGTGTGTGTGTGTGTGTGTGTGTGTGTGTGTGTGTGTGTGTGTATGTGCATGTGCATGTGTGTATGCATCTTTTCTTGTGTAACCTACATGTACGTGTACATCGACGTTTAGTTTCACCAGATACCATCACTACCAATCCTCTTACCATCTCCACTACGTTCAGTGCCAGTGCACGTGGTACCTATCTTCTCCACGGTGGCAGCGCCGGTACTGGCACAGTTACCATCTATATCACTCCACTGGGACTTGTAAGTTGGATATTGAGAGGATACTAGAGTTGATAGTAGTCACAGAGTCTGTACTGCATCCATGAGTGCTGCTGTGTAATACTAGTAGCCTGAGTCTGACACGTAAGCACGTCTATGTACTGAGCTAGCAGCAAGTCAGAATCTGGACTCCCTGATATTCTTGAGTTCTGTAGAACCGTGGATTGATTGTTCTGCTAGGGCTCTGGCTCTTCTTTGATTCAGCAAACACGGCTTACGTACTGTGGTAGATGTCACGCATGTAGCTGTATGACGACACCTGTTCAGTTCCCAGCCGTCACCACTGTACACACTATTCCCTTGAGCTAGAGGCTAAACATGATGACTTGATGTGACGTGCAGAGGAGCTAACAACTTATACTTATAGTTGAGCAAGAGTATGTTAGCCATGCTCTTGCCACCTAACATGGACACACATACATTCGTCATCTTGCAGTCTAAGTTCTGATCTGCAACAACAAAATAAGTAGCTTTACGCAGGAACAATGCTTGCAGTTGCATGGAAGAACACGGAAATCACAAGTCCAGCTGCAGTTTCTCCTTATTTGGCTGGCTGGCTGGCTGGCCGAATGCATGTCCATCATCTTTATGTCTGACTGAATTTCTCACTCATCTGATGTCTACTTCTGGCTGTTTTCCATTCGCACCGGCAGGTGAACGCGAGAGTGACCACCGCCAACTCAGCCAGCACCACCGTCAGTGCCAGCCCTCCGGCGCCACTCTCCAACATCTGCAGTGCAGACTTGTTCCAGGTCACAGTGACAGTTGGGGCATCGTTTGTCTCCCTCAACATTGGTGGTAACCAGGAGACAGTGCCATTTGACTCAGCTGGCAACGGCTTCAATCCAACGGGAACTCTTATCATTGGGCAGCCTCCAGGTAAGCTGTAATTATGACATGGGTGCACTGATGTTACATGGACGGAGACCGGCATGTATGACTGCAAAACAGAGAGTATCAGGTTCAAGTCCTGGAAGAAGAATGATTTTCCTACCTTCCCCTTGACCTGGCAGAAGTGTAACATGCATGCAGCATATAGTATTTTCGGTCATTGACCCATTACGTGATGGGTCTGGTATACTCCCCTTCCACCACTTTGGAGCTTTGGAGCATTCTCTGTTCTGGTATGTGGGCACGTGTCGAAAATACTGTGCTTTATTGTATGCTGGATGTGTGTGAAACATCTCTTTATTGTATGCTGGATGTGTGTGAAACGTCTCTCCCACAAGTATTGTGTTCACATATTCCCCACTTACCATTTCACACAACATCTTGCATGTATGCTCTGTTTGTTTGTGCTGCAGCGGCTGTCATAGCCCGTGATGGACTGCCAGCGACACTGGCTGGCTTCCGTGGTTGCGTCAGCGGCGTCACAGTCAACGGTGATACGCTAGACTTGGCTACAAGCTCTCGCGTTAATGTCGGCATTGGCTGCGGTCTGCCCTGAACCCAATATACACTAAATCATCCGGCAAGTCTAGCAACCATGCTACTCGGAACGGATGAGAACATTTTACATGTAGCTGCACACCTTAGGTTTAGCCCACAGAGCTCGACTCTTTCTCTTGACTCGCTCCATCCTTGAATCCATCATTGGCCAGCTCTCTCTCTCTCTCTCTCTCTCTCTCTCTCTCTCTCTCTCTCTCTCTCTCTCTCTCTCTCTCTCTCTCTCTCTCTCTCTCTCTTCTGACCATGGCCTCTTCTTCTGACCATGGCTACTTGTGAGCTACTTGCCACTTTCATTCAATACCGTAAGCTAATCCAGATTTTCAGACAAGCTGCAAGTTTTTTTTAAGTTGATATAATGTCCCATCGAAATGCTCCGGGGACACCAGAATGCTCTTCACAACAAAGTCACTCTAATCTCTTACCATCTGCACCCCTTCTGCTGCACATCATCACTCTGGATGGAGATCATGAGCCCTGTGGAATAGTTTAGCACACTTTCAAATAAAAGCTTTTTTCAAAGGCAATCATGCGGCCTGCGGTCTTTGCTGTGTCAATTTGCGACTGTGAGCCTTCCTACTACTACAGTCCTGCTCAATGAAATCCAGGAGAGTTTCTCAAGTACGCCCCGGGCGTTGCGCAGCCCTAGACCTGCGAACACTGGGCTGCGAAAAGGTGCAAGGCGCCAACCTGATTCTCGCGACTGGATTTCATTGAGCAGGACTGTAGTACATACGTGGTGTAATGGTGCCCAGCCTATCCCCAGAGTCTGGACCTACCGCTGTATGGTGAACCAATGCCCAGTATTAATTAGAAGGTTGCACTGCATGTAGATCACTCGTGTACACAGTGCAGCCGGACGTTGCACGCAGGACTGGATGGGGTGCAGTTCATTAGTCCAACGACTGACTGCGTGCAGCTGTGCTCATGGTGTTAGGAATAGTGCCGGAATGTTCAAGTGTACACATGTGACATGTGAGACACAAGGTCGCATCTCCCCAGTCCCTCAGTGATCACCATAACTACCAGCATCTCCCCCCCCCCCCCCCCCCCGCCATGGCATGGCCCACCTTCTCTGTTGCAGTGCCGTCACTTTGCCATGCACCTTCCATTGTCAGAACAATGCCTCTGCGTACCCCTAATGTCTACCTCATTGGGTACCCTTATTGATGGTCAGGTTGGGTGACTAGCAGGGGGTCTATACGACTCCCTGGTGACTAGCAGTACTCGGATGCCATCCTCACTTTGCCCGACCTTTCACCCAGTATACAGATAGTAGCTGGTGGTAGATCTGACTGTAGACAATTCATAGCCCGGGACACAATGTGGCTCCAAGACACCAGACATGCGAAGGCGCCAAATAACACAATCACACGAGTAATGACAGCTTCCTGTCGGCAGTGAAGACTCAATGATGCTATCGGCATTATGCAACACACAGCTGCTGTGTCACTGAGGCAATGCATGCCGTGATTTCGTGAGGATCCAAGCCCTGGGCCATTGCCGGGTGTCTTGCTGTCTGTCTACATACTACTCGGACTTTCACTCAGTAATATCAAGAGTATAAACCCCCCAGGGTTATTACTCTTGGTAACATTATGCTCTGACAGACTTGAAGTCACTTGAGCACAAGTCCCGGGGAGCCATGAAAAGCCGGGTCCCTGGTAGATCTACGTCCTGGCTTGTACGCCTCCTCCGATCCGAGCATGCCCGAACTAGAACTGGGCCAGGCCAAGTGCCAGGGTATGATTGTGAGAGATTCTGAACGCATTGTGCAGTGCACTTCAAAGTGCAATTAATATTTTGAAGCCAATAATGCAATATGCCACAATTCTTTTAGCCGATTTTCCAATATATTCCAATTTTGCAGCCGATTTTCAAACAATCAGCTGATTTTGCAGCCGAATCTGATGTATTTTTGAGCCTAGCGAAAAGCCGAATAGGCGAAAAACGGGCCGATTTGGGGAAAGCCTAGAATTGGCCCATCATGATTATGTCGCCTTTTTAGGCTTTTATCAAAATGACATACGTAACCGCCTTCATTATCCATGTTGCCCTATTCAACATTGGCATGTTCTGCAGATTTGTACTTGTACTAAGTAAGTTGTAGGCGTGCTTGGCATACCCTGCTATTTTTGTAGGTGCGTGACCATGGTGACTACTTCTAGCTACTTCATATCATGTGTCTTTTACCTCGAATGGTTCTTTACAATCTGTATCACATTTATTTTGTGGATGTGTTCAGTAAGTAATAATTTTATTAGTTATCGGTACGACGGTTACTTACCATGGTTAGTACTTACAGTAACTGTTGTAGGTCCTCAGCCTATTCAACAAAAAGTATCAGGCTCAACTGATGAGCAGTAACAGGTTTGTCGAGTCGAAAGTTAGTTCGATGGACTTCTCGTGTGCTCTGGATGGCAGGGACAGTCGTGAGTCCGTCAAGTGTCAAGTCGACGCAAAAAGCGCGAGCTCGAGTGTTGCTAGCAAGCAACCTTTCTATAAAAGTATCGCCGATGCCGCTACCACTAGCCTAAATAATTATTTTGTGTTCGAAAGATTGTGGCTCTGCACCCGGCCGACCCCGTTACGCCTTGGGTAGGATACTCAACAAAAAAGTATCAGGCTCGCCTTGGGTAGGATGCTCAAATGCAACTCTAGTCAGTCTACATTAAATTATGGTCAGGACGCATGGCGGTCAAGCCATCAAGCCGAAGGAGTGTTTCCTGGCACGCATTCCTTTTCAGGCTTAGCGGTTTGAGAGGTCCTCGACCGGAAAGCGAGAGGGCACGGAACCCGAGCTGGTTGTGCCCAGGAACCTTTTTGTGCTGCTTTCCTGAAGATGGTCCTGGAGATTCTCGTAAGTGCTAGGGCAGCAGAATAATGCACAGGGATATTGTCTGTCTGTACCGACGAAACGGGCGAGGATGTTACTTGTTTAGCCAACGAATCGCTATCATGTCGATCTAGCTACTGTCCTGAGTCCCGGCATTCAGGACACGTAACGAGCGGCTTTGCAGGTACGACGTAACGATTACGTAGATCTACATGACATTGTGCATGGACCGGTCCATAGCTGCAGAGTGCAGTGCAGGGGGTTCCGACGTCTGTGAGTGTGAACCCTCCTTCATGTATATGATTGTGCATGTTTGGAAATGTCGTTTTGAAGATAATTGATTGTGAATACACATACACAACGGTACTCCTCTGTTTCCAGTGGTTACATGAACATGAATTATGTGCTTTCGCGAAAGCCACAACTAACTGTTACTTGCTTGGCCTTTAAATGCTGGCAGATTGCACTTGACATAAATTATTTTGCCAGGAATGCACCTGCTGCATTGTCAGCTCATCAGTCTGTGATTGCACACATAACTGGCTTTACGGCCACTAAGCATGTGTGCTGTGTTTGTGTGTGCAGTTTTGGAACCAGTTCCGTATCCTAGCACCAGTCACCAGTGCAGTGGCTCGAGCAAGTGACCCTTGAATGGCACTCAAGAAAACTGACAAGTAGGGCTTGGGCGGTATTCTGCTGCTCCAGTATGATGATTGGATAGCCTAGCTGGCCTTGTGCACTTCATCAGCATGTCTACTATGCAGCCGGTCATGGTGCATGCTGGCTGCCTGTCTCCAGCGCTCCAGGAGGGTTTCGGTGTCTGGCCTTGACCGGTGTGAGTCTAGATAATGGCCTGCGTGCCGCACTGTTCAAAGTGGTCAGGGCTTTGCCGCGTCATTACTGTGCATGTGCATGCAAAGCCGATCTGCGTCTTGTGTCCGGAGGAAGGGTGCAGGAAACCAAGGCTTTCGGAAAAAAATTAGTTCCAGTTAGCTTGGTGTTAGGGGAAGGTCACAGTTTCGAATCGACCTTTTCCTGTCATACCAGGAGAACAGACAACAACTATCTTATACTGTGCAATAGCCACAACGGCCAGCCAGTTGCAATAGTTCCCAACAGTCAGTTATGATGGCTGTACAAGCAGCTGTATGGCTGTTGGTGGGCTTCAGTGCAACATGTGTGGTTCAGCCGCAGGTCCTGGAGACACCATCACTGCTGATCGATCCAATTGGACTCGTCAACTTTGAAGCAGTCGGAACTTGTCCTGGCGCTGGTATAGCTTCTGAGACTTACAACCTACCTGGTGAGCCCCTGAACAGCAGAACGTGCGATGCCAACAGCAATCCACCAAGCAATGCCAATACTAACACAAGCGTTGATACCTTTTGGAAATCCGCCAACAACCTGGAACTCACTTCACTGACGGCTGAATTCACACAGGTAAGTCGTCCACACTTGATACCTGCTCTACAGTATTCTAGTAGAGTACAGTATTATTATAGGGCCCGAGTTGTGAGCCACAACACACAGATGTACAATGTGTGTGACATTTGATTGTCTACTGCTTGGGAGGCTAGTCGGGACCGGGTAGTTTCTGTGATTCGTCTCCACCTTGCTGTTGGGCACTCTAGCCCTGCATACCCTCCCCCCCCCCCCCCTCTCCACCCCCCCCTCTCCCTCCCTCCCCTCACCCGCAGTGCAAGGCCTAAATGGCAGTATATCTTGTGTAACCTCATTGCTCTTGATGGTTCAGTGGAGTCTGTGTAGTTGCCTCTAAACTGCTAGTTGAGACTCTGTCCCTGTCTGTGCTATGCCACACTTTAGTGAGCACTGTATTCCTCTAGTCATGTTCAATTCCAACACTTACCTGGGAGTGAGTCTGAGAGGCCCGGGAACACCTTGGGAATCTTGTGAGCACTTATGAGGAAGTAACGTCACACCTTGATTGCATGTGCCGCATGAATCCTAATCACTCAGTGATCTCTGCCAATCCTAATCACTCAGTGATCTCTGCCAATCCTAATCACTCAGTGATCGTCAGTCTTCCAATCCGTGACCATGGTGACAAGTGCCAGCTACCAGCACATTGGGAAGTGCCAGATGCTGAGCACAGATGCTGAGCACTGATGCTGAGCACAGATGCTGAGCACTGATGCTGAGCACTGATGCTGAGCACTGATGCTGAGCACTGATGCTGAGCACTGATGCTGAGCACTGATGCTGAGCACTGATGCTGAGCACTGATGCTGAGCACTGATGCTGAGCACTGATGCTGAGCACTGATGCTGAGCACTGATGCCAGGGGCGTACGCCGCTCGCCTCCAGGAGTGGTTCCCATGCCAACTGATGCATCAACATTCCACACAATTGAAGTGCTGTTTTTCGTATCCCACAGAGTTTCTGCATATTCTCCTCAGACTGGGTGAAATTGACATCCACAAGCTGCTGGACGATGATGTCATTGTTACGCATTTATGATTTTAAAGGACAGAATTTTTCCCCGTTTTATGGATGTTTTGTTCAACATGACGATTGCATGCGGTCTTGAAAGCTGCCTAAGTTTCGAATCATCTGGAGCAAACATCACACAGGGCAAGCAGAAGCCACCATTGCATGCCTGTCAAAAGACTACCCAGGGTAACCCCTCTAACAAGGATAGTTGAAAGTGGCGCTGTTTGCCATCCGTCTGGACACGCACAGGAAACGAAATCCTTCGCCTTCGGTGGCGCACAATGATTGTCGATGACGGAAATCTTTTCCGTGTCCAGCAAATTTCGGGGGACTGGATTCCGCTGTGGACGTCGACTTTCAGAATATCCCGTCCAACACACTCCCATGTCATTGAAGTTAGTTTTGGATGATCCAGCAGCTTCCAACAACGGTCGCTCTACAGCTTCGCCGACGATTTCTTCCTCAACGCTGCTCGTTGGATGCAGACTTCGCTTGCAAGTCAGGTGCGTCTGCATTCTCATCTATCGCTTGACCTTCGCCACTAGCACTGGCTACACGCTTTGTCTGCAGCTCAAAAGAGCTCTGAATAGAGCGCTGGCCCTCTGGATGTCGGCGCTTCATTTTTTTTCTTTTCCGCAAAGCGAAAGCATTGTCAAAACACGACCATTACTTTGTCAAAACAAACTCCAAAGGAAAATTTGACTCTGAGATCGAGGAATCCGGCGATGTAACTGCAGTAGAGACTTTGTTGAACCCAGTTCAGTACGCTGTGTCCCAGCACTACTTTCACACCAGGGCTAGTCACCGTCCTCGATCGGACCGTCAGGCGGATGCCAGGCATGCACTTGCACTGTGAGCGCTGGGCCTGGATCAACAAATTCTCTGTACCCACATGGAATTTTTTTACTGGTTCCCGGGCATCCCGGGAACCGCCCTATGTACGCCCCTGGATGCTGAGCACTGATGCTGAGCACTGATGCTGAGCACTGATGCTGAGCACTGATGCTGAGCACTGATGCTGAGTACTGATGCTGAGCACTGATGCTGAGCACTGATGCTGAGCACTGATGCTGAGCACTGATGCTGAGCACTGATGCTGAGCACTGATGCTGAGCACAGATGCTGAGCACTGTATGTTGACATGTAGGCTGCTTGCGCTGATGTGCCAATGTACACAGTACAGCACCCTGCATAGCATCATACATCACTGAGCCTGGCAGGGTAGTGCTAGAGATTTACTGCATTAACCAGTACGCACATCCCTCAATACAGAGACCCCTCTTAAGACTCTGTCCCTGTGTTAAGACTCTGTCCCTGTCTGTGCTATCGCGGCCACACTTTGGCAGGGTAGTAGTAGAGATTTACTGCATTAACCAGTACACACATCCCTCCCACGGACTTGCTTGAACGCTGCACTCCATGTGTTCAACTGACTTTCCTCCCTCCAAAATACACTCGGAGACCCCTCCACATAAACTTTGTAGATATGCTTGTTCATATCTACTGCTGCTTACCCTTGCAATGCTATGTAGTATGCTAGTTTGAGGTGGACCGAAGCATGGCATAATAATTATGGTAGAAAAAGATTTGATCAGCCCCGTTCTTGCTTGTCAGGTTTCTGGGCTAGAAGCCTTAGTCGTGAAAATACAGAACTGAATGTTCTGGTCTGGGCACATTCACTAGGGGGGGGGGGGGGGGGCAGTTCATAAGTGTGGTGAGGTATGGAGGGATCCGGAAGTTGCAACCCATCGAGGGGTGCGTGGTTGGCAAAGTGGTCCATTGGCCTTCCACTGAGCCATGGCATGAGGTTTGGGGTTTGATTTTCAGTTTGAGTGAAGATTCCTCCACCCCCAGGAGATCCACATCTGGGATTGGGTACCTGACTTCGGTTTGGGAGGCAAAGGTGACGAGGGAGAGGAGATGAGCACAGTCTTCACCGGGTCAAGCCCATTGAAACACAGAGAGAGAAGGAGGATGAGTCTGATAGGGATTAGGTGTGTTGTGCAGCTTCTATAGAGTATCTTTGTTGTACATTCCAACACAGCCAGCGCAGCCTTCACCGTATACGCTTGCTGTTTAAAAGAATAGCAACATATCTAAAAGTGTCGATGTTGACTTCATATGCCATGCTGAGTATTTTCCTGTGCTCTGTTCTTCTTCTTCTTCTTCTTCTTCTTCTTCTTCTTCTTCTTCTTCTTCTTCTTCTTCTTCTTCTTCTTCTTCTTCTTCTTCTTCTTCTTCTTCTTCTTCTTCTTCTTCTTCTTCTTCTTCTTCTTCTTCTTCTTCTTCTTCTTCTTCTTCTTCTTCTTCTTCTTCTTCTTCTTCTTCTTCTTCCTCTTCTTCTTCTTCCTCTTCTTCTTCTTCTTCTTCTTCTTCGCTACTCAGCCCTACGTGGTGAATTTCATTCAATTCAGGCTTGCAGCTCCTCGATCCCGCACATTGCGGGTCAGCGGCAGCAGAGGTGATGGCTTCAGGGATTTCATCTACATAGTTACGGAGATTCCAGAGTGCATGTCCGTCTACAATGTTGCGTATCAGCCGGTCCTCGAGCTTGACAACAGCAACATAGGTGATCCTTTCTGCGTGACCTATGATGATATCAACGCTCTCTCATTGGAGGTATAGACTATACTTGTAACATGCCAGTAAACAGTGCTATTGTTTTGTTTTTTTTGTCAAGTGCAGCCTACACTTACTGCGGTATGTTTTACAGGAATCCCATGAACAGTCTGGAGGTAGTGTGGGGGTAGTGTGGAGATAGTGTGGAGGTAGTGTTGAGGTATTGCAAAACAGTGTGGATTCTACTCCATATGTTGCAGACTTGCAGTGTAGCCCATTTGCAGTAACAAATATCTGCCGGTTAAACATGTACTGTCCGCGATTATCTGATCATGGATGCTAGGCACAACTGCGATGAAGTCGCTGTACACAATGCTTGTACGAGTTTGTAGATTCCCAACTCCTACTCGAAGTACTTCAAAGTATACACCACACACCACTACACAGGATTGGTATAGAATACACCTCTCATCTACTCCATGCAGCCGGCTGAGTGGATATGTAACATATACCCGTAATGTCACGTATTAAAGCCGGGCTTCTTCCTGTAGAAGCCGATGTCAGGGCTAGGCTTCTGTTCACATCTGGCTTATATTCAAACCGGGCATTTCTATGTGTGTCCGGCAGCACTAAAACCAGGCGTGTGTGTCGAAAGTGCACTGTTCTGTAAGCATGTGCTGCTATGATGTGGTCCACCTCAGATTTTTGATGCCCGTTTGTTCAATGAGCGTACCGTCATCGAAGCTGACGGCAATCGTCTAAATCCTCGCCGAAACCCTACAGTGGTGGTGAGTAGTTGCAGACTACCTGTTTAGTTTTGTTCCGTAGTATTTAGACATATTGGATATCCAGTAATTATATTGTGCTTGTAGTTAGTTTTTTCTAGCAGATATAAACAGCTGTACAAATCTTTGCAGATAATGCAAACACGCTTACCATTGAAGCATTCTTACATCACAGTGGCCGTTGCCAATTTGTCACATTTGAATACAATTTGGTGTTCTCATGGGGTTGGTGTTGGCTGGCATTGGTTGATTATTGCCCAGTGTTTTGGCATGTGTGTCGTCGGGGGGGGGGGGGGGGGGTTCTTATGCTCTTACCCCCCCCCCCCCCGGACGATAATGCTTTTCCGATACCTCTCACTCAGGCACGCGTACACCACATACAGTGGACCAAATGTTTCTTCTGGTACCAATGGAGTGTTTCAGGAACAAGCAAGGAGCAAAAAACAAAAATGCGTACAATGCACGCATGCGCGCTGCGTCGCAACCTGCGCAGTCCGCGCGCGGTCCGCACACCGCCCGCGCGGTCCGCACACCGCCCGCGCGGACCCAGCACACACAGATCACATGTGCCAAAAGAGGAACAACCTCGCAGAGGTCAACGATAACATGTGCATAGTTGATTGGTCCTGATAATAAACCATCTGCATTGCCTGGTGGGCAACCGGAACTGAATTTCACTTTGTGGTATATAGATATATGCCATGCATGGCTGCACAGCCAGACTGAGAACAGCGCGAGGCAGCATAGCCAGAGGCTCATGACAAGGCTGGCAAATATTCGAAAGTGTGTCTTAATTAAGTTGTCTTTGACCCTCTTGCATTATTGTCCAGGATTTTTTCACAGCGAACTTCCTCAGCTTAGAGTTCAGAGGCTTCTCCGATGTAAACTTTGTAAGTATTCGGATACCTCTCCCATTGGGGTCCATCATTACTTGGTCTGAGATGTACATGCATGCTTGACACATGGCCTACGTGTTTCAATCCTGAGGCAGAATGCTATGCTGTGGCAATGTCTTTCCGAAAGAGGATGAGAGGATATAATTACTATTGTAGCAATGTGCGTAGCATTTCAAGGGGTAGCTTGAAACTGATTTTTGAAAGGGATCACATTTGCAATTGCATATTGCCTGTCTGAATACCTTTGGACCCAAGCCCAGTCTGGATAAGTGAACATCAAAATTTAATAACTGATGCTTGCGTAAGAATGCCTCCTTCGGACCACTGGCACTGGGTTGCAGCCCCTGGCTACACCACGGCTGGTACGGGGCCAAAGACGGTGGTGGTAGGCTGTATTGAAGGGCACCCACTGTCCAAGCCGTACGGCGGGATCATGAGTGTATGATCATTACCAGGCGTGCTGCAGCGGAAGAGAATGCTTGTTGCTCCTTTCAAAATTCAAATCCATGCCATCTGAAACTAATAAATAGTACCTTCACTGAAGTTCAAGCTGCGGCTAGTTCATGTCATTGTGCAGGCTGTAAATCAGCCAATCCCTGGCATTCAAGCCATGCCGGAGAAGTGCCACCTAACAGGGACGCCTTTGTCACTTCCAGTTTGATACTGCCCAAAGCATGCTGGGTAGCAGAGGTGACGGTGTGTTATGGTCATCATTCAGTTCCATGAGCAATGGAGCTGCAGCTGCAGGAAGGGTTATCAAAGCCTTGCCAACTTTGCAGTTTGGGTGCCCCTGGTAAATGGCATTGTCTGATTTTTTTTCCTTCTATGTACCTATGTCCTGCTAATCAGCCATTTACAGCTCTGCAGCGCATGTCAGTTGGCGCCCATTGTGTGTGCAATGGGCATACCACAAACTGCTCCATGGCAGAGGCAGGATTTTATGTGTGTAACTGCGAAGAGAATCGGAATGTAATGGGTACAAACTGCGAGATGTGCCAGCCGCTCTTCAATCAGCAGCCATTCACGGAGGCCAGGGCTTGCGAACGTAAGTTATCGAATGGCGGACCTTCACAACATTGAATAGAATGAAAGCGGCCATTTTTCTATATCTACCAAGTATGTCCTTATATTCCTATACCATTCTGCTGCAATGCCATACCTGCCAAGCACTGACAGTGCTTTTTCTGAATCACCATGGCAAAATCCCGGGATTTGCCTTGGTTTTTCGGGATATGTCATATTTTACCAAAAAAATCCTTTTTCAACTTTTGATGGCACCAAAATTTCGATAATAGATGATTGATGGTGATCATCGGATCACACTTACACATGTTCAAGACTCAAAAACGGAGGTTTTTCAGAGACTGCTCATGGAAGGAGCACTAGGAGATCCACTGGTACTGCAGGCTATGGCGGTCCGGGATCAATATGGACAATTACTGGCCTGTGACAAGTCATTTGAAGTGCTCCAAGTACAATATCAAGCTTGTTTCTTGTACAGTGAATTTCGGGATAATCGACAGGAATTTCGGGATCGCGGGAGTCCATCCAAAATTGCGGGATAATCCCGAAAAAATCTGGATACTTGGCAGGTATGCAATGCAGGAGGGGGGGGGGGCACATTGCTGGCAGGTTTTGAAGATGTGCTTGGTTGGGTTCTTCATGATGGGCACATGTGTTGTCCTCTCCTGTTTGATTGCAGAATGCCAGTGCTATGGTCATGCCACTTCCTGTGTCTTTGATCCTACCGCTGTCGGCAGCAGTGTCAATGCCAGTGGTGTTCTAACGGGAGGAGGCCGCTGTGTGGCGTGCGATGTATGTCCTTCAAGTAACCTGTGACAACATGCTCCCTCAGTGGGTCTGTGTACACATGCTTGCCTCAGTGGGTCTGTGTGTGCACATGCTTGTCTCAGTGGGTCTGTGAAAAAAAAGAAAAAATGGAAAAATGAAAAATAGGGATTCACTGGCCAGAAAAAGTCACTTCAAACAGCTGTGTGGTGGATACCAGGCTAAAAATAGTGGCGGTCAATTCATCAGCCTTGCAAGCTGTTGGATGGTGTAATCCCAGCACAAGTTGCTATGTCTAAAACATAGCTGTTCGCTATCATCGCTCCCGCGATGGGCATGTCTGAGGTCTGAGGTGTGTACACATGCTTGCCTCAGTGGGTCTGTGTGCACACATGCTTGTCTCAGTGGGCCTGTGTGTACACATGCTTGCCTCAGTGGATCTGTGTGTACACATGCTTGTCTCCGAGACAAGAGTGGGTCTGTGTGTACACATGCTTGCCTCAGTGGGTCTGTGTGTACACATGCTTGCCTCGTTGGGTCTCTGTGTATACATACTTGCCTTAGTGGGTCTGTGTGTACACATACTTGCCTCTGAGTGGGTCTGTGTACACACATACTTGTCTCAGTGTGTTTGTGTGTACACATGCTTGTCTGCATAATAGAACTGAACAGATCTATGCGCATACCGTTGACTCCATGTATACTGTAGCAAATTTCTACGTCCCAGGTTTGAGTCCTGGTGGGGTTGGCATCTTTTTCCCTTTTCAGGCAGTTCACTTTCCTTACTGTTGAAATTGATAATTTGTTTACTATTTGTATGCAGGCACATCCTCCGGTATACTAGTATAGCAAATGGTGTGGCACATGTACAATGAACCCTTTCCATGTCCGCGTGTGGACAAGCACAACATTGAACCTAAACAGCGAACTGTTTTCATCTACAACGAGCTGGATGTCACTGTGTAATGGTGCAGCCCTACAGTTCACTGTATGATGTATTGCTTGCAATGTATTGTGTGGATGGATGTCTTTTATGGGGTTCACCTATAACATTGATGGATGAAGTCTTCATAAAGGACATAGCTATTAAATTCTCCTGCACAGTAGATGTGTTTGCCAGGAGTAGACTGTGTATTATGAGAAGTGCTTAATGATAGCTTGCATAGACCTCGGTCCTACCGGTAGGACCTACCGGTAGGACCATCATACACAGACATGTTGCATGGCCTCTGTTCTAACATTGACCTAAAACTTGACCCTAAACTGTTGCTAAGGCGCTAATGAAGGAGTCCACAAATTTTAGACGTGATCGCACAAGGCATACTACGAAATTCCATGGTAACAGCCCATGGTAACCATGGAAACAGAGTATGGAATTATGCATTCCACTGCCTTGGCAAGCTAATAAAAACATTAGGACCTCACCACAATTGATGTCCCATGGTCGAAATTCACTTTGGATAGAGTTGCTAGCGCACCGACAGGATTATGTGCGGCCATTCTGACATTCGATAAAATTGCGCATACGCAATGCACTGGACATAGCCTTGCATTTTGCGCCATTACTTTGCCTGACAAAGACCTCATCTCAACAATTGTTTCAAGAAATTTCTCAACCAAAAGCACTTTTGCAGCTCGGTTTCTTGGGTCCTACCGGTAGGACCCGTGGTCCTACCGGTAGGACGGTATGCAAGCTATCATTAAACCCAGCCACATTCAATGGCAAATACACCCGGTAGTACTGTATGCCTCTATCATAATTATATGGACTCAGAACCAAATAGCTACTAGTAGCCGGGCACACCAGACCTGAAGCGTGAGTCAAAGCATGTCACGGAAACTCATTTTGGCCAGGTTCCTCAGCTTTGGCTATAACTGACTATTGCTAATGTGAGCGAATGCACCGGTTCTTTGCGTTTCTCTTTCTGCAGGGCTCCACCACTGGTGTAAACTGTCAGGACTGCATCCCGCAGTTCTATCATCCTGGCACACCTTCCAGCATTGATCTCACGGTGAATTGTCTAGGTCAGTACGGATGGTTATTCATAACTTCTGATGTGAGCTTAATTCAGAGAATTAAACATCATCATTATCATCATCACTCACCACACTGAGCTCTTAGTCGTCCAGCAAGTCTTGCACACACTGCTGATCACCAGCCGCGTGAACAGCAACACCAATGAATGATGCAATGGCGGAGAGGCGAGAGCTCCGATTCACGCTTGAAGCCTATACATTGCTACTGAGCTCGCAAAGGAGTCTTTGAGGAGGGAATTTCTAATGCTGTGTTCACATAGGGATTAGGTGGGTGTCCAGAGGCACGTTGTTGTTCCAGCACTGATCCATATCACCGAGTTACAAGGCCACATTGGAAGTCTCTCTCTCTCTGACAGGTACATGTACTCATCATTGCCTGCAGTACAACCTCTTCTTTGGGCAAAACAGTCACAGATGCGGATCATGGGAGGACAGGAGGAGAAAAATTACACATGACAAAATGATTCAGACTGAATAGGACTCAGTACAGAAGTAGTGACGCGGAGGCCAACAGACAGATACGAGTAAGAGTTCCAGTTAGCCGGAGGGGTAGCTAATGAGTCGTTCTGACTCGAGAACAAATGACATGGGCAGTTATGATATATTTTGTCACACTGTCTGAAAAACAAATAAAGATAATATCTAATGTAACAGGAGAGTTATTGATGAATGCAATACATTGCGGTCTGTTCAGGAGAAGTATGTCTACTATGATGTTCTAGTAACAGCAAATTTGTTTGTGGTCTCTCTTTTCGTTCAGACTGCGGCTGCACAACTGCCGGTCAGATGTTTGCATCGGGCAACTGCTCTGAAGGGGTAGGCGCCAGTTAATAGTAGGCATGTGGGTGCTTGTCTTTCTTGCATGTACCATGATGAGTTGTTATCAGATGATGGCCGGATGAATATCTACCATCAGATCTGTTGGTTGTACTGGTACTTTGTTTCTCTAAAGCTGAAACTGCACTGGCACTCATGGCTCTGAACTCTGAATAGGAAACTTTGAACTCCAAACTTACACTATACCGTATTTTCCCCCATTAAACGTACACGTCTCCATTACTAGTACGTCCCCAATTGTAGTACATGTTGGGTGTGGATCGAAAATATAAAAGGACATGTCTCTAATAATAGTACATGCCGGAATGATGTGATGGGCATTAGTGGGGTACAGATACCAGGGTCCACCTTACTTCGTTTTCTTACCCGTTCATCATCTTTGTGTCCTTGTACACTGATTCTTACCATGGTTGGGTGTATTTACAGCCTTACAGCATCATTATCACGAGTTGTTTGCCACACAACCCAGGCAATCAATCTTCCCAGAAACAATAAAAGTACACGTCTCTAATACTAGTACAGTCTCCTATAGTAGTACAGGTCTGACCACCTTTGAAATAATAAAAGTACTGTACATTTATTGGGGAAAATACGGTACTCTCTTCCAAACTCTGAACTTTGAACTCCAAACCCGGAACTCTACATCTGAACCCTACGCTTTGAACCCTACTCTCTGAACCCTACACTCTGAACCCCACACTCTGAACCCCATGCTCTGAACCCTACGCTCTGAACCCTACGCTCTGAACCCTACGCTCTGAACCCTACCCTCTGAACCCTACCCTCTGAACCCTACCCTCTGAACCCTACCCTCTGAACCCTACCCTCTGAACCCTACCCTCTGAACCCTACCCTCTGAACCCTACCCTCTGAACCCTACCCTCTGAACCCTACCCTCTGAACCCTACCCTCTGAACCCTACCCTCTGAACCCTACCCTCTGAACCCTACGCTCTGAACCCTACGCTCTGAACCCTACGCTCTGAACCCTACGCGCTGAACCCTACGCTCTGAACCCTACGCTCTGAACCCTACGCTCTGAACCCTACGCTCTGAACCCTACGCTCTGAACCCTACGCTCTGAACCCTACGCTCTGAACCCTACGCTCTGAACCCTACCCTCTGAACCCTACCCTCTGAACCCTACCCTCTGAACCCTACCCTCTGAACCCTACCCTCTGAACCCTACCCTCTGAACCCTACCCTCTGAACCCTACGCTCTGAAAACTACGCTCTGGACCCTACGCGCTGAACCCTACGCTCTCAACCCTACGCTCTCAACCCTACGCTCTCAACCCTACGCTCCCAACCCTACGCTCCCAACCCTACGCTCCCAACCCTACCCTCTGAACCCTACCCTCTGAACCCTACGCTCTGAACCCTACGCTCTGAACCCTACCCTCTGAACCCTACCCTCTGAACCCTACCCTCTGAACCCTACCTCTGAACCCTACGCTCTAAACCCTACCCTCTGAACCCTACCCTCTGAACCCTACCCTCTGAACCCTACCCTCTGAACCCTACCCTCTGAACCCTACGCTCTCAACCCTACGCTCTCAACCCTACGCTCTCAACCCTACGCTCTCAACCCTACGCTCTCAACCCTACGCTCTCAACCCTACCCTCTGAACCCTACCCTCTGAACCCTACCCTCTGAACCCTACCCTCTGAACCCTACCCTCTGAACCTACCCTCTGAACCTACCCTCTGAACCCTACCCTCTGAACCCTACGCTCTGAACCCTACGCTCTGAACCCTACCCTCTGAACCCTACCCTCTGAACCCTACCCTCTGAACCCTACCCTCTGAACCCTACCCTCTGAACCCTACCCTCTCAACCCTACGCTCTCAACCCTACGCTCTCAACCCTACGCTCTCAACCCTACGCTCTCAACGCTACGCTCTCAACGCTACGCTCTCAACCCTACCCTCTCAACCCTACGCTCTGAACCCCACGCTCTGAACCCCACGCTCTGAACCCCACGCTCTGAACCCCACGCTCTGAACCCCACGCTCTGAACCCCACGCTCTGAACCCCACGCTCTGAACCCCGCGCTCTGAACCCCGCGCTCTGAACCCTACGCTCTGAACCCTACGCTCTGAACCCTACACTCTGAACCCTACGCTCTGAACTCTATACCGTGTCCTGCTTTACTACCGGCACATATCTGTACTGAGTTTTACATTATCTGTGCTGTACAGCACATGTACTTCATAACTTTAAGTATGTAGTCAATGTATGCTGGACTGCATTCTACTGTGTGTGTGTGTGTGTGTGTGTGTGTGTGTGTGTGTGTGTGTGTGTGTGTGTGTGTGTGTGTGTGCGCGCGCGCGTGCCTGCGTGCGTGCACGTACATGCAAATTGTATATTGTATTTCAAAAACTTAGTAGCTGAGTTGCATCCCCACTGCATGCTTTACTTGCCTCGGTGTAATGCGCATGTGCATACATGTTGGTTGACAGCATGTAACAAAGTGGAGAACACCGTGTTCGAGAAACAAAAATAGCTAATAAGTTTATGAGTATCAAGAAGACACCCAGGAGCGATCACAGAATACAAGACTGACGGTACGAGAAGTCTAAAACAACTCCCCTAGAATAGAGAGGGTCAGGACCGGGTCTAACACCCATACGGTTTAGATGGTCGCAACCGACCGGGGCTCTACCAACCGTGGATGGTTGTAGAAAGGTCACTGTTTCCGAACACGGTGTCCTGCACCTTGTTACATGCTGCCGGTCAACCAACAACAAGTTTGAACAAAACAGGTGTTATCTAATATGTACATACATGCACAGGTAGATCCCATTCAACTGCACAGCAAAGATTGATTTTTGGTCGCCGCTTCCACGGTATGTACATGCATGTGTCATGACTTGAACATAACTGAAGAGGACCGAGGCTTCATGTGTGTCTTTTCACACAGACTGGAATATGCATCAACTGCAAGGTGAACGTGATGGGTGATCAGTGCCAGCTCTGCAGGCCTGACTTTTTCAACCTGTTGGACGTAAATGACGATGGTTGTGAACGTGAGTTGATGCTACCAAGCCGAGTCATGGAATTGAAGTAATGATGTTGACCATGTGATTAAACATGACTTCTATGCGGGATACATTGCCTGCATGTAGGAAAGAACGTGTGGGCTAGCTGCCATGCTGGTTCACTGCTATACAGCTGAGCAAGTTGGACTGAATGGTAGTAGTGAAGGACCTCAATCACCCTGATGAACACCGTGTGTAAAGTGATGCAGATTTGCACAACCAGTATCATTGCAGAATGCGATGTCATGCCCGAACGATGACATCATAGCCTTCCAGCTCGATGTTTTTCTTTTGTTTCTGATGACGATCATGTCTTCTATCTCTCCTTTTTTGGATGTAGCTTGTAATTGTGATCCAGCTGGCACCGAAGAAAACACCGTTTGTAACATGGTAAGATGATGCAGCAGAACCGCAGACCGTTCCAGGTTCAAACCCAGCAGCACTGCAGGTTTCTATTTTCAAACCCAGCAAAACCACAGGGTTCCAGGCTCAAACCCAGCAATACCACAGTGTTCTAGGTTCGAATCCAGCAAAATCGCATGGTTCCAGGTTCAAACCGGGCACACTGATTGTGGGCTCCAGGTTTAAACCCAGCAGCTTCCAACAAAGAAGATATACTTTCTTTTGTGCTGCTCTCTTCGGGCTCAGTCCTGTAAGAGGGCCAATGGCCTGTGGGAGACATGGCAGGAAAAGAAGAGTGGTTATTATAACTCATAAGCTTGATGCTGCATCTGCTCCTGGTGGCCTTCCAGTGTCGTTGTGAGAAAGACTGACAGTAATGGTTTTCGTTCTTTCCAAAACTCAGTACTTGCCTTTCAAGTTATTTAACTTTGAATAGAGAGTATATGTACCCTGACTGCACCTACACAACAAAACAGTGGTCCAAGGTTTGTAGTGTTGCTGCCTGAGTTTCATGCCCATGTGTAGGTTCAATTCCTTGGCAACATGGGAATGATTGTGATCATGCCGGGGGGGGGGGGGGGTGATAATAATAATAATGTCGCATATGAAAGAAGGGCTTATTCCTGTGGAAGCCGGTGTCCGGCCTAGACTACTATTCACATCAGGCTTCCATTCAAACCAGGTACATGTGTTTCTATGTATGTCAACACTAAAACCAGGCGTATGTGTCGATAGGGTATCTTGAAAATCAGGCTTGTATTCAAAACAGGCTTCTATATGAGACCGGCTTTAATACAAGACACTACGGCACATGTACTGAAAAAAAAGTGTCTCAGCTATAATAATGGATTGGGATTTCTCTTGCAGGCACGTTGTGCCAAAATTTCACGGCCGTTGCACAGGGGATTTAGTTCCCAACCTTTGCATTAACTGCCTGCCCTTGAGTGTAATTCGTGTGGATATCTCTGTGCTTGTGCAGGTCGGTGGACAGTGTGACTGTAAGGCTTCTGTGACTGGGCGCACGTGTAACATGTGCAGCGACATGTTCTTCAACCTGACCGCCGACAATGCCCTTGGCTGTACACCGTGTGAGTGCAATCTGGCTGGAAGCATGAACAACAGCTGCGACGTAACCACCGGTGCATGCATCTGCCTTGCCAACATCACTGGCCGACAGTGTGACCAGTGCATTGTAAGTTTTACTTGAGTCAGTGTACACACGCATACGTGTGTTCCAGCATGGTGTACAAGTGGTGCCGCTCATGATAGCTTTTAACATAATATGCCAGGACCGGTGGAAGCATGTTTTGATTGGTCCGGCGGCCATGCCCTAGCTGTTCATACAGTGTGTGCATGATATGGAGCGGGGTATACACACACAGTGTGTGCATGATATGGAGGGTTTACACATACTGTGTGTATGATATGGAGCGGGGTATACACGTACTGTGTGTATGATATGGAGGGTTTACACATACTGTGTGTATGATATGGAGGGTATACACATACAGTGTGTGTATGATATGGAGCGGGGTATACACATGACCTCCTCAGCAGTAACCACACTGTCCAGGAAAAAAAACACTTCAAAAAGAACCACTTCAAATAGCTGTGTGGTGTAGACCAGGTTGAATAGCGGCAGCCAATTCTCCAGCCTTGCAAGCTATTGAGTGGTGCAATCCCAGGATAAGTTAGTATGGCTTCTGCTGTAACAGTTAGCATCGCTCTTGCGATGGGCGTCAAAAGACCACGGTAAAGGTCATGTACTATGTATTGTGTATGTATGTGTGTGTGTGTGTGTGTGTGTGTGTGTGTGTGTGTGTGTGTGTGTGTGTGTGTGTGTGTGTGTGTGTGTATGTGTGTGTATGTATGTGTGTGTGTGTATGTATGTGTGTGTAAGTTATGTGTGTGCATGTGTAGGTGTGATCGTGTTATAAATTTGCCTCTGTCCTTCATGTGTCCTCTGTCCTTGTTCCCTCCTCCAGCCGACTTCATTCGACTTCCCAACGTGCAGCGATTGCGAGTGTGTTCTTGCCGGCCAGATCGATAGAACTAACCTCTGTGATGCATCCACGGTACGATTGCAGGAGTGCATTCTGTAATGTTCCCGGCTTCCCATACGTCATCATGTGGAGTATTTTAAAACTTGCCTCGGTGCTCTATTTGTATCTTTTTTCCTATTGCCCCAGTGACCCTTCAGTATCACTTGGGGCGAGACTGAATTTTGTCAGCTACAGTGAGGAACTAGTGCAGCACTACGTTTGAAGATCCAATCACTTTACTGCCATGCTGCAGTTTTAAAAGCAACTTGGATGGTCTGTGTTAATCGTGTGTAGGGTGTTTGCATCAACTGCAAAGTAAACGTTGACCCCAGCAACAAGTGTGAAGTCTGCCGCGATGGGTTCTACGACCTGCTGGACTCAGATGAGGATGGTTGCAAGCGTAAGTTTGTCTTAGATGCGGTCGAGTGTGTGTGTGTGTTGCCTAGCTTGCTGTGTGATCTGGATCTTCCTCTTTGTCGTGGCTAAGAGATGCTGCCGGGTAGGCAGTGCCTCTATCAGTGTCTCTGCACTTGGAAAGAACACAGAGGAATGTGGCTCTTGGGCATTGCACTATACGTGCCATCTTCCCTTGACCGCTTGCCTTGTATTAGTACTGAGCAACACGTGTGCACCATGTACTTTGGAAGAGTACTTGAGAAATAGGTCGTCGTGAGTGAGCTTCTCTTCGTTGTTGTCACTACGACAGTTCTTCAGCATTCCCAGATATCCCAAAGCATACATCCATCCGGTGTAACAATGTGCCCAATTCACAGACAGCACTGTTTCATCCTTTGTGGACTCGAATTGACAAGTCAGTGAGCTGTTGTGACAATATAATTATACTGAAAATAGAATGATCAGCACTGCTACCAGCACAGCTGCCACCAACACCCATGTCCACCTCAGCCATGGCGTAAGGTAACACACGAAAGAAGTGGCAAAGATCCCTTCACAACCGATGACATTGTACTGTTGTTAAGGCTATGATGTATCGGCAGTCCAGGTGAAATACATTTTCCTGCTCTTTTTCCAGCATGCGAATGCAACGTAAATGGAACCGTGAATGCCAATAACGTGTGTGACAAGGTATGTTACTTTGCAGTCTGAGGGTACTTCGTGATGTACATGTACATGGTTGTATAGATGTGCTTCAGAGATGTTTCATACGTGCATCGAGTGTATCGCCAGATGATGTTGGCTCCAACTCCAGTCGACCCTTTTAGATGTTTAGCGCTCAAGCTTTCATTGAAGTCCCACCGTTGTCTGATACAATTACTTTAGCTTGTTTCTAGTGTTGGCTAGACTTTCGCTCTTCCTCTCCTTCTGTCAACTATCCTGGACTCACCTCATGGCGTATTGTATTGATTTTCGTGTTGAAGCGTCTTGGAGGTCTTGTTTTCACTGTGAACACTGTTTTGTGCTTGTATTCGCTGCTGTCAATTCTGCTAGACCACCGGTCAGTGCGTGTGCAAGGCAAACGTCATCGGCCGTCAGTGTGACATGTGTGCCGATAACTTCACCATGTTCAACAGTGATCCAACGGACGGATGTACTCGTAAGTACAGGCAACTTTCCGCGACCTCTCTGCTTTTTGGTTTATAACAAACACCTACATGTAGTTCCAGCTTATGCGGGGGGGGGGGGGGGGAGGGGAGGGGGGAGGGGAGGGGGGAGGGGGTATTACTGAACAGAAGAAGTTCGTAACATTTTGTGTGACCCCTTGTAGCATGAACATAATCTAGTATACATGTAGTAGGGGAGGGTAGTGAAAACATCATGCTGTTTAAGCATTGTTGTGTGCATCGCCTAACCAGACACTGGATGCATTGCCTAACCATCCCCTGGATGCATTGCCTAACCATCCCCTGGATGCATTGCCTAACCATCCCCTGGATGCATTGCCTAACCATCCCCTGGATGCATTGCCTAACCATCCCCTGGATACATTGCCTAACCATCCCCTGGATGCATTGCCTAACCATCCCCTGGGTGCATTGCCTAACCATCCCCTGGGTGCATTGCCTAACCATCCCCTGGGTGCATTGCCTAACCATCCCCTTGGTGCATTGTCTAACCATCCCCTGGGTGCATTGTCTAACCATCCCCTGGGTGCATTGCCTAACCATCCCCTGGGTGCATTGCCTAACCATCCCCTGGGTGCATTGCCTAACCATCCCCTGGGTGCATTGCCTAACCATCCCCTGGGTACATTGTCTAACAAGGCACTGGATGCAATGTGAAGCCCAATGGTTGAAGTGTGTCTGAATGATGGCAACCCAACGGCAACCCAACAACTCAATCGGAAATGTTGTAATTCACTCATGACGGTGGATGGCAGTGCAAGGCGGTGCTATATACTTAGGAATCAATGTGTTGCCCTGGGTTGTCGATTCTGCATGTGTGCTTCAGCTTGCGAGTGCTTCCCGGCGGGTAGCACGAGCCCAGTGTGTAACAAGGACAACGGCATGTGTGACTGTGCCTCAGCGTTCATGGGTACACGATGCGATGAATGTGTGGTAAGCAACACTGCGTGATTGCCACACCGGGCCAGGTCATGACATCATGTAGTAACACTGCGTGATTGCCACACCGGGCCATGCCATGACATGACATCATGTGGTATAATCAGAAGAGAGCAGTTTGCCAGAAAGAGCACGTAGGTAGTCAGCAGACTTTTCATTCAATCGGGCAATAAGAACCTCTCCAATGCTTTTATGCCACTCACTGTACAGTGTATAGTGGTTTTAGTTGCTTTCCGATTGGTAAGGACCCCAGATTTCTAAGCAGCAAACCAGTATCAGTAGCCAATGTATGACTGTGACAAACTGTACTGTACACATTGCAGATCACATGGAGAGTCTGTGTCCATCTGGCCACATTGGCATATATCTCTCGTACATCTCTGTATGCTGGTAAATGTTCCGTCCTTCGGCTACAACTCAGACTCTTGTTACAGACCAAAATGCCAGTGTACTCCGCAATGTTCACCCACATCAAACACTGTCAGCTTACTCCACAATGTTCACCCATGATTTCTTAATACTTAACAAAACACTTTTTTGCGTTTCTTATGCTGCACTATGATTGCTTGTGACCAGCCCCAAGCTTTCGGGTTCCCAGCCTGTGAACCATGCGGTTGCTCCGTGGCAGGCACAGTCAACTCCAACACAAGTTGTAATCCGATGAGTGGCCAGTGTGACTGTCTTAGTACCCATACTGAGAGGAGGTGCGACATGTGTGCGCTTGATCACTTTGGAATGCCGCTGAGCACGGACTCGGATCTCGTGTGTAGACGTAAGTACATGTACACTCTTGCTCGTGACATGCACAACACAATCACAATCTCATCGGCTGCATGAAAACTCCACCACGGGACACAAAGACGTACATGGCAAATTGCGTGGCTGTTTGTGAGGCCTTAGTCAGACCGGCACATGATCTGAGAATGTAGTGATGCTCTGGCAGGGCAGGGGGAGGGTGTGGGGGGGGGGGGGCTTTTTCCACCATTTTGCATGACTGCACCCTTTCTGGGCATTTTGCAGCCGATTTATGTTGCGTGTGGCGTGGCTCTCTGCAGTCTTTGGGTATTCCCTTTATAGACGTTTGACATAACTCTCTGCAGTCTTTCAGTATTTTTAGATGTGTGACGCAGCTCTCTGCAGTCTTCGGATTTTTCCTTCATTGTGTTTGGGGGTTCCTTTCCTTGTCTTCCACAGCTTGCAACTGCAACCAGTTTGGATCAACCAATTCCTCGTGTGACCCAATTTCCGGTCAGTGCAATTGCGTGCCGACAACAACAGGCGTTCGCTGTGACATGTGCCAGCCTCGTCATTTCAACATCACCTCATCCGATGACGGCACAGACACGTTTGGTGGAGGATGTCTGCGTAAGTTAGGCTTGGAAAGAGGATACATAGTACTGAGACGAAATGCCGGGATGGAATAAATCATGCATGATACTTGATAGCGCCCTGGACTACATGTGGGCACAAATACTGTATGCGTGGTGATCTCTCTGTGATTAACTGCTTGCCGTTGCAATAACAAATTCACACAGATACGCACGCACGTACACACGTACACACACACACAAACACATACACACATGCACGCACGCACACACACACACACACACATACACACACACATACACACACACACACACACACACACACACACGCACACACACACATACAATGGCAGCAGAAAGGGTCGTGAGAAACTAGCTGCCCACCGGCGCACCACCAGGCGCCAGGCAGCAGTGTAGCTAGCATAGGCTAAAATAAGAGTGGATACCAGCAGTAGCACAGAGAGCAGGGAAGAACGCACAAGGCTGATAGCAGTGGAGTGGGTGAATTCCACTGCTCCCTGATTGCCCAAGAATGAAAATGGACAACCTGTCTAAAAGAGTTTGTTTTCCTGTGTACCACAGGGTACTCCAAACACACACACACACACACACACACACACACACACACACACATACACACATACACACACATGCGCACACGCACACATGCGCGCGCACACACACACACACACACACACACACACCACACCACACACACACACACACACACCACACGCACACGCACGCACACACACACACACACACACACACACACACACACACACACACACACACACACACACACTGGTTTCATTCCTTTTAAAAGACTGTCGAACGACTCCTGTATGGTAACCGGTTGTTTTGCTGATTGTGCGCACTGCAGGTTGCGACCAGTGTACGGATGATCTGCTGAACCGCGCCTGCCGTCAGGAGAGCATTGTCCTGAATGCCACCATCCGCGTCAACTCGTCGGAAGTGCGTGGACTAATCGAGTCGAGCAACGCCCTGGGACCTTTGGAGGACCGCTATCGTCCACTGCGTGTGAGAACACCCACAGTGCACATTTAGCAGTTCATGGGTGTCAAGATAGAGGCCTTAGTGCCAAGGACATTACATGTATCAATTATTGCATACGTGAACTCTCTACAGTCATTGTAGGAGGCCAGAATCGAAAGATAGCAGACTACAGACATCCCGGTTCTGATGCCCCTGCGTCAGTGTAGCTATCCTTCCCTGTGTGCCGGTGTACTGTCAAAGAGCCGACGGCCCACGCGTTGCTGAAGGTTGTAGTCAAAGTTAGTCATTCCCTGCCCTTTCTTCGCTCATCTTCTTCTCCTCCAGGCTATGACTTGTTGATGGGTTCTTTATCCAGCTTCCTGACTATCTGATATCATGACACATTACCGGTACTTGAAGCGGCCGGTAGCGATCACACTCGGTTGGACCGGCATTTTTACTGATACATGTACATGTATGTTTGCCTATCTTCACACTGTTGCAGATGTCCACCAATACTTGGAGAGCGGCTCAGATGGATCAGCTAGAGCGCTTGGAGGTCTTGCGGCAAATCGAGTTGAATATCAATACCAACATATCTGTTCTGCTAACTCGGGTAGGTTGGAGGTGCTGGTCGCACTTTATCAGTGCTATTGTTTTCCTTGCCGTTTCATTCATTGTTGTGCCGTGACTATACCCCAAAGCAGATGAGATGCTCGTATGGACAGCATTCCTGGCTGCTATATTGTGTGTGTGCTATTTCATGCATTGTACACACATCATGTACGTCTACATGTGCACGGGCAACTTATTTACATTCAGAGTGCTCGGACCCCCTCCCACACACACATACACACACACACACACACACACACACACACACACACACACACACACACACACACACACCCGTCCTCATTTTCTCCCATTTTGATACCAAGCATGCATTCATTCCTATAGCCAATCTCTACACCGGAATGATTTGGTGAGAGATGGAAAAGAATGACGGTGAAAATTGCGTGCTTGAGGTGGCACCACATGTTCTGTGACAAGTCACTATGCACCCAATGTGTTGTCACAGTACTCAAAGTCTCGTATGCGGCGGTGGTCATTCGCCTTTGTCCACCTTGCCACCATTATAAGGGAAACTATCCCATGCTGTGTCTCCTTGCTTGCTCTCGTAGGCTACAATCAATGAAGTTGAGGCTCGGCGTGTCCAGAATCTGGCCTTCATTCAACTCCAGCGCATCAATGCTTTGATTCAAACGTTCTCACAAATCTTCACAACTGTCAACGGTGAGATGAGACAGACAGCTTATACTCTGCGTACATTTTAATTGTAACTCGGATGGTGGACCTTTCCGAACCTGAGCCTTCCAAGTTGGAAGGTTGTTGGTTTGCGCCTTGGAGAAGTGTTGGAGCTACGTGTCAGGTCGCCGAATGTCTCAGTACTCCTTGTCAGTTTTGTGCCATTTTGTCGCACTCGCTGACTGTATAAGATCTGGTTACGTTGGTGGACAGTTAGTCATAACTCGTAACAATTTGTCCTTCTTCTTTTCACAATTACATTTTAATTAATGAAGTAAAGTCACTAAAATGATTTCCGTTTTGTTGCCAAGTAGGAATTCCTGGTCACACATACGTAGTATCCTGTGCCCTGGTCACACATACATAGTATCCTGTGCCCTGGTCACACAAGCATGCAGGTAAAGTATCTTGTGTTATTGTACACATCCATGGATATGCATGGATATGCATGGATATGCGTGGATGTGCGTGGATGTGCGTGAGCGTGCTTTTCTCCACCGAGGACTGCTCTGAGAATACATTGATACTGACTTGCACACTGATACTGCTTGGCTGATGGTTGTGTCCTTCAGACAATACTATATTGCTGGCGCAGGCTCTGCAGGACCTTCGCAATCTCCGCAGCGCCTCCCAGAGCATTGTCGATGAGTCTGCTGCTGTTCAATCGCTAACCTTTGACATGGAGGAACGGGTTGTGAGGTATGCGTATCAAAATGCAACGCAGCTCAGAAACACCTCAGGTAAGAACTAAACACGCAATCACTCCTACTTTACTTGTTTCATTCTACGTATTCACAAGTTTGAGGGAGTTGAGAAATGGAAAGCGGGGACATATTAGTGGTTACGTTTAACTGCTCATTATGCATGCGACGTTCTATAATTTGTTGTTGCTGCTGCTGCTGCTGCTGCTGCTGCTGCTGCTGTTGTTGTTGTTGTTGTTGTTGTTGTTGTTGTTGTTGTTGTTGTTGTTGTTGTTGTTGTTGTTGTTGTTGTTGTTGTTGTTGTTGTTGTTGTTGTTGCTGTTGTTGTTGCTGCTGTTGCTGTTGTTGTGGCTGTTGTCGTCTTCGCCGCCGCTGTTATTTCCGTTCCCGTGGTGATTGTTCTACAGCCACTCAGCAGGGTCGCGCCATGCGTAACGCCGCCACCGCCGATGAGCTAGCCAGTCGCCTGCAAGACGCTATTGCTGCCCTAGACACAGCCCTAGTGCAGCGCATTGTGCAGTATGCTGCTGACATTGACGCTGGCCTTACCGCTGTGAATGGAGTGCTGAGTGAGGGTGAGGTAAGAAAAACAGTGCTGCCAGGACATTGGAAGGAGGGAGGTGAGCAGTAGAGAAGGGCGGGGGTGACTTCAATATAGCTAGAAATCATGACACATCACAGTCAGTAGGCAAAACCATTGCGAATTCTCTTAAGATAACATCCACAACTCCTGACAGCCATTTCACTGCCAGTCAGTTTCTGGCTGAAATACGCATTGGGCTGCATGGAGTTCTCTTGCTCAAAGAGCCAACCCAATGTACGATTGGTTGTGTACCACGTACTCTTGTGGATGTGACATGTAATGACCAAGCCCTGAGCGCTGGTACATGCTCTCGTCCTAGCTCGGTCCAACCTAATGGCACGGATCCACTTTAATATCTGCACATGCACGCTAAAGCACGCACTAATGACCAGTAGGAAGGTCGCTCAGAATAATATTGGCCTATAGTACGGGCTATAGTTATGTTGTCTGATGATTGTCTCGCAGTGCATGGAACTTACTTGAAGTTACAGCTCCAGCAGCCTCTCGTATCCTGTAATAGTGCATGCCACTCTGCACTGCTGTGCCGCTTGAGCCATCTTCCGAGCTGCCCCAACTGGTATTGTGTGCACCTACGCCGTCCACAGAGACTGGTGCAGGAAGCAGTTCTAGGTCGCAGTCGCTACATGGGATCTATTGCACTGACCAGTGGTGCTAACACTGCAGCCTACAACGCCCTGGATGCTGCTCAAGCTAGCCTTGATATGGTAAGAATGTACACATCGTGGCAGGCGTCTGATAGTTCCACGCCTGGTCGTATTGCATCCTGTCTACTACGGGTAGTGGAGTGCATCGCTGTGCATCGCTGCTGTTGCAAACTGTATGGTACTGACTTTGTATACAATCATGCAGGTTTGAGATTTCTGCACGGTGTGAATGCTGTGTTCATTTTTGTACTTTGAAGTAGCAAGAATGACCAATCACTCGCACACCTAAGTCCTTGGGGCTGTGGGAGGGGAGTAGTCATATTCCTAGGCTGTGAATGTTATACTCCAGGGCTGCACTGTCACGGCTATGTTGACGGTCAGGGTCACTTGCAGGATTTGCTCCAGTGTTCTCCGGGGCCTCATGTTGGTGCCAGTGTGTGGGAAATTGTGAAGCCGAAGGGTTACCCCCCCCCCCCCCCCCCCGGTTGTATGAGCATGCCAGGTTTGCTCAGCTGATACGTCATGCTCAGGAAGTGCCCACGTGCACGTGTATATACAAACCGGCATGACCAAGTGACTCAACTTAGTGGTCATTCTCGTTGGAGCAGTTGAATTATGCTGTGCAGCAAACATTTTGAGATTACCTGTAGTTGTAGTTAGTTTCAAATTTCATGTTTGTTTTCATTTCACTTCACCAGATGTGACTCGTACACAGGCATTTCTGCCTTCTCATCTAACCAAACGGCTAGACTCCCGATAAAAGATGAACAAACGTATTCCCTTGCCTACCCTTGTGTGTATCATTCTAGGTGATCAGCGCGTTGCAGACGATAACAACTTACCTGCCACAGCTGACCAACCTTCGTGGTGACATCATGCGTGATCTAACCGAAAACTCACCAGCAACTACCTACTACCTGGTGACCATTGCTGAAGGACTACTGGCACCCAGGCAAACATACGCTTATCAAATTGAGAAGTGAGTCTTGCTGCTGGTGATATTGTTTGTTGCATAGCATAGCCAGGGAGCAAAGTAACCACTCCACCCAGTAGGAGAGGGTCATATTGTTTGTTGAATAACCAGGGAGCAAAGTACTGAACCACTCCACCCAGTAGGAGAAGGGTCATATTGTTTGTTGCATAGCATAGCCAGGGAGCAAAGTGCTGAACCACTCCACCCAGTAGGAGAGGGGTCATAATGTTTGTTGCATAGCCAGGGAGCAAAGTACTGAACCACTCCACCCAGTAAGAGAGGGGTCATATTGATTGTTGCATAGCCAGGGAGCAGAGTACTGAAGCACTCCACCCAGTAGGACGTCCAGGTACACTCTTCTGCTATCACCATGGACTCTGACATACCAATTACCAATTACCAATTCCAAAACGAAACTGAAGTTTCAAGATAATAAATTCGCTGCATGCAATATTTGTGGACTCGAGTTTTCTCGGCTTCATTAGCAGAAGGAACAGAACCTGATGCAGAGGCAGTGCAAACCACATCCAATATGACCCTGTAGGTTGGGTTTACTAAGTCTTGTACTCAGTCCCTCAGGATGGCAAAGCCGAATAGTCCATGGTCACTGAGCTATTCGTACTCATGATGCCTGTGCATGTACTCGGCACTGTTGATGTAGCCTTTTCAACAGCACTCAACCCCACGCTGCTGAGGCAGCCGAGCTCATTATTGACTATCGTATGGCTGATGAAGACCTGCAAAATTCCACAGCGTTGCTGCTCCAGGGGGAGAATGCCTTCAACGCGGCATCCACTGCGGTAAGGCGTGTAGAGCCCTGCAATTCTGTTATTGCCATGGTGTCTGTGAGAAGTACGAACTATTTCTCAGACCAGATAGATAGTAACTCGGAAGTAGCGACAAACTCAGCCCGGGATTTGAAAATAGTCCACCTCTCCACACTGCGCTCTTGGCCCACATTCACAACACCATACTCTATAGCGAGGAAGTCCGTTCTTGGATAGATGTTCCATATCCTCCAGTCAGCTGTTTAGCTCATTAAGAGCTCCTCAGTGGAGGTAGATAAGGAATGAATAGCAGGTAAAGGAATGAGTATATTTATAGGGTAAAGTGGCACAATTGCACACTTTCTAGGGTAAAGTGGCACGATTGCACACTTTCTTTCGCACTAGGAGGCTTGCCTTCACCTTCTGAAATAGGTGGGAGGCTTGCCTTCATCTTTTAAAAATAGTTGTGAGGCTTTCCTTTATCTTCTGAAACAGGTAGTAGGCATGTGTTCATTTTCCAAAAACAGGTGGTAGGCTTGCCTTCATCTTCCGAAACTGGTGGGAGGCTTGCCTTCAACTTCCGAAACAGGTGGGAAGCTTTCTCTCATCTTCTGAAACAGGTGGCGGGCATGTGTTAATCTTCTGAAACAGGTAGGAGGCTTGCCTTCGTCTTCTGAAACAGGTGGGAGGCTTGCCTTCGTCTTTTGAAGCAGGTGCCGGGAGGCTTGCCTTCATCTTGTCAGGCCCTACCATGCATACACGCTTTGTTCTTTCCATTTCTGATATGTCTTCCAACAGGCTGCAAACGCAGCTGCAACTCAACAGCAGGCTCATGTGCAGCTGATGCAGAGTAATACTCTTCTCGGAGAGGCCAACGCCATCTCTCAATTCATTGGTGAGCAGTAGTCTGATAACATGTAGTTGCCACGGCTACAGTTAGTCTAGGTTAGCATCCCCACACCTCACAACAGAGCAACCGAGTTTGGGATTGAGCTGGGAGTGCCGATTCGAGCAACTGGTATGATGGCTCTGATTGGAGCCACTAGATGACTCGCAGCTGAGCCGGCAAATGACTCCGCTTGGAGCCGCCGAATGACTCCGCATGGAGCCGCCGGATGACTCGCATGGAGCAGGCAAATGACTCCGCATGGAGCCGCCAAATGACTCCGCTTGGAGCCGCCAAATGACTCCGCTTGGAGCCGCCAATGACTCCGCTTGGAGCCACCAATGACTCAGCTTGGAGCCGCCAATGACTCCGCTTGGAGCCGCCAATGACTCTGCATGAAGCCGCTAAATGACTCTGTGTAGAGCTGCCAACTGATAAATATTATAGGTATGAATAACCAGTTAAGAGCATTATTCTCATGGACTATACGAATAGAGTCATGTGTGCGCCAGAAACGTGAGTTGAGGTAGTGGGTGGGAGGGTGGGAAGGAAATTGTGTGGGAACAAATTTTCCGCAAGTTGCACGCTCGAAAGTCAAAACAGCAATGACATGCAAAAGACATTGTACAGGATCTTGAAGGGCGCGTGCCCGCGTGACTCGCGCATGTGCGCTGGTCGGGCCAGCTCACTGGCCTGGCTGCTAACTTGCGTTAGCACGCTAACCCTCATAAGGCCCCGACTGAACGGGGCTAATGCGGGGAGGGCTAAGCTGTGATGAAACCGCACTTGTGGACAGCGGCAGAATGCGAGATAAATCAACATGATGTGGCTAGAATAGTACTGGATATATGTAGCTCTTGAAGTGCCGTGTTTGCCCGTTATGCTCCATCCACCAAGGGTTCCCTTGGTCTATTTCCCTGGATGGCCCAACCCGGGCCAGCGGTAGCGACTATAAACTTTGGGAGTGTGTGTGTGTGTGTGTGTGTGTGTGTGTGTGTGTGTGTGTGCATGCATGCGCATGCGCATGTGTGTGTGTGTGTGTGTGTGTGTGTGTGTGTGTGTGTGTGTGTGTGTCCCATATGGTGCAGTGGTATGTGCAGTCGATTTCCAATCGAGAGGTTGCGGGTTCAATTCCCGACGATTATGGTCGCACACGTCTTTCTTCTCTTTCTCGGACTCTTCCTGACTTTTCTTTCATTCTCCTGGGTGGTTACCAACAGCCAGTGTATGCCGGAGTATGTGGTGTGGTGTGTGTGCGTAAAAATGGAAAAATGAAAAATAGGGATTCACTGGCCAGAAAAAGTCACTTCAAACAGCTGTGTGGTGGATACCAGGCTAAAAATAGTGGCGGTCAATTCATCAGCCTTGCAAGCTGTTGAATGGTGTAATCTCAGCACAAGTTGCTATGTCTAACATAGCTGTTCGCTATCATCGCTTCCGCGATGGGCATGTCTGAGGTCTGAGGTGTGTGTGTGTGTGTGTGTGTGTGTGTGTGTGCATATGTGCACATGTATGTGTGTGTGTGTGTGCGTGTGTGTGTGTGTGTGTGTGCATTTACGCACGTGGGAGGGGGTACAGCAGAATACGGTGACCAGTAAACCGACTTCCAGTTGCTCAGATGTACGAAGTCCTCCATACTCAGTAAAGTTGTGCAGGTTTCCTTTGTGCAGGGAGCTTTCCGATTGCACTGGGAGTAAGTTTCCCAGTAACAGCAGACTGATGACATTCAGATGCGTCATGTTTTCTGCGGGCAATAGCTATCAAGTGCCTGCTGGCTGTGCGGGAGTCAAGCTCACACACACAAGCACCAATAAGTGACGAATGTAGCAGCAATTTTACCCTCGACGGGGGGAGGGGGGGGGGGGGCATTGTAGTAAAGTTAGTAAAGTATTATTCCCTATCACATAGAACATTCAGGATTTTGTATTGTATATCACATACAATTGGCAATCGGACTACTTGACGGTGTGTACATTTCCTTGCAATGTTTGCTCTTTCCATCACTGCAATGATCACTAGGCCAGCAATTCGCTCAGGGAGGCGCCATTCTTCTGGAGATCGGTGAAGAAGTGCAGAATGCCTCGCTCAGATTTCAGGCTGATAGCTTCGAATGCTTGGATCTCTTTCAGCCGATTACCAGTAAGGACATACAGTGTGCCTTTAACCGTATACTGTATTTGGATTTAACCATATCCTGTATTTGGAGAAGTTGTAGTTATGCAAGTTTCCAGGCAGTTTTGCCACGGCCGATTTGTAGTTTGTTTTGGGTTTGAACCTCCAGCCGTTGTCTCTTCTTCTTCATTTTTCCTCCAGCAAATGGTGAAATAATCCAAAACCAAATCAACAGCATATTTCCTCTGGTAGATTGTGCCACCAATGCTACCGCTGAGTACCAGCCACGCATAGAGCAGACGTATGGAGACCTGAGCACAGCAGAGGTGACAGCCAACAGTGCTGTGACTGGTGCTGCCGAGATCAATAACGACCTGGCAGTGCTGGAAGCCAGACGTAAGTCCTTGTGAAACTCACCGGCGCTGACAGACCAGTATAGTAGAGTGAACATGCAATGAGCAGTGCAAGTACACTCAATAATAGTTGAACTCAATAGTACACCCGAATACACTCACGCACATACGTATACGCACACAGCTTACACACACTACATTGTGTTTTACACACACATTGCCAGAAACTGGTCACGAGTATCTCCCAGAAGACGGGGAGAGAGATTCGAAAGGAATCTTGAAGAATGACTCAAATGGCTAGGTCTCACAAGCACCATTGATTACACCGAGCTTGATCGAGTCGTACACACCTACCCACACACATGTTATGGAACTTCAGTCACGCAGGCATGCACGCCAACTCGACCAACAGGCAGTACGAAAGTAACTAGTTGTTATTCAGGGAAGAACATTTCAGAGAGAGAGAGAGAGAAAACAAGTTGAGAGCAAAACGACAACATAAGAACTACTAATGAACTCATCGCAAAGAGTTCCCAAAAGGCAACTGAGTACAGCCAACTCAGATGCATATGGATTATCGGGCTAGAGCGATACTGAGTGCGGTGGTACGACTTCTACGCACAGCACGCAAGACTCGCAACAACGCACTATACCGGAACTAACGATAGCATGATAAGACTGAAAGCGTGCATACAGCAAGCAATGCAAAACAAAGGAAACACATCCATGCATCGTGTGCAGCAGACCACGATGATTGATGAAAGGGCAAACTGTCATCCTGGGTGAAACACTACCCATGTAGGCTTACAGCATGATCAATGAATAGTGAAGCAATAGACAGATAGATAGGTTCAGTTATATATACATTACACACACGTGCATGCACATATGTGCACACACACCCACGCCGGCGCACAGACACACACACACACGTGCACGCACACACACACACATGTGCACACACACGTGCACACACACACACACACACACACACACGCACGTGCCAGTGCAAACACACGTGCAAACACATGTGCACACACACCCAAACACTCACAATTGTTGACCAGCCAGGAACAAAAATAGAGGATGTTCAACTTGACTTGGGAGCTGGTGCATGTACCTGCTCACCAAACCACCTTTCATTTGAACTTGCACACACAGGTATCGGTATGGGCAATGAAGTTGCAAATGTCACTGATGGTGTTGCTCGTCTACAAGTGGCAGCTCAACAAGCTAACCAATCACTGGATGATCTTCTATCCCGCCTCGAACGCATCAGAGGTCGCTTGACCGTGGCTCAGACTGCTTATAGGACTGCCAACTTCTGCTGCGAGTCACTGCGTCTTGATGTCTGCCCCAACAATGACAACTTGGTGCGCTTGGCTACAAGTAGCAGTTATATTCGATTTGACCCCGGGCACAATGGTGCGCAGCCATTTGATTTCAATGGAGACTTGTAAGTGAATCATGGTCGTGTTCCTTATGTCTTGGCGTATTCTGCACTGACCCTCTTTGCTCTTTAATTCTATCGTCATCATAACATTGGGCATCAATGCCCGCTTGGTTTGTGATGTAAAATGAAACTTCAAACAAACTAACCCCGTTCTTTCTCTTGTATTCCTGACCTGTTCTCTTGTATTCCTGACCTGTTCTCTTGTATTCCTGTCCTGTCTTTGAATGTAGTGTTGATCTCGAGTTCCGCACACGAGAGTTTGATGGCGTTCTGGTGTACTTCGCCAACCAAGACCAGAGCCAGTTCTTTGGAGTGGAGTTGCGCAATGGAAACACTATTTCTGTGCGCGCCACCAGAGCTGACGGGGGCACCGCTTCATTCGAAGCCCCAGGAACTTACAACGACAACATGTTCCACTCGGTACGTCACAGCAAGATGTAATATTCGTTTGTTATTATTTGTCTTCGTGCCAAGAATGTAATGATGTAGGGTAGAACTCTTATAAGACGTATACCCCCATGGGCTGCAGGAAAGTGTACTTATTGCCCCAGGTACGTCTTGAGTTGTTATCCCAACATACTACTCCAGCATGGATGGATACCGCACCCGTGCTCTGGGCAATGTCCGTACTAAACAAGAGAATGATGTCTTATCAGAGTATGTAGCAAGCCAGGTCCACTGTATTCTGTAAACTGGCCAGTTCTTTGCATGACACACACTGGCATACGCTGAAATAGTTGTTGCATACTGCACCCTGTTGTATGTATGCTATGATCAGCTATAGCACTGTGACCTGCATAGCAGACATTTACTGAGTTGGTAGTTGACAACAAAGTGACTGTCTGCAGACAACAGGAACTCTGGGTGGTGATGTCACAGGATGGTACTAGCAAGTACATGATTGTACTGTTGGTACCAACTGAACATCCTGACAAATCACTGGTCACTGATCACACGCTACGTGGTGCCCAGCACTCTCTCTCTTTGACCACCTTGATTTTGCCACACCAACCGCAAGTGATTTGTCGGGATTTCTCTAAACCTGGCTGTACATTGTCATGATGGTGTTTGCGTTGCTGTTCTTCTCAGTTGAGACTTGCTATCCTCGGCCCGCTCTACTTCCTTAGTATTGACAATGGCCCGTTCCTGTTTGCCACCTTCACCACGCCTGGAGCATTCACCATCATCAACGCTCCGCTGTACATCGGTGGCACACCCACTGTGGCACAGGGCCTGCTGCGCCCCGGAGAGATGGTAAGCAAGCAGACAACTATACCGGATATAATGCCTTTCTCCTCGCCACGCACCTCGGCTTTCAAAGTACTAGTATATACATGGAAGTGCATGTAACGTTATGTACTTACTTTATACTTGCCTATGACTAGTTGTGTTGTTCATCTCAGAGGGTGCAAGGGTAGGTCTAACCTAAGCAACTGAACACGGTTATAAAGATATACAGGACATGCATGACATACATGTCATTGTGTCGCCATCAACCGCCGTTGTTACAATGAATTTTACATGTAAGATAGATTTTCACTAGTTGAGGGAATGAAAAAGGGAAAAGTCTGAAGAAAATTTCACTGTCACCACCAGGACTCGAACCGAATCAAAAATCCAAAACCCCAAAAGCAAAAAATAAGCTAAATTTGTTCATTGTCGCCTCGGTCCGCATACATGCTCTTGCACTTGATCCCAAGCACACTATTTCCTCAGTAGCAGTTCTTCCACAGAAGGTCGGCTACAATAACACAATGCCTTTGCCTACAAGCACGTGCACACCAAGGTGATATGAGAAACACTGCCAGGGTGAGCAAGAGGAGCAAGATACTGGCAGTTGTGAGTGAGTTCAATGACCAGCTTTTAGGCAACAATTAAAATCAGTTACGCAATTAAGCTGTGCATAATACTAGTGAGAATTCCACTGAGAGAAACAGTTCAGTAAAAAGGGTTTGCTCCCACGCTGGAGCTCGCGCTTTTCCGCCGACTTGACTTGACACCCGACGAGAAACAGTTGGTAAGGACTATTTGTCACGTTCACCATCTTTTCTTTCCTTTTTGTTGCTTGCAGACTCGCCCGTCACTCATCGGCTGCTTCCGCAATGTCGTATACAACCAGGTGCAACTCAATGTTCTGTAAGCTGGCAACACTCTATGCAAAGCCTGCACGCACCAGCATTGCACTGTTGTATTGACCGGGTGTTGTGCGAATGACATCGTCGCATTTGCTTTGTACTGAGTGGCACTAGAAAGAAGTGCATGTGATGCCACAGTTTGCCATTCCATACAAAGTATCTCATGTGATGATGTAATCACATTACCCCTATTACCTAAGCCGGGTTGGTTGGGGGGGGGGGGGGGGGCGGCAGCAAGTCTGGCTGCTCGGACCGTTCTTCTCTCAACCAACCCCCATGCTCTGCCACTATCAATGGAGCTGGCATAAGTAATAGCACAGTGGTGGCAAAACACTGGCATTCAAGTTTGATGTTTAGCGACCTCCACTATTGTCATATGTGTAAGAATTCATGTGAACAACCACAATCTGTCGCATGCTCAAGTGAAAGCGGTACTACTTCACCTAGAAATTTCACCATTGACTCATGAAAATGAAAAATCATCCTGCTTATTGTTTTCCGCCATAGTTGTGTTGCCGCATGGGGTACAAACACGTACAAAGTAACGTTACCGCTCCTGTTTCCAGAGAGAATTCTAGTACAATGAAGTTACTAGTTAGAGCAGAGGGAATTCTGGCACAGAGTTGAATCAACTTTCAAGTGCCTCTTCTTCTTCTCTCTCTCTCTCTCTCTCTCTCTCTCTCTCTCTCTCTCTCTCTCTCTCTCTCTCTCTCTCTCTCTCTCTCTCTCTCTCTCTCTCTCTCTCTCTCTCTCTCTCTCTCTGTCTCTCTGTCTCTCTCTCTCTCCCCCTCTCTCTCTCTCTCTCTCTCTCTCTCTCTCTCTCTCTCTCTCTCTCTCTCTCTCTCTCTCTCTCTCTCTCTCTCTCTCTCTCTCTCTCTCTCTCTCTGTCTCTCTCTCTGTCTCTCTCTGTCTCTCTCTCTGTCTCTCTCTGTCTCTCTCTGTCTCTCTCTCTCTGTCTCTCTCTGTCTCTGTCTCTCTCTCTCTCTCTCTCTCTCTCTCTCTCTCTCTCTCTCTCTCTCTCTCTCTCTCTCTCTCTCTCTCTCTCTCTCTCTCTCTCTCTCTCTCTCTCTCTCTCTCTCTCTCTCTCTCTCTGTCTCTCTCTGTGTCTCTGTCTCTCTCTCTGTCTCTCTCTCTGTCTCTCTCTGTCTCTGTCTCTCTCTCTTATCAAAATTTGAACTGATGCATTACCAAATGACAAAACAAGTTCTCTCTCTTTCTAAAATTGCAGGGAACCCAGCTTCATATCTGGTCATATCCCGTGCAATTGTACTCTTGGTAAGTGTAACCATCAATGCTATGCCTTTTCATCACTGATCCAATCCAAGTACATGTGCTATGCATGTGCGTGTGCGTGTGCTGCTTGATGTAATGCAAGATCTTCTGCCTTGACGGCGTGCGCGTGTGTGTGTGTGTGTACACATGTGTGTGTGTGTGTGTGTGTGTGTGTGTGTGTGTGTGTGTGTGTGTGTGTGTGTGTGTGTGTGTGTGTGTGTGTGTGTGTGTGTGTGTGTGTGTGTGTGTGCATTTGTGTGAATGCATGCTTGAAAAGTTGACACATGGAACACATAGCTAATATTGAAAATGTAGGATACCATCATTGTATAATTGCCGGTATGCCCTTCTGTCTATCTGTCTATCTCTACTTATGTGCATGCCCACAGATGCTCCAGGGCCAACAACGCCACCGCCAACCACAACTCGTGAGAACATGCACTATAGCACAGTCTGAGTGTGCATTATTTCACAACCCTATGGCAACGTATCAATAACTGAAGAGGTGAAATGTCGGCTTAAGCCAACAGCCGACCTCTAGCCTCTAGCCGGCCTCTGCATACATTGCATGGGCCATGAACATTGAGGCACATGCACTAGCTGTGCCATTGTTACTCAAGCCCCCTACTTATTCCCACATCTCCAACTTGTTCATAGGTCAAACATTTGTAGTAGGATGATGGCATGCCTGTGTTTCACTTTACCATACTGGTGCCTTCTTGTTATCCACAGCTCCCACAGTGGTGCCAACACTGGCACCATGCATGAACGTTACACCAGCTGTTGGTCAAGGTGTTCGCCTCAACGGCGGCCTAGCCAGCGATTCATTCTTGCAGTTTGGACGCCGAGCGGATGCCATTGCTCCACTCAACTTCCAGGAAGGGTAATACTATAGAGCCACTAATGATCACCCACTGAACATTTGTCTTTCGGGATTGTGGACATGTTTGTCTTTCTTGGCCCCAGGCCGCATAACATTCGCCCTAACTCTATGTGCTTGCACCAGGCACGGTTTCTTAGGAGGGTCTAAGTCTTTATTTGACAAGTCCTGAAGATGTTCCCTACTGGAAGGGTAGGTGGAGTGACGAACAGGGCCTGAAGTGAACAGACAATATCGAGGGATCTGATTCAACATTTTTCAAGCTGTATTGAGCACAAGATGACAGCGGCACATAGTGAATTTTATTTTCGAATGGCCTACATGTATCGGTTGACTTGGGGCTGGATAGCGCTGCAGATAAAGATGACTGTGTTGCTTTGTATAGATGTTTGTCTCAGTCCAGTGTGAAGAACAATCAGTACTAGCCATGGTCAGTTAAGAGATGCTTTGTTGTGGATCATACCTTTCCTGCAGTGCCCTGCTGACTATCTCGTTCCGAACCTACGCCCAGGATGGGGTACTAGTGTACATGTCCAATGCCGATCACACTCATGTCATCGCTGTGGAAGTGCGCAATGGTTACGTCAGCACTGTCGTTCGGGGTGGCGGCACCCAGCTGCGTGTCTCATTGACACTGGTGCCGGTATCCGATGGAAACGTACATCAGGTATGCACAATTCGGGGGCGTAGCTGGTCCCCCTTTTAGGAGGGTGCACGACCGCATATGTGTAGGATGGCTGGTGCATATAATTATCATTCATGGTCATTATGTGCGTGCTGAACCTAGGTCAAAATGTTTAGGGGGTGGGGGGGGGGGGGGGGTGCACGTGCCCCCGTGCCCCATGCGGGCTACGTGCCTGGCATTGTGCACCGCTTCTCCCTGTGTTGTTGTCTATAAGCAACTGCTGTAGAGTCTGGGTTGGTTCACTGTACATGTATTTAGGAGACTCCGCGCTTCATTCCTGACACGCTCTATGCCCAGGAGTGTAAGTTAAGTGCTGGCACCTTCCAAAACCTCAGGAGAGTGGTCGGAGTCAGTGCGGTGCATGGCTCTCATGTTCTTGGTTTGATATTGATGGCCTTCGTTCGAAGTCCTTGATAAGCTCTGCAGGTAATTTGCTTGTACTAGCCTCTGCGACGGAGGCAGGTTCATCATGCTGTGGCAGTGCTATTGGCAGTGCTATTAGTTATATTCGTGAACAACCATGAGCATGCCAGCATGTAGCTTCACAACTGCTGTGCTTTCTCTTCCTTGCTGTACAGATCGACTTGTTTGCAGTCCCAACTGGAGGCAACTCCGGCATCATCTTCTTGGTGGTGGACGACACCAACAACCCGGCAAACAGCTTCCAGGAGTTCGAAGTCATTGGAGATTCATTTGACTTCAGCGACAGCAACCTCTACGTCGGCGGTGCTCCTAGTCCAGCAGCACTGCTCATGACCGGGGAAACGGTAAGCATGCTTCTAAAAGGAGTACAGTGATACAACGAAAACCAATATCTACCCAGTCCTAGTTCTTTCCAGGGTTCATCTGCTAGCCATTGCGGAAAGGCTGGAGCTGGACACTCCTGCACGCTCAATGAACGGTCTATGCGTCCAGTATTAACTCGGAAGAAGGCTGCTGAACTGGAATATAGCGTCGTACAATAATGACAATATGAAGTTTGTCTCCTCCGTTGGTCTGCGGATTCCATCAACATCAAGTCACCGAGTGTTGCTTAATAGATTGCTGTGCCTTGCTTTCCTGTACTCTTGCTCACAGACACGACCCGCACTGGATGGCTGCATGCTGCAGTTCGTTCAGCAGAGCGCAGTCCTGGACTTAGGGTGAGTCATGCAACGCCAACTTGATTGTTGGCTGGTGTTTGGTCTCTACAATTATTGTAGCATTGGTAAACTGGCCTTCCTACTGAAGACCCTGAGTGCTCAATTCCTCTTTCTTACTACAATGCCTGACTGCTAATGAAGACCCTGAGTGGTCAGTTCCGCTCAAGTTCTCACTGCCATGCCCGACTGTTTGCTTCCCAACGACATTGACGATATCAATGATATCAATGATCATATCAGTTGTATGCCTATTCTGCGGGGATGTTACACATCTTGATCACATCAGTTGTATGCCTATTCTGGTATGTTACACATCTTCATGCAGCTCATACACGGCTCAGCAAAACACTGGTCCCTGCTTCTTGCGACCGATCTTGGGTCTTCGATTCCCTGGTTCCGGATACGCATCATTTGGTGAGTACATGTATAATTGTCGTGTGCACTGAATAAGTGGGGTTGGGAAGGTGTGCGTGTGTATGGGGGGGGGGGGGGGTGAATAGTCATGCACACGAAGATCACCTGCTGTAGGTCTTGCTCCTCGCGTGTGATGTCACTGAGAACGCTTTATAGATACTGCTCCCTCTTCACAACTGCTCGGTGGCAGGACCTAGTCTTTCCGGTTGATTGGTGGCACTCAGTGACAGTGTATAAGTGATAACGAAACTACTAGTGACTTGGCTGGTCTTATTTACAGTGGTGTTGAGGGGTAGCATGCCTTTTGTCACTGAAATTTCCACAGCGGGGTCTTGAGAAAAGGCTTTAGTTAGATTTCTCCATGATATTGCAAGTACGAACAGTGTTGCTGTTTCAAAATGGCATGGCAATGAAGCCTTTTTATACTCATACCGTGGTATGAACCTCATGCACCTATCTTTGCATTGCTGTTTTCCAGAGGGCCTGGTAGCAAACACCCCATCGCAGGTGCAGCTGACACTGCGCACCTCCACGCGCGCCGGCTTCATCTTCCACGTTGGCAGTGCTACAACGGGCACCAGTACAGCCTACATCACACCCATGGGAATGGTAAGCTAACTAGTTAGACACTAGTACAGCCTACATCACACCTAGGGGAATGGTAAGCTAGAGACTCTTCCGTGAATCCGTGACCCTACTATAGACTCCTATCTTAATTGTTTACAGAGGCCCCCTGGTAACTGGCCTATCGATAGCCATAGAGAACGTAGTGGGGTTGCGATTGAAAAATTCCAGTTTGGATCTCGATGCGATCGTGCCCATGGCGTGCAGCGCATGCTCAGCCGGGCACCAAAAGGTTACTCATGTGCAGTGACACAGCATCCCGCATATGCCTAGCCCAACTGGTGTGACCCAGCAAGTTAGAGTTCACCGTGGTCTGGCGTGAATGGTATACACACACAGTGTGGTGTGCACTGTCCACTGGACGTAGACATGCTACAGGGTACATTACCTGTGACTTGTGAGTGTCAACATATATTTTCGCTTCCAAGGGTTTTTCGACAAAACACTAGTCGTTCAGCATCTCCTACCCGTTTGTTTCATGTTCGCTTTGTTCCTTGGTGGGCAATGCTTGCGAGATGCTCAAACATCTCTGTTCGGGCATCAGTGCTTCCATAAGAACGAAGTGGCACTTTTAATGATTTTTTGTACACAAATCCTTATGTAGTGGTAGGGTGAACTCCTCTAATTTCGGGGAAGTGCACGAGTTCGATAGGGAGAATAAGACGAAGGGAGTGTCTCGGCTTCCTAGGACAAACAGTCAAACACCATTCGACTCGGCGCCCAGAAGACTAACTTATACTACACTGCAGTACAAGTAATGAAAACATGATATCAGGCTTGGCTTTACTTCCCCTTTCAGTAGAAAGCCTAATTGAATGAAGAACCGTTTTTGATATGCCTGGTACAACCCTGTGGCTAGTATCATGGCATGAGTGAGAGTGAGTGAATGAGTGAGTGAATGAGTGAGCGAGCGAGTGAATAAGTGAGCGAGCGAGTGAATAAGTGAGCGAGCGAGTGAATAAGTGAGCGAGCGAGTGAATAAGTGAGCGAGCGAGCGAGTTGGTGGGACAGTATGATATAAAATAGTCGTCCCTCCCTCTCTCCAATGTTACCCAGGTGAATCTGCGAGTGACAACAGCTAATGGCGAGACAATGACAGTGACTGGATCACCGCCATTGTCGCGCTCAACAATCTGCAATGGAGAGTTCATACAAGTGACGGCATCGGTTGGTGATACGTTTATTTCGTTGAATGTTGGCGGCGTGGAGACTACAGTGCCGTTTGGTGTTGCTGTAAATGGTGGCGTCACTTCAACAGGACAGTTGATTGTTGGCCGTCCTCCAGGTAAGGAATGCTGTTTTGTTGTTCATTATGCCTAGCATGGAGTGCCTTCTCTTTTCATATAGTTTCTAACACACTCAGCCTGGTGCTAAAAAATAAGGTGTAGAGCTGAGTCCGTGGTGATAGTCTTAGACTGTGATCATGCCTGCATGGCCAGTCCATGATGGCCTAAACCTGAACGGTCCGCTCAGGTTTACCAGGCACAAGAATATGATGAATCTCTTCACAACTCTCTGATGGCACATGCTACAAGACAAAGCGTCTGTGGAGACTAGCCCTAGTGTCAGTAGTGAATAACACAATACAATACAATGCTGCGTGTTCTCACAGCTTGACTGTGTATCGCAAGCCAGAACCGTGGTCTGTTTTTGTGACTGTCCTGTTGTGTTGAGCAGAGAGCGTGCTAATGCGGGACAACTTGCCCAGTCTGCCTGGCCTGGAGGGATGCGTCTCTCAGATCCTCTACGACAGTCTCATCTTACCGGTGGCGTTCTCAAGGCGTGTCGGCGGTGTTAGCCTGGGTTGTGGCCTGCCATAACTCCCAGCTACACTCAAGCTGCCGCCCAGATAGGACAAAAATCCCGTACCCTGACCATTCAATCCACTTCATTTTCACCTAGCCTAGTAATAGTAGCCGTCAGACAGCTCCCATTCAGTGTCACATAGCTTTTAGGCATCAGGCTGTGATCATCATGCACAATCATGATTCATGACTAGCGTTTCCAGCATCCATTACTCTCTATCTGTCTTTCTCAATCCGTTGTGTGTGCGCCTCTCATTGTGTTGTGCTGCCTATGACTAATGCAGGATCATCTCCGACTTCAAGTAATACTTCTTGCATGTGTCAATACCTGTCACAAGGTTTTCTCTTCTTTTCTCTTCTTTCGGCCTGCTTGTTCTCCGTTTATGCATGACGTCTTCCTCCTCCTCCTCTCCCCTTACCTTGCATAGTACTGGTGGATGTGCTGTCTGTAGTTTCAAAACAAAAATGCCAAAGGCAAGCCGCCGCCTTTCGTTCTTGTGGCTTGTTTTAAGGGAGGGGTAGCAGTTGGTTGGCTGGTCAGGTTTTGGCCAAATTACCCTGTTTGGATATTAGGAAAGGCGAAAAAGTGTGAAACGTTAATAATCATTTTTTAATGTTTGCTTTTAGGTACCGTATGGGTAGGATCATCTTCAGATGGCTGTGTCAGTTCTGCGTGGAGAACAGTATAACTCCCTTTATCCTAGCACCCCTGCTCAGGGCACATCTGTATAGCGGACACCTTTCTGACCTCTCTAGAGTGGAAACAGTTGGCTTTTCAAGGAAAACAAATGACACCATGTTACCACGTTACGGACAATTCCTATTTACGGGCAGTGCCCGGTCACAACCTGCCCAAATAAGGGAGTTCTACTGCACTACACACACACACACACATGTGTGTGAGCAAGGTTTGGGTGGTCAGCATACGTGAGCTTTTGGTTGCTTTTGAAGTCCTGCTGTGGTGTCTAACGCCTTCGGTTCTCACTTTTTTGCCTGCGCTGGGCTGTATTCGGTACTTGAGATTCTGGTGTTGTGATTATAACGCAAGCTCTGGATCCATTGAATGGTTTTACAGCGCTATTTTCGGGATTCCTCAGCTCACTAATTTCACCACATGTTTGCTTTTTCCAATACTTTGTGGGTGCTATCTTGAATTGCTGCTCTTTTGCGAATTGCTGGGTCTCCTTGCTCACGCATGGCATGTTGTCTGCAATCATGCCCTCTGCTATGCCCCAGCGAGAGAAGAGGTGTTCTTAAGCTTGGCGATGACAGCTGCGGAGGTTTTGGTCGTGCGAAGACAGTTGACTTTTGGGTGCCTTGAAGAGTAGTCAGCTACGACCAGGTAGTAGCGTCAATTGAATTCGAGCACGCTCATATCTCTCTTACCTGGACCGCGACGCTACGGGTACCTCGGTCTACCAGACACCCTGTGGGTGAGTTTAGTGGAAACATTACTACTCTTTTGTGGAAAGAGTGACGTCGTATGCCAGATCTCTGGCACTTCCCCGTTTGCGGACATTTCAAAGTTATAGGCCTCCCGGATAAGAGAGATGCAAGTGTATATCATTACCAAGCTTAGTCAAACGTAGCTTAGGTATCATTGGTTCGCGGCAGTTGCAGTTGCCCGGTTGGAATTGCTGGCTTACTGGGCATCACTTGACCGTGTCACAGGCTTCAATGTATTATGGACTTCATGCCAGTATACGCATTCTGGTGCAAGGCATTTGCATTTCTCCACACCTTGGTGTGGTTCGTCTTGACTCCTAGAACATAGTGTTGCGTGCTGACTTCCGGCCAACCATCCTCAACGTAGGGGTTGTAACTTCCTTTGTGGCTTGATGGCGTCAATATCTCGTTTGTCTGTGGACTGACCAATCCGTGGGCCAAATGCCTGATGTGTCGCGTACTAGCTTCTCTACATCTCGTCGACGAAGTGCCTTACGGAGTCCATCATCCCCACACCCAGAACGATGCAGTCCCCGTAAGATGCTGCCGTCCATCTCTGGAAACTCACTGCGACCTCTCCGCGCCACTCTACGGAGCTCCATGATATACAAGGCGATGTCTCCATTTTCCTGCTGTTTCCGGGTGAACAATAAGTGCCTGTCTCCGTCGTTGCAGTTGCTTTGGGGACATTGAACTCTTCAAATTTCTCAGTTCAGCTTGTCGATGTTCCTCTTGTCGTCCTCCGTGTTGAGCTGCAGTCAGTGTTTGATGCACCAGTTCTGGTTCTCTTCTCCTGTGATGTGGACGAAACCCGCAGCCTGGATAGTGCCATCCCGGGCATCTCCCCAAGCCCAGAGGCTACTGAATAAAATCCAAGCTGGCCTACTTGAACCACCTCCGCTTTGTTGGGACTGTTGATCAGTGGCTACTCTGGTGGCTTGTGATAATCCATAGCCCGGCTTGCCCGATGATGAGCAGAATCTGTAGCATCCAACTTCTGACACCATGTAGTGGCTTCTTGAGCCAAGGAATAGATACCGTACTGTCTTGTATAAAAGCCTGTCTCATATAGAAGCCTGTTTTGAATACAAGCCTGATTTTTCAAGATACACTGCCGGCACATAAGCTTGGTTTTAGTGTTGACAGTTGCCACACATAGAAATACCTGGCTTTGATTAGGGACCATCGCAAAAGTTCGCAGAAGCCCCTGAAACGAAGAGCATACGTTTGGGGTGGGGGGGGGGGGGGGGGGAGGGAGTCGGTGTCGAAAATCGCAAACCGGGCTTCAATTCAAAAAAGTATTGACGACATGTAGGAGCTGATATAGATTAGCATGCTCAAAGGATACAACTGCATAGCTCTAGCTGTTCTCGTTCTTAGATCACCCACTGCAAGGTGATATCATCGTTGCATTTATAAAGTGCTGTACATTGTTACACACTGATACAACAATGCTTGTGTAGTATATTAAAATAATTATTATGTGTGAGCATCCAAGTGAAATAATGAAGCCCATATTGTGACTGTCGTTTCGTTTGAGGGGGGATGGAGGGGGGGGGGGGGGGTCAGGCCCGAAACTAACGGTCTTCGTTTCGGGGGCTTCTGCGAACTTTTGCGATGGTCCCTTAGAAGCCTGATGTGAATTCCTAGCCCTGACATCGGCTTCTACAGGAATAAGCCCGGCTTTAATACGCGACATTACGTTAAGCAAAGGGAGTAAATACTCCGAAATAGCACGGCATAGCCTATTATAGGGGGAGAGCATAGGTGATGCTCAACACAAGGCGCTGAGTGTAGAAGAGGTAGGTGCATGAATAAGGTGTGAACCTACAGTTTCCAGTCTTGCAGTTCTATACTGTGACCCCGCGTAAGTATGTAGTCTGACTAGTATTGTACTATGACCCAGAAGAGTAAAACTATCAAATTTGTAGTTCCTTGGGACTGAGCTTACTTTCTGAAAGTAGTGTCGATCTTTTATAACCGCCTGTCTGAAATTAGCGCCACATCATTTCAGAGATTTTGTGTGGATTTTGTTTCAAACTGGGTGAAAAGTTTAGGGCTCCAGCGCAAACTTCTAAGCACCTCGGGGGGGGGGGGGGGGGGTGTTGCCGAAAATACGGTATTTGCTCTTGGTAGACTTACCATCCAAATGTGCCGGCCTCACGCCAATGTTCAAGTGTATGTAGCCTGTAGGCTGTGTCGGTCAAACATCTCCACACAGTGACTGGCGGGTCCAGACGTCCAGTGCAGTCATCCGCTTCGTCACTGCATTCAGCTAGTCGCTACGGCTGTGTCCAACTTCCGCCTTCCTGCGGCCCAAATACTCCTGATTATGTGGGGATCATGCAAACAAGAATAACACTGATGGACATGGCCATATGCATATCGGCCATGTCACAAAAGATCTAAAAGATTTACTTGAAGCTTGGGGCCATTGCCAATCACTTGAATCAGGCTAATAAGCGAGGACCCGTCCATGATTGTATGTTCTGACATGTCACAAGACTGTAGGCACGGAGATGACCAATCGCATTGCACCTAGCAGGGCCTAGATGAGGCGATCAAAGCATGCTACAAGAAGTAGAACTCCATATTTAGTGGAGCGGGCTTTGATTTTCCCATCAAAGCCCGCCCAGGCGGGCTTTGATTTTACGATCAAAGCCCGCTCCACTAGGGCTTTGATTTACTGATCAAGCTCGCTTTTTTTTTACTCGACTCGTGCTCGAGAAGGTTGAGAGTCGTGCTTTCAAGCGCGATAGGAAGCTCGAAGTGCGTGTTCTTGTCAGAAATCCAATCAAAACGGTCGTGTTCATGTTCTATCAGCCAATCACAGCCCTTCGCGAAGTATTTACAAGTCCGATATGAGTTTCAAGCGTGGGTGCATGTCAGAAATGCAATCAAAACACTCGTAGTCGTGTTCGATCAGCCTACATCACAGCCCTTCGCGCTTCGCGCGGCGGGCTGTGATTAGGCGATCTCACACTCGTACTCTTGCTTGATTCCATACTTTATGTTGACCAGGACAGACTCAGTGGTTGATTTGAAGAGTCCACTGGGGCGCGAGGGCCCGGATAATAGTTAGAGGTCACTTCCCGGTGTAGATTTTTAAAAGGAACTAGCAGATCTGGTAGACGCAGGGAGTAATCACGGTGCGACCCAATTATTTCCAGGTATGTACGGCTCCCTGGAGTCATGGAGATAGTAGACCCTACTTCTTCATCATCGGAATCCGTGGCCTAGGCTGACCTCAGTGAGAGTGTGAGTTTGCATACCACCACACTTTTTGCCTTTGCCTTTTGTTGGTAAAACCACAAATGAAGTCCTCGACTCCTCATTGCACGTAACATGACACCAGACGTGCAGTACGTGCAGAGTATGCATGTGTGAGGTAATCATTCTGCATTTTGTCACTGTATACGTGGGATGCATGGTGTCACATAATTGGTGTGACGTCGTTATTGATCTGGCATTTTTGGTATCCTTTCGTTTGTTTGCATTTTGTTCGTGTTTGGGATTCAAATGAAAACAGGGTGCGGCGTATCATCTCCCCATTTACGCTTGCATCGGGCGAACTTGAGTGTGAACGGGATTCAATAGTGGTATTGTACTGGCCCTGGCCGTGGGTGTGGATCATTGAAAGGCCATTACAAGTACGATCTGTACAGGGCCTTTATATTATACAGTTGAAAGTTTTCAATCGACGAATGCAACTCTGACTCCCGGACGGCCTCAATATGTCCAAGAATGTTCTCCAGCGGCGTCTTCGGAAGGAATTAGCTTCGATGCACACGGACAGCCCTCCTGGTATTCGCCTTCATCCCACCACAGTTTCCAGTGGAGCCTTGACACAGTGAGTGAATGACATCGTAATCTCGCGCATTTAAGGACAGTCATGTTCTTATTTTCGAGTACAGTAAAGCATGTCTAAAGCGACCAAAAAAGTGGTCACCTTGGCCAGGTGGTCTTCTTATCCAGGTTCAGTGGGTCACGCGAACATATTCACTATACATGTGTGTCATGTACATGCGATACTCAATCTGCAGACAGAACTGTTTCGTCCTTTGTGGCCGAACCTGATACAGGGGCGTCGCACACGGTACGGTCACTACGGTATTGACCGTACCACTTTTTGCCCCAGATACCCGTGAGTCAACAAAATACACTGATCTGGGATCTAAAATTCCAAAATTTTCAGCTCAGCCACCACTCCCCACGAGTCAATTGTACTTCAGATGGCTGACCGTACCACACTAAAATACCTTCCGACGCCCCTGTGATAGCAATGAAAATGAATTTTCCAAAGCCAGATTTAAACCAAGCTCGAACGTACCTTGCCGGAGTGCTCAAACTGAAAAGTCAGTGAGCTCTGCGTAACGCAAACAGCAAAGGCACTACCCGACACAAGAGTGCTCAACTGCTACAAGAGCAGGAGCGAAAGACTCAATCTGCGGACAGAACTGTTTCGTCCTTTGTGGACTCATCAGCGCAGCACAGAGGAAATGAGGCCGAACCTGATAGCAATGAAAAATGAATTTTCCAAAGCCAGATTTATACGTGCGATAGATCATTTTGATCAGTGCATCACACTGCACACACCTATGCTACTATTAGTGTATCACGACTCATGTGCCTGGGGGCCTCAGACCTGTCAAGTGTTGTGCATGCCCCATGTACATTCTACACTTTCTGCGCTGATGTGTAGATCTACCATGTGTGGTGCACAGTGCAATGTGTGCATGTGCATGAGTACATGTAGGGTGCAACGCGGTCGCGGGTGGGTGGTCGTTGGTCGCGTTGAGCGAGTGGTCGCCTTATCCGAGCTGTGTTGAATGTGAATGCGTCCGTGACGAGGAAAAGTGGTCGCCATGGTCGAGTGGTCATCATATCCGAGTGGTCATCATATCCGAGTGGTCACCATATCCGAGTGGTCGCCATTACAGGTTTTACTGTATAAGAGCACTCTCGCTTATAAGAACATGCACTTATAAGTTAAAAGTGAATGAAAATCACAAAACCACACGAGGTTCATCATGGTTCCATTGTACTGGCATTAACCAATAATATGCATACTTGCACATGTACATGTCGATGCGATGTTTGTCTCTCGCATATAAGACCATGGTCTTATAATCGAACGAAAATGCACTTGTGAAAGGACCGAAAGCAGCGACTTTTCGATTATAAGACCATGGCTTTATAGGCGCGAGATTACGGTATGTAGAGGCCCCACGTGCGCAGTAGTCCATGCTCCAGTATAAACTTCTTTTTCCCCCTATTTTTGTATAAAATAATGTAAATGTTCTAAGTATTTGATCTGATGATAACCGATTGAATACTGGCTAAAATCTGAACTTCAGAATTTCGAATTCTCCTAGGCGCAGAGTCGAATGATCTTGGTCGGACGAGGCTCCAATACACTTCGTCAAATATTCCCAATCAACTACTTGTACCGTATTCCTGGGTTGAGATATTATCTTTGCCATGCCTGACATCCACGCATACACTTTCAATGCAAAAATGGTAGATATCGGAGGCCGTTTGATTTTGGAACGATGTTTCTCGTTCTCCCTGGAGCATGCCTATTCAACTCTATATCCAGAAGATGGCATGTTTAACCATGCATGGGTCATCAGCTCATATTCAGATGAGGATGTATGTCTGGAAGGAGGAGTACACAGGGAATAATTTACTTTCAATTTTTTGCATATAGCAAAATCAAACTTGAATAGCAAACTGAGAATGTTGAGTAGCAATTTTCTTGAACACTTGACAACATTGACCTTCTGGAGGGCGCTGCTGAAAACTCCATCGACGATTAGTCTGCGTGTGCGTTTCAGGAGTTGATCAGAGTGCAAGCTCAGATCACCAGTACACTATTACACTTCATTGCAAACCTAACCTGGTGCCAGGATGCATAAGTCAGCACTTTCGAAGTGTTGTGTATCTAAACACACTTGGCATGCTCACTGTGCATCATACGGTACAGTGAAAAATCAACATGCATACCAGTTTTCTGCGACACATTTCTGAAGTTGCTTCGCACCTCGGAAGAATTGCATAGCAAACTGCGATGTGCTACCAGTTACATTAGTCCCTGGCCGGTAGGAAGAGTACATATGTATACTTTAGTTAGGTATTCATTAGTTTACGGGGAATGAAAAGGGAGAACGTCTGAAGAAGCATTTTTTGCCTACGCAGGTCAGTTTTAAAAGGAAACCGTGGACGGTTGACTTCCATGGTGCATGTACAGTCTACTCCACTTATAACAAACTTGCATAGAGTGAGTTTCGTGATAATTATAGCGAACCAGTATCCATGTCCCTGTGTAAAGTTTAAACTGATACAAAATTGATTCTTTATACGAACCATATCTCACAGGGATGCATGTATACTAAGTGTAATCATGCTGTCACGGGGCCACATGCCAGTCATGATGTGTTCCTTGTATGGTGTGAGTGCATTTCGGTTATAAAGAACTGCGGATATAAAAGAATTACTGGTAATTCTGCTGCACAATGGCATTCGTTATATCAGGAGTTGGCTATGTGTAAGTGTGCGGCTGTGGCTGATTGTGTTTTACTTGTTCGTGTGAATGACGCGTGTGTTTGTGTGCGTGTGTGTGCGTGCGTGCGTGCGTGCGTGTGTGTGTGTGTGTGTGTGCGCGTGTACATGGGTGTTTCTTGTTTACGCAGTTGGGAAGTGGAGGTGGATGGAGCTGAAGGTAAACATTGTAGAAACTTTGCGTGTGTTGCGTATGTACCAGTACCCCAGTACATGCACATTTAAAAATTGCTACTCGTAGCAAACAGGTATGTGACTTACACTCCTGTTTATACTCATTGATGAGGCTTCATTGGCCGAAGCAACTAGCTACAGCAGTAAGATGATGTACACTTGCATAGTGCAGTTTCACTGGGTGGTGGTATGCCTTACCAACGTGCATTCTATTCTGCGCAATAAATAAAGCGAGTTGCGCATTCAATGCACACACCATTCGCAACGGTTAGGTATCCTTTTAACCCTTTACCTTCTGTGTGTACATGAATCGACCGAATTTGGTCGATGGACATGCATGCACTAAAACATTCGTAACTTGATCAATTCTTGACGGAATCTCAAGAACTAAATATATAGGAAGAAGCCGAAGAGCCCAGCTGTTCATTGCAACAATCGGCGCCGCGAAGAGCTGCGATGCCGCATTCCAAAGATATCGCGCTCGACATTTCAGTCACGGCAAAAGTCGATTTTTTTCTGAGTGACTGGCCTTGAGCTGGGGATTTTCCCTCTCCTGACATGCTGAGTCACCTGTGCATGTTTTGAGCGCGTGGGCAGCATAAAAAGAAACCCAGGACATCAAATTTGAAATGTTTACGATGAAGGAGTGAGAAATGGCTGACGAGGAGAGAATTTTCTCGGATACCCAGCGATGGGGAGTATTTGAAGCACCCTGGCGTTGGATATGTGATCTCAGTAGTGTCCAGTTTGAGCTCATTGTACGCAGCTCGTGGAGAGCTTTCCAGAATGCCCAAGAGTGTGAAAATCGGTTGATTATAACCAAAGATATTCTCAGAATGAGGTGAGAAATATCGTATTTGGAGCTGCCTGGGAATTATGGTCAGAAGGTAAAGGGTTAAAAAGCATTTTCGTTGCCATCTCGTCAGAAGGATTTTTACTGGCAAAGCTAAATCAACGATTTCTATCTCCAGGAAAACTGTTTACCATGCATTCTATTGTTTGTTTTCTATTCTTGCACTGGTACACTGTAGATAAGGGTGAGGGAGAATGTGGTGGTGTCCCCCCCCCCCCCCCCGATGCAGAAAACTCAGCCTGACTGGGTCTCACGGGAGTCATGATTTTGTTTTGTTTTGCGATATGCTCAGGCACTCTGTACGAAGGAGAGCACTATCTGCTTGATTTAAAATTCAACGCCCGGTACCCGTTTGAGTCACCCTCGGTAGGTGGTGATGTCCGCCCACCGGTGTCAGATTTGTTGTAGTCCTGTGCAGGCATCACTTAATAGCTATGCTCACGTACACCTGCGAGAGAACGAGAGATTTTGTATCTGCATGCATGATTATTAGTAGTGCTAGTCTCTGCTGAAAGCCTTTCCGTTTGAGCTGGCTAGTTTACAAATGCATAGGCAACTCTTTGAGAACGAATGCTCGAGCCTCATTCCAATCAATGCAACGTTAGCAAGTACCTCGTATGCTTGCCCGTTTGGGTGTGTACTGGTATGTGGCATACCTTTGTGTGCTGACATGTAGTTCATGGGCCCTCACTCTGCCAGCTTCCATTGCCACCACAGCTAGATCCGCTTTCGCAGCAAGCCTGCCTGGTAGGGAGATAAAGGAGCAGACGGCAATGCCGGTATACTGTATAAACCCAGGCGTGTGCTAAAATGACCCTTTTCTGCGATGTATTTAATGTCCACCTGTCTGTTCGTGTGGTTTTTCTCTCTCTCTCTCTCTCTCTCTCTCTCTCTCTCTCTCTCTCTCTCTCTCTCTCTCTCTCTCTCTCTCTCTCTCTCTCTCTCGCTCTCTCTTCTCTCCTCTTCTCTTGCCTTCTCTTGTCCTTTCACCTCTCGTTTGCTGTGTAACTGATCGTAGGTGATGTTTGTTGGCTCCTCTATTCCTGTCCATCCGCACATTTACTCCAATGGTCATATTTGTCTCAACATCCTAACTGACGACTGGTCACCAGCACTTACGGCTTTGTCTATTTGTATCAGTATCTTGAGCATGCTCAGCAGCTGCACAGAAAAGGTGAGACTAAGCACGTGCATTTTTAACTCAAATGTGTCATCATTCTTAACAAAATTTCCATAAAAGGTTTCCTGACTCAGTTCACGCCTTTGGTGATATATAACCTCGACAGCGGATAGATGTGGCTTTTCAGCATCGTCTCCAACAATTCATTTGAGAATCTTTTGACTATCGGAACATGTACCAAGAAGAGCTACTTGTATGTGTTGCGACTTTACCTGGAGTTGCAGTGGCATTTCCAAAGTGCAATGGCAGATGCCGATGGATTCTGTAAATTAGTTTGAATTCTCTGTCATCTGCTTTCCATGGCCTTCCCTTTGGGAAAAAGATTGTCGGAATTGGTGAGTTGGAACTGATGTTAATGGTGGAGAATTGAACAATTTGTAACCACACTGCAGTGATTCTCTTTGTGTGATCTAGCCAGTACACTGCGAGTTTGCAGTTTTACAGCTGATGCAATGATCAACGTTGTGTGTGTGTGCGCGTGCGCGTGTGTGTGTGCGTGTTCGTGTGTGTGTGTGTGCACGTGTGTGTGTGTGTGTGTGTACATGTGCATGTGTGCGCACGTGTGTGTGTGTGTGTGTGGGTGGGTGTTGGTTGGTTGGTTGGTTTGCCTCCTTTAGAAAAAGCCAGCTGATGACTCAACATACATGTTATTTGCTCCCAAGGATCCCAAGAAAACGCAGTGGGTTTATGAAGGTGAGTAGAACTACACTTTATGGTTGGTGTCTTAACTCTTCTACTTCCTTTAATTCTCTCAATTTCTTTATAGTCTCCAGTTCTAAAAAAAGAACATACATGGTACGGGGTTTTTCCTAAACCATACCATACATGCTTTTACTTTAGGGCATGTACATGTAATTGTTACACTTACTGTGAAGTTTGTGATGCTACAGTGAAGGTGCTCGAGATGCCCGTTAGACATTGCCTTGGGTTTTAGATTGTAGATAGTTGGAATGTGTTGTTAGTACTTGTAACTTGTTACGTTACACTTTTTCAGGCACTTGTCATTTTTCTAATAATTGCTCTTATGTGTTTTTATGCCATGCCTTAAGATGACAACATATGATGTCATTCACCTACGCTGCTGTGGTGGAAGCTTCTCAACTGTTGACTCTCTGTCTGGTATCCATAGAAAAAGTATCTTTAAAAGTAGGTGTGGAGTTCTGTCTTTGTGATTGTGCTTTCTCTATGTATATATCTCCCACTTTTCATGTCCGCTTGTGTACATATTTTTGTATATAGCTGCTCCCTCTGGTCCTGAATATATCCCCCAATATCATACCACCACCACCACCACTACCGCCACCAACACCACCACACACACATACAGTCCATTGCATTGAAAATCGCCCTGAAAAGCTACCAGTAAATCTACTGTGCAAGCTTGCCATTGCCCTCTGGCCTACGCTATCAATCCACCTATTTTATTCAGATAATCTTACAGAATCTATCTCCTGTCTTTCGGTGCATGATCATGCCGGTAGCGGTCTGACTGTGCACATAATAATTATTTGTTTTGGTTTCTATTTCTTACTTCTCTTTGGCAGTTATTGGCAGTGCCCAATTATTCTTCAGCTCTTCCCCAGATGTGTGCAGCTGTCCGGCTATGTCCTCATCGTTGCAGTGACTCTTTTTAAATCCTGTTTCATTTAATTTTAAAAGTGCAATGTCCGCTGGCATGTCACTCCCCGCTCTTATCATGGACCATTCTCTTTATGATCACATCAATGCATAGATGTTAGGAGGCATTCTCAGTGTGCTCGGCCATTTGTAGACCAAGTCTAGAGCTAAGCAGTCGTTTTATCCACTGGAATTTTAGTTCAGGTTTGTACTTTTGTAAGGTTTTCACTTTAGTTTCTCGGTTGGTCAATTAATTGACTACATGTGAGTCTTGGCCATGCCTGTTCTCACTCAGTCTCATCCCTAGTTCCAATCATGGGACATGAATATGTTCATTACCCCTTTTTCTACACTCGTTACATCAGTTTTATTTCCCTTTCAATGAGCTGCTGCATTGCAGCACAGTACTAATATAAGTACTAGGCCCACTATGTGTAGAAATAGAGCACCACGATTTGACTGCACTCTGTGCCCTTGTGTTAAAGTATGTTCGATTCCCTCAATTTACCTGTAAATTATTTAGTTGAAATGGGAATGGGGATGAACTTCAATTTCAAGGTAAACAGTCTGGCGAACCTTCTAGTTTCGGCTCAGATGGTTAGAGCCATGGAGTAGTACAATACTCCCAGGTTACTAGTGGTAAGAGCATTGCTATTGGCCAGCAAGGTCCCAGGGTCGAGTCCTGGTGGGGTTGGCATTCTCTCTTCTTTCTCTGTCTCTCTCTCCCTCTCCCTCCCTCTCTCTCTCTCTCTCTCTCTCTCTCTCTCTCTCTCTCTCTCTCTCTCTCTCTCTCTCTCTCTCTCTCTCTCTCTCTCTCTCTCTCTCCTCTTCTCTGGCAGTTTGCTTCCCCCGACTGTTCACCTTGAAGTCCTTATTGTGCATGCTATGCACTCTAGCCATGTTATGCCCACTGGGCTGACAGACTGGATAATGGATATGATGTTATTTCCTGAATTCTGTACCAGTTTTGTATTGTATTCAGTGTGTCGATTTTGCCCGTAAAAGAGGCTTCTACTGCCCTGCCCTGCATGTACTATGATGTAGTACCTGCAGCATTAATACATCTGTGAAGAAAGTCAGTGTGCCGAGATCGTGAGATACATACAGCCTACAGGGGGCATTGGACAGGGAGTGGAACTGACTTGGTCATTATGCCTTCCTGCTAGCATGCTGTTACCCGTATTGCAGAAAAGGCCGAATGATCAGGCTCCGCTCCTTGGCCGATAAGATTGTACTCAATCTTGACAGTCATGATACAAAGACTCAGGTCAGTCGGGACTAGATTATGCTATGCATTATGGACCGCATACAGCGCATACCGCCTCTATGGCTACTACCAAGAGTACATAACCCCAGTACTCTTGCTACTACAGAAGCTGCGACCAGCTTTCCAGGCAATGAGAAAGGCCGGAAAGATCTGCTATCTGCGCACCACTCACATCGAAGTTGTTGCGACGAAGGATTCGCCCAGAGTAATCCTTCATTCGCAGGTCCTTGCAGAAGAGTATATGCGAGCACACAACATCGACCCGCTGGCAACAACACGAAGCAACGCAGCACAACTACACCCAAGAGCTGGCGCACTTGGGAGCTCAAACCGGCAACAATAGGAACCTCCGGGGCTCCGAGTTGCACACCTCAATTGCCAAAGTGCAATTAGAAAACTCTCTATTTTAGAAGCATTCATTAAATATCACGATATAGATATTCTTTTTCTCACTGAGACTTGGTTTTTTCTATCCCTCCCCGACCACAGTGTAAATATCCCTAACTATGTAGTATTCAGACGTGACCGAAAGGCAGCCATACTAGGCAGCACAGGAGGAGGTATAGCAGTGTATGTCAAATCCAGTCTTTCCCACAGGATTACTAGGCTGCCACAAATGGAGGGCCCGGACATAGAACATCTCTGTCTTCAAGTAAGCATCACTCAACAGCTTCCAATGGCCTTTCATGTCTTCTACCGCCCGCCACATCGTACCGTAGACGAGCGCGACCAATTTTTCACTTCCTTCAGCCGTACCTTTGAACAGAACCAGCCACACTTGCCCACAATCTTAGTGGGTGACTTCAACGCTAAACTACGTACATGGAACTCTACAGACCCGTCTACAGCAGAAGGCAAGCTTCTACTCAAAGCATTAGACCAGTTTGGATTCATCCAACTCGTCCACAACACCCCGACTAGATATTCTGCCACTGGCCGCCAGGGTCCATCGCTCCTTGATCTTGTCATCACAAACACACCACAGCATGTATGTGACATTCAAGTGCTGTCCTCCATTTCCGATCACTGTCCCGTTGTCTTCAAAGTTGCTTTGCCTTCCCTGGCCCAGTCATCTCCCAGTCAGTCACGTGCCGTTCCTGATTACGTAAACACCGATTTTGATGCACTCAGAGACCACATATGGAATCTTCCACTTTCGTCTGACATCAGTAGTATGTCCTCAGTTGAGCAAGCGTGGGATAGTTGGCATTCCTGCATTACTACGGCAATCTCGTCACACGTGCCTATGAGAACTATTTCCACAAAGCGAAGAACAGATACACCCTGGTACACTGGCCGCCATGCCACTCTTTGCAAGAAAAAAGACCGCCTTTTCCGTTTAGCCAAGCGTACAAACTTAACAACCCACTGGGTTGTCTTTAAAGTTGCCCGCAATGCCTATCAAGCCTCCGTCCGACGTTCTAAAGCGATCTACCTGGAGAACATGAGCGCACGGGTTGACAGAGAACGAAGTCCGTACCAGTGGTGGCGCCAAGCCAAACAGCTCACCAATATATCTAAAACGCGTGCACCAATTCCATCCCTTGAGTCTGGAGGCGAGGTTGTAACCACAGACGCCTCCAAGGCGCACTTGCTGGCTGACGTGTTCTCCAACCAATGCTCCAACACCCACACCCAACAACTAGCTATTCCGCACCCCCCACCTACGCCAACATCCCCCTTCGATATCTCAGTTATATCTGCCTACGACGTCTTTGATACTCTCAAGAGATTGCCTGTCCATAAAGCTGCCGGTGGTGACATCCCGAACCGTATTCTGAAGGAGACCGCTGGTGTCATTGCCCACTCCCTCTGCAAAGTCTTTAATTTAAGTATAACACAAGGCCGCCTGCCACCATCGTGGAAAACGGCGCAAGTTGTACCAATATATAAGCAGAGAGGTTCCACAGCTGAACCCCAGAACTACCGCCCTATTTCTCTCTTGAACTCCGTCGCCAAAGTGCTTGATTCGATTGTCGCGCGCCGTCTTAGCAGGTTCCTTAGGAATGAAGATGTAATAGTTTCGGATCAGTTCGGGTTTGTACACGGTCGGAGCACAGTTGACCAACTGATACATTTAACGGCTAGCGCCGCCAAGAGCATGGACAGCAGCCAGGAGTATGATGTGGTCTTCTTGGATTTCGCCAAGGCATTTGATCGCGTCCCGCATTCTACCCTTCTGGCCCTTCTACAACCACTATGCAACCCAACGGCTACTACTTGGTTTGCAGGTTACCTTGCAGCTCGCAAGTTACAGGTCAAAGTTGGCGAAGACCTTTCCCCCCTCGCCCCTATCTCGGCGGGAGTTCCTCAAGGTTCCCACCTTGGCCCCATCTATTTCTCCTGTACATTAATACCCTCCCGAGATCAATCCCTGATGGCAACAGGACGGAAACATACCTCTATGCTGATGATACTGCGCTGGGGTTATCCCGACCGCCAGCAGCAGCACCTCAACAGCTCCAGTCAGCAGTGAACATGGTGATGGACTGGGCTGCTACATTTGGTGGCAGGTTTAATGCCGCTAAATCCGTGCGTGTTGTATTCGGCAAACTTGACCCCGCCCAGACTCCTGCCCCAGCTCTGCGTGTGGATGCTGCAGACCTATGTCCCTCGACTACCCACCGCCATCTAGGAATCACCCTGGATCCCCGCCTGTCTTTCCAGACCCACATCAATAGTGTCACCTCCAACTTTCGTCGTCGCGTTGTTCTGCTATCCTACATGTCACCCAATCTGACCCCTGCTCTCATTGCCCGCCTCTACAAAGGATACGTCCGTCCCTCCATTGAGTATGCTTCACCTCTGTGGAATAACAAACTGACCGCAGGAAATATTGACACTTTGGAACGATTGCAAGCACGCGTGGCCAGGCAGTATTTACACCGTCGGAAAGTGCCCATTCCTCATGGCATGGAGAACGTGTTTGAAGCTGCTGAATGGGAAAGTCTTGCGTGGCGGCGGCATATACATTGCCTCAAACTGTTTTACCATTTCACCCGCCAATACCCGGAAACCCTCAATAATCTCAACATAGTTCTATCCAAGAGTGCACGACGTCCCCACTTTTACCTCCTGCCCACTCACACTGGTCCCTGTTTCCGATCCACTCTACTACATTCCATGATCACCACGTGGAACTCCCTGCCTACCGAGATTAGGATATCTGAAACCCGTGGTGTATTTAGCCGGCACGTTAAGTCCCATTTCCACAGGTATAGATTCCATCCTCGAGGTTTTCTCACTTCCTGATTACCCCCCTTCTTTACCAGTACCCTTTTCGCTTGCTTCTACTCAGACTTCTTATTTAACCTCTTCACATTAATCTTTTTTTATCGTAATATTTTCTTTCTTTTAAGAATTGCACCCTATACGGCCTATTGCACACGCATTGTACACGTATATTTATTCTCGGAGACCCCCTTGATTTAGGCTTCGGCCTTTAAGCTTTGGGGAATCCCTCAAATAATAATAATAATAATATTAAATAATAATAACTACAACAAGTGTAGTCTTGACTATGCTGGTGGTGCCATGTCGCGGCGGCGGCTATGTATGGAGCGCGCTCGCTCCCGGATCCCGCTAAAAAAAGGAATGACGTCAACGGGATTCGTATTTTCAAATCGATCATTTGTTGCAAAATGCAAGTGTACGAAATGATCAGTTGAGTTTTGGAGTTTTTGTTGATTGAGTTCCAAGAAAGTACTGGAACCACTCATTCGCTTGTTTGTTCGTTTGGATAACCTTCTTCATTATCATCGACCTTTTCAGCTTTATTCCACTTGGATCCACCATGCCTGTCTACAAAGGTTGGCGTGAAGTCCTTTCCGCCTCGACTTGCGAGTTTCAATGGCCAAAGCAATGTTTCCGAATTGTTATCCTTTGTTTATGCAGTTTCGGTCAAATGGGGAAAGCAGAAGTTTGACAATGTAGAGGTAGACAGCGACGAGCCTCCCGTCGTCCTAAAGGGCCAGCTGTTTGCTCTGTCTGGTGTGCCCCCGGAGCGGCAGAAAGTTATGACCAAAGGCGTGACTCTCAAGGTAATTGGAACCTTTGAGAACGATATCTGATATACTAGTACTGGATGTCTTTGCAATAAGATAATACTGAACCATGTACTAGACTGATAACAAAAAAAACACAGCATTGAATTATGAGATCAGTGGAGATGTCCACCAACACTCAAATTTTCCTTTCAAATATTTGGCTGAGAGTGCAAAATAAGTAGTGATCTCAAATTTTCAATCACAGAATGCATGTGCACGTATTGCAGGCAATACATGTGAGAGAAGTACAGACCGCAGAAGGTCACAAAGGTGTGAGGAGAGAACGTCTTGTTGTTGATCCGAGTTGCATGTACGAGTGTCCAGTAAATGGTAAATACCCAAAAGTCTGGTATTTTATAATGTACACTAAACGGACCAAACTGTAGAAGTATACAGCGATAGCAGGTATTCCCATGAGAATATATCTGGCCAGCCAGTTTATTATAATATTATTGTCAAAGCATTATTTTAAAGTTGCACCACCTGCACATCCGCCTGCAACTTGACTTTAGCCGGCCAGTCGGTAGGAGCTGCTGCCACCCTATGTGCTTTGTTGCTTTGTCTCCAACTACCGCTATGTGGAAAGGAGCAGACTATACCCAACCTTTTAGTATGTTCTGGTCAGGCTGCAATACATTTGCACTGTTTTGTTCACCTTGTATCAGTGTTTTTTTAACATTTCAGAATACAATGCAACACAATATTGTGCACATAATTTACACAACAATGAGGGACAACAGAGCTACTGTACGCTGTGTGCCTGCGATATGCAGTGGTGCAGTTTCATGTACTCATGAGAGGAACATATTCCCACAGCATTCCATTATCAGTGGAACATATTCCCACAGCATTCCACTATCAGCGGAGTGTATTCCCACAGCATTCCATTATCAGTGGCGTGTATTCCCACAGCATTCCATTATCAGTGGAGCATATTCCCACAGCATTCCATTATGAGTGGAGCATATTCCCACAGCATTCCATTATCGGTGGAACATATTCCCACAGCATTCCACTATCAGTGGAGTGTATTCCCACAGCATTCCATTATCAGTGGAGTGTATTCCCACAGCATTCCATTATCAATGGAGCATATTCCCACAGCATTCCATTATCAGTGGAGCATATTCCCACAGCATTCCATTATCAGTGGAGCATATTCCCACAGCATTCCTTTATCAGTGGAACACACTCCTATAGAGGTTATGCGAATGACTTCATGGGGGTGAGTCAGCAGAACTGTTTATGCTAAGTATGCAGTGTGAGTCGCTAGTGCAAGTGTAGCGCTGTGCCGTAGATGTGCAACTTCGCCAAAGTATCCCAACGGATAATAATTATAGTCGCATACCCCGGTAACCTATTATAGTTTATATGAGAGTGTACATGGCAAATCCATAGATGTACATGTTGTAAATATCCATTTCTCTTTCAGTTTTTTGGCTTTGGCTTGTGTCCCTCATCCTCCCTCGAACGACTAGCTCATGCCTAAACTGGGGAATTCTTCTTATGCATGTGCACGTGTGTGTGTGTGTGTGTGTGTGTGTGTTTGTGAGCATGTGTGTGTGTGTGTGTGTTTGTGTGTGTGTGTGTGTGTGTGTGTGTGTGTGTGTGTGTGTGTGCATGTGCGTGTGTGCGCATAATGGCACACATGTCCAACAGGATGATGAATGGGGCAAGTTCCAGATAAAAGATGTAAGTTGTTATCGTAGAGTTGTGGCTGCTACTTGCTTGTGTATTGAATCTTAGCTTCGCACAACACCAGTATGTCTTTTCTTTCAGGTACATGTGTGCCCGTCTGTCTGTATCATTCAAGAACTGTGTGCCTGACTGCTTGTGCCTTGTCTTGGTTGTAGAAGAACAATGGAGCAGGACTTTCCTTTGAAATTCAACTGTATTTGTTTTAACTGAAGATGGCATCACCAAATTATTTTTGTTTGCCAAAGTTTCATTCTGTGTGGAATCCAAGGTCGTGCCACACAAATTAGTAATGGCCTCTAGACGAGCAGCATTGCTTCTTCTTTCTTGCCATTGGGAAGCAAGTATGGATGCCTGTGCCATTGTCATTAACTTGTTGGTACGATGAGTACTGGCCTGGCGAGCACAAGTTATAGGCGATTCGGACTACAGCCAAAATCACGTGTAAACTTGAATTTCCATGGTGATGCAGTCGTGTTTCAAAACTTATGCACAATCCCTGATCAAATACGTCTGAGTCGTAGTAGTAAACGTGGTCACAGTTGGCCGTAGTCTGAATCGTCTATAACTGCTGGTGTTTTCTTGACTGCAGAAAGCTGTCCTGCTCATGATGGGCTCTGCTGATGAACTACCACAAGCACCTACTCAGCCAACACAGTTTATGGAAGATATGACTGATGCTCAGCTTGCTTCCGCGGTAAGTTATTCAAGCTGAGAGAAAATTCTCACTTTTGGACAGGTGTCTCTGTAGCTGTATGCTGTAAGCAGCCACATAAAAAAGCGAAAAATCAGTTGCTGCGCTAGCATTCACTGTACTGCATGCTACACAGTCCACGGAGCATGCATGCACCTTTATAGCATGCCTTTTCCAGCGTGTACGCATCATTTCATGCGCAGTCATGACGTGCTATGTGTCGGTCTTACATGCAAATCGGCTATAGTGATGAACCGAATATAGTGATAAGTTATCGAAAATCAAATTGACACGTTATATCCAGTATTCACGCACTCACTGTGCTGGTGTGACATTCGAAAGTTTACACCTGCACTTGCTGTTTTCCCCATGCTCCCTTTAGTATGCAAAGTGCACTATTATTGGGAGCATAGCATGAGGTGGCCTGACAGGATTATATGTATAGATTATAACAAGGGACCGAGTGTATATCGAGATATATACGCGAGGTCCCTGTGTTGTAATCTATTTATACCTCTCCATTTTCACCGTGTGTGACCACCTAATGGCTTGTTCCTCGCCGACAACTACTGCTAATTTCCCTTAGTGGTGTATAGGGAGATTTATACCTCACTCCATATACACTTACAGTCTTAGGCATGCTCTCCCTTAGTGGTGTATACTATATATCTCCATATACACCGCTAAGGGAAATTAGCAGTAGTTGTCGGCGAGGAACAAGCCATTAGGTGGTCACACACGGTGAATATGGAGAGGTATAAATATATTAAAACAAAGGGACCTCGTGTATATCGAGATATTTACACCAGTTATAAAAACCTCGGCTTCGCCTCGGTTTTCATACTGGTGTATATATCTCTATATACACTCGGTTCCTTGTTATAATATATACATATACACCACTAAGGGAGGGCATGCCGAAGACTGTGGGTGTATATGGAGTGAGGTATACGATTATATACTATAATGTGCTCATCCACAAGCCTACCCGTTTCCGTTAAAATCTTCAAACTTACCAAACATGAAGTAGAGTGGTACCTGTCAGTTACAGAGACCCTAGGGACCAGACATATCTCTCCTGCATGGGGAGGTGTCTGACTGAGGAAGTGTGTTCTAAATGTGGAGGTACAGTGTATCCGCTAATAGGCGATCCCACTTTTCTGGTACATGTACATGGTATTTGTATTGTGATAATTTATAATCAGTCATCTACTTCTTTGCATTGTATTGTCTTTGTTGCCTGTACGCAGTTCGACATTCCAGGTGGCCTGGTCAACTTGGGAAACACGTGCTATATGAATGCTACTGTGCAGTGTCTGCGCACCATTCCCGAGCTGAGGAACTCCTTGGCCAAGTAAGTACATCCAGCGTGCGCAGTTGAATCCCATTGCCTTGTTGTTGTTCACCAACTATCATTTCCCTGGACATGCCTGCCTGAGAGATTGTGCACGGGTCACGAGTGCAGAAAGTCACTTGTCAGATTGTGGTGGTCTTTGCACTCAGCTCAATTATATTTGGTAGATCTAGCTTCTCTGTCTCTGTCTCTCTTTGTCTCTGTCTCTCTCTGTCTCTGTCTCTCTCTGTCTCTGTCTCTTTCTTTCTCTCTCTCTCTCCCTCTCTCTCTCTCTCTCTCTCTCTCTCTCTCTCTCTCTCTCTCTCTCTCTCTCTCTCTCTCTCTCTCTCTCTCTCTCTCTCTCTCTCTCTCTCTCTCTCTCTCTCTCTCTCTCTCTCTCTCTCTCTCTCTCTCTCTCTCTCTCTCTCTCTCTCTCTCTCTCTCTCTCTCTCTCTCTCTCTCTCTCTCTCTCTCTCTCTCTCTCTCTCTCTCTCTCTCTCTCTCTCTCTCTCTCTCTCTCTCTCTCTCTCTCTCTCAGTGTTTCAAGAACTATCACGATGTGTGCTAATGGTGCTCTTTGTGGACTTTCTCTTTTGTGCCCAATCGTAGATTATCGCATGGACCACTTGATCCACCGGTCATCCCATCAGGTATGCTTTCCAATGTACTGCTGTCTGTTGTGACTTGGCTGGGTTATGTATAGATGTGCATTACGTATCGCTTAGTATTACTATGTAGTATTACAGTATATGTGACTTTAACGCATGTGTTTGAAAACGACTCTCTATTCTTAATTTCTTATTGCCTATATTCTTTAAATACCATAATCATGATAAAAATTGTAAGTGACGTGTGAGCTGACATGGGCAGGGCCAGTGATGTTATCCTGTTGTGTACATGCACAGTGAATGTTTGGGCAGTTGTCGGCTGTAGTTGTTCACCCTAAAGCTACGCGTGCATGTGCAACAGTTACATGTGTGGCGGGTACTACTGATTTAGAAAAAAGGTTAACGCTCAGAATATGTGCTAGGATTAATATGATGTCAGTGTTCAGTCCTGAAGGGGCTGTAGTCTGTGTACAAGTACATGATTGTACATGTATGACTCGGTTTTAACCAATACTTATGGTACCTCTTCTTCACTTAGGCCACCCTTTCTTTTTTCGTTGTTTAACGTCCGCGCCCGCGTACCTTTTTGCCTCCGACCGGAAAAAAAAACAAGAAAGTAGTACCAATAATATGCGAAGTTGTAAATACATGATTGTGTAGTTTCACAGTGTGCCGATCATGACCTTAAAGGGGAAGTTAAGGCAAAAATTAAAATTTCACCAGTTGTAGTCTTCGGGGTGCTGAGTCGAATGGTCTTGGTCCGAGAAAGCTGAGACGCTCCCTTCCTACTTGAATCCCAATCGAACTCGCGCACTTCCACCGAAACTGGGTGACTGCGCCCTACGAGATGGGGATTTGTATGCAAAATGTCACTAAAAGCGCCATTTCGTTCTTATAAAAGCACGGATGACCGCGATTGGCCCATATGTTGTAGTCCTTTGGACGCTGAGTCGACTGGTTTTGGTCCGAAAAAGCTGCGATGCAGCGTTCCTCCTTTATTCCCAATCGAACATGGTTGAACAAGCGGTCACGTGCTCCTGGGTGCCAAAATCACCTGGTCACCACGCCAGCAGGCGACAACTTTCACACCAAGGTTCAACTCGAGTGACAGGACTGCACCCAAAAAAGGTCAAAACAGGCTGTAAGTTGTACCCTGCAGGCACGGTGACCAGGTGACTGGTGTACGCAGGAGCACGTGACCGCTTGTTCAACCATGTTCGATTGGGAATTAGGGGCGAACGCTGCATCGCAGCCTTTTCGGACCAAAACCAGTCGACTCAGCGTCCAAAAGACTACAACATATGGGCCAATCGCGGTCATCCGTGCTTTTATAAGAACGAAATGGCGCTTTTAGTGACATTTTGCATACAAATCCCCATCTCGTAGGGCGCAGTCACCCAGTTTCGGTGGAAGTGCGCGAGTTCGATTGGGATTCAAGTAGGAAGGGAGCGTCTCAGCTTCCTCGGACCACGACCATTCGACTCAGCACCCCGAAGACTACAACTGGTGAAATTTTAATTTTTGCCTTAACTTCCCCTTTAACCTTTTGAGCACGACGCTACCTGAATGCCGCCCCACGTCAACACCTGCAAAAATCGCGTTTTTCCTATGAAAGTAGTAGCTGTTCAAGGATCGATAACTTTACCTTCCTTTGGACGAATTCCACGATCTTGAGCTTCCTGCAAAGGTCTTGAGGCGAGGAACAAAATAGTTCCAAGCTCAGCGAGGAACGACACCAAAGGCCCATGCTACAGTCTGGCAAACTTCACGCACGCGCTCGACAGACTTGAGCACGGCCAGGAGATCAAATCCTCAGCTGCCATTTCACTCTTCTTGCTCGTATCGAGCTCAAATTTTTTTTGAGGACTCCCCAGATCCTCTGCCATCATTTGAATCTAGTTTCCATGGCAGCAGATAGCGCGAAAATGATCGAAAATGGAGAATACGCGTTCTGCAGAGTTCGCAAAAAAATCGATTTGAATTTGCCGTGTTGAGTCGCATATCTCAACAACCCGGGGTCGTATCGCTTCGGCGATTGTTTCTATCGCAAGCTGAGAGTTTTCTCTTGCAGATACATATTTCGATCGTGAGAATCGGCCAAGAATTGACCGAGTTACGATAGTTTGAACTCACGCGGTTCATGCAAATCGCGTTTGTACGCTATGTACACTCACGACGTAATAATACGTCATGCGTGGGTGCAGTGACACTGTACGTGACGTATTAATACGTCATGCGTGCTCAAAGGGTTAAACTTATAATCTTGCCTCCCGGGCATGCCTTTGTCTTGTGTTCTTTTTCTTTTTTTGTTGGCTTTTAAATATCGTACGGTGTGTGTCCTAGTAAAAATCCAGATGTAATGAATTCATGACATGCTAACTCCATGCTATGTACCTGTTTTGTTGGATTCATCAGGCATGTGCTCCGATGTACCATCAAAAAGTGTTGTTCTATGCCTGCAAGTGCCGTTAGACCCAGAAATATTGTATATATCACATGCTTTACTGGTCAAAATGTTTGATTGGGGTTTCCAGTTTTTGGAATGGGCTTTTGTTTTTTTTCCGCCCTCCCGCGTACCTTTTCGCGAAAAAAAGGACGTTAAACAATGAATTAACAAAGGGTGGCCTTATGGTACAGTACATGGAATAGTGTATCATCGGTACAACGTACATAGGACCATTGGGTTCTGTGTACGTAGAGTTGTGTCTGCATGTGCGTTTGTGAATATGTTCGTGTTTGTGTGTGTGTGTGTGTGTGTGTGTGTGTGTGTGTGTGTGTGTGTGTGTGTGTGTGTGTGTGTGTGTGTGTGTGTGTGTGTGTGTGTGTGTGTGTGTGTGTGTGTGTGTGTGTGTGTGTGTGTGTGATTGTATGGACTGCACTTATAGCGCTTCGTGACACGTACACGCTGATGGATAGAGCGGTGGAAGGCTTTCGGCCCATGCTCCTCCTCAGGGTTGGTAGTGCATCCATGTGCGAGATTACGAAGCAGTGGCCTCTATGCTGTCATTGCTTAGCATCGCTCAGCATTGCCTAACTGACTTTCTATTTACTTCAACTCCCAGCTACTATACTGTAGGATTTTTTGCGTGAACCATTCATACAGTGTAGATGCACATAGCCACATAGGCATGTGCTGCATAGTGGGACATTTTCGTATGGAAATAATTTAGGACGCTGGGCATTGTGTATGAATTTGTACAAATGTATTCCCTACGAAAATTACCCTTGGTACCGTATGAATATACTTCAGCAAAGTGGAGTACTTTCTAGTTTGTGATGGCATGAGAACACCCCGATTTGTGTGTTTTTTTCTTCGTGTGTAACCGTGTCTTTTGAACCGGCAGTTTTGAAGAGAGAATGCTATGTTGTGCCTTGTTTGTTGTGCCTGTATGTGTGTAGACACTCCATACCGCCTTTCCGCAGTTTAGTGAGAAAGGAGAGAATGGCGTTTTCATACAGCAGGTGGGTAGTATGCTTGTATAGAATAATTACCGATGTGATGTAGTGCTCAGGGGAATATAAACACTGCTATAAAAGCCAAGGCGTGACCGGGTTTGATAGTGTTTTTTGTATTGTATAAGTAGCCAACCTGTGTACGCTCGTGCGCCCGAGAGCACACATACTTACACACGCACTTACACACACACACACGCACGTGCGCACACATCCTGGGACTGAATATGGAGTGCTAGCAGACTGTACAGCATTATTAAGCATACAGTCAATGTGTTTTTGTTTGCGTTCACATAACACGTGGGTATGTGTACTTGCGCGTGTGTGCTTGTTTGTGTGTGTGTGTGTGTGCGTGCGTGCGCGCAAATTTAGGATGCAAACGAGTGCTGGACACAGTTTGTGCGAGCCATGCAGGAGGTAATCAATCCCGTTACAATGGACTCCAATGGGCAGCTGACTGAAACCCAGCGCTCCATGACTGGTGACATGGGATTTGTTGACCAGTTTCTTGGTAAGTACTTCTACAATGTACTTTGAAAGTACCGGTAGTATCTGTACGGCCTGTTGCAACAGGGAATGACAGATTGACTGACTACAGATGACATTCGAACTTTCCTGTCCACCGGACCACTTACTTGTGTTGTACTACTACACAGACTTTGTTGGAGACCTTCATGTTGACCGTGCTCTGGGTGTGTTTCTTACCAGTACTGTCGCCATCTTTACTATAGTAATGAGGTATAGTAATGTGCTGTGAATCAGTTGGCGGGAGTGCTGAAGATGCCTGTGCCTCGGTAGTGCTTTCTTTTGTATAACTTTTCATTTCGCTGTCCCTTCTTATATCTTTTCTTCTGTTTCCGACTGGCAGGTGGTCGTCTTCAGAGCACGTAAGTGCAGTGTAGTTTGAATTGGTCAAGAATTCTATCCATGGGATGGAGAGCTTGAAGGATTTTTGATGTGTAACTATTTTTAGTGCTTCTGTTTTATGCAAGTCCGGTGAGGCAATCATGATCACATGTACACCCGCTGTCATGTTTGCCCAGTTGTCCACGTCCGCCCTTGACCGTCCTGCCTGTTGACCTGTTGTCCACGTCCGCCCTTGACCTTCCTGCCTGTTGACCTGTTGTCCACATCCGCCCTTGACCTTCCTGCCTGTTGACCTGTTGTCCACATCCGCCCTTGACCTTCCTGCCTGTTGACCTGTTGTCCACATCCGCCCTTGACCTTCCTGCCTGTTGACCTGTTGTCCACATCCGCCCTTGACCTTCCTGCCTGTTGACCTGTTGTCCACATCCGCCCTTGACCTTCCTGCCTGTTGACCTGTTGTCCACATCCGCCCTTGACCTTCCTGCCTGTTGACCTGTTGTCCACGTCCGCCCTTGACCTTCCTGCCTGTTGACCTGGTGTTACTTGTGTTCATCCATGTGTCCAGCTTGAAATGTGAAGAACAGCCTGAAGAGCCAGAGACTTCGTCCGAGGAGCGGTTTCTGCAACTAAGTTGTTTCATCAGCAAAGGTTTGTGACTTTGTGTTCTCAGTGGTTATGTGGCTGCCATGTAATCTCTTTCTACTGCCGCTCTATGCTAACTGTATGCTGACTCTATGCTAACTGTATGCTGACTCTATGCTAACTGTATGCTGACTCTATGCTAACTGTATGCTGACTCTATGCTGTATGCTGACTCTATGCTAACTGTATGCTGACTCTATGCTAACTGTATGCTGACTCTATGCTAACTGTATGCTGACTCTATGCTGGCTGTATGCTGACTCTATGCTGGCTGTATGCTGACTCTATGCTGGCTGTATGCTGACTCTATGCTAACTGTATGCTGACTCTATGCTAACTGTATGCTGACTCTATGCTGGCTGTATGCTGACTCTATGCTGGCTGCAATCACTGTAGTATGTGTCGTACAGTCCTATTTTTGTTTTGCTCTGCTAGTGTTATTGGGGAGAACATCGGTTTCATTTTTCGGGGTCTTAGTCTCGAATCTGTGATTTCTGCCAGTACACGTATCGGAAATTTATATATCTATGCCAGACATGAGTTCAAGTCACAAGTGGTTTGGTGTTTTCTGTTTCCTTTCTTTTTCGTGTGGATGTTAGGTATAGTATTTTCCTGATAATCTCTCGTCTAGGCTCCAAGTGATACTGACCACTGATACAGTCAACTTCGCTTATAACGACACTCGGCGGGGCATCAGAAAAGTGTCCTTATTCGCGAAGTGTCGTTATACCCGAAGTCTCATTACATGTATACAGATAGTATGGACTTTGCTCTGGGCATGGAAATTCTGTCGTTATTCGCGAATTGTCGTTATATCCGCAGTCGTTATAAGCGAAGTTGACTGTATAATATATTTATTGCATCTCAAGACTCAGTAGAAACACCGGCCAATGGTATATGTGACAAATACATGTTCCTCTCTGTCTGTCTCTCTGTCTGTCTGTCTGATATATATATTTGTAGATGTGAAGTACATGCATACCGGACTCAAGAATGTAAGTCTCCCCAGTCCATGGGCAATGGGCTTTGTGTAACCTTACGCACCCCCATCACTAGACCAGTCTCTTCCTTCATGCTACTGTCATTCCCCATACTTCCCCTTTCTTGCCGTAGTGCACCACGTGCTAGTCAAGCTGGTGCGTATTGCCAGCATTATTCACTTCTGCTAGTCAGTTTTCTTGAAACCTGTAGTGGAAGCTAATTTATTGTTGCACACCAGTTCCTTCAAATCTAACCTGTATTGTGCTAGCATGCAATGTAGCATGAGTGGTTTGCCTTGATTTGCTCAAGTCTCTCTCTCTCTCTCTCTCTCTCTCTCTCTCTCTCTCTCTCTCTCTCTCTCTCTCTCTCTCTCTCTCTCTCTCTCTCTCTCTCTCTCTCTCTCTCTCTCTCTCTCTCTCTCCAGCGGCTGCAAGAACACATCACAAAGCGATCGCCTTCTCTAGACCGTGATGCCGTTTACATCAAAACTGTGAGCAGCTTTGTGTTCTCCACTTTGAATGTGTACTCCTGTCAGATAGATATGCCTTTGACATCACTTAGGTGACTAGAAGTTGATGAGTATGTGCTGCGGTGGCGTTATGCAAGTGGACCCGCCGGAAGCTGAGACGGGATAGTTGATTGTTGTGTGTTTGAATGTTTTCTGTTTTTTTTTTGGCATTTTGTTTACAGTCTCTAATTGACCGTCTACCTGGCTACCTATCCGTGCAAATGGTGCGGTTTTTCTACAAGGAGAAGGACAACATTAATGCAAAAATCTTGAAGGTGAGACATGTCGGGATTGGGTGTATGCATGCATGCGTGTGCGTGTGTGTTTGTGCATATTTGTTTGGATATGGTTTGTGCGCTGTGCCTGCTGTTTGTACTGGCTTTTAAAGCTGGTTTTTCTGTTCTATTGGTTGTGCTGATAGGACGTGAAGTTTCCCTTGTCGCTTGATGTCTTCGACATGTGCACACGAGAGCTGCAGCAGAAGCTCACCCCAATGCGCGAGCGGATGCGCATCAACGACGAAAATGAGATCGAGAAATCTAAGGTACAGTTATTTGAAGTCCTTTTTTTCCTGTGAAGCAGATCATGTCAGTCAAAGCACGTTTCGTCTTAAAATGTGGTGTGACCGGAGCCAGTATGAACGTGACATGTCCATGCTTGGCTACACAATACGGCTAGAAAGCATGGTGTCAAAGCCCTTGGCAACAGCACCGGCAACCACCACCGTTTGGCACGGCTTTGTTGTCCCTGGTGCATGGACCGCTTTGTCCCTGAACGGCTGAGCTAACGGCTTTCCAACAGTGTTGTGTAACAGTGTTTCTTATGCTGCGAACCCTTTCAGTAGCGGCCAGGCAATGTCGACCTAGAAAGCTGGAGCTTCTATCCATTCTTCACACGCAAGCATCACCGAATGTACAGTAAAAAAAGAATAGAAAAAGGATGCAGTCATAACCGTACAGTATTGTGTAATGTTATGACTGTACTACATGTACGTTGTGTTGGAATGAGATTGTGTAATGTTATTATGTACTACATGTACGTTGTGTTGGAATGGGATTGGCGCTGAGCTCCGCTAATGTAACCAAAACACGGTCGAATCTGCTAGCTGGCAGGAAATTGACTTGAGTAAGATCTGTTTTCTGTTCTTCTCCATTTGCTTTACATTGCTAAGTCTTATGCTTGTACTGTTTCCCTACAGGTGGCTAAGGTAGCTGGTGCCCAGGCTGCAGAGGAATCCGCAGAAGGCAAGGATGAAGACAACGAGCCATACTGGTTTGAAGGCGGTGAGTCCTCTCAGAGATTTTTCCTTTTCCCTTTTTTGCGATCTTTCAACACGAGTTTGTTGGGGCTGGAGGGAACTTGATACTTGTCCATACCTGCCAGCTGGTACATTCTAATACCTAGATGTGATGTTAGTACATGTATTTGAGTAGCTGTTTTAAAGCTGCAGTCACACCAAGAGATTCAGGTGAAAAACTACATGCGTTTCAATGGAACTGGCAGAATTTTCGATTCTCAACTACTTTCAACCGTTTTCAAAGCGCTGAGTGGCTGGTGCTGAATGCATTCAGCAGCTTGCAGGCTTTTTAAGAGACTGGAATTTCTGTACTGTGACCACTCATTTTCAGCACAAACCGAAATCTGCTCGCTTGATGTGGCCACAGCCGTGTTTTCTGCCTCTACATTATTGTGCTGACCCCATCCGTTAAGCAAGGTTCCTCCACACGGTGGCTCCTTTCGTGTTTTCGTACTGGGTTTGGCTTTTAAGTTTTATGGCATTTGTTTGCCTTCCCCGTTGTAGATATTGGATCAAACAACAGCGGGTTTTACGAGCTGAGGGCTGTATTGACCCATCAGGGACGATCATCCAACTCTGGACATTATGTTGGCTGGGCGAAAAGGAAAGGCAGTAAGTTGTGGACACACATTTGCACCAATTCAGTGTCAGAGTTTTGTGTAAATTTATGCATGTGCTTGTGCGTATGTGTGAATGTATGTGCTTGTAGTCATCTGCTTGGTGTGTTGCCTATTTTTGCTGCTGTTAAGAAAGCTAGTTAATGTGTGTGTGTGTTGTGTGGTGGATGTGTGTGTGTGTGTGTGTGCTTGCATGCGCGCGCATGTGTGTGTGTGTGTGTGTGTGTGTGTGTGTGTGTGTGTGTGTGTGTGTGTGTGTGTGTGTGTGTGTGTGTGTGTGTGTGTGGTCGATGCAGCCCACTGGTTCAAATTCGATGATGCTGATGTGACATCTGTTCATGAAGATGATGTCCTCAAGCTCTCCGGTGGCGGTGAGTCTTCATTCTGATCTTCTGCGTACACACTCCTGTGCATGCATGTACCATGCCATGTTTTATTATGCTATAGTATAGCTATGTGTCGACAGTGTATGGTTGTGACCACCACTAAGTAGGAAACTGCCTTCTTCTTGGCAGCATGTTTGCATGTAGCCTATTGTCAGCATTGTCCTGTTCAACTGTTCTTGTGTTTATGACGTACAGGTGACTGGCATACTGCCTATGTACTCCTGTACGGTCCACGTCGACTGCCCAAAGGTGCAGGCCTCACAGAGAAGAGCACAGAATCTGGAGCAACGGAAGCGACCTCAACAGAGGGTGCAGCCTCAGGAGAGACACCAATGGAGACATAACAAACCAAATGTCCACGAGGGATCTCAGCTCTCAATTGGGCTGTGTGAAAAAAAGTCATGCCAAGATATTTGGTTGGATTAGTGCTCGCATCTAACATTGATACAGAGTGTCAGCGTATGACAGGTACCAGAACGTACATTGTATTTTGTTCCTGTAACATATACTTGGTGTACTAGAGTAAAAGCAATATGAAGTATTGGGTGCTGTGCAACCGGTTTTATTTTAGGAAATCCGCTTCCAGTGACCAACTCATTGGCTTTTTCTCTTTTTAATATTGAAGCATTGTTGACTCTAGGCATTGCATGTTGCATTCTACATATGTAAAAAAAATGTTCTTCAGCTGCCATGCAAGTCTGATTTTGTGTGGTGCGTGTACACTCATGAATATGCATTAGCGCTCGCCATGCAGGTCATTTTGTGTGGTGCTTGTACACTCATGAATATGCATTAGCGTTCTTCTCATACACACTACATTGTGCCTATTGTGAACTCATTCTGCCACTACTAGTTATGTCTTTGTAACAAAGTTTGTATATAACTTGTTCCATCCATTCAACTGCATGCTCCGTTGCTTTGCTGTTGTTGCTTCATCATATACAACTGCTGCTGCTGCTGATGACAATGACGGTGTTGTCTCCAAATGCAGTTATGTCAATATTCCTGAAAAATGGACGTTGCCTTGCGTTGTTCGTCAAGCTGGGCAGTACAAGTAGTTTTGCGCATCCTGTGCTCGCACGCATATGTCACTGGCATGGCACACAGGTAGACATACTACAACTGTAGCATGGAGCTTCCACCACTAGCGGGGTATACAGGAGGTGAACAATAGCTGTCAATTGGTCTTGATTGGATCTGCCCCAGCGATGTTCACACGACGATCACGTACAAGAACAGGGGCTCACTATTGGTTAGACCAGCCGTGCCACCACCGTGCACGGGGAGAGTTCTTTATTGCATCAGACACGTACATGGCAGGTGTGCCTGGATACATCGTGTCCCTCCTGATGCTGCTGCCACTGTTGTAGCAGGGGACTGCATCCATGATAGATGACACCTGGTTGTTAGTAATCTAATCAGGATTTCACCCAGGCAATGATCTTATTGATCACTTCACCTACCACCCCTTCGTATTTCTTTGTCAAACTGATCTCCTGTGAGGGTACCATCTATACTCTGACAATCCTTGTTGAACACAGAATAAGCACTTGGCTGGCCTTTCCGTCTTTCATCTGATCCAGTACCAGCATAGGGTATGTAGAATAGTGACAGGACGAAGAACGCCGTCCCAAATTCAATCCGGACAAAGATAGCGAACAGTAATAGCCACAGTAAGGCTTTCAGGGACAACTTGAAATACCAGGAGCTCGCCAAAGCCTGCCAATCCATTTCTCCCCAGGATGCTAGCACCATCAATCACTAGTAACTTCTAGCACTCAATCTCATACCACCAACTCATGAAGAAGAAGTAACAACAGCAAGTACGTACCGGCCACGGGTGCACGCCAAGTCACTGGCCAGAGCAACAAAACAAAACGTCTTGCACCCAATCTTTTTGAATCCAAATTTTCAAACAAGAAACAAAAATATTAATTAGCTGTCTCGATCGAGGGATCACATCAAGAAGCATGCAATCAGGAAGCGAAGGCATTATTATGCAGAGAAACAGTGGCATCGCAAAAAAAGAAAGAAAGAAGTCGGAATGTGTCGACGTCACAGTGGGCAGAAGAAACTGATTATGATCAGCCGCCGGTATCGTACCGCGGTGCAGTGTGCCAGTGAAACTGCATGTACATGACATGATCACTCGATCTATTGTTTATGTTTTGCTTTTGCTTGTCTTTGAATAAAAGAAATAATAATTGGATTCGAAATTGAGATGCATGAAGGATAGGTGACCACTTTCTTCCGCGTCTGTTATCACCAGCTGTTGTGCCTAGCCCGTACCAGTGTTAGTGACATGGGCTTGGTGAGCTGCGCGCTGAATTGGAGCTTCGAAATTATCCAGAAGTACAGGGAGAATTCTTGTTTTCTGACACCTGTAGTCACAGGAAATCAAAGCCGTGTGTGGTGAATAGCCCAATCATTGTTTCACGACGTGAATCTATTTTACTTCATCTGTGGAAACAACTTTCAAGACTGTATCAAGAAGCAATAGGAGACGCACCTGTGTGAAGAGACTGTACATTTCCCCTTATGCTGGCTTTGTATTCATCGCACGTACAATGTTGGGTGTTGAGTTGACTTACTCGTTGTCATTGGATATCTCCAGCTTCAGCAATATCGATTTGCACAGAAGGGGGTAAGTGTTGGTGGTAACTGTATGCATGGTTACAGGTTGTAGTTCCGGTCTTGGGAAACAGAGCGCAGGTGCTAATGGGAATTCGCCAACTAGGTACAATGAATGTGAAATATACCGTACTGGCAATATATATGGTCGCAGTGAGGCCATGAAGCGTTACATTGGCACATGTTTACCGCACGCAGGGCGTTACATGCAAAGTCGCACAGGAGCCGTTACACAGGTTTCTATATTGCCGCAGTCCTTTTTTTGCTATTGCCGCATCATTTTTTGCAAACTGCAATGAAAAGATCGCCGCACCCCGCCGGACGCGCGTTACGAACGCAACGAAAATTTGTCGCACTAGCCTGGTCGCGCGTTATGCCGCACCCCCCCCCCCCCCCCCCTGCGTTACGCGTTACGCGGCAACATATATTGCCAGTACGGTACTAGTACATGTCAAAAGAAGAACATGTACATTTCACATTCACATCATTTCTCTCGAATGTTTGTTACTACATGTATTGTAATAATACATGGTTACCGCGCAGTTAGTACGCTTGATTGCCATATTAAAGTTGCTGTCTCCGAAGCGCTTAGGCACAATGTATCTTTTTTAAACACATAGCTGCATCTTACAGCACCGTTGGTTCTCTGCTGTTCTGGAAAACTGTGCAGCTTGGCTGTGTACATGTACATGTGTGTGCGCTATATGGTGTATACGATCCAGCACGATGTGCATCTAAGAACGTGCTATAAGAATGCCGTTAGATTGCTGAAAAGGTAAGAACGTCACGGCCTGGCCCCTTGCAAACGACATTCTTGGGCGTGTGACTCTACTGTAGGAAACTACCATGATACGCATCCGTTTGCTTTTGGAGAATCCTTCTCGAATAGATCACGATGAACACCTAGCACTCTGGAGTAGACATGGTGATGCCACTGTTGCGAGGCATCTATGGGTTTACACTCTTGTTTCACAGTATTCTCGGAGATGATGCACTGATCAGTTGAAATTGTATTGCGCGGAGAGCACACAGAACCATCGCTTTCATTCCTGATCATTATACATGTAGCAGGCCAGCTAGTCATGCTAGGTCGGCCTTACTAACCATACTACACCCGTACCTCGTTTATCCGGGCGGTCTGGGACCGGGCACTGTCTGTAACTTTGAAATGTCCGTAACACCGAATTACATACAGGTTAATGGGGAAAGGCCATGGATATAGCCAAGAGTACATAACCCCAAGAGTGTGCAACTGCCGGCACATCTACCCAGTGCTGCGACGGCAGAATTTCACATCACGTGACATGGTTCAACAGGTTACGCTGGCAAATAGTGGCAGTGTTCTAGCCAAGGGGGGAGGGGAGTTCGAGTTTTCTATCCGGGTTACACGGGCACCTATGATGGCCTATCGGGTATTTGTTGACATACAAGTAGCTTGTACAGTGAGTGTGCACTTACTCTACATAGAAAGTGTACAGTAAGCAGGTAGCCATGCTTTTTACATGCACCGTTGCGAAAACACCGTACTCCAACTACCCGATCGGGTTCTCCGGAGCAAACTGCTACCTGAATACTCGCTCTAATTACCCTGCTACTTGATGACACCCCTACTTGATATGTCAAGTGGCGTCACGATTTCCACAAAAACTGACGAAAAAAATCACTGTTCGTGTTCGACTCGGCTGGTGGCCGAATCTTTCGCATCCTTTGGGACGCCACCACTCTCTGTGGATCACGGCGCAGAGGCAGCTCCTAGAGCGGTGGGAGGTGAGTAGATCAGACCCACCACAAAGTGATCAAAGACCGAAAAATCCCATTCGCTGCATCCATGCTTCCCTCGTGCCAGGCCACGAGTTCCCAACTACAGGTCGTCCCTCGTTAATACATAATCTCTGGGACTTGATAAATGTTATGTATTAACGGGGTTTATGTACTAAACGAAAGTGTACATAACTTGCTTGTGTACCAGAAATTTTCACTTTTTTCAGCTTTTCTGAGTGTTTCTTGCTACGATGACTAGGGAGCGAGATATTCTTGATTCCCTCAATATAACATAAAAATTATGTTATAACGGTCACAGTCAGCGAAGATTCTACAGTTTACATGATACATGCGCCCAGCCGCGCCTGTACAGTCACTCGGAAAAAGCAGAGCTTTGTCGGCTTGTGATAAGTGCTCTGATTTCTGAGCTAATTGCGTCCACAAGTAGAAACTAGAACACAATGTGCCTCCACTGGAAGGCCGAAAGACCAACAAATTATGTACTATTGAGGTAGGTGGCATGCGGGTGCGGAGAAATGTTATGTACTAACGGGGTTTATGTACTAACGAATTCTGTACTAACCGACAAAATTTGTATGGAAGTGACCACGTTTCGTCCGGGACTTGAGATTTCTTATGTACTAACGGGGTTTATGTACTAACCGGACTCGTATTAACGGGGGACGACCTGTAACTGGCGAAAGAGTAGTAATACTTCACGAAAACTCTCCCAAAGGGTGCCCGGTAGACCAAGGTGCACATAACGTTGGTGTCCGGATAACTGAGGTATGAGTGTGTAACAACAAAATAAGTATGGCATACAGTGAAACTTAAGTACAGTTGACCTACCCCTATAACGATATTACCATTGTAACGCTATTACCCCGATAACTACATGTATACCTGTATCACCCTGATAGATTTTTCTTGGTCTGTTGCCGACATCGTCATTGTATCATTTCCTTTGCTGGCCTTTTATATTGTATTCTTCTTTTAGTCGGTATGATGTAGTTCGGCAAATTTGCCTGTTTGTTCTTCGACTCTAAGGGGCCGTCCAAGGTTACCTATAGTATTTTCAAAACGAAATGTTTTCGTTTGGGGGTGGGTGGGTTTTAGGAGTTTCGTTTTGAAAATAATTATTGAATGTACACGGAGAATGCCCAGTTACGTCTGGGGGCCGAAGATTGAAATCAATATTTTGTTGGGCGGCATTTTACCTGCAGAAAGGGTGGGTGGGTGGGGGTTGAAAAATACTAAAACTTTTCGTTTCACAGAAACAATCGGTAACCCCGGACGGCCCCTAAATAAACAAACAACATACATACTAAACCATTTCACTGTATTTCTATCTGGTTGTGTTGTCTTTAGGTACTATCGGCTACATTTCAATCTCAAGCCTTCCACTCCTCAAGGATCCGTCACACTACAGTGCTGTACCAAGCGCAACAGAGCAGCCGGAAAAGGTATGTGCCAGCCGGTATTCGGCACGCTCTTTGTGAACTTTCCTATCCCACATGGCTGTTGTCATAGATCATTGAGCTGATCAACGATCATGCAGAGTGTGCAGTATTCCGTGATACTGCACAGGAAAGCTCGTTTGTCCCGTGCAGTATTGCAATTTGCAACACATTACGCAACTTGACATTTCAATTTATCGAGTCACTTTAGTACTGGTACACACGATTTGGCTTTGAACCAATATCGATGTACATGTATGAGATGCTTATGTCCCTAATAGGGCTTCGAAGTGTGACGTTAGGTCCTTGACAACTTCGTAGCAACTGGGTACAAACAACCATTGCGTCCCCCAGCACGTGTTTTGCACTGAAAATTTCAAATCTTACATCATGGCTTGTGCAGATTAGCATAGATACCTAACACGAAGTACCAGGATATCCTTTTATTGTCCTTTTGGGACATGGATCTGCTACCTTTGTCCTCCTTTTTGCAGTGCAGAGTATAGCAGTGACTTGCATGAAATTACAATTACGAATCAGGGTGCGAATCCTGCACTTTTTATTGCCTTTCCCGAGGAGCATGGAGATCGATCTGTACGTCATGCATGCACGTCAAGTTTTCTTTCGCTCACTGTGAGAGGTGATTCGTTGCACTAGATCCTTTCTCGTGACTTCGGACATCTGAATTTGCTCTCGTTACGAGGCAGAAAGATGCTGAAGCAAGCGAGAATTGACCTCAGATCAGAACTCTGAAATATTTTCGCCAGCTCATCGCAGACGCTTTGTTTCACCTTTGAAATACAGTACTGGGAAAACCAGTCATTGCTCCATCAGCGTAGCAAACCTCTAACTATCAGTGAGGGACACCTATAAAGGCTGTTTATTCAAGAAAACCATTGATTCCCACCATCAGAAACCTGCATATTACTTCAAAAGCAGTGTAGAGCAAGGGGACGCTAAAGTTTGTTTGTACCCAGAAATTGCGTTGCCATGCATTGTCAAGTATGTGTGACGCTTCACTTCGAAGCCCTATAAGACGGGTTCGAACAAGAGTGTGCAACTGTCATGCCGGACCGCATTACGATCATTGTTTGCTGTCATGCCGTCAAATCATTCGATCTGTTCGGTTTAGACAACATATACAATCTGACATCAACCCAAACATTCCAGCCTACCCATCAAGTCTGCAGATAATTGCAAGGAAGTAACCATCACTCAGAACACCACAATGTATTTAGGTACAAAGCGGCCATCCAGTCTTGTTTATTAGAAATCTTCACAAGTCATCTGCAAGGAGCTCTTTCTCCAACTCCTTCATCTCCTCGTCAAGCTCGGCAGACCACCCGGCCGCCTGCTCTTGACGTTTCTCATGCGCCTCATCCCGCTGACACTCCACTCCGAGTTCGGTAGATTCCCGGAAGCAGTCGCGCCCTTGGAATCCGCCTTCGGAGCTGCACTGGCGGATGACGAAGAGTCGGTTTTTCCCCTTCCTCTTGGGGCTCGCCGGCACCGCGGAGGATGCGGACGCACCACTCACTCTCTCCTTAGTCGCCTCGGCTGACCGACGACTCTTCTTCGCCAACCGTTCGGTCGGCGTCATCCCAGTGCCTGGAGGTCATTGGCGTGCCGAAGCAACGGGCCCAGATGTTGTGGAACCCGGCGAAGGTGACGGGCCCGCTCATGGTCTCCGAGGGCTTCTAAGGCTGCTCCCCGCGTTCGGCTGACTTGATCATGAGATCCACGCTGACAGTTGTGGGGGCATCTGTAAGCAATCGCATACAGAAGAACAGAACTTGGATCCTGGCCACAGCACCAAAATAATATTATGTCATGCCGGACATATACAATACCGATCTTATGGCTACAACATATACTTTCGTATTGCCGTAATAACCCAACCAGGTCATCAACCAATATAGTTGATCCAAGTATCCATTCAGCCCCACACGCTCACCTTGATCAATCGAGAAGGTTTTGGAGAGACTGTGATCTTAGTTCGAATCTCAGGTTGAAGGTAACCTTACATCCAAAGGAGCAAGAGTTATATACGATAGTAAAAGGGTCGAAAGTGACAAAGATGCAGCAGAGGCGGGAAAGGCCAACCAATCAGATTACAGATAGCTAGTTGCTAAGTAGATTTGACCAATAGCAGAACAAGGAGAAATGCGTACTACTTATGAATTGACTAAACAGCGTATATGAAGAGACAGTTAGCAGACACAGCGTTCCATGCATTGATAATAATGATAAGTGTATACAAATATGACAGTTGTCGTACTAACGCATTAATGTGTACCGCAGGAGTCTTGCTGTCGAAGCGGACGTTGTAGCTCCTGCGCGCGCTCATGAGGGGAACACGTTCACCCAACATGACGTAAGCTAGTACCGGTAGTAGTTCGTCGTACAACCCGGGAGAAACCATCAGCTGCCGAGCCCGATGTGACACAACTGCCTGCACAACCTCTATCCAGTATTGCGATGGCAGAACCTCACATCACGTGACATGTTACGCTGGCAAACAGTGCAACGTGACCACACGAGAGTTGAACCCAAAGCAGGGTTGCGTACAACCCTGTATCCATCATGCACAGGGTGCAAATAATGTGCACGAGTCCATCACGTGATGTGAAGTTCTGCCGTCACAGACCCCATCAAGGGTCATAGCTTGAGTTGCACACGCCTGGGAGTTATCATCCGGTTATGTACTCTCGGTGGACAGTGGATATAACACACCCACACACGTGAGATACAATGAATGAAGCATTGCCCTTGCACGAGGGCCGTGCTGGCACAGGTATATGCACTCATGGCTAGTGCTGTGCATGCAGGTGTCGGCCAGCGCTGCACTCGTGCTCGGGCAATATCTCATGCATGTAAGAAATTAGAATGTCGACGGTATTGTGCACCAGCTTGTGAATTGCCCCGACAATGCTGTCGACCCTGGCGCATGGCACATCTCAGATTTCCCTCACTGGCCAATCAACTCTTGTGATGGACATGATAGGGATTGCTCTTTCTTCTAAAACAAAATGCTTTGAGAATACCATCTGAATTGTAGGATTAATGAGACTGATGATCATCTAATTCCATGCTCTGTTTGAGCATAGTAGAGACTGGAAAGCTATGCGACTGGACAGTAGTTCTCTGGAATCGAGTTCAACCTATCTTGTGGGTAGGGAATCTGTTGCATTGTACATTGGTTAGTAGGTGGTGCTCACTGGTGTGTATGCGTGTCACTGTGTCCTTATCTGTGTCCGTGCGTGTTTGTTGTTGTTGTTGTTGTTGTTGTTGTTGTTGTGTGTGTGTGTGTGTGTGTGTGTGTGTGTGTGTGTGTGTGTGTGTGTGTGTGTGTGTGTGTGTGTGTCTGTGAGTGTGTGCGCACGTGTGTGTGTGTGTGCGTGTGTGTGGATGCGTGTGTGTGTGTGATTGTGTGTGTGTATGTGTGTGTATGTGTGTGTCTGTGTGTGTGTCAACTGTGTGTTCAGATGAATGGTGCAGGATCATCAATGATGGCTGCACGGCCATGTCTGCACCGGTACTAGTTCAGTACACCAAGCAGGACTGCAGTGTGGACAGCCACTTCATTGGCACTGTAACACAGGTTGTTCCTGCCAAGCTGGTTAGTGTTCATCATACCCACAAATGCACAATCCTTCTACTACAGTTGGGCCCGAAGAAATCCAACCCCCAACATAGAGAATGTAACCTGACGCTATTAAAGCCACTGCAAAACCAAATCTGCGCGGTTTTTAAGGCCGGGAAGTGGTATTATCTGCTATACAGGGAGGGTTAAAACCCAACTACTGTTACTTGACCATGAACATTATATATATTATTATAGGTTCAAAAAAGTGGGAACAGATGCAGGTTTAGCTGTTATGTGTGAAGCTGGATCTAGATTTCCGTTCTTCTTCAGAATGGTCTTTCCAGCTACAATACACATTGATAGCCCAGTAATATCAGTTGCTGTGGGTAGAATCTGACAGGCAGGTAGCAAGGCCATCGTCACAGCCGGGGCGGCTCGGGCGGCTGAGGCTCAGCCGCCCCACTTTTGTGGCCGTTTTTTATATTTTTTAGTACACACTGCAACAAAGCGCGATGGTCGCATGCGCAAACGTGGCGAATAATGAAGAATCCTTGGCCCCGACCGCAGCGTCTTCTTGGCTTGTTGCAGAATTGATAAGTCTTTCATGCATTGTAGTTACGTACACTGACATGGCACCAAATGCCCTGAAATGCTTGCAATTGACTTTAATTTTTGAAATTTTTTCACGGGGTTGCACCCCGGACCCCCTACCATGGCCACCCCACCTCCAAAGTCAATGTGACGGGCCTGTGAGGTAGAACATAGTTGCTGAATGCCAGGTCGCCATGCTTTTCAGCAACCTGTGTAATGGCTGCATTGTGGCCGAGACTTGTTGTCGAGAAGTAGCATCATTCTGCTTTCTTCGATTGTTAGCTGTCCGTGGAAAGTAGCCACTGTCAAGAATTCTCCTTCGGCTGCCCGGCCATCCCTCTACATGTTCTTGTTTTGCCCTCGAAATCATGAGTAGAATCGACAGTGAAATTGAACGCCTTCACAGGGAGGATTGCACTTTATACATTTCTCTTTTCTTGTTTTCGTTTTTTACAGGCATGTGCCAGCAAATGCCAATGGCCACAGATCGAGGCATCTATGGACCTCTACTTTGCCCCACTGCGAAAAGAAGTGTAAGGCCGCTCGCCTGCACTGTTCTGTATGATGTATAGCCAGTGGAAACCGCCTGGCACATGTACTAGTGTTGTGTTTGTTGTGTGTCATGTCAACTCACTATTACCCCCAACAGTTGTGTTCTCAGTGTATATTTTACTTCATGTGTGCAATTCATCAGCCTTGCAAGCTGTTGAATGGTTTAATCCCAGCACAAGTTGCTGTGTCTAACATAGCTTGTTCGCTATCATCGCTTCAGCGATGGGCAGGAGTATGAGTGTGCTTGTGCTAGAGCCTGTGCTTGTAATGGAAAAGATGCAGTATAAGGATGTGGTATGTGCGTTCTCGTTTTCTCTGTTTCCACGTTTCCCACCCAGTAACACCTACTCCACCCCGCCGATTGCTAGCTTTGAGAAAGTCGACACCAGGCCGTTTGTGCTGACCTTGTGCAGCAGTACCCATCAGCTTCATTCAGCGCGCTACATCCTGTTTCACTGTAAGAAGCATTGCGGTGCTAAGTTCCAGCTACACATGGCACTGACCGGTACCAAGCCAGTACAAGTGGAAAAAACGTGAGTGTAAATTAGCTACTGCAGTACAGGACAGGTGTGTGTGTGTATGTGTGTGTGTGTGTGTATGTGTGTGTGTATGTGTGTGTGTGTATGTGTGTATGTGTGTGTATGTGTGTGTATGTGTGTGTGTATGTGTGTGTGTCAGCCTTGCAAGCTGTTGAATGGTGTAATCCCAGCACAAGTTTGCTATGTCTAACATAGCTGTTCGCTATCATCGCTGACGCGATGGGCATGTCTGAGGTGTGTGTGTGTGGGTATGTATGTATGTGTGTGTATGTGTGTGTAACAGCTGTGTGGTGGATACCAGGCTAAAAATAGTGGCGGTCAATTCGTCAGCCTTGCAAGCTGTTGAATGGTGTAATCCCAGCACAAGTTGCTATGTCTAAAACATAGCTGTTCGCTATCATCGCTCCCGCGATGGGCATGTCTGAGGTGTATGTGTGCGCGTGTACATGTGGTGTGATGTTGGTTTGGGTGTGCAAGCATGCACATACTATCGCACACTTGTATTTTAAAATGCTTGTACGCGCAACAGCATATCCGAAATGGGCTTTCTGATAGCGGTTGTTCCATTGCTCCACTCTGCTGCACAGGAAAGACAAGGGCCCGCTTTTGGCTTGGCTACCATCGATGACAACTGATGAGGTAACCTCGTGTTCTATGGTGTTCTATGCCGTATGTGTGTGTGTCCACCTTTGTTGGTTTCAGGGTTCATATACTTTCTATTTGAAGTATACATACCTGTTAGCCATGGGCTGCTTCTGGCTAGATTCATTTTTTGTGTAATCAATGGTGGTAGTGAATCTTGTATCAGCTCCACTCTGATTTAGCCACCCACACTGGTAGCAAGTAATACCTTCACTGGGGGCAGGGGTAACTGCAGTTGGATCCCGGGACGGATACCCCGATGCCGTCAATCCTTTTTCTGCACCTTGTCCTCACCCTCTTACTGAGGTGTGGTGAGCCCATGAGTGGGATCATGTCAAATCCACCCTAGTTTGGGGATTTCAGGGGGTGTCGGCCGTTGGGCGGTTCAATAGCCAATTGAGTCATCTTTCCAAGATTTCTTGTGAGTCTCTCTCCCCTCTCCCGGGGAGACCCACATGACCAGTTTGGCAGTGAGCAAGTACAAGTGTGTGTGTGTGTGTGCACGTGTGTTTGTGTGTGTGTGTGCACGTGTGTTTGTGTGTGTGTGTGTGTGTGTGTGTGTGTGTGTGTGTGTGTGTGTGTGTGTGTGTGTGTGTGTGTGCAAGGCAATGCTACAAGGTGTGCATGAGCATGATGGACTGTGTGTTGTGTGTCCTGGCTGTACAGTGTGAAAGAGCAGATTTGCTGCTAGTTACTGCAGTGCTCTTGAAGAGAAGCTGAAAAACAAGACTATATTTCCACACCGAAAAGGCCACCAGCAGCTACCCTAGTATTGAAGACCGACTTTGTCTTTTGCATTCTTTCAGTCTTCGCTGTTTCCATGGCTACTGTCAGTGTTGCTGATGTTGTTGCTCATGGTGCTGACTGTACACGTGTGTGTGTGTGTGTGTGTGTACGTGTGTGTGTATGTGTGTATGTTGCTTGTGTGTAGCTGCCAACCAGTGCCAGTATTCGACCAGTGCCCACCGTTTCTTCTGTTTTGCTTCGGTAAGTTGTGTAGCCTCTTTGGGCCTTTCTGTGATATGGCCCAACACTAGAAAATTATCCGAGCCCTTCACCCCCCTCCCCGATTGCTACCCAACACAGGCTTTGTGAAATTGCTTGACTGAAATGTTAACTTGTACTCTGGCTGTATTTTCCTCTGTATGGTGAAGAGGTTGATCAAATCTGCAGCGGGAGTTCAGGAAGACTTTTTGCTTAAAATTTCCAAAGAATGTTTTGCAGTGTTGATATACTGAACCTTCTGCTTTCCAGGCCTCGTGTGTGTTGGCGTTACATGCTTGTAGACAATGGTGTTATCCTTCAGCAAATACTAAGCTTAGATGAATACTACTTTAACTTAAAATACATGTACGTAGAATCGTAGCATCTACAGTGCGTTTCAAAAATATAAATCCGTGATTTCAAAAAGCCGTTGGGCCAACATCTTTACCACATAAAATCTGTGATCACTTTGTGCTCAAAAAATTCGAAATTGTGCGTTTGTTATCTGATCGCTTAAAAATCTAGATGAGAGCAATTGGGGGAAGGACCTGAGCAAAATTCGGGGAAAAATTCTCAAGAAGCTCCAGCCAAATTTGAAATATTTCAAAAATACCATGCGTCTATATTTTTGAAATGGACTGTAGGGAGGCAACGAGAAGCCATAGTACCCACACGTGCGTTTCGACCCTGGATTTGAAGTATAATGATCCGTGGTACATGTATATGCAACTCGCAATCCATGACACGCTGACCGCGGCCGAGGCCAGTGATGCATTCTGTGCATATGCCTAAATCTGCTCTCCCCCCTCCCTCCCCGCCAGGGAGACTGCATGCGCAGCTACCCTGTCTTCTTTCTGGATGTCTTATTTATTTAGCTCTTTTTTGGTGTTGTTGTTATGCAAGCATGTGCAACATGTTTGGTCCTTCTTTTCTTTTTCTGCTTTTAACTTTCAGGCAACTTTGCACTCTTCTCCTCGAGTCTCAAGGCGGTCTGGCTGACAAATGCCAAGATATTGTATCTACATCTGCCTTACCCACTGGTAGGTGTCCTAGTGTGTTGTTTGTTGGTGCAGTCATTGTGTTTGTTTGTTGGTGCAGTGGGTGTGTTTGTTTGTTGGTGCAGTCGGTGTGTTTGTTTGTTGGTGCAGTCGGTGTGTTTGTTTGTTGGTGCAGTGGGTGTGTTTGTTTGTTGGTGCAGTGGGTGTGTTTGTTTGCTGGTGCAGTCGTTGTGTTTGTTTGTTGGTGCAGTCGGTATGTTTGTTTGTTGGTGCAGTCGGTGTGTTTGTTTGTTGGTGCAGTCGGTGTGTTTGTTTGTTGGTGCAGTCGGTGTGTTTGTTTGTTGGTGCAGTCATTGTGTTTGTTTGTTGGTGCAGTCGTTGTGTTTGTTTGTTGGTGCAGTCGGTGTGTTTGTTTGTCGGTGCAGTCGGTGTGTTTGTTTGTTTGTTGGTGCAGTCGGTGTGTTTGTTTGTTGGTGCAGTCGGTGTGTTTGTTTGTTGGTGCAGTCTGTGTGTTTGTTTGTTGGTGCAGTCGGTGTGTTTGTTGGTGCAGTCAGTGTTGTGGTAACTTTGAAGACTAGGGATTGATGCCTTTGCTTACTGTGCCGGTGTTCCCTCTTGTGCAGACCGTCAGAACATCACGCTGAGGGTTGATGATCTATTGCGAGGTTGTGATGTAAGTAACGGCAGGCAGCCCATTGGTCCTTGAACACAGATCATCTCTTAGTGAGTGCGTTCGATCATGCCCGTGAATCGCATCACCAGATTTGAATAGGGTGAATGGATTCCGAATCGATTCCAGGACTCATGACATGAAATCGAACGGCGAGATTCCATTCATGAATCGATTCAAGTGAATAATCGAACGCACTCACTGCTTAGCTTCCTTTACCATGGCGACGTGCTGCGGTAATAATATAAATAACTGCATTTGTGTTGACATTCACCTAGCTCGTGACCTCTGGCAGTATCATCTGTTTGCTCTATTTCAATAACTGTGACTTTTTCAACAGCAGGATGACTTCGTATCCACTCTAGTATTGCATGGATAAGAAGAAGTCCCATTATTGAGATGAATTTACAATCCCCCCGTCCCCTACCGTTGTGCTGTTATCCTAATGGGAACTGAACTGTTTTTGTTTGTTTTTGTTTTGGCTCTACTGCTGTATCTGTTGTCTTTATGCTGTGTAGAAGGAGGTGCCTTTTGCACAGGCAGTTGATTATCTCAACACAGCGTCCGCAGTGGTAAGCTTCAAGTACAAAAGTAGTCTCCTTTTGTTCATAAAATTTGAGTGCTCTTGTTCATGTTGTCAAGGAGCTATGTTGGTGGGATTCCATTTCAAAGGCAATGTTGCTCCTTTCATCCGTGAAACTGACGAGGCTAGAGTAGAGTACAGTCTACAACTACTTGTAGTGAGTCTACTCTCGATAAGTCGTGCACCCGATCTCGAAGACAAAAATGTGTGAATTATCGTGAGTGCGTGACTTACACATGCATGTACTGCATATACAATGTACTGCGTACATATTCAAAAGTACTAGTACATGTCGTCCGAATTGCAAACGTGTGCGTCTTATCGCGAGTGCGTGGCTTTTAAAAAGTGTGTGATTTATCGCGAGTAGCCTGTGCAGGCACAGTTCTCAGTCCAGTGCCTCTTGACAGAGGCCAGTCCTGTATGTTATCTAGGTCAGCATAAAACCAGGGAATGATATTCACATGCAGCCTAGAGTGCTACGTAGTATGCAATGGTGGTTGAAGCACTGTCGCGTATTGGTATGCTTGGCCAATGGTTTACTGTTCTAGGCTGACACCCACTATCCGCAGCTTGTTCCAACGTGCATGTACTATAGTTTGTTACTAAACTCACCATTTGCCCTTGTGATAAAATGGATGAGAATTTATAAACCACCATTGGGTGTCTTTCTCGTTGTATGCTGCTGCTGCTGCCTCTAGGCCCTGAGTATGTGGGATGTGTTTAGACTTGTCCTGGCACAAGAGCGCTCTGCTGAGGAGCGATTGCTGTGCGAGTTCCATCAACAGCAGGTCAGAACCTTTTGCCTTTACCTCTTGTTTCATTGACATGTGCTTGTAGGGATTAGGGTTCTAATGATTGATTGGCTTCTTGATTCGAGTAATGTCTGATTCTATTTGTTAGACTCGGATGGAGAGCCAAGGATGATTAGTTTATAGGAAAGAAAAGGACTTTTATAAAGCAACTACTTGTACAAGTTACACTCTAATGTCTAATATCATGCTACGTTATCGCATGAGGTGATTGTCCAGTGACTGGTAGCATTAGTGGACATTAACTTAGAGTGTAACTTGTAGTTTCTTGGTCCTTTTCTTTCCTATAGATTATATTGTATTTGCTATACCATAATGGTATTACTGACTTTACACGAGTCTTGCACGGTGTTATCTGAAGTAGCATGTACTTTGCGAGCATGTATCCATTGACCACTGGCCGCTGTGTTGTGTTTGGGGACTGTGTGCTGTCCGCTTATAGGTCAATCGGTTCCGCCATCTGCATTTCCTGGTCAAGTTGCCCATGGCAGAGCTCTTGTCGAGCAGTTCATCCGATAGCAAGTTAGTACATAGCCTGGTTTACAGTCAGTTTCAAAAAGATTAGCAATCCTGGCGATCGCCCGGGGAGTTTGCCGTCTTACCGTATGCGCGCTCGAGAGCTGGCTGGAAAAACTCACTGTGAACTCGAAGAAATAATCCGCGCGAAAGCATGAAAAATGACAACTCACTCACGTCGGTACATGTACGTCTGGTTTACAACAAACGAGTTCTTCCTCGTATCGATATGGAGTCAGAGAGGCCCGGACATGTCGAAAGTGTGGTAAATGCTGACGAGCGGGATGGGTCCCAATTCGTTTCGTGCCCAATTTCTTTGAGCTGCGATGCAATTTACTCTCACGATGTGACGAAAACGACATCGACGCAGACTCATTCCCAAGGCCATGACTTGGCAAAGCTATCCGTGTGACTTTGACGATATTTTGAGAAAAGCAGACGCCTGTGAAAGCTGGTAGAAGACGGCTTTGACTCCTAAATTCAAATAAATTGGCGATCTTGAAATACTAAAATAATTCTCAAAGAGAAATCGATCGATCGATGTGCCGTTGTATTCAACAACACGTAGCTACAGCGCAATGACTTCCGTGTTCACTCACACCGTTTCAGTGTTGTGGGTGTGTTCACATGGCGTGAACCAGTCAAGTGTCAGTAAGTTCGGCAGGAAACGCGAGCTCCAACAACAATAAGTCGTTTGGCGCAGCCACGGTACCTTCTTTGGCTTGTACTTTTTGTACCAACGTGATCACCAAAACAATGAAAAAAAGGTTTGACTTGAAGATAGTTTGGGATTTGAACTCACAACTTCATGGTCAGCAGACAGCATTCATAACCACAAGGCCAAAAAGGAAAGGATAAATCGTGGGTTTTGATAAAACATCGATACTGACATCCAGGGCAAATTGTAAACCATGGGAAAAGGCCGGAAACCTGGCCGAAATTCTAACTCCTTAACGGCTGGTCCAATTGTCCCCAAACCTTCACAGAACAATTTGCCGTGTCCTAACAAGCCATTCTATGCACTTTGTTCTCCAAATTTCCCTTATCTTCATACTTTTTAAGACCAAAACCTGATTGCTAATCTTTTTGAAATGGACTATAGTTAGTGTGTAGAAAGGACCCTAGACATGGCGGCGGAGGGCGAGATGTAGGCTTACTATTATCGTTTTCAGGTATTCGCCAGTAAATGAAGCGACAGCGCTCCACTCAATCTTTTCAAAGTATTCTCTCAACATGGCTGATTGTTTCATGCTGAATCATTGCTGATGCATGCAATATGAGTTGACCATGGCCCAGGTCATATCCATTATCATCATGCTAGCAACATGGCTATCTACATGACATTGTATTTCGCTCCTGCTCTTGTAGCAGTTGAGCACTCTTGCGTGGGGTAGTGCCTTTGCTGTTTGCTTTATGCAGAGCTCACTGACTTGTCAGTTTGAGCACTCTGGCAAGGTACGTTCGGGCCTGATTGGAAATTTTTATTTCCATTGCTATCAGGTTCCGCCTCATTTCCTCTGTGCTGCGCTGACGAGTCCACAAAGGACGAAACAGTTCTGTCCGCAGATTGAGTACATGACATTGTATATGGTGACTTGGAGGGAGAGTAGATTCTCTTGTATCATACTGGATGATTTACAGCCGCTGCTGTTGTGCAACTTCCAGCACAAGATTCTGTGTGTGTGTGTGTGTGTGTGTGTGTGTGTGTGTGTGTGTGTGTGTGTGTGTGTGTGTGTGTGTCCCATATGGTGCAGTGGTATGTGCAGCGATTTCCAATCGATAGATTGCGGGTTCGATTCCCGACGATTATGGTCACACACGTCTTTCTTCTCTTTCTCAGACTCTTCCTGACTTTTCTTTCGTTCTCCTGGGTGGTTACCAACAGCCAGTGCATGCCGAAGTATGTGGTGTGATGTGTGTGCGGGAAAAAAAAGAAAAAAAAGAAAAAGAAAAAAATGAAAAAGACCAAAAAAGGGATTCACTGGCCAGAAAATGTCACTCCAAATAGCTGTATGGTGTAGACCAGGCTGAATAGTGACGGTCAATTCTTCAGCCTTGCAAGCTGTTGAATGGTGTAATCCCAGCACAAGTTGCTATGGCTTCTGCCGTAGCATTGCTATCATCGCCTCCGGCGATGGGCGTCAAAGGTCAAAGGTGTGTGTGTGTGTGTGTGTGTGTGTGTGTGTGCATTGGTAGATTGACGTTTACCAGTGCATGTGATGTGATGTCAGCACTAACGAAGACTGGCTACACTAGCGCAATGTTCTCGCAGAGTCCAGCTGTACTGTGTCCTGAGACGGATGGTACCGGAACGAATGCACCTGCCATCATGGAGCAAAGGTTCATTCGTAAGTTGTATTGACTTTTTCCCATACAGTCAACTTCGCGTATAACGACACTCGGCGGGGCATCAGAAAAGTGTCCTTATTCGCGAAGTGTCGTTATACCCGAAGTCCCATTATATGCATTCCAGTTGGATGTGACTTTGCTGTGGGCAAGGAAATTCTGTCGTTATTCGCGAATTGTCGTTATATCCGCAGTCGTTATTAGCGAAGTTGACTGTATTCCTGAAACGCTCTCTCCATCTCTATCTGTCTCTCTCTGTCTCTCTTTCTGTCTCTCTGTCTCTCTCTCTCTCTCTCTCTCTCTCTCTCTCTCTCTCTCTCTCTCTCTCTCTCTCTCTCTCTCTCTCTCTCTCTCTCTCTCTCTCTCTCTCTCTCTCTCTCTCTCTCTCTCTCTCTCTCTCTCTCTCTCTCTCTGTCTCTCTCTCTGTCTCTCTCTCTGTCTCTCTCTCTGTCTCTCTCTCTCTGTCTCTCTCTCTGTCTCTCTCTCTGTCTCTCTCTCTCTCTCTCTCTCTCCCTCTGTCTGTCTGTCTGTCTGTCTGTCTGTCTCTATCTCTACATGTTTATCTCTCTATCTATCTCTCTCTCTCTCTCTCTATCTATCTATCTCTGTCTCTGTCTCTCTCTCTCTGTCTCTGTCTCTCTCTGTCTCTCTCTGTCTCTCTCTCTCTCTCTCTCTCTCTCTCTCTCTCTCTCTCTCTCTCTCTCTCTCTCTCTCTCTCTCTCTCTCTCTCTCTCTCTCTCTCTCTCTCTCTCTCTCTCTCTCTCTCTCTCTCTCTCTTTTGGTATTCGGACATCTGCTTGCTTGCCCTTTGCAAGCCAGTCTTTTCTGTTGCTCATGAATATCAGCGATATCATTTTCTTGGTCTAGAGTTTGCACATCCATGTGTGCTTGCCAAGATGGTCCGGAAGTGAGCTTGTGATTGTATACCAGTGTGTTTGTGTGTGTGTGTGTGTGTGCGTGCGTGCGTGCATGCGTGTGCGTGCGTGTTCAGGTCAAGCACCTAACAACTCGCTGGGACACTTTTCAGTACCAGTGCATGCTCCGCAACCACCCAACCTCACGAGACAATCCACAGCAGTAGCAACCCCTGTCCTGGCTACCGATGGCGTATTTCCTCGTGGTGGTGGTGCTGCTGCTGCCTCTGGTGCCCATAACGAGCGGTCCATGTCCATCGACTGCGTGACGATCCCGGCCTACTCAGGTACACCTCCCACAAGGGCACGGCCGCCTCTAGAACGACGTGTGACGTACTCTGGTGTGATCATGTCACCGCCTGCGTGCACTCTACTGTCCACCGATTCCAATCAAGTGGATGGTTTGTTCCATCGGCGGAATAATCCCCGTGCTAGTCGTGGAACGGTGCAATCTGCTCGACAAAGGTACTGCCATGTGTTTGTGTTGCAGTGTAATACTGTTGACATAGTTTGGTGAGTCCCTTCTCGCTTTGCTGCACGGAAATTGTTATGGCATTGCCGATATCATGGTCACCTTTTGGGCTCATGTAGCGGCACCAGTATTGTGCCAATCAGAATATGTCGCACTGCCTGTTTGCACTGAACTTGCAGCTTGCCGTTGAGTGCTCTGTTATTTCTCTTGTGCGAGGTTGACTCCAGCTCCAACGCTGTATCTTGTGTGGCTGTGTGAATGTTCCACCTCTTCACTAGTGTTGGATCGGCTCAGGAGCGCCTACGCCCTCACCTGCCAAGAAAGTGGACTTTCTTGAGGTAATAGTTATTTTTTTCTTTTTTCTGCTGGCTATTGTGAACGGCCATTGATACAGGAAAAATGAAAATCTTGAGGTGTGACTGAACACCCAGTTAGACTTCCAGTACACTTTGTAGTCGTTCATGTCTCAAGAAATGCCTCAACTTGGATTGCTCTGCTCTTCGTGTTGTTTTGTAGTGAGGTGAACAGGCTGACCGTTCTTCCAGCCTACTTCACGCGAAGAACAAAGCCTCTGCCAACGGAAGTTCACTTAGTTGTTTGTGTGCATGGCTTAGAAGGTCAGTGTCTCCATGAATCCTGTGTCGTTGTCATTGATCTTTTTTTGGGGGGGGGGGGGGGGGCGGAGGGGGGGACTGCCATTGAAGACCAGGTATCACCATGTACTCTAACTCAACAAATACCTGGCACATGCTAGTTTCACTTTCGGCTTAACTCTTCGAGGCCTTCAGCTGTTGTTAGGGGTCGTCCACAAATATCGATGTTTTTTTAGAGAAGATATTCGTTCGTTTGGGCCCTGTTCGTCTCGTCTTTGCAGAAAAAAATATCGAACTCTATCTATGGACGGGCGCTGTTCGAACATGTAGTTTATGACCTACACAAAGTGAAAGTCAACCTCGTGAGCATAGCCATGGCAAGGTTGTACGACCGTGGCAACATAAACCTAGGTGTATGGTGAAATTTGAGTGGCAGCTGGTCATGTTTCATGAGGAAATTGAACTTCATTAAAAAATATCGATCCCTTGCATAAACATGTGTATGTTCGTTTTGAGGGGGAGGGAGGGGGTCTGGGGAGAAATGAACAAATATCGTCTTGAAAAAAACATCGATATTTACGGACGGCCCCTTACTAAAACTTTTATTCCCGTAGCTATGCAAAAGACGTTACTTCAGTAACATCTGGCGCTAGCCAGGGTCCACACAGCTTTAATTCCGTGTGTGTTTGTGCCGTCGGCATGCCTGGCGCTATCCCGTACCTGTCCCGTATACCGTACCATCAAAGACAGCTGGCCACAACATTCAAATAGGGCTTTGAAATGCAAGATCATAACGTGAAGCAACTTGGAAGAATGAGTATGTATGCGAAGTGTATCGGGGGAATGCATGCAGGGCGATAGTGCGGGTTCGAATCCTAGGTTATGTCTTGAAAGAAATAGGAGAAATGAAAAACTTATAAAATCTGACAATATGCTTTTTTTGCCTGGGTCATCATGCATGTTATTCGAACAGATGGAAACTTTTTGCAATACAATGATGTAGCCGATCAGTTCGTTGTGGTATGGTTGGACATTGTAGCCGTCACGGTCGACGTAAAACACTAAAGCCAATCAATGGATAAAACATTTCCATCAGTTCTAATAACATGCATGATGAGCTAGGCTAAAAAAGCATAGCGTAGGGCCCTGAGCTTCCAAGCTCTCTCGTTTCCGTTTACATTATGCGGTACAACCGTGCCTTACAAACAGGAGCATTTTCAAAGATACAAGGTGAAATCTCAGAAAAAAATTGTTGCAGTATTCGAGATCGGTTCTCACTTGTCTTAGGAGAGTGAGAAACGTAAACAGTATTGTCCTAGCACTTAAGTACATATACGCTCGTATATCGCTTGTCCGGACCTCAACAGTTACGGGCATCTTGGTCTATCAGGCACCCTATGCAGGGTGAGTTTTAGTGGAAGTATTTGCTAATTTTGTGGAAGTAGTGACGTCATAGTACCAGACACCGGCCCTTCCCCGTTGAAACATATTTGATTCAGAGTTACGAGTCTTTAATACGACCATTTCAAAGTTTTGAGCAGTGCACGGTCCCGGACCGCCTCGATAAGAGAGATACAAGTGTACTTGAGAGTAGTAGTGGCATGATCACTGGACATGTACATAAACCTGCCGCCTCCCCTGTCATCAGCCAAGTGGCAACATTCTCTTGCTTTGCTTTTGGACTGTGTGTGTGTGTGTGTGTGTTTGTAGGTCGAAGTGAGGATCTGGTGGCGCTCAAGAATTTCATTGAAGTGGCGCTGCCTGATCAGCCTCTTCTGTTTCTTATGGCACATTGCTTGGAGGTCTGTCCTATTTTTTTGCTGCAGTTCAGTTTGCCTTGCTGTGTGCTGTGTGCTGTGCACTCTTGTTGCTTCTGTGATATACCAGTTGTTTGTGGTCGTGATGCTGATGTGATGTTGATAATGTGTTGATGATGTGATATTGGTATGCTGTTGATGACAATATGCAGTAGCACTGTACTGCATGTGCACACTACCTGCTATAATGCTTCAGCATAGTTGCCTAGACTTATGTGCGAATGATTGGGAGGGGGTCGGATTTCTTTGGGCCCCAACCATACATGTGTGGCTAGATCCACATGGCGCATGCACAGTGCATGTACAGTAGTATAGGTACAGTGTGTGGACTATCCCCCCCCCCCCCCCCCCCCATGCAGCCTGTGCTGCTTGCCTCTTGGTCTCTGACCTTGGACTAGCTTCGTGGATGTGCGCTATATGTCTGTTAATGGCTGCACTGTGTGTATCTTTCTGTCTATCCTCAGGATAATACATTAGTGTCTTTTGATCAGATGGGTCAGTGGCTTGCGCTGGAAATTGTGGACTTCATCCAGGATAAAGGCGTTGTTTGCACCCATATGAGGTAAGGTGGTGACATATGCAGCTAAGAATGGCTGGCAGTGGAGTTCTGACTACATGTATATTGTGCGCCAGGGAGGACAGTATTGGAGTTGAATAAAGAGAAGAGCTCTGTTCACTAACATGGTGATATCCCTATGGAAACATAGTCAGTCAATGTTGTTCACTTCTTGTGCTCTAGTTGTGTGCTTGGGACACTCGACTGCTCCGTTGCTTGAACACGCACACTTCTGAGCAGATTGTATTGTTCTTTGTTGTATTGTTTTCATCTCGTCCAGCTTCGTTGGTCATTCGCTGGGGAACATCGCGATCCGATCGGCCATAGCTCATCCGTACCTTCAGGACTATTACAATGTCTTCCACACATATTTATCACTAGCTGGGCCTCACCTGGGCACTGTCTACTCCAGCTCACTGGTCGGTGCAGGCATGTGGCTGCTGCAGAAGTACACTAAGTCATCGTCGCTGCTCGAGCTCACCATGCGCGATGACGCCGACCCCAGGAAGACACTGCTGTATCGCCTGAGCCAAAAACCTGGTAAGCCAGTAACTAGATTAACTTCTTCTGCAATGCTTTTTTCGCTGAATTAGGTTTCAAGCGAGGTTGTGTGTGTGAACAATTTGAATAGTAGTCACTGATATCCATTGTTTATCACTGTGCCCGGCTCCAGGTCTAGCTTTGTTCCGGTCTGTGCTGCTGGTCAGCTCACACCAAGACCAATATGTACCTTTCCACAGCGCTCGCATTGAAGTCAGCCCTCTCGCCGGTAACGATGAGATGGGTATGTACTCTGTGATGTGTATGTACTCTGTGACGTGCTGCTTGAAGACATGACTCGCATTGTTACTATGTTCGTCTCAGAATTACAGTCTTTGACTAGTTGTACTTCAGGTACACTTCTGACTGGATACTCACTCGCTTTCCAGCATCTGCAGTCGTGTAACTGTTAGGTGGTTTTCGCCTACTGCTACCTTGTTCCTGTGCAGTCCTGTGCTGCAGTGTCTGCTCCAGAGCCGGGTGAGCCGGGTAATCCACCCGGTTGGGCGGCGCTTGGACCCGGTTGAAAATATAGTACCGGGTCACCTGTGACCCGGTTGGTACTTTAGTACACGTTCGAACCAGGGAGTAGTACAATACCATTGCACTACTCCCTGGTTCGAACTTTGAAAGGACTGACTACAAGTCTACAATTGTACATGGCTTGTATGTGTGACAGATCATGCAGAGGTGCGCGTCGAAGTGAAAGTAGTCAGTATCAAGTGTGTGCACGTGCTCAGTTCGAGCTTGATCGTTGAGGTGTTGGTTTTGGAAATGGAGCCTCCAGCGAAGAGGCGAATCCACAGGCCCTGCTTCCAGGACTCTTGGAAAACAGGTCGTGTACCCGGCTCCGACCCGGTTGAAATGGTTGCGCCAGGTACACGTGTACCCGGCTGTCCTACAATCCTAGAGCAGACACTGTGCTGGTCTTGTATTTACTTTCTTCTCCTGTGCTGTTTGCCTCACACTCGTTGCTAGCCTCTGCCCAGCAGGAGATGGTACACAACATTCTGTTCCCACTGCTTGCGCCGACCTGCAACACGGAGCTGCGAATCTACAATCTCGTGCATCAGTTCCCCAACACCGATGTGGATGTGCTGGTTGGTCGCGCCGGCCATGTGGCCATTCTCGACTCTGAGCTGTGCATGGAGATGCTCGTACAGACGTGTCTCAATCGCTTTTTCCAGACAGCATAACTAGCCAGTGCAGTGCACGCTGCCATGTGAATGCACACAAATACAAGAATAATAATAAGAACAAGCCAAGGTCAATGCCGTGGACCGGCAGCCATATTAAATACTGAACCAAGAGTGCTGTTTTCTCTTTCTCATCGGTCACCTATCGTCGTCCCACTTGATGGGCCAGTGCGCCAGCCAATCTACCCAGTTATAGTCATCATCATCGCATGCTCACTGTCTGAAAACACACTTTTTCTGATTGCTTCGTTTCAAAACAAGTCAACATAATATTATTTTCCTCTGCCTTGTTTCCATGCGAGCCATGAAATACACCCTGATAGTACCCTCATCTGCGCCAAATCTATTGGATTTTTACGTATAGTCAAACGATCGTCACGCTTCCAGTTGTTGTCACCCTGTCAACATTTTTACCCGAGATGTCCTTGATCCCGGAAAACCAGCCTATATTTGTCCTTCCAGTACTGTAATTTTAGTTTTTTTAATAATTTATTCCTTTGCCGATATACAGTTGTCCCTCACCATTATAATGTTACCTTCGTCTGTTCCGACATTTGCTCAATGAACTGCTTTCATTGGGCTTTTAGTTGAAGTCTTAGTGTTTCCAGGGCTCTTTGGCTTTGGCCGTTGTTTTTAACTTATTCCTATCTTTGTGGACGTGTGGTACTGATTATGTGCTCATGTCCTTATTCTCTTACCGCTCTTGGTATTCAGTGTATCCCGATAGACATGCAAGCAATGTCAACTCTCACCCGTCTTCGTCTGTGCGATGGGCTTGTTGCCAGAAGCAACGGCATGTGATGTACCGTAAAGTGCCGTTGATCCGCCCCCACGCCATGTCGCTTCCCAGCAGGGGGCGGGAATTAGATCAAGGCTGTCAAGTGCAGTACGATGTACAACAACGTAGAAGTTCAGACTCGATGTGCTGGAGTGTGCACATTTTCATCCTGGATTGGCAATTTTTGTGTACAGCAGTGCATGCGTCGGTTCAACATCGTATTTTTCGTTGTATACGCCGAAGTCGCTTCACAGGTAGAAAATCGACAGGGGGCGGGAATTAGAGAGGGGGCGGATCAACGGTACTTCACGGTATGTGGTGCACTTAAAAAAACTTGTACTACAGTGGATACATTGGCCGAGTGCGCACAAACCCACTGCCCTTGTCAATTGGTGCTCTTCTGTGTACTCACACAAGGCAGCCCATCATTCCCTACTTGGGCACAGTCATTGACAGTGCTTGCTGAAACCGTCACAGTCGTGCACCAACGTAAGAAACCATGTCGAGATAAGTTGTGGTCTGTTCAATCAGCAATGGTCAATAAACTCAATAATTATCGTACATGCCATCACTTCTCGTCGGTACATGGACACAGTATGTGCACTACAATGCTACTGGAATCCTGATATACATGTCCAATCGATCACCACGGCATGGTTCAGAAAAAAATAGCTAAACACAATTCAATGCGCAGTATGTACAGGGCAGCTACAGCAGTATGTATAATAAAAGCTTTTGAAACGACAATGATGACGGCAATTTAAAAGCACGGGTGGTTCAGAAGTAAATTATGTACACGAACTGATAGGCGACAACACCAACATGAAAGATACTTCAAGTACTAACCACCAGACGGAATAACAGCAATAATATACACAACAAACCGTTGTACAAGAAGTGTATGTGGCGATGATATGCTTGGTAGAGAAAGTATACTATTAATTTTATTTACTATTTACAAGAAGATGGTGCCAGCGCCTGATATAACCCTGCTTGCATATTCAACTTCGGCATGGCATTCGTGAGTGTGACTGACATGTTACGATGTGTTCTACATTGAGTGGTACTCTGTACTGTAACGTTACTGTACGTGGTAGATGTCTATGGGTATGGCATATGACAGCCATGCACATACACACACACGGATACATATCATGAACACATGCAGCAGCCTACTACAGCCAATAGATATGCACCAAAAATAAATCACTGCTGACAATCAACAAATTCACAGGGTTGAAGTGTTGCATCTATTTACAAAGCTCGGACGGTAGGTAAGTACTAGTCCGACTCCGGGTAGAAGGTTGGCCAGCCAGCAGAGTCAAACGCTTTCCTATACAGTTTCCAGACACAAGCAGAGTGCTGCACAGCAGAAAGATGCAAGAGCCAAGCAGACAGAGGAACGGTTCCGCTAAGAAAAGGCACGGACACCGTATACCGTAAAGTCTTGTATAAAAGCCGCGGCTTCTATGACTTTCTTGGTGAAATTTTGCAGGCTTCTAGACAGGCTTCTATACAAGACAGGTATTTCTATGTGTGTCAACACTAAAACCAGGCTTATGTGTGATTTGATGGGCCCAAAATTGCGGCTTCTATTCGAGGGCGGCTTCTATTCAAGTGCGGCTTTTATACAGATTTAGGACAACAGCAGCCAGTATGCAGAGTGTACGACAGAAGTTGTCTTTACTCTTTAGTAACCACCACACAGTGTGACACGTGTCCTGCGACAATACCCTTTCTTTAGGGATGGATGGCGGGGCTTCGACATGCCGATGTTATCTAAACACAGGTGACCCATTAGCACAGTCAGTGGTCGATAAAGGCACAGTTACTGTACCATCAAACGCTGCATTTTGGTCTCTGCAAATTGAACTTTTCAGTGGATTGTACTTCTAGGGGTATGCCAACCAACTACATTGTACACTGCTGCTCAATGAAATCCGATTGCGGGAGTCAGGGTTCCTGCACCAGTGCAAGTACACAGCCCAATGTTTGCAGGTCTGGGCTGTCCACGCCCAACACATACTTCACCTACGTGATGATCGGATTTCATCGACCAGCATTGTACGATAGATGAATCAAAAGATCCTGGATGATCCCATGCCGGCACTGGAAGTTTGCTAGCGAAGTATGCTTCGAGAGTGTGCATTTCTAAAGACACTTCTGCCCCCCCCCCTCTTCGCGCCTAGTAAATTCCAAAAAGCAGCAAGCGAAGACAATAATCTTACTGTAGCACTCGGCTGTAGCGCCTCCAACCAAGAGTCTTGAAACTGGTCCGAGACGGCCGTCTTGGCACTAAGCGGCCAAAACGCCAGCAGCCGCAGTGCGTATCCCAGGCAGTCTGGATTGGACCGGCACAGCGGTATGATCAGATTGACAAACACATGGGCTGCCAAGCTGAGCGAGCCCAGCTCCTCCGATACCTCCTCGGCCAGGAGCACTTCGGACAGGCGTGTCAGTTCGTAGAAGAAGTGAAACCAAACAGTGCTGGGGACATGGCGACTGACACCATCTTCTTCTAGCGCAGCTACTATACAGTGGAGTAGCCGTTGTAAGGATTTAGAACACCCTCTTTTCGCTGTACGTGCAGCCAGATGCAGCGTGAGCACGAGGACAGTTGGATGTTTGGTTAACACCTTTGTAAAGGACGCCGGCAAAGGCTGTACCAGGGCGCTGTGGAAGCTCTCATCAGCTGTCCCGGTCTCGGCCATCAGCGTGGTGTAGATTGCAATGCCGTCCATGTCTGAACAAACATTGACCAGCACGGCCATGTGCCGGTGAATCACGTCGAATTCCTGCCATGTACACACAGTCATGTCCACACAGACACACGGCAAGAAAAAGAGATACATGTATCACTGATGAACTGTCAGCACCAGACCAGTGTACTATCTAGACTAGGAAGGGACATGACAGAACACCACAGCATTACTTGTGCAGCGAGTGGACAAGCACTGCCAGAAATCTCAACAATCTACTAGTGATCCACATCAAAGCACTAATCACACAAGTACATGTACATGCACAGGTTGACAACATGCTGAGGCAATGCATGCGATAGCATTTCTTACCAGAGGAGGTTCGGTGAAACTCTCAGATTGAAACATTTTCAGTGCCATCAGGCTACGGTTTATTAAGCGAAGCAAGACTTTCAGATTGGAACTTTCCTGAGCACAGACAACAGGAACAATAGCAGAACGCTGCATTCGTCGGTATCTGCTTTACTGGCACCTACACCCCCCCCCCCCCACACGAAAACGCGCATACATACACACCACAGACACTGCTTTCCTGGCAGTTGTTCCCAGGCTGATCAACACAGCAACAAGCACCGGTCTCTACAGAGACGGCGGGACAATCTACACAATACATGTCTGTGTAGGACCAACAGATGTACTCATGATGGCCAATACAATGGGGCCGTAGCATAGAGGACATTACAGCTGCAAAATGGAGAGAGCAAGAGAGGGAGAGAGAGAGACAGAGAGAGAGAGAGAGAGAGATAGAGAGAGAGAGAGACACACACACACACATACACACACACATACACACACACACACACACACACACACACACACATACACACACACACACACACTCTGACAGAGACAGAGACAGAAAGAGTAGAAGATTAATTTTAAGTAAGAAATAGAGTTGTAGAATGGACATGCTTGCATTCCAAAGAAGGTGTTTTACACACAACAACTTACTCGTGGCAGTTTACACTGTTTGGCCATGTCCCCAAGTAGGCTCACTAGACTGGTGCATAGCAAGTGCAGGACGTGTGGTTGGTGTGTAGCCATCGCCATGTCTCTGCAGGTCACACAACAATATACACACACGGGATGTGGCACATGTACATTGAAGTGCTTATCTCTAACTCATCAGCCTTTCTAATCTAAACCAGAGACATTAGTGGCCACATTGGTGAACATGGATAAAGAATACGTTAGCCATGCAGAACTAGTATAGGGTCATCATCTACACTCCACATACATCAATTGGCAGTCCAAGCAACCTGGCTGCTATCCATGCATACAGCAGCACATAGAGCCACAAGCAAACGAAATGAACATGAACACCTTACACATGCGGGGTATGCACACGTGCCCGCACCCCCCCCCCCCCCCCCCCCCCCACACACACACACTTGATCACGCATACTACAACACTGATAGATACACCAGCATCTACGCACTGGCAAGCCTTACCCATCCACGTCCTGTTGACTGATCAACGTGGAGATTTCTTTGATGCGCTTCTCATCAATCTTGTGCTCGCGGACACACGCATCCAAGCACCACGTCAACTTGTGGCATGGATCTTGCCGTACTAGCATGTGCTGCGTTTCATGCAACGCCATCAGCACGTCCATACGCACCGTGCAGTAGTGTGCTATACCCGACTGACCGAACAGTGTGCGCAGCAAGCTGCAAAGCACAGAGTACAGGTTCTGAGAGCTGGCGACCATGTCCACCAGCTGTGTTAGGCAGCTGTGCTGTCGGCGCGTGCGCGGTGCAATCTCAAAGAAATGAGCAGCATCCTGTGCACCAGCATCCGCACTCAGAACTGCCGTCTCTTTCTCGTCCATGTAACGCTCCAGTATAGTGTTGACTTCTTCACAGAACAAATCCGAGCGCTGCTCCCAAATCTCACGCTTCGTGTGAATTGGGCAGCACGCGTACGCCTTGGGATTACTCGCCAGCAACTCCAGCAGATTACCGGGCACGGGCTTCAGGACGGACAGCAACTCTTTGAGCAATTGCTGAACAGGCTGTATGTGTGCCAGGAATATGATCTCACTCAGCAGTTTGCCTTTCTGCTCTGCATTGAACTCCTTGACTTTTGCAGATAGCGTCTCGGTGAACTTGGTCAGGACGCTCATGTGAAATTCGTGTCTTGGCCTACCCAACAGATCAAGCAGTGGAATGGCAGATTCCACTACGGGTGTACTGAAACGATGTGTTTCCTGAAAGCTTTTGATAGCAGCCACCGGGTTGTCGCAATCCGTAAGCATCGAGCGGATAGATTCAGCACCATCCATCTCTATCGGATGATGCGGCTGCAAAAGCACAGCAGTTGCCAAATGATTTTAATTTTAGAATATCGCCCGTTCAGTGACGACTTGTGATCGGTGCATCCTCGATCGAGCTTCAGTCCTTCAGGAAATCTACATTCCCCTTCCGATAAGCTGTGGCTTACGCCAGAAAGACGTTTGCTGACCACCTAGTACCTACAAAGTCGAAAACAGACAAAATTAATAAGATTGTTGTTTGTGAAATGAAGTGAGCACTTTTTTGTCACATCTCCGAAAAACCAAACGATCATGCATAGTTCGTACACGTCACACGTGGCTAACAAAATGTTGACGTCACTCACTTCCAACCGCGGGAAATCGGAGTTGCTTGAACTTTCCCGCCACATGGTGCGAGGCCACGTTCTCATCTCAGCTCTTTTCGTTTGCAGTTTGAGTTTGAGCTCTTGCTTGCTTCGATTCTCGTAGCCTTTCATTTTGAAGATACTCTGTGAGAGCACTTTCGGATATAGTATCAAACCTGCCTCGGTGCAGTTGTGCGTGTTCAGTATCTTCGCCACTCGCCGGGAACAATGTTGAAAGGGCAAACGCGTTCTGCCCCGTCTGGGAGTGCGGAGTGTACAGCAGCCCAGTAAGTACATATCTCCCGGAATGGCTCTGGACTTTCCCGCTACTGCACAAGAGCTCATCTCACGTATGTGCCGTCTTATTTTGAAGGTTGAAGGCTGCTGAAGCTGACTTTAAAGATGGATGCTTGACGGAGAAGGTATGAATCCCCTTTATTTGAACAACAGGTTCGCTCCTGGGCTCGATTTAGTGCTCTCGTCTGCTACGAATTCAAATATTTCAAATTTGCTTCTTGTCGTATTGAACTGCTGCCGTAGGGTTTCGTGAAGAAGAAGTGGAACTTGCTTGAGTCTCACCTTGGGCCTGCCCAGAAGAAACGGTATGTGGCTGTATTGCACCAATACACTCAAACATTGTGTTGTTGATTGGGGTATATGCACTGCATTTTCCAACTGTGTGTACTAGGGCTGAGTCAGGTAGCATTTTCTTCGGGTATCGGGTTCGGGTAGTTTTCCACGGGTAGCACGGGTACCCGATCGGGTAATGTTTCCATAGTAATACCACAATGCATCCCTTCCCTTACACATGTAGACCATGGTATACATGCGGAGTACTGTACACCACAGATGTTTTTTTGCACGATTTCCGCCCACTAAAAAATGGCGTCCTTTTTTTGCCGAAATTTGAAAATTTGAATCTCTGGCCGGGGTGGATTACTGAAATACTTATCGATATACTACTCTAAAGCAGGTCACTACCCAGCCCAAACTGGGTTCTGTACGGTGAAATCATGTTATTTTTCTTTGACTCCTTCCTAGCTTCACTTTCATACCTCGCGCACCACGATCGAAATTCAAATTGCCTCGCAGAGAACGAAGTTGTGTTCCACGCTCGACCTGAAATTGCGCAGATACTAGCACAAGCTTTCTTGGCCATTATCAAGGAGTTATCACCTCGGCATCGACTTAGTTGATTTGATTCGCCATAGGTATGTTCTTGACGAAGCGATCTGCGACATTTTTTTGTCAAGACGCGAATTCGTTTCTAAAGACGTGCGCATCAAAATTCTATTGTTTTCCTTCAGCTACGACAAGAGATGGACGCACACATATCTTATCTTGGCGAGGTATGTCGCGTTGGTGGCAGAAAATTCGCCACATGCACACAGAAGACCCATTATCCCGTTGCATCTTATAAATCCCAGCTTGAGGCCGTGCATGGGATAAAAATTGATGAAGATGATGCACAAGTACACCCCCATACATATGTGTATTGTGCCAGAGGGCCATGAAGAGAGCCAGCGAAAAAGCCATGCACTGCGGCGGTGGCTGTGGCCCTCCTGTGAAATGGACAGCACATCAACGCTCAGCCTGTTCATTCTGTACTGATCACACAGCAAAGGCCACGGGAAAACGGCATGAAAGCAACTCACACACTGGCGCGCGGCCGCTCCGCAAACAACACGCACTCAGGACGAACACGTGAGCACCGCAACCGCCACCCCAACACAACAACCAACACGCGCCTGGTTGTGATGAAGCCGAGACCCAAGGTCGGCAGAGCATCCCAGACCACGCCACCACTCCCCTTATTCATGGCTCACACATGACGGGTTTACGTGGCTCTAGTAAAAAAAAAACACAACAACCCGCCTCGCAAGCATCAGCAACACAACTGGAATGTGGTTTGGATGTGCCAAGAGAGACAGTATATGCAACAGGCAGCAGCCAACATACGGCAACAATTCCACTGAACAAAGAGCGGTTCATTAACGCACACACAGTACAGCAGTGCAACATATGCAGTAACATCGTGGACAACGCAGTAGAAGTACCATGCTGCGAAGAGTACTTTTGTGCAGACTGCATGTGTGAATGGTTAGCAACGCACAAGCAATGTCCTGCATGTGCCAACTGTTTGAAGGCATCCGAGCTAAAGATGCCAGGAAAGGTTCCACGCAGGATGATGGATGGTTGGACACTCCGGTGTGACTTCCACAAGCCATCTCTGCAAGGCTGCCCGGTGGTTACTCCGCTGAGAGATCTGCGAAAGCATGTTGCAGCATGCCAGTTCAATCCAGCCACGACGACAGCTCCAATCCGCACCGTTAGACAAAGCTCGACTGTCGAGGACGTGCTGTCCGCATCACCGTCCAAGATGTGCGGCAATGTAGCTGACCGTCTAACAGGTCACCTGGTGGCAGCAAGGGTGCATGACGGGCGGTTGGAGGTAAGGACAGCATCACATGGCAAGCCACAGGTCTATCAACGGGCTGTTGTGAGTAATGTGCCGTCTGACCGAGCTGCTGACACAACTTTGCGCCGCAGATCCTCAGAGTTGACGAGACATGCTGAGACAGTGTGCGGTGGCGTGGCTGGAGCCAGAGCACAAGAGGTGGCTGGCTTGCAGAGATTGTCTGTTGCTGAACAGGAGCAGCTTCTGTTAGATGCTGGCATCAAGGCCAAGAAGCCGTCACCCGGTAGTGCACTGGCTATCAAGGCAGACCTCAGCCTCCCGTGGAGTCAGTTGCGGAAGCTACGTCGCTGGCTACACGAATTTGGCGTTGAAATGGAATCTGAGAAGACAGTCCGCACATTTATAGCTTCGAAGCTGCCTTCATACACTGCCAAAGAGCTCCCTATGGCAGACAAGGATGGCGGAGTTACGATGATAGCAACTGTGCTCTTCCCTAACTTTGTGGATATTGTCATTCTTTCTGGACCAGCTGCAGGACAGTAGCCGACTAACATGGCATGGTGGAGCTATTCCTGAGTCAGAGATTTGGATTAAGATTGCCGGAGATCACGGAGGTGGATCGTTCAAGCTAAGCTTTCAGATCGTCAACACCGAGCATCCGAATTCACTCACAAACATAATACCGTTTTGCATCTTCAACGGCAAAGACACGCCTGCAAACTTGGAGACGGCATTGGGACAATACCGACCCCAGCTTCAGCAGCTTCAGCAGACTTCCTGGAAAGGCAAGACAATGAAGATTTATTTATTCGAGGACTATGAGTTCCAGACTGTCAACTTTGGATTGTCTGGCTCATCTGGACTCCGACCATGTCTCCATTGTTTATGCACGAAGAAGAGCATGGAGCTTGAGAGTGATGCGAGAGAGGAGGCCGAGAGAGAACCACGCACACTAGCATCTCTAGCAAGCGACCACAGCCAATATGTAGCAGCAGGCTCAAAGCTGGCACAGGCAAAGAAATATAACAATGTGATTCGACCAATTGTTCTGCCTGTGTCAATCCCGAACGTCATCATTCCAGTCATACACTTGGATCTCGGGATCTACCCCTGGCTGTTCGAAGCTCTGCGGAGCGAGCTCCGAATACTCCACTGGTGGCAAGAAGCCAGGCACTAGACACGGATGGTGCTGCGTACAAGAAGCTGTGCGATGTACATAGCGAACTGACTGCTGAACAGCAGCTCGTCCAGAATTTCAACCAGCAGCTAACTACGACCCAGGAACAGCTTGAATTGGTTGCACTGCACGTACAGCAGCAAGGCGGCATGGATGAGCTTGGTGTTGTCGCCAACTTGCAAGAAGTGTACCAAACAGCAATACAGCAGCGTGACCATCACCAGCAGCGGTCAGCACAACTTCAGCAGCAAGTAGACAAACTGAGCGGCTGTAAGCAATTCTTTGGCCCATGCGTCGCGGCACTGGAGCCAGTCCTACAGCATCATGGCATTGAGCGTCAGGTATACCACGGTGGTGCTTTCGTTGGTAATCACATCCACGAAGCCGTGAAACCCACCGTGGCCACTGCCATCACCTCCGCACATCTTTCGTCAGTCCAAACAAGGTGTCCTGACTTGTGTCCTGAGGCCACCAAAACTGCAGATAGATCGTAGCTCTCATGAACAGCTACGCAGCGTGTCGAGCCAAGTTCAGCCACTGCAAACCAGTCGATGACGCTGACTTGGGTCAACTCCAACAAGACATCGAGAAATTCCTGGCCCTCTGCAGGAAGGAAGTCGTGTCCAGGAAATTCGGCCACATCACGCCGAAGTTGCACCTATTAGAAGAACACACAGTTCCCCTGATGAAACGAGTCCGCGTAGGATTGGGCCTCCTCGCAGAACAAGGTGCAGAGAGTCTCCACTCTTCACTGAATCCTCTGAACTTCAAGTACAAGTGATTGCTCCCATTTTGGCTCTCTCTTTTTACAAGCATTGGAGGGTAAACGATGGTGTAAACCGTGCGTAAATCAGTTTCTGGTACCTGCTGGGACCGTGAGTGGGGGTTGGATGGTCCAGTACAGTACTACATTGTGCATTTACCTGTTCACAGGGACACTGAGCCCTGCATGAATAATGTGAATTGTGTTTGAAGAGGATGTCGGAATGTCCAAAGAACAGTGCGGGTATCTGTTTTGCCGGTCCTGCCTGGATTTCTTGTACACGTTTGCTTTGCGTTGAAATGAATGACGTTATCGGCTCATGTGCAGTGTGATGGTTCACTGTCTACTTCTGTGCTTGCTTCCGTCACTTGAGAGAGAGAGAGAGAGAGAGAGAAGTTTTGTTTGTGTCCGCTTTTCTCATGCCTGCTTCAGATTGTCCCAGCTTCAATCTGATTTTGACGGTGGTGACCTTGGAGAGGTTAGTAGCAGGGGTGTGTACATGTGCATGTTTAGCATGCCACTCCAGTATGTTGTTCATGGAACTTGGATCTCACACACACACACATACACACACACACACACACACACACACACACACACCCACACACACACACACACACACACACACACACACACACACACACACACACACACACACACACACACATAGTCATCAGAGAGGCATAGCGAGAAAGTCATACTTCTTTGGAAAAGAGTGGGCCTCCCTGCTCTATGCTTACAGATTGACTCGTCACGTTGATAATAGCAAAATTCCAGTTTCTTCTTTCACCATCTGTTTGGATTTCGTACTTGTCCGTGCATGGCTAAGAGAAGACTAGCATTGCAAACTTGTTCCGGCAACACTTAGCTGCAGTCAAATCATCTTGCTTTGCTGCATCGACACCCAATGTGTCTTTTTTACTAATACTTCCTCCGCGTCATCGAAATTGTCGCAGTTTGACTAGTGACTTGTCACTTGTTACTGACAACTCCATAAGCTCAGCCATTCAAAACTTATTACAGAGTATGATAGTCTGAAGACTAGAGTAACGTTCCAGGACAGTTGGACTGAGAGTTTTCATGCAGAGATGAAGTCCTCGTCGTCGCTGATGTCAATGGACGCAAAAATATCGTTCCGAAATATTTCAAGGAAGGGGTGAGAGTTGGTCGCGCCTTATCTCAAACGTTTTGACTTTCTCCACAGGACAAGAGCTGCTATGCTTGTCGTCTGCTAGCTCTGGATGATTTCTACTTCACCACCAACGAAGCCTAGTAAGAATACACGACCGTTGCGAGGTCGGTTGATTACCGTCGGCGGAATCACCTCGATCTTGAAATGAACTTTTTTTAGCCGTGGCATGCCCATTTATTTTAGCTGTGTGGTCACAGCTCATGCAGGTAAGGTGTACTATCACGTCCAGCGCGGCCTCTTTTTCAGCATCACTGCCCGGCCCTGATTCACTGGTATACCATGGTACGGCACCTGCGCGTGCATCACTAGCACTACGTGTAGAGTCCACACGGCTCTTGCAGGTACAATCATGTACTGAGTGTCCCGGCCAGAGCGACAAATTTTATCGCTGTTGCAGGCATTTAGTTTGCTGACCCCTCGATGTTTCTCCAAGCGCTGCCACTTGTTCCACGAAGTCATTCTCACCCAACTAAGGTAAAACAGTGATGAGGCTTGAGTGAACGGCCATAAGCACGAGAAATGTGCAGGCTGCAACGCCTGACTGATCTCAGCGAGTCGAAATTACCATCGCAGCGACATCAGCGAAGAAATTGCGTCTAGTTCAAAAATTCCAGCTTCCAATAACAGAAAATAGAACTTTGCCGTCACCCTATACTGATGACCATCGCCTATGTCCGATTCCTTGCCTCTGGTACGAGTGCTGGTGAGTAAATACCCCGTTTTATATCAAAAGTCAAACTGCGACAATTTCGATGACGCGGAGGAAGTAGTTAAAATAAAGAAGTAAAACAGCACTTGTCCGTGCCAAGTCACGTGATGCTGGGTGAATAAGTCTTGCTGGGGTTTTAGCTAACCTTTAATTTTTGCGGGGCACTGTGATCATTGCTCTCTTTGCTCCCCATCAATACGTGTATTGATGTGTGATGTTCTCTCTTCAGAGCTCCTTCTTGACCACTGCGAAGGAAGTACTAGGCCAGGCTGAAGAAACAGTGTTTGGTGGTGCCACGTCTTCCAAAGCAGCCGAAGCAGAAACAGAGGAAGCTCCTGCTAAACTCTTGCCAACAAAACGAACTTCAGGTTTGTGAATGTAATGTGGGCTGATTCTGCTGTTGACAACGACGTTGGTGCTGTATTACATTATATTCTATGGTTTTTGATCGTTTATTCTGATTTGCTTTACCATTACTTCGTCATATGTTTTCATTCTATGTAGATGCCAGTAGCCCTGAAGCCAGTCCAGCTGCAAAACGCACGCGTGTTCGTTCGCGCGGGCGCGCCAAGTCTTCCACGTCCACCCCAACGTAAGTCTTTAATGTGGCTAGATAGTTTTGGTAAAGACTTCCTTTCTCTGTCTTCCGTGATTCTCGTGTGCGCAAGTGCGGGCAGGTTTTCGAATGCTTCAGTGTGAGGTGCAACACTAATTTACACTTGTGTCTTGTTGTTTTCTTCTATCATGGCCTTAGTCGTCAGAGCAGTCGGCGGCGACGTGTGGTCGACAACAGCCAGTCTGGAAGCAGCTCACAAGATGACAGCACTGTACCAGAAGCAGATGACTCTGTCCCACCAGCTGCCGAGGTGGTGCGTAGCTGTACTGTCCTTCACTCTAGTGTGCTTGTCGTGTGTGTGTGTGTGTGTGTGTGTGTGTGTGTGTGTGTGTGTGTGTGTGTGTGTGTGTGTGTGTGTGTGTGTGTGTGTGTGGATTTACTTCTGACCGACTGAATTGAAGTACTGTATAGCAACCTTCTCTCTCTCTTTATCTCTCTCTCTCTCTCTCTCTCCATCTCTCTCTAACTGGAATGTTAAAGACTTTGGCATGCGTGAGACGTGTCCAGTTAACTTTTTTCTTCTTCTCTTCTTTCCACTGAATTACAGAAAGAGGCGCTATCTCCCATTGAAGAAAAGATGGACACCTCGGATAGTCCGGTTGTGGTTGAGAAGGATAGCAAGCCTCAGGTTGTAGACAGTGAAGTCACGCAGGCTGATACTGAGAAGCCTGATGCCGACACGTAAGTGGCTCATTGCCTGGCGATTTGACCTGCGTTCTGTGCTCTACTGTTTTTGCTTTCATATTCTCAAATTGACCCCGAGAACATTAGCACTGGTATTTTTTTATTCCGTATTCAGAGAACTATTACTTGTGAGCAGAAAGCATGTTGTAAATGATAGATCATGCAAGTAGGTATGTCCTTCAGCTGCTCATTTAGACCATGTTCTGTCACGTCAGAGTTGAACATGCCTGCATTGTGTACGTTTGCTGGTGCTGGCATAAAATAAAATATAGTAGAGTTCGCACGCTTGCATTACTGCTGCTATACCATTGTGTCAACACAACCGGCTTCGGAAGTTTCGCTTATGCCAGGCCACCATGGTACTGGTACTGTGCTGGTTATTCCTAGCGGGGAGTATTCATTAGAGTATCGGGCAATGGTCACTGTCAATTACCTATTCTCTTTTAGCATGGGCTGCCGGAACTAAGGTACTTGTGAGCTGATCTTGGATTCTGGCTTGTTTTTCTACTGTTCAGTTTAAAACCGGAGGCAGCGGATGATTCAGATACTCGCTCCCAAGCCAGCCAGGATGAGGTATGCGTGCGGTCAATGAGGTTGTTGACTTGTTGTATGCCATGTGATGTGTACCTTGTATTCAACTGGCACATTTCTTCGGTCATCGTTGCATTTGGAATGAAGATGATTGTTTCAGGTCAAGTGCAATTCCATTATCTCTGTATGTGCTTCAGGGTCCTGCTAGATGTCCAGACTGCCATCAGCTCCTGGACAGCCCAACGCTGAAGACGTATGGTGGCGATCCAGACAATGCAGTAAGAGATTGGCTAAGCTCTAGGGCTCTTGTGCATGTCTAGCATAGCAGTGATCACATTGACTAGGGTTAGGAGAGCTGCTAGAATATCATGTGTGGGTTTTCTTCCATGTGTGCCGAAATGGTATCTTTGAGTGCACGCTGTGCGCGAATGTGCGTGAGAATCATCACTTACGCCTTATTCTGTGTTTATTATCGCTTATCTCCCTACTGCTGCTTATATCACCTGTACATTGTTTAAAGAGTACTGCACTGGTTAGTTTCTCTTCTGCCTGTATCCACCTGAAGATAAGGCAATGAAAGTGTTTGTGGACATTTTGAAATGTTGATTGGAAACACTGTACCTTTAAGCTTGTGTTATCCATTGGTCTCATTACATTTTTTCTCCAAGAATATGAAAGCAAGTTTAATCCCGGCATTGCTAACTAGTTCTGCTGTGATTGGCTTGTGTTACTTTCCAGGTGGACGAATTTGTTGCCCTGGCAGATCCGCAGCTGTGTGTGTTTGAAGACGATGGCGGTCAAGAAGACATCAATGAAACGCCAAGTCACAGGCTGACAGATTTCACGTGAGTCCTTACTTTTCGCTGCTGTTGACCTTCTAGCTCACGTTTCCCACACTCGCAATTGGGGAAGCAAAAGGTTGGAGTAGCATTGCTATTGGACAGAGAGATGAGGAGCGGGCGCCGGGCGGCATCGGTCAGCAGAGGAAGAAGTCACCAAGCACACGGACGCAGCAGAATATACGATCCAGTGCATAACAGGTTTTCGACCAGGTTGCTTCTCTTTTCAGCAAGCTTCTTCCAATTTTGTTTTGCTGTTGTGTTCTTTTTGCCTTAGTGTCTATGACAAGCAGGGCCATGTCTGTCCATTTGACGGTGGTCTGATTGAGCGCAATGTTGAGCTGTTTTTCAGCGGTGTGGTGAAGCCCATCTATGATGACACCACCGATGTGTCCGGTGAGTTGCTCATAGTGTTGTCTGTGCACTCGCTTGTTTTGGCTGGCAGCGGTGCTGTACTTCTACCTAGCCTTTCGGCTTAGTTGTGGTGGATGTATGTTTTGACTTTGCCACCGTGTGTTGAATAGCAGATTAGTATGTTTGCAGTCACCTCTGAATGCGCATAGTAGGTCTGTTGTACCAACATGTTTCATAGATGGGTTGAGGTGGATGCATTTGTGAACATTTCCTGGTAATAGATGACCATGGCCCTTGTCTGTTTTGCTCGGCCACTTTCATGTTTGCTCTCTTTCATTGTCTTCTCTCTTTGTGCCTTGGTTCAGTTGGCGTTCTGACAGCTCGCCTTGGGCCCATTGACGTGTGGTGGACAGCTGGGTTTGACGGTGGTGATTCCGCGCTCATTGGCTTCTCAACAGGTATGCTTGTGTGGGTGGGTGTGTGCCTGTGTGTGCCTCTATACCTGTATCGTATGCAAGGGAGGAAAAGGGCGCCAGCTGCACGAAACATGCTACTGAGTTCTAACCTGTGGCAACGTGTTCTGGCTTCCACTATGGTTCACAACTATTGTTTGTATCACGCAAGCGGCCGACCATGAAGGGAAGTTCTAGTGTGGTGTTAAAGGTTCTAGCAATGCTGTCATGGTGTGTGCAATCACAGTGTCTTGTTTTCTCGTCATCGTGTTATACTGTGTGCAGCATATGCTGACTATTACCTGACGGCTCCTTCAAAGGAGTACGAACACATCATGTCCCTGATGGTGGAGAAAATCTACATGAGCAAGGTGTGTATGTTTCTCTCTCTCTCTCTCTCTCTCTCGCTCTCTCTCTCTCTCTCTCTCTCTCTCTCTCTCTCTCTCTCTCTCTCTCTCTCTCTCTCTCTCTCTCTCTCTCTCTCTCTCTCTCGCTCTGTCCCTATATCCAGACCATCTGGTAAAAGAAGAGCGATCGCTCTCGCGCGCCTTCGCTCTCCTTATTTTCATTTTGGGCGCACTTTTCGTCGCTCGCCTTGAGAATTTCGAGCGCATCCGCATCACTACGAAGTCCATTCTGCAAACACTCAAATATTTCGTAACTCAGCTTTCCCTGAACGTAATTGAGTAATCGAAAGGTCTATTCTAGGGGTGAAACGAGTATCTATTTTGACCAATCGATCACTCATTCATAAGGCCCAAACAAATAATGACCTTGTTTCCGGTCGCCCGACCGGGCCACTTTTTCCCAAATTCTGAAACTTTTTTTGGTGCCAAATGTATACAAACGGTGGCAATGCCATGTGTGCAAGTGCACTCAACGAGTCATAACTCAATCAAATCTCAACCGAATTCCACAATTAAAACAGCTACTAGGTAGCAGAGATTCTCAGCTGTCGGCTCGAAAACCTCCGGGGTCGATACGAGCTAGAATAACGGAGCTGGAAGGACTCGAACTGTTTGCTTGATTTCTCAGGTTGTACGAAAACAGGAATACATCACATGCTGTACAAGAACAGTGAGTCAGTACGCAGTCAACTAACTTTGACATTGATCCTTGCCGTGATATATGTACAATGTACATGTGTAGGTGCTCTTGTCCATCAATACCACAACAATTGAGGAACCAAAATAAAATATACAAAAAAAGTTTCATTCCGGCCGACCGAGTCTCCTTTTCGAGGGGTTGCCGACCGGAAACAAGCCTATTTTTTGTTTTGGCCTAATATTCGATCGAGTATCCGATTATTTCGAGTATTTTATCAAAATTCAAAAGCGCTAGATTTGTGAGTTCTCGACCAATTCGGAAGAAATTATCTGTGAACATCAGTGTGTCTGCTCTAGGAGTGTAGGACAGCCGGGTACACGTGTACCTGGCGCAACCATTTCAACCGGGTCGGAGCCGGGTACACATGTACCTGGCGCTGTCTCACCAGCCGAGTCACATGCTTCAACTGGTTGGTTGGTTTATTTTAATTCGGACAATAAACGGGAACTAGGCCCAATGATATAAAGGCGAATGGATAAGCCGCATTTAGAAAAGAGAGGACAGGCATTAGAAAATTACGAAAGAAGAAGTATCTGACACATACAAGCCATGTAGTCAGTCCTTTCAAAGTTCGAAAGTGTAAAGTACCAACCGGGTCACAGGTGACCCGGTACTATATTTTCAACCGGGTCCAAGCGCCGCCCAACCGGGTGGATTACCCGGCTCGCCCGGCGCTGGAGCAGACACTGAACATAGAACGAAAGTCGCCAACGTCTTGTACAGAGTGTAAAGTAACGATTTTCACCAGTGCTTTTATTATCTCATAACAAACTAACGTTACTTGCCGTGGTGATTGCATCGTCCCAAGTCATAAAATACTGACTCAAAGACATGCATAATGCATGCATACCAGTCGATGAGCGGTACAACAGAAGTTTTTGAAAATAGAATGCCAATACTAAAAAAAAAAACGATCGAGTGCAAAATTTCGAATACTCGCTCGTTTGAAATTTTCGAACGAATACTCAAATATTCGAACTAATCGTTTCACCCCTAGTCTATTCGCATTAGAAAGTTCTCAGCTGTCGGCTCCGACAAATCTGAAGTCGATCCGAGGTCGAATAGTGGAGTTACGGCACTCGCAAGGTATTTTACGTCCCGTTGCAAATATTCACTTCCGCACTTCGGTGGCAATCATAATAATTTTGACATACTAGTAAAGGATTTCCCTCTGTTCCGTGACAATCTGGACCAGGGAGCCCTACACATATAATACGTATGTGTAGGGCTCCCTGGTCTGGGCATGCAAAGACCTGTGTGACGTCAGGCACAGGTCTTTAGCGGTCAGCTACAAAAGAAAGGAGCGCTCTACGATGAATACCAAGGGTCCATAAACATTTGTGAATACTACAAAAAAAACATGGATCTTAGCGAATTGTCTCAATTATTTCCGTTGCGCGTGTCTTCCCTGCTCTCCCACCACTCTCCTTGAGAGGATAGCGAGAGTGATTGTTCACTCTCCTGGATTTTTCTTACACGAAGGTCTGTATATCTGATGTCTTTATTAGGCCTAGTCTTTATATCACTTGTCACTGTTGCTAACCTCATTATCATTGTGTTCCTTGGCATTGTCTGTGTGTATGTGTGGACTCTGCTGCAGCTGGTCATTGAGTTCCTGGAGGAGAACCCACATGAATCGTACGAGGATCTTGTTGATATGATCCAGGTAAAGTCAGGCACCTTTTTATTTTACTGTTTTTCGAATTGTGACAATGGTGTCATTGTGTTAACATTGTCTGGAAGAGGGGTGCACTTCCCCCACGATTGTGTGTAACTTCAGCTATTGCGATGCTGAGTGTGAATATCCTTGCTCCAGACATGCACCAGTGTATACGTGGTAGGTATGGTTACGATTCATCCTTTCTTGTTGGTACTCTGCCTGTTCAATGGGTTGTGGGCACACATGCCTCTGCCATGATTAGGCCAAACAAGCCCATCAACTTTACTTTCTTTGTTTGTTTTGCTCCTAGTTTTCAACTCCTCCCAAGGGTTGCAACAAGTTCAGTGAAGACACTCTTCTCCGTCATGCCCAGTTTGTCGTGGAGCAAGTAAGTGCGGGACTATCATTGGTTGTTCATTTGCTCGTTGTGTGCCTTTCTGTTCATATTGTGCCCTCTCTTTACCATTGTTTCAGTGTCACCTCACAATGTGCATGCGCCTATCCAGTCCATTGCTTTGTGAGAGCTAGCAACAAGATGAGTGTTGTGTTTTGAATTGGTATTGGGCAGCGATTTCATCATGGTGATGTATTTGCATTCGTGCTGTTATGCACTCAGGTGGAAAACTACGACACACCCGACGACGCTCAGGACAGCTACTTCGTCCTCTCGCCGTGCATCCGCGCTCTCATTCGTCTGGCTGGTGTTACTCTTGGTGGCAAAAGGTCAGTGGTCGGTACACGTGGGACAATGCACCTTGTTGAACCGTGCATGACAGCCTCAACACATTCATTGTGCAATACGTCTTGCTATTTTTAGTCCTCGATAGAGTGGAGTGTGTGTATGATAACATAGATAGAGTGAAGTGTGTGTATGATAACATAGATAGAGTGGCAGGGGCGGATCCAGGAGGGGTTCCAGGGGTTCCGCGGAACCCCCTAAATTTTGTAATTGTACTACTGGCAACCATATGCGTATCCATGTACATGTATCAGCTATTCAGTCTGGAACCCCCCTGTAGAGATCGCTGGATCCGCCGCTGAGTGGAGTGTGTGTATGATAACATAGATAGATTGGAGTGTGTGTGTGATAACATAGATAGAGTGGAGTGTGTGTATGATAACATAGATAGAGTGGAGTGTGTGTATGATAACATAGATAGAGTGAAGTGTGTGTATGATAACATAGATAGAGTGGAGTGTGTGTATGATAACTGTTGAGTACAGTGCCCTGTGCTGTTATTATTCATTGCCTTGTTCAGACGCGGTATTCGTCGTCCACGTGCACCCCGTGCTCCCAGGCCCAAGAAGGAGAAGAAGATTGCCAGTGCTTCGATGGTAAGGCTGGCCTGCTTACTAGACTCTGGATAACCTTCTGTGTGGTTGACATGTGTTGTTGTTATTGATCACCTCTGTCCTTTCTCACTTGTCCTCGTTCCTTCCTCTTTTAGAGGATATGCCATGGTAAGATGAGGCACTATTTGGGCATATCACGTGTATGCTGGGGCTTTGGACACTTGTGCCAGTGGTTGTGAGAATTATTCCCTCAACCCCACGGCTAGGCGCTGCATCGGCCGCTGGGTCTTTCTGGGTTTTCCGGGTGTTAGCGGCCCTCTTGTGTTCCGTATGGAACGGAGACGAAATTTTAGGGTTCACGGCTTGCCACTTAAAGCACCCGTCACGTGCGCCTCCATTTTGGATTATGGACGCGCGCGACAGGTCGCAACAGCGCCTGTCAAAGTAAAAAAATATCGACTCGAAGTCTAGCCGGAGAGCGTACTTTTTGAATTGTTCCTTCACTGCACTCAGGCTTTGCATTTTTGCTTCAGTTTTTCTGACTGACCTGGCCTTGATGATGGCGGCGGTGGCGGTCTTGGCGAAAGATCCTGTTCCATCTGAAACACTCTGTCGCCTTTTCTTGTCTGAGGTTCTGGCAAAGCGCAGCTGCATCGAACCTGAGTAGATGTAGCTGCACGCATCCTTTGTTTGCCCTGCAAATCTCGATCTGTCGCTCTTCTTGCTGTTTGGCCGAAATGGCTGATGCCAAGGAAGAAAATATTCTTCCTGTAAAGAGGCCGAAACTGAGCAAGGGCACGTCTAGGGTGTACAAAGAAAAAGAAATGTCATGGTCGTTTCAGCAGCTCACGAAAGCCAACACGCTCCATCGTGTCGGGATCGGAAGTATCCAGCACGGCTGTTCCGAGCGCTGCTGCTCTTGTTATTCTTCTTCTTCAGAAATTCTGCACACCTTGTCGGCCAAAGTACGCGCACGGAAAATAGATGCGCTAAGCCGTTTCTTGTTCGATTTTGACAAATAATGGCTTGTTGTTTTGCTCTCGACCTTGGCTATCCTTTTACCGTTCAATATTTTACGGAAACGCAACGGGCCCCCCCCCCCCCCTGTTTTTTTAGCCGAACTTTGGCTAAAGTTACTGGAAAACCCGGAACTCGTTTGAAAAATACGAACGGTGGAAGTCTTGGAACGTCTTTCGTGCGTGTGGATTCAAAAATTCACGCAGTTTGAGCCAACCCTAATGAATCCCGTAGAGTTGAACGTGAGTGATATTGATGGGAAAATGCGATTTGAGCACTCACTGATTGTGTGTACAGTATATGCACGCGCCTGTCACGTGCATGATGTAGCTGGCGACGCTAGCATGCCAATCCGTGAACCCTAAATTTGAGTCTCGCTCTCTCTTTACCTAACTTCATCATAAAGAAAGGGTGGCTTGTCAACTGACAACCACTATGTTCAATTTCTACCTACTCTCAAAGCGCTGAGTTACTTAGAAAATCACTCTATCAAGTCTTGTAAAGTTATGACGTTTCGGGCCAGTCGCCCATAAAATGATACGTGGATTTATGAAGGATCAATATTCATTATTTTTGTCGTGGGTAAGTGGTCACTGGTCAATGTAGCAACAGTCATTTCATTCTGTTGGTAACAGCTGGACAGCTCCCTTTCTTCTGAATCCTCTTGTTTGATTTTCTGCCCCTGTACAGGCTGTGACCACCCCATTAGTCCGGAACATTTTCGACGTATTTTTCCAAGATCAGATCGACGGAAAGGTTGCTACCAGTGGTCGCCGTGAGCGCTGTAATGTCTGTGAGGTGAGTTGAGTTGAGTTTGCAACATTGACTACTGTAAGACATGTATATATAACGAGGAAGCAAATCTAACGTTTTAACGGATGACATTTCTTCGTTATAATAAGATCCGTTGAGGCCGTACTGCTTCATATATGCTGTGTGTGGATATGGCAGAATACTGCAAGATCGTTAAAGGGGAAGTTAAGGCAAAAATTAAAATTTCACCAGTTGTAGTCTTCGGGGTGCTGAGTCGAATGGTCTTGGTCCGAGAAAGCTGAGACGCTCCCTTCCTACTTGAATCCCAATCGAACTCGCGCACTTCCACCGAAACTGGGTGACTGCGCCCTACTAGATGGGGATTTGTATGCAAAATGTCACTAAAAGCGCCGTTTCGTTCTTATAAAAGCACGGATGACCGCGATTGGCCCATATGTTGTAGTCTTTTGGACGCTGAGTCGACTGGTTTTGGTCCGAAAAGGCTGCGATGCAGCGTTCCTCCTTTATTCCCAATCGAACATGGTTGAACAAGCGGTCACGTGCTTCTGCGTACACCAGTCAGCTGGTCACCGTGCCTGCAGGGTACAACTTACTAGCCTGTTTGACCTTTTTTGGGTGCAGTCCTGTCACTCGAGTTGAACCTTGGTGTGAAAATTGTCGCCTCCTGGCGTGGTGACCAGGTGATTTGGGCACCCAGGAGCACGTGACCACTTGTTCAACCATGTTCGATTGGGAATAAAGGAGGAACGCTGCATCTCAGCCTTTTCGGACCAAAACCAATCGACTCGGCGTCCAAAAGACTACAACATATGGGCCAATCGCGGTCATCCGTGCTTTTATAAGAACGAAACGGCGCTTTTAGTGACATTTTGCATACAAATCCCCATCTAGTAGGGCGCAGTCACCCAGTTTCGGTGGAAGTGCGCGAGTTCGATTGGGATTCAAGTAGGAAGGGAGCGTCTCAGCTTTCTCGGACCAAGACCATTCGACTCAGCACCCCGAAGACTACAACTGGTGAAATTTTAATTTTTGCCTTAACTTCCCCTTTAACCCTTTCACTGCCAGCTGACCACTCAAGGTGACAAGGCGCTCCCTGCCAGGCTGTCAGCTGAGCTGTATACCCCCTCCCTGCCAGGCACTTTTTACCTCCAGGTCGAAAAATCGAAAGACCAACTTCTCATGGATTTTTTGGTACTTTCTGTACGGAATATCGCTTTCCAAAGTATACATCGTAGGTAGACAACTCATAAAGGAAGCCATTGCCGTCGAAAAAAATCGCAAAATCCGAAGTACAAACGTGCTGCGCGCTCTAGCGCCAGCCGCTGTTCAAAAATGCATGTCATGCGAAAGTGCGCCGTGCGCCGCATGCGCTACATACACTATGTACACGACCGGCCCGGACCCTCGCGAAGTAAAGTTAGTTGTTGTTTTGGAGAGAGAAGCAGATCCTTTTTTTTGTTAGCTGGGATTGAAAGATCTGCCAGTGGACCGGAGAGCTACAACACTGGAAGCAGAAGAGATGGCGTTCGGAATGTTCTCTGTCTTCGTGGCAACAGGACTTCAGTTGCGAGAAACTTTCGTCCTGTTGTTGCGGACGAAATTCTTGTTGCTGCCACCAGAAAACTCGGAGAACGAAACGATCGTAAGTCGTTTGGTGAAGCGGATCGTGTCGGTGAACAGCTGCGGAATGTTCTGCCGCCATGGTGGTCGTTTGTTCTCCCGATTAGCAGCAGTCCGAATACATTTCGACTTCGGAGAGTGAAGCGCTTCCCTGTTCCGTTGACAACGCGGCGTTCGCGGGTGTAATGCACTTTCGCATCAGCTTGCAGTAGATCGTCAGGTATTGAGCCAGAGGTAGGTGTCGTTGTAGAAAGAATATAATTATGTTGTAGCTGACATACCTGTAGTGTCTCTTGACTGTGCTGGTCGCCATTGTAACGTGGTAGTCCTTAGAAAATTTTAGTTCTGGACCCAGTGAGCGCCGCCAGCGCTGTTTCCGCCAAGTTTGCAGTGAATGCGTCCGTGAGGAATCCGTCGTGTGGTTGTCTCTACCCGTGATTCCAATCGCCTATCGCAATGGATAGCCGCCTGGAGTCTTGGCCAATGGCTAGGCATCAAGTCTGAACCAAATGTCATGCTCCTTGCAATGAAAGTTGACGGGAAAGAGAAAAAAACTGGCACCGACTCAGCAAGGTGGAAGTGCGTGAGAACCGATTTCTTCCGCGCCGCTCGGCTAAAAATCAGATGCGCATTTTCAACGACGCTGGTTCGATTTTTTTCAAATGGCAACCCATGTTTCTGGCAGCGTATTTCGATGGGCATGGACCTCTTCTAGGGCCTAGTGGCCCTCTACCACGGCTAAACATCTCCAATGTTCAAAAATAGCGGCCCAAACTGGGTGAAGTCTGCCTGTCGACAAAAGTCGACGGTGGCACTGGGGACTGCATGTTTGCTTGTCGACTTTCGTCGACAGTGGCACTCAGAGTGCATGAATGCGCTGTCGACTTTCGTCGACAGTGGCAGTGAAAGGGTTAACATATCTTCTCGTTAACCTATGAATTTTGGACAATCGTTAAATTTGCGACTCGTTATAATAACATGTCTTACAGTATCTCTGCATACTGTACTCTCTTGTGTGAAAAGTAGATAACGAAAGGAAAGGTGCATGTCAGCCACCCATCAGTTTTTTGACAAGGCGCATTGCGCTCTTCTCCACACACACATCATAGGGTATTTGCAGGTTGTGTGATATCTGAGCTGGTCCTGGCTGTATCTTTTCTCTGCTTGTGTTTTATCAGGCATGCCGTCAGTCTGACTGTGGCAAGTGTCCGCCTTGCCGGACTATGACTAAGTTTGGTGGTGACGGCAAATCGAAGCAGTGCTGTGTACAGCGACGGTAAGCAGCATCTCGGTTTCCTCTGAGATGTTCCCTTCGTCTTCGCCTTGTTCTCACAATGTCTAACACATGTTTGTATTTTGATATCAATCAGATGTCCGTACATGGAGCTGAAAGCAGCAGATGAAGACGAGGATCTGGCAGAGCGTAAAGAGCAGGATGGAGAGGACGTTTCTGACAAGGTATGACCCAAACTCCTAGTACACTGTGCCTTTGTGTTGTATGGTGCTCTCATGACGTGTGTGCTATCCCTTTGCTGATATGTCTATTGACTACAGGCTAAATCCAAGCAGAAGCGCCCTGCCAAGCAGGCCAGGAGTGACCAGTCCGTTATCAAGGTTGGTCAAGTGTGGCATGACAATATACAAATTCGTTTTGTTTTGATTGCAATTAATTGAATTCAGGTTCTTCCAGCTCGATCTTTTCCTGATAGGTTACTTGTGCTTGTCTTCTGACAGACGAAAGTCCAATGGGTTGGTGAGCCAGCTATCACGAAAGGAAAGAAGAAGTACTACAAGAAAGTTCTCATCAATGACGAAGAGGTGAGTGTCGTTGTCTGTGCCAGTCCAACACATTCCCTGCTGTAGCCCACCATGATCTTCTATTCTTCTGTGATATATCTTGGTTTACCCCACTCCTGTGGTGCCTGGTTATATTCAATATTTGTTTCTGATTTCAATCTTGGTTCACGATATTTCAAGTGTACGTGTTAGTGTTGTGCAGAGTACACAGATCAAGTGAGTGTGTTTCTGTTTACTGTGTGTTGTAATTGGTCTATGGTCTATTGGCAGATCTGTGTCGGTGACTGTGTTGCCCTGTGTCCCGAGAACCCGACTGACCCTCACTACATTGCCCTGGTGGCGTACATGTGGGACAATGAAGGCAGCAAGACGTTCCATGCCGTGTGGCTTTCGTAAGTCAGCGGGGTTGTTTAAAACAAATATTCTAGTGAGCGATGTGCTTGGGTTTGCAGCTATCAGAAGTACTGTAAAGTCTTGTATAGAAGCCGCAATTTTGGGCCCATCAAATCACACATAAGCCTGGTTTCAGTGTTGACATACATAGAAATACCTGTCTTGTATAGAAGCCTGCAAAATTTCACCAAGAAAGTCATAGAAGCCGCGGCTTTTATACAAGACTTTACGGTAACCTGACTGTTGAGAACCATACTTGTGCAGCATGAGACCAACTTTTCAGAGCCACGGCAATGAATCAGCCATTTGATACAGGGGGCAGTTCTTGATCTACTTGTGCACGTGGCTGGAGGCCCGGTATTTAATATTTTTATTGTTTTTGTTGCTCTGTCTCCCCATTCACTGCCAGGCGTGGCTCGGAGAGCATCCTTGGCGAGGCAGCAGATCCCGGTGAGGTGTTCCTTGTAGATCAGTGTGATGACAATCCACTGGGCTCAATCCTGTTCAAGTGTGCTCTGGAACACCGGGCTCCGTCAGCTAACTGGCGCATGGAGGGTGGCGAGGAAGAGGCTGCCGCTACTTCTGGTTATGGTGATAAGAAGTTCTTCTATCAGAAGTGGTATGTGTACTTCGTTAGTCGGTCGGCTCTTATATCTTTGTGCCAATCATGTGTTAAAACAGTGAGGCAATGTAGATTTGGAAGCAATTCCTGCAATGTCTGTGTTGTGTTGCAGTTGAAGTTTCTACATTGTTTGCTGCCTGTGCTGTCTGTCCTGTCTGTGGCATCAGGTATGACCTGGAAGCCGCTCGCTTTGAAGATCCTCCCGCTGACATGCTGGCCTTGCTGTCGAAGAGCAATGCACGGCCAGAGTGTGTGGCATGTACACGTCAAGCTGCGGAAGAGCAGGTTAGTGATGTTCCCTTCAGTTTGGCATGACAGTGCTGTTGAGCTTGTAAAAAAAAAACTTCACATGCTTCCCTGAAAAGCTCAGCTACAGGAGAGCTACCGGTACTAGTTGGTGTGACTCAGTCATGAACTTTCTGCCATGGCGACAATCCTGATCACTCGTTCACTTCCACTTCTGCTTTGTTTTCCAGCGCAATGAGCCCACTCCTGGGAGTGAGATCAAGTCGGAAGGATCAACATCATTCTACTCGTGAGTTTGTTCACATTGTATTGCTTTGCTGTCAAAATATTCTGTGTCGATGGTGTTCCCGGGTGCTGCGTTGATTGCGTTTGTATGCTTGGTTGGCTCGTCTTTACGTGTGCTTTGCATCTATCTTTGGCCGTGCCTTCCCGTTGCTTGTGTATTAATATTTCCATTTTGGCATGATGCTGAAAGTGTCTCTTACTCTCGTATGATTCATACCATATTGTTGTACAGCTCGTTTGCCTTCGAGGGAGACACGTACTCGGTCGGATCTGGTGCATACTTCTTGCCGACTGCTTTCTCGTTCAAGTAAGCCTTGGTGTGCTTGTGTGTGCATGCATTTATGTGTGTGTGTGTGTGTTTTGGCTTGAATGTCTGTAGATGGTTCAACTTGGTGTCAAAACGTGTTTTTGTTTCCATTGTCTACTCGCCTCCCACCGCTGTAGGAGCTGCATCTGCGCCTTCATCCTAGTAGAGGGTGGTGGCTAGAGGGTGGTGGCATTCCTATGGACACGAAATCTCGGCCTCCAGCTGAGTCTCACGCGAACCGTGAATTTAGTTTGCATTGTCTAGTGAGCAAACTAGTGATCATCTTCTCATGGTTTGTTCATGTCTGTATATTATGCTGGTTGTGTGCAGGTACAAGGCCCCTGTCAAGAAGCCAGCCTTGCCCGTGAAGAAGGAATCAGTCGACGAGGAGTTGTACCCCGAGTACTATCGCAAGACCTGGGGGCACATCAAGGGCAGCAACCTGGAGTCGCCGGAGCCATTCAGGATTGGTGAGTAGAGCCGTGGTCCTTCCTGGAACCTCTGGTCGTGTCTCGTGTGGAGCATATCCACCACTGAGTGTGTTTGTAGAAACGGGTGGACAGGAATACGCGCCAGTTGATTATTTGCAGCATTTAGGTCAGAACATTTTTCCAATCATCTCAACTCCATGTAGATGGCCTAGTTCCGGATATTTACTTCTGAAATGAAAGTATGTGTATCCATCTGCGCTCTATCCTGATGTGTAGTGATCGGCTCTTGTGGCCATTGCCCTCTCTCTTGTTTTGTTCGTGTTTGTGCGCAGCTCGCATCTTGCAGATCTTCTCTCAGCCGGATGTGGATACATTGCAAGTGCGAGTGCAGAAGTTCTACAGGTGTGTGCCTTGTCTGCTTGCTTCATTCCCTCTTGACCGTGTCAACGATATCAATGCCGTTAGCTGTTCTGTGTATTGATATAGCTCTCCTCTTTCAATTCACTCACTGACTGTACAGTGTATCCCTGCCATGGCACCATGGGTTGGGATGCCGGAAAGCTGATGGAGTAATGCTATTTTGTATGTATAAACGTTACGTGTGTCTTTGGTGGTTATTGTTGCAGGCCGGAGAATGCCAAGCTCTCTGATGCTGAGCGCTTTGCTGCCGACTGGAACATCCTATACAGCAGTGTGGAAGGTATGGTTTACTGCTCCCCCTCTGCTTTTCAGCACCATGGCATGTGCATTTTACCGTGTACATAATACAACATTATGTGTGTGTGTGTGCGTGCGTGTTTGTGTGTGTGTGTGAATAGACCTCTCAATGTTTGTAGTATCGGTTACTAGATGCAGTGTATGCTGATGTGCCTCTCACTCTATCTCTGTGTTTCCAGAGTGTGTCGTGTCGGCAGCTGATATCCAAGGCTCTTGCAGTATCTTGCATTCTCAGACACTGACCGTACCGCTCTCTGACTACTCGGCCCGCTCCACCGATAACTTCTACTTTGAAAAGGCAAGTTGTATTGGTGTTTAGCTATGTCCTGGTTTTAGGACCGGTCCTGGTGCCAGCGATGTGCACTTATGCTCTGTGGGCGCTGTCACACAGCAGCGATATGCAAGTGCTTTCAAATTGTCTTCTCCCTTGTCATGTGTTCTGGGTGTTGCATTAGTACAGCAGCTGGGTATGATATCACAATATTCTTAACCTGCTGACCCTCTGGATCTATTGTTGTGGGTATCTGGGGCAGATATACGGCTTGTTTTACTTTGACGTTTTTATCGGATCATTGTGCTTCGTAGGAATTTGATGGTACAACAAAGGAAATAGCCGATGCGCCCAAGGCACTCCCGGAGTCAGCTGACAAGACGTCTGAGAAGTCTGGCAAGGGAACAAAGGGACGCAAGAGTCGCACGTCCAGCAGCGGTGCAGACTTTGCAGCTGCCCTGTTAGCAGAGAGCGAACCAACTCCCTTCGAACCACTGCGCAGTTTGGACGTGTTTGCTGGTTGTGGAGGTGAGCTGTCATTAGATGTGTGTGAAACATTTCATTGTGGGTTGCGGTAGCTCAGGAGAAATCTAACCTGGGCTGTTTTGTATGCTATGCTGTGAGTGTGTTGTCTGCGTCCAGTTGTTCTGGGAATAGGCAACTCTGGGTGCAGTTGTTTAGGGAATTTAGACCGCGGTGGGGGAAGAAGACACTGTAGTGTGTGCATACACTAAGCATCCCAGCATCATAAACACTCTGGGGGGAGCTTAGCTACGTTTTGATTCACTATCCGATGCGCAGTGTCTCGTTTGTTGTTTGCATGCTGAGTTGCAGCAGAGATATGACCACTATGCTATTGGTTTTGACTGTGTGTTTGGATTAGTCATTGTCTCCTTGTATGTGTACGCCTATTTGTGTGTATGTGTGTGTATTACGTGTGTTACTTGCTATTTTGCATAATTGCTGTGTCATAGGTCTGTCTGAAGGTTTCCACCAGTCCGGTATTGCCAAAACAGTCTGGGCCATTGAGAAGGATGAGGCTGCTGCTGAGGCGTTCAAGCTGAATAACAAGAAGTCAATCGTCTTCACTGATGACTGCAATGAGCTACTTCGCCTTGTGATGAGTGTGAGTTGTCACTGAGTACTGTTTCTACAGACTGGTCCTCGTGCTCCTGTCCAGAGTCTCTCTTCATGGTTACAGTGGTCATATCTGCTCTTGTGTACTGTTCTGTATGTATTTGTCTCAGGATATGAGTAAAATGTGCTGGTGGAACGACTATCATCTCTCTCTCTCTCTCTCTCTCTCTCTCTCTCTCTCTCTCTCTCTCTCTCTCTCTCTCTCTCTCTCTCTCTCTGTAAGTTATCTTCCATGTCTCTTGGTTAAGTTGTACTGTGCTGGTTGTTAGTGGAGATATAATAATAAAGTATGTGATGTTGTTTTCTTCTGGTGTTGCCTCCCACCATTACAGGGCAGAACCGAAAACAAGTCTGGCCAGCCATTGCCGCAGAAGGGTGAAGTTGACTTGCTTTGCGGCGGGCCACCATGCCAGGGCTTCAGTGGCATGAATCGCTTCAACTCGCGCGAGTACTCACAGTTCAAGGTGTGTTCTTTTGGCATCATTACAACCTGTCTACTACGAGTGCCCATGACTAATATTAAACCATGCATTCAATTCCCAGAATCACCACTTTAAGAATACAGCGTCTATTGTTAGTCATGCTATTTGATCATAATCTAACCAGAGTCTCTATAGAGAGGAGGCAGGGCTCTTGTGTGTAGCCGGTTGGTATGTTGCTTGGGTTTGTTTTCCTTACGAGTCCCTAGTCTCATCGTTGTCTTGTGTCTTTTTCCCCCTTAGAATTCCCTGGTCTCCTCATACCTGAGCTACTGTGACTACTATCGACCACGTTTCTTTGTGTTGGAGAATGTACGCAACTTCGTGTCCTACAAACAGAACATGGTGCTGAAGCTGACACTGCGCTGCCTCCTCAGAATGGGATATCAGGTACGAGTTAGGGAAGACCTATCATAATTATTATGTACAGTCAACTTCGTTTTTAACGACATTCGGCGGGGCATCAAAAAAGTGTCCTTATTCGCGAAGTGTCGTTATACGCGAAGTCTCATTATATGTATTACAGTTGGATGGAACTTTGCTCTGGGCATGGAAATTCTGTCGTTATTCGCGAATTGTCGTTATATCCGCAGTCGTTATTAGCGAAGTTGACTGTACACTCAAACGCCTCTTATCCGGACGCCTCAGATACGGGCACGTCTCTCTACCGGGCACCTTCAGCTTGAGTTCCTATAGCACAAATGCTTCGAATTTGGGGGTTTTGAACTTTTTTCCGTATGAGGAAGTGCTTATTTTTCACTTCCAACCTATGTAATCCACACATATTTATTTATGGGTTCCTTTTGTATCCTGAACATGTGCAATACGTTCCAAATAAACTTCTTCAAAAATGATATAATACATGGTAGATGAGTTATCCTGAGATACGGGCAAATCTGAGATACGGGCAGTGCCCGGTCCCAAGTTGCCTGGATAAGAGACGTCCGAGTGTAGTTGTGGTTTGCCAAGCCTTGGTGGCATTGAGCAAGGTGGGTATCATTCGCTGAATCTTTTGTGGGAAACGTGGACGTGTTTCTGTGATGGTGGCGGGGTACCAGGACCAGGAATGGCTATACCCACACTCTGGTCCTCTTGAATCTGTCCTTGTGAAACTGTCCTTGTGACATGATATGCATTGCTGAAGTGAGACTATGTTGCTGGTGTGGCCATTAGTGAGCTTCTGTGTCTAAAAACACAGAGTGTAAGGATGAGTTGTTTATCGCCGGTGACCAAACAGGCAGTACTCAGTAGTTTACATGGGCCGATGGCGTGAAAATTCTGGTCGTGCGCGGGGTAATCTTTACAACAAACGCTCTTTCTTTCTGTGTCTGCTATCTGGCAGTGTACGTTTGGAATCCTCCAGGCTGGCTCCTATGGAGTCCCACAAACTCGCCGCAGGTAATTTGGATGAATATGTCTGTTTTGTTTGGTTAGGAGGTTCATCCTCCTGTAGTACGATGTTTTTGGTTTTTTTCAATTTCCAGCTCGCCAGCGTCTGCAATCATGATTGTATTTGTGCGAATGTGATCCTGGGTGTCTGTGTTCATCTATTCACATTCTGTTTCTTTCGTGTTGTGCTTCTCAGAGCTATCATCATGGCAGCAGCTCCTGGCGAGAAGCTTCCTCGTTACCCAGAGCCCACACACGTGTTCAGTCCCCGTGCATGTCAGCTCAGTGTGATGGTGGATGATAAGAAGGTAGGGTAGTGTGTGGCAGTAAGCTGTGTGAGCTGTGTGAGGGCACTCCGGTGTGTCCCTCCAGCAAGAACATAATGTATGTGTACGACTCGTATGTTCCTAGTGAAGCAGCGGCGAAGGTCTTACACGGGAAGTTTGAAACATAACAACCACGCACTCACAAGCAAGGAGAGTCCCAAGTTCTTTAACCTGACCGGTTTCTGTGACATGAGTCACTTCATCAGAGAAATGAAGATAAAAACAATATGGAACTCAATATAACCAGTGAACTGGACAGACAGGCGTTGAGCACTGTCAAGTAATTAGCGCGAAAAAAGCGATTTAGCGCGAAAAAAATTTCATTGGGATCAACTTTCATGTAGTGTATGCTGCTCCTTCTCTTGGCCATGACCTGACAAGTACTTCCTCCGTCTACAAAAACTTCGTGACTTTTTTTGAAAGCTGCGCACAGCTCTGGAATTGTTCCGTTTGACTCGGAATAACACTCGTGGCATTGTCTAACCTATTTACAAGCTATATACAAAGAAGAAGAAAAAACTCGGACGAATGAGATTTTTTTCAGAGTCTTCGTCGCTCATGTCATTGTCACCTGACGACGCTGACTCTGCATCGCCAACAGTCGCTGCTTCCGCTCGCATTTCGTTCAGATTCTTGTCACCTGCAGTGATGATCCGACGCTGGATTTTGGCTACGTCCTCTTCATCTCTAGAGCTGTGTACGAATTGGTGTCGACTATATTCAGTCTTTCCAACCCGCGACCTCCATTATGCCGTGAAACGAGTCGTACAAGCACATCCACACGCTTCGCATTTTCTCGCCAGGATAATCTTCCCAAGCATTTCTACAATGGCTTCGAGGAGGTCCCTGCGATTCCCCTTGGCGACAAAGGAGACGTCTGACTGGAGGGAGGCGAAGAAAGCCAGGCCGTCGACATTCTGATCCGGAGTCTGCGCTGGTTGCACAACGACTGAAATGTTTCATCTTGCCGTGCGAGCGAAACATTTTATGTTCTCACGCTGCGTAGATCTATGGGGCCGCGCACTGCAAGTACGAGCCTGGCCAGTTCAGGGCAGCAAGTGCCGGTGACTCCGTATTCCAGCCACGAGCTCCACTTCGTCACTGTGTCAGTTTCGAGCAAGTAAATGTTAGTTTTTTTTCATTTGACTCTTGAGTTTCTGTCGGAAATGTCCTCACACGCATGGCGTCCGTGGAGAATCTGTTCGGGATCAACCAAACTAACCTCGACATGAACGTGGGTTGTCGATGACAGCCTTTGGCGCCGTTCGTTGAGCAGGTTCTTGCTCAAAAACACCGTTAAAAAAAGTCACGAAGTTTTGTTTACGGAGGGAGTACGTGTTTTCCCTTTGGTGTTGTCTTGTCTCCGTCAGCGGAACAGAACGTGTTATCTCATACTTGTTTTTCTCTTCCTTTTAACTTTGTCTGGTTGTGTGTGTGTGTGCTATAGTACTGTTCCAACATCAGCCGTGCTGAGTCTGCACCGTACCACACTGTAACGGTACGCGATGCCATCTCCGACCTGCCAGCTGTTACCAGCGGTGCAAGCAAGCAACAGATAACCTACAGTGCTGAGTCCAAGTCTCCATTCCAGCGAGTGGTAGGTTTCATTCTGTTCTTGCTGTTGCCTCTTGAACGAGGTTTTGCACGGATGATTTCGAAGCCAGTCACGCTCCTGGTGTCATGTTGCGGCCTTGGGGAATGATGTGTGGTATACCGTGCAGCAAGCTGGTTGGATTGATGCATGCCCGGTCCTTCAACAGAGCCTGAAAGTTGCATGGGTTGGTGATTGAAGACCTCTCTTCCCTGTGTCCACGTATTTTCCGGTGTGTTAGCTGCACCCCCCTTTTCGGGCCCAAAATTCGTATCTTTTTTTGACATTCGGAGTATAAGCCGCACGTCAGATTTTGAATTTTGGGACATCCCAACTTGATGGGTACTAGTACATACAAGACGTTTACCATGGTTAAAAAAAGAGTTGACAATCACGACTGAAGTTCCAGCAAGTTTCTTTGTTTGTCCCTCACGCTGAACTGACAACATAGAAGGATCGTACAATTGCAATGATGGATTTCTGTGCATGAAAAACACATTCAAAGTAGTCTGGGTTTTATCCTAAGTATTTGCCCGTATGTTTGTGTTGGTTTCCCTGTGCAGATGAGAGGAGACAAAACCGAAGGCTCTGTCGGCGATCACATTTGCAAGGACATGTCCGCACTAGTTGTTGCACGTATGGAACTGATTCCGACCACGCCAGGTGCTGATTGGAGAGACTTGCCAAACAAGGTCATCAAGCTCAATGGCGAGAACATTCCCAAGCTGTAAGCACTGACTGGAAGACCTTTGTGATTTCCTTGCAGTTGATTTCTTTGCGTCTGGGTGCTCCAAGAAGTTGGGTTTGACGTCTCTAGTGTATAGTGTGTGTACATGGCATGATATCCTCTTCACTCTCTGCCGCTGGTCTTGTATACGAAACAGAAGTGCATTAAGATTCCGAATTCTCATCGGATTGAGAATGTCTACATTGCCATGCATGCACTTCCAGAGAGGCTTATTATTTATTTCCTTTGCTATTGTCTTGTGCTGTTGTTATTCAGGCGCTACACGCATCCAGATCGGAAGAATGGTCGCAGCTCGACCGGCGCCGTACGTGGTGTCTGCTCGTGTGCTAACGGCAAGGCCTGTGACCCAGCTGACCGCCAGTTCAACACGCTGGTGCCCTGGTGCCTGCCACACACTGGCAACCGGCACAATCACTGGGCTGGCCTCTATGGCCGCTTGGAGTGGGATGGCTTCTTCAGTACTACTATCACCAACCCTGAACCGATGGGCAAACAGGTAAAGTCATTGCAGGTTCTTCCATCTATCGACATGACAAACGAACATGTATATACTTGCGTGTAGTTGAATACATGTAACTCACAATGCTGCTCAATGAGATCCGATCGCGTGATTTAAGTTTATGCCCTGAACCAAGAGTTCATAGCCCCCCCCCCCCCCCCAGAGTGTGCAACTCGACTATGGGTGCTGTCCCGACTGAATTTCAAGTTGACGTCATTTTTATGATGCAATGCGCACTGTACACGGATTATCAGACGAATCCGGAACGTGTGGTGGGCCGAAGCCCATCTGATCCTGTACAAATTATTGCAGAGAAAAACGTGTGCGTTGACACCCGTACACATGTTGTAAATCACTGGTGCAAGGAGCATTGCATCATAAATAATGACGTCAACTTGAAATTGTGTCGGGACAGTAGGGTATGTGGGAGTTGCACACTCTTGGGGCTTATGTACTCTTGCCTGCACCAGTTCACATGCCAGTGTTCGCAGGTCTAGGGTTACACAGCACCCAGCATCTACTCGACTCTCACGATTTGATTTCATGGAGCAGCACTGTAGTTAGTTTTGTTGGAGGTCACTTTCTTTTCATTCTTTTCCCTCTTTTGTTACTACAGTATGAGATGTGATTTGTTCATCCAGGTATGCCCGTATTTACATGGACCGTCTGTGTGTCTGTGTGTGCGTGTGTGTGTGTGTGTTTCTGTCACTTCAGGGTCGTGTCCTGCATCCAGAGCAGAACAGAGTGGTGACGGTGAGGGAGTGCGCTCGATCGCAAGGCTTCCCGGATTGGTTCCGATTCTACGGCAACATCCTCGACAGACATCGCCAGGTATGTTACATTTTCTCCCAGGGGGGGGGGCTTGCTGATATGGAGAAGTCATGTTCTGTACCTCCCATCACCTGTCCAAGTGCCGTAACAATGAAGCTTGACAGACCTGTATGATTATGCCAATGAAATCAATAGTCTCACTATCTCTTATTTTACGATGCCACTGATGGTTACGTTTCGACTCACAAATGTGCGTGTGTGTTCGTTTGTTGGTGTGTTGGTGTGTCTGTGTGTATGCATGTGTGTATGCATGTGTGTGTGTCTGTGTGTCCGTGTGTCCGTGCATGTATGCATGTGTGTCCACACCCAGGTTGGCAATGCTGTACCACCTCCCATGGCAGCGGCCATCGGCAGGGAAATCCTGCGTTCTGTACGCCAATACTCGGCCGCCGCCGCTCAGCCTGTGTCACCACAGAAGAAGTGATTGTGACGTTGCACCACATTTTGACTGCTTTGGTTTGCCGGGTGCAAATCGTACGGCCGTTCTGATCTCATTTCAAGTCTATGCTACTACTAAGTCTTATTTATAATGAGGAACTGATGACACAGCCCTAGTCATTACATTCTAGATACTACACAACAATCATGCTCACTCTTCACTGAATACTGACGACGGAAATAGTTGTCCAAAACCAGAGCTTCGTTCTGGCTGCACTTTGTCTTCCTTCCCCCTCATGCCTCAGATTATTCCCAGAACTAGCTGATTTATCATCATGCAACTTCTCCGTGACCTTTGTCGATGTACCTACCCCCTCCCTCTCTGGATTTTTTTGTCATGTAACTCTTAGTACATCACTAAGGCCAAGGTGGAACTTGCAAAAAACACATCCTTTTCTATGTCATTTTTTAAATTTCAAAAGTTTTTTTTTAAAGTTTGTATGCTGACATTTGTTGCAATGCAAAAAAATAAAACAAGCATAATGTCACATTCTCAATATAGCAAACGTTTTATACACCGAAGCAAGCGGAAACTGTACACATTATTAATTATTGTGTGTGAAAAATCATGAAGCTATTGGGTGGGGTTCTCATTGGCGCTGGGAAAGGAAGTATCTCAGTCTGTGTTGAATTGTAGTCGTTCGTCGGCTGGCAAAAACAAGGAAGGGGCGTAAGTAGGGAGCAGCCCTACTGACCACCGAGAGTTTGACCCGATCCCCAGGTGTGGCGCTGTCTAGGTGCATCGTTGTTCTCCTGAGCTGGCCGGCGAGAAGCAGGGGCCTGACCAAATCCACTAACACCACCTCGAACGGTGGGTAAATAATTGTATCTGGAGTATACAAACAAAGACAAGACAGGAAAGTGTTCACTACCAACCGCTGTACAAGGTCTAAACAGCACAGTCCATAAAATGTGCTAGAAAAAGCACCTCCTTCGTTGATTTTTGACTCCGTTGTCAAGTAAGTTTCATCCGATAGAGAATTGGTTTGTGCCTCAAGCCTAGTACCCTGCCCCAAGAGTTACTAGATATGGTGACGATAGCACATCACAAGGTATAGAGAACACAGTGCATGGACACAGTGTTCCTGAATGCAACCAGAGACCTGTTGGTAGGGTCCCAGTCTTGCGACCGTATAGGGTTCTGCCCGGTTCAGACCTTCTGTATATATTCTAGGGAGGGGGGGGAGTAAGAATTCCCAGTTCCCTTACCCTTAGAACGCCCCAGAATACAGAGGGTCGCAAGATTGTGACCCTACCATGAGGTCGCTGGTTACAGTCAAGAACACTGTTTCCATGCAGTGTGTCCTCTGCCTTGTGATGTGCTGTCATCATCATACCTGGTACACTGTCAAGCAAGGCTCAGGACTAGGACCCGCTCATCCGCCCCACCTCCAAAACACGACCATGGAAGTGCGGTGGTGGCAGTGGTGGCAGTGGTGGTAGAGCGTTCTGGGGGTACTTAATGAAAACACTTTTACAGAAGAAGTGAGGAAGTGTTATTTTCTCTGTTCTAAGTTCTTCTCTAGCATGCATATGCCCAGAAATGATATTCACATGGGGCATACTTCTGCATTTTGTTGTGCTTATGGCCACTTGAAAGTACGAAAACGCATTATTGTGAACTTCGAGGCCCCATAAGTACAGTCTGTATCGGCTATAGAGTGACCGGATATAAGAATATATCGGCTACAGTGATTTTGGTACGAAAATTAATATCAAAAGCAAAACGTAGTTTATCCAGTAAAAATATCACTATAAGGCCATGTAAAATAATAATTATATTGATTGTTTATCGTCAGATTTTCCTGAGAAATCGGGGCGGACGGTATTTTATTTTATTTTTTATTTACATGTATGGCTGTATGGTAGGTGTTCGCAACCTCTAGACATGCCTCTTTCTTCAATTATCTTTTTTTGGAGCCATTTTGCACAGAGTGAGATAAATCCATGTGATGCAGATGAATCGTCAGCCACGAATAACATCTTGCAAGATAATTTTGATGCAAATTGATGCAAATAGGGAAAAGTGAAACAACCAACGTAGGACAACAAAGAGAATCAGGCAGCTGATAATATCTTTCACTTTTCAAACCGATATCACCTACATGTATGATTCAATCTGCGGACTTTGCCTTCCAAGATCTACAGCCACGCTCATTAGAGGCCGTATAGGCACAGATCGCAGTACATACAGTACATTTACTGGAATTAAAAAATAAAATAATTCGGCCGGGAGGGAGAAAAATCGGGGCGGGCGAGGACGATAAACAATCAATTTTTTTACTTGGCCTAACCAATATTATCGGATGTAATGATATAATTATCGGATATTATGATGGCAACAAAGAATCAAAACATGCATAACACATTATATTATTATTATCATCGGCTATAGTGATAATATCACTACAGCCGATAATAATATAATGTGTTATGCATGTTTTGATTTATCACTATATTATAGTGATAACTTTAAAATACATGTAGCAATAATATCAAAGGCCCTATTTTTTACTTTCTTCACGTTGCTTATTTTTATAGTGATACATGTGCATAACAGATTTTTTTATGGAAATGCAGGCACTAGTGCACTGTCAACTATGCAGCATGCTCATCTGTCAAAACGCCATGCTGGAAGTATTTCCTTGCCTTTCATGTGTCGATCGAAAAAAGAAAAGAAAAATCGATCGTATCGCAAATAGTGATGCATCGGTTATAGTGATAAAATCACGGAAATCAAAAGGGTACGCTATAGCCGATAAAGACTGTACAACAAAAGGCATAGTATCCCCCATACGAATATCATTTCTGGGGCATGTACATGCTAGAGAACAACTTTGAACAGAGAAAACAGCACTTCTTCTGTTAAAGTTGTTTTCACCTTCTAAGAGGTTTGAGCTATACATTGTACATGCAGCTGTGCCAAACACACTGGGTACCCAATACTCGGAGTGCGGGTAATGAGAGTGTACCCCTTTGTTCGGTATGGTTGTGAACTTGTGATATCTCCCTCACCCTCACCCTCTCCGTTAGGTGCCACATTTGCCATCACACCAGAGTACCAAATCAGCATAGTGGGATGGGCCTTGCACAGACAAACATCCTACATCAGCAAGAAATTAAACATCATTCAGGTCTTGACTTACAGGATTTGAGGCGTTTGAAGGTAATTCTGTCCACCGAAGTCCTGTGGGTACTTGAAGGCCAAAAAGAAGTATGCATGCCCAACAAGAATACCAACGAGCTCTTCTTTCCAGCTGTAAGGAAAGCAAACAAAACACAAGCATACATTCCTATTGCACTTGCTGCCGTCTAGGAGTAAAGAGACAGGCCCATGTCTATAGCGGAGTTCTATATACGTACAAAGCATAATGGTGTGTCAGTCTAAAAGATATCAGCCCCTAAAGGGTCATTATGGCCAAAACACACACAGCCACAATTCATATATTCTTTGAGCAGCAGACTAGAGAACCCCGGCAACACTTACCCGCCCCGTGTGATGAAATTGAACGCCATCAACACCCAAGGGAGATACATAGCCTAGAAACAAACACAGAACCAAACACAAACACTTTGTCAAACTATGCAAAGATGTGTGAGTCAAATGGTGGAGATATTACCATAAAATTGCGGGCAAGCGCCCATCCACCAGGACAAGGCGCTGCGTTACTTGCACACATATTTACACTCTTTACCGTATCAGTAGACCAGCAGCCAACAGTGCTAGCTGTGTGCAAGACTACAGATATCGTATGACATTATGGCGTGGACGAGCGCTTACCCATGATGGGTGCTTGCTCGCGATTTAACAACAGTACTGTTTTCTGCACATCGGGTTGAACGTTGAAAGTTTGAAACTACTAGGAAATTAAAACTATAGTAGCTAGCAGTCTGCAATAAAACCTACTTGTACAAGAGGAATATTTCCGCTCACCCGCAGACTCAGTATTTAGCCATCAGAGGCAGTACTTATTCTCAAATAGTTCACTTAGTACCGTACCGAGCTACTCCCAAGCCATGAAATCTGAGATAAATCACAGGTCGTGTAACAAGAAGATCGGCCACAATGATCCTGACTTACAGCACCCACTGCCTATTAATACGTGCAAAGTGCGAACACTAGTGCATCGCAACAAGGTGATAAACTGGACTACCGGTATACTTAGCAAATACGTGAAGTAGCACATGATGTAGTAACTGAGTAGATGCTCACACTACACACAATTCAGCACAGACAAGTATGATCTATGCCACAGCAACAGCATGACACACACTACACACAATTCAGCACAGACAAGTATGATCTATGCCACAGCAACAGCATGACACACACTACACACAATTCAGCACAGACAAGTATGATCTATGCCACAGCAACAGCATGACACACACTACACACAATTCAGCACAGACAAGTATGATCTATGCCACAGCAACAGCATGACACACACTACACACAATTCAGCACAGACAAGTATGATCTATGCCACAGCAACAGCATGACACACACTACACACAATTCAGCACAGACAAGTATGATCTATGCCACAGCAACAGCATGTACACATACTACACGCATGGATCAGTTTACACGTGTGCTGTGAAAATGTCTCCAGATACCAAGCCTCCACGCTCTAGTGGCTCTAGTCTACACAGAACTCACAGATAAGTGACAGATTCTGCACTGTACTACTAGTGCTACTACCGGTACATGTACTCAAGTATTCGTACACTTCATGGCTTCACGCAATAGGCTTTGTGAACAATAAACCCGTTCTCAGTTCATGTATTTGTACAACTTGCAGGTGAGACAGCTACCCTGGTAACTACAGTCCTGCTCAATGAATTCCAGTCACGTCACTCAAGTTTGCACCTTCCATCAGTTAGCAGCCCAGTGCGTGTTCACAGGTCTAGGGCTGCGCAACGCCCGGCGCGTACTTCACTGACACGACTGGATTTCATTGAGCAGTTCTGTAGTAACTGTTATTCTTGCCCAGCGCAAACGCCAGGATAGCTCGGCATCACTGAACACAGAAGCTGAAGGCAGTGGGCACAGCTACAGTATTGCACCATTCACACCTCCACAGCTACAAACCCTTCTGGTGCATGTGCATGTCAATGCTACAGCCAGTCCAGGCATTGCGCTGACAGATACAATGATCTGTCCATACACATGGAGCTGGACCTCGCGGCAATAGGCAGCTAAAGGTTATACCTTACACACTATCACCGACTGCCCCCCCCCCCCCCCCTCCCCTCACACCACGGACATAGTGAACCCTCACCTTGAACTGCGTGCCGAAGAAGAAACTGACAATCATATCGCGGTTGAGTTGTGCCCACACATAGAGTACGGTCATGATGAGTGGGTTCATCAGCAATATCAGCGGTACCATGAATCCAGCAATAACCAGCAACAGCCAGCAGAAGATCAGCATGAACAAATAGTCAGCAGGACGGCGATCAAAGATACCTGCAGCAAACAGTGCATAGCACAACATAGAGTAGCACATACAGGCATATCAACACAATACCATACACACAACTAACACAACTCACATATCAACACAATACCAGGGTTCTAGCCAGGTCAAAATAGTAGGGGGGGGGGGGGGGGGGGGGAGGGCATGGGAACAGTTACCCCGTATCCCAATTTTCCATTTTCCAAAATTGTCTTGCCACGCTAAATGCAACGTATGAGGCGAATCCCCAACTTCCCCCAGACAAATATGCCTTTATGAACCATCTAGTAGTAACTTTCGACTGCATTTTCATTGAATTGCATGAAAAACACGAAAATCGGAAAATGAGTAGGGGGGGGGGAGGGGCTCTGCCCCCCCCCCCCCTTTGGCTAGAACCCTGCAATACCATACACACAACTAACATAACAACACAATACCGTACACACAGCCAACATAATATTATGGTGCCTGCTACAACCTACCTGCAAAGACTCTTGTCCATTACTACATTGCAAGTGTTGCAGGCATGTCTTTTACCGAAGGTTATTTACGGCTACCTATTTAGTGTTTGCAAGGGAAAGGTGAATCAGTGACCAGGTTTTCATCCTAGCATCTTCAAGTCTAAATCAACATACTTGCAATGCACACAGAACTCTTGTATAGTACAAACGCCTCAGGTCTTCCAAACCTGGACCGCCAACATCTGAATGAATGTGCGGCAGATAAGATGCTTGGCAAGTATGCATACACTAACACTAACACCACCACCGCCACTGCCGCCGCCACCACCACCTGCACCACTACCACCCACCCAAACAGACTGGAGTATAAGAGAGCACACACACACACACACACACACACACACACACACACACACACACACACACACACACACACACACACACACACACACACACACACACACACACACACACACACACACACACACACACACACACACACACACACACACACACACACACACACACACACACACACACACACACACACACACACACACACACACACACACACACACACTGATACATACCTGTCTCTAATCTAGTGGAGTAGCTGTACAGAAAGTAGAGGTTGATTAAATATGAGAACCCGGTCATGGGTGTAATAGGATAGAAGAAGACGGCAGTAATCGGTCTCCAGAACTGAAAGAGAGCACAAGACGCAGCATAGACAGAACTTTGCACGTCAGAGAAACAAAGACAGTAGTAAATACAGAGTAGAGTGGAGGACGAACACATCAACTAGTGTCCCTTGACAGGCTGCTATGGTCGTCTTTCAAACATGGAAAAGCAAAGTGATATTATTGGTGATTTCGGCTCGTGGTATGGCCGTGGAGTCCAAGATTTCAGCAGCACAGTGCGAGATTTCAGACTTTCAGGAACTCAACACTTACCGGTAGTTGTTTGGACAAGATCATAAGGAACCTTAGCCACAGTTCAGCTCTAAGCGAGCTTGAAGCTGAAAATGGGTTACCAGGGTGGTTTGGGCATGGCTGTACAAATCTGTATCACTACATACTGGAGTACCGGTATAGCATGCGACAGTAGTGTGAGCCTATTGTCACGTATTACTTCAATGTACTCAGCTGCATGATTGTATTGCAATGGATTCGCACAGTGATCTGTTCTTCAGGGATAACATGTAACATGCATTCGATGCATTCTGCATAGGAAGCGGGGCTTTGGTATGTTTAAATATACATTGTACAGTGCCGTGTTCAATTTTCAAAAGGATGCTTGGATGGCCAAAATGTGACGAGCAGGTAGTTCCATGCTATTTTGGCTACAATCCTCATGGTCTATACACATTGTGTCACCGTGTCCACATACAGCCTGTCCCTCCAGGAAATCGCGATTCCACGGATGCAACGAATTTCGCGATTTTCGCCCAAACCCGCGATTTTCAGCAAAATCCGCGATTTCCCGCGTTTTTTTGTTGTTTTCTGCACTATATCTCACTTTTTATGCACTTTTCACGCAGTGCTTTCCATGATCCTGTAGGTTTTTGCACAGTACGACTCGTACTACTCCCGAGTAGATATACGATGCAACAAATTTCGTGATTTGGCCCAAATCCGCAATTTTCTGTAAATAATTCCGCGAATTCCTGGCAAGTTCTGCATCATTTCGCACTGTTCTTCGCATTTTTGTTGTTTTCTGCCGCAATTTCTTGCGCAAGTTTTCGAGAGTTTTTTCCGCAAATTCCCGCAGGGACAGTACAGCTGGGGCCAATGGCCGATTTCATTGGCCTTCAAGGTGTCAGTTGGCACTCTACACACTACACACACTGCATACCACACAACCAGTTACAACTCGAGTTGTTAGGTTAGTTAGCAATTCACCTGCCTATTATGCATACCGTATATTCTCTATTATAAGCGCCGTGCTCATATTTTTTCAACACCCCTCTACCCTGTGCTTATATTGGAGACCGCGCTTATATTGGAGACTGTGCTTTTATTTTTTCAACCAATACATCCATACAGAACAAGAAGAAATACATGCTAGATATCATGCATGCAGCATTGATTCCACCAAGACCGTGCTAATAATAGAGACTGTGCTTTAATGTTTCGAAAGGTGCTCACAGTGTGCTAGTATTAGAGACTGTGCTAGTAATGGAGACCTGTGCTTATAATAGAGAATATACGGTACATGCCAACCTGGAGGCTTGAGTTCCCTGGACAACGAGGCTGAATTCCCTTGATTTTGACCGTTTCCCCTGGACACCTATTTTTAGCGCATCCATCATTAGCAGATGTATTTTTCATGACTGCTGCTCAAGCAAAAGGGATGCCATTGCATTGAGCTGTAACTGCACAAGAAAATTTTCTGTTGATTACCGTTATACCGGCGATTCGTTGCAGTTCCACATGTTTTTTCGTCTACTACGTGCTGTGTGTACTTACAACGGATCTACAAATTCGAGGAAACACTGAAAAAAGCACCAACAGAAGGAGAACTTCGATTTAAGTTCCATCTCAATCCCTGAACTTTGGCAGGACATCCCTGGATCCTGGGGACAAACACCCTATTCCCTGGACTGTCCCGGGAAACCTTGGACGGTTGGCATGTATGATTAGGCTAGCTCCTCAGTATTTCACTCAACATAGCCAATATCATTCCTCGCTCTGTTTTATTGGTTCTAATGTAGTGAACTAACTATGTTACTTCACAGGATGGACTATACATCTAATCACGACCTCAGTACAGAGTACTGTAATACATGTACATGTACTGCTGAAACTGGCAAGTCACCAACATATTCTTACACTGCTGTCTGATGAAGTGTTCTGACACGAAACTCGGAGTACATGTAACAGCGGAATGAGACTTGTTTGATTCATTGCTGTGTAATATTTGTATTCTTACACTGAATAGACTATAATTTTTAAAACGACGTGTGCATCATTCGAGTCTTACCTGGAAATTATACACAATTGGCTCGTAGAGCAGGAACAGTAGGCGCATTGGCAGCAATCCGAAGCTGCCAAGGACTGGGAGACATACTGATGCTGCAAACCAATATCGTGTAATTACAGGAATACTACGGAACCAGTCACTGATATCACTCCCTTCCGCCATGGCGGCTAACTGGACACCTGACGACAAACTTTCTATATCTTTGAGACAACCTTGGGGTGGACACTTCGTTCAAGAGAAGCAATAACCTATGAACTACGAGTTTGGCTGTTGAGATAACTGATTTGTATTATTTTAGCTGAAAACAAAGACACGTCATTTAGAAATTTCGACGTGAAATGGTGACGTCGTTTGTACTGATTTTTCGAGAAACCCACGTGGATTTACAAGGAGTCGTCAAATGACGACTCTCTAGTTGAGCCAGGCATCAAGACTTCAAACCAGGCCACGCATACCCACGGTATGTGCACCACGCGTGCACGGTATGTGTAGGGCTCCCTGCATGCTTCACCCTGCTTCAACCCCTCCCCCCCCCCCCCCAAACATCTACGTACAAGATAGGGTACATCTGGAGAATCTCCCACTCAGAAACGAGAGAGCTTATGCCCAGAGCCCCCACCGTGCCGCGATTTTCATTTGGGCCATCATCGAGGCGCATACACAACCAGATTGAACGCCATCCAAAGTACATTGAAAATCAACATGTTTTTGCGAATCGATCTTTTGTTCAGTATCACTTTTCAACGAGGACGAAGCTAATTTGGCTGAACCGTCGGAAGCCTACATGTAGAGGAAGAGAATCATCCTCTCCCTGAGCTGCCTCCAGTCTTGGTACATGTACAACGGTATCATGCGCATGTGGCACGACATCCGCTTACCGAGGCCAGGCGTCATATAGTCTACGGTGCGCAGTGTGTGTGTGTGCATGTGTGTGTTTGTGCGTGCACACGGACACACACACACACACACACACGCACACACAGACAAACACAGACACTCAGTGAATACAGACACACACACACACACACACACACACACACACACACACACACACACACACACACTCACACACACACGCGCGCACGCGCACGAGTGCAGTGGACCCTTGCTACGCCAGACATAGCTAGTACAGTCATGCACAACTGAGACTGAGAGTAGGGAGTGCACCTCCACTATTAGTGCTGTCCATGTCCTGATAAAATTTCAAGTTGACGTCATTTATAGTATCTTGCCGCCGAGGTGCAATGCGCAGTGTGCACATACATGTAGTATCAGACGTACCCTGGACCAGTGCCAGTGGTGGACCAATCTCCCCCTCGCCCCCCCCCCCCCCCCCTCGCCCCCTTGATCCGATACAAACTATAAATGTAGTGTAAGCCAGTAAGCAGGTGCGAGGCGTTGATGCCCAGTACCATACAAACCGGTTGGAACTGCGTCATAAAAATAACGTCAACTTGAAAGTTGGTCGTGACAGCACTGAATACGGGAGTTGCACACTCCTGGGAGGGAGGATATGTACTCTTGCCAAGGCCAACATATGTACACAATGCAGAGCGAGCATGAGCATGTGTAAAACTAAACATCGATTTGGGAAAACCGGGAATTCATATGGCGCTTGTCATCTTTGACCACTCAGCTGAGCTGCAATCTGCAACTACATGTACAGACTCGGTGGTGCGCTGCAGAGCTGAGAGTGCATAAAAACCTTTATGGCTGTACTTTGAGGTAGTAGTAGTAGTAGAATTTATTATTTTGATAGGGAAGGCCCTACAGACGAGGTACTCTTGGCTACATTGGCGTGTGGCACTATTTTGACCGTATGTTCAAGCGGCGGATGTGAAAATTGATGTCACGACTATGAATGCACTGTTCTGAACCCTTGTGCCGAGTTATATACGGTCTGATTTATGTACTCGTACGGTACATGTAGTAAACACGTAATAAGCAGACTTTACAGAGTATAAGAAGACTTGAAAGAGGACCAAAAGAGCTACAAGTTACGCTATCATATCCTTTGAAACACCACCAGTTACTTTACAATCTTTCCCGAGTTCTTATTTAATCCTTGGCTCTCCACCCGAGTCTAGCAGAGCAAATGTTTGTCAATATTAGAGAGGTTAAGATGCACGTTATTTCTGACGTGACGCGCAATTTCACATCAAATTTGGCGTAGACTCCAAATTTCGACGTGAGCTGCAGGTCACTCGCGTTGTTTTCCAACGCGCAAGCCAGATAACGCGAGCTGAACTTTCGCGTCGCGTCAGAAATAGCGTGCATCTTAACCTCTCTAGTGACACGTGGCCTCTACCTAAGTCCCGGTAACTAGTATCGGCCACATGCGTAATAGGCACATGAGCACATGAGCACAGATCATTAGTAGAGTACAGTCATAAACAGTGGTACTCTTTGCAGTGTTGACACAGAACTGATGAAGACTGAGTGAAGTACCAACATAATGGCTCAGCTACTGTAGTTCACACTAACAGTCACACTCACAGTCAAACTCACACTGTCACACTCACCATCGACCATCCTCACCTGCACACGGTATCGCGGTATCTGAGGCAGAAGCTGCTGCACATGTGCCTTCCTTGTTCCTAATGGCAACCACAAATCATAGATACGACCCGTCGTCTAGCGCACTGGGCAAGCATCGGCCTGGGTCGCTGCCTTTGCACTGGCAGCTACAGCCTACAGCAGTAACTACAGACAGTACAAGTACAAGTGACTGTACATGACACGTATCCGACGTAACCATGGTAACTGCTGGACGCCTCTCGAATCGATCTCGCACTGCAGTAGGTCTTCTGGGTGAGTCACCATGGTCACCGGCACGAGCTACAGACAGTGGCGAAGTGTCGATGTCCTCAATCCGTCCAACCCATTGATTTCGTGGCATCGAAAACTATCATACTAAGTGTGCATATTATTTACTGTCAACCAACAACATTGTTACTAGTACAAACTAACTACTACCCGGTAAGTCTTACTTCATTGAAAGGTTGGTCAACAGTGGATTCTATCTTCTCGAAGAAATTTGTACGGTCGCTAATTAGCAAGTTGCTCTGCCAAAGGAAAGATCAGTTCCGTGAGGCCAAGTCCTCAGCGATCCGGGATGGACACCGCGACATACCAGGCCAAAGTTGCCAACAAAACCTTCGCCATCAAGAAGGAACCAGACACGGATGAGAGTGGTTTACCAAGGTACTGTGGTGTACTGTTCTCACTAACACGTTACAGTCTACTTTACATTCCTGGCTTTGCCAATTGCTTCACGTAGTGCGCTAGAAACAAAGCGTAGCAAATGGGGAAATGATAATTTGCGGCACCCGACCTATAGCCTAGGGAAACTCTACCAAGTACCTGTCCTGAGGGAACGCCGGGGGGGGGGGGCAGGGACCAACCTCCCCTTCCCCTCCCCGCCCTCTCCAGCCTGTTGCTGTACATTGTGCGGTCGTGAAGAAGAGCACGCAGAACCCACCCAGAATGCAACAGGCGAATGGGAAGTCTAATACGCTGATCTTGGACAGGAGAAATCATGCCGTGCTCTGTGGGGTAGTCGGGGAGTAGCGAAAATTGTATCTGCCGGCTAGCCAAGTAAAGCGACCGAGAGTATTGAGAAAGGTGGTGTCACTCATCCTAGGTACAGAATACAATCGTACGTCACCCACAGGTTATGCCATGTTGTGCGTGTGTGTGTGTGTGTCTGTGTGTGTGTGTGTGTGTGTGTGTGTGTGTGCGCGCGCGCATGGTGTGTGCATGCATCTTATATAATGTAAGTTATGTGATGACAATGTACATGTATCTTAAAGTCAGGCTTGTATTCAACGACTGTCCTTTGCAATATGCAATTCCTTCTATTCCTGTCGAGCATTAGAAATTAGAGTACGATGGTGTTGACACTGCGTTCATACTACAAAATACGTACCTTTACCTTTTGAGAGAAGTTATAAGAGGATTCCCGATATTTTTCTTGAAAATCTATGATGCTATTTGTACAGCAACCAGAAAGATGTGCCGTGAGCACTTGTGTGTGTGTGTGTGTGTGTGTGTGTGTGTGTGTGTGTGTGTGTGTGTGTGTGCGTGTGTGTGTGTGTGTGCATGTGTGTGTGTGTGTGTGTGTGTGTGTGTGTGTGTGTGTGTGTGTGTGTGTGTGTGTGTGTGTGTGTGTGTGTTCTCCTGGGTGGTTACCAACAGCCAGTGGATGCCGGAGAATGTGGTGTGGTGTGTGCGGGAAAAAAATGAAAAAGACCAAAAAGTAGGGATTCACTGGTCAGGAAAAGTCACTTCATAGCTGTGTCGTGTATAGGTATAGACCAAGCTGAACCGTGGCAGTCAATTCTTCGCCCGCCTCTGGCGATGGGCGTCAAATGGTGTATGTGCGTCCGTGCGCGCATGTGTGTACTTATATGTGTGTCACGTGGCAGGATGACAGTGAGGAATATCAAGATGCTGTGTAAGAAGCACAGTGGATACCAGACACCAGCTCTGAACGATGTGCTCTACCTACATTACCAAGGTATTACCACCAATAAACCGTGACAAATTGCATGTAGCTATGGATCAAAACTGGTATTTAACATGCCGATAGCTTGAATGATCGGATAGTTGCCGTGGTTGGCTATCACCCTTCGTTTCACATTCATTTGTCATTGGCAGTCGTTTGACGAGCCAGGAAATGTTGAACAAATACAATAACAATTACAAATCACTATGGTACACATAGTGAGTGCAGAGTTTAGATCGGCCAAGAGCGCAATGTGGTGGTGTGGTGTATTGTATCCAATACACCACACCACCACATTGTACACATCATTACATTAAATGTATTAAAATCCTAGCAGTGGATCACGGGCCACATACCATGAGCCTATCACAGTACATGTACATGTATATGCCCTGGATCCGATCACTGCATGTTAGTGTATGTACTGTGTGTTTGTTTGGGGTTACACTTGCAGGCTACGGTAAGATTGAGAATCTGGAGGAATACATAGGCCTGAAGGCGCTGTGGTTGGAAGCCAACGGCATACGCAAGATTGAGAACATTGGCCATCTTGCGGAGCTGAAGTGCCTGTGAGTTCTTTGCTTCTGCTGTGTGCCTGCGTCTGGCTGTTCAGTTTTGGATGGTAGTGTGTCCCCTCCCCCTACCCCCGATTGGTCCAGCTGCCAGGAATGAGATGGAGAAGACGTGTAGATGGAGGTGAGATGTACACCGGCAACTGTTTCACGTACAAGATTACTTAGCATGATTAGAGTGTCACGGGGGGGGGGTGTGCGTGCGAGTGGTGTGTGTGTGTGTGTGTGTGTGTGTGTGTGTGTGTGTGTGTGTGTGTGTGTGTGTGTGTGTGTGTGTGTGTGTGTGTGTGTGTGTGTGTGTGTGTGTGTGCATGACTGTGCAGGTACCTTCAGCAGAATCTCCTGTGTCAACTGGAGAACCTGGATGGCCTGACAGAGCTAGACTCACTCAACGTTGCCAACAACTCAATTTCACGCATAGAGAATATCGGTGAGTCATGCCTCCTGCAGTCATAAGTCTGTATTGCTTCATGCTGGCTTTTACAAATATCTGTTGTACTCCTGTACGGGTGTCTTCTCTTCAGCTTGCTGTGAAAAGCTAGCGTCGCTGCAAATGGACCGCAATCGCCTCACAACAGCAGAGGATATAGCCGAACTACGGCACTGCGACAATCTAAGGTACAATGCCTCTACGGTCTGAGTGTTCTCTGTCATGCCGACTGTATAGCTGAAGTGTGAACTGTAGCACTTTCTAGCCCTATTTCACTCCGGCAAGCTGAGACAAATTGCTTTCTCCCTCCGTGCACAGTGTGGTGGACCTCTCACATAACAGGATTGAAGATGAACGTATTGTTGAGATACTGGAGCAAATGAAGTCACTGGTAAGCCAATCAGATTTCTTCCTCAGTGTCCTCCACCAAACAAGCAAGAGTTGGAAGACTTACGCCATTTCCGAAATATTATCTTGACATGTTCTCTGGATCATCAGTCCCCACATGGAATACTGCAGGTAGACAGCAGTTCATCCAATGCCATTCTAATATGAAATGGCTGGTAGTGTATGTAGGTACATTCAATGATCTTCATCCAGTGCCATTCTGAAATCATTCAGTAGTGATCAGCAAGAACTCATCTGTGATGTGAATAGTTATTAACCACCAATACTTGATTCTTTCAAACCAGCAAGACGTCTGGGTTTATATACTAGTAGGGCGACGTTCGAATTTCATTTTTCATGCACAGAGAGTTCTGAAGCTTACAGGCAACCCTGTGCGTTCCAAGATCCGTGACTATCGGAAAGTGATGATTTGCAGACTGGTAAGTTTAGGTACCGAGGCTATGAAGCCATATCATATCTATTACCATCACAATGGCATGTATGGCAACTCATTGTTCCGAATGATCGGTGGCTAAGCTGTGTAACATACATGTACATGATTCAGTGCACCGCTATCGATTCAGTGAGATTGTGTGACGATGTCACGGTATGGCTGCTGCTGTGTTGTACATTGTGTTGCAGAAAGAACTGACCTATCTAGATGAAAGGCCCGTGTTTGCACGCGACAGGGCGTGCGCGCTTGCATGGTAAGCCGAGCATTGTGATGCCATGACCATTGCATCCACGTGACATTGTCAGTGCCTTGCTTAGCTAATAATGTGCCATGATGCCGTCACTTCACCATGGGACATAAGTACCATACACGTCGTGCCCGCAAAGACGCAGAATGCGAGCAGTGAAGATCCATTCCCCTGCTATTCTGTCACTTGCGCTCTAGGGAGAAGGGTGGCATTGTGGCAGAACGAGAGGAGCATCACCGTTGGATCACCAGGGACCAGAAGAAAATTCTAGAGAGTGTGGAGGGTGAGTGATCCTAGGAACGTATCCACAGAACTCCTGATACTTGCACTACATGCGCATTGCAATGTGTTAGGTAGGACAATGACTCGGAGAGCCGGTTTAGTCATTCCAAGTCAGTCTCATGTAGTGCACTTCCATCTACTTCTTTTAAAGTATTGAAAACAAGGCAGAGACCTTTGCTAATGGCGTGTCACGGATAACTCTGGGTATTGAAAGAAACCAAAGAGCTGTCTATCATGGAATGATGCAGTGCAGCGGTCTTTCTACCCAGTGTTGTATACTGTATTTGCACCAGAGAGTCGTAAAATACGGGTATTTTTCATTTTATGATTCCATGGGTTGCGCTTGGCTATGGACGTCGTACTGAGAATGTGAGTACCCATTCCTCTTCATTCTTGTTTACTGCAGCGCTCGCCGTGTTGAGATACAGCAAAGCAGCGCGGGATCGCTATTGCCGTGACAGTAGTGTGAGTCGGTTGCATGTGAACGCACCGTGGCTAAACTGATGCGTCAGTAGATGTAGAGCTGTTGCGCGTCTATCGTATGCATGCAGGGCAGCCATGTTGGTTCCAACTCCACTCAACTCATGCATCTATGGTAACATTATTCCGGCGGCCATGTTGATTCCACTGTCCACATACGGTTACCACCTTCTACACAAATATGTGGCTATGCGCACTCAGTGTTGCTTATATCAGCAAGCACTGTCAGCTCGGAACTACTCAGTCTTACAGTGTAAGTTTCACATAATGGATGTGTGCCATGTTACAGGGTGAAGGCTCAGATGAAGACCAGTCCGACAGTGACAACCAGCAAGGCAATGAGGAGCAAGAAGATATCTTTGCACCAGCTGTTGATGATGATGATGATGACGACAATGAGGATGGAAATGATGAAGAGGACGAAGGAAGCAATGTGGAGGTCGAGGACGATCTTGAAGCAGCGCTAGCATCTCAACGATCGGCAACAAGCACAGAAGCAGGAGTCACAGATAAGCCAGTCAGAGAGAAGTTCACGCGCCTCACTATCGAGCAAGTGCCATCAGATGGAGAGGAAGGTGATGTGGTCGAGAATGAAGATGGCAATGACGACAGCGAGATTCCCTTCCTCACGGCTAAACCTACGGAGTCAGCTGCTTCTCTGGATAGGATGCCTGGTGATGACGCCGAGCAAGATGGTATATTTGTGATGACCAAGCCTCCAGACAGCATGGCGAGCACAGCAAACCATGGCCGTGCATCACTTCTCGCAGGAATGTTGGATGCTGATTCAGGTAAGAAACAATGCAGACAGTGCAACACAGCTAATGGTAATAGCAGTCTTGTTTTCCGAAATACAGTCTTCAGCAACATTGCTTCAGCTCTTTCATTGCACTTGATTAGTATTTAATTACTAGTACTTTTCAACGTACATGTACATGTTCCAATACACTCTCTTGATATTTGTTCCTCGCACCACAGGTCCATCAAAATCGTTCCATGAGCGCCAGCAGGAGACTCAGCTGCTGCATGCGACATCTCCAAAACGGCTGATGATTGAAGAAATATCAGGTGAGACACAGGATCGAGAATTGATCTATAGGCACCGCTACTAGCAGTCTATAGGTACAATGTGTGACAAGAAGTTACTGTTACAATTAATTTGTAGGAATTTCGAAACATCTGGGCATTGCGAGTACTCGGTATTTATTATAGCTATGCTTGTAGTCTACAACCCATCCGTTGCTATGCTTGCCTTATGGGATTTGTAGGTACCGGCCCATGTTGCTGTAGTGAAAGCAAGAGCGTCATCTCTGCAGAAACTGTGAACCCTCCTCATCGTGTTCGATGCGTAGCCAGATAGCAATGTTCCCCACTCATGCAACCGTGGGTTAGTGCGGGTGGGGGGTAGACGACTCACGCACTGAGTCAGGCCCGGGTGGTAATGCGGCTAATGCCTACTAACAGAGTTGTTCTGTTTATACACGTTACACTCGCAGATGAGGACATTGAGGAGGTGCAGGTCGTTCCAGCTGAGCCCTGCGATGTCGATGACGATGATGACCAACCTCCACCACTGGTAACGGTGGCATGGGATAAACCAGCCAACACTGGCAAAAACCAGCCCATCCTCTCATCAGAGCAAGCAGCATCTGTCAAACAGAAACAACCGCTGATACAAATGTTACCGAGCAAGAGTGGCGAGGACGATGATACTGACAATGATGCTGATGAACTCGACTGACATTGGCAATACCGGTGCAAGTACATACGCACATTCAGCAGTAGGGTTCCAAACAACTGATATACCAGTCTCTTTCTCTCTCCACATGCCTCTTTCGTTATGAGCAAATTATAACCAATAATGTACAAGTACACAATGATAATTTGTGTCCTTATCAATTGTACGGCGTCATGTGCGTGTGTATATTACCATTGCAAACCTCTGTACATATGTTACATACTGTGAGGCACCTGTATATACTGTGAGAAGAAGCTAATTGAACCATACACGTATACTTCAAAATAATACAACATTCCGGAAATTCATCCCAACTGCAGTTTCCAGGGGGGAGGGGGGGGGGGGGGGCACACATCGCCCGCAGGCCCACCGGAACCGGTCCGGTTGGTCAAGTTATTACCGGACCAGCTTTTTGGCCATCAACACGTGTTTCCTATTGTTGATGGGCATGTGTACCCGCTATATCAAACATGAAGTATGACAGGTCATGACACTACCGGACCAATCAAAAACTTCTTCCGGCGGTTCTGACTAGCAGCTACTCGTATCCCCCTTCCTGCATCCGACAACTGCCAGCGATGGACAAGGATATGAGTGTCTTTCTCTGTTCCAACGAGAAACTTCCGATAATTGAATTCAAGAAATTCCAGCAGAGGATGCAGATGGTATCATCATCATCATCATAGCGCAAGGCAACAATACAAACATACCACGCAGAATACTAGTAGTCGCAGCAGTAGCTCACAATGTACAGGGCTCAGCGGCGTAGCATGAGTACTGTTACATTGGCAAATAATGAAAAAAGAAAAGAAAATTGGAGAAAGACTCTAATACAGTTCATAGAAGAGGAAAAATCAAACAAATAGAGCATATGAATAAATTGCCAAGCCTACAGCAGCCAAAAGCAAGTAGATACTGGGCAGAAAAAGTACCTATAGGAAACCATCAGACTCCTACGACAAAAACACATAAGAAGCTCGCGGGGGAAATAGTGGTAGTAGCAAGCTCTCAGAATCAAACGCAACTGCAGAGCCAGGGATTTGGGCACATTTATAGATACACATACGACAATAAGTAGAAATCAGTAGAATTGCACGGTCATTGAGGCAGGAGTATATAGGAATACAACCCAAGTACCAGACATGGAGACAATGAAATATGCATGTAAGTTAGTGTACAGGGCGTTTCCTTGTAGTTTCAGATCAGGTTGGATCATCAATTCGAAAAGGAGGGAAAATATTAGAATATAGAACAGTGATGGTGAACATGAACACAAGTTGCCGGTCTTGGTGACGCTGCAAATACTCTGCAGCAGGTACTCAGCAAGACAAGTGCAGCATCGGGCCACAGAAAGCGGAAACGGAGAACAGGGTTAAATGCTACCAGCAAAAAAAGAAGAAGGATTGCTAGCAACAATAACACTGACAATTTCCACCATCTGTCAAGCAGGCAGGAGAGGCTAGGAGAGGTTGTGAGGCACAGCTGCGATTGTGCATGCCGGCAGCATGCAGACAGCAGGAAGGAGCACAGAAGATGAGGCGAAGGAGATCAATATGACAACGATGCCATCCACTTACAACGCCGCAAAGAAACCCAGCTGCATCGATGTTCACAGCGCAGGCATATGTGGGGCCAGGCACCAGTGAGTGATCCGCACAGGGTGCACAACACACTTCAGTGCACACTTCACATGCTCACAGAGGACAAAAACAAAACAAAGTAGCTAGTGCTAGAGCTTGGATGAGACTTGAGATGATAACACACACACACAAACTGTATGTTGTCTCCTACTGCCACAACAACTGACACCTAGCCACATCACGCTTAGCTCTTCTCCTGAATCGACACGGAACCAAGCTTTGCTAGAGCAATGTCCATATCAGGATCTGCCTCCGCAAGCTTTGCACGCCTGAAAACACACACACCAAACAGGAGAGCAGTATTCGTCAACACTAGCCAAGTAGCACAATAGTTGTGACAATGCATTTATAAAATTACGACTGTGTGGTTCTATTCAAACAGTAATTCCTATTGTATATAGCGGCACACACAGGGCACATGTAATGCTGTTGAAAGAGTGCAGTAATAACGACAGGCTTCACACACACACACACTTGCACTGAAGGTGCAATGCAACACTGGATCAAACAGCAGGTTGAAGATTCAATGGGCTTCTCGTGCACTACGATGGCAGTCATGAGTGAGTCAAAGGTGAAAACAAGTCGACAGGAAAGGCGTTGGGAGCTAAAACCTCTCTATACTAAGGTGTTCCACCTGCTAAGAGACAATATAGCAGCAGCCTACTTTTCACTGGCTAATAGCTCCAGCCGTTCCCATTGATCACGTCGCTTCAGACTTGCTACATTGCGCCTAGAAGACAACAAACGGAGCACAATGACTTTAAACGACATTCATGCAAAAGAAATTTAAAGAATGCTTTTATTATGATTATTCGAGTACCTGAAGTGTAGCTCCAAACAACACGCCATGAATGCTAACATCTATCCATTTGGTCATGCTACATCCTAGTCAGTGATAGTGGTGACTGCTCAGCAGATGTCTTCATTCTTAATGTGCAAAACTTGCGCAAGGACATCCGGGGACTGCATACTGTAAAACATGTAATTTTTAGTGGTGAAACGAATGTCAAAACCTACTAGTCGAATGTTCTTCAGCTTAACGAACGAATGAACGAATATTCTTTTGGTAACACAGATGACATCACATGCCCTCCTCTCAGTCATTTGATGGATATTGTCAATACTAATATATTATTAGGTATGACAAACGGTAGTGCCACGTAAAATATACTGCCACATCCACATAAGGCTACTTCGAAGTTCATAAATGTTATGTGCAACATTGGCAGTCCACTATGGACATACATGTGCATGCATGCAGTACAAAGTCACAGGCAGGCTGTACGCACTGCACTGTACCGTGTTCGGCGTCCATGTATGTACAGGCACTGCATTCGAAGTGACGTAACGAATACTCGAATGTGATTTAACGAATATTCGAATGTGACAAACCGAACGAATGTTCGAATATTCGTTTCACCACTAGTACTAATTTTAGGTGCATTAAAATTTTAGTGACAGGGACCTGCCAGGTTTCAGGTGTAATTTAGAATTAGGTGACCAGCGTTCCCTTCACATACAGTGCATACTTTAGTGCCTTTTAGGTGTAATTTAAATTTAGGTGCCTGGTTTCTCTACCGAAATCACCGAAATTAAAGTTACACCGAAAATTACATGTTTTACAGTATTGCATTCTACCAGAGATACAAAAGATTTTCACCGCACAACAAAACCAACCTCTCCTCCCATACATACATACTTTCTTATTAGTAAATAGCACTACGGATTCACATTGCGAACACACTGTAGTCAAGTCTAAAGTAGCGTTGTTGGGTTGTGTGCAGGAGCACTGTCCTTCGCACTGGGTGTGTTGCCCTGGCAATTAGCTGTCTCACGTCAATGTAAATACAATGTAGCAGAAGTAGCAGCGTTCCGTAAAGACTTACGCCGTCACTTTATCATTGTAAGCTTCCGTTAGCTCATTGAAAAGCTTCTGATCCATTTCCATGAACGTTTTGAGCACATTGTAAACTAGAGCAACTATACTCCTGTTAAGTACACAGAAGAGAAGATCGTACATGGAACATAAACATAAACACAGGTTTACAGTGCATTTGTCTACATATCAAGCTGCTACACTAAACTTTGTTGTCTCATGCGTGATGGTTGAAAAATAAATACACTGGAACGTCTCTTATCCGCACGCAGTGTGTCCAGCCTAAAGCCAAGCCAACTTTAGCAAACCAGTCACACCATAAACAAACAATGAGCCTTCTGCAACCTCAAATCCAAACCGAAATTCTGACCAAAGTTAGGCACTAGCCTTCTGCTCTGACTACACTCTCCACCATACACATGTGACAGGGTTTCAACAAAGAGGTTGCGCACAACAAATTACATACTACAGTTGGATTATGTGGAAATCTGAGAAGCCAGTCGAAGTACTCACTGGTTCCAATGCTCCTTAGAAATCCGATACAAACTATTGAAGAGGATGGGCATAATGATAGAGACGTGTTCCTCTATCAAGCTAACAATGTACTCGTTGTTCCACAGAAATAGAGCTCTTTCCGCTACCTACATACAAGAAAAATAGAAGGTGCAACGACCACACACACACACACACTTATAAACTTGTGCTCTCTGGCAGAAAATGGTCACGTAGGCCCCTCCCTGGGAATGGGGAGAGACACCTCAAAGGAATCTTAGGAATATGTTTCAATTGTCCACCGAACCGCCTAACTACATGCATAACAGCAGACACACCCTGAAATGCCCAGACTCGGTTGGACTTGGAAAGATCACCACACCGCAGTAAGGGGTGAGGACAATGCGCTATCCATCGAACTGCATTTAAGCAGTCGAGCCTGATGGCAGTCCCAATCACTATCCCCCCCCCCCCCCCAACACACACACACACACACACTGGCACGATGTGGTGGTGTGCATGTGCGCACGTGCATAAGGACTTAGAAGAGTACCTTACGCTATAGTATGGTATGGACTCCCAGTTGATCTGTCCAATGCCTGGTACCAAGAGTACATAACCCCCAAGGGTGTGCAACTGCCTGTGAAACCTCTATTCAGTGCTGCGACGGCAGAACTTCACAGCACGTGACATGGTTCAAAAGGTTACGCTGACAAACAGTGCAAAGTAACCAGCAGAGAGTTGAGCCCAAGCATATCTGTATCTATCACGCACAGGGTGCAAAAAAACGTGTTCGGATTTTCACGAGGTTCAAGGTTCTGCCGTCGCAGACCCCATAGCTGGGGTTGCACACTCTTGGGGGTTATGTACTGTACTCTTGATCGTACTGGCATGTTCATTCAAAGCGAACCACGGATAGTGTTACATAATTAGTAATTACAGTGAAACGGATAAGGCACACTTTTGCTTTAAAAGAACTCTGGACAAGGCCGAATGCTGCTACTTACCCCTCTTGATTAGAACTAGTACTCATAACTCTATTGGATAAACCACAGTGTAGTCAACATTGGCTATAAAATACGATAGGAAGAACTCTCGTTATTGCGAACAAATACCACCGGTCCCTTGGTGTTCGTCCTAAAGAGGTTTGACTGTATACGGAAATAAAGCACAAGAATATGTGGTTTGGATGGACTTACCTGGAAATGATGACTTGTGACACACTTAGCAACTTGTCTGAACAAAGGCTCCATAACATGGGGAAACTGTCCTGGATCAATGACATCTAGAATCTCTTCAATCTCACCCAGCATCATCACCTGCAGTGAGTAGACGACGTGAATAAGTATGTACACTGATGATGATGGCAAGCAAAGCATGGCAACACACGGACAGATGGCACCATGAGTACCACAACACCCAAGAGTGTGCAACTGCCTGCACAACCTCTATCCAGTGCTGGGACGGCAGAACTTCACATCACGTGACCTGGTTAAGGTCACGCTGGCAAACTGTGCAACCAGTGACCAGAAGAGACTTGTACCCAAGACAGGGTTATGTGCATCCCTGAGCTGTCTCGTACAGGGTGCATATAACGTGTACAGGTTTTGTCATGTGATGTCAAGTTCTGCCATGACGACCCCATACTGCCATAGGTGGAGCTGCACGCTCTTGGGGTTTATGCACTCTTGATGGTAATAAGGAATGAGTGCAAACACGACCTGATCAACCACATGTTTTGTCATGTGATGTCAAGTTCTGCCATGACGAACCCATACCGCCATAGGTAGAGCTGCACGCTCTTGGGGTTTATGCACTCTTGATGGTAATAAGGAATGAGTACAAACACGACCTGATCAACCACAGGTTTTGTCATGTGATGTCAAGTTCTGCCATGACGACCCCGTACTGCCATAGCTGGAGCTGCACACTCTTGGGGTTTATGTGCTCTTGACGGTACTAAGGAATGAGTGCAAAACATGACCTGCTCAACCACAGGTGGATTTCTCAAAAATCATGAGCATGAGATAGCACGAGAATCATACTTGATTGTTGGAGTGTGCTTCAAGAACAGACATTACAGATTACATTGCCAACCAGACATTTAGTTGGCAACGCCCGACTGAGTGGTTACTCACCTCTTTTGCACTATTCGTCTTTGGCCAATACCGCAGAAGACCCTTCACAACCTGATTAGACAAGACGAATGAAAGCATAAATGAAAGCCATGCAGAGGTAATGTGTATTGATTCTTGAAGGGTGTGTCAAGTTACAGGCACCGTGCAAGTGCACTTAGCGCATGACGGATATCTAATACAGAAAGAGTACAATGCACGGCACTGCTGCACTGCCAATTGCATTAGCACGCCAAGGGAAAAAAAGCTCAGAGTGAGATCACTCTAATGCACAGGAATCCGATATGCCTGGGTGCCAAAGGAGAATCCATAAGCTCTTGCTCCCTGGTTTGGCATCAGTTTTTCACTGTGTTCGTCATCACTAAGGGCTGCCAGCAGCAAATGAGAAGTCTTGGGGTGAACAAGATCCTGGGTAATAACTGGGTGTTTGTAGTTTGTACTCTCCCGCACAAAGCCATTTACGAAGTTCAGAGTACATCAGCCATCCAGCCAAAAGGAAGAACAAGTAATTATTTCATTTACACAGAGATTCAAGTACGGAACATACGTGTACATTCCGAATTAGCGGCGGTGAATTCAGCAATACTTGACGGAAAGTAAGTTGCTCTCAAAGTATCAGGAAATTACACTTTCCAAAAACGATTTTGTAAACCAGAATGGGTTTCTTGTAAATAGAGCGTACCTATAGCTGAACTACAGACAGCTGCAAAGCCGATAGCATAAGTACTATGACAGCTTTTGGTCGTGAAATACACTTTATGCATACTACAGTATAAACTTACTGGCTGTGTCAAGGCGCCATCCTTCTCGACGAACTGCACAACACAGTATGCAAGCTGCAACGCACACATCACAATAATCGTAACAACAAACTACAGTAAGATTGAGAAAGACAACAGCCAGACCGGGAAAAGTATGAAGGCAAAGGCTGAAGCATCATCCAATTTTTAGGATTTCTGAAGTACAGGGATGAATTTATCCGGTATCGCATCGCAGTTTGCTACGCAGAATCGATCTACTGCTACTCAAAAATCACAGTGACACGCAGAAAACTGCGATGCATACATGTGCAAGCTATCCATGCTTTTTGTAGCTTACGCCACAATTGAGATTTTGCATAGCAAAAACTGCTATGCAAAAACATGACAGTAAATTCATCCCTGAAGTATATTGCAGAACATACTTTTAAAAGGCTATGAATGCTGGGTATCAGCATGCAGAATATCCAACACTCACATATCATGTGAGTGTTGGATATTCATGATACTATCATGTGAAAGCATCAAGGATAATATGCACTTGCGGACGGCAAAGGTCAAAGGACGAAAAAGGAACCAGCCTCATTTCTAGAACAATTCAACCTGGACCTGTGTCCACTACGCTCTGCAAAGAGCGAGCTTACTGTACAGTGTTGAACACCAGCAACAGCAACAGCAGCAACAGCAACAGCAGCACACTTTTCGTACTGCAACAATCCTTTTAATGTGCCACTAAATCAAAGAAACACAAGTAGTTACTATGAGCATGAAGAGAAAGCGCATCATACGAACCTGAGCGTGATACAGATTTAAACTCTTGACAATATGTAGTGGTAGAAGGACCTTCTGAAGGAACAACTTGTGCTCGGCCTTCAGTGGTAATGCGAAGCCATTGATGATGCTAGAAAACACAATCCGGAGAAAGCCAGTGTTAAATAAAGAAACAAAACCACAAGACAAGGGGATACGAGAGGAGAGAGAGAGAATGGGAAATCAAAAAGACAAAGAAAAGTGGTACACTCACCTGCCTAGGATCTCGAGCAGCTCGGAGACACCATTAAGCCTTTCAGATTCATATACAAACCTACAACATGAAGAAAGAAACAGGAGATACAACTAGGAAGTTCAGAATCCACACTAATTCAAAGTAGGAAATTCAGGTGATAAGCAAGACGACCACATCCATTTAAAGGTACTACGCCGAAACAATTCAACACAAAGAACACATACTTTAGGGGCCGTGCGTAAATAACGATATTTTTCACGAAACGAATTAATTTCGTTTTAGCCCTACCCCTCCCTCCCACTCAGAACGGTCGCGAGCGTGTCACTGCTCCGACTTCCATGTACATGCATCAATGCTTTCTGAAACAAAATTGATAACCCCTCCCGAAAATATTTCGTTTTGTGATAAAGGTTCGATATTCATGGACGGCCCCATCTGAAGTAGAGGACAAGAGCGAAACGACTTCAAACGAGCAATAAGCTAAGTTACACACCTCAGGAACATGTTGTTGACCTGCTTCCGAATGTACCCTCGGAGGCCAAGGAATTTGCCGTACACCCGATGTAATGTGGTTTTGAGGAGGTCCCGCTCTCTAGGATCCTCACTGTCAAAAAGTTCAAGGAGCTGCACACCAAACCAAACATCAAACAAGAACAATCAACCGAGCAGTGTCAACCACGCACCAAAGGTTATACCATCAAGAAATACACGGAGTTACTTTTCTTTTTTTGTTGCATAGCACAGCGATGCCTATTAAAGTTCCAAAACATCTGCTGGGCTGGATGCACGTTTTTTTGTTGCATAGTGTGTTTGTCTTGGAAGGGGGGGGGGGGGAGGGTCCATGAGCATTCACTGTCCGCTTTACGGAGTAACAGTGTGCGAATTGCTTTATTTGCACACACACACACACACACACACACACACACACACACACACACACACACACACACACACACACACAGCAGCAGCAGCAGCCCATGGCAGTGACAGGTTCTACAAATCATCTCTAGGAATCAAGCTATGCATGAAATGAGTCCACCTGTGGCTGGGGAAACTACAGTCGACTCCTGATATTACGAACATCATTGTGCATGAGAATTAGTTCTTTATAACAGAAATGCACTCACACCATACAAACATGTCACGACTGGCATGATAGCGCACCACCCTTCTCATTTTATGATTTTCGTGTTTTTCAGTTCACACAGCGAAAAAGCGGCCAAAAATCGATCGTTCTGGGAGCTCTGTGCACCCGCGTGTAACCATTTTTTGTGACAAAGCAATAGTGGAACATGTAAAAAATATATGAGCTGTTTGTCCCCCCTCTCCCCCCCCCCCCCCCTTACCATTGTTACCTGGCTAGAACCCTGCAGCCTTATGAAGGACGATTGCATTCCAGTACCAAATTGCTTCCAGTTCAAGTACAGAGTTACACTGTTCCAATCACAATAAATTTTCTAAACAATAGGGAGGTTTCGCTCTACGGAATTACATATGAAAATAACGTAGGAACTGCACGGAATTTTCATACGTAAAAATCAGAGCTGTTGGGTTTCGCTCCACGTGATTTCTCCACGTCTGCTAAACGTTAAACATGCCTTGGCTGCATGCGCTCACCGCATGCACCACGAACTGAAACTGCGTTTCCATTTTGTTTTGCACGTGGTGTACGGCGTGTGTACATACCTTGTGTTTCGCGCGGCTTGAACGTTGCCATGGATTAATCCGGAAATGCGAAAAAATATTTCAAAAAGTCCTACGGAAGACCCAACGTAGGAAAGAGCTTTCCTACGGAAATCTGTAGAGAGATTTACGCATGAAAGTTGTCCTCGCTCCCCGGCGCGTACGACATACGGATTTTCATACGTAATTAAGTAGAGCGAAACCTCCCTAATAACAGGCAGGGACTCAAATACGACAATGTTGGCACTTACATGAAGGACAAACTTCTGGTCGATGTAGCGCTTGGCAATAGCTGGCTGAAACTCACCAGACTCAAGGAAACGCAAGAAAAATTCGTAAACGAGCTGCAAAAAAAAGACACCAAGCAGAAAAGCCACATACTCGGCTTAATACATGCAGTCAGGGGTCGTTTGTTGTATAGTTTAAAAAAATTGTACCGTATTTCCCAATTATAAGTCGCACTTGATTGTAAGTCGCACCCCCATTTTCAGGTTTGAGCCAGTTTGGATATATTCACGTCAGTACGTAGTAAGTCATGCTCGTTTGTAAGTCGCATCCCCCCCCCCCCTTTACCCATGAAATTTAATGTAAAATGTGCAACTTTTATTCGGGGGAATACGGTATAACGTCCTAATTCCGTCACCCGGATGCCTCACAGGCAAAACTTATCGGAAGAATTCTCTTGGTGCAATCTGAGTCTGTGAATGGATGCATTTAAATTCTGCATTGAACAGAACAGGCTGCATCCAAACGGGAAACAAGCATTGCATAGTTCAGATTGATGTGTGGTTACGAAGCGCCAAAATAGCTGAAATGTATTCCAAAACACACACACACCTACATAACAAAGCCCTACCTGAAGATGAGGCCATGCTAGTTCCAGCGTTGGCTCGTCTTCTTCTGGGTCATAATCTGCATTATCTGACGGTGACAACGTTCGCAGGATATTCTGGGATACCTGGTTTGCAAACGCAGGCAGTAACAGCAACCATAGCAGCGACAACACACATTCACTAAGGGAACAGGATCCATAGCATTCTTCCATACATGCTTAACACATGCATACGTCTTGGTGGACACACATGTCTCAGTGTAAATGAAGATCAAATGCGTTCCATGTCTCAGTGTAAATGAAGATCAAATGCGTTCCATGTCTCAGTGTAAATGAAGATCAAATGCGTTCCTACACGTTTGGGAATGCCACAACAGGAACCTAACGAGCGGTACATGCAGAAACACCCACAAGTTACAAAAAACATCCACAAATTGCACACATACCCCAGGGGTAGAGGAGACGTACAAATAAAGAGTAAGAAAAGGTCCCCCCTCTCTTGCACACATGCGCGCACGCGTGCCCACACACAACAAAAACAAGCACACACACGCACACCACACACACACACACACACACATAACAAAAACAAGCACACACACATGAAAGCAGATGCAATGTACATACTTGGTACGTGTGCATGCACTAATACACAAACGTGCACACAAGTACACGGCGCGCACACACACACACATGCACACATACACACGCGCACACACACACACACACGAGCGCACACACACACACACGCGCACACACACACACACACACACGCACACACACACACACGTACACACGAGGTGTAGTACAGCAATGTGCTGCTGACATCTTGCAGTCAAACAAGCCATATCAATCACTTTTGGAAGCTATAATATATTCGTACCATTTGAATGACTTCTGGGTACACTCGCTCCGTGATTGAATTCTCGCATGAAATGTATTCTATCAGCTCGTTCAAACAGGCACGTTTAACCTCTTTGCTTTTCACATCAAGCATTGCATCTGAGAAGTCGAATATAATTGAACATTGTTGTAGCTTCCTCAGAAACAACGCTTCTCGCTGTTCAGCCGGAGTATCTGTAAAAATCCAAAATGAAAACAATTACGGTACTATGAGACAAGCTATTTGAGCAGCTGGTCCTTACTACGAGCAGCGATACACACCTTTGAGGGAAGGAAGAGGTTCAATTTCGACACATTTCTGAATTAGAAATGAGCTGCTGTGCTGGTTGCGACTGCGTTTGTTCGCAGCCTTTTTATTAAACGCGTCCGAACGCGGGGCCTTCGTGGCCGACATCAGAAAATGTCAAACCGACATGCACAAGTATTGTTGACTTTGTTATTCCATCCACAGCACCTCACAACAGGTTTCCTCGTAGATGAGCTCCAAAACTAGGATTCCAATCGGAATTCTGCTCGATACCCAGTGTAACCTCTGGGCACCTGTTAGGAAATAGTACAGGAGCTAACACTTCCAGGTGGCCCGTAACCTATAGCCAGAATCTGTTCTTCTTTGATACAAGGCCGGTGTAGTTCAGCCAGAAAAATTACGCTGAGCATGCAAGACGACAACAACTATTCAAGCTTCTTGGTTTGTGCACTCTGCTGTGCAGTATCCTGTGCAAGTCACCTCGCGATACATACTCAGCATGGTCTTCACAAGCTCGAACCAAGGAGACGAGAAAGCATTTTGCACTGTCCCACACTTCCGTCTGCAGACAGTGCAGTCACTTCACAGCTCAGATCAGCTCCCTTCGCTCAGGCGTTGACCCGTTCGTAAGTACAGGCAGTGTTCAAGGTTCAGATGTGCATGAAAAGTGGTAAGTTTACTACTTCCTGACATGCGCAAATCCCGCTTCGGACGCGTGGCAAACAAATACGGTACGGGTACTCGACCCTCGTACCGACGCGACGCGACATCGCGATCGCGCGACTGGCATGGCGTCGCGACCCGGGCCGTACCGCGCGTATACCGCGGTCAGCCTAGCCGACGTATACGCGCGTATACGCGTAGTAGACATCGCCGCACGGTGCGCGGTTTACATAGCGCGCTTGAGCGTCGGGTTGATCGAGGACGTCGACGAGGTATGCAGGGCCGAGGGCCCAGGCGTCCCCGGGGGCCCCGGCTGCAGCAAAAGTAAAGTCAAGACGTAGACTGCAGTGTACTGGTAGAGTACATCTGGTACATACCGTAAACGGGGGGCCGGGGGGGGGGGGGGGAGTGTGCACTCTTCCTAGTACCAAGAGTACATAACCCCTGGGGGTTATGCACTGTACTCTTGCTAGTACCGTGATATTGCATCGACCACTGTCCGGGGACTACCCCCAATCAAAACCCTACCCAAAACTCCCTTGGACACCGTGTGGAGTGCTGTGTAGGCCAACTAAATGCAGACTGCTTCCCCCGGGCACAGTGTCCGGTGCACTGCAACTAGATATGCACGTGCGACAGCCGCTTTCAAGAGAAATCATGATGGACTCGTCCCCAGCAGGGAGTGAGTCCATAGCAGGGAGTGAGTCCATAGTTCCACTAGCCAATATTGTTGGGTTGGACTGTGCACCAGGTGTTCATCTCCGTGGACATAAGTCCTTACTTACACCTATGGACTGCCCAACGCACTACACGGCATGCAGGGGTGGCCAGAAACTTCAGAAAGCCAGCGTCGAGCAGTGCAAGACACGTGGCGACCCTGCAGCGCCACATTATTAAGGTTAGCACTGTGCAGAAACCCCACAGCATTGCACACCAGCCAAATCTCCTCCAGGCAGTACTCAGTACAGTCAAGGAACCAATTTGATTGAGAACTTGAAAGCACCCTCGTACTGTATTTGATTGCAAATGAGACAATGGGTGAATGCAAAACACACCAGTATGCCACATGATCTCCCAGTAAGCCGCATGTGAAAGTGATTCTAATTCAAGGAACAAATTTATTGATTCTAAAATAAGATAAAAGTCAAGTCATAGTGAACACAAGACATCTAAACAAGACGAAGTTACTCTGATAAGAGACACATGACAACTTCCGTGCATGACAGAAACCCTACAAAACTAACCCGGAAAAGTGGGATACACGGAAAAAAAAGAAGAAAAAAGAAATAGCATCCTAGCTGATGACTGGGAAGCACTGGAAAATCTCAGGCAGCAGTGAACAAAAAAATACGAATGTGAACATTGTGAAATAACTGCTAGCTGGTAGTGAACAAGGTAGGAGAGCGTGATTCACTGATTTCATACCACTAGTAAGTTTAGTTATGTGGCCCCCTTTGTTTGCTGCTAAACATGGAAGGCAGAGTGAAAATAATCCATTGCCACTCAATCTGGGGACTAGCCCTGACAGACAAACATGACTAGATCCACGTACATGTACGTTGATAGCAGCACCTTCTCACCTACTTGCTCATATCAAAGTTGCCACCCATGCAAATATACTTGATCTCCACATAGTCACTGAAGCCGTGGTGGGACCCTTCCGAACCGAGGCCAGACTCCTTGCGGCCGCTGGATGGTGCAACGTCCATTGTGACTGCTGCCTCATTGGCACCAACAATGCCATACTGGAGGCGCTGTGACACACGCCACATTTGCCGGTAGTCCTCCGTGAAGAAGTATGCTGCATGAGGTGCAAAACAAGAATAACAGCACGACAATGGTCAGCGTTATCTTGATTCATATATCATTCACTAGAAGTTTATGTTCCTCTTAGTACCTTGGGGTAGTGGTAAAAAGCATCTTATGGGGTGTAGTGACCAATCCAACAGAAAAAACACATGAGATTGAAAGATCATGGATGCGATTGAAAACTAACCAAAAGGATTTCTCGAGACGTTAATCATGATTGTTTCAAGAGCTTTTACATCGAACACAACAGGGGTTGAGAGGGGCGTGTTTCATTCCTTTTCACCAACCTTGACCACCCGATTTTCAGCAAAACAGATCTAAGGACACCAGGGTGGAATGTGGCCGGGCCCTTTCTCAGTTCTTTCCAGGGCTTCGCGGTCACTGGAGGTTTCTTTCTGTATGTATGTTTGGGGATGCCTCAGCGAAACAGTAATATCGACAGGTGCTGAAAGTCATATCTTCCGTATCCTTGTTGTTGGGTTGTCAAAGCATCTCCAAAAATGGTAACAGTTGGCACCTTACGAGGTTCTAGCAATTTATTTCCACCCAGGGCGTACCCTGGAATCGCGAGTGCAATTAGATACTAGTACTACACTGATGACCATGTCACCAGAGCAACACATGCAGCTGCTGTATGCAGCTTTATGCAGCCTGATCATCAATCAATTCAGGACTAGTGTCCGGCTTACAATGAATGATACATGTACCACCAAACTGAGACCGGATTGGTAGGTGTGTGTTCAGACCAAGACACCGTCAGGCCAAGACATGACAGTACACAGCCGCACAAAAACTACTCGCAACGACGGCATTCTACATACCAGCTAGTCCGGCTGTGCCAGCATTCGCTTGCTGTAATACATTCTCCTCGCTCTCACGCAAGCTCATACCCTCTCCAAACCTGCGAGAAATCAAAGATGCAGGCAGAATGGAACAAGGAAAGAGAGAGGGAGAGGGAGAGGGAGAAGGAGAGAGAGAGAGAGAGAGAGAGAGAGAGAGAGAGAGAGAGAGAGAGAGAGAGACCCAGTCAGCTCCATATGTGGGTGGGTGTTCGCCTGTATCATGCAGAGGGTCAGACGAACCATCAGCCACTGGGGTGAGTGTGCAAAGTGAGAAGGCCAAAATATAGCTCGTTGACCATTCCGGGCCAAAGAAGTCGAGCTTCAACATACAAAGGGCAAAGAAGCGTCGATGCAGTAGTTATACCAAATATTCACGAGGTAGCGCCACAGTAAGCTACTTGAAAATGCAGGGTACTAGTACCTACTTGATGATAGATGCAACGGGGCCGAAAATCTCCTCTCTCGCACAGGCTGTGCTGGATGTCACATTCGTGACCAGTGTTGGTTGAAACAAGCATGAGCCTTTCTCGGCCCTCTCGCCGCCAATCAGCACTTGAGCTCCAGTTCGAACAGACTCTTTCATCAAGGCTTCAATCTAGGCAATATAGCAAATGTGAGGAACGGAAACAGAAGCACCCAAGCACAGTCAGTATGGCAGTACAACAGTACACATCCAAATGCATTGTTGCTACAGCCTCACAAGCCTGTATCTAAAGCAGATTACTGCAATCACCCCCCCCCCCCCTACAAAAAAAAGCATAGAGTGAACCATTGCAAACAAGAACAAGAACAACCCACACCACCATCACCAACAGCACCTGCACCAGCAGACAGAGATGCAACAGTAGAACCACCCCACCACCATCAACAACAACACCGACAAGACCCACACCAAGGACAGCAGTAACTACAATACCAGTGCTGGCTTTCTCCTTACCTTCTCCACAGCTCTTTCATTAACCAAAGGACCAATATCCACACCCTGCTCGAACCCATCACCTGTCTTCAGCTGATGGATCTTATCGGAGAGCTTCTCCACGAATTCATCATACACGGCTTCATGGACGTAGATTCGATTGGCACAAATGCACGTTTGGCCAGAGTTACGGAACTTGGTTGCCATGCATCCAGCCACTGCCAGGTCCATGTTAGCACTGGGAAAAACGATCAGTGGAGCATTGCCACCTAGCTCTAGAGACATCCGTTTGAGTGTGGACGCAGACTGCTGCATGACGATCTGGGCCACAAAACATCCAGGCAGCAGATACAGGAAACAGTGAAAATGCACGCCAAGGCGAAAACAAAGTCTTGAAGTAGAATTCCTACGGCGACATACACCATGATATCACCTATGTAGACAGGCCCGGGTGAGTTTATGTCCAAGAAAGTGGAACTGGATTCAGATTCCCATCGTGGACATACACCACACACACACACACACACACACACTACTACTACTACTACTACTACTACTACTACTACTACTACTACTACTACTACTACTACTATTGACAGCTGCCAGGATTGGCCACGCCGCTCCCAGATGGGAGGTACTGTCAGAGAGGTTAGGGGGGAGGAAGGCAATGCTCCAAGTGGCGTTCCAGATCTTGCCGCCTCCGGAACCGTCGGTTGTGGCAAACTTGGCAGTGAAACTTGAATTGTTGGCGTTCAGCCACAGTAGGGCGCTTTGGACAGGTTCCACAACGGTGACGCTTGAGACCCGCAGCCGATTTAAATGAACGCTGACAGTTGGTGCAAGACACACACACACACACACACACCACACACACACCACACACACACACACACACACACACACACACACACACACACACACACACACACACACACACACACACACACACACACACACACACACACACACATGAAGGTACAGATGCGCACCTTGCCCGTTCTGGTGGATCCAGTTACTGACACTGCTCCAACAGCATCATGTGTGCATAGAACAGATCCGACTTCAGCTGCCCTGGCCCGTGAACACGGTACTACATTGAATACTCCAGCTGGTGAATCAGGAATTATTGACCAGAGCTAAGCAAAAGAACAAAGAACAATCAAACAATTGTTTATTTGGTGAATCTTTCTGATGTCAACACTGTAGCTGATGTTTACATCTTATATTAAAGCAGGGTTTGGAGTGACCCATTGTCAGGTGTTCCCAGGGTCACCCAGGATCCCCTACTCTTACATGTCTTCTGTTAGGTAGGCATTGGATATGGCCAGATGCTAAGATTATTGGGGTAGCAAGTTACACAGAAGATGCCGGAGTGCGGATCGCATGGCATGGGACCATGGCACACTACATGCACTAGAAACTCAATCTCCGGTTTTGACTCTGTTGGGTCTCACCCGCGGAGCTAAGAGTGACTGGCCCAACCGATTTCAATGAAGTCTAGTGAACAACAAAGCTTGAAGCATCAAAGTCAGAGTGCTCCAACTGCGAAAACACACTAGGTACTAGGTACATATAAGGTGGGGGCAAGGCTTTATTGCTGCTACTCTAGTTTCAGGGCATTGTGTGAGCAGAGGACTAACCCTACAACAGTGAAACCTGTCTAAGAGAACCGTTCAAGGCACCTTCAAAACGTGGTCTCTGTTACCAGGTGGTCTCCTTATGCAGGGTCATTCGACTGGAAACAGCATCCCTTGGTCTTGGTTACAGTGGTCTTCTAGGACAGGTGGTCGCCTTATCCGAGTGGTTGCCTTGACAGGTCTTACTGTATGTATGTACTATATGTAGGTATGTATTTCCCGCAGTCAAGACAAGATGGGACGATTGAATCTCATACCTCAGCTAAGGCCATTGCAGACAGTGGCGTGTCTTCACTGGGCTTCAAAACTGTAGTGCATCCGACAGCAAGAGCCGATGCTGCCTTTCTTGTTATCATCGCAATCGGGAAGTTCCACTGAGCAGTTCACGAGCAAGGAGAAAAGTGGAGGAGAAAAGAGCACACACCACATTAAGCAACAGATCAAGGAAATTAGTACGCATGTGTTTACTATAACCCAGAACATGATGACTTAGAGCAACCTAGTTCAACTATCTTCAGACACAACTGTCAACATGTCATATTGTTATGCAGCAGTCAGGGCGTACTGTGATTGCTCTTGATTTTGAGCAGCTAAAGCACATCAGAAATGTGCATGAAAACCAGCAACAACTTGTGTCAACACATTCACAGATACGGTACACTATTGCAACATTGGCACATAGTTACACATTCTGCCAATAAAAACTGTGGGAACAAAGTAGCATTGCAGTGTAAAGTAGTGGAAACATGCATGCAATGGCACTAGTAGTAGTACATGTAGTAGTACATGTACTTCGTACTAGGCAGCTAACGAGCTCTTCATCCCCGTGCATCACCCAGTTTCCGACACCCAGTTTGTTATCAAATAAAGGCAAACTTCTCGACTAGGCAGCTAACCGGCGTGATGAGGCCAGCCACACCGAGCGGCTCCCACTGCAGCAGTAGCTTACGTTGATTGCTGCGAGGGTCGGGTATGATCTCACCGTGAAGCCTCTTCACCTGCTCGGCATAGTACTGGATGAACGAAGCGCCGTAGTCAACCTCCCCCAACGCTTGGGCGAGAGGTTTGCCCTGCACAAGCACAGGAAATGTCATAAACCAAAAGCGCTATACATGTACTACAGTGGTGGCAAGTGTAATTTAGGTAATAGGGGTGAGGCATCCTGCAGCTTCATGATTCCATGAGAGTTTTTGAGCGAAAAGGCAAAGGAAACTGATACAGTGTACCATGCTGTGAGTTTACACTGCTGAGGGAAAGTCAAAGAGCATGTGCACTCAACAACAAGGGTGTGATTTAACCCCTGAATTTCATGCTGCTCAATGCAAGCATGCACCCGCTCACTCTGCGCAAGTTTCCCCCATGCATGCCAAGACTATGCAGTACGGGATACGCTAGAATAGGTACGGTGTGCGAAGCTACCTTACCATTTCCAACACGATCAGCGACGCAAGCTCCTGCCTACGCTCCATGATGTTCTTGTGCCATTGCATGAGAACATTCGATCTTTGCTGTACAGGGCACAGTGATCAAGTACATGTACAGTAAAACTGGTGAGCACATGATCGTCTCCAAGACAACAGTCCACCTACACCCTGACTGGCTGTGCATGTGATTTTCTAACCGAACGCGCACGTATAACTGTTACTTGAAAAGCATGTACCCATAGAACAACACGGATAAGCCAGTGGGCTTCTCTGATTCAAAGCGGTCACTGGACGGGCTTCAGTTACATGTGAAAATGTTGCTTGTGAGAAGCCTGAAACTTGCTCTTTTTGAAGGCGATCACATTTTAGTTTCCAGGATTTTAGTAAGTATACATGTATTATAGGAAAGGGTTCGCTCCCCACACTGGAGCTCGCGCTTTCCCGCCGACTTGACTGGACACTTGGATGACTCACGACTGCCATCCAGAGCTCGAGAGCAGAGGTGCTTTCTAGCAGGTTCGCAGAGTTGAAGGTTCGAGGGACTTCCTGTGCGCTCTGGTTGGCAGTCGTGAGCCAGTCAAGTCAAGTCGGTGGAAATGCACGAGCTCCAGTGTGGTGAACAAACACCTTTCCTATAAAAAGTATCGCCGAAGACGCTACCACTATTTAGGAAGTATATTACCATTTTTTTCATCAGACTTCCCCGTTTCAACCCCCCCCCCCCCCCCCTCCCAACCTTATGAATAACAAGTGAGGGGCCGTTTACATGAGGAAAATAAGCCCGGGCTTATTCGCCTCGGGCTTATTTTTCAACCGTTTACATGACGGTTGTACGGGGCTGAGTTCAGGTGAGTGACTGCGAGTTCTGCGCGCATTATATTTTTCAAATCGCACATGAACGCAGTGGTAAATGTTCGTGTTTGATGAAATTTGGATCAAGAAATGCCGGCTCAGGTTTCTACTGCCTTTCCAATTGTCACTTATTTTTCGAGAAGGTGAAGGATGGGCTAGGACCTTCCACTGGACAAAAACCAGAAGAAAACATACCAAGAAATAAATAAAAGAGACGCACTGTCCACGGCCACATTCTCTCAGGTTCACGAGGCAAAATCGAAAATACGGAAAAACTCGCTTATAAGCCCTTCTTGACCGTTTACATGACAAAATAAGCCCTGGGGGTTGGATAAGCTCGGGGGTCAAGGGTAGGGCTAGTTCAGCTCGGGGCGAGCTGAATAAGCCCGCCTAACCATGTAAACGCGCGCTCTAAAATGACTGGGTGACTGATCAAGGCGGGCTTATCGTAAGCCAAGGGTTGAATAAGCCCGGGCTTATTTTTCTCATGTAAACGGCCCCTGATATCAAGAGTAAATAAGCTCCCAAGAGTGTGCAATTCTCAATATCCTTACTATGGGGTCCGCCGATGGCGAAAACTCACATCACATGATGTACAACGTGTTCTCGCTGCACGTTCCCAGCCTGTTTTTAGTGAGCAGCGGAGTAGTAACAAATAGCACAGAAACCTACACAGCTTATGTGAGTCATCAGTATGATCATGGCAGATATCCGGACTGCGTTTATGCTGGCCTACGTTGTACTTGGAACACGTGGTGTGAGTTTCTTTGCCGTCAGAGACCCATACATGTATACGCAGAGTTGCACATTCTTGGGAGCTTATTTACTCTTGCTAATACTAAATAAAACTAATAATAATACTAAATCCTGCGCATTCAAGTACGCTCATGGGCCTGTACACTGATGACTCGTTTTGTGCACCTTTCACCTGGGCCTATGAGAGGGCATGGGCTTGTAGATGGATAGGCTGATCCTATTAGGATTCTACAGTATTTATATGCAGCAGCAGTTGTACGTGTATAGATGTATACTATAGATGTATACATGTGTGCATGGCACTTTGAAGTACGGTCTGCATGTCATGCTGGTATCCACCATATAACAGGACTATTACCACTGATACCAGTATGTACTAAATACCACTGGTGATGGTGATATTATGTCCTCTTACAGCCATGGGAAGAAATGCCCAGCTCCTCTGGGCAATTGTAGCACGTTCTACAGTAGCAGTGGCATCATCGGCTGTAAAGTCAGCAACATGTGCAATCTCCTGACCACTGGATGGATCAGTGACAGGAAAGCTGCTGCTTGGCCGACTTGTGCTACTGTTGTCCAGAAGGCATTTCGCATTTGTATCGCACTCAGTGGGTACCCAACTAGGAACAGTTGGCCTGGTGCTCATGGTCCGTGCTTCGTGATAGTGCCATTGCCGAAGGGAGCAAACAACGTTGCTTCGCAGTGAAACACTATAACTTCCCACTCGCCACATTTTTACTCCAGTACTTGGTACAAGATCTCCAGAACCAACGACCAGCCAGTACAGCAGTACGCAGTGACCAAGTCTAACACTGTCTCTATCGGCTTTTATTTCCTCTCAGCCTAGCCGGGCCGGCTCGCTTCCTTTGAGCGCTCGAGAGTGCCCAGCTGCCTTTATTCTCATTGCAACGCTGAAACTCACAATCTTCTTCGTAGATCTGATTATTCTTTTTCCTTTTTGAAGGTGTTTCGTACTTTTAAACTTCTTTGTCCACGGATGCGGCGCCGCGCCGGCGCCACGGTGAGTCGGTACGGTACGGTGACCACTCTCATGACGTAACATCATTGTTGTTTGAAAGCTTTTTTTTCTCAGTTCAACTATTGTGCAAAGATGTGTTGAAAACAGGCAACAGCAGAGGGATGTTTTGTTTGAAACGATGAAACTTTGAAAGGAACTGTGTTGTAGTTCGACGACTGTGTATGCGATGGCTTCTAACAAGGAAACAGCAGTCTCCCCACAAACAGCTGCAGAAACCTCAGCAGCATCGTTTGTTCCTCGGGAATATGAAACGGACAGCGGAGGTATAAATAGCAGTTAGGACGTAGAGGCTGTAGGCGACACATTTGATCCTGCTTACTTACTTCTACTTTCTTTCGATCTTGTTTAATTTTAAATGTCGTTCTTCAGTACCGTTATTGCTGAGAGGTGACATTTGCGAGGCGGACCTGCCTAAAACTGTAACTGTGCTCAAGACGTCGAAGGGGGCTCGTGTATTCCTGGTAGGAACTGCCCACTTCAGCCCTGAGAGCTGTGATGATGTCACAAAGGTACATTGCAATGAATGTTCTGCAGTAAAATAATGTTCATTGGTTCATTCATCTACGTATTATGCCTGTACAATCATGTACGTTGAGATACCCACACACGCACGCACTCACACCATTGACCACACACACACATACACATACACACACACGCACACCACCATCCACACGCACATACTGTAATGTCGCGTATAAAAGCATGTCCCATAATAGAAGTATGACTTGAATAATCAAATAGAAGGCAAATTTTCGAAGCGCGCCTTGACACAGAAGCACGGTTTGAATAGAAGCCTTGCACAGTGCATGTGTGACAGTACTCCCCTGTACACTGTACCAGTAGACTGTAGTCCACAGTGAGGGGATGCATCACTGCATGCAAGGGGCAAAGCGTGCGATACGTAGACGCAGTTTTCGAATAGAAGCATAATCTGAATTCAACATGGCGTGAACCCCGGCTTATACGGCCGTAAGCACCTGCTTTTTTACACAACACTACGATGCACATACACGCACACACCATGTATACGCCCGTCGCAAGAGAAGCACGCAAACTTTCATATGCACTGGATGTGCACCCACAAATTTTAACGCACACACACATGACATCCGTCGAGCTACCCATTCACTCTGCTACTTGGAAAACATGTTATGGATTGCAAATTCCTGTACAGTAGTCGTAGGGGAAAGAGTTAAGTGGGCATTGTGTGTGTCGATATCCTATTCCCTATTTTCTTAAAAAGAATGATCCCAGACCAGAGTATAGTCATGTGTACCATTGGGTTTTAAATGCAGTTCTCAAGTACTTCTTGTATGTGTGTCCTGTTTGTTCTGTTGCATAGACAATGCAGCTGTGTCAGCCGGATATACTCATGCTGGAGATATGTGAGTCGCGTAGTTCTCTTCTACAGCTCACTGATGAGGAGGTGAATGCTGCAGAGGCAGATACAGACTCGGCCGGCAGTTGGGACTTGATGAGACGCTTTATAGAGCAGGTAAGAAGTGCTGCAAAGAACGGCCGGGACAAGCAGGCTAGAAAAAGTACGTTACAACCATCAAGAGTACATAACCTGTGTGCAACTCGACAATCTATCATCAGTCCACGGCGGATTTTTTTATGACATTGGTCTTTCCCCGTCCAGTTGGGTCACTAATACCACCATCTGTAGCCAGAGACCCAAAAATGCAAAGACCTTGTACACCACGAATACAGTAGTCGATGCAGAATGGTGGAGGGTACATCCATGTGTCCTGAAGCTGATGAACTGACAACTTATTTACATGGGAAGCACAGAAAGGCATCCACACTTGATCATACTTCTGCTGAAAAATGGCGCAATAAAAAAAATTATAAAACCGTTCTTCCGTGGAGAGTCCATTACAGCTCAAGATAGGAGCTGCACACTCTTGGTTGTGTAGTCTCACAATCATCAATTGAGTATTAACTGTGGCAAGTATAACCTGAAAGATAAGAACTCCCCAGCTCTAGACTGGCTGACCTTGCTTTTTCAGACATGCATAATCACTGCAGAGAGTGTATCATCGCTGTGGACACGGGCATGGAACAAGACAAGAATTCTGCTTGCACCTCTCTCGCCTTGAATCTAGACTAGTTATGATGATGATGACCGAAGTTCTAGTACGTGTAGTACCGTGCATGTAGTGTAATTGGTTTTTTGTTATGTTTTGTGTTGTGGACGGATGCTAGTACGTGTGCAGTACCGTACAGTACATTTTAGTGTAAGGGGCCGTCCATAATTATCGATCTTTTACACGAAGAGAAAAAGTTTCGTTTATGGGTGGGTGGGTCAAGGGGAGTTTCGTTATGAAAAAGATTGATATGTGAGACCTCAAGGCATTCTTGCTGTCAAGTCAATCTATTTTTCGTCCAGGGTGGGTGGGTGGGTGGGGGAGGGTCCTAACTAAACTTTTTCGTTTCGTGAAAATTATCGATAATGCCGGATAGCCCCTAATCAGGTTTCTTGTTATGTTTTATTATGTGTTTGTGTTGCAGAAGGGTGCCGTGCAAGGCTGTTTCCAATACTTTTTGACGCGATTGACTCGGAGACTATCTGCCCGGCTTGGTCGCATGGCCGGAGGAGAGTTCAGAGCTGGATACATAGCGGTAGGAAGTGATGCTGCTGCTTGCTCACTACCTGATTGATTTCTAGTTGTGGAGATTTACAGGCTAACTTGCTTCTTTGATGACGATTTAGAGGGCATGGCACAATTGTCATAATTCATGTAGATGTAACGGATGCATTGACTGATACTACATATACATGGCTCTGCTGTTTGGTTTTTTAGGCAAAGAAAATTCCCCATTGTCGTTTTCATCTTGGAGATCGTCCAATACAAGTAAGTGATTTTAAAATCTGACATGCAGCCATACTTCAAAATTTGTTGTGTGCTAGTATACATACTAGGCAAGATGAATGCCAATGTACCATATTTCCAGGAGTGCAATGCCCCGTCCCCACCTTCGGGCATAATTTGGGCCACCTAAGGTACACTTGATATATCACTTTTCGTATCCGGAGTATAATAAGCGATGTTGAGCCTTAACTAGTCCATCCAAATTATTCACTGTACTTCAGCCAGTGAAGTGCAGTATAATTTGTCTGCATTTTTAATCGGTTGATGACTTTACTGTCTTTAGTATTGTGGGGGAGGGTGTGCACGTGTATGTGTTTTTCTCGTACAAGTACTCTGTTTAAATGATGTTAGTTATGCTTTTGTGTGTTCTCTGCCTGTCTCTCTTTGTCTCTCTCTCTGTGTCTGTCTCTCTCTGTCTGTCTGTCTGTCTGTCTCTCTCTCTCTGTCTGTGTGTGTGTGTGTGTGTCTCTCTCTCTCTCTCTCTCTCTTCAGGTGACATTTTCCCGGCTTCTTGGTCAGTTATCCGCATTTCAAAAGATCCGTCTCTTTTTTCACATCCTTAGAACTGAGATCAACGTAACGTAAGTAAATGTGCATACCCTTTGCCATTTTTTTGTAGTGCTCATTGTTCATGTGATCTGTGGTGGGGCTGAGCGAAAAACCATTCTATAAGTACAGTATGTTGCTGCTCTTCTTTTCTAGGCCTGCGTGTCTGTAATTCGCTTATTTCCCATACATTACAAGCCTTTCCTTTGCAAAGACACGTGCTGAAGTTGATGTGACAGTTGCACAGCTTTGGGTTTGTTGCGTCGTTGGTCTATCATGCAGTACATGTGACCTGGTTTGTTTGATATTTCTACAGGCCAGAGGATGTAGAGGAGTACAAGAACAAGGACCTCCTCGAGAAGCTGCTGGTTGAGCTCGGCGAGCAGTTTCCGACGGTGGTGGAAGTTCTTGTGAACGAGAGAGATCGCTACATGGCGTTTCAATTGCAGTGCCTGTGTCGTCAACAGCCGCAACGGGAATATGGCAATAACGTTGTCAAGTTTGGTAGGTTGTCTGCTACCCCTTACCCTTGTTTACTTTCATAGCTTTGTACTCATATTCGTTATTCAACTCGTTTGTTGTGAAAGCCTCCTTCAGCATAATGTGTGCTGGCTGGGAGCAGTTGTAACTTGTAATGCGATCTGCATGTACTTACAGAGGGTGCTGTTTTTCTGCAACCCTACTGTCATGAATTGTGAAAGGGGTGTGTTGCTAAGAATCAATATAATCATAATGTGTGCATGTTCAGTATGTCAGCAATTTCCTTTTATTGTGGACCTGTAGATGGTGAAGCACCTGTCATTGTGGCGGTAGTCGGTATTGGACATGCCAAAGGAATCTCCCAGTACTTCTACGAGCCAATCACCAATATTCGAGAGCTAGCAAGGTGAGTTTGCAGGGTGTACAGTCATTGTGCCATCATTCAACATTGAGCCTCTCTTCTGTACCGCATTATGCGTACAGTGCTGCTCAATGAAATCCAACCGTGTGAGTCAAGTTTCCACCTTGCACCAGTTCCTATCCCAGTGTTCACGGGTATAGGACTGCACAGCGACCCGATTGGCATTGACTCGCTTGGTCGGATTTCATTGAGCAGCACTGTATACACACACACACACACACACACACACACACACACACACACACACACACACACACACTTTGTATCCTTCCTGCCTGGCAGTCTTGGAAGAAGGAGTGCGTTGTCACTGGGCTGTAGTAAGTTCATTCAATTGCTGCTTATGCACTTTCATATCAGGCGTGGACTTTTGGCAAGCACCATGTTATTGGTTACATGTCATGCATGGTGTTCATACCAGTATTACTTTTGCTTTGTCTGCAGCGTTCCCCGGCCTGTCCCTGCATCAAGGTTATGGGTATATACGAAAAGAACAGCGTTCTACGGCCTCGTTTTCTACGGTGCCTATCGAGTTGGCCGTAGATTCATGCCGGCTGTTGCAATCGGCTGGGCATCTTCACTCTACGGGAATATCACAAGGCTCATGGTTAGATGACGTGAATAGATAGCTGTCTGATGTATGAAACTATTAGTCTCATAGGCACCTCCGACCTGTCATTAGGTCGGCGTTTTGAAATCTCTTATAATACAATGCTCTTGAAGTAGTCCCGGTGTATGTGTGTGTGGTCTGTGGGTACAGTTCATGCGCTGACATGTGTAATAGCTCACTGCCATTCATTTTATCAGCAGTTGCTGTTGGTGCTGGGAAGCGCTCAGGTGTACAAAGCCCATGAAATTATGTATGTCTTCTAAACTATTCTGCTGACTGCCTACTTACTGTAGCCTTTAGTTTTGCCCCATGTCAGTTTTTTACTCCGTGATAACACATTTTTTGTTAGAGACTTTGGTAATCATTGGCTTTCAATAGTTTTTTGAAATCAATTTTTAGGAATGCTACTCAATCCGCTTTTCCAGTGATGATCCAAATGATTGGTCCCCAGTTCACACCTGAAGCACCGATGTGTATTTATATTTATATTAAGGAGAATGGAATGCTCTGTGTTGGTACGTACTTGCCTTCACTCTGTTGAAATACCAGTGAGCAAATCTGCTCTTCTCATTCCCTGTGCTTGTTTTGCCTGAACTTGTGTCGGTGTCTGGAATGATACCATAAAAGTCCGTAAATAAGTATCCGCCCGGAATAAATACCCCTCCATAAAAAGATACCCCCTCCATCCGTTTCACTTTGTCTCTTGAAGTAAAGTTCAGCCCGATAAACATACTGCCCGAAATAATTACCGGTACGGACCGCACATGCAGCGCGTAGCACGTAACATGTACATGTACATGTAAAATGACTTCTCCACTACACACAAATCAAATCCGGAAGTTAGTTGGTGCCCGAAAGTTATTACGGGTCTGGCCACTAAATTCGAAAGTAAGTGCGTACTTATTCACGGACATTTACGGTACTAAGGCTGTGTTTACATGAAGCGTTTCAACCCAGGTTGAGTTCGACCCGGGTCAGATTTCAACCCGCCATGTACACAAAATGAATGGCGCAATTACATGACGCATTGCGCTTGACCCGGGTTGAAATCAACCCGGGTCAAGAAAATCGTACTTCTGTGCGTATCTCGCGCCAGGTTTGAACAGCACTGCAGATGCAAATTTCGCGCGAAAGGATTCACGTGACCATACAGGACTCTAGAAGTGGACTTTTTGGCGGCATATCAGTATTTCACCCGGGTCAACTGTCTTCATGTAAACGCTCACCTCTTTTGTCTATTGTACAGACTTCAACCCGGGGTGAACTCGACCCGGGTTGAAATTTCTCATGTAAACACAGCCTTTATAAAAAGTTCAACACTAAAGCCCGATTCACAATACAACTTTCTGCGGCACGACACGCGATTTGCGACAAGAAACTGCCTGTCGCAAGCTGTCGCAATGCACCTGTCGCAGAAGTTGAAGAAAGTTCAACTTTTGCGACACGCGACATACACAAATGGAGTACAGTTTCGACCCTGGGTGCACGTGCAGTGCACAGTACTACTTCTGCATGAGGATGTCGCAAACATGAAGAATATTGTGAACCGTGTGTCGCTGTCGCAGCTCGTCGCATGTGTCGCAAGTCGCTTGTCGCGTCGCAGAAAGTTGTATTGTGATTCGGCCTTAAAGTTGTATGCATGCTGCATGTACTTACCCACATGTTTACTTAAAGTAGCTTGGTACCACCATTGCATTGTGTCAAGAGTACATCAGCAAAAGTGTGCAGCGAGGGGCGATCTCTTGCACACGGTAGAACCTTTTCTACAGTTGCGCTCACTGACATCCGACCCAAAGTCCAAACCGGACGCCCTGGACCAGCTTCCGATTACATTACCATGATTACTGTACGTGTAGACGTGTACGTCAAGCAGCATTCGTAACGTTACCACTTCCAGGGCGTCATGGGCCATGCAAGTTGAGGGTGCCACATATGCACTGTGGTTCGGATTTCACCGAGCACAACTGTTTTTATTGCATCAGTCTTTCGAGGCTCACTGGTGGCATCAAGCATAGCCAGAGATCAGAAGTACGAAGAAAATACTTGCACAAAGGAGCTACGGTACAGCTACATAGCATATGCACCGCCTTCAGATGAACCGTGATGTACGAAATCTTCGCATACAAATTTATTAGGAAATATTCTTGATTTACAGCACTCGCCCACAGCAGCGAAGTCAAGGCATACACCACCATCATGTGAACGCTGAATGAGCCGGAGTTATAGAACGATCATAGTGAACATTTCGTTTCAGCATGGTCCTGCACATAAGCATGATGACTGCACGACTTGAGTAAAAACCTGTGAAATGCAACGGGACTTGCTTACTAGTACTAGGACACATCTCAGAATACTGGTACTCATCATATCAATATCATTCTAAATGTTTGGTTTCTGCTGAGGCAATGGTAGATAGCGGAATAGGAGATTCAGTCGTTCCTCATAGAATGACCCTCCTGGTTTAATATGACTTAAAAAAGGCCTTCAGTTCAGTTGGGCAGACAACGGATAGCAGAGACACAGGTCATTTGATCATGCCTCGCAATAATGATGCGGGTTTTCTCACTCTGGTAGTGGCGATATCGACGGCGTCTGAGCTGCAGAGCTATCAGAACTGCCATTTCCCTTCTGTTGCGGAACGTACGGAATCAGTGCCAACGGGTGCTCCTCGGCAGCGGCCAGTTTCGACGTGGCTGGGTCATGCAGTACTTTCGGCGCTTTGATATGGAATTTCTTCAGGCACTCGTGCAATGTGCCAGCTTCTCCAGTGTAAAATGCGCACATGGCATTCTGCAGTAATACCAGCTGCTTGCGTACCACCGCTGCCTCGTTCTGCTCCAAGAAGCGCACCCGAACAAGAAACTCACGACGCATCGCCCCGAACCTCTCTTGCCGCGGGCGGAATGCTTCCTCGGCCTGTCCCACTACTCGCCGACGATGTTCAACTGCTGCCCCCTTCGTCGCCTCCTTGACATACTCAAGGTCATTCCGATACGCGTCATACTCGATTCTCATTGCCTTGTACGCTGGAATCTGCGCTAACAGATCGTCAATCGCCACCTGGATCAGTGTCTTGATGTTATGGATGAAGCTCTCCAGAGCAGCAATAAGTAGCTGTTCTCGACTAGCAATGTGCATGTTAGCTACTGATGTCAGCTTCATCGTACCATGTAGACCGGTCGGTATTTTCGAATTGGCTAAAGACATTTCGTTCAGCAAATAGGAAAGCTCGCGCTGCGTTTCCGACATTGCCTTGAAGTTGGCTCGCATCCGCACCGCCTGCTGCAGCAACTTGATGTAGACAGCGCGGACAACTCGCATCTTGCCGACCCTGTCCGTAAGCTGAATGTCGACAGTGCGACCGGTCTTGCCCATCAATTCAAGTATGTACTGCTGAGAACAATGCAACTGCAGAGACGACCAGCGTTTGAAGTCCCACAGCCTCTCACCAATCGTCATACCTCCATTGCGTATCACGTGCAGTCCCTCATCTCCCTCAGGAAGTACGGGAATTTCATCCAGGTCGATATCCTCGTCACGTTCTTCGGTCATTATGGAACCTGATGCTGACGACTCTCCTACAGACGCCATCATTCCGGAGCGGCCAAACGGGTGTCCCTAACTTGGTGCACAGTACTGGTCACAGTAGACTCAAGTAGTAGTTTCCTCCTGACAGATAGAGCCAAGACGTCCACGACACTACTCTGAAACTTGTAGCCGCTGACGCACAGATCTGTGCTCTCGCGAGACGGAATGTGCAGACAGGAGGGCACCTTCGGCGCTACCAGAAACACAACGGCAGATAGACGGCAAGGGCTTTCTTTGCGTATGCACTTGCTAGTGAAGAACGTAAGCCGAATAAGACGGCTGGGACTGCGGCACTCCAACAAAGAAACCTTCTTTATGGTGGCCTCCGTCACCGCTCAGTTCTCGAGAGCTAGCCGTACATGTACCTTAGTTAGAGTTGAGGATACTACTACTAGTAGTAGTAGTCCTGATGAATGTTTTCTAGCAAACTAAAAATAAATCTAAGCCAGTGCAGAAGAGCTAGCAGTGCCTAGTGGTAAGTGCTAGAGCCAGAGGACAAACCTCAGGCACCTGGCATAAGTGTGGCAACGAGAGAGCTAGAGTCGCGGGATGCTTTCTGAGCACAAGCGCTCCTGCCAAGGCTGAAAGCACACACGCCAGGGAAGAGAGACTTGAGCAGATCCAAGCCCACCCGCTCCGCCAAAACCTGGCATCTACTCGCAGAATGCCTGAATGGAGCTCCCGGAGGGAGGTCTATCTGGGGTTTAGCAAACGAGCCTTCTTTTTCATCAATCTGACATAAAAAATACCTAGCGCATGTATATAATTATTAAATTATACGTATGTACTGATACGATGTATGTAGCGCCTACTGTAGCGGCTACCGACCGAGTCCGTCCCAAATCCCAATCCATAATCATTACGTCATCCCGCACGAGAAAATAAGCGATTGAGTATGAAATAATTCGAAAATAAAGTCAAGTAGATGTTCTCGTACTGACTGCCATGTGCCGGAGTGAGTTTTGACGATATGTAATAAGAAGATCTTTTTGTTTTTCAAACACCCTTCAACTCCTTGAAGTTTGTATCTATCAGTAACAACCCGAGTAGTTCGTATAGCTACTGACAATGGCAGCACCAGCACGAAAGGATCGTCAGAAATGTTACGACAATCGCGATCTCTACTTTGCTTGTTCCATGAAAAATGCTCATTTGAAAGATGAGGAGCGGGTGAAGAAGTGCCAGAAAGAAATGGAACTCTTCACAAAGAGCTGTCCATCTGCTTGGGTAAGCACAACCTACATGTACTCGCTGTGACGTAGTAACTACTAGGCACATGTATCACCTTTCAAAAATGCAGCTCATTGTCATCTCAAGTTTAAATCGCACAATTATAAAGAGTCACACCACGTCTATGTTGGTTGTAGTACATGCTGAGAGCGTTCTGTGATAGACGGCCTACATGCAGCACATGATAGGTGCATATAGTCTACCTACAACCTCAACAATGTCAATAGTATGAAAGGTGATGATCTAACGTGTGGATGGGTTTGTCCACAGCGAAATTTCGAATGGACATAACCTGAGGCGACGTGACGACATACAGTGAGAAATACAGTCATGTTGATGGCCATCATCAATAGTACATAAACCAGAGGTGTGCAGCTTGACGTCAGTTTTGGGAAAGCAGAATGAATTTGCATCACAGGTCTCTAGCAAGGAAACGTGTGAAACACGAGTAGGGAGCATGTACACCATCACCATGATCACAGTAGGTGGGGGAGGGGCTGCACCTCCTACTCCCTTAGGCTAGAGTCCTGGATCACCAGAGCCATGGCCCACAATCATGACTACAAAGTTGTACACTGTTGTGAACTAACATTACTTGAGATGTATCAACATGACCTCGACCTGTGATCGCCTTCACAACGGTTTACATTGCAAGTAGTAAAGTACAATAATATGCCCAGCCGTTATACATGCCTCTTCAGGACATGCAACATTCACTTTATGCAAACCCATTCCAGTTTCTCATCCGAAAGTGCAGTCACGTGTACAGAGTTGTATGAGCGTATGGCATGATGGTACCTTTCTCTCAATGTGTATGTCCGTCTTTGCCACTTCTGGCGTGTGTGTGTTCGGCGTTCTATTGTGCTGTTGTGATATACAGACCACTCATTTCTTACGGAAGCATACGTATGAGCTAGAGAAAGCACGGTTGGATGCTGATGGCCACTTCAAGCCAATGACGGTTGAAGCGATGAAGAAAGAGATGGAGGACCTTGCGCGTCAGCAGGGAGGAAGCAAATGACGGTCATGAAGAGGACAACTATGCTCTATGCTGATATTTCAGTTTGACCAGGATATTTGCTGGCCTGGTCATATAGGATAGTGCCGCAAATTGTGTTCAATGCCCATGGCCAAGCCCATGTTTTCCAGACTGCAAGGCACAGGAATCTAGAACGATCATCGCCGGCTTGGTTTATCTGCAGTGTAGTGCTGGTTCGCAGTGTATTTATTGCTGCCGCATTCGCTACCACAGTTGTTGCCGAGTCTTCCACTGCTGCTGCTGGCGTCGGTGGTGGTAATGCTCACATCTTTGGCAACGTTTCATGCCAAGCAGCAGGGAATTAGCTGAGACATTTCCAGAACTGTGCAACAGAAAGCCACTCTGCACCCTGCTGAAAGACTATTGCAGAACTCTGGTCTGACCCATCTACTGTACGCACAGTGTGTGCTTATGGCACTGTACAATCATGTACAAGGATTTAAGTGACCCCACCTCTCATAAATACGGATGCTGCCGACCAGTAGAAAGTCTTTGCTTCTCAATCATTATTAGCAACTAGAATTGAGTGATTGAGTGCTATTTTAACATATTCAATGGTAAAAAAATGGCGTGGTTTATCGGGTTTGTGTTTCATGGAGGAATGCGAAAGCAGTGCACTAATCTACATTCTACAATGACTGGTACGAGCCTCATAAGCAGTGTGTAGTGGTATATTATAGCCATAAGCGGTGTGTAGTGGTATATAACCAAGCGGGGTACTTTGCATGTGTTTGTATGAATGCCTTGCAGCATAAAAAGAGAGAAAAGAAAGCATGCTAGCACTTGTAATATAATGGTAGAGCCAATCATATAACATAGAGGTAACGTTACCAATACTTCTCTCGCCAGTGAGTACTTTCCCAAATAAATCATCATTCGGTATTAAACACATGTAGCTGTGGTGCCACTGGCAACAATGTCAATGAGCAAACCACACAGCTCGTAGCTACATTGTGACAAAAAAATGCTTGCTGCCACTCAGTACATGTGTGTTTCCGGTGTCGTCCTATTGCTGACCAGCAGCTCGCTTCAGGTATCGCCTGTTGAATACATGCATGTGAGCGCACACACACGCACACACACACACACACGCACACACACACACACGCACACACACACACACGCACACACACACACACACTTGGATTTGTACGGACTCACTGCCAGAAATGAAAAGAGAATACCCGTATTATCTCTAATATAAGCACGGTCCTTTATTTTTTTTAATGTACCTCCGCCCCGTGCTATTAATGGAGACGTTCCTTTATTGGAGACTGTTCCATTATTATTTCAACCTCATTTCAGAGGCATGTTGCCATGCCAAATTCATGTCAGACACACACATTTCAGGGGTTTTTCGCCGGTACAGATAATGAATTTACACAGTGTGCTTATAATGGAGACTGAGCACTTTGTTTTTGAATGCAGCCCAAGGTGTTCTATTATTGGAGACGTGCTATTATTGGAGACTGTGCTTATATTAGAGATAATACGGTACAAAATTGGCTATTGAACCTCCCAACGGCTAACACGGTAACAGATCTATCCACTATCTGACAAAAGTGCACCTACCAACCGAGCTAGCTGACACACACACACACACACACACACACACTGCGCCTTCTTGCGGTGCACATAACCTGGATATTTGGCCGTGCACCGGAAAACTGCAGGAAATGGAATATTTATAGAAACTTTTTTTGAAATTTTAGATTGGTTGATATCACACGCCAAAGTAAAAAAAGTGGCCGAGTTGATAATATAATGGTCCACGAAGAGATTTTTTCTAGGGCTGAGTCGGGTAGCATTTTCTTCAGGTATCGGGTCCGGGTAGCACGGGTACCCGATCGGGTAATATTTCTATGGTAAGACCACAATGCACACCGGCCCCTTCCCTTGTGCACTGGGTAGACATGCGTGAATTATTTGTACACGTGCACTGTACATGATGTCATCTGCGACTCTGGGTTTTCGGGTACTATTCGGTATACCCGTCTACCCGAGGTCCTCACGGGTAGCACGGGTACCCGACTACCCGCGCACACCACGAATTTTTCTCTAAATGCTGAAGCGGTTTTCTCCCTTGAGTAAATATATTCTTATCCGTCTTCCTTTTTGCCACTGTAGTCGAAGTTCAATAACCTTTTAAAAGAACCTGTAAGAAAAAAGCCCTGCTGCTTCATCTGCATGCATGCTTGTACTCAGAGTGATGATAACCATCAGCATGGACTCATTGGAGTTTACAAATGAGCTAATGGTACTTGTAAAAAGTAGTAGTACAGTAGTATCGCCATCATCGCAACAACAATGGCGAAGACGGTAACTTACGCCCGAGAAGCTAATATAAGCTGCTGCTTCTGCTCCTGAAAGCTTAGTATTTTAGTCGCCTTCATTCGGCTGGATTTCGCTGGCGAGGCCGAACTCTGCAGACAAACACAAGAAAATACATCAAAAGTCCAAAACCACTACTGTGTCAATGCATGGTACAGTATACAACTACGCCAGCAGCAAGAGCTCTCCAAGAAGTCGAACACTCAAGCAGTTCATTTCAAACGGGTTTGCTACGCCAAGTTAGCGAACGGAAACACACAAAGAGAGAGTATAGTGGTGCAAACAACCTCGCCTGGACGGGAACGTACCTTTTTGGGTGTGGCCGCTGGAGCTGCCCGTGTTGGTTGCGCTGGCACATCAATATTCAGCCGTCCTTCTAGAATGTTACTGATGGTGGTGTCCACAGACTGAGACGTTGCTGAGTGTGGAAATGCATGAGAGCAACATGCAGATACATTACCGGTACATGAAAAAAATTACTACCCGGAATAATCAAATCTTCACCTAGGTCTGTACATCTCTCCCCATGCAGCTGGAGTCCACAGACATGTATCTTCACAATTCACAACTGAAGAAGTACACTCAAATTTCACCGTAACTTCAACACTCAACACCACCACTGCACTTTTAGGCCAATCATACACCATCACCTCATCAACAGCAAGAACTTTCTCGACAACTCAAGTGTTGAAGTTTCATTAGGAACGAATTGTCATATTTTGTGGCGAGAGGCCCCACAAGACCACTGATAGCAAGAGCCACGGATAATACCGTTTGTTTGCTCTATTCAAACTTAGCTCTCCACGAGCTGTGTACATTGAGGTCAAACTGGACACTACTGAGATCACATATCCAACGCCAGAGCGCTTCAAATGCTACCCATCGCTGGGTGTCCGAGAAAATTCTCTCCTCGCCAGCCATTTCTCTCTCCTTCATCGTAAACATTTCAAATTCGTTTGCTTGAGTTTCTCTTCATGCTGGCCACGCGCTCAAAGAATGCCAAGGTGACTCAGCATGTCAGGAGAGGAAATCCCCCGCTCAAGGTGAGTCACTCAGAAATTTTCAACTTTTCCCGTGGCTGAAATGTTAAGCGCGATATATTTGGAATGCGACATCGCAGCTCTTTGCCGATTGTTGCAATGAAAAGCTGAGCTCTTCGGCTTCTTCCTACATACTTCGTTTTTTGAAATTCCGTCAAGAATCGATCAAGTTACGAATGTTTTAGTGCGTGCAGATGGAAAATAAAAGAATACTACAGTAAATAGTGGATATAACGTGCCCCTTTGATTTTCGATAATTTATCACTATATCCGGTGCATCACTATAGCCGATTTGCATGTATGACTGACACATGGCACATGACTGTGCATGAAATGATGCGTACACGCTGGAAAAAGCATGAAAAGCAGCCACGTGTACATGTGGCTGCGTACAGCATACAGGGAAGAATTTTCTCTCAATCACGTCTGCTGCGAGATGCATCCAGGCAACACTGAATCAGTTTTGGAAGAAATGAACTAAATTTGAAGAACAATTGTTTTGTGATCATCACTCTTGATCAGGATATATGATATTTTCCTGTGCATTTGATATGGTTTGCTTCCTGAAACCCATCACAATAAGCGATATATCGGTATAACCGATAATAGTGTGTATAGTGATATTTTAGCTGTATTTTTTGTGATTCGATTTTGATTTTGGCGAGTTCTATCATTATAGCCGGTATATCGTTACACCCGGTCACTTTATAAACGATACTCACTGTACTACTACTATTGCTAGTTGCAGCGATTATTTCCGGACTCACCAAGATCTCGAGCAACAATATCGTAGGGTGCGTGAGGGAACACCTCCTGGACTTGCTGCACCATGCGCTCATTAGACGACAGACCTGGCATTGCATCATATACTGACATTGTACCTGCAGTGAGCATGCCAAAGAAGAACCAATATTGTGGAAAGGAAGAACATGAGAACAGGTTGGGATAGACAATCATGTACAGCATAGCATAGATTAGACTTACATAATAATCATGTTTATAGCATAATCTCTTCCCACAACAAGACACACATGCATGCATGCACATGCGTTTGAGGTTGGCTTGACGTTTCACAAGCACACGTGTGTGTGCGTGTGTGTGTGTGTGTGCGCGCGCGCGCGCGCGCGTGTGTGTCGGACCACATCACAACGTACCACTCTGGCGTTGTGAGGGTTGTCTCTCCGCACTAGCCCGAGACGATTGGTTTTGAGCTTCTCGCTTCACATGGTCGACGAAATCACGGCGAGTGTGCTGACACACTGGAACGGACAGGGCGTTGGCCATGACCTGAACAAGAGAAAGAAAAAAAGGAGACGGGAGAAACAGAATAGGTCAGCAATGAACATACAGCACTCTCGGAAGAACGATGAGCCGAAGACCGGACAGGCTAGAATTTTATCAGGTATGGGATGCCTGTATGCACATGGTGGGTCAAACTGTATAGAGATTTCTAGATGAAAAATAAGAGCGGCCAAGGCTACGACTGACCTGCCCCGTTCTTCAGCACCAGCCAGTAGTATAGTATGCCTAGAATCAAGAGTAAATAAGCTCCCAAGAGGGCCACAAGCACCTGGGTGAAGTGTAAGAAGAAAAGCCATGGTGCACAAAGTGAGAACGAGGAGAGGCACATGCCAACATAGAAAGGGTCTCAAGAGTTGCACGCTCCTGGGAGCTTATGTACTCTTGCTAGTATGAGTAGGATGGGTAGAATCGTGCAATACGGGTACTATGGGTACATGTGCAGTCATGACAAAAGAAATCCAACCCATGTGCCGAGAGCAGCGCCAGGGCTCATGCAGCCCTCGGATGGTTTTTTTGGACCGTGCATGTTGTACTAGTAATTGAAACGGAAACGCGGAGCTACCTTTGACTCCCGGGGCGGCTTTCTTTGGCCACGACTGTAGTATGGGTACTGTACCTTTGAGATGGGTGTCACAAATGTATAACTATGATCTGATGTAGCTAGGAGCAAATGTAACAGTGAATGCTGCAGAATTAACCCTGTATGCACGGAAAAAATGTACCCAGACTGAATTTGACCTCGACTCACCTCAAATTCCATAATTCTCCAGGCCATAACTTTTGTCTCCTTTTGACGATTTTTTCAATCTTAGGCTTCCTGGAAAGCTCATCGCAAGAAGAACACATTGCGCTCACACTTGCCACCACAAGGGTCAAAACGCCTGCGCTACAGCCCAGGATCTTGGTTGCAACGCCAATATTCTGACAGAAGTCGTCTTGTATCAGCCATTTCGCTCTTCTTGCTCGTAACAACTTCAAAAAAGTTCACAAACTGCTGTGGCACGCCACGAGTCCGTTTGCCATTGTGAACGTGTTTCTACGTCACTGCATGCCCACTGGGGAATGATGGGGAAATCCCTCATTCAAATCTGCACACACAGCTATTGAGCGACATTTGCCGTGATTCGACTTTCGACCTTCGTAACTCTGGAACCACACATCGGAGCGCTTTAGCGATTGCTTCAGTGGACAGCTGAGAGTTTTCTCTTCGACCTACATATTTTAGTTTTCGAAAATAACCCAGAAAGGACTGAGTTACTTTCGATTGAAATTTTGAAAAGTTTCGATCCCAGGAGATCGAAAGTTGTACAGTCCGTACACAAAGGGTTAAGCAGCCACAGTAATCACATGCAGAAAAGCTATTATTGCCATACCTTTTGAACGCGACTGGAGAACTCCTCATCAGACTCAGCGCCCTCTTTCGTAATTGTAGGCAGAGCCCTGAACATGAACAATCAATCATGATAACAGAATAGTAAAGAATTCTTCAGAATAGCACAATGACGAGAGATACTGGTGAGAAGGTCAAACAAAATAGACATGTACTGAAGTACTTGTTCTCGTAAAGTAACACACACACACACACACACACACACACACAAACACACACTAGAAGAGAGAGAGAGAGAGAGAGAGAGAGAGAGAGAGAGAGAGAGAGAGAGAGAGAGAGAGAGAGACAGAGAGAGAGAGAGACAGAGACAGAGAGAGAGAGAGAGGCACAGAGACAGACAGACAGACGGAAAGAGATAAAAGAAAATTAAAGACTACTTGTACTGGCAGTGCAGAAGCTAGCTTACCTCACATGAAATGCAGTAAACGGAACGAACAAGAAAAAGAACAAGTCGGGAATGATGGAGCTGTGGAAATAATGCTGTACACGGAACAACACAGAACAAAGAACCATCAGGTGAGGCATTCAGAGAAGGCTCCGAGGAATGGGAAATCTGTTTCGCATCTGAAATTCGTGTTGCACACATCAACTCTTTCAGCGAGTACGGTGTGCAGGGTTAGCACTTAGAAAGCAAGTCAGTCCAAGAAGGAGCACATAGTGAAGTTGCAAGGCATATTCTGAGAGCCATTGGAGCACATAGTGAAGTTGCAAGGCATATTCTGAGAGCCATTGGAGCACATAGTGAAGTTGCAAGGCATATTCTGAGAGCCATTGGAGCACATAGTGAAGTTGCAAGGCATATTCTGAGAGCCATTGGAGCACATAGTGAAGTTGCAAGGCATATTCTGAGAGCCATTGCAAGAGGCCACATGTATCCAAGGTAAGCACAACAGAGCTACGTACCGGTGCGATTGGGAATGGTCGCCATGAAGTGATGACAATCTTCACGCAAATGCAATGGAAAAGTAAGAGCAAAAAAACACATAAGCACACACAAATACACTAGCCCTCCTAGCAAACATAACTAGCCAACACTGGATGAACACACACACACACGCACACACACACACACACACACACACACACACACACCACATACACTTCTAAGTGGAAAGGATTGAGAAAAGGTCTCATTCAATAGACATCATAAGGTCTCAAACAGCACCATTACCAAGAAGACAGGGCTACCATGTCCTCAAAGCGAACATGTACCAAAGTGCACCAACCCACAGCGGCCCAATTACATCTGCAACAAACTCACCGGTCGAACACTGGACTGTACGGAAAACGGCCATTGTCTGTAAGATGATACAGAAGACAGGGCAAGACATACAAACCATATCAATATACGAGTACAAGTTCTAGGCATTCAGTACTCTCACCATCTCCACTGATGTAATCTGTATGATCAAAACAGCTGCATGGAGGAATTGATGCCAGTGTCTTATGCAACTACATGTATTTGTACCTAATTGAAGTCATGTAACTGGTGCGGTGAACGAGGTCAGCCAAAGAGTGCATGTGTTGTGTGGAGTACGGATTCAATGATGAACAACTTTAAGGTTGCATCAAGGGACAGTCGTGTATGACAAAATATCAGTGCACTACAGACAGGAGGACTTACTTGAATGCCATCAGAGCTGTACCAGTGTTCACACCATTCTCAGGGTGTGTTAGTACGGGCAATGATGAAGTATCTACAAGGAACAAGAACTCACGCACGCACAAGCACACACACACACACACTCACGCACGCACACACACACGTGCACCCACACATCCACACACATGCACACAAATCCAGTTTTAAGCATGCACATCAAGATCAACAAACCGACAGAGTACGCATAGTCCACCTGGTGAGAGCACAGTCCGTGGCACATGTCCTCTATCTCCTCAACTCAACTATACAAGCCAGAGCTCAACATACATGGCCGCCATACAGCATAACAGAGGTATGAAAATTTGTTCATCTCCCCATGAAGAAATAACGAAAGACCTTTCTACCCAGTCGTATGCCACTGATCAGACTGACAGCAAGTCCCCCCCCATGATCGACATTCATATTTGGGCCATGTGACTTCTGCAACCCCGATCGTACAAAGAGAGAGAGAGAGAGCCCTGTGAGGTGAATGCCTGTTGATTGGCGTTATTGTGCCACATGTTGCAATACCTTGCAGGTGGTTTTGTAACCGCTCGGTGAGAGGTACTGGTCCCTCTGACACAGCATACGGACCATGGCCCATGGTATTATGCATTACAGGACATCGCGATGGCTCAATGACCTAACAGATAGAGAACAAACAAAGAGCACAGGCAAAATTGCAGAATGGCTCAGACCACGCAGTGGTTGCCAGCTATTCTGGATTATATGAAGAATGCGATGTCGAACATATCAACGTGTTTGGCCTAGTTTCCTAGCATGTGACAGCTTTTTTGTAGTGAATAATTTATGTTTTATTTTGTTTTTGTGCGTTTTCATGCGCATGCTTGTATAAAATAGCCCGTGTTACCCTTCAGCCAGTTGGCCTTTTGTATTGCGAGCGTTGGAGAACATAAGGGCGGGCACGGGTGGGACGTTGATATGTTCGACATCGCATTCTTCATATAATCCAGAATAGCTGGCAACCACTGCGTGGTCTGAGCCATTCTGCAATTATATTTCAGAATGCTCTGTCTCCATATCAACGTGATTTTGTAGCTTTACTGTCAGTGGTTGACAGCGTCTTTTGGCGGGATAGGACCGCATTGGCAAATGAGATATCATGTTGAGGCTTATAGTAAAATTTCTGGAAGACAGACTGACTACTCCAGTCAGCTGCTTTCAGGATTTCATTTGTTGTGACGCCGGAGTCGGCAGCGGCCGAGGCAGATGCACCCCTTGTGGAGTGTGCCTTGAAGATAGATGTATCAATACCTGCTTGTGAGAGGCAGGATTTAAGCCACCGTGCGACCGTAGAGGAGGTCACCGCCTTGTGAGGCCGAATGGTCGCAAGGAATACGCGAGTCTCACCCGAGCGGTGAGGCTTGGTTCTTTGTTCGTATTCCATCAAGGTTGTGACCGGGCAGAGTTTAGCCTCATCCGGAAATTTAGCAAAGAAGAATTCAGTCAGAGGTCTCGATTGTCGAGACTGTTTTGCGAGGGCACCTGTTTGAAAGGTTACGCCTTCTGGAGAGAAATGTTGAAATTTAATATCAAGATTTGCTAAATCAACCGACCGGGATGGTCGAGTTAACGCAAGTAGCATGGCAGTTTTGTGAGCAAGACTGCTCAGTGATAAGTCATTGTTATTGCCCAAAGATACAATATATGACAACACCTGGGCAACATCCCAAGTGGTACTATATCTGGGCTGTGGGGGTCTTTGGTGGAAAACTCCCTTTAGGAGTCTTATGACCAGGGGATGCTGTCCAGCATCATAGCCATCAATTTTATCATGGGCAGATGAGATTGCAGAGCGGTAGTTATTGATAGATCTATACTGGTAGCCGTCTTTGAAAAGAGACGCCAGAAAGTTGATTATGACAGAGACATCACTTGAAAAGGGATCTGAGTCCCGTTCAGAACACCAGCTACTCCATTTGTTAAACAAGGAATCATACGTCTTACTAGACTTCTCTCTCCACGATGCGATGAGGAGGTCTGAAGCCTCTGTTGAAACTTCATTGCTCGTGAACTTTTTCCGCAGATGTTCCACGCGGCTAGACGAGGGTTTATGTCGGGTCTGTTCACACTGTGTGTGGGTTGGATGAGGTTGTCCATCTCCGGTAGGAGGAGTGGCTCTGCTATTAACAGCTCCAGCAGAAGCGGGTACCATGGCTGACTGGGCCACACCGGGGCAACCAGTATCACCTGCGCTTCTTGCTCCTTGACCTTGGCTAAGGTTCTGCCGATCAGGTTCCATGGCGGATTTGCATATCCGTGATATCTGGTCCAATCCAGAGAAAATGCATTCGTTTCCATTGCCATGGGGTCTGGCCGCCAGCTGGCAAATAGCGGAAGCTGGTGAGTCAGCCGAGATGCAAACAGGTCCACGTCCAGGGGGCCCATGATCTTGTTGATTACTTGAAAAACTCTTGGATGAAGCATCCAGTCTGATCTGTCTTTCATCGTCCGCGATTCCTCGTCCGCGACTACATTCTTGGATCCTGCCAGGTGGGTCGCCTGCAGAACTATCTGCCTTTCCATGCACCATGACCACAGATCTCGTGTTAGATGGTTCAGGGTCGCTGACACGGTTCCCCCGTACTTGTTGATGTACGTCAATGCTGTTGTGTTGTCCATTCTCAGGAGTATTGTAACATTTTTGCGAGATTTCGCAAAGGTTTTCACAGCCAGAAATGCTGCCAGCAGTTCGAGACAATTGATGTGCATCTCTCTTTCCGAGTGTGTCCAAGGTCCACCCGTGCGGTTGCCCTGACACACCGCACCCCAACCAATTGTCGACGCGTCTGTTTCTATCACCAGGTCTGGTTTGGGAGACAAAAGGTTCCGGCCGTTCCATTCTGATAGGTGATTTATCCACCAAGATAGCTCGTTCAGAGCTTCTCTTGTCAGCGGACACGGATGATTGTAGTCCTGACGGCCCTCCTCCAAGGAGTCTTGGAGACAGTTTTGAAGGTTTCTGTAAAACAGAGGAGCTTGCGGCACTGCTTGTGCTGCATGGTTCAGTTTGCCCAAAAGGCGAGAAACCACAATCGCTGATTGATGAGGCTCCTGATGTAACTTTCTTGCCTCTGCACGAGTTTTCTTCAATTTCTCGCCTGGGAGTTTCATTGTCATGGTTTCTGAGTTTATCGTGAAACCAAGAAACTCTACTTCCTTGCTGGGAGTGAGTTGCGACTTCGGGAAGTTCACCACGAATCCCAGATTTTGCAGAAGGAAAATCAGACCGCCCGTGTGGTCGATTGCTTTGCTTTGGCTGTCTGCCATGATCAAGATGTCGTCTATGTAGATTATCAATCTCAGACCGAGGGATCTCAGAACGACTACTACTGCTCTGGAGGTCTTGGTAAAGACCCACGGAGCTGACGACAGACCGAAGGGCAGGCAATTGAACTGGTAGAGTTTGTTCTGCCACACAAAGCGTAGACAGTTTCGATCGTTCAAGTCCATTGGGATCGTGAAGTAGGCATCCTTCAGATCGACTTTTGTCATGAAGTCTCCCTGACGAAGCAGGTCTTTCAGCATGTGAATTCCCTCCATTTTGAAATGGACTGGTTCTATGAATTGATTCAAGGCTTTGAGGTTTATTATTGGCCTGATGGCTCCGTCCTTCTTTGGGACTGCAAAGAGTTGAGAGATGAAACTGGGGGGCTCCGCTCCCATTATTGTGGGCATTGAAACTTCTGAAATTGCCCCTTTGTTGATCATCGAGATTACCTCGGAAGAGATTTTTGTTCTCTCTTCCTCTCGAAACACAATCTCTCGTGGAGGGTGAGCCTGAAAAGGTCTCTGCAACCACTGAATCCTGTACCCTTGAATACAGTTCAAGACCCACTGGTCTGAGCTTATTGCCTTCCAATTCTCTGCAAACATTGCTACTCTCCCCGCAACTTGGGGTCGTTGAAACACAACAGTCTCCGTCATGTCTTTGACACACATTTGTTTCAGAGCACTCACAACAGAGGACATTGGATAAGGTTGAGCAACTTTTATTTCCTTTAGAGGAAGGGGTAAAGGCGATGCATTCTCTGAGCTCACTTGCTGGGCTCGCGGCTCCTGTCGCTCTGGTTGAGTGGTTTCCGGTTGCCGCCGAACCGGAACTGATTGCCGTGACCGTTGTAGGGTCGAAAACGGCTGGTGTTGTTGAAGTTGCCCCGACTCGAGTGGCCTCCCCGAGGGGCACCGGTTCGGCCTCCACGAAAAGACAAGCCAGGTGAAGACTTGCCACGAGTGGAGCTGGAGGCTTGAGAGAGACACTTGATCTCCTCGTTCCGTTCTTTGGCTCTCTTGGAGAAGCCCTCTCCGAACAACTGAGGGGCAGACGCCTTGTAGATGGGATCATCCTCAGCCATGTCGGCGAGATCCCGATTCATGCACATGATTGCATTTCTTCGCCTGTCTCTGTTCAGGTACATATTGGCGTTGCCGATAAAGGCCAGAGCAGTCCTGCATGCCTCAACGGCCTCCCCCGCGGTCAGGGTATCCTTTTGTGCCTCTTCAAGCACGTGAGTCAAAGGACCCACAGCGTCAAGGAGCAAGGCCTGTTGCTTAGACAGGGCCTTGTCACGCGACTTCGTCGCAGGGTGAAGACGAGATTTAATCATCTTGTCCATCAACGGCGGGGTAGCCACGTCAATCCGTGGACGCCCGAAACGACTACGCCATTGGCGTCGAACTTCGTTCGAGGTGGAAGCAGTAAAATGCTCTTGAAAAAACTCCAAGGTTTCCGAAGACACCTTGAAGTCTGTGCCAGACTTGTCCAACACATTTGAGTCCTCCATCTCCTCCTCGGACTCGTAGTCTGACGGAACGTCAGCATTGCGGGTTTTACCCGGGGTTGATGAGGCGCTTGGCGCCAGAACGGAAAACGAGGCACTTCGTGCCGGGTTGGACATTGGTCGAGCCGCTTCCAGAGCAGACACTCTCTCCGCAATGTCAGACATATTTGATCCAATATGCTCCACCACCTGCGTCACCTTCCCAAGCCGGGAGATCATCTCCGTCATCAATTGTGTCTGCGATGGCTGACCAGCAGCATCAGACGCGTTATCAGTGACATGATCCATGATGAGAATGGAATGCAGGCGTTCAGCAGATAAGCAAACAGGAGGCGATTTCAAGCGAGCTAGAAAAAAGGCCAACTGGCTGAAGGGTAACACGGGCTATTTTATACAAGCATGCGCATGAAAACGCACAAAAACAAAATAAAACATAAATTATTCACTACAAAAAAGCTGTCACATGCTAGGAAACTAGGCCAAACACGTTGATATGGAGACAGAGCATTCTGAAATATAATTGATGATTCATGGGACAACATCTTTACAGTGACCAATATGGTTCAGTGGTGTATACAATCAACTACATTTGCACAATGTGACAATGGGACAAGCAACATATTGCACAAATTGAAAACACACCCACCATCACCGCTGAAACCCAGAATGATTTGGATTGGCTTCGCACCATTCCACTCCCATTGGTGCACTGTTATGCACAGCGATATCAGCACCCATTGCCAGATGCAAATACTAGTAACTTTCCGTTACTCAGGAGTACCCACACTCAGCCTGGTAAATGTATCATTCATTTCTACAACATGATTAATAGCATCTCCTCATCGTTACCAAGCTCATGTTACATCTCGTACAGCAGGAGGAAAGCAGCTAATGCCATCCTCGAATTCTAACGCATTCCGGCTAAAGAATCAAAGCCTGCCAACTCACCGCAACGCAGGGAAGGAGACTTTCCACAATACAGTGGTCGAGTAGTGTGACATGGTTCGCCACAAGTACCTGAGTGAAGTGCAAGAAGAAGCCATAGCGCACAGAGTGAGAATGAGGAGAGGCACATGCCAACATAAAACCATGCACCTTGACTCAGGTGCAGAATGTAGAGTTGCAAAAAGGCAAGGTCACAAGTCGGGTCAAACAAGACAATGCAGGCGTGCAGGCATGCATGATATACAGCTATGTAATACAACACTTATCCATCCACACTTCTCTCTCTCTCTCTCTCTCTCTCTGTCTCGCACACCCATAAGCGCTCCCCAAAAACACACACATATACACATACACACACAACCTGTGCGATTGGTGCAAAATAAAAGTAAGTGCGTTCAGCTAACCTTGGATGACTGCTCCTCCTCAGCGCCGAAGCCCTCTGACGTGACGACTAATCCCAGGCCAGGCTGAACACCACGAAACCACCACCTAGTGGTAACACCATGATGCCATATAGTAAATAGGGAGCAAGTCCTACTGGCAACGAATACCAATGGCATGTGCATCTAGGAATACTAAAGCAAGTACAATAACAGCTGCATATGTATTATAAATGACAATTCGCCGGTAATGACAGAACTTTTATGCTGGGAGCAAAGTCCCATCTAACTGCGTACACTGAACTTCACATATGGCGACTATGCAAGCAATGGCAATTCGCGAGAAAACCATTTTTTCTTCTTTGAATGAATGCACAACACCAAGGACTGTGTGCAGGCAAATAAGCACGCACTAGCAGCATGTTGGTGTGAGTAATCAGCCTGAGTACCAGGCTGTACAAAGATTCTTTTCAGTGCGCTTCCCTCGAATATTGATCGCTGTTCCTGCTCATTGAAATATGAAAATTTCATATAAAATTTCGTGAGTAAAACACTTCGTAAGTACTTCGAAGTAAGGACATTGCCGAATGGCATTTATATAATACAGTCTGTATCGGCTATAGCGTACCCTTTTGATTTCCGTGATTTTATCACTATAACCGATGCATCACTATATGCGATACGATGGATTTTTTTCGATCGACACATGAAAGGCAAGGAAATACTTCCAGCATGGCGTTTTGACAAATGAGCATGCTGCATAGATGACAGTGCCCGCATTTCCATAACAAAATTATGTTATGTACGTGTGTGCTGTATCACTATAAAAATAAGCAACGTGAAGAAAGTAAAAAGATTGGGCCCTTGATATTATTGCAACATGTATTTTAAAGTTATCACTATAGCCGATTATAATGTAGCGTGTTATGCATGTTTTGATTCTTTGTTGCCATCATAATATCCGATATATCATTACATCCGATAATATTGGTTATAGTGATATTTGTACTGGATAAAATACGTTTTGCTTTTGATACTTCGTACCAATATCACTGTAGCCGATATATTCTTATATCCGGTCACTCTATAGCCGATACAGACTGTACTCGCAAAGTTGACTGTTTGAAGTTCAGCCCTCACCATCGTCTACACGGATTTCAAAAGCGTCGACCTCCATTTTGAAAACATGGTGGCCGGCCGCGCTACCCGTAGTCGCACGTGCCCACCGCGAGCTTTGAGCTAAAGATCATGTCGCCCACTCATTTTCCTGTGTTTCCCCATTTCTTCGAACTCGCTCAGCTTTTGCTTCAGCTTTTGCTTCAGCTTTTGTTTCGCTCGCACTCGTGCTTCAGCTCCACGCTGTAGTCTGAGTTTAGTTCTCTTGTCTTCTTCCAGCAGAATACTGCAAACTCTACAGCACGTCGAGCTTCTCCTAGAAGAGTTTCTTTTGCGTCGAGGCAGACTGTCGATCGTTTCAGTCCTATCTTACCGTCGTCTCATGAGCGCCCGAAAGCAACAGTATCTATTTTCTTGGCGTTCCATTTTCTGGCGAACTCATTCACCTACTACTTCTTCCTTTATGAAAGCTTCAGGTGGCTGAGTTCTCCCACTAGCGACAATCATGCCTTGGAAAAGAACAGGATATTTCTAAGGTATATACAGCCAGTGCAGTGATGTCAGTGTACTGCACTGCAAAAATCACCTGCATGTACTCCGCGTAGTTGTTGTTTGTTTTGTCGAGAAAGAATCCCTTTCGCACTCGCGCGGGCCGCGAGGGCGCAGCACGGAAACGGGTCTATTGAATTCATTTCTTGGTCGATTTTGACAACCAATACGTCGTTGTTTTTCTTTTTTCACTGGCTATCCTTTCTCCGCTTCCGAATTGCGATGCCGTCCACCTGTAAAGCCTTGAAGTGAAACGAGTGGAGGCCGGTTTCGGAGGTAATTTTCGGCCAAACAGCAATCAAATCGAAAAATTCGAAGCGGACGATCTGTTGGAATCTATCGAAAGAAGACGTTGGTCCATAAAAAATCTTTGGAAACTACACCGTATGAACCAAGGAATTACGGTAAGTTTGAGAATTTTGGTACATTAGCTGTACGCTGATTGGTCGATTAGCGCGACCGTTGAGAAACGGGCCAGTGACGCTTTGTACAGCGTTGGTGAGGGCTGAAGTTTATCATGCATTTCCAAAAAAAGGTGCACCCAAAGTTAACACATACAAACACATACAAACACACACCACACACACACACACACACACACACACACACACACACACACACACACACACACACACACACACACACACACACACACACACACATCCGTACTAACCGTCTTAGCGGAAGGCTTTTCGGAGCTACTCGAAGGAAGAGCCACAGTTGTAGGAAGAGCAAGAGCCGGAGAACAGCCAGGACAATGCCAAATGGTGTGTACAGTAGCAGACCAAATGTCCACACTAAGGATGTATCTAGCAGCCTGGAGCACATGGGAAAGCAGCGACCAGGAATGACAACCCATCTCAAACTAGTACTGCAAGACCGTGTACAGACATGCACACCGAGTGTGCACAAGTGCTTGAATGATTACGGAGTGGCCTTTAACCATACTCTACATGTACATACGTGAGCAGTCCTACAAACTCACTTTGTTGGCCAACGTCCGTCAAGGCAAACAGAAGCTGACACCGGCACAGGACCCATGTCCTCAATGAATTTTTCATCATTCATTCATTGATTAACTTTCATTAGGGAATTGTTGGCATTACTGTCGCATCATGCAATGTCTTATGCATTATTCTTGGGCACGTGTAACCCTTGCATTACGCAGATTCCGTGCACCGCCACATGTACACAACTGCGCAGTACTCAAAGATTGGAGTCTGCTGTTACCTTTACACATGTTTCTCTTTTATTTATTTTACTTCCTTGTCCTATCAATAATACGGTAATCATGCAGTTTAGGGTCCCAAATTATTTCGCACTTTCCCAGTGTTCAGTGTACTGTCACACGCGTTTTCAGTGTACTTTCACTATGCTTCTTCTTTTCTCGTGTGAAAGTTTTGTTTCCTTTGTCAAAGTTTTGTTTCCTGTGGATTCTGCCTGGCTCACGCATCATCTCTGACGGCTGGGCCGCATACGCGCAGATCAGGAACATCGACGGTGGCGTATACCAGCACGATGTCGTCGTCCACGACGACAACTTTGTTGATCCGGACGACCGAACGATCCACACCAACAACGTGGAAAACATGTGGATGCGGGCCAAGCGCCAGCTGAAGCGCAACTTCGGCACCTCGCGAGAGTTGTTCCCGACGTACCTCTGCGAGTTCGTGAGGAGACAGAGAGTTCGCGCGGAAGACAACACGTTCGGCTCCCTGCTCCGCAGTGTTCACCAGCAGTACCCAGTCTGATCTGTCCTCGGTTTTCATGAAAATAAAGTTCATGATGTGAAAGTACACTGAAAACGCGTGTGACAGTACACTGAACACTGGGAAAGTGCGAAATAATTTGGGACCCTAAACTGCATGATTACCAATAATACAATACTAGTATCCTAAAGAACCCGAATACTACAATTACAACTGAAAAATCGTCGCCAGAATACAATGCATCATGCCAAGAACAACACGAGAATGCTGATTACTGTGGCTGGGTCAAAATCCACGACCGCAGCTCAGGACAATGGGCAAGTCACAGATTTGATAATTATTTAAAAATCACACTACAGTCAAGGAGCAAAACTAAATATTTCAATACAGACCTCCTCCGGTGATAAAGTGATGAGATATCAACTGATGCCGTCGACATTGCTGCCAATGCACCTCAAGCTCTGTCTTCTCGGTGACACAAATTTCAGTAGAGCACCGTTTCTCCCAAACCAGAGACGGAAAATAGCTACAAAGTCATGTAAGGCCACGCGCGAGCCACCAAGCTAAACGATTGCAAAGATACACTGGAGAAGCCTAAAAACTCAGCAAATTACTTGCTGCACAAAGAGGTTCATGCAGGACTTCCGCTTTGCGGAACCTCTCTAAAAAGAGTCCAATGTCTGTAGTCTTTCTTCGTTTGTGCTACTTTCTTGTCATTTCGCTGCTCAACTCATCGATCCACAAAGAAAAAAATAATGATGAGATTCGAAAAGCAAGATCGATCGCGTGCTTGATTTGGGTCGTGCGCCACGTGCTACTTCGTTTGATCAGCTGTGCAGTAAGTGCACACGTACACTGCATTATACGCATTACCTGATTACGCAATGCGTAGTTGCTATGTCCGAAAACGACTCAGTGGCGTGACACTGATACTGATAGCCGCATAATCGCATATGCTTGCAAGGGTGATCAACTGATCATGTCCCCCCCAACAAGTCCACGATCCAGTCATCCCATCGATCCTCAACCAGGCCAGGCCAGGTGACGAGCCTGAGGTCAACTCGTCCAGAGAAGTGAAGCCACTGTCGTCTGTGACGAAAAAAAACGTTCACTCTTCAGCCTACCTGCCTACTTTGGCAGCTTCATCAGAACTATGTATTTTGTAAATTGGTATCAACTTACTACTATCTAGTCTTTTTCGTTAGATTGCAAGCGAGTGACTATAGTATTACATGTACTAGTGTACTAGTAGAGTTTACAGCCCGATCAAGGTTATACTCTGTCGCACTTTATTTGTGTACCTGACCAGCGACGACCGTATCGCGAAGCGTAGAGTGTCACCACTTCCAGAGGATCAGGAATCCTCTTGCTCGTATTCACATTCAGGTCCAGAAAAAAAATGTTGGGGAGATCTTTCCTTATGCTAGCAGCTGTGGTCCTGCTATTGGCGTTGCCCTTGGGCACCATGGCTCAAGAGAGACCTGACCAGGTGGAGCCCAATGAGGGAAAACAGGCAAAAGAGGTGGACTTCAATCTTGGAGCATCCAACACAACTTGTACATTGTGCGAGTTTGTGATGAGTATCATTCAAGGACAGATTTCAGCCAATTCAAGTCAAGCAGACATCATCAAGCTGCTTGACAACTTCTGCGAGAAATTCATGCCGGTAACCATTAAACAAGAGTGCGAAGACTTTGTTGCTGACTACGGAAATGCCATCATTCAACTTATTGACCAGAAGATTGACCCTCAGCTGGTGTGCCGGGAGATCAAGCTATGCCCACACGAGCAGCAAATTGGCAGAAAGCAGCAGCGAAAATCCGTCTCTGTGAATTGAACAGAAAGCAGCATATCATGGTGCCATGTCTATTGGTGACTTTGGCACCCAAACCTCTACTGGCCGGCATGGATATTAGCAGGGTGTATGCGACCCTGGCTATGTTAGTCTGAAGTACGCACACAGTAATACACTTGTCTTGCACGGGTGGCAAGGTGGTAGTAGTTATATATGCTTTCCTTTCTTCCTCCTCTTTCTTCCTACAGAAACCAGGCCCCATTGTTAAGCTCCCAACGCCTTTGGTCAATATTTCTAAAATATAATCAATCAGTGTGAATCTGTAACGGTCGGTGTGTATGCACGAGGGTGTGCGGACGCATGTGTGTCACTTCCACCCTTGCATCAGCCACCGGAAGCAGCCGATTCAAGGTTGTTCAAGTGATGCGACCCTATCAATGGTTGAACCCATGCGGTACTACTACAAACCCTCCATGCTTGTCTGAATTATTGCTTCAACTTGCTTGCAGTATAAATTGGCCATGAGAAATCCTGCAGAGGTGAAAAGGCCCCTGTAGGTTGAAGTTCAAGAAACTGCCGGCCCAAAACTTTCCCATACCCCCTACCAAGCTGTGAAAACAGCCGCAGAAATAGCAAGTGTCATTGTCGGTAAGCAAGGAGTGGGGGGGGGGGTTGGCAACTCTGGCCAGCTCAGAATGGAGATGTGCTTTGCGAAGCATTGGATTTTATATGTACTTCGGGTCTCAGGATCATTACTGGGTTATTAGCGGCAAATTTCAAACTGGATGGTGCAGCACCTACTGAGCAAAAAAGGCCCCATCCTACTGGGGTGTGACACAGCAAAATTGAGTATGGCGTATCTCCAATTGCTATAACAATCTGTACTTCACTTTCGCTTGTACATGTAGTATGACTGTGTACGTTAAGGTACGCATAATTGTATTTTGGATTGCAGGATAATATGTTCTTCTGTTCAGTGTCGATACCACCTCCAGCAGATTTTTCCAAGCTACATGTACAATGCTATACTCTGGTGAAAATCACTCCTTCAAGAAACGCCAATCTGAATCAAATCAAACGTCAAAAGGCCATATTATTTGAAATCTTCATTGTTGAACAATATTATAAAGTGCAATTGTACAGTACTCCCGAGTCTTGTCTAAGCCAGGGTCATACTGTAATACGCTACAATTAGCTAGGGACAGGTATGCTGGTCTACAGTAGTGACATCTCCCAATTTCAAACTGGCGGCAATGTTCTATTGTGGACAGACAGGACTAGTGAAGTGGCGGTGTTGATGTGTCCTTTGGGATTTATCTAATCCACTACACCTCAGCGCTCTGAACACAATGTCTTGCACGTAGTAAGGTAGTGTGGCATGTTTCTAATAATTATGGCTTTATCAGCACCAACAGACTACTAAAAAGAGCGGAGGGAAATCGATTGTTCCCTTGAAAGAGAAGAAATCCAAGCAAGTCTAGCTCAGCTCATTGCCAAATGCAAGCAACAGCTCACCAGGACAGCATCGAGTGGCATAGGCATATTGACCATAGCTCACAGCTCTTCAAGACACTGACAGCAAAGTATTTTGTTGTGGTAGTGCTGCTGTTGCAACTTGCTGAAACGGCAAAGTGTGGAAAACAGCAGCATGCCAACTGGGAAACTTTAGAAAGCTGATAACTCTCCAGAGTTCTCGCCTTTACTCCTCTGTGCTGTACTTGCGAAACATGCGTCTTCTGCACGGAGATACTTGTCGCTGCAATCCAAAGACGAGGCAATAATTCTGTTCCCGTACAGACCGTCCATCCAATAGGCAAAGCTAACTTGTTCAAACCACACAAACACACACACACACATACATACGCACACACACACACACACACACACACTCTCTCTCTCTCTCTCACTTTCACATACGGCATTTGAACTGTGCGGTTAGAAAAGTATGGTCATGGACTCTTCTTGCTCTCAACTTCAGAAAGGCTGGTTAGCTGCTCGTTGTGCAGAACGATGTACTGTCGCGATGTGTGGGATAGCACCAGTCAGCAGGAAGAGCCATGGTAGATCCATCCAGGTACATGTACCAGTAGAAGCATCAATTGGAGAAGAGAGTGTGGCTATAGTTCGATGGAGTGAACAGCTCTTGCATCAACGTTCATGTACTGAGGACCTACATCCCTTATTCGGTGGCAAATGAATACGAGTTCTCTCTCATTAGTCCGTCGATTTTTTCCTGCAAACGAGGCACCATGCCTGATGCGATGAAAAGATGTGTATCATCCAAGTCCTCCAAGACAAACTGTGCACCCAGTGCACGAGTAGCATCTAGATGCAGAACAAATTGCTTGATGGCTGGGTCGCACTCAAGCAGGGTGCCTTTGGTGACGTTTACCATTGCGAGGCTTTCGAGGGGGAAGCTGCTGTTCAGGAGTATGTGTACAAGCAACACTACACAAGACTCACAACCGAGACAAAGATCCTATAGATTGTTGTGTACTTGCAGTGCGAACAACAGGCAAGAGTCGACAGCTGCAGCTGGGTAGTTTCGAGTTTTGTGTTGTGCTTTGTCTACATCTACACGTCTGTTGTCTTCACAAGATCTTTCTTCTTTCAAAAAAAATCCACACTTTTTACTTTTTTTTATCACACTTTTTCAGGAAAGTCAAGTCGGGGTTTCCCCGTCGGAGTTATGCAACACGATAGTTTTGTGCTTTTTTGCTCCACGTGCCGTTGATCAGTACAGTGTGATTGTGCAGTGTGAGTAGCCTTATCTGTTTTTGTTTGAGTTTCGGTATTGCTGGCTTGAGAAGATCTCGAAGTATTGACACTATGGATTCAGCTATCAATGATCTGCAGAAGCGTCTTGGAGATGCCGTATCAGATACCTTGAGTGTCGTGGAAAGGGATGGACTGCGTCGTCTGCAGGTAAGCAGCAGCATCCAAGTGTGTTTGCTAGATTGCCACAATGTGCTACAACTTACAAGTGGATGCATTGTATTTTAATTTTTAACGTTATAATTATACTTCTTCTTCTTCGGTAACATAAGTATGCAGTCTACTCAAGACTATAGACAGCATATGCAGGAACGAACTACATGTAAACTAATAATAAGAGACACAAGACCAAATCGTCCTGCAAACTGTGTCCGCGCAAAACCAGCGGAGCTCGCCTGGGGAAAGATAACATAATGCATGTTGAGTTCCTGATAAGCTGGAACAACATCTAGCCGGCCGTTGGAACTGCGAGCGTCATAGCATACGATACATGAGATTAGATGTCCTTCACACTGCAGGAACCTCATGGCCATTTCTGACTTGCCAGCCAGCTCTTTCTCCACAAGCTCTCAGCACGCGCTTGTGATCGTGGCTTCGGCAAGCTTCCGCTCAACAAGCGAAATGAGTTCTGTGCCGGCATGACCATAATCTTTTCCCAACTTCAGATAGCTTGCCTCCTATATATACCTGTATTTAAAAATATTATTTAAAATATGGCTGTCATCACCCAGTTCGGATGGAACACAAGGTCGAAACCAGGCAGTGCAATAAGCGAGTCTGATTGACGTGTCAAGCCAAGTCTTGGTAATGCATAAGATGTCCAATGCGTGGTAATGAATAACTGATAATCGTATGTATGCAGACGCTTGCTCCTTATGCCTAAGATAGTGATATGGTGGATACAGTATTGAGAAGAATACATACTGATGCGTTGGTAGCATCCTTCCCATGAGCTGGTGCACAGCAGGAATGAGGTGACAAGCGCAGGCATGGGATGGCTGCCGGAATGGAGCCAGTCATGCTCGCTGTAAATCCATCGCCTCACCCCTATGCAGATTGTAATAGGACCTTGGCAAACTCTCCTGACATTGCTTTGCCCTTGTCCATGATAGTGTACTTGGTCAGAGTGCAGTGAACTTTGGGCTGCTGGAGCTTACGAAATAATAGGTTACTAAGGTTAGGCATTGTTTCATGTAGACTACTGCTCAAGAGTAGGTTTGTGTGAAACGTAGATTTGCGTGTTTCCAAGTGCTGGCCAGAGTATACCGCGCAGAAGGTTCATTTGTCAACACTAGTTCGTAGATGTGATCCATCATGGATAGAGCTTAGTGTGAAACTTTCTTTTGACCTGCAGACCGATATGTACAAGTGCAGTGCACGGTGTTCCGAGGATACTAGCATTCCATCAGAGCGCGTGCAGACCTGCATTGAAGGCTGCGGTCGCGTTCTGCAGAATTTCCACGAGGAGGTGTCTCGCGAGCTTGAAACATTCCAGGTATGTGCATAGAGTGACCTGCATTCTGCATGTTGTGTGTTGCTTGCTTGGCTTATCGAGGCTGTCCAGTGTTTTGTGTATTGCTATCTGGACAGGTGGTGAGTTAGCTCACCATTCCGAATCTCAGGCTACATGCGTGTTTTCAATGTCTTACTCAAAACAACCTGCTGTTATGTGCGTGAATGTTGGTCATCCCACGCGGTTTGCGAAAGTGCTGTGTGGGTTTCCACATGAGCTCCCTGTGGTATATTTGATATGGCTAATTCAAGTGCCCGCTGTTGGTCATTGATCACAAGATATAATACGTTACTTTTTTTAAAGGTGTCTTGTGCAATTCTGCTCACGTGTGTGCATCGTATGCGTGTGTTACATTGACAGAACCGATTTCAGCGATGCGCAATGGACTGCCAGGATAAGGTCCGTGATGCTGGCAGTCTACCGTCAGACTCAGAATTCCAGAACAAAGTGCTTACGTGCCTGACAAAGTGCACAGACGATCACATCAAGCTTGTTGGGCCAATGGGCAAGCGCCTGGAAACTTCCATGAACAAAGCAGTCCGGGAAAAACTGCCACACTAACTTATTTTTCTTCATGTTTAGTTCAAACTACTTGTCACATTGACTTGGAAGCAAACCTGGTTGTTTTTGCTCCATTGTTCCTAGGCCTGTTATTTTTCAAACATACTTCTCTGAGTATCTTTAACTACTTTAATACCTCATGAAATCATTAGTTTGTGTCATGGAATTGTATCAATTCGATGTGTTTCCTGGTTTGTACTGGAAATTATCATGTATCCTGAATACAGGTTTGAGTACGCGCATTTGTGAAAATGAAGGGGTGAAGATGGGTTAGAGTATGTGTGATGGAAGTGGTCAGTGCCAGACCCTATCTATGATTCATGACTGCTACAGTCACCGTGTTCAAAGAAATCTTATCTCGCGAGTCGTTTAGAGAGGTTCCGGGGTACGATTTTCCGTGCCAAAATCCGTATGGGCGCTACGGATTTTTTCCAGGCGTGCTCCATACGATTTTTCGGCACGGAGAATCCGTGTGGACTGGCTTTCACAAGAACCATGTTTCGTATGGAGATTTTGTGTCATCGGGTGCAGAAAGATTTTTCGCGTACAAATTTGGCACGAGAAACATCGATTTTCCGCGGGAAGTTTTGATTTCGGTACAAATTTTCAAAATGAAAAGGCATAGCGCGGGAATGTGACGTGTTTGCGATCGTCACCTAGGCAATGACGGCAAACACATACGTTCCGTACTCCGGAACATTTCACGCCTCAAAAACGACGTAAAAAAATCCGTAGCGCCTCTACGGATTTTGGCACGAAAAATTGTACTCCGGAACCTCCCTATTAAGTCAGCACTCTGTACACTGATGCACACACAGTACACATGTATGGTAGTGCCAAGACTCGCCCAAGAGTATTATTGGGGGCTTATAATTATACTCTTGGTAGTGTTCGCAGGCGAGAGGTTGACTCACGTGACGAGCAGCTCTGGAGTATATGACTTCTTTGTAGAACACCTGACAGAAATGAACATGCAGTACTGTATACAATTACAATGTACATCAATTAGGGACACGTGGCGTGCCGGTATGGAGAGAAGGCAAAAATGGAACTAATGTGAGTTCTGCTCGCAAGCTGCAAATTCCAGTTACAAAATTAATGCAACTGTGGGATCCGGGTCAGTGTACTCTCAAACATTGTGACCACAATAATAGAAAAGCTAACAGGATCGCTTTTCTGAATATTTCATAGCTGGACCGCATTTGCCACTTTGGGCCATCAGGTCAAGGCTGCGATTGCTGATGCTGTTATGTGTGTTGCATGGGCCGCAGATCATGTAAAGCGTTCAGACCAAGGAGTCGTAAACATACAATGTTTTTTTACGAGGTGAAAGCATCTCATTTCAGGTACTGGTCACATCTCCCTGCTTTGCATGTAGCCAAGGCACACAACACACCACTCCATATTCCACAAGATTGTTCTAGCAAGAAAGTTCATCGGAAAAATGCAGGCAAGAAGCAATTGGAAAATGTAATATAATTTCGTTGCGAAGCAATTCGGTAGAATATTCCAAATGGCTAGATGAAGCTGAAGCACACAGCAAGCTACATACACATACACAGAAACTGGTGTAGCTCGAGTACACACAGTTAACACCGTCTCGGTGTCTACCAAATACACACAAAGATACCTAGGCTAGCGAACGATGATAAGATAAAACTGCAGTTGGTCCAGCCATTTAAATTTCATGGATGATTCATGTCATAAAATATCAGAATTTCAAACTTTTCGGAAAAGGATTATTTTTTTGGAAGGGGTGTGTAGGTTGGACAAACATTATTCAATTTATACGACAAATCTAATGAATTCACGCCACCGACACACACACATACACACACGTGCACAAGCAGGCACACACGAGCGCGCACACACACACACACATGCACGCAGAAAGAGTCCATGACGAAGGAAACCGCACACTGATCAACACACTGGTTCGTACAGTGGCAAATACAGCTTGCATACAAGTATGGATGTACCCGGGCACTTCAGCATGTTCCACGGAAGAAGACTCGGGCTTGTTGATCGGATCAAACTTGGTAAGCATGTGTATATGCCAGGAACAGTTGGTTACTCGTGTTAATTCTTGTTGGCCTCGTTCAAGAGGCGCAGGATTTCCAAGAACAGATTGATGATGTCCAAATAGAGATTGATGGACGCCAAAATGTACTCCTCGGGAGACAGCTTGTGCATTAGCATGTGTGTATCGAAGATGATGAACAGGCTGAACAGGAATGCACCACCAGCAGCCATCATCATCTCCAAGGTCTCGCTGTGCAGGAATATTTGCATGACGCCAGCACCGATCAGAATCCAGAGGGCGGTGAAGAGGCCAGCGTACCAAGCACTAAAGTCTCGCTTGCTCTGCAGCGTGTAGATTGTGAGCGCAATGAACACTGTCAGTGTGAGCATAGCAGCTTCGGCCACGACCTTTTGGTCATAGAATGTCACAACTGTGCCCACAGTGTAGGATTCAACTAGCGTGAATGCAAACAGGAGATACATGTTAGTTGGCGTTTCATGACGCTTGGCAATAAGGGAAAAGATCAGAATGAACGACAGGCCCATGGCCAGGTACAGCGCTGCTGGAGTGCTCTGCACGAACGACTTGACAGTCTTGCTGGCCATGAATAGCACGCAAACCAGCGTTGTGAGAGCAAGCTGAGCAGTCAGAATGCAGTAAACCTTCCGCAAGAATCCCATACGAATAGCGACAGCGACACTGCTCACAGAGCCCTCCATGCTGACCTGCGCCTCAACGTCAAAAGCGTCCGCGTTTCGCTTGCCCTTTCCATCTCGGACGGGTCCACCCCAAGTGCTAGTGGCCATTGCAGAATGTACAGTTTTCAAACGAATTTGCTCGACTGGACCAACTTCCAAATCAAACACGCCAGGCGAAAGGAAAGCCGGCAATTAATTCACCACCACAGATAGAGAGTGTCGTGTAGTTTTGGAACGAACAAGGTTACGCTCACGACCCCTGCCAGGCGGATGTCAGACTTCAGCAGACCCTAGTACAAGCGCCTTCCTCGTTTCAGTCTTTTTGCTCCTGCTCAGGCGCTGCTATGCTGTTTATGTTCAGCCTTCCTGTTTCTGCAAAATGTCAACGTGCAAAACAATCAAAGTCATCAAGAAAATGAATTCGTCTTGTGACATCATTGGGATAGACGGGTACCATGACGACGTGAAGGCGTCATGTCGCTCAAGTCTTTCGGTTTCATGAGATCACAGAATGTACTGATGTACGAGATACGCCGAGAAAAATCAAATCCCAAAGGCAAAGTGAATGACTCTGTGCCTTGGAAATCTAGTCTCTTCTCAGACTTTTCTCCTACCTTCTCTTGTACATGCCCATATGGCTGAAACTGTCTCGTGTCAGCCCTTTTCTCCTCTTTGTCAGACATGCCGGTTATAACTAAGTGTAGCGGGTGCTGGTGATTTTATTTCGTTGTGATTGGTGAATGTTCATTATTCGGTGCTGAGAACTATTTCAAGTGAAGACTTCTTGTTCGCGATCCACACGGAAACGATGTTCTTCAACGGCCAGCACCGGAAAACTCCCGTTGTTTCGTTAGGGGGAAACAGCAAACTGGTAGGAACAGCCTTCAAAAGAAAATATTCCCTGGACATACGAAGTCTGAAAATGCGAACGATTGCAGAAAACCTGATGTTGATCGATACTCGAATTTTCATTCATTTTTCATTGCTGATAGTTTCTTGCTTCTGGAGATGCCACAATCAGAAGCTATGCAATAACTGTTCCCCTTGAAATGCTTCTCAATTGATGCGTGCGCTTACATGCACACAATTATGTACATGTGGGCGACCCATCATGAACCTAAATTGTTCTTTAGTTAATGTAATTTCACATGATGTAGCATTGTATGTTCAAAGAAAAAGAAATTTTATAATACCAAACCAAATTACTATCTTAGAAGTGACCTAGTCTTCCCGAAAACTATTGAATATTCGTAATTGATGCACAATAATTTAATGCAAACACTTTCCAATAAGTCTTGTTCCACAAAGAAGATCGAATAGAATGAATAGGAAATAGGATATATGTACATCACTTCAGTTAAAGTGCCATCCAGTGAAATTCAACCTCATGCAAATAGTGTCAGGCACTGCACAGCCCTAGTATCCTGTATTGCACAGACACTGGGCTGTGCACTCGGGCACAGTACTGCTTTGCTTGTGCCCGGTGGAGGCCAATGTCACTAGCTAGCACTGGAGCGTCATGGGGCCTTGCTGACGTAATGTCAAACCTCGACCAATGGCATTGATGTGCTTTTCACAGACTTGCTACTCCTTGCTTTGGTGTAATTAAAAGCTGGGCTGCACGTTTGATGTATTCCGCTGTTTTATCCAGACCAGTCGCCAAGCTCTCTTGAAACGTGCTGCAGAAGAGAGAAGGAAGCGTCAGGTAAGAATCAGTGCTCATGTACGATGTCCAGCTTTGGGTGCTGCTCTTTGATACAGCAGTCGCACATACGCTTGACTTCGGAGTGTCTCCCCGTTTTCTGGATGCCTTGGTGCAGAAAGGTACCTGGAATGGCGAACACACAGCGAACTGTATGAGTAGCCAAAGTGGGTGCACAGAAGTAAAACGTAGAAAGTTTTTGATGTTATAGTATCCCTTGCACTGTAGGGAAGTAGCTGGCGCAGGCCCAACCAGTAAATTCCCGCTTGGGTTGAGTTTCCATCCGTTGGTTGTAAACTGAAGTATGTATTAGCACCTATCCTTGGCTACTCTGAGTTGTTCTGCACCTAGTTGATGATCAATTGGACAGGAAAAACTCTGGCCACAAGGGGCCATCCACAATTGTCGCCATTTATCACAACAGTGAAAAACATAGACATGCTGAGACCCCCCTCCGAACCATACACACATCACATAGTACTTGAAGTAAAACCATTATGAGAATTTATGACTGCCATATACAGTATACTAGTAGGCCATGTACAAGTAATGGAGTTTTTCACCCTGGGAGTGTTCAAATCAATGTACCCCTGCCTGTACCGTACTTTTTGTATGGTCGTGGTAGATGGTGAAAGTTATGGATGGCCCATAATATTGTGTGTGTACTTTGAAGTACGGCTTATTTCCTACGGTCCTTAGCACATGGTATTAGATAAACCTTGTTTTGTTGAAACATGTCAACCAACAACATGTTTCCTTAGCACTTGTATCTGAATTACAATGCATTACTTTTGCACACTGCTGTACATGTATGCCTTTTTTTGGTTTGCTGGCTTGTAGGAGCAGCAGCAGCACCAAGAGTGCGCGTCGAGAATTCAGCGGTCTTGGAGGTCACATCGTGCTCGTCTAGCGTTGGTAGGTTTTGCAAACTCAAAGTACGTGTACTGACATTTGTGTGTGGTTGCGCCATGATATACAAAACTAGCCTGGATTTTAAAGCTACTAGTCAAGGCCTACTGTCCGAACCTACTTAGCTGCCTTTGTGTCTCACCAGTAGGCACAAAGATAGTTACTGTAAAAGCAGAAATTTTCGGTGGTGTAATATTTTCGGTATTCTCCAAAATCGGCGGTTCGGTGGAGGGAAATTTTCGGTAAAACCCGGTTTCCAGGTAAGTGTACTAATACTACATGTATACAGTACCGGTTCTACCGAAATTTTCGGCGCGTTTTATTTTCGGTAAAAATTATCGGCACCGAAGCTACCGAAAATAAAACACCACCGGAAATTTCTGCTTTTACAGTACACTACCCCTGTCTAGTTCTTTTGTGCTTCTGTGCTGTTGTGGCCTTATCTCCTTGTCACGCAGCCTGTACACTAAGCCTGTGTACTGCGTGATCTGTTGCAAGCCACCGTCTTGTACATGTCTGTGCATACCTGCTTGAAATATCAGTTAGCATGTTTGTGTGTGTGTGTGTTTGTGGGTGTGTGTGTGGGGGGGGGGGGGGGGGGAGGGGGAGGGGGACTGTACTAGATTGAAACTATGGTATTACAATTCACCTTGCTTTTTCTCTATTATCTGCCCCTTTCATGTCAGGAACGGCAGCTACACGCTGAGTTCTCCACTGCCCTGCAGTCGCTGACTGCATCCCGGGCGCAGCAGCCTGTGACAGCCACTGCACTTGGCAACCTCATGGTGCACCTGGCTGTTCTGTATGATGATTCAAACGACAGTGCCCAGCAGCTGGTTAGTGCTGTCGTATCCTGACAGAATGCCTATTGTTAGCATATGCCCACTCAGTAATACGTTTCTACTTTCTCGGGTGTCTTTCCTTTGACGAGTACACTGCAGCACTGTCTTTTACATGAATATCAAGAGATTTTCAAGTATGCTGTGCGTTTGAAGAAAGTGCAATCAAAAGCATGTGGTACATGACACATTGGGCATATGTACTCTGTTGTGAACCGATCTGAGTTTGTCTTCAAGTATGGGACATTTGATCAATCTTACATGGGCATTCACTCCCGAATAAACGTGATACGTTGGGTCGCTCATCATGCGCTGGCACCCTGGAGGTTGATACGTGTAGTGTAACTAGCTCTTCATTGTATGCATCTCCTGTTCCCCCACTTTAGTATTAATTCATATCATGTCCTCTAATAGTATTTCCATTGTGTTTCTGCTGCCCAGATTCAAGTTTGCTCTGTACTACTGCGTCATCAGAAGTGCTTCCAGGCAGACATTCGAGCTAAGCCAGCGAACTGGTCCATTCGATTGAAACAATTTGTTACTGTGGTTGTCCGGTATGTGTTGTTATAGTTGTGTGTGTGTGCACGCGCGCGCGCGCGCGTGTGTGTGTGTGTGCATGTGCATGTGATGCAATCCCAGCACAATAACTATGACTTCTGCTGTAGCATCGCTATCATCGCCTCTGGCGATGGGCGTCAAAAGGTGTGTGCATGTATGTGTGTGTACGTGTGTATGCATGTTTGCTAGTATCTGCATCGGGACATGCCAGATAAATACTTCAGGTAATTTTGTTAGCGTACGGAAGCCCCTGATGTCTGCAATCTGTACTTCTGGTATGTGCACACACATGCATGCATGCACGTACACACACACACACGCGCACACACACACACACACACACACACACACACACACACACACACACACACACACACGCACATGCGCACACACACACATACACACACACACACACACACACACACACACACACACACACACACACACAACTTGTGTGCAAGCGTGTGCGTGTGTGTGTGTGTGTGTTGCTATTGTGCTCCCTTCTTATAAAGTTGTTGCATGGTTTGTTGATTGTTGCATGGTTTGTTGATTGTTGCATGCTTGTAGATTCCTGAGGCAGTACGCCACATCAGATAGTGTATCTATTTCCTCACCGCTGCGGTTGCTGGAAGTTCTACTTGACCCAAAGCCTTACAGCAATGCCAACACTGCAGTGCAAGGCCAGGTGGAAGACATGGTGTCGTCGTTGACGGTTCTTATTTGCCACAAGCAAGGTAGGTGTTTTCTTTTAACAGTCCCAGTATGTAAAGCGCAACTAGACCCAGATACATGGAGTGAAAATGAGTACATTTCCCAAACCTGGCTAGAATTTGTAGTGCATTGTACTGCATGCTTGCGCACGGCCGGCAAGCATGGCTGTACGTGCACAACTGTACCAAACAATTATGCATATGGAAAGGGTTGTTCAAAAGCATAGTCATTTTAGTAAAGAGAAAGGACCAATAAGTTACGAGTTATGAGTAACAGTCCACCACGGTAACACTATCAGACTGTGTAATATCTCTTACCTTGGTGGACTGTTACTCATACCTCGTAACTTATTGGTCCTTTCTCTTTACTAAAATACTATTGGCTCAACATCCGAGTTAAAATAAGCATAGACATTTTGATAACCGCAATCTATAAGACAAGCTGAATCGACATGTGTGTATACATTAAGGCGACACTGCGGCAATGAAAACGTGCTTTCAGCGTAAGATTCAGAACATCTATCTGAGGCTGGGTGTATCTCAATTTAAAACATTTAAACAAAGTGGTAAGTGGTCACTGCAAATTGCCCCTTGATATGGTATCTTATAAACGTATTACCTCTATCTGCGGACTGTACTGTTTCGTCATTGGTGGTCTCATCTAACATGTTATTCAGATTTGTAAACACTCTTGCCCATGGAGATCAGTAACTCGTGTAGTATCCTGTGTTGCTGTGTTGATTCGTTCCGTTCCGCTCAGGATATTTTTCCACCATGTTGAGTCTTCTTGTCAGCAAGCTGCCTGCGCCAGTCGAGTACTCCTCTCGTTCTCCATCTCCGTTTGCCCAGGCTCTACTTGGTGTACTGCTCTTGCCGTTGCGGATAGTGGGTTCTCATCGGTGAGTGGACCTCTGTGATGTACTTGCATGCGCTACTCTCCTACACTACTTATACACCGTGTGCTGAAGATAATGATAGAGTTTTGTAGAAAGCAACGTAAAGCCCAAACCCCAGTTATGCTACTGTAGTCCCGCCGTTAGCTCCCAAACTATCTTGTCCTGTGTGAGGTGCGTTATGGGCAGGGATTCAGGCCAATTCTTAAACTCTATTTTCCCGAAATTAAATGTTCCTATTCAGCTCTCTTGTAGGTTCATGCGTTCATGTTTTTGAGTGTACTATTGGCTATAAGTGAATATATTCCTGTCTTCTCCTGCAGGGACATTGTTGTTGAGCAGCTCTGCAAGGACCTGCTACCGCTAAGTTGTCACCCGGTTGTTCGCCTGTATGTCCTACCTGCCCTTTCGGACCACCTGTCCCTGTCTGAACTGGTGCGTGCGTCTCCTGCCATCAGCACTATCGGTGAATGCACCTCCACCCCGTCGATTCCATCCACAGATATTGGTCCTGCTGCTGCTCCTACACACCGATCTTCTAAAGTGTGTCACAGTATTTTCCCGTCGAGACAACCGGTTTGTTCCGAGTTGCCGGCTAACCCTACAGGCTGGGCACTGTACAGTCTACTGCAGGTTGTTGAGCAGTCTTACTTGGCACAGCGTAAGTCTCTGCTTATCTGCTGATGAAATTACTTCCAGGTAGCACCACTGTGCACTTGCTTCCTTTATAGTAGAAATCTAGCACCAATATGCCCTTCCTTTCATGGTATAGAAGTTAGGCAAATTACGTCATGGTAGTGAAGCAGCGGATTCGCTTATGGGCGCTAAGTGTACAACGTGAGTCGGCGGTTTCGCTTCAGCTATCATCGCCACACCATGCATTGCCAAAGCCTCTCAATTGATCATGTTATCACATAATCTCTGTAGACCTAGCGCCAATATGCACTTCCTTCCCTAGGCTGAAATCTAACAGCAATATGCACTCCCTTCCCTGCTATGAATCTAACAGCTATATGCACTCCCTTCCCTAGTTTGAATCCAACACCAATATGCTTTCCTTTCGCTAGTATAGTATGAATCCCACACTCCCTTTCACAGGGTAGCACTTGGCACATGATCACACTGATCAAACTGGTCATACTGCGCTGAGCTTGGCACATGTCAATTATACCTTGCTGTTAAAGTGTCACGCAGGGTGCTGGGTTTCACAGCTCATCTCATGATCGATACATGTACTGCGATATGTTATTGCTCCATTGGTATATCAACTGGTGTTCATGAAGATCCTAACCTTTCCTCTGTCATCACAATAATTGCCCAGAAGATGGATCTTGTCAGAAATTTAGTTTTAGTCAAGTGCAGTGAAATTTCAGGCAGTGTGTTCCAAATTTTCTCTTTCCATCGTGGGGTTACAGGGGAGCCACACGCAGTTCTCTAATGTGCTTTTCTTGATTTGTTGATTGCCTCCTTGCAGAGACGGATGCGTCACAGCTGGTCAGTGATATGTCTGTACTGTTAGAGGCGATCGCCACCGCAATGCCAGCGATAGCCCCAGCCGGTAAGGCCAGCATGTTTCACACGTCATCGCAATGCATTACTAGTGTTGGAGTGTTCCAGGGATTGATTGGATTCATCTAGGACCTGGAAGCTCTATCTGTATGCTTACTGCATGTGCTATTAAAGTACCGCCAGCGTTGTAATTTATTTCACATGAGCTTGTGAGCTGCTTATCTTCCTTTTCTTGCGTGTATTGTGTGTTGATATATCATTAGTGGTGTATGGTGTGCAGTATTGTGTGGTGACGTTATTATTTGGAGCGCTGGTATTATAGACATCATTGGAGATGGCTGACAACACTTTTTTTCTGGCCCTTTGCAGAAACGCCAAACGTAATGGTCGAGGACACTGCACGAGGTGTGGAGAACATGCAAATGGACGACTCCGATAGCGAAGCTGAAAACACCTGGAGCTCTCCAGAAGCGGTCAGCACTGTACTTGTTGTGATTGTTTTAAGTTGTTAATGCTAGGAAAGGAGATTGATATGGAATCTTGTGTCTGTCATAAGGGTAATTTCTAGGTCTCATGTACACTCACAGCTTCATACCTGATGTTGGTGCTTGACTAAGTTTGGACTTCACTACAGCCACAGCTGTGGAGTGTATCACTTCTACTGCATGCATTAGGATCTCATTGAAGTGTTTGAAAGGTTGCACTAAGTTGAGGTGGCTCATACCCATATCGGAAAATAAAAACTGAATACTGTAAAACATGTAATTTTCGGTGCAACTTTAATTTCGGTGATTTCGGTAGAGAAACCAGGCACCTAAAATCAAACTACACCTAAACGGCACTAGAGTATGCACTGTATGTGAAGGGAACGCTGGACCTAATTCTACATTACACCTACTTGTAAAACCTAGCAGGTCCCTGGCACCGGAATTTTAATGCACCTAATATCACATGTTTTACAGTATTCCTAGTACTGTTAGTCTGTTACTAAAATACTGCTTACCCAGCAAGACGAGACAACATCAGGCGGATAACACCGTCCATTCAGTTGATCCTTTCTGGTTTCTGCATCTGTGTACCTGGTACACTCATCAGCGAATGCGATTGTCCGCAGTAGATACATTTGCGTTCCATTTTCACAGTGTTTGCTGCCATTGAGTGTGCCACGTGTGTCGTTGGTTTGTATGGTCGGTCCCTTAGTCGTTCGTTTCCGCCGGTAGCTGCAGCTTCCGCTGCTTCCATTCCATCTAGGTAGTGGTTCATTGCATCACGTAGACTTAGCACTGTCCATTTCGTGGTAGTGCCTTTTTCTAATTCTAATTGAGACATAACTGATTTGGGTAATTTGGAGGTAATTGGCGGAATGAATAGTGCCTATGACGTGTCCTCATGTAGTGCACCTTGACTTCTGATATTTGCCTCGACGTCATTCAGGAATTTCCGCAATGATTCTTTTCAGCTAGACGGTTTTTCCAAATCGACTAGTGCCAAGTTATCATTTCCTTTTCCACATCCTCCCATGGCGCTGCAGGAACTTCCTTGCCATCTCTGAGAAGAATCGTTTTGCCGCTTGCACGACCAAGTGTCAGTTTCGTGACTTCGGAAGCTCTCTTGTTAATTCCGCATGTCGGAGTCATGTACCTGCGAAATGATTGCCTTGTGTCAGCCACATGACAGGCAGCAATCTGAGCAATTTGATACCCTTGGCCAAGCCCAGTGGTCTCAAGGTCAAAGACAAGTTGGTACACTGGTTCGCGAATGGCAGGTGGAATTTCCGTTGTGTCCATATCAATGTGTGCAACTGAACTCCCGGATTGATACTGCGTCCCTTCTCTAACTTCGTTCGATGCTTGCGATGATTTCCGGTTGGCCTTCAGTTCTAATCTGCGCCGGCAAAACTGTCTTGTCGACTTCCTCGATGTGTGCCTTTGCTTAGCGGATTCGATGGAGTTTGCATGCGCCTGTGTGTGACTGCCCGGAGAGAGTCCTACCGACTCATTCACAGTGCATACATACGATGCTCCTATGTTCTTCGAGGCCACCCCACAACCAAGCCGGAAATTGTATGCTTCGGACTCTCCGAAAAGCAATCTCTTGGGTGCCACGGTCGCAAAGGTTGAATTCAAAGATTCGCTGTGGTTTGAACTACCGCATGGAGCCAGTTTCTCAGCTGTTGTTTGCCTGCTTTTCAAACAGCTCCTCCAAAAACTTGCACAATCCCGGCGACTGTAGGGGCTTTCTGCGAGGTAAACCTTTGTACTGGTATTTCGTGGGATCCGGTAGCTTGCGTGCCTTGCACCATTCACCACAGAGATCATGGGGGCCATACAGGTGGTTGGTGACATTCAGAAGACTGCCTCGCCCTCAGTCGGCAATGCTTCATCATCCTGGGAACACAATGTAGGATTGTTTGATCTTGCTCAGCGCTGTCGTAATCGTAATTTTCAAGTCCAGGGGAAATCTATGACTTTCACTGATTTCACCGCGCCACAAATTCTTCAGCGACGAAGAGGCTCCAGAGGAGGGCTTCCTAGGCCGAACCATCTCGTCAAATTATCCACAACCTGAGCTCGGGCACAAGTAACTTGGCTTCTTCACACAATTTGAAGGCTTCTGACTGCATTTGACAAGAATGAAGTTCAAAAATATTTGAGATGAAATTCGCGCGACTTCGATTCCGTGATCGAAGTTCACCGAATGCGATGATTAAAGGGGAAGTTAAGGGGGTTCGGGACAGTTAGGCCCAAAAATTTAATTTCAACATCAGCCCAATCTGACATCAGGTTTGAATAGGTACAGCCTTATATTTTCGCTTAGTAACATCAGTTTTTCAATTGCCCGAATAGGTCTTGCCAAAAACACAATTTTCCTTGATGACACAAAATGACACAAAATCCCAAAATTGATGAGAAATCGTCCATAACATCAGTTAGGACAGAAAATATGACATAAAATTTAACAGACTGTTCGAGGTATTGACTAAGATGATATCAACACCGAAAAATGTACACTTTGGTTGACGATGGGATCCAGGTCGTCATTTCCTGGAGAAGAACAAAAATACGCAAAAAATGAAACTTTGAATATTTTTTGCAGCTTATTTTTGAGTTTGCCCCATATGTGGATACTTCAAACACGTTCTATAAGTGGGTTGGAACAGGTTTACCGCGGCGAAAATAGGGGTCACCGTGCATATTCTGGAGAAAAATCCAAAAAACTGTCAAAATTTGCCTAAAATTGGTAAATTCACGTATCTACATGTATATTGCTTGTACTTCTCTGCTGCTGCTTTGGTCATAGCTTATTGGATTTTTGGCTGTTAGGTGTTGCATAAACTCACTAGAGCCCTCGGCGTTCAGAACAATACAAGGATGGATAGCTGAACTAGTAAATTTGCCGGAAAACCCTGGGTGCACGCATTATCGATAGGTACTTTTCTCCATGATTACTCTCCTGTTGGCACTTGGTTGTGATACATGTACATGTAGCTATGATAGCGCTTAGCACTGCCCCATATCAAACTACAATGAAAGCTGACATGTTGGAACGAATCAGACAACATTGAGTCCTCTTGTTCTTCAACTATGTGAGCTAGAACGTGTCCCCACACTGGCAAAAATGATGGTATTTTACGGTGCGCACAAACAAGTGAAGCACTGTGCCACAGGGCGTTCCTTACAGTTGGGTTGCTGCTGGTTCTTCGCTAGGTGTTCAGCCACCACTAATATAATATTCCTTGAGACTGTCACCCGCTTCTTACCTCCGACTTGCTCCTTCATCAGTCTGGAAATGGCTGGCTCACCACTTCGTTTGTAGGACAAGACAAAGTGCTTCATCACCAACCCACTGGCAGCTGCCCGCACTGCAACTGATTTAGAGAAGCACGTTGCTTGGACCAACGGTTGAAGGGTGGCCAGCCGCTTTTGCTGATGTTCTGCAAACTCCATCGCCGAACATGCTGATGCAAAAGTGACAGAGTGCTACAGGATACTGGCATCAGGGCGAGCTTCGACAATTTCAGCTAGGGCCGCAACATCCGCAACAGCATCATGAGCAGCGAACTCATTCCCAACGATGAACTATAAATCAATCTGAGGCTGTAGCTTGGGAGCTCCGGTATCGCGATTTAGTGATCAGAGTGTTCACCAATCACAAAATGCACACCATTGACACACACATCCGTGCACACATACACACACACACACACACACGCACACACACGCACACAAACACACACACACATGCATGCTCTCACACGCAATAGAACACACGCGCGAGTACACACACATACATTCACGCACGTGTGCGTACCCACCCACATGCATGTGCACACTCATGTGCATGAGTGGAGATGCCCGCATACACATGTCACACCAACATGCCCTGGGAGCGGTCATGCACGTGTGTATAGTATGTGTGCGAGGGCACGTCCACATGAGTGCATGCTCATACATGCGCATGGTGCACACATGCACAAACATGCAGGTCTATGCAAACACACAGACGCTCGCGGCCGCCGCGCATACAGTGTGCTCATACATTTCCATAGCCATAGGGTGGCAATGACTCGCAAATATCATGAATAAATCTTATGAGATTGAAAAACGCACTTACCCAAAGCAGCTTTGGTGTTGCTTGTGGAAGCAGGGTGTTGAGCAGTTACAGGGCTATCTGTATCTATAAAATTCTCCATCCCACACTGCTGACACGGAATGACAAGTACGCTGCCCAGGTTGTACCTCTTCTCTTCAACGCAATCAATGAGCGCCAGAGGTTTGCCACATCCAGGATTCTGGCACGCAGACAATCCCACAGCCAGATACCTGAGATGAACGATTCGTCGACCGTGAAGAGGGGCACTGAACGACCTCTTCGCGGGAGTCGAATCCAGTGGCGTTAGTGATGGAGATCGCCCATTCCGTTTTTCAGGAACTCGATCGATTGTTTGAGTTTGCGAAGCGTCCCCCTCCTCGGCTTCTTGCATCGTCCAGTACGCAGAATGAGAGGCCGCGTCGTGGGTGACGGATTACTCTCCCGCGTCTTCATCTCCACGACACGTCGGCAGGAGAACCGAGCTATCCAAAAACCGCCAATGTCAAAACAAATCCGCAAGTCCACTAGTGGCTGAGCTTCTTCCTCAAATCTTGTCTCGACTCGAGCACGCGCTGCGAAGCCATGGTCAAACTATTTTCTGTGCATGATCGCGTCCCATTTTTCCACTCCGAAAGGCATTATTTTTCAAAAAAAAATTCGGAAATCCAACATGGCGCTAACCGTCGCGAACCTCCTTAAGGTAAAAATTAAAATTTCACCAGTTGTAGTCTTCGGGGTGCTGAGTCGAATGGTCTTGGTCCGAGAAAGCTGAAACGCTCCCTTCCTACTTGAATCCCAATCGAACTCGCGCACTTCCACCGAAACTGGGTGACTGCGCCCTACTAGATGGGGATTTGTATGCAAAATGTCACTAAAAGCGCCATTTCGTTGTTATAAAAGCACGGATGACCGCGATTGGCCCATATGCTGTAGTCTTTTGGACGCTGAGTCGACTGGTTTTGGTCCGAAAAGGCTGCGATGCAGCGTTCCTCCTATATTCCCAATCGAACATGGTTGAAGAAGCGGTCACGTGCTCCTGCGTACACCAGTCACCTGGTCACCGTGCCTGCAGGGTACAGCTTACTAGCCTGTTTGACCTTTTTTGGGTGCAGTCCTGTCACTCGAGTTGAACCTTGGTGTGAAAGTTGTCGCCTGCTGGCGTGGTGACCAGGTGATTTGGGCACCCAGGAGCACGCGACCGCTTCTTCAACCATGTTCGATTGGGAATAAAGGAGGAACGCTGCATCGCAGCCTTTTCGGACCAAAACCAGTTGACTCAGCCTCCAAAAGACTACAACATATGGGCCAATCGCGGGCATCCGTGCTTTTATAAGAACGAAATGGCGCTTTTAGTGACATTTTATATACAAATCCCCATCTAGTAGGGCGCAGTCACCCAGTTTCGGTGGAAGTGCGCGAGTTCGATTGGGATTCAAGTAGGAAGGGAGCGTCTCAGCTTCCTCGGACCAAGACCATTCGACTCAGCACCCCGAAGACTACAACTGGTGAAATTTTAATTTTTGCCTTAACTTCCCCTTTAACACCTTATCGTCCAAAGTCTCTGAAGTGTGTCGTTATTCTTGTACTGCATGTTGTACCTGGTTGGAACCACTGTCCTGTTTTCGCCAACTCATTGGCTCAGGTAAAGACACCTATAGCACGGTGAAGACACCTATAGCACAGTGGGAGGGACTAATGTGTATGTCAAACATTTTTTATACATTCTGAGGGGAGGGAGGGAGGAGTTGGGTTGAAACGAAATTAGTTCGTTTTGTGATAAAACATTGGTATTTACGGACGGCCCTTAATCTGATATTGTTTTGCTCATACACGAGTACCGTATATTCTCTATTATAAGCGCCGTGTTTATATTTTTTCAACACCCCTCTACCCCGTGCTTATATTGGAGACCGCGCTTATATTGGAGACCGTGCTTATATTGTTTCAACCAATACATCCATACGGAGCAAGAAGAAATACATGCTGGATATCATGCATGCAGCATTGATTTCCACCAAGACCGTGCTAATAATAGAGACAGTGCTTATAATGTTTCGAAAGGTGCTCACAGTGTGCTAGTATTAGAGACTGTGCTAGTAATGGAGACCTGTGCTTATAATAGAGAATATACGGTATGTATCTGCTGTGGTCGTGTTGCTTTTCCTTGACAGGTGCTGGCACCGCGCATTGCAAAGTATCTACACATGTTCTTCCTGCAAGGGCAGTGTGAGCGGCTGCTGACGAATTCCGACCTGTGCCGTACGATTGTCAGGCTCATCGACAGTACCAGTCACGCTAATGGCAAGCTGAACGGGTAAGTAAGCTACAGCTGGCCTGGGTGGTGATCATGGTCATGTGATGAATCCTTACCAGAAAATCTGTCACTACTTCAAAGTAGTGGAACTGCACAGCCGGAGACTGCATTGTGTGAGCCAGGTTTATGACAGTCAAGACGGGCCCACTGTACGGAGTGTCAGATACGAAAACCAACTCCACTGTACAGAGTGGCAGACACGAAAACCAACTCCAGGCCGATTTAAAATCATGTTCAAGCCTGAATTTGGCCCAAAGTTGTGTTTGCAAAGCAGAGCGTCTCCTTTTGCTCTGGATGGACTATAGTGTACACACTAGTAGTATATCAGCCTAGTTAGCCTGTAAACCTCTTGGTCAGGATGCTCCTGTATGTAGCGGTATGGTATGGTGAGGGCCTTTCTCGTAATCAAGTACTGGTACATGGGATAATAATTGCAAGTGGCCTAACTATTTTCTTTTCTTGCATTCTCTCTTTATCTCTCGTATGAAGGCAAATCTTCAAAGGACTTACGTCAATCTGTTCTCACTACCTGCTGTATAAACCGTCTCGATTCCGCCAATCAAAGTAAGTCCTGCTACACTGTGTATGTATGTGGGTGTGTGGGTGTGTGGGTGTGTGGGTGGTTCATGTCAATACAGTCAACCTTGCGAGTAACAACCCTCGGTCGTGCATGAGAATGTGTTGTTATTCGTGAGGTTGCAAGTATGCAGTCAACTATGCAGTCAAATGGTTGCTAGGTCTGAAGATTGTGTCGTTTTTCATGAGTTATTATTCACAAGGGTGACTGTACTCATGTTATTCACAAGGGTGACTGTACTCAATGCCCTGATGATGCCCAATGGGCGAAATATTGGCAATCCTTTCATTCATCTTGTGCAGCTGAGAGCCTCTTCGGGGAATGGAGGTGTTTGCAAGTGGAAAGAAAGCACTGCAGTGAGCAGGGAATTACATTATAATAATAATAACAATGCCCTGGTAGAAACTGATTGGCCATTGCATTGGCAATAAGGTTGTGGTTTGTTTGAGTGTGTCATTTCGGAGCTTTCACTTCTCTGTTGTTGTCCGACGTTCAGGCTGTTTGAAGACTTGTGCTATCGACCACGGATATTGCGCGAGTTGTGGAGACACATCAGTACTTGTACGCTGTCAGCACCCAGTGGGTGAGTGTTGTCCTGGCAGTGAGTACATTTTAATTGTCTGTAGTCAGTGCAGGGCAGCAGAAGCAGCACACTGATTTTACCCAGTATATGTAGCTATGCAAAAGACCTTACGTGGTGTCGTCTGGTGCTAGCCAGGGTCCTCATTGCTTTCTTTCGTCTATTTGTATGTGTTTTGTTTGTTTCTGATCAGTGACAAGACATTGCTGCTGGACTTGATCAAGAACAGTGTGTATAGTCCGGCACCGAGTGTGGCCAAGTTCTTTGTCGACCACATCTCAACGTTCTGTGCTCTCCTGATCGTGCACTTGTCGCAAGTGGACGCCGACGCCTTCAGGACCGGCAACATGGTGTTCTCCATAGGCGAGTTGAGTAAGATCAGCGCGTCCTTGCTGGACGTCAGCCTGTCTCTGCTCCGCTCGGACACACTCGGCGTTACCAAGATCGTCGCCGAGTGCTTGGCACTGGACCTGGCCGTAGTGGGCCGCTTTGCCACACTGCCTGCATTACACACACAGCAGCGCTTGATGTCTATGCCAGCAGCACAGAAACACAGCAGCAGTGTAACACCGTACTCATGGGCCATGTGCTTTCAGGTGAGAACTGTCTCTAATGTCTTTGCTGTGTTGTGATTTGTGTTCATCATTCTCATTTTCAAACTGTGTAGCAGCGAACTTTGCATGCACAAAGTCTGAACTACCCCGTGACACGAGCAGTTGACGTCCTAACCTTGGTGTAAAGCACTATTGCATGCTGAGATGTCAGGAAATGTAACACAACCATGTGTATGTGTATGCTTGTGTGTGTGTGCACGCCTGTGTCTGCATATTGTGTGTGTGTGTGTGTGTGTGTGTGTGTGTGTGTGTGTGTGTGTGTGTGTGTGTGTGTGTGTGTGCGTGTGTGTGTGTGTGTGTGCGTGTGTGTGTGTGCGTGTTGATTGCATTCCTCAGCTGATGTCCAGTTTCTTACGCTACCTCCATGCTCGTGATAAACGTACACCAGTGTTCCACCCTATCCACTGGCAGATCAGACAGTCCCAGTTTGACTTTGACAATTTTGCTCTGGTAAGGATAAGAGATAGGGTTATGTTTACTTAGGACATTGGTCAAGGCCAAGTGAAAATGGCTTGTGAATTTGCGACTTTATTTATTTACTGCGTGCATAGACATTTTCTTAGAATTCATGCCACTCCAACGCATACAACCATTTACTCTTTACTTACTCTCAACACTCGCACCACATAATATTTTTGTTGCTAAAATATTCACTTCCCGTCGCCTGTCTGCGGCAGCTCTGATGTAATCCAAGAAGTTTGCCATGGCAGACACTTTTGCAGAAGCTGCATGAAACGTGCATGTGTTGCAATGCTGAATGCAATAGTCCCTGGTTGCATCTTGTTTATGCCTTTGTGGTGCACGTTACATGTCTTGCTGAGCTGCGTTTTTCACTGAGTGCTGTGTTGGTGATCACGTGCCCTTGCAAATAGGTGGATCCTTCAAAGGTCTTCCCTGAAGGTAGTGAAGGTGAGTCGAGGACTGCAGTGTATGTGTGTGTGTGTGTGTGCATGGTATACACCTCATCAGTATATCATGCCCTGTATTGGACTGTGTGTTGTACACATCTATAGCGCTACTCAGTTGCCATGCCCACACCTTGGGCGTCTGCATGCAGTCATACGTGTTCCGCTTCGCCACGGGTATCAAGTACACGTCATGCAGCACGATGTGTGCCGTGTGTTCTCTAAATGTGCCCAGTCCGAAGTATGAATGTTCTAAGCTGTACATAGGCCCGGTGCCAATCTCCTACACTCAGGGTCTGATCAGTATTCTCTCATTTCAGTGGGACATTGAATTCATTTCATGTCTCAATTCTCAATTCAATTGATGTCTCAATTCATTTCATGTCTCAATTCTCAATTCAATTGATGTCTCAATTCTCAATTTATTTGATGGGAAAGTCTATGTAGGAAAGAAGCCTGTGTATGAGCCGTACTGTCCATTGGCACTTCTTGGGCTTTTGTCGCACTCTTTGATTGCAAGTTATGCGAGTTCTAATGGTGGTCTCTGTCTTCATCTATCTACGCAGGTGTAACTCCAGCAACGATGGCCTCTGCTCAGACGGTCATCATTCTGCGAACAATGCCGTTTGTGACCCCGTTCATGGAGCGCGCTCGGGTATGGCATATGGATTTCTTCTCGGCGGTTGCGTTGTGAAAATTAATCTCATTCAGGCTAAAATTCACCATGGCTGCTGAGCAGCTCTCCCTGTGTCGAGTTACAGTGGCAGGAACACAGTATATGAAGTCTTCACGTTTTGAGATGTTGCGGCAGAGGTCATGATTATTCGGTAAAATAAAATAAAAACTTGATCACTGTCTGGAGAGTGGTAATAGTTATTATGCGTATCATCAACAGCAGTGTCCTCACTGTGGTCACTAGTGGTATATGAAGGACGTGTTGCTAGGCTGAGAGTGCACTGTGCTGCTGCCGGTGCTGGGTTTGGGGTGAAACGCCTATAGTGTGTGTGTGTGTGTGTGTGTGTGTGTGTGTGTGTGCGTGCGTGTTGTACATTGTGCGCTGTAGTTGTTCCTGGACCTCATGCTTCAGGACCGGATGACGCTGGAGCATTCAGTGTTCCGTGAGTTTACCATTCGCGTCCGTCGCAGTCACGTCTATGACGATGCTTTCTCACAGCTCAGCCCCATGGCAGGTAGGCAGAACATAATCGATGCTCTTCTTTATCTTCTTTCGGGTTTGCATTGTACTGTCCAGTGGTACGGTGGGTACAGTAGTATAGTGGTGATAACTGAATGCCGACCCCTGGATGTTTTACGTACGAGTGCTACAGAGCTAAAACGAATTGTAGCGAGTACTGTACATGCACTGTACATGCATGCTGGTATGCCAGCAAAGCGTGATCCTGATAGGACTAGAGTTGATTTTTTTCTCTCGCTTCAATTTGCTTTCCGTGCCTTTTTGCAGTCCCAGACCTGAAGACTGATCTGTCCATTCAGCTGTTCAACTTCCAGGATCTCAGTGAAGCAGGCATCGATGGTGGCGGTGTGTTAAGGTTAGTACTATTTTCACACTCTACTTCACCCAGCATACATGTACCTTGCTATGCATTTGTGTATCTACGTGCCTGGGTGCACCTGTTGAGTCCAGGACTTCCGGTGCGGTTACTGGCCAGCTGTCAGCTATCAGGGCCTCATTGCCTGCTTTTCGTGTTGGTCCTCTCATTGGTGCCACGGTGTCTTGTTCTTTCAGGGCTGCGTCAGTTCTCTTGTTGTTCACCTAGTGGTGCGTCGGCCTACATGAGTCAGGCACTGATTCCTATTTAGCATTAGCTTAGGTCTTTTAACCCTTTATTGGCTGGCCTATACATTGATCGAACACCGATGTTCGATGGGGTAGACATTTTGAAATTATCGTAACTTGGTCAAATCTCGGTCTTTCGTAGAAATCGAAATATGTAGGTCGAAGGGAAAACTCTCAGCTGTCTCCTCAAACAATTTTCAAAGCGATACAAAGAGCGGTTCTTGAGTTATAGCACTCGTAATGTTGGTCCCGGGAAATTTGCGCTCAGAGCTCGATGTGTGGGTCAACGGCCGGGATTTTCCCTGCTTACGTCACCTGTTGACAAGACTACACTGATTCAACTTCAGAAGCAGGTTCCCGGGAGTCTCACGAAAAATTTTGAGTTTGATACGAGCAACAGGAGTGAAATGGTGGATAGAGATAGATCTCGAGCGTGGGCCCAGCGCTGGTGGGCCTTCCCTGGCTTGCAGCGCTGGGCCAGTGCATCCCGTGGAGTCGAGTGTACGCTCATTGCGCTCCTCTCGCCAAGGCCTTTCCAGGATGCCCAAGATCGTGGAATTTGTCCAATGCAAACTAAAGTTACGTCCAATTTAGGTACAGGTTTGTCGATTGCGTGGGCTTGTTTGTATTTTAATCGGCCAATAAAGGGTTAAAAGTAAAAATAAAATAGAAAAGAAAAAGGACCAAGGAACTACAAGTTACTCTATAATGTCCACTAACACCACCAGTTACTAAACAATCAGCTCATGTGATAACACGATTGGTCCTTTTTCTTTTCTATAAATTTATCCTTGGCTCTCCACCCGAAAAAAAGTGAAAACTGACATTCATCATCATCACCATTGCGTTGCTTGCTTGTCGTGTTGTCCACCACCACCACCTGTAGGGAATTCCTGACCATCTTCGTCCAGGAAGCGTTTGACAGCACTCGTGGACTGTTTGTGTACACCGACGACAAGCACATCTATCCTAATCCAGCGGTGAGTTTTGAGAGAAGAAAACTGTGTGCCAGCACTCGGGTACGGGTCATGGCACGCTCACGTGTAACTCCTGACCATCTTCTTGGTGTTGGCTCCCAGGATTTCAGCTCTGACCTGGTTAGGGTTTGATATGTGGTGTGTGGTACGACCCCTGACGGTACTTCTAACACCCAAGCTAGAATCTGACTGAAGCAGCCTTGGGCATTTTCAACATATTGGAATCGTGTGCCCATTGTCTACCTATCTGCAGACAAAACTGTATTATAGCGATAATACAATGTACAGTGTTGATCAATGAAATCCGGTCGCGTTCCTCAAGTTTGCGCCATGTGTCTGAGCCCATTGTGCGTGTGTGTGTGTGTGTGTGCGTGCGTGCGTGTGTGTGTGCGTACATGTGCATGTGTGTGCGTACATGTGCATGTGTGTGTGTGTGGGCATGCTTGCATGTTTGTCTATGTGTATGTGCGCATACTTACTCATGCGTGATCTACACAGGTTTATTCGCTTGGCATGTATAACGATCCAGCTATTCACTATCACTTCCTGGGTAAAATGCTTGGAAAGGTGAGCAGTGCACTATTGGTCTCTGCCGCGCACTTGTGTAAACCGTGTTTGCTCAATACAGTCAACTTGGCTAATAACGACTGCGGATATAACGACAATTCGCGAATAATGACCGAATTCCCATGCCCGGAGCAAAGTCCCATCCAACTGTATTTATTTAACTTCGGATATAACGACTATCTGAATAACGACAATTCGCGAATAGCGACATGCTTTTAGTGCCCCGAGGTAGTATTCACTGCTTGAACAAGGACTTTCTGGGCTTTTGACAGCTATTTCAAGTACCTGTCAGTCAAGTACATGTACCTGTCATGCAGAAGTACCAGAACTTATAGCTATGGTGATGGATAAAGAAAAGAAAATGCAGCCAAGGGGGGGGGGGGGGCTTTTTCTTCCTTTTTTATTTTGCTTCAAACGTGTTGGATTTACCAGCACACCTACATGCATGTAGTTGTACATGATTGTAAAGTCATCTTCATACATGTACATGTCCCTGGCCCTGTAGATGGCTCAAAAAGGCATATTTTTCATAATATTTCCCTTGCATATGGAATTTTTAGTTCCTTTCAACTGCAATATGAAAATAAAGTACACATTGACATAGAGCAAGAAAAGAGCTTGATTTTGATATGCATGTCATGAAGAGTGCATAAACAACTGTTTATGGACTCTTGATGTCATACTATACAAAATATGGGCGCACATACATTCAAATGGGACTTCGGTTATAAGTACACTTTTCTGATGCCCCGCCGAATGTCGTTATTCGCGAAGTTGACTGTAGTGGGATGTCGCCGATGTACTGTATGGGCTTTGTGGAGTTGTGTGAAGAATCACAGCTGATTTCATGAGAGCAAGCGGTGTGTTGGCCGGCTGCACGCCTGTTGAGCTTTCCCACTGGCATTGGCTTTGCACTTCTCCTTTATCCTCTATGTAAAAAAAAAGTAAATGATTGTGTCCGTTCCCGAAGGGAACTCACGACGGCCGCTAACACCCATCCTCTATGTAGAACCTTTTATTCCCGTCTCGTGTTGTAATTGCGTGTGTGTGCGTGTGTGTGTGTTTTTTGTGTGTGTGCGTGTGTTTTGTGTGTGTGTTTTGTATGTGGTGTGTGTGGTGTGTGTGTGTTTGTTTGTGTGTGCCACTGGTCTCTATTGTTGTGTGTTGGCATGAGAAGGTGTTATTTGAGAACCTGCTGGTGGACTTGCCGTTCGCCAGTTTCTTCATCCAGAAAGTAATTGATGGTGCATCCGCACCGTTGTCGCTAGACCACCTTGAGTCACTTGATCCGGAGGTTTACAAGTAAGGAGGCATCATGGCTAATGCTGTGCATGCAGAGTGTATTGCTCTTGTCTATGTTGGATATTCTGCTCTTGTCCGGTGTACATTGGCTATACTGTCTGTAGGACAAGTATGCATTGTGGTGCTGTATGTCCTGTAGTGTATGTACTGCGCTGTTATATGTAAGATGTAGCAAGAGTAAATAACTTAAAATAAGCTCCCAAGAGTGTGCAACTCTGCATACAGGGTCTCCGATGGCAGAAACTCACATCACGTGTTTCAGGTATGTTTCGTACTACGTACAACGAAGGCCAGCGTGTGCGCAATTCCGAATGTCTGTCATGATCATGCTGAGAACTCGCATACGCTGAGTGGGATTCTGTCGGGGAGTGCTATTGTGATTGCTCCGCTGCTCATGTACAATGAGTATTTTCGTAGCATTTTGCCTCCAGTTCGAGAGTATCAAGCTTGATAACCATAGCTACGGTTTTGTGACAAATCGGTGTGCTGTTTGGCTTCTGTACAGGAACCTGTTGTACATGCGAGAACATGAGGACGGTGTGGCGGATCTCTTCTTGAACTTCACGGTTGTCAATACGAGCCTTGGGAAGGCCGATGTTGTTGAACTGAAACCAGGCGGCGCCAACATTGCTGTGACTCGTGAGAACTGTGCCGAGTACATTGCCGCTGTGGCTAATTACAAGCTCAATACCCAGGTAAGGTGCAAGGGACCGTCCGGGGTTACGGATCGTTTTTATAAAACGAAAAGTTTTTTGTATTTTTCAGCCCCACCCACCCACCCATCTTTTCTGCAGGTATAACGAATTCCAATAAAATATTGATGTCAATTTTCGACACCCAGAAGTGACTGGGCTTTCTCCATCTGCATTTGATAATTATTTTCAAAATGAAACTTAATGGGCAGCTTCAGCCTTTCACATGTCCTGGAGGTGAGCAGAGAGCTCGGCGCACTTTCTCTTCCCTACTGAGTACCTGAAGGGCTTCAATACACAAGCAGATAGTGTAGTTCAATGATTTTTCAGTAGGACCTATTTTGTGTTTCGGGCCAGTTGTTGAAGTTGTCCCATATTTTCCATGCTATGCACCTCGTGTGCTCTTTTCCCAGCTTCATATCTGCTCTATTATTTTTATGTGTGTGCGCGTGTGCTTGCGTGCATTTTTTGTTGTGTGTAGCTTGAAAGCCAATGTGCAGCATTTCGAGAAGGGTTTGCATCAGTTGTCAACATCTCTTGGTTGCGTCTGTTCACAGCATCTGAAGCTCAGGTTAGATATGCACTAGTGTACACCCCACTAGCAGCTCAGCCTGGCCAATATCACTGATGTGCACTAGTGTACATCCCACTAGCAGCTCAGCCTGGCAACTATCACTGCTAGCTAGTGCCCAGTGTCCAGTGGGGGTCCCCTCTGCCATGCATTGTGCTGCTGTGTGTACTTGTATGCTGCTACACAGTACACTGGAACATTTCCACATTATCTCTGTATGGTAGAAGTGTGCTTGTAAGACATACTGGGACAGGTAAAGACTCTGGACTCAATTCCCCCTGAGCCATTTCAGAGAAGTAATGTGTTATATGATATCAGTGCTTGGCCGTACTGTACTGTGCAGCATTGGCTTGACAGCTGTCTGTATTGATTGTGTGTGTGTGTGTGTGTGTGTGTGTGTGTGTGCGCGTGTGTGTGTGTGTGTGCGCGTGTGCGTGTGTGTGTACATGTGGATGTGTGTACATGCGTACACATGTGTGCGTACGTGTGTTCATATTCACGGGAATTTTTCTTGTGCGGCCTTGATCAGATCTTGATATCCGGTGCACAAGTTCCTCTTGATTTGGAGGATTTACAGAACAACACCCACTACTCAGGTAAGAACTCTCACAGCAGTACTCACTGTACTGCCAATTGTTGTAACTACTGGACTAGTACATGCACTAGTGCTGCAGCATTTTGTGTCGTTTACTTCACTACAATTCTGGGCGCAGAAATTCGACATCGTGAAGAAAGTATCTCCGCGTTCAAGTGCATTGAGTCGTGTGGGTTGCTTTAAGGCCGCGTAGCACCCGACGATATTTTATTCATGAGGTCGAATTTCTCTGCCCAAGACTTTACTTGAGCCGTCTGTAATTACATGCACCCTCATATGCATGGACAGCACACATCTAACCAATATTGTGGAACTCCTACTAGTATCTTGAGCTGCTATGGAGAATTTTCTCCCTTACATTTCCGGCGGAAGAATGATCAAGTGTGTATGTCTTTCTGCACTTATCATGAACAATATTGTATGATCAAGTGTGTATGTCTTTCTGCACTTATCATGAATCAAGTGTGTATGTCTTTCTGCACTTATCATGAACAATAGCAAGTGTACATAAGTTACATAACCCCCTAGAGTGTTCAAAACCAGCTATGGGGTCTGCGATGGCAGAACTTCACATCGCATGGCAAACCCGTTCACATTGTTTTGCACCCTGTGCGTGATGGATAAAGGGCTGCACACAGCCCTGCTTTTTGTTCAACTCTCTGCTGGTCACGTCAGCATTGCAACATGTTGCCTATTGTGTTGTACATGTACATGTACCTGTAGGAGGCTATCACGAGACTCACCCGACCATTCTGTTGTTCTGGGACGCTGTGAAGACATTCACCAACGACCAGCTGCATCTTCTGCTCAAGTTTGTTACAAGCTGTTCACGTCCTCCTCTGTTTGGATTCAAGGTATTGGATTACAGCTGTTGTTTACCTGGCCAGAATGTTACTATGCTGTTAGGAGTTTGTTGTCACTCATGAGTAGTCATCAGTACCAAGAGTACATGTACAATGTCCATTAACCCTTTAACCGTCAGACCATACATTTGTGGGTCGAATTCGACCCATCATTTGAAACACTCGCACTGGAATGATTTTTTACCCACGATAGAAAATTTACTATCGATTCGGTCGCGAATTTTCCAGGCTTTCTGTTGCAGAAATCCGCGTTGAGCTACGATGTAATGGAGGAGAGTTATCAAGCTCTGAGTACTGCACGCTTGTCACTTCCGCTGCGCTGGGCGCGCGGCTAACGTCGTCACGGGATTTCCCCGTTTCTTCACGCGCTCTGTGACTGTTGCTCGCGACCAACGTATTCCACACGAAATGCTCGATCTTTCAAAAAAAATTTGAACACTCTACGATGAAGGAGACGGCCATGGCGGAGTTTTGAACTTGTCCTTTGCATGCCTGGCGTTGAGACGACGTCGCTGCGTTCCAGCGCTGGTTGTGTGACTGCTGAGGCGAAGAATGTGGTATCATCGTGCTGGTCTCGTCCAGAGCTTTCCAACGAGCCCAAGATTATAAAAATCGAGTGAGTACAACTAAAGTTATGACCTGGCAAAGTTGAAATTTCGTTCGGCGTTTCAATGGGTGAAATTTATATGACGGTTAAAGGGTTAACAAGAATTTGCAACTCCGCAGCTGGTATGGTCCATGGTGGATTTTTTTGTTGACATCACCTTTTTTTCAGAACCTTAGACACATGTCGTACAAAGCACGCGCAAAGCATGCACTGGAAGACGGCTTTCATCGCGAGTTTGTGTTTTTGCCGCTTTCACGAAAATTCAACTTTTCTCCTGCTTCTATAGCTGTTTACCGTAATCGTAGTGCGAGTTTAGTGAAACCCTGCCGAGTTCACGTGGCCACAGACTCCGATAGTGCATGTCTCGTACGGGATGACTCATGATCTCCAGAAAAAGTGACGTTGTGGGCCAAACCATGCAGAGTTGCTTGTTTTTGTTTTTTTACAAGAAAACCAAAAGCCATCATGGTGCAAACGCCAGCAAAAACGCACAGAGATACACATAGCGACGATTTGTATCTAACTACTGTTGCTAGTACAAGTACACGTACGGACATGCATATTGTTAGATTGACAGCATGAAACAAGTTGGAGGACACTGTGTTCGGAAACTCCACCTTGTTTCATGCTGTCAATCTAACAATATGCGTGAACTATAACAAGGTTTATCTAATACTAGTTTTGAACTAGTATTGGGTTATAATACAACCCAACAGTACGCTTGTACGTGAAATATAAACCGACATACAAACCGAGGCGAAGCCGAGGTTTGTATGATGGTTTATATTTCACGTACAAGCGTACTAGTGGGATGTATTATACTTATGCTGACCTTCATACAAACTGACAGTCAACTAACTTCTTCCTGTTTCTATGGTGGCGGTCTATATCAGTATATGGGGTTTGTATGGGGTTTGTATGAGGTTTATATGGGAAATATAGGCCTCGTAAAAGACCTCGGCGGACCTCGGTCTTTTACTCGGCCTATATTTCCCATATAGACCTCGTCTTGGTCAATATCCTATACATATAATACTAGTACGGACATGTAGTACTAGTACGGACATGTACTGGTGTAGCCATCTTATGAACCATAAATCATAGAATCTCTTTCAGTAAAAAAAAGAACCACTAAAACAAGAAACTGAAGGCGAACATGGTACATGTGTCCGTGTGTGTGCATGTGCAGGATTTCCATCCGCACTTTGCTATTCACAACGCGCTGAGCAGCGAACGCCTGCCTACAGCCAGCACGTGCATGAACCAGCTCAAGCTGCCGCCGTACGAAGACCTGGCGACACTGCGTGACCGTCTGCTATACGCCATCACGTCTGGAGCTGGCTTCGAACTGAGCTAATAGTTTCACGTCCGTATCCTATTCCCCATTGTGCCCTGTGTCTAGTGTGTCTTGTCACAGGCACTATACAGTACACGTACCATTATAAATATTACCGTTCCAGCCAGCCAATCTCATGAACTGTATCATCATATCCTGAAATCATGCATATCCCGTCATTTGGCAAGTCTCTGGTAGATTGCCGTCCACATTGTGTCATCGTGCATCAAAATGTTCTATCCAACATCTACAACACGTTCAACACCAAATTGCTTTTTATCTGCTCCACAGCCGTTGAACGGTACCCTTACACATATAGTTTGTCATTGGATTTATCTTAGCTTTCCTGATTTCTTTTCAAAGGATGTGCTTCCTTACATCATTGCCTGTCATGTATGTTCCTTATATAAAGACAGTCGCTGCTGCGCCTATTTATTTCTAAGGTTAAAATCAAAGATGTGATAATGCGCGTGAGAGAGAACGGGCGGATGAGCGCAGAAATAACTAGCGTACAGAAACTCAACAGGAAAATATGGAAATTTCATGGGAACGATCTCTCACCGGAGCTGGAGGGGATCCTGGTTCTCAGGGTCAATGAGATATGGGTCCCATATTTGGGGATGAGAGTCAATATGGCAGTAATTATGGCAGGAAGTTTCCTGAATGCGTCTTAGATGATGTTAAAAAAAGTATGTTCAACTGGAGAAAATAATAACTGCAAATTTCTTCTTCAGCAGGACAAAATGAAAGATCATGCACGCTGAGAGAGTGCTTGCCAGCAAGAACACTCGCCAACTAGCCTTGTGTGATGCAAGAGTAACAGTAACCGTAGCCTAGTGTGATGATGTAACAGTAACTGTTGGTGGGGCAGTAGTACATGCATAGTAGCTAGTGTGCTTGGAGCAGACATGTACAGCTAGAATGTCAGTATACCATGCAGGCCTTCCCGTGAATGACCTCAGGTTCTTGCAAGCGGTAGCTGTGAGTCTCACAGATCCCAACTGAATAAGTGAGTCTCCCAGATCCCAGATGAAGTCTCACAGGTCCCAACTGAATAAGTGATGCTTGATAAGCATATCACGGACACTGTCCTTCAGTGGCTGCGATACCTGGACATCACAGTAGCAACAACAAAACGTCACGGAAAACATGACGGTGAGTAAAGCAACAACACAGCTACATGTATCACTAACATCCCAGTAGTATGGACAGGAAGTTGCCACACACAACACACAACACACACAACACACAACACATACAATAACCAGCATGACGGTGGTGCACAAGCGTCACATACCTGAAGCAGCAGGGACTCATCCCTCACAGTCACCAAGCACCGATTGCATTGTATTCCATTACCAAGTTGGCAACCACATTGCATTGCAACATGTGCCACATATTCCATTACCACACATACACACACGCAACTGGTAGAGATTGGAGAATTCAGGTCACACCCGGTGGACACCCATAACAAACTGGTATAGGCAGGTATTCTTTCCCATCCAATAGGTGAGGCGCAGTTCTAAACCAGTAACAGAGCCTTCTTTTTCTTGCTTTCTCTCTTCAATTACTTGTGTACTCATATCGGAATTGTTTTCTGCCCGTAAAAGTGGTTTGTTCAGTATAAACAGAGCCTTGCTAACTCCACAGGACTGTGCCATGGTTGAGAATGCATTTCTAAGGTCACGAGGCACCACTCCAACGTTGCCACCAAGGGAGAAGTTGTTGTGGTTGTTGAGGCTGACATTGGCATACCTGTGGTGAACTGGAGATTTCCCAATCCAGTGATAACTTGAAGCTGTATGCTGCAAGGAGCCTGTAAAACACCATGGTACAGCAACACAGCAGCACAATGTACAGTTGCAGCAGCAGCAGCAGCAGCAGCAGCAGCAGCAGCAGCAGCAGCAGCAACAGCAACAGCAGCAGTGCCGGCAGTAGTGGCGGTGGCAACAGCGGCAACAGCGGCAGCAGCGGGCAAAACAGCAACAGGAAGGCAGAAGAAGAATGTGAGTTGGAAACGTGAGTACTAGACACAAAAATTACATGTCTCTCCCAGCAAGATAACGTGCTTTCTCCACTAGCCGTGGTGTATGCATTTGCACATAAGAAAAGCCAGGGAACAAGGAACTGCAGCTGATTGTTTGATGCACACAGCAGCTGCACAGTGCTGCAGAGATGATGCTCTGAGGATGGGTCAAAGATGCTGAAGCTGAGAATCTGGCTGAGGTCAATAACCCACTCGGCTCAAGGAAGATCGCAATAGTTCTCAGTTGCGAAACAGATTTGTTCGTGTCTACTTTGTTTCTCATCACAAAGCACGAGACACATCAGTGCCACAGTGGCAGTCACTCACCGAAGTTCACACTTGATCTGCACCCAGCCTGGACTGCGAATGTAGGACCATGGCTCGTACCAGCGCTCCACCACGGAACGTGACAGGCACAGTGTCTCAAACCACAGGTGAAGTGCCTGCTCACTGCAGAAATACAATGGACACAGTCAAACACAGAGCAGAGCAGAAGTAGAATCAGTTGTTGTCGCGCCAGGCATTGAATGTGCTAATGCTCTATCGCTGGCTACTACTCTCTAGTGTCTCACTGGTGTCCAAACAGCCTTGGGACTATAACTTGTGATGATGTCAGGCAACACAACCCTTGCTCAGAACGAGGTTAGTGGATGGCAGCCAACAACATTCAAGGCATTATAACAAAACATTGAATCAAGAAATAGTGGTAGCGACTTCAGCGCTGATTTGTTAGGAAAGGGTTTGCTCCCCACACTGGAGCTCGCGCTTTTCCGCCGACTTGACTCCCAGGAGCGACACTGACTTACGCTGCTATCTGGTGTTCACGAGGTGTTTGTCGTGCTAGAAACGGAGTGTCTCTGAGTAGCAAGAAGGACCCATGAGTGTGTGATCCCCGGTAGCCTAATCGGTAGGGCACTGCCCCGGAAAGACCCATGAGTGTGTGTGATCCCCGGCAGCCTAATCGGTAGGGCACTGCCCCGGAAAGACAGGGGTGCTGGGTTCGAATCCCGCTCGTGGATCCTTCTTTTGCAACATTGGCGCCTGGCAATGGCTCGAACAAACAACCCATCGTTCGAATCCCGCTCGTGGATCATTCTTTTGCAACATCTGTAAGTTTGTATCCCTGGTGATGTTTGTACCTGGAGAGCACTATATAAGTGGTGCTCTTTAGGCACAATCTTCCTCAGCCTACTCAAGCTCAACTGATGAGGGGTGAATTCCCCGAAACACTGTGTAATGAGCAGGGAGCGGTGCTTTCTTGCAGGTTTGCCGAGTCTAAGGTTCGATGGACTTCTCGTGTGCTCAGGATGGCAGTCGTGAGTCAGTCAAGTGTCAAGTCAAGTCGGCGGAAAAGCGCGAGCTCCAGTGTGGGGAGCAAACCCTTTTCTATTGAATCAAGAGTTCAAATATTGTGGGAACAGAGCCAGTAGCCAATACCCCCCCCCCCCCCCCACACACACACACACGTACCACCAGTCAGCTATCACCACTACACTAGTAACAGTGGCCAGTGTCAAATCAATCCACCAAACAGCCCATACCGGTACATGTACTACTCACTTTAATCCAGCGGAAATCAGAGACCGGAACTGTAAGCAACAGAAATAGAACAGGCCAATGCCAGAGTGGTTATAACACTGGCAATACAGTCATGTACAATCAGAACGTCATGAGTATGAGTGTGGGAGAAAGGATCAAAAGTTGGTTTGCTCTACAGTACAGTACAATCATGTAGTACATGTACAAGATCAGAATGTACATGCACCGTAATAGGAAAGGAACCGTGCACAATGCACATACATGTACATTTAGCCCCATCCCTCACACAAACAAGTCAACAAAGAGGCATCTTTGGATTGAGGAGTGCTGGTTTCGAAACAACTGGTTTGAAGCTCAAAGTAGAGCTGGTGTTAGCTCAGAGCAGAGCTGGTGTTAGCTCAAAGTAGAGCTGCTGTTAGCTCAAAGTAGAGCTGCGGTTAGCTCAAAGTAGAGCTGCGGTTAGCTCAAAGTAGAGCTGCTGTTAGCTCAAAGTAGAGCTGCGATTAGCTCAAAGTAGAGCTGCTGTTAGCTCAAAGTAGAGCTGCTGTTAGCTCAAAGTAGAGCTGCTGTTAGCTCAAAGTAGAGCTGCTGTTAGCTCAAGGTAGAGCTGCTGTTAGCTCAAAGTAGAGCTGCGGTTAGCTCAAAGTAGAGCTGCTGTTAGCTCAAAGTAGAGCTGCTGTTAGCTCAAAGTAGAGCTGCGGTTAGCTCAAAGTAGAGCTGCTGTTAGCTCAAAGTAGAGCTGCTGTTAGCTCAAAGTAGAGCTGCTGTTAGCTCAACGTAGAGCTGCAATGCTAAATGGATGTAATATAGCGCAAGGCAGAGCCGCAGCAAATAGCTAGATAACACCAGTTGTGAGAGTGGACCCGGTTAGTGGGTACGATAATATTATGATGGTGTGAATAAGTTGGATAGGGAGGGATGGTGGGAAAAGAAACACTGCTGAAGCACGATCCGTTGTCTGGAAGAGCACAACAGGGCAAGCAAGATTTGTTTTTCTTTTCCGCAAAAATGGGCTGGTGCCATTTGTGATTACGCAGCAAAACAAAGCGCATGACGTCAGTCTTGAATGCAGTACAAAGCAATGCAGTGCAGTGTGTGCGCTAGTTCGGATTGTTGCTAACAAGTACTAGCACAGCTAGTACACCATTAGCCCCATCCCTCACACAAACAAGTCAACAAAGAGGCATCTTTGGATTGAGGAGTGCTGGTTTCGAAACAACTGGTTTGAAGCTCAAAGTAGAGCTGGTGTTAGCTCAGAGCAGAGCTGGTGTTAGCTCAAAGTAGAGCTGCTGTTAGCTCAAAGTAGAGCTGCGGTTAGCTCAAAGTAGAGCTGCGGTTAGCTCAAAGTAGAGCTGCTGTTAGCTCAAAGTAGAGCTGCGATTAGCTCAAAGTAGAGCTGCTGTTAGCTCAAAGTAGAGCTGCTGTTAGCTCAAGGTAGAGCTGCTGTTAGCTCAAAGTAGAGCTGCGGTTAGCTCAAAGTAGAGCTGCTGTTAGCTCAAAGTAGAGCTGCTGTTAGCTCAAAGTAGAGCTGCGGTTAGCTCAAAGTAGAGCTGCTGTTAGCTCAAAGTAGAGCTGCTGTTAGCTCAAAGTAGAGCTGCTGTTAGCTCAACGTAGAGCTGCAATGCTAAATGGATGTAATATAGCGCAAGGCAGAGCCGCAGCAAATAGCTAGATAACACCAGTTGTGAGAGTGGACCCATGAAACCAGCACTCCGTTAGCTAAGCACTATTGACGCACAGCAGGGGTCAATTAATGTCAGCACAGGCAAGCATTGCGCAGCTAGAGTTCAGTAGCTCATTACTCACCCGAGTTGGGGATCATGGCATCCATGGCACGGCAGCAAGCCGGGATGATAGCTGGCGCTATGCGCTTGTTGTAGTCTGGATGTAGCGTAGACACGCATCGCTCTTTCCACTGACCTGCCACTCGGAAGAAGGAGTCGGGGGCACTAGCCATAGCAGCAGTGGTGGCTGCACCAATGTGGACCGAATGCCCGGAGTAGTTCGACTGGGATGGTACACCGGCCGCAGAGACAAGAGACCATACTGTTACTGTGAATGACTGCCTGGTCAGCTGCTGTCTGTTCGAGAGTACGAACAAGAGTTGCTCCGGTCCCTCGCGACGAGTGACAGATGGGTAGCTAACAATGGCACGGACCGGGCAGTACGGCGGTACAGACGGGCCAATGTCACTAGTAACGCCTTTACCGAATGGGTCCGTCTTGGATGAAAGCAGGAAGAGTTGCAGGCGTCCGTCACCAGGGGAGCCAGTACAGCCCCGTGTGATGCCATTAGTGAATTCAGCGCACCGAAGAAATACAAAGCAGCAGCATGGCGGCTTGGCAGAGCAGCTTGTCATGGCCATTCAGGATACTACTTTTCCGGCGTGCATCCGTCAGGTGTCGTAGGATTGGCATAGTTATAGGAAGGCGAGGGGTGAGTGCAGCCGTACCATGGCATCGCTGGATGCCCTTCAACACCCTCTTCAGAAGCCACGCATCTACTAAGGGGCCAGCAAACCCATTCTCAAGGTGGGCTTTATGCACCGCACTCGCATACACAGATACAGTTCAGGGCACGCTGATCATAGTTCACGCATGAATGTGTGTCCAGGAACGATGACTCGGGCAGCAAAAGTGAGCTACCCCAGGAGGGACTCGAGTTGACGCTGGCCGATGCTGCGCTCGCTGATAGTAGCCATGAGTGGCGCACGGATCTCGGACAGCTTGTCCTCTGGTAGCCGAGCTTCGTGGCGCTCGCAGTCTAGGACAATACCAAGGAAGGTCAATGATGGTGATGGCCCTTCGAGCTGGGATGGAGCAAAGAGGAGTGCCGAGATATGTGAACGCCCGGAGGGGGATGGTGAGTTGCTGGTTGGCTGCAGCCAAACCAGTGGAGATATCGAGAAAGTCATTGAGGTAGTGAAGCCGGTGATCTATAGCAAACTCGTGCTGCATGATCCAGTTGACTGCTGTGGCTACTTAGTCAAAGACGGCTGGGCTGGAGCGGAGGCCGAAAGGCAGAAAGCGCTCGTAGTAGTAGGAGCCTTCCCAGCGAAGTCCTGACGGCGGACTGGGATCTGCCGAAATGCACTGCGTACATCGAGCTTGGACAACTACACAGGCTGTGGGCATGACATGATGATGTTGATCGCGTTGTCAATGCTCGCGTAGTGCAGAGAGAGCGGCTCGGCAGGAATGCTGTCGTTCGCGCCGGTGCCTTCCGGACTAGACAGATGGTGGATCATTCGCGGCTTGCCGTTCTTTTTGGGGATGGCACCAATACCAGAGCGCATGAACTGAAATGGAGGTGACGGAAATGGGCCTGTGGTCTCGCTGCGGGCGCAGGAAGCAGCTAATTGCTCGGATATAAATGCCGAGTGAGTGAAAGCCAGTGGTAGATTATTAGAGAAAACCGAAATGTCGTGTTGGCCGGCAGATCCAAGAGTAAAGCCACGGCGCAGGCCATGAAGAACATACGCAACACATGATTGATCTGAGTGGTTACGTGACAGGCGGACAAAGTGGTCAGCTAGCAGTGTGGTGTCTGCAGAGTGTATAGGAAAGAAGCTACGTACCGAGTCAAGCGATTCAGTAGCCATTCTGCTAGGAGCGGCGGGGTGGCTAATTGGCTCCGCGCTGCCGCTGGTTGCACATGATGCATGGGTGGTCCTTGCCACACTGGCTGCAGGTGTGGGAGAAGCGGCACGGCGACGAAGAACAGCGACCTCCATTGAAGTTGCGGCAGATTTCTTGGCCGTCGCTGGTATGGTTGCGACCACTGGAGGCAAAAGCTGCTGGCTTCGGGACGAAAAGGACACAAACCGCCCCTGGATGGACCGTCTTACATTGAGCGCATTTTGGGTGTGCATGGCCTGTGACAGCTATCTGCCATAGGTTCACGTCGATGGTGTCCAACCTCTTCGTGCCTGGTTACTGGGCCACGAGCATCCGCAGCTGGCGGTCGTACTCTAGCCACGCGCTTGGGAAGAACTGGCAGTTAGCAGTCAGGATCAACTGCTGGTACGCAATCAGTTCAGCAGTGCGGTGTAGGGCAGCAGCCGTGATAACAGACGTGTATGTGGTCCATGCCTCGAGCCGGGTAGCTACATGTGTAATTATCATGAACCTTGCGACGCACCTGCTTCGCGTCATCCGACTCAACGATATTTAGCTGGCTATCGTTATTCGGGCTGTGCACCAGCCGGAATGTTGGGCCGGAAGTGTGCAAGAATTTCAGGCAACAAACTTGAAAAATCTACGAACTCCCCTCGCAAGATACGTTCTTGCACAGCCTTGGGCACAGCTGGTGCAGGTGGCTGATCGGGTGGGTTACAGGAGCTTGGCCTGGCGTAGTGGCGGCAGCTGCCGCATTGCCTTGGCCTGGGGTGAGGAGCGGCGCCGAGAGTGAATGCTCTCCGATAATAATAAAATGGCGGCCGACAACACCTCGTCCCGAACGGGAGCGCAGAGATCCGTTGAGCCCGCGTCACCTGAGCTGGCGGAGGAGGCATTGGTGCACGTCGGGCTTCTGGGCTCGCGAGCCGTGTCCGCACTGTCATGTTGCTGGTTCTCCTGGCCGGAGCAGACCTCACTACCAAGGGCTAGTTGTGCCAGCAAACGGTCCTGTAAAATACTTTCACTAAGTTTCCTTTCGGATTCAAGCCGCGCTGAGAAGGCTCGCCGCGGAGGGCTTGGCAAGGCATTGCCTTGACAGTGTCGACAGTAAGGTCAGACATACTGAAGAAATACAGTGTCGAGGTGACACTCGGGCTGGCAGCAAAGCTACGAAAGGAAAAGAAACACTGCTGAAGCACGATCCGTTGTCTGGAAGAGCACAACAGGGCAAGCAAGATTTGTTTTTCTTTTCCGCAAAAATGGGCTGGTGCCATTTGTGATTACGCAGCAAAACAAAGCGCATGACGTCAGTCTTGAATGCAGTACAAAGCAATGCAGTGCAGTGTGTGCGCTAGTTCGGATTGTTGCTAACAAGTACTAGCAAGAGTCCATAACCCAAGAGTATGCAACTGTGATTATGGGTGCATGCGTGGCGCGCTGCCTTCATTACGTAACTTGCCTTCATCACGCTCTGAAAGCATGCATTCAAACTCTCAATTTCTCGCACGAGCCCATCCGTTTTTGCTCGATTCGTTCCAGTACCTACACAATCTCTGAATTCTGGCGCGTGAACTCCAGTTCCGTACGAAAGTTCATTTCAAACTAGAGGGAAAGTGAGGTGTTTGATTTTCCGCAGTGCGCGGACTGCAGCTGAATGATGTAATGAAGGCAGCGCGCCGCGCGGTTGGCCCATAGAAAAGAGATCACAGTTGCATACTCTTGGGTTATGGACTCTTGGTACTAGCACAGCTAGTACACCAGTATCGTTATGACCGTGTCAAGTACAACGGCAACATTACACACTGTACCTTGACATCCATGGGCGCACCGACAGTGGAATGGGATAAGTTCACAGCCTCCATGCTCTGCATCAACGTACAACACAAGCACCAAGCACACACATCCACAAATGCATGCACATACACACGCACGCACGCACGCACGCACGCACGCACACACACCAAGCACACACACCAAGCACACACACACCAAGCACACACACACCAAGCACACACACACCAAGCACACACACACCAAGCACACACACACCAAGCACACACACACCAAGCACACACACACCAAGCACACACACACCAAGCACACACACACCAAGCACACACACACCAAGCACACACACACCAAGCACACACACACCAAGCACACACACACCAAGCACACACACACCAAGCACACACACACCAAGCACACACACACCAAGCACACACACACCAAGCACACACACACACCAAGCACACACACACACCAAGCACACACACACACCAAGCACACACACACACCAAGCACACACACACACCAAGCACACACACACACACCAAGCACACACACACACACCAAGCACACACACACACCAAGCACACACACACACCAAGCACACACACACACCAAGCACACACACACACCAGGCACACACACACACCAAGCACACACACACCAAGCACACACACACCAAGCACACACACACCAAGCACACACACACCAAGCACACACACACCAAGCACACACACACACCAAGCACACACACACCAAGCACACACACACCAAGCACACACACACCAAGCACACACACACCAAGCACACACACACCAAGCACACACACACCAAGCACACACACACCAAGCACACACGCACACGCACACGCACACGCACACACACACACACACACACACACACACCAAGCACACACCAAGCACACACATACACAAATGCATGCACACACACACACACAGGCATGTGCGTGTGACCATGACGGTACACAGTATTACACACTTACACACCTACATTGTACATGCAAGTGAGATTCCCAGAGTAGGACTGTCTCAGTGGCATAGTTGGTCGGGTACTGCACCAACCTAAAGCGCAAGTTTACACGTGATACGGTGGGCAATGATTGCTCACGGGGGCGTCACAGTGCAGTGGGGAGTGGTGGGACTGGGGTCCGGGGTGTCCCCTGGGAAAAAATTCGATTTTTTGGCTAACAGGGCGCGTTTTAGCGCTCTTTTATTGCTTTTTTGGATGAATTAGGCGGACCATCCTGGACGAAAAGTGGTACGACCATGGTCGTACCAGTCGTACCATGTGACGCCCCTGCAATGCTCTTGTGGGATCTAGGTTAGAATGTCGGATTACATTGATCAACGGCCTGGGGTGCACCAGTGGTTCATCGCATTTAAATTCAAAAATAGGAAAAGTGGAGTACGCATCAATGGTTTTGTGCAATCGGAAACCGACCAATTTTGCCATTTCCTCTGATTCTAGGAACTTCCTATGCTCTGGGGCAATCGAGATGTGATGGTAGCCATCCTTCAGGTCAAACGTGAACAGAAAGCAACCAGGATCAAAAAGATCCGGGATGAGTCTCAGTTTCCTCGTGTTAGCTTGGAGTTTGACGTCCAAATATTTCAACATGCCAATGTCCACTCCCAGCCATGGAACCGCGGCTCCTCTAGCTCCTCCAGAGCCTGCCAGGACCACCAGACGACGCCCAGCTGCCACCTCCAACGCCTCACCTGTCCCACCACCACCGAGCTCAGCAGGTGAGGAGATGCCGTCGTGGTTCGCCTCCGCATTTACAAATCTTTCATCACAAATAAAGGGAGTGTAGGAGGAGGCCACGGCGGCCCGCGCTGAGGTGGCCAAACTAAAAGCAGCTCAGTCTATGACAAGACTTCAAAACCAGGCTCAGAAAAAGCTCAAGTCGCCAGGGCTACAAGCCCAGTTCGCCACCAACGAGACCGTGTTACAAAAGGTCGATGCCGCCATATCGGTTCTACCGGACTCTGCATCTGAGACCAAGGAGCTCCTGACACAGGGTAAGAATGAAATCTGTAAAAGGCAGAAACAGCTCAAAATAGCCGATTCCTTTGAATGGGAAGCAGTGAGAGTCTACGAGGAGCGCAGCGTGGGTGACAGCCTCGCAGACGGCAATTACAACCCAGGGAGCGGTTCCAACCGGAGATGCCATACCCAGGTGTTAGAAAGGAATGCATTCAACACGCACCCGTTCTCACATTCGGCCTCCTGCAGATTTCCGTGTCTCTGCTCCACCAGGTTAGTGACTGCAATGGGCACACCTACCCAGAAGCCACGGTTCAGCACGACGCGGTACTATCACTCTCCGCCTACTAGACCACCTCTTCTCCCGACCCCTGTGACACCACCACTGACAGTGGCGGGGCTACGAGCCTGCCGCGCCGCTCGCACAGTCCCCGCGCACCGATTATCACCATCCCCGAAATCTGCTGAGGAACGTTCGCAATCCCCGCCAGCAAAGCGGAAATCACCACCGCCGGAGGATCAGTCTACCGTCCCTACGCCGGAATCACCGCCGCCGGAGGATCAGTTTCCCGTCCCTACGCCGGAATCACCACCTCCCGAGGATCTGTCTACCGACCCAACGAATGGATTGCAGCCTGCGGATGTCTCTGGGACTCAACAAGATCTTATCGACCCACACCTTGATGAGTCGGATGAGGAAATTCTGACCGATATAGTCTAAAGCCAGTAATGTTTCTTCCTTCATACATTACTACTGCCTTACTGCTTCCTTGTATTTTTCTGTTTGCTGCTATGCATGTACATGTCCCCGTTTACATTTTAATCCGCATGGGGACATGCGCCCGCAAAGGGGAGGGCTATGTTAGATAGGAATATGCATACATTATAATATGACATGCACATGTTACTGTATGATGTACTTGACTTGTTACACAGCCACATCTCTACCAGTAGTTAGTTCACAGGTACACAGCCACATCTCTACCAGCAGTTAGCTCACAGGTACATTCTAGCTACATGTAAGTGCTTCTCCCACGTCACCACTTCATGGCCACCACTTCATGGCCACCACTTCATGGCCACCACTTCATGGCCACCACTTCATGGCTGGCACGGCATGACCGATAAACAGTATTAACACCCATTCCTGCGGTACTCTGATTCCGTACTAGACTGTAGTCCTACTTCATACGCTATTCCGCATCCCCGGCCCTCATATATTCAAGTACTAGTATAAGATTCCCTCTCTTCTTTGAATAGCGGTGTTTCCCGGCACCCTTCCCGCTCCATTAACGAGCCCTACAAGTAAGATTCCTTGCGCTACACAGTTTTAGAGGTCATTCCTGTTGCCCCCACCAGTTGCTCGCCACTTAGGTCCATTCTTCCCCCTACGCTGTTTCTTGTCCTGCTTTCTAATTGCCCTCTCTTCATACTTCTCTCTGCTCTACGTTCTCACCCTATAAAAGCTGCTTCATTCTTAGTTTCCGACGGATAAGTTACGGATAGTTACAGATAAGTTTGAGAGAAGTTTCCTACCGATAAGTTTCCTGCATCTTAGTTTCATGCTAGATTCTACTTACTAGCTGAAAACCCTCTTGCTCTATCGACTGAGTAAAACCCGGTGTTAACACAGGCAGGAATTTCCGTGCATCCAACATTGGCAACAACTCCCAATTCGAGAGGAGGCCATCAGGCCACGGACCAGTGAGTACATTCTCTGGTAGACCACTACCCCATATACACACCGGTTGCTATGTGAGTGAAAATCAAATTTTTCGGCTAAGGGGCCGTCCAAGGTTACCAATAATATTTTCAAAACGAAAAGATTTCTTTTGGGGTTGGGTGGGTTTGATGGAGTTTCGTTTTGAAAGTAATTATTGAATGCAAATGGAGAATGCCCAGTTACTTCTGGGTGTCGAAAATTGACATCAATTATGAATATTTTACTGGAATTCGTTTTACCTGCAGAAAAGGTGGGTGGGTGGGGGCTGAAAAATACTAAAACTTTTTCGTTGTAAAAACAATCGGTAACCCCGGACGGCCCCTAACAGGGCGCGTTTTAGCGCTCTTTTATTGCTTTTTTGAATGAATTGGGCGGACCATCCTGGACGAAAAGTGGTACGACCATGGTCGTACCAGTCGTGCCATATGTGACGCCCCTGCAATGCTCTTGTGGGATCTAGGTTAGAATGTCGATTACATTGATCGACGGCCTGGGGTGCACCAGTGGTTCATTGCATTTAAATTCAAAAATCGGAAAAGCGGAGTACGCATCAATGATTTTGTGCAATTGGAAACCGACCAGTTTTACCATTTCCTCTGATTCTAGTCCCGTTTTTTTGGCAAATTCCGATAACACCTTGCCAGCCGAGCTTCCAGCACTCCCTGCCGATGGCATGATCAGGTGTAACCTCAGTTATAATATGGGCTCCGATCAAGCTGGAGTGAAAATAATTTATTGCCATTAGAGAGGTTTTGCAAAACGAAAATGCGCACAAACTTTCGCTCTACGTAATGAAGTGAGAAACTTCGCACATACTTTCGCAACTTTGGACGCGAAACTTGCAGGGAACGCGAAATGAACTTTCGTAGGAAGATTTGTGAGATCGGGTCATGGCGTACGTGCACTTGGCACCCAGCAAACAACGAAAATGTGCAGAACACAAAGTTCGTGCAAAAACTCGTACACATCTTCGCAAGGCCTGTCGTGAAACTTCGTTCGAATTTTCGTTTCGCAGAACCTCTCTATTGTCGAACAGCAAGGTAACGAGTTGCGCAACGTGACATATTACACATAACTTCGGTCAAGAAGCGTAGATAAACATAGCCTGAGACATGTAGAGCACATTGGTGATGGCCATTGCAAAGGACATTCCAATGTTGTTGCTGTTGCTGCTGCAAGGACGCTGCTGAATGGCGCGTCGAACCGTAACGTACATTACAGTTCGAGATGGGGCTGGTATCGCATTTCCCCGAATATAAGTCGCACCTTTTTTTTACACTAAACGTCTCGGGCAATGAGGGGATGGCAATGAGGGGATGGCAATGAGGGGATGGCAATGAGGGGATGGCAATGAGGGGATGCGACTTAAAATCGAGTCTGACGTCCTACTCATGTGGATATATTGAAAGAAGCAGGCCGAAACGGGAGGGGGGTTGGTTTGACTTATAACTGAGTGTGACTTATAACCGGGGAAATACGGTACACAATGCGACTGTAACACAAGACTAGTTTTGATGGTGAGTAGATCGAGTGTAGATAGAGTGTAGGGGAAATGACGAATTGGAACTAGGATGAAGCCCACAAGGACCACAGTGGCACGCACAATAACATTATACCCTGCTAATGTATTTTCTCCTGGGAACAGATTAGCTACGCGAGGCCGTAATTTAGTACCGTACATGTAACACTGCATAGTGCAAGTAACAAGGCCATCACACACTGTACAAGCAGCAACATGCTAGAAATCAGCTTACCCGATAAAGCATCTCCTCGGGAGTTAGAACCTTGCCGTCTTTCTCCAAACTGGACAGCAGCAGCATGCATGAGTACAAGACAAGACAGAGGATCAGGTGTGCATAGCCCGTGAAGGACACAGGGGGGGGGGGGGGTATATGCACAACTAAAACCGCTCAGCCTTCGTTCAGCATGTGCCCTATTAGGGCCAAACGACTTTGGGATCGCAGCTCAGTCAGTGCCTGCTGTGAAGACAGAGATGCACCCTTAAAGGTGGACCAGCCACGTCAGTGAGTGTACATTTGAGCACTACCAATGACCATGTCATAGCGGAGCAAGGTGATTTGGTGACACGCATGTATGAGGAACACGCACACACACACACACGAACATTCACACCTATATGAACTAAACCCAGGCATTGAATGGACCAGCACTAAATCAACACGGTCACGCAGATTGGTAGCAACAAGACCCGAGGCTGACAGAACCTACTCATTGCGACTTACCAGAAGGTCTTACTCAGAACAAGACGAGAGAAGACAGACTGGAAATCTTGGCTGACTTCAGCACGGCTTGCCTGAAGGAAACAAACAGCATAGTGAACAGCATAGTGAAACTCAACACAGGAAAAAGGCATGCATTGTGTGATTTGCTTCCCACAGGACCGCCTAGCAAAGGGATTGGGCAAACGGTGCAGCCCATAGTTGTGCCTTGTGAAGTACATACAGAGTGTGCACAGCATGTACCACAGGGTGTGTGTGATCAATGTACAGTCAACAGCACAAAGAAAAGGAAGTATTCGCAAAAGGAGGAACACATACACACCTCCTCGATGAAGTACCATGGATGCATGACTCTGCCGAAAAGCTTGGGTTTTCGCAGGCCGTGATCAAATATGCCACGTAATGCCGAGCAGAACCTTGAGAAAGGGAGAGAGAGAGAGAGAGAGAGAGAGAAAGGAGAGAGAGAGAGAGAGAGAGAGAGAGAGAGAGAGAGAGAGAGAGAGAGAGAGAGAGAGAGAGAGAGAGAGAGAGAGAGAGAGAAAGAGAGAGAGAGAGAGAGAGAGAGAGAGAGAGAGAGAGAGAGAGAGAGAGAGAGAAAGAGAGAGAGAGAGAGAGAGAGAGAGAGAAAGTTACATTTATAGAGACAGGTAAGTGTATCAAATTAGGACTGAGACCTCTACGTATAGGATAGTGCACGGATCCGAGGAGAATATTTTTCATAATCCCCAAGGCGCGCAGCGCCGCGGGGATTATGAAAAATATTCTTCCGAGGACCAATCCGTGCACTATCTGTATATAGCTCGACTTGTCAGGGGTCAGCGCAGCCATCACCATGATCACGGTACACAGTTTTTGGCTTTCACACTTTTTCAGTTGTAAGCATGCAGGGAGTACAGTACTCAGTACGTACTTTTTCAAGCTCAACAAAAAAAGGAAAGGCAAGGAAACATGACACAGGAACAAAACACAATCTGACAAATGAAAAAACAATACCTGATCTTTTTTCTCTTTACATTGCCTCACCCTGTTATGGTTTTCTTCTTGTTCTGGTGGGAGTTCAGGCCCCACATGTTGTGCCGGTACTCTTGTAAGTCCTGATCTGTGCGTTTTTCTCTTTGAATTTTCTCAGCCAATTAATTTTTGAGGGGGAGGGAGGGAGGGTGATGCCTGATGGGCAGTATGACCAGTCTTCAGTTTCCATGGCAACATTGTTGTTGAGATCGAAATGCGGGCGTGTTGGATTTCTTGCGAATTCAAAATACAAAGAACAACATTTCTCTTGTTTAGGTTCCATAGTAAACCTATTTACGATACAATACAATGTATTTGCTTTCATTTGTTGTTCAGTTCCCATGGCAACGTTGTCGTTGACGTTGCAGACACATGTACCTTGTTGCCAATTATTATTCATGAGTAGCTGTAATTGCACGTTCACATCCATGTTCATCTAATACAAAAACATATTCACGGTGCTCATGTAAGAGTTTTGTAAATATGTCCACTTGTTCAATTACCTTCCTATAACAAGATCATTTGATTGAGATTTCACACAGCGGCTTCCAGGCTGGCTCTTTGGGGTTTGTTTGGCTAGCTTGCTTTGGCCTACTCTCGCTAGGTATAGTGAGAGCAGTCCAAAGTCTTGGGCTTTTTCCCCTCACCTAGGGGATTATGAAGAATAATCCCCTGGGTCAGGGGATTATCAGCCCTAGAACCCCTGACAAGTCGAGCTATAACAGGTTCTTTTACGCCTGAAAGCAGGTGCATGATTTAACCCTTTCAGCACGAAGGCCGTGGGCCGCTGGGAACTTACCTGTCACGGATACGTGTTCCTGAAGACGGCTGAGCACGCGTGTAAAACATTTGAGACCAAGCGCAGCAGTAGAGGGAACTTTGAGTAGCGCGATGTAATTTTGAAATTTCAGTTTTGGTGAACATGTCATGACGGCGATTTCGGGACGAAAAGACTTGGATTGGATTGGATTGTCTCAGAAGTGACTTTGGACGCGGACAGTGATGGCGAATCTGTTCTAGATGACAGCGAGGACGATGGAGACGATGCTACGGACATTGGTGATGAACAGGGCCCGGAGACCGGCAATGAATTTCATAACGAAGCTGGCGATGTTGACGCGCATGCGGATCCACCAGGCTCACCTGCGGAAGAAGAGGCTACGTCTGCAAAGAGTCATGTCGCAGCTGTTGAGAACTTGATTCATGGAGACGATGGCTCTGAAGGTGAGTTTATAGCAACGCATATCACAGCATCGCTGAAATAAATTTATTTGACAATTGCGATAATTATTGCCGATAACTGCTTACCTGCCGCTGAGCCACCAGATAAGTTACGAAAATTGCGTCCCATTATTGACCACTTCATCAAGCGGTTTCATGAGGTGTATACTCCATCGAAGGCAATCAGCATTGACGACGAAATAGCGGCGTGGAAAGGCCGGTTGCAATTCTGACAATTCATCCCCTCAAAACGTGCGCGTTTTGGGATCAAAATATTCGTATTTATGAGAGGATGGTGGATATAAGTTTGATTTCATTATCTACGTCGGTAAAGACACCGCGTATGTTGACCCTGAATTGACAAAGCAGCTTGGCACCTCTGGCAACATCGTCGTTAGTCTCATGCAGCCGCTTGTTGGTTGAGGTTACCGTTTCTATCTCGACAACTGGTACACGAGCACTCCTCTTGCTAAGTACCTGCAAGCCAACCAGACTGGCATGTGCGGAACTATTCGAAAGAACCGCCTTGGCCTGCCAAAGCGACTGACAACATTCAAGCTGTCAAAGAAGGGCGAGTTTGTGACATGCAGCAATGGTGGCGTGGTGTGACGTGCAGCAGTGGTGGCTGTCAGGCTCAAAAACACCAAGGAGGTAATGTTTTTGAGTACACTTCACTCTACTGCCAGAGTGTGCAAGCCGGAAAGCGAGATCGAGATGGCAACAGAGTCGGGAAGTTGAAACTGGTGCAGGATTACAACAACCACATGGGCGGTGTTGACCATAATGACACAATGATTTCTTACTACACCGCTACAAGGAAGACGTACAAATGGGATAAAAATGGCCGCGCATATCATCGAAGAAGGCATTCTCAACGCTTACCTTTCGTCCAAGTACCAGGGCCAGAAAAAGAGCCAATATGACTTCATCCGCATCGCTATGAAAGCACTGCTGATGGAGGGTATGCAGGAGCAAGCTGCAGACCGTCGATTCTGGACGATCGGGACGGCCATCCTTGGCAACATCGCAGGAAAATTGTGATAAAGTCAATGAGATTGTGATGACGGACCGCAGAGTCACTACCAGGTACCTATGTGACCAGTTAGGAGTGAGTGCTGGGTCAATGCAAAACATATTGGCGCAACTTGACCTCAACAAAGTTACTTGCCGGTGGGTGCCGCGAATGCTGACTGATCAGCAGAAGCAGAGGAGGTGTGAGACCTCCACTGAGCTTCTTGGCAGGATGGAGCTCAACAAAGATAGTTTTCTGGACAGGATAATCACTCAGGATGAGACATGGGTCCATCATTTTGACCCTGAGACCAAGCAGCAGTCCATGCAGTGGAAACATGCCAACTCCCCCACCCCCGAGAAGTTCAAGGCAAGATCATCGGCTGGCAAGGTCATGGTCTCTGTTTTCTGGGATACCAAAGGTGTTATTATGCTGGACTACCTTGAGCCAGGCAAGACAATCAATGGCCAAATACTATGCCCAAGAATTGCAACAGCTGAGGGACGAGGTGAAGGCGAAACGTCGGGGCAAGTAATTAGTTGTCCAAGGGATCCAGTTTTTGCAGGACAACGCGCCAGCTCACACCTCACACGTTACAGTGACTGCTGCAGCTAACTGTGGCTACTTCCTCATCCACCCTACTCTCCTGACCTAGCTCCCTCAGACTTCTACCTGTTCCCAAACCTCAAAGCTGAACTGAGAGGACGGCATTTTCAGTCAAACGATGATGTCATGGCGGCAGTTGACGACTTCCTTGATGAGCAAGATGAGGCCTTGTTGAAGACTGGGTTAGAGAAGTTGGAACATCGCTGGAGCAAATGCATTGAGGCCCAGGGTGACTATGTTGAAAATAAAAGTGAGAAACTAACAATGAGTTGTTTTTTCATGTGTCATGTCGGAAACTTTTTGAGCGCCCCTCGTACACAGAATGAACTGAATTACTGTGCATATTGCGTAAAATCTCTGTTTCGTTCAATGCTCATATTTCAGCCGTCTTTGGACTTCTGAAGCTGAAACTTCACCTCTGTGTTCCCCTTATGTTGCCCCGTGTGATGGCAATATTCTTTTTGACCTAGTGCAACTGTACCTAGAATGAATAGAATTACTGTACACATCGTGGAAAATCCTTCAGAAAAGTGTAAAATCTGAATGCTCATATTGCGCCCGTCTTTGGATTTCTGATGCTGAAACTTCACATTTGTGTTTCCCTTGTGTAGCCACATTAAAATTTTGATGGCAATATTTATTTGGACCTAGTGCAACTTTGTGAAAATTTGCCATTTTAGCTCCGCGGGGCAGGTTCCAGCATGCCGCGTGCTGAAGAGGTTAAAAAGCAGGTTGTCAGTCTAGCAATTTTGCACCTGTACATAGTACTAAATACTATGCACTGTGCATCTGTATGTGCTACCAATATCATTGTGAGAAGTTATGATCAGATTTGACCTTTTTATTACATCATCATGGCATAGGTAACACGCCCCTCAGACGTCCTCCCTAGGAGATTATGGAGAGAAACGTAGCATTTAAACCTAGCACTAATGCTTCTGAGCTTACACTTAGTTCTCATTCTTAGTTGCAAAACAGTGAAAACACCCAGTGTAGACCGTTTCGAAACATTGATGAAACCCTAGCCAGTTTGTTCATTTGCACATAGTTCTTTGACACTCAACAGTACCGCACACACACGCACGCGCGCGCGCGCACGCACGCACGCACGCACGCACACACACACACACACACTCAACAGTACCACCGTACACAAAACAAACACCCACACACATGCCCATGTGTTGCTAGATGTGCCGACGTGCCACAGTAGTGAGAGTAGACTTACCCTCCGCGCACAAGATGAGCAACAGCTTCATTCACAGAGTCATCGCCAGCAGCCGAGTACTGTAGTACGTGCACAGGGGAAACGTGCAGTCCACAACCACATATAGCAGCAGCAGGCAAGCAGTCCACAACCACATATAGCAGCAGCAGGCAAGCAGTCCACAAACACATATAGCAGCAGGCAAGCAGTCCATAACCACATATAGCAGCAGGCAAGCAGTCCACAATCACATAGAGCAGGCAAGCAATGAAGAACCACACTTAGCACAAGACAAAATGTGCAATTTCAAATGAAACATCTTCAGAGCCAGTAGGTGATGCGGCTATGAATGTCACTACAGTACATGCTTGAGAGGCAGTAGGGGTAGGAGTGGAGTGACAGGTTAAACCAAAAGATAACGACTCACCAGTTTGCTGCGTTCATCCAGGAGCTCAACAAATTTTGCTGGAAACCAACCTGCGTAGAGGACAGGGAGAGAGAGAGAGAGAGAGAGAGAGAGAGAGAGAGAGAGAGAGAGAGAGAAGAGAGAGAGAGAGAGAGAGAGAGAGAGAGAGAGAGAGAGAGAGAGAGAGAGAGAGAGAGACAGGCGGAAAACGAGATGGACAGGATAATGAGTGAGTTGCAGATAAAACCCAGTTTTACCTGTCTTTATGCCTCACTCTGGCTACTGTACCTAGTGCGAGAATTTCCATCATGGTCAAATTGTCTGAGCCCATTGTGTGTGTGTGTGTGTGTGTGTGTGTGTGTGTGTGTGTGTGTGTGTGTGCGTGCGCGTGCGTGATGGGCTGACTAGCTCACTATGGCAGAGCTGCACAAGGATAGCAACTTACCACGCATGCTGTTCACCTCACCGATCCAACAATGCTCATCCCTCTGAGATATGATCTAGCACATCAGCAACACGCACAAACACGCACAAACACGCACGCACACTACTACTACTACTATCAATCAGCTACCCCTTGGGGTCACGCCGCCCTCCACTCAGAGAACTGAGCGCAAGGTGAGGGGCAGTGGCGCAAACAAAACAGGAAGTACAGCAAAATGAATTGAAAAAAGGAAATCAAAACAAGCTGCCATATTGATGGAAAGGGACTCACAAACAGAGGAAGGAAATATCACAAACCAGATGAACAGTCTGCTGTATAGGTCCACTATAAGTATAACATGCAACGACTGAAAAAGGAACAAAATTAATGTGAACATGATGTTCTGTTCAACAATAACGTCTGTACGCGTACTGCTTCGGCCTTCATGCACCAGGAAAGCACAATCTTGAGCTGGAGGGTGGGCACCGAACGTCCCACAAGGGCTCCACAAGACGTACTTTCACGAAACGACGAGGAGTATGCGCAGCAAGCTAACATCACTACACCATCGCCGCACGACGACTGGCCACTCAGGTCCAAACAACACGACAAATTCACAATTCCAGCTATCACCGCGCAGGAATAAATTGTTGCGAGTGTGACCTGTATCCTTTCTCATCCAGGAATCCACTTGTTTTGCCGAACGCCACTGCATTGTTACAGGCTGGGGATTGATCCGAGGGCTCGCCACGCCACTGCGGAGGATGCGGAAAGGACGCAAGAAGACGGTGACGGCAACAAATAATTACCCGCCCTGGTCGTCAGCTCACTGAATGTCCTTCCGCGCGAGCGAAACCGGCTGCAAGGCATGAAAAGCCTACTGCCAGTCAATACCCAGGGACGACCCTGACCAGAAGGCCAAGGCCGCCCCGTGGAGGAGGCCAACAAAGAGAAAACCAGGAGCTAACAAATCTGCTTCCTCTCGGCGAAATTTTTCACGAAATTTTTCACACACACACACACACACACGAACAATCACACCTTCAAGGATCAAGATGCAGGTGCCGGTCCTGAAGCAGTGGGAGGTGAGTAGATCAGACCCTACCACAAAGCGGTTCCGGCCCAAAATCCCACTCATTGCATCTGGGAAACCATGAGGAAGGGAACACATATTCAGGCAGGGGAAATCCCAAGGCTTTGCTCAAACAACCATGACAAATCGATCACATACCGTAAAGTCGCGGATAAAAGCCGGGCTTATAAGCCGCTTTCTGCATCAGGCTTTAATGCAAACCAGGCTTGTATGCAAACCATGCTTATATGCACCACACTTGCAAAGAAGCCAGGCTTCTACGCGCGACACGCGTAGATCTACCACTGACTACCGGTGTGGCGGCAGTTTTACTATGCACTGCACATAGCACATGCACTCTTGACCTACCCGATCCGCGCTTGCATAGAAGCCAGGCTTCTACGCGCGACAGGCTTTAATATATGCATTTGACCCGTTTGATTTTCAGGCTTCTATCCGCGATGTGCTTGTATGCAAACCCGGCTTTTATCCGCGACTTTACGGTACTAGTAGCTAGAAAGCTCACTAAGTACATAATGACAGCACAAGTCCACCAAAGTGGACGCACTTGAACATGTTTCACCCATGTCTACTAGAGTCTAGTCTGCCTACAGACACGCTCTGTCATGCTGCCATTGCTTACTGTAATGATGTCATTGCTTACCGTGATGATGTCATGGCGATTGAATCCCAGCTCGTCATGCTCTTGCCGCTCAAAGTCAACCAGTGCTCTCGCTCTCCTCCGCCGGTGATTGCTGCAAGCAATCACAGATAACACAGCATCGCGTCGTTAGACGGGCTTTGCCGTGTCTTGCGCGACGAGTGTGTAATGAACAGCAGAACACCTTTCCTGTACCCGACATACAGGTCCAGTGCAGTAACTGCAGACGGATGTAGAGTCAGACGGTGCGGTCACTACTGATCTAGACGGCCACTGATCGTTTACATCAAGTGTTCAATGGCAAGTAGGGCATAGAAATGAATTCAAATGATGATACAGAAAATGAGGCAAGTAGACAACAAACACCGTCCACTTACCGGAATGACTGTGCATAGGTGATGTAGTCTTGCAGGTGACTTTCATTCGAATAATCCACTGGCATCTATGCCACCACACACATACACACACACACGCGCGCGCACACGCGCACGCATGTGCACATGCACACACACACACACACACGCGAGCGCGCGCGCAAACAAGCACACAAGCACACACACACTGTTATGGACTGTGGACATTTATCCCATGTATTAACGGTCTAGCATGTCCAACAAAATAGGCTGAATTAGAGGGTTTGATCAAGAAGAAAGAACACCAAGCTGAAAATACGCAGGACTCTGACAGCAGTCACGACCCACACAGCACTGGGACCAAATCCGTGGCAAGCGCGCGAGTTTTGACAGAAACTAACCTCAGGAATCCCACAATTCGTTTTGAAGTGCTGCACGATGTTTCGAATGTTGTCACGCAGTGTGGTGACGATCTCTGCAAGATGCGCATACATGTACACAGATGCGTGCGCGCACGCACACACGCGCGCACACGCGCACACACACACACACACACACACACACACACACACACACACACACACACACACACACACACACACAGAGCAGTACAGGGAGAACGATTTGTACCAGTAAAGTGAGACGCTGCACATACCGTTTCAGTATATATTGTATATACAATATATACAATATACAATGTGTATACAGTAGGTAGTATACTGTAAATATACAAATTTTCGGCAGCTATTTAATATCGGCTATATTCGGCACCGACCCAAAACGCCTAAATGGCATGTATGCATAAAACATGGCGGCGGCGCGTCCAAATCCGGCTGCGGGGCATCTTTTGAAAAGTGTTTGAAAAAAAGTGAAAAGTGCAAGTGCGCTTGCATTCTCATGTCGAAGTAGTTTATTTTGTGGGAGGAAGTGGCCCGGAGTTTCTTAGAGATTTCGGTGATGGCTTCATCTGCTGATGCTGTCGACTACTCGAAGTGGACTGTGAATCTTTTGAAGGCTGAGTGTGAGCGGCTGGGGTTGAAGAAGTCGGGGAAAAAGCAAGATTTACTGACGAGGTAAGTTCGAAGTATTTCTTGTAATACTGTGAGGAACTCTTTTGGTTTTCAACATCGATGCGTGTCTTGCCTACTATGTTCGTGTTGCAGATTGGAGAGTCATGTTCCGGAAGGCGGCACTGCACTCACATCAGGAAGTCCATCGAGCTCGTCCCTGGATTCCCCAGAACCACTGGCATTTCCTGTGTCTGGCTGGAAATCGTTGGTGTCAGGTCGATCGCAATCCGCTGCTTTCACCCAGTCTCACTTGATAGCGTATTTTGTTCAAACGGAGACACCGTGCGGAGATGGAACCAACAGAAACTTTAAAGCTATTGCTTCAACTGACCAGAAGTCTCGTCGTCTTTTCACCAGTGGATATGTGCAGAAAATTGAGCTGCACAAGTTGAACAACGTCGTCTGTTACAGAGCACGCTGCATGCCTGAAATGAAGTCAAGGAGCGACTACAAGCTGAGGATGTGCGTGAGAATAGGTGACAGTGGCAACGTAGCTGAGATTAGCTTTGCTGATTGCTCGTGTCCTGCTGGTAAAGGCCCCCAAGCCAGCTGTAAGCACTTGGCAGCTCTCATGTATGCCCTGGAGCATTTCACAAGGTGTGGCTACATTGACAGTCCAACATGCACTGATGTCCTTCAGACTTGGAATCAACCCAGTAACAAGAAAAGTGAGCCGATGACGGTGAAGGAGATGGACGGCTTGAGACCTGCGCCTAAGTCCGACCAGGCTAAGCGGAAGCGAAAGCACACAGCAGCGGAGCTACAAGACCCTCGATCATCAAGCAAGCGTGGTCTTGTACGGGACAGTGTTAGCGAATTGGCATATCAGTCATTCCACGGCAGTGCACCTCTGTTTGGGCTTTCTTTGGTCTGTGGCAGCACTGCTATGACGGATATCGACCGCGAGAGGAGGTGGCAACGGCAGAGGGACCAACAGGCACCGTGGCTGGAATTACGTAATGACGTTGCAGTCTATGCTGAGGAATCCGATCTTCCAGACGATCTGTCAACGACCTGCGACTGTGATGTGTTCTTAGATGGGAACTGTGACACCACTGTGACCGACGATGATGCCACCCCTCTTCCATCCGATTGTGAGTGGATGGATGCTGACGCCACTGATGACACCACGCCTGTTCCATCAGACACTGAGTGGATGGATGACAACGACAAGCAATGGCATTGGTACCAAGACAATGTAGTTGTAACACCTGAGCAGGCACACGAACTTCATGTCAGAACATCGGATCAGCATGGAAGTGACCTCTGGATGAGGCAACGCAAGTTGCGGATCACAGCTTCTATAGCAAAGACTGTTGCTCGCCGAAGAAGTTCGACTGATCCCGCGAGGCTTGTTAGTGCCATCACGGACCGGCCGTTCTTCTCATCAGCTGCAACGGATTGGGGAATCGCGAATGAGGATGTGGCCAGGGAGGCCTATGTAGAGGAACGCGGGAAGTCTGGCGACGTCGTGCACGTGTCGAAGTGTGGCCTGATCGTCAATCCGGAGGAGCCTTGGTTTGGAGCTAGTCCAGACGGTATTGCAGATGATGGCAAGACACAAGTGGTTCTAGAGATCAAGTGTCCGTATTCCGCACGCAACATGTCGTTTGACGAAGCTGTGAGGTCAGTTAAGAACTTTTGTTTGCAGTATGATGGCTCACACTACACATTGAAGCGCAAGCATGCATACTATTACCAAGTGCAAATGCAGCTCTTTGTCACTGGTTTATCTTCTTGTGATTTCATTGTATGGTCACGCACTGGTGGGACAAAGATTGATCGTATCGCAAGGGATGATGAGTTTATTCGTTGCAACCTTGCCACACTGAGAGCTTTCTATTTTCAGCATGTACTATCATTATCACTCAGGCTGCAATATTCATATTATGGACATATTCATAAAATGACATATCTTCAATACCCATGAGCTACATTGTATATAATATATATGATATAAGTATCATAATTATTATTATCATCGTTCTAGCTCATTTTTTCCCCTGTCATAGTCCTGTTTATCATGTTCAGCATAAGCGAAGTTGTGGATCATGCTTGCATGGTTGACTCCAACGCGTACATGCAAGTAATAATAATAATAATAATTGCCGAAAGCTGCCATGTCATGATGCTGTGAGCAAGTGCCATACTGAATGATTCGGCCCAGTTGCAGTTATACTGCCTGAGTTCTTTTTTTCCATGTTTATAATTTATAGGTGGTTAGACCCTTCTGTCCACAAGTTGTTATCATAGGTCATTGAACCCTGCAGTGCTTCACTTCTTTTTTTCCATGTTTTTAATTTATAGGCGGTTGGACCCTTCTGTCCACAAGTTGTTATCATAGGTCGTTGGGCCCTGCAGTGCTTCACTTCTTTTTTTCCATGTTTTTATTTTATAGGCGGTTGGACCCTTCTGGCCACAAGTTGTTATCATAGGTCGTTGGGCCCTGCAATGCTTCAGTTCTTTTTTCCGTGTTTTTAATTTATAGGCGGTTGGACCCTTCTGGCCACAAGTTGTTATCATAGGTCATTGGACCCTTCTGTCCACACAAAGAAATAGGTTCGTTTTCTCTTCTTTGTGTGCGCCTGTACATGTACATGTAAGTGTGTGCTATTGGGCAACGTGTGGATGTAGCGCAATGCTGTAGGAATGTTCATGGTTGTAAGTGGTGTGGGCACAAATACATTCTCTTACCAGAAGCAAGAGTGTGCTTATATCCCGATATATGCATATGCGCTTAGTAGTGAGGGTATACTTATGTCCAGATATACCGGTAGACACATTCTGTTATGCACGTCACTATGGTGTACAGTTTATCACTTTGGTCTTTTTTCTTGGCATCACGGTGGTCATTTCTTTGTTCTCCATCACTTGGAAGCTTGAATATAGTCACTATTTTCCACATGCCAAGCTCAGTTCAATGTTGGTATGTGTACTGGCTATTTCACTACCTTCACAACACAGAACGAATGTGAAGTATGTCTGGCTCCAAGTCATTCTTTACAGGACAAAATACTACACAGCTATCAATAATACCGTCAACGCAAAAGGGTACCCATTTCACACATTGCTCCAAAACTGGGTCACTTACCAATATCCAATATTGGCTGAATATTCAACAGGTGAAATAAACTAAGATAATTAGCAGCCATGTAACCCCAGTCCGGAATGGGTAATAAAATTTACTGTAGGAACGATGAAAAAAAAGAAGAAAAAAAAAGAATGATAGATACACGGTACACGGTGCTGCACTGGGTTTTCACGTACCAATAATGAGTTAACACTACATACTTTTTTTTTAAACTGTTGAGCATGACCAACAGCGAATGCACACCCACACACAGAGTGCATGCACATGTGCACACGGGCACACACACATACTTACATACATACACACATACACACAAAGAAAATGAAATCTGACATGCTGAAAAACAGTCAGTTATCCACCGGAGGCGAAGCACCTGTTACAGAAATGTCCAGTCTCATCGTCATCATTTTGACACATATGGTGGTAGCGGCGATGGCAACCTTTACATACCCTGAGGACTCGCTGATCTCCCACGCCACAGGAGAAACACACATTTTCGACATTGGTAGCACTAGCACTGACACTATGTGAGATGCTGGCATCAGGTTCCGGTGGTTTCTCTTCACTCGTCTTGCCTTCTTGAACTACTGTTGTGGAGGGCGACACAGCCGTTTGCGTGAGCATCACTTCTTGGACATCTGCAGATCCATGGCGGTCAGTGTCATCCACCGATGGCTGAGCTGTTCCGTCGGTGCTAGACGATGATGTTGGAACACAACTGGGCGCAGGTGGTGGAGTTACGCTGCTGGTGAGTTGGTCCTGCTCCTGAACCGGCGGCGGAACTAGCGGCTCCATGAAAAGTGTGAGGAAAGCGCACACAGTGATGATAGGCTCGGCCAGAGACATGAGAGACGACGGAATGAAGTGCGTGATTGTGTAGTTCTTGATGCGCTCGATGGCACGTTCGACATGGATGCGCAACGTCGCAATCCGTCTTGTAGCAACGACTTCCTCAGGTTCAAGTTGATCCCGTGTTCCCAAGAACGGGGGAATATTCAGCTCGACACCATCAGGAAGTAGGGACGCAATGTCAAATCCCCGGTCAGCCATTATGGCATCCCCTTTCTCCAGCTTATCAAGAATGCCACTGCGCTTGGTAATCTCCTTGTCGGAAATACGGCCACCCCATAGAGATGATAGAAATGAAATGGAGCCATTTGGGGTCACGCCGACGAGCAGTTTGAGAGTATTCTTGTTCTTATAGTTGGACCAAGTCGTAGCCTGAACCTTGGGGTTAGCGGGCTTGTCAATGGGAAATTCCGTTGCGTCGATAACAACCCTTGTACGGGGGAACTTCTTCCGGAACTCAGAGGGCATGAACCGATCAACCAGCTCCCTACATGGCCAAATGTCCAACTCCTGGAAAGTGAAGTACATGCACTTCAGAACTGCGGCAAAGATACGAGATACTGATGACTGCGTTATTCCAAAGCGATTGCCAAGGTCGGACTCTGGAAAATTGTGTCGCAGCTTGATAACAGTGAGGAGAAGCTCGTTCTCCATGGACAGTGTGCGTGGCCGACCGCGCTGATCTTTGCCAAGGAAATCCTCATCCACATCCCACTTATAGCTCATCCCAGCCATGTTATCCATCATCAGGTTGAGTAACGCATCGTAGCCAGCCACTGTCAAACCAGTGTAAAACAAGAGTTTAGCAGGATCCTGCCGCATTGTGCCGTAACTCAACTGGCATTTCTCCAGTAGCGTCTTCGTCTGCGCCAGATCATACGTGCAGTTGTCTAGTTTGCAGGTAAGGCGTTTAACTTCTTTCTCCAGATCTTCCACACGTTTGTCCATCAGCACTTTCCCATAGTCGTGCTCAACTGTCATATCAGCACTTTGAACATCACTCTCACAATCCTCAGTCTCAGGCTCTAAAACTTCCTGACTGACAGGCGCCACCAATCCAAGAGCTGTCCTAGTTTGCCTTTCCTTCACGACAGCACGGGAAACGAATACAGTTGGAGCTTCGTCAGCACTGGAGCGACGTCCTCCAGCGAAATGGACGGCACAGACATAGGAGTTGGCTGAAAGAGGTACATTGGTTCTTGGGATTTTTGCCAGCCACTGACGGCGACATTCTCTTCGTTTGTCAGTGTCAGGAGGGAGGCGATGAAACGACAAGTTTTTGCAAGCTGGATCACTTCCGCCGCAACCTATCCTATCCGCAGTCGATCCACAAAGCCTCTGCTTCTGGTATACTACTTTTCCATCATCAGGGTTGGAAGGAAACAGTCCGAACTTACAAGTATTCTTCCTGTTGGAGCAACCAGGAACAATGCAATGGCAATGCCCAGGCATTTTATTTTTTTTAAAACTTTTTTTAGAAGAAAACGGCGAACGGCGACAAGACGAGACTGCTTGAGACAACTTCCACCAGTGGGAAGGACATAACTATTATCTAGCCTAGGCTGCTCAACACTACAAGTACAGCCAGACAACAGCAAGGGACGAGAAACAAAATCTGCAACAGCATTACTGACTACTCTCTACCTCTAGCTCTAGCTCTCTGCACCTGCATTGCACTGGCCTGCAGCAGATGCAGAAGATGCCCCGCAGCAAAAATCCGCGCGAAAATTATGCATACGTGCCATTAAAACGCCGATGAAATTTTTCACAGCATCTGTCATGCCCTCTACCCGGTACCCCACGCCGAAAATAAATCGCCGCCGAAATGTCAAAAATCGTGAAGTGCCGAAATTTTGCAGCGCCGAAATTTTGTATATTTACAGTACAAGAGCTGGAAATCTAACGATTGAGATATCTAATCCATGTGCTGTATACACATAGCCAATTCTTTCATTATAGCCATGGCTCGGGTAAGACTGCCGCCCAGAAGGGTTTGGATAATGGATGCTTTACTGCAGTGCTGGGTGAAGTCAGGACACACTGTGTAAGACACCGGGACGTTTGTAAAGAGATGAACTACATCATTCTGACTGTTACCTTGTTGGACAATATTCGCCGGCTTGTTGGATCTCCGAGATGCTGAAAAGAAAAAATATAAAACGTAATGCAAAGCAAAGACACCATTTGATACGGCAAACCCTTGTTCCATACTACATAACAAGCTACAGCAGGAAAAACACACATTATTCCAACCTCTCACGTGCAAGTAACTAATGATAAGGAAGTCTAAACTGCATATCAAAGGAGCACCATAAAAAGAACCAATCTTCTAAAGCTTTGACACTACACTACAATGAGTACACAGGGTGTTGCTATGGGTCTAAGGCACAATGTGTTACTGTGGGACTCCAGGGCACAATGTGTTACTGTGGGACTCCAGGGCACAATGTGTTACTGTGGGACTCCAGGGCACAATGTGTATTTGTGCAGAGGCCATACGGCCACCATGCAATAGTGGAGCTGACAAGAGAGAGCAATAACGTGTGATCCAACACAGCACTATTAAACCTATTAGAGGAGCACGTTAACACTGTTGTATACACCATACTTTCCGAGATCAGAGCTACATCCGCCTCCTAGAGGCAAGATGGCAGATACCATTTCGTATTTGTTTGCATGGATAGAACTAAAGAAAAAGGGGGGGGTTGTCAACTGACACCCGCTCTATTCAGTTGCTACTCACACTCGGCGCATGAGCTGGATGAAAAATTCTTTATTGTGATGTCGAATAATTATGACGTTTCGGGCCAGTCACCCATCGCCAGAACTGAACTGAATAGGGCAACTGATTAGAGAGGTTGTCAGTCGACAAACCCCCATTTTCTTTATAATGCAGTTGCGTGATGTCCACCACTTTCATGGATAGAACTGTTCATGGAAAAAGCCATAGTGTGTGTGTGTGTGTGTGCGTGTGTGTGTGTGTGCGTGTGCGTGTGTGTGTGTGCATGTGGTAATTTTCATGTAATAAAGCCGGGCTCTGCCACTGGAGAATTAGGTGATACATACCTAGTCGAGAAGAGAGACCAGATGACAGCTGCAGCAAAGCAACAATAAACCACTGCATGTGTAAGAGGACTGGCATCAGTTCTGTACATTACTGCCACAATCCTGCATGGTAGCATAGCTTATCATACACACTGCATGACAGTTCAGCAAAGCCAGCTTTACGCCCACCATCTCTTATTTAATACTTTGTGTTAGAGACACACACAATGACGTGTCAATATGTAATGATACTGTACCGGAAGAGTTGAATCTCAAACGATGCACAACGTTTAACGTTTTAGGCTTTAGCAGAGCATGACTGAGGATGCCAAAGTACGTGTGCAAGTCGATCTCCCCAATCTCGCTCAAAATTTGCAGGTACGTTTCCGCTGGGGTGTAGATCAGCTGTGCAAACTGCAAACCACTGAAAAAGTTCCTGAAGGAAACCTTGAACCTGGCATACCCCACAAAATGGCACTATAATTACAGCAAGAGTGCATAAACAAGAGTATGTTACTGTGGTTATGGGTCAGTGCGCGGCGCGCTGCCTTCATTACATAACTTGCCTTCATCACGCTCTGAAAGCTTGCACTCAAGCCCAAAATTTCTCGTACATTCGTTTTTGCTCGAATCGTTCCAGTACCTACGGAATCTCTAAATTATGGCACGTGAACTCCAGTTCTGTACGAAAGTTCTTTTCAAACAAGAGGGAAAGTGCGGTGTTTGTTTTTCCGCGAAGCGCGGACCGGGGATCAGAGCCGCGGACTGCTGCTGAATGATGTAATGAAGGCAGTGCGCCGCGCATCTGGCCCATAGAAAAGATATCACAGTTGCATACTCTTGCTTATGGACTCTTGATTACATGATAAATGGTTCTACAAATGAGCCACGGGACATTAACCCTCTATGGTTCTCGCCAAGAGTACATGAAGCCCAGAGTGTGCAGCTTCTGACTTTTTCTGCATGGGTGTCTGTCACGGCGAAATTCCGCCATTACATCATATTAGGCGCAGATTTGAAGCGGGAAGTGGCGTAGTGCGTACAACTGAGCTGCAGTTGTGCAGAAAGAGACCTGCTTGCACGCACTACATCACTAAAATGATGTAATCACGGAATTTCGCCATGACAGCAACCCATCAGAGCTGCACAGTGCACACTCCAAGTTTCATGTACTCTTGGTCTCACATAAGCGTACAGGTCATATACAACCCGTACAGTAAAATCGCATTTTTTATGCGTTTTGTTGCTAGGAGACAGCTAAAATGGCGCTCTACGCGTAGCTGAGGTGTACGGCTTTGCAAAGGTGTAAAAACAACCATACTTATCATACAAAATGTTGCGGTATCGATCGACTTAAGTATGTTGAAATTGAAAGACGACGATCTGCCATGCGCGCATTCCGAGAATGTGAGTAGATCTCTTGAGGCAGTGCTTGACACGTTTTCTGAAGACAGCAACGGCACCAGTCCAGGCTGGATATCCCTGGAGGATTTGCAGTGTAGTCCAGGCTGGATATCCCTGGAGGATTTGCAGTGTAGTGTGTTGAGAAAAAGAGCTCTGTTGAGTCCTCCTGGCTCAAAATAAATCGTCCCCGAATGAAGAAATCAAAAGTTCCAACCACACAGGAGCCTCGCCTCTCAGCCTCAACGTCCTCTGTTGTGGCGACTTCGGCCATCCGACAATGGACCGCAATTCGTATCGCAAGAGAGGACATACTACATGTCGACATGTGGTATTGTCCATATGCGCAGTGCACCGTATTTCTCGGCAAGGAATGGTGCAGCGGAGAAATGTGTGCAAACCTACAAGGCGGCTGGCTCTGGTGGGTGAGAAGCGAGGAGCCTTGTCGCGGTCTATGGCTTTGCAGAGACGGCTACGCTACCGTGCGACACCACATGCCACCACAGGTAAATCGCCCAAGTTGCTCTTCCTCCGCCGAGAGATGAGAACCCGCCTGGCAACCTCGGTCCAGACCCCGCCAGCAACTGGCGCGCTAGTCTTGGCCTCACGCAACACGTCGTGCGAGTCCACAGCTGTCCGCAGCGGGTTGGTCGTCGTCGTCGTGCAGAGCTGTATTGTCCATCTACATTAGTGGCTGGAGAGGCCCATCTCTTCAGGATTCAGGATTTTATATCTGATACCTTTAGTGCTGTGCGGTACACGTAGCCTGTGGCATCTAGATCATCCACTGAAGCCTGCCGTGATACAGCTTCCTCTGTGGGAACAGAGCAATCACACCTGCAGATGGTTCACCGACAGGCAGCTGAGCTGGGAAGCTTAGCCGAGATCTTGGCAGGGGGACCAGAAGGAACAAGAAGGCAAGAAATAGCAGGTCTGCAGCATATGAACAAAAGCAGATCAAGAGCAATCGTCGCAGGAAGCTCATACTTAGGCACACCCCTCGCTGACATGAAGGTGGAGGGTCCGGCCACTGTTCTCAACCTCCCCGGAGTCGCGCTAGGCGGTCTCCGTCTCGAGTGCTGAATACCTGAAGAAAAGAAAAGCGACATTTAGTATCTTCTCCGCCAGCTTCTTGTCAAGAAGTCTGTCACCTCCTTCCTCCATGATAAATTTCGAAGCACTTCCACAATAAATCTGCTACCAGAGCTGGGCGTAATTTCACCTGGCCCATGTTGGCACGCTAGCTATGTCCCCGGTGTTCTCTCCACTTGAGCCCGTGGCACTCCCCGCTTATGTCCCGGATTCCTGATGTAGTGCACATATGCATTTCATGCTCTTATCAATTCACACTAGTTGTTTGACACCAGCCCCCATGTAGCCCAACTCAAACTATTGTGTTCAGCTGCTTATGCTTGTGAGGAAAGATGTTAACGTACACGGACAAGCTACGAATAAACCCCATCAAGCCAACATGAAAAATCCATTGTTAACATGAGGAAACGCTACTACAGTGGCGCTCTGTGAAATCCCACCCAAAGTGCAAAGCTGGCGCCCTGGACCAGTTCCAACTGCATCATTGTATTTGTACATGTGTACATATCCACCCACATCCGTACTAATTCCAGGGCGTCAAGGGCCGTGCAAGTTGAGGGCACTAGATATGCACTTCAGGTCGGATTTCACCGAGCACAACTGCAGTATATTATTCCTTCTCTCATCTACACTAGAGAATATACATAATTGAGATGGGTGGGTGATGGCAGGGCCTTGAACTTTGTGCTCACTAAGTGGGAAAATGTGCACATCGTTTAACTTTCACCTCCTACAGTAGCTTGTTACGGTGTATGTACAAGTGCATAATGTAATCGCTGTGTGAATTACCTCAAACACAGGCTTGGGTGTAGGTTGACTGTTGTTCAGGATCTCGGCCAGCGCAGCGTAGTGAACCTGCCGATGTGCACTGAGTGCTGCTGGTGTTAGCGAATCAGTTATGTCAAATCCCATCTAGCAATACCAAAGACCAGCCGGCAACACAGTGTGCACGCACACACGTACACACACGTACACATACACACACATGCGCACACATACACACACAGATGGGACCATATTGCATGGTACATGCAGGCAACAGTGCACATAACAGCACAGATTGGACTGTCACTATACCAGACTGGCAAAGAGAAATACTACATCAGAGCACAGATGATTGTTCATTGGTCTTACAGCCACAAGCACTTGTGCATCAATCATCTCTGAGGGTAACTCTTGCAGGCAGCTACACAGCTGTGCTAGACCATCGGCATTGGAAATGTCTTCAGCCTGCACAACACACACGCAACACAGAACACAACCCCACAACATACAACAAAATTCATTGACAGCATAGCAGCATGTCACCGAGGTAGACCAAATACACTGGCAATTACAACAGCTAAAGCAGCAGCATAGATATCTAATTTTCCACGGAGAAAGTGCAGAACACGTCACAACTTGAAATGCTTAGCATTGTTAGGCCGCACTGTGAGCATACCTCAGCACACGCCATCTGAACTGCACACCGTGTACACACGCCCTAATTGACATGGGCATGTAACCATATGCAGCCACAAAATCACAATGAAAGCAATCACGCTCTGTACACGCACGCATGCACGCGCACGCACACATATACACACACACACAGCTGCACTGCAGCACACAGCATAGCTGAAGTGGGATAGCTCACCTTGAGATTGAACATTGCCAGAGCAATACGGAACAAAGTCACAGAACCGTGGTAGAAGAAAAGGTCCCAAATACGAAGAAGAACCTGATTGAAGCAAAGGGGGACAGGAAAGGCACGACTTTCAAACTGGCCACTCTTGAAAAATGATCCATCCATTCTGCTTCCAAACATAACTTTTCGTTACTAAATCAAGCATCTTCGGACAGATTCCTGTAAATGGGTAATGTTTGCGACATGAATGCGTTGAGAAATTGATGTCACCAAGTGTCATAAGTTGGAACACAGCTCAGAGTAATATTACTTAAAGTTTGCTGCGCCTCTGGTTGGCTGAATTGTTGAATAAAACAAGCAAGAAGAAGCACTCTTTTTAGCGCTGTAAGGCACGTATCATAGCAGATTTTTTCAGGTTTTTGACTTTTTGTTTGTTTCGCTTTTCGTGAAGTAGGCATGAAGAAAAAGGACCAAGAAACTACACGTTACGCTATAATGTCCACTAACACCACCAGTTACTAAACAATCAGCTCATGCGATAACATTGCACGACACTGACCGACGGTAATGACGTTCTACAACTTTGTTTAGTAACTGGTGGTGTTAGTGGACATTCCAGCGTAACTTGTAGTTTCTTGGTCCTTTTTCTTTACTATAAATTTATCCTTGGCTCTCCATCCGAGTAGGCATGAAGAGTGCATAAACTAGAGTGTACAACTGAGACAGTTACCCCATAGTTGACGTTGAGGTACTGCAAAACTGATGTCATAAATCGTATTGGCGCAGCATGGGCAGTACAACCGTGGATTGCGGCTTCCATGACTCATGAAAACGAAGTACACAATGATGTATACACCGTCCAGAACTCATACGTAGGGCTGCACACTCTGCTTTATGGACTCTTGATATCGTTCACTGCACGGCTCCTACATGAACCCACAACACCATCCTAAAACACTGCTTTAAGCATACCGGGAAAGGCAGAACCGATGCAAACACCGTAATGTACCAGTGCATCGTGATCATTGATAACTCTGAGAGAAACAACACATACAAAAAAGTGCAAAAACACACACAATGGGCAAGGACACCAACAGACCGAACTGGACGCAACAACTACATGTACTGCACTACATACACTAGCAATGAATCCACTTCTATCATGGCATATCACTAGCACACACCGAAAGCAGTTCCTGTGCATTCCAGTCGAAACAAAATTACAACGAAATGGATCCGGATGTATGCACAAGATAGGAGAACAGAAGTCATAACCACCCACTCAACAACAAGAACCCTTCTTAGCCATGTACAGCAGCATTCACCACATCATGTATCTTAGTACACAGCATGCGAGGGCTGGCAAAAAAAACTTACAACCCTGGCTGTTGGGGCTGGTAGACTCACTGGACTACTTGCTTACCTAAGTTGTTCTCCTCCAAGACTTTGTCCACAGGTGGTAAGTGTGTCTTTACCAACTGCCGCAACACACGCTGATCAGTCTGGGCACCTGTACAACAACACACGTGACAGCCTCCATACTCATGTACATGTTTCAAAGAGGGACTTCTGCTGGATCTGATCCCCATACGCCCATCCGATTACAAACCACCGTAGTTTGACCCTATAAATTCCATACAAATTCCACATCCAGATCACCATATCGCTCATTTTTAATTGAGCCAGCTGGTGTAGTCTGCTTTGGTCCCAGCTTACAACTAAACAGCTAGACTCCCCCCCCCCCCTCCCCTTTTCAAACAAACGATGCTTGTTTCAGGGACAACAAAAAAACCTTCGAGACGATCCCTGACTACTTTTTTGTAAACACCACAACCAATTCAGTAGAAGTCTGCCCATATCGCAAACAATGAGAAAAAATACAGCGCCCAACGTGGGGCTCGAACCCACGACCCTGAGATTAAGAGTCTCATGCTCTACCGACTGAGCTAGCCGGGCTGCTTGGTATTATGATACAGCCTTCTACTACTCACCGATCAGTGTGACGCCGTAATATTCCGGAGGTAGGATATCCTCGATGAGCTTCACCATCATCCAGAAAGTGGTCTCTTCATCCAGAATCAGCAACAATGATGCAATGATCTGCGTGCAGTGCAAAACAACAAAAAGGACTTATGGACACAAGCACATACAATGTATAACTGGGCACTACAATACCGGTACTCATACAGCAATGGCACAACCAAGTCCTGTTCTGCCGTTAACTGGACGCTATGTGGTATGGGGACGGTATACAACCTGACAAAGACAATTCCCATGACCCTAGTATGCATCATCACTAGTGCTGAAACGATTATGTTTTTTTCCTTAGTGGCTTAGCTGATACCATAACGATTGGCTTATCGGCTAAACGATTATTAATGTAACTACATCAGTACAGTCATGTACATTCTGTGAATTTCAAAAAAATTACGAGTCCAACATTGCCAACGACGGAAAGCGGGCGCATAGATCCGATGATCCCGCAACAAGTCCGTCAGCTGTTCGGACTGACCAGACAAATACAGACAAGACAGAGGCAACTCACTGGTTGCAACTCAAGAGCTGATGGTGCCCTTCGCCTTCGCTGACTTCGACAATGAAGTCAGAGAAGCCGGCCAGGGGTGCAGCTCGGCGGATTTCGACGGATGAGCTGACTTGAGGCGCACCAACCAGTAACTAGTTGCTTTTCCCGTCTATGCTCAAAATAGGCCCAGACCCCAGGCCTAGCTCGTCGTCGAGCAAACTGGTTCGGGAACCGTCGACAGAACGGAAAACATGAAACTGAAGACCACTTTACTGTCTTTAGCTCAAGACTACTCGCACGTGGAGGGAACTCCAGCCCCTGCATCTAGTGTAGACACATACTGAGCCTGCCAGTCCTGCCTGCTGTATGTAAGAAAAGTAGTCAGCTCAAAAGACGGCGACGGTGATCACGTCGATGTTTCTCAGATCGCGCTTGTACTTTACAAGTACATCGATGTTGCAAGTGTACTGTCTGCCATGTACATATTCGTGTCGTACTCCCAACACTTTCGATGCATGCACGCTTTATGCGACCCCCAAAAGGGGGGAAATCCTGTACCGAGCGTAAATACCATTCTACTCGTTTAGCCGATAAAATCGAAATAACCGTTCGATCTATTTCTTATCGAGTAAGTAACGAGTAATCGGTATAATCGCTTCAGCACTCATCATCACCACTGCAACACACTTGCAAACCCACTCACCATCCCTGTTCCTTGACAGTAACCAATCTCCGGGAAAGCCTCTGCTATGCAGCGCAAGATGTTCCGCAAGCTCTTGACACCTACCAAAATAATATGCACAATCAATGGCATTACAGGCTGCACAAGGGTGGGGAACATCAAACAAACGATCCAAGACCTACGGCTCAACCCAGGCAGTGCTTCGTAGTATCATGAACTCTGCAATAAACGTGTCACTTGTGGAGAATATGGTTGGAGAAACTTTTAAAAACGACATTATCTCCTGATCAAGTGTGCTAGAAACAATGTGCAGCACAACAGTCCATGATACAATGTTACTGAAAACAAAAGACAGTCTACATGTCAGCCATGACTGCCAGTAACCAAACGTTCAGTTACCAACCTGGACAGTTTAGCCGAGCAAAGCAACCACTCTGCGGCATGGTCCGCAATAGGTCCTGCATGAACAAAAAAACCGGTATGCACACCCACACACGCGTGCACACGCGCAGGAGACCGGATTGGATACTGCTGTATGAGAAGCGCTTCTATGCTGGTTGGATTCCCACTATTGATGCTATGAAAGCATCCTCTGAGGCTTTTCTAGGACATCACAATACGGTTGAGCTTCAAAAGCAACATTCGAGCACTGGTGACTGTAAGCAGCTCAAGTCTATCTTACATAGTCTATTCGAGATATGCCACACATTGTCAAGTCATGCACTCGCGATAACTCGTGCACCTTTGCACGTGGGGGAGCATGTCTTGCACCTTTGTACATCGGAGAGTATGACTTTCACCTTTGCAGGTGGGGGAGTATGACTTTCACCTTTGTACACGGGAGAGTATGATTTTCACCGTTGCACGTGGGAGAGCATGATTTTCACCGTTGCACGTGGGGGAGCATGTCTTGTATGCACTATCTGCTAATCACGCACTTGCCATAAGTCACGCAATATTGTCCCCGGGACTGAGAGAGGAACTTATCAAGAGTATAGGCTGCACCGTGGTAGCAGCTAGCACCACTGGCCAATGGTGTTGGAGAAGCCGTGAAAGCCAAGGGCAAGTACAGATAACGCCTCACTTGTGGGAAGCCTGTACACATCCATCTCACTATCAGAGATGCCAGGATATAACTACACTATTGCACGTGACAAGCTTCTGTCCATCATGCAGCTTCTGCCCTTCCCTAACAATGAGGAACCCCAGGGAGCCTCATTATGAAGGGAACAAGATGCGCTCAATTGTCAACATTTTACTTGACACAGCAAAAAAGGCAATACTAGCTTCCTGACCTTGTCAATTTGCCGAGCCACTCCATGAATGGATGAGTCCAGTGCACGTGCCAGCAGGTCCTGCACAAAGAAACACAAATGCACCAAGAAAATCCAAAAAAAATAAGCGCCCAACGTGGGGCTCGAACCCACGACCCTGAGATTAAGAGTCTCATGCTCTACCGACTGAGCTAGCCGGGCTGCTTGATTCTTCAGAAAACGGAACAAATCACAAAGTGAAGTCTGTACTTGTAGTGACCTCAAACTCCATGTCACTCATCATATACTGTGTAGAAGCATAACCAGAACCTATCAACTATTGTGCCATTGCCGCCTTCTCCTTGTGGGTTATAGTACTTCTTCCTCTAGCTTCCAGGTTGGACGTACTAGTATGTGACATAATATTATTGTCTGTGTGTATTTGTTAGTTACAACCTTCGCTACATTGAAACACGAAGAAGTCCATAGGATACGCTAGCACATAGTACACTGCGTACATCACATTACAGAAAATAGGTGAGCTGTAACAATGGGTTGTCAAGAGTGCACTGGGCCCATTTCCGTATTCTCAGTCAACCTTGGCTGACTAGAGGCTGCAGGGTGTTCTACGCGTGCGTTCTAAGTCACAGTAGTGACAGTAGTGACATACCCATCTCACAACTCACTGCTTACCTTATAAGAGACTGTGCTGGAGCGTTGCTTAGCCCGGGCTCCACAAAGCCTTGGCCATAGCTGCAGATAACACAAAGAGTACAAGCCTTATTACAAATACAAGGATACACAATGATACATGCAATTTACGCCAGATCACAGATACTACAGCATTTCTACCAGCATACTCCATCTCTACAATAGCCCCGTTGAAATAGATGTCATTGGATCATTCACATGTGAAACTCTAAAGCATTTGTTATATTGTAGGCTTGATTAGATCATACACAATGACATAACATCACACGGGCCACATCCAGCCACAGGCATGGCATGTATTTCACAGCCGGAGCCTAGAGAACTGGCCGGCTAAATGATTCCTATTGACTTAACTCCACCATCACAACGTACCTCAGCGCGCATGCGGTGTGGCACACCACACTTGACCAGTTCCTCCAGCTTGTCATCTTGAGGCAGGTGATCAGCCAACTTTGATCACACAAAAATACGCAAACACACAGACACACACACACATGCACACAAAGACACACATACCACAATATCTCCATCATAAACTCAGGGCTATGTTTCATCAAACCGTCCTGACCCTGAGCTTCTATTCGAGACCGTGCCAAATTCGTTTTAAAGCCATATCTTGCCAAAATGTGCATGGTTGTCTTATGGGTGCATGATCCATACATTGTTCTATGCTACATAGCCTGGGCTTGTACTGGAGACTGGGCCAAGGGGACACAGGATGCGCTTATATTACAGCGTAGAGACTGTGCTTCCACAGGGCACTTTGCTTGCATTTATAGATAATGCGGTAAAAAACATGCACACATGAACACCATGCTGCCATGCTGCAAAACAGCTAATATGACACTGCGAACATCTGCATGAAAGCTGGGCATTAATTGCCACGCTGCAAAACAACTAATATGACACAGCGAAAATCTGCATGAAAGCTGGGCATTATAGCAAAAGAAGTTTCACTCGTGCCGATAAGAGTTTGCATTGCCCAGTGTGACACTACACCGTGCTCTGTACTTCATCGTACGACTTGGCAATTCTCAAGTTCTGTAGTTTCTGCTGTCTGTGTTCACTAAGTGACAGACAGTAGGCATACAGCCGAACAACACAAGCACTGGGGAAGAACCTACCTGCTCCCAGGAGAAATCTTTCACTTCCTGGTTGTGCCTGAACTCAAGGTACGCCTGCCAGCGGAGTCGCAGCATCGGATCTTCTATCATCTGCGGGCATAGGAGTGCAAGGCGAGCATCTGCAACACGACACGACACAAGACAACCAATAGCATATGTAGTCCAGTCCAGCACAGGTTTGCAAGTGCATGCTGTGATCAATAAGGCATAGCTGCGCATGATCAAGCGCATCCTTTACTTGTCGATATCAAAAAAAGTAATACAGGAACAACCCTCCGAGGAGCCGACTGGCATCAATCTCAATAGTTCAGAATGAATTCCCGGCCATTACATCGATGCCCAGACACCTCGCCACTTCTTACCGCCCCGCCTCAAATCAAGAATGATAGGTGAATAACGTCTACTACATATCGCTTCTCCAAACACGGACAACTTACCTTCATCGTTCACTTCAAACCCAAACTCATCGTAAATCTGACAAAGTGGTGATGTTGTGGACTGCGATGCCTGGGCAAATCAGAATATACACAACAACAAAAAAAGGGTCGTGCCAAGAACAAGTTATGACAGACTGGAAAGTAGCTTGGGTAGCTTGGGTCGGCATGGTGGGTGAGCTCAGATAAGGCAAGAGTGAAAAAGATAAGAAAAAAAGGAGCGCCCAACGTGGGGCTCGAACCCACGACCCTGAGATTAAGAGTCTCATGCTCTACCGACTGAGCTAGCCGGGCTGCATACAAAAGCATGACACGAGTTCAGCTGTAAGGGCGGCTTCACAATAGCGCTACCGCACGGCTGTTTTTTTGTGCGATTTCACGCCACTTTACAATATGGCCGCCGAAAGTCTCGATCGGGCTTCAATAGCAAGAAAATTTGAATTTTCAAATCGCCAGAACACAAGTAGGTCATGGTTTCCCGTGGATTTTGGTGACTGGTTAGCCCGGACAGCCTTGGGAACACGCTGATCACGTGCGTCTTGTTTCAAGCTTTCCGCTCGTACCTCACATGCCTGCCTTTCCTTCAAGAAACATTTGTTCTGCGTCGTGCAACTTTCGCTTCACTCTGAAGTACTCCTTGTGTCGTCGCTGTCAAACTCGGCCCCGAGAAGCCTTTCCTGGATTTTTCCCAGGCTAGATGGCAATTTTCCCAGGTAGAGGACTATCCTCTGGTTGTCTTCCCTGAGTATCGTTGTTGTTCGCGCATGAACTTCTAAGTTCGCGAGGCGGGTCAGGAACCTGTTTTCTCTTGATTCGGAAGACAAATGGCGTGGCCCTTTAGTTGCTGTTGAGTCTAGAAGGCTGCTTCCTGCTGTAAATTGCTTAGTTGGCATGTGGGATATTGTAGAAGAAGACAGCAGCCGGCCAAGTGAGCTGGAAATTGTGATATCTCTCCTATTGTGCGTTGAACGAGTACGAAATGTCCAATTTGAATATTGTACACGCGCGCACGCCAAGCAGAGGCCGATAATCACAGGGGCGGTCGATCTCTGGACTACCAGGAGTAGTTTTGAGCAAGTTTGAAGCGGAAAGACAGCTAACTGGGCAGGCCAGGACGCCTTTCCGCCCTTCTTCTCTCTCAAATTACCTAAAAGTCGAGTATCTCGCTCGAGCGCTTTCAAAACACTTCTCTTGGATTCGCTTCCCAAATCGTGAAACCACGCGAGGAGCGACATGAGTTTCTTCCAAAAACGGAAACTCATCCCGTATTTGCACGATTCGTACAATGTTACATAAATCGCACCGAACGACGCCATATTCATAAGTGCCTGTGCTGGAACAGCCGTGACCGAGCTGTGCTCAAGCTCATTTCCATGCCGCCTGGAATGTCTCAGGACTGCTTATCAACTTTGTGCTAAATTGTGCAAGTCTGACCGTTCAAAATTGGGTTTTTTGTAGTCGGTGGACTCCTAACGCATAACTACTTGTACCCTACTGTTTTCCATGATTTTAATCTACTACAGTCAGATCTCGCTTAACCGCACACATCCGTTTTCCACAAAAATATCCGGATAGGCGAGGGAACCGGATAATCGAACACACACACTGTATGTATGCATGGCATATGCTGTAAATCGGTAACCAACGATTTTCTTCCGGATGACGAGGGATCCGGATAAAAGAGGACCGGATAAGCGAGGCCTGACTGTAGTAAATATGTCCTCGCAAAGTAGTGCTAGTCTACAAATCGCAAAGTTTTACCTGCCGAAATTAGCCGTTTACAATACATGTATGCACCTGCTGTATAAACGGCTGCAACGATTCATTTCATAATTACATATTTTTCGTGACACAATGCACTCGATCGTATACAAGTAGGGATATCAGCGAACGCACTGCGCAGCCCATCTGCGCAGGTCAGCCTGGCCCATCTACGAGCGGCCGACAAGAAAACTCATGAACACTTACATTTTTTTGCAAAATAAATCGTGTGAAGAAGATGCACGGAATGGCTGAAAACTAGGCTGAGGAATAGTAGCATCCAGAGACTCTCAAACAAATTCATGGTCCATCGCTTCTGACAATGGCAGGGAAGACATCAGGGAGCTGATTGCAGCAACTCTCTACCAAGCGCAATGCTGGTTACTCACCAGGGCAGGGCGCTTCCATCGCGCAAGAAATGGCCGCGAGCGAGAAATGCAAGTCCGATTTTGGAACGATCCAACCAGGGAAATCTCTTGAAATTTGGCCTGAACACCTCTCATACTGGTGTTTCACGATGTGCAAACTTTCAGAGAAATCGACCGGGGAGAACGTGGTGAGTACGTGGGTCCTTCGTCTCGCGTATGATTTGAATGGTCGCGGGGACAGAAGAACAGTAATTTTACGACTCCCAGCGGTGCAAACAGACCGCGGCCATGTTTTCTCTGTCGGCCGCGATCACGTTCAAAATATCGATGACGCAATGCATGCGCAGAGGCCTGCGCAGTGCGTTCGCTGACATCCCTAATACAAGACCGCACGCTAGTACAGCCGACCTTGCCTTGCAAATGCGCGCATAGAGTTGATTGCACATCGTGAGAAAGACATAACTCTGGAAATGAGTCGTGACAGCTATCCATCGCCAACGGTATGCTCGATTTCATTCGACTTCTTGAAAGTTTTAAATTCTATCCCAAACAGCCAGGTTCACCGAAGCAAGGCATTAAAACAACAAACTAGTACCAGTGCCTTCCTTACCAGCTCAGGTGGAATAACATCACTGCGAATAGCCGAGAATGGTTCGGAGCTGTGACTTGACGCAACATTTAGCACTGCAGGACTTCCAGCCGATGAGCGTACATTACCAGGACCATTTGTAGAGTGAGGTGTCGCAGATGAGGATGCCGCCCGACTGCTTATTGGCGTGGTGTGCTGTGACGCGATAGCACTATCGACAACAGATCCAGGAACAGCCAGTCCCGAAATACTGCTGGACGGCGGTACATCTTCATCTTCCATCTCCAAACATGGCGCTAGAAACAGCCAAAACAAACACAAACACACACACACATGCATGCAAGCACACACACACACACACACACACACACACACCAAACCACACAAGCACACACACACAAGCGCGCGCACACACACACACACACACACACACACACACACACACAAACACACACACACACACACACACACACACACAAACACACACACACACATATACACAAGCACACACACACACACACATCATGCTTTATTTTGTTACACGCAGCCACGCTGTAGCTATGGCATAAGCACAGACACAGGAAATTGTTCACTTGCACATCTTTCATGTATCAATAAAATAATTCAAACCAACCAGTTAGTAAATTTTTCAAGTACATGTACCCATTCATGTACAAGTATCAATCAAATACTTGTACATTGTAATTCAAAACAGTCAGTAAAGTAAAGTAATTAGTTGAAATCCAGTCAATGCTTAGTGATATTGCTAACATACAAGTTATCTACCATTTACATCAAGGCCAGGACCAGGGTCGCGTTGGCGCAATCATGATTTCATTAAAAAGAAACTCCCATTACTTGCAACACACATACCAACTCACTGTCTCAGGCGAGCACCGAAATCCAACAACAACGACACCGGCTTGCTACCTCGATAAAGAGCGCCGCTGGTAAAACAGATACAGCTAAACACAAGCCCCCACCTACAGAATTCTGCAACAGTGCTCCGGATTTCCAATTTTACGTTGTAAACCACCAAGCCAAGGAGCTCCGGCCAGAGGAAGAAACCTTTTTCATTCACGAGCATGCAACATATTTTCTCAGGCAAGGAAATGATTCGATTCTTGATTTGTAAAACGAACGTGACACGACCCACAAAAATACCGTAGATAGCTACGCGAAGAAAGCGTCCTCTTGTTGTCAAGGTGCATTTTTGTTGCTTGCATGCATGTTTCGTGTGTGCGCACTGGTCGCGTCGCTGAACTAGCAGACACTGCTGCAGATCTGGACACCGACCGGTCGACCCGACACTTCTCGATTCATCGTTTCCGCAGTGGAATGGCAGCGACGAGCGGACAAACGATGTGTCGAGCTCGTACTACTAGTACTAGCTAGCTCTTATCTGGGTGATCTGCAGCCAACACCTCGTCACTCGGCTCATTCATTCGCTTGTCGACCTCGTCACAAGTCAACAGAAGTAACGACGTTGAATGACAACAAAATCCTGAAACCAACCCCTCCTGTCTTTCTCCTCTGCATGTATTCGCAATCTTACCTCCGTGCTTGGCCATGTCCGCGCTCATATAACCATCCCTGTTGGGTTGTGAGCTTCCAAATTTCCACATGTTTCGGCAAGAGTTAGGAGCGGGAGGGCGAATATGGCTACAAGTGCAATGGTGCGACAGCGTATCCGACAGCAGACAAAACCAAATGTGGGTTCGGACAATGAAGCCACCGTTCCTATCTCGGAACACGTACACTCTCGGTCTGCAGAGTTCGGAAAGTGTTCATTGCACTCCTATGCGACGCAACTGCAGGCGTCCTCAAGCACCTACAGAAAACAACGAACTCTGTCAACATCAGCTCCGAACAGAAACGGAGCGAACGCCACAGAAACCTGGTACATGTAGTGGTATTAAAACCAGGTAGTCTACGCTGTAGCAGTGGTAAAACACGACACTACACACTACTCCGAAACATCAGCTATCGCCTCTACTAGTACTAGTACTAGTACAGTGTAGTAGTAGTAGTAGATCTACTACGTGTGCGAGCACGAGGTCGAGGGTAACCTCCATCGACTCGTCCGCTGCCGCCTGCCGGCCGTAGCTACACTACCGCGTACGCGGTAGTTGAAGTAATTATTAGTTGTAGCTGCTGGTGTACTGCCGCTACTACTGCGTGCATTCGTCCACGCGCGCACAACTACTTCACAAGCTCTTCCGTCCGGCCTGTCACTCTACTCGTACTCGTAGTCGTACAACAGAAGAAGCGCGACTCAGCTACTGAGTCCGAGTCTGTAGCAGAGAGTAGTAAAATACTGTATTTTACTACTCCCTGGTCTGTAGCGTAGGCTAGGCTTGTGTCAAGTAACATCACAGTTGCAAAACAGTTTTGCAACTCGTTTCCCACTTTCTGTGAGAGAATCCACAGAATCAACAGTTCGCTCGTACTTTTCTTGACAGAATGATGAAATAATCAGTCATTACAGTCAAACTGCCTACAATTGTAGAGAATGTTCAAACAGAATGCACAGAATCATGAGGATGTCGTCAACTCGATCGATTTTATGCTAGCGTATCACTTGTTTGACTGTCGCTTTCCTGATCCTTGGACCAATGATGCATGGTTGACTGTTGTCATCACCAATGCTGGGACTGGGATTGGAGCGTTTCAAAAAATAACCTGGCAGGTGCAGGAGATGAGTTTGCCATGCATGTGGCTCGTACATGTATCTGACTTGACGTGAGCTTGACCAGTCACGTGCCGTGCGTGTGGTAGGCTGGTAGCATCACAACAAGCATGCAGACTATACTACTTTTACTAGTACAGACTGTCAGTGACAGTGTGTGTAGTCGACTGCGTAGAAAGAGCTGATCTTGAGTTATTATTATAATTATTTTCACTTTTGCATCATTTGGAAGTAGTTTTGTGTCTCCCTGGCCTGAGCTGCTGCATAACACGACATGCCGGCATGATGGCAGGTCGAAGCCAGCAGCTCCGCTATTTAGCCGCTGGTGCAGGCGGAGCATTGTGCGGATATGTCCTGCATCGACCGAGAAAAAGAAGAGACCATCATGGAGAAGAACAAGTCCAGACTGCGACAGAGACTAACCATGTCTACGGGCCTGTACAGTATGACTTTGAAAAAGCAAAGTTGGACAGCAAGCTGCTGGTCAGAGAAGCCCAGGAGCTGAGTAGGTCGCCTGGCGTGACTGTGTCCGTGGGAGTGAACGGGCAAGTAGTGTGGAGTGAGGGCTTTGGCATGGCGGACGTGGAGAACAGGGTGGCGTGCCGTCCCGAGTCCATGATGCGCATAGCGAGCATCAGCAAACCCATCACCATGCTGCTGCTGGCACGCCTATGGGACGCGGGCATGGTGGATCTGGACGCGCCGGTGCAGAAGTACGTTCCGCAGTTCCCGAAGAAACGCTTCAACGGCGAAGACGTGGAGGTCACCACACGCATGCTTGTGCACCACATAGCCGGTGTGCGTCACTACACAAAGGCTGTGCCCACTGTTACTGGGCAAGATACTGTCCAAGCAAACAGCAGCAGCAGCAAGCCTGACAATAGCAACAGTGGCGGCACAAGCGAAAGCAACAGCAACGACAGCAACTCAGCCTGCAGGGATCAAAACAGCAAGCAGAGCAATAGCTCGCAGGTCAGCGGCGGAGATGATGTGACGCTTCCCGAGTATCATATAATGCGTCACTACGACAGCGTCGGCGAGTCCCTAGAACTGTTCGCCAATGACGCGCTGTGTCACAGGCCTGGTAGCAAGTACCTGTATACGACACATGGCTGGACACTCGTCAGTGCGGTCATTGAAGGGGCTGGTGGCCGACCGTTCACAGATCAGCTCGCTGACATGCTGTACCAGCTTGGTCTGGAGCATATTCAAACGGAATTGATGGAGAAGTTGATTGACTATCGTGCACGGTAAGTTTGGTAGAATACGTCCGTAAGTATGGAACATGAAATAAGATCGTACTCGCAGTCAGACCTCGCTTAAAGGGGAAGTTAAGGCAAAAATTAAAATTTCACCAGTTGTAGCCTTCGGGGTGCTGATTCCAATGGTCGTGGTCCGAGGAAGCTGAGACGCTCCCTTCCTACTTGAATCCCAATCGAACTCGCGGACTTCCACCAAAACTGGGTGACTGCGCCCTACTAGATGGGGATTTGTATGCAAAATGTCACTAAAAGCGCCATTTCGTTCTTATAAAAGCACGGATGACCGCGATTGGCCCATATGTTGTAGTCTTTTGGACGCTGAGTCGACTGGTTTTGGTCCAAAAAGGCTGCGATGCAGCGTTCCTCCTTTATTCCCAATCGAACATGGTTGAACAAGCGGTCACGTGCTCCTGGGTGCCCAAATCACCTGGTCACCACGCCAGCAGGCGACAACTTTCACACCAAGGTTCAACTCGAGTTCAACTTGAGTGACAGGACTGCACCCAAAAAAGGTCAAACAGGCTAGTAAGTTGTACCCTGCAGGCACGGTGACCAGCTGACTGGCGTACGCAGGAGCACGTGACCGCTTGTTCAACCATGTTCGATTGGGAATAAAGGAGGAACGCTGCATCGCAGCCTTTTCGGACCAAAACCAATCGACTCAGCGTCCAAAAGACTACAACATATGGGCCAATCGCGGTCATCCGTGCTTTTATAAGAACGAAATGGCGCTTTTAGTGACATTTTGCATACAAATCCCCATCTAGTAGGGCGCAGTCACCCAGTTTCGGTGGAAGTGCGCGAGTTCGATTGGGATTCAAGTAGGAAGGAAGCGTCTCAGCTTCCTCGGACCAAGACCATTCGACTCAGCACCCCGAAGACTACAACTGGTGAAATTTTAATTTTTGCCTTAACTTCCCCTTTAACCGCACACATCTGTTTTCCACAAAAAATATCCGGATAGACGAGGGAACCGGATAATCGTACACTGGTTATGTTGGATGCATCACGTATGCTGTAAATCTGTAATCAGCTATTTTCTTGCGGATGGCGAGGGGTCCGGATAAAAGACTCGGGACCGGATAAGCGAGGTCTGACTGTAGTGGATATCCATGAACGGCGCCAGCCATAAGTGCAGATATCGAGTTCGACGAGATCTGTGAACGAGTTCAATGTTATCTTTTACAATACTGATACTAATCTCTGACCTCGACATCTTGCTCCTCATGTGTAGAATCAGTCATGATTGTAAACTTGTAGTTAACGTGTGAATGCACCGCTTCTAGATAGAGAAACAACATGTTTGTTGATATGCGCACTGGTGCCCCGGTGCCCCAGACTTGATGGCTTTGCTGCTGCTGTTGCTGCTAATGTGTGCGCATGTGTGTGTGTGTGTGTGTGTGTGTGGTGTGTGTGTGTGTGTGTGTGTGTGTGTGTGTGTGTGTGTGTGTGTGTGCGTGTGCGTGTGGGTGTGCATGTGGGTGTGTGTGTGTGTGTGTGTGTGTGTGTGTGTGTGTGTGTGTGTGTGTGTGTGTGTGTGTGTGTGTGTGTGTGTGTGTGTGTGTGTGTGTGTGTGTGTGTGTGTGTGTGTGTGGTATTCCGCTGCATGTTCTTGTACACAGGTGCTACCAGCTGGATGACAAGAAGCAAGTGGTGAATTCGCCGTATGTGGACAACTCTTACAAATGGGCCGGTGGTGGTCTGCTTGCTACAGCCGAAGATATTGTGGAGTTTGGCTTCTGCATGCTGACCGCATACTTTGGAAAGCCTATACGGAAGTGTGAACATACAGCTGTCCACCCTAGGCCATGTCCACAGTGTGCACCATACATCAAGGATAGCACAGTGAAAGAGATGTGGACTTTTCACCCAGCTACTGTCAAGAAGAAGACCGGCGTAGGCTACGGCATGGGGTGGGAAGTGGCACCGGACTTGAAGCCAGACAGCAAGTATAGTTTTGCCACCATATCACATACGGGTGCAGCTGTGGGTGCAAGCTCTGCACTTGTCATCATACCACGCAGTGAGAAGTCACCGCATAGCGTGGTGGTAGGAATCATATGCAACATGGAAAGCGTGGACCTTGAGCCGACAGCGCAAACCATCGGGCAGATGTTTCTACAAGAAGCTGCAGAGCAAGATCGACAGAAAGCATCAGGTCTCTAAGCAAGAAATCCCAAGTGTCTCAGTGAGTACAGGATATTGTTGTAGATACTGCCTCTGCCAGCATGTGCCCTTGTAAGTGTGCGTCATCAGTTGCGTTCACAGTTTTCAAGGCTCTCAGAGTCATTATGTTAGCCGCACTTCCAGCGACACAAGCTTTTCTATTCAGCCGACTTCCTTTTGATTTTTAAACTCAAGATATCGGAAGGAAATCGCATACTAGTAATCAACATTGATAACCCATCTCTGAAACAAAATTCCATGGCACACTTCACATTGCCATAATTTGTATCAAAATCCATTATTTAAAAAAATCATTTTTTAAAAGTTTTTTTTACGTCACTCCATTTTTAAGTGACATCGTCCTCCTTATTGCGATATCAAAAATTGTTGTCTCCTCGCCGAACGTTTTTTTAATAATAATTATTTTATATTTGAGGGAAGTTGTAAGCGGGAAAAGTCTGCAGAAAAAATTGACTGTCACCACCAGGACTCGAACCAGGGACCCTCGCATATGGCAAGCAATGCTCTACCACTACAGGTGTAGTCGTCATCCAAGCAGCGACCGTTCGTATGCATCTACTCAGTTCTAGGAGTACATACATACGAGTCACAGAGTACCACGCATCTGGATTGTTGTAACTAATAGTTTCATGCCAGATGGCAATCTTCAGACAACAGTCTGTTAGTTACAACAATCCCGAGACGCGTGGTACTCTGTCACGGGCTCGTGTGTTACTGCTTTGCTTCCGCATTGAGCACTCTATCCAACCGCAGGACTCCGCTCTCTCTAGGAGTACAGTCATACATGTACATGATTGTAATGAAAAGAAAAAGACTCGTGCGGCGCTCATTGGACTGCCTTTTATTTTTATGTCTTGTCCGTCAACCATGTAAGACACGTTTACTGCAACATCCGCAGTAGAGAAACTTGAATCAGCTTGTGGGTTTCGTTCATCCCAGGGAACGTATGAGAGAGAGAGGGGGGGGGGGGGGGGGAGTCACATGCGCTGTATTTGTATTTCAGCCATATACGAGTCGAGTACGTGACTGCAGATAGCCTAGTAGTAGGCACTATTGCTTTTCATGTCACTTGTAAAAAGTAGAAAAAGAACGACCTCGACTGGCTCGAGTTCGATCCGGCCCAGGCTGGCGCGCGCGACCGGGAGCGCGCCCACACATTATTGGCATGACAACTGAATATGGCGAACGCGAACGGGACGCTATCCATGATTTTGTTGAGAAAAAAAACTTTTACTTGTTGCATGCACTGCATGTGCAACATGTAACAAAACTCCGGAGCTGCAACTCTTTGGTTGTGTTGTGTTTTCCACAAAGTTGTGGGTGGCATCTCCTGTTGTTTTGCCATCAGCCCAAGTTTGAGCCATGGCGGGCTCCGAACCATTCAATTTTCCTGACGAGGAGGAGAAAATCCAGAAGCTGTGGCAGGACCTGGATGCGTTTGCGAATTGCCTGAAGCAGTCCAAAGGAAAGCCAAGGCAAGAATCCTTGAAACAGTGTTTTTGGTCTCAACTGGAACACGGATTTTCTAACTGTAGCGTTATGCTACATACCATTGTTCCTTCCAGGTATACATTCTATGATGGTCCACCATTTGCCACGGGTCTGCCCCATTATGGTCACATTTTGGCTGGCACTATCAAGGTACATGTACAATGATGGATTTCACTTGAATTCGGAACCTGGGATGAATTATTTGAACATACTGCATTTCCTGAAGTTAGTCCCGCACTGAAATAGGCCTCGAGGTCGGGAGGTGGTTGAACCTTTCAAGCCTCGCCCGAAAATAACACCCTTGTATCTGTGGTACGATGGTCGAAATGTCAACTGCAGTCATTGTACTGTACTGTATATTGTACAGACATGTGGGTCAGAAGGCTTAACAACATTTCTGATACCTAATGGCGATGTCAGCTAACAAGACATGGTATCACGGTACAAAAACGGCAGAAAACAAAGGGAAACGGTGTATTCCCTGTATGTGAGATGTTGTTGGAGCTGAACATGGTGAGCCGTCAAGGGCGAAAGTCTGGAGATACTAGAGAGGTTTCGCACAACGTAATTAGTAATTACGTTAGTAAAAACGTAGTCAATCAACGGAAAGTCTTACGTACACTGCATGCGGATCCGTTCTCCTTCACACAGAGTTTTCGAACCACATAGCTGCCCTTAGCAACTCTGAACTTGACAGTGTACGACTTCGGGAGAAAGTCATACATTTATACCCCAATCCACTTACGGAGCACCTGTGTTAGTAGAGCCCCATGTGTGTCCTCTACATAGACAACTTTCCGTAAGTGGAGTGCAAACTCGCGAATTCACGGTTTTCCCTGCCCACTTACGTAAAGTGTTAAGGAACTGCATCTGCGCCTTGGTCCTTGAGGGGTGGTGGCGTTCCTACGGATGCCGTAAACTCGGCCTCTACCCAAGTCTCACGCGAACCGTGAATAAACAGGCCTTTAATGACGGGCAATGCTGCTGAAGAATCTATTGGATCTAACATACTCGTAGGCACTTCACCCCATTTTTTGAAATCGCGTTTTTTCCAGGTTTATCATCGGTAATCGATGGTGGTGGGTATCACAAGGTCACACAGAAAATTTTATTGAAATCCACAGTGATACCACTCAGATATGAAGGGTTGAAGATAGGCAGTTGCACAAGGCGAAATCAATACAATTTTAGGGTTCACGGCTTGCCACTAAAAGCACCCGTCACCATGGTCACGTGCGCCTCCATTTTGGATTATGGACGCGCGCTACAGGCCGCGACAGCGCCTATCGAAGTAAAAAAATATCGACTCGAAGTCTAGCCGGAGAGCGTACTTTTGAATTTTTCCTTGGCTTCAGTGGCTTCACTTCACTGGGGCTTTGCATTTTTGCTTCGGTTTTTCTGACTGACCTGGGCTTGATGATGGCGGCGGTGGCGGTCTTGGCGAAAGATCCAGTTCCATCGGAGACACTCTGTCGTCTTTTCTTATCTGCTGAGGTTCTGGCAAAGCGCAGCTGCATCGAACCTGACTAGATGTAGCTGCACGCATCCTTTGTTTGCCCTGCAAATCTCGATCTGTTGCTCTTCTTGCTGCTTGGCCGCTGATGCCAAGGAAGAAAATATTCTTCCTGTAAAGAGGCCGAAACTGAGCAAGGGCACGTCAAGATATGTAGGGTATACAAAGAAAAAGAAATGTCATGGTCGTTTCAGCAGCTCACGACAGCCAACACGCTCCATCGTGTCGGGATTGGAAGTATCCAGCACGGCTGTTCCGAGCGCTGCTGCTCTTGTTATTCTTCTTCTTCAGAAATTCTACACACCTTGTCGGCCAAAGTACGCGCGCGTGCACGGAAAATAGATGCGCTGAGCCGTTTCTTGTTCGATTTTGACAAATAATGGCTTGTTGTTTTGCTCTCGACCTTGGCTATCCTTCTACCGTTCAATATTTTACGGAAACGCAACGGCTCCCCCTGTTTTTTTAGCCGAACTTTGGCCAAAGTTACTGGAAAACACGGAACTCGTTTGAAAAAATACGAACGGTGGAAGTCTTGGAACGTCTTTCGTGCGTGTGGATTCAAAAATTCAGGCAGTTTGAGCCAACCGTAATGAATCCCGTAGAGTTGAAAGTGAGTGATATTGATGGGAAAATGCGATTTGAGCACAGACCGATTGTGTGGTACAGTATATGCACGCGCCTGTCACGTGCATGATGTAGCTGGCGACGCTAGCATGCCAATCCGTGAACCCTAAATTTGTGGCACCAACAGCATCTCTGAAGTATTATCAGTGGATATAGTCACAAAACATAGAGTGTTTTCTTCAAGCACACATCACTCCCTTACACCAACAACCGTGTATGGATCGAAACAATACTGATCAAAGTTCAGAATAGTCAAGAATACGGCAATTGTGAACGCAATCACTATAGCAACTCCATAGCAACCCATAGCAACGCCATAGCAACGCCATAGTAATAGCTTCAGTTTGCGTTGAAATGAACTGATAACGACATACTGGCAGGCTCCTGCGGGTACTAAAGCGTAAGAGCTATAAAGACATTCTTCTGGCACAAAAACAACAGAGAACTTCCACGTTGTACGCCGTACACCGCAAAGTGGAGGGTAAGTACGCGCGCGCGGCGCGCAAATTACTGCACAGGACATTCGTGCCCACAGTCATGCCACTTCAAGTGATTCCAAGTTGGCAAGAAGTTCCGCAGGACCTTTGTTGGTAGCTTCTTTCCATGGTGTGATATCTGCCTCCCTCTCCATCAACTGCTCCATGCAGCAGTCATGAATTGCCTGCTGGTGAGCTTTGAAATTTTGGTGAAGCGTGCCTGGCTGCGTATATCAAAGCATCCCCTCATCGGAGGGTTTCTCCGGCAGCCACTGTGCCTTTTGATTGTTCGTAAACACCAGTAGGCCTTCCAGCGCAACCGTGTCAAAACTTGGCTTTCAGTACGCTTTGAGAATTCGCCCAGGTAGTACGACGCATCGTCGTTCTCCTCCGCCTAAAGCGCATACTTCTCAGTGCCTACGTCCATAATGTCTCCTTGGGCAGCGATTCGCAAACCCTGGTAAACAAGAACTCTACTGTTTCCGAATGGAAAGACGACGCTGAAGACGATAAGCAACGTTTCAAACGCGAGCAAACAACAGTTCTTTGTGAAAAAACTCTTTGCTGGAAGTGTACGTGATCTACAACTCGCAAAAATGTACGCACTATGACGTATGCGGGATCTACTGAAAGCTGAACGTCAGAGCAACACGATGCGCCCAACTATCAGCCCGTGCAGCGAAGCATAGCGCGTACCTGTACAGTTTTGCGCATGCACTTGACTGGTGCCACGCAAGTACGCACTCTCACCTCAGCAAATTTTGACAGGTCCTGTCACGTGACTGAAGTGCCTTTACATAGGGAGGGAGCACAAAGCAACACTAGAACTGTCTGCATTTCTAGGTATATATGAGCCGTCAGATGCGAAATCCGACCTTATGGGAAAAAATCATATTCTGTGTTAGTGGTACGATCTGAAAGCCAGGAGCATCAGGAGTCGTATTCATAAAACTAGAGTTGATTTGGACCAAGGGAAGTAAAGTTATAGCCTCTACAATAGGAGATCATCACAAATTGCATCTCAATTTTGGTTGCAGTACCAACAATTGTTTCACCTACTTTGGACAATATTTTCTGTTTCCTTTGACTGATTTCGACAAACTTCGGCTTTCTGGAAAGCTCTGGCGACGAGGAACCCGTTGGGCCCAAATCCGATAGCAAATAAAGCACAGCACCAGCGCAACAAGCTGCAGACATCGCTTCAGCGCTGGACTTGCGCCGTCACACGAAAAACACTCGCCATTTCCATCTCCATTATCCCAGGACACCCAATTTTTTTCGTGAAGATGCAGTCAGAGCTTCCAAGACGTCTGAGCCTGTTGCCGAGATCGTAGATCGCTTGAAAAGTGGGAAACCCCAGGTCTGGCGCGTTTGATTTACGCGTGGAAATGCAAAGTGCCGTGACGCATCTTGCAGGCTTTGTATCTGGGGAACACAGCATCGTACCGCGATCGCGCTTGCTGCATTGTTTTCCTTGGAGTTTTCTCTTCGATTTACATACATGTACTTGGATCGTCCCGAAAGACCGATATTTGACTGAAATACGAAGGTTTGTAGCTTGCTGTCCAGGCCCACCAGTGCGTAAACTCGCCAACTTTCGACTGCATTTTTCTGCACTGTGCAGTGTTTCCCATAAGGTCGGTTTTCGCATCTGACGGCTCATATGTACAGCGTACGCGAGGGACCATTGGAATGCACCGTGGCCATGATTCTACTTCAGTGAGATTGGGCTCCTCTAACTTAATCACTTATGATCTTTTATATGTACTGCTATGGCCAATGGTCATTTCCATCAGAAAACATAAATGTACCGGTACATGTAGCAGAGAACAAGTGTACAGTTTTTGTTGTTGTGTTGTCTGTCTTTCTAGGATATTGTGACTCGCTATGCTCACCAGACCGGGCATCATGTTGAGCGTCGCTTTGGATGGGATTGCCATGGTCTGCCTGTGGTATGTACACTTTTTTTAGCAAGTGATAACCTCTTCTGCTGATAATCAATGTCACACTGCCTCAAAATATGCTATACTTATAGTCAGCCAAGGTTCGAGTGGGCGTTGCATCGAACGCGGGTGTTGTATCAGCTAGACATACACAGTATAGTCTGCGTTGCGATAAGTCACACGCCTGTAACCAGTCATGTACTTTTGCCAAACAGGACAGTATGTATTTTGTGTGTAGGTGACACCGGGTGCGGCTTATACTCCGATGATCAAATTAGCGGTGTTAAATAGGATAGATGTCTGCATTTCATGGCAAAAAATGGGGGGGGGGGGTGCGGCGTATACTCCGGAAAATACGGTAATTAGATGCAAGGCAGACCGTGGTTCGCCATGATGAGACGCCTACCTAGAAGATGAAAGGACACACACGCATGCACGCTCACACAAAATAAGAAAATAAAGTGGAAATATATTTGAAGGGGGACAGGAAAAGGAAAGAGAGATTAATAAAACAGCTGACCTGCATGACATCAGACAAGACGAGGATAGCGAGAGACGACTGGCGGACGAGGACGACTGGGACAAACTGAGAGACGAGACTTGATTGACAGGGACGAAGGGTCGTGGGTTCGGCAGAGTTGGGCGCCAATGTTGAGACGTCGAACCTCTCTTTTCAGTCTCTGCCTTCTCCGATGATCTCTTTTGGAGTTGGGACAATGTTTCCTTTTCGTGTACCTCATCCTTGAACAACTGATGCTGTCTAGGAGCTGGTCCTTCTTGCCCTAGTCCTCGGCCAACACCCGATCTACCGGTACCGCTACATGGATGGCAGGAACAAACAGCAAAGGACAGGAAAACAGTTTATTCGTTGCAACCATGAGCAAAATTGTGCAAGCAGCATAAAAAAAGAAGGATATCTAACTGACGAAAGGGACTTTGCACGGTGTTCACCTTTATGCCTGCAAGTCGTCCTGTCAGTGCCCTTGCCACGCCTTCAACCCATGCTTGAATGGTCGTTCATGGACACCAACCTTCCTTAGGATGGCCACATCATCCGCAGCCGTGAAACGTAGTTTCCGTCTAGGTTGCTCGATTTCGACCACGTCATCATTGGGAGTCTTCGGCCAAAGGGTGTGCGAGGCGTGCACGGACGGCAATACAAGTATATAGGGACCATACCTTGACTGCCAGTGCTGGTTCTGCATTCATAAATGTGCCGAAGTGCTCGGGTCCAATAGCTTCTTCGAAGTGCTCGGGTCCAATAGCTTCTTCTTAACACAGCCGTCAATGCTCGTCCAGTCTAGGTTTGATGTCTCCTGTCCATTCTCGTTTTTTTTAAACCATATTTTAAATGAACTGGCAACGTGTTCCTGTATACTTTCCATGGCGCATTTTAGATGCTCTCCATCTCAAACAATAGGAGGACAGAGAAAGTGTTTTGGTTGCTTTCCATCTCTAATACAAGTACACAGGGACCATACCTTGACTGCCAGTGCTGGTTCTGCATTCATAAATGTGCCGAAGTGCTCGTCCCGTCTAGGCTCGATGTCTCCTGTCCATTCTCGTTTTTTAAACCGAATTTTAAACGAACTGTCAACATGTTCCTGTTTAGTTTCCATGGTGCATTTGACCTTCGTACCCAGCTGCTTTTTTTCTCCTTGTCTTTGGTCTTCTGACTGCGCAGTGTTGATGATGCAGCCAAGTAGCCGATGTTTGCTCATATACCAGTCTGTATCTGTAACCACATGCACACGCCTTTCAGACTTTCCAGTCTCGATTGGATGTGTCTTGTCCATTTTCCTTCTTCTTGAGCCAAATTTTGAAGGAAATGTACACCTGCTGCTGAATTGTTTCCATCGCTGTGTTGCAACACCTGCTGACATGTCAGTAGCCTGTCGATATTGGAGCATGCATCATGACCTGCTGACAATTGACCTTCTCCTGCCGACAACAGCCATGAATGTCCACTTTCGACCTTATTGGTTTAGAAGTCATGATCCAGATTTCTTTGTTATTGCTGATCGTCATAGCCATAGGCGTTTCCACAGCTCTCTCCTAAGGGCAGGTTCAGACTACCGATACAAAGTGACGGAATGGGAAAGTTTCCAAGGTGATTTTGATCACGTGACGTTACTGGCACTTTGTCGGCGGAAACAGCATTCCGGCAGTAAAAAAGGTGCTGTGGTTGGGAGCAGGAGAAAATCCCTTCTCAGCGCCGCGATGAGAGCTGCACAACTTACGTAACGGTAACGTTAGTTTATCGGTAGTGCAAATGTCCTTCACGGTTTGACGGGGTTCTCGGTAGTCTGAACGCGCCGTAAGGTGCTCAGGCTGTCATCACACTACGGTACAAAGCGCTGCGTCTACGTCCACGTTAAAAGAGTTTTTGGTTGGTTGTCATGATGATTCATGTACGGAGTGAAAACGGGAGCAGAGGAAACGGGAAACGTAGACGTGATGGGGGGATATACAACCCCAGTCTTTTTCCAAGCGGCCTTGTACGTGCTTTTGAATCTTCAAATTTCTCCAAAAACGTGACCACGTGTACGGATTTTTCACCGTAGACGTAGACAGGGGTCAGAGAACGTAGTGTGATGACGGCCTTATCTAGTTCATCATCTGTCTATAGAAAAGTTGTGGCGCGGTGACATAAAAAAAGAGATAGCGCTGTATTTCAGTGTTTGTATATTGGGGTTCGTAGGAATGGGGTCCTGGGGCTTTGTACCCGGGCGATACATTAAAAAAAACTACTGATATTTGGCTAAAATGATGTGGCAAGACTGACTGGTGTACACAATGTCCATAACTCATTCGCGATTTGTCCCAGAGACTTCAATTAATGTGCGACTTATCAATCGTAGGCTGTATGTACATGTACTAGTAGCGAAAGGAATTTGATCTCATGAATATAGTAGCCCTGAGTCATGAGTCCGCATGACCCTAGCAACACAATGCTGGGCGAAGACTATTAGCCTGGCTCTGCTTTGTTCAGGAAGTCAGAATTCATTTCACCTCTGTAGTTATGTTAGACCATACTTTTCACACCTGTGTGGTACTAGCGAAGAAAGCTGTTAGGCAAGCAATAACCAGTTGTGGCAGCGAATGCAGTCAGCCTTGTGAATAAAAACCCTCCATTGGTCATGAGAAAGAGAAACATGTTGTTACTCGCGAGCTTTCGCTATTCGTCAGGTTAGAGGTGTGTAGTCCTATGGTTACAAGGTGTCTGACGATAGTGCTGTTATACCCGAGGTTGATCATTCACAAGGTTGACTTGTGTATAGCAGAGAAATGGTGGCTGAAACACACACCTGGCGAAATGGCGGTAAATACACGCCACCAAGAGTACATAACCCCCAGAGTGTGCAACGCCTGATCCAGCTCTGCATAGGGTCTTGGTCGAGCGCAATCGGATCTTTGTGTCATAATACCGTACACATCTGAGGGGAACCCGGGGAATCGCGGGTACTCTCGGATCAAAAACAATGGTGCCCTGCCTCGAGACCGGCCTTGCGCTGGTGTGGAGTGTACGCATGACATCAGAAGATCCGATTCCGCTCGACCAAGACCCTATGCAGAGCTGGATCGGCGTTGCACACTCTGGGGGGTTATGTACTCTTGACGCCACTGTACGTCACTGTACCGTGTACAGATATGACTGTATGGCATGCCTTCTGCTCAGGTCACACATAATGTTACTGTTGCGTTTGGTACAGGGCACCTGATATATATGTATGTGTCACCCCGGGCTTTGGATTTATTTCTGTACATGTATTATGTTTTCTCAGCTTTTCTTGCAGCTGCACTTTTCCAGCTCGAACTTGTGTGTTATTTGCTACACTGTATACTGCTCAGTGCCAATGTAGCGGGCAGTATGTGCGTGTGTTTAGACTCTCACGTGTGCCTAGGTGTGAAAGGCCTGCGTATACTTACCAGTATCGACTTGCATACTCTTACTTCGATTATTAGTCAAACAGCACAGTTTGTGCAAGGTTTTTAGATGAGCAACCTCTAGACTGCCTTCCTCTTTTGCTTTTGCTCCTTACTTGTGCGGTCGAATCTCTGGCTCTTAGTAACGCTGAGAACGTCCTCGATTGTTGGCCTTGTTCAACATCTCACAACTGTGTTATTGTCATTTACTCCTCACATGATTAGCCTGCTTTACCCTAGGACTGAGTGAGGGTGGGGAGTCCATTGTGCATTTTCGAGACTTAGTTTGGAAGGTGCATGAACTTACTTGAACGTGCTTGCATGGCAAGTACTCTGTTGTGTTGACTTCTGATGAAATCTTGTTCTTCGCAGGAGTTTGAAATTGACAAGAAGCTGGGAATCAAGGTGAGTGTATACGTCTACTTCCATCTGTGTTACAAAAATTTTTAATAATACTTTATTCTTTGTGCCTGTGTGGCGTTTCTCAGTGACACAATTGACTTTCCCTTCACAGTTTGAGAATAGTGGTGGCGACTTTGGTGAATTGTTGGTTGCTCCCAACTTTGGATTTCTCACATTTCCTCAAGCTAAGTATAGGCAGCAGGAATGCAGGGAGCAACTTCTGGTTCATAGTTTCCTTGTGTTTATTGCATGAGCTATTGGTGTCAAGATTTTCTGTGCTGCCGCTGCCACTGCGCTGCTGCTACTGCGCTACTGCTGTTGCTGAGGCCTACAGTGGCTGGCTAGCTAGCAGCGCAATCCTGTCACAGTATCTTTCGGTTTTGTATCTATGTTCAACTGTGGATGTGTACCTGTACATGTGTGTGTGTGTCTTCTTGTTGGTCTACAGTCACCCGATGAGATTCTCGCAATGGGCATTGACAAGTACAATGCTGAATGCCGCAGCATTGTCATGCGTTACTCCAGTGACTGGGAGGTGAGAAAGGAAAAGCATAGCCGATGCACCTTGCTCGCTGCATCATTCTGTACACATTGTGACTAGTTTTTGGTATACTTTTAAAGCTGTGTCAACCTGCCAGCCTTATGCGATGTCATATTTTGTGACTTCTAGAAGTTACACTCTCCCACATGTATTTACATGACTTGTGCAATTTGTTGAATCCCATGTTCTTGATGTGGAACTATGGAATTATTTTGCATTTTTAAGTTTTTTTGACCAAGTACAGAAAGAAGGCTTTGCGAGCTTTGATTCTTCTTACACTAGCTAGTGCTGGTTTCTGGTCTAAGCTGAGCCCATGATCTGTGCGTTTGTTTTGTTCAACTCTGTTGAAATGCTCTTTCTTTGCATGTGCTGTCTGTGCTCTCCTGTCTAAAGAGGATTGTAAGCCGGCTGGGTCGCTGGATTGATTTCAAGAACGACTACAAGACCTTGTATCCGGAGTTCATGGAATCCATTTGGTACGTCACTCCTCAGCGCTTACATAGTTTGCAGTGTGCGCTCGATATCATACCTGGCTTTCTGTACTGTGCTCTGAATTTTGGAATATGCTGGGGAGCTTTGGTGCTTCAGTAACTTTGTCATGACCACTTCCCCGCGGTATGACGATATTTGTTGACACTGTGTGCCAAACCTGTCTGAACCTCGTAAGCGATCTTTGTGTCACTTTTGTCCTAGAACTGTACTGGTGTTGCTCCAGGTAGCATTTCCTAGCCAAATCTGTCCATTCCACTGGTGAAGTGAACCCAATATGCTTTTATGGTTCTCGTTGAAGCCGGATGTTCTTGTTCATCTGCCTAACCCGTTGGTGTGTGCGCTTTGTGCAGGTGGGTATTCAAGCAGCTGTACGAGAAAGGCCTTGTGTATCGTGGATTCAAGGTGATGCCTTACAGTACTGGTTGTCACACGCCATTGTCCAATTTTGAGGCCAATCAGAACTACAAGGAAGTGGAGGACCCTGCTGGTAAGTGACTGTCGCTTTGGTCGCTGCGTTTCAGGAGTTATGAGATGCCTGGTTATCATTCAGTGTGCCCTTTCATACGTGCCTCGCCTCTTGTGACTATTGTCTGCCGATCACTGCTACTGAGCTAGTGGTCCTTGCCTAATCATCACTGAACTTACATTGTGACGTTGATTACTGTGATTCTGTCTTTGCTTGTGTTTACCAGTGATCGTCACATTTCCTCTCGACGAGGATCCCAAGGTTGCATTTGTAGCCTGGACCACAACTCCGTGGACGTTGCCAAGCAACCTCGCTCTTTGTGTTCACCCAGACAAGAAGTACATCAAGATCAAGGGTAGGTTCATGTACATGTATAATTGGCTGGGAACTATTTGTTGTGGTTGCAAGAGTTGTTGTGCACATCCCGAAGAGGATCTGTCGACAACCTGGCTATAGACAGCTATGCGGGGCTGTATATTTGACACAAGTTCCGAAGTTTTGCTGACCGCTTGTTGCGATGCAATTTGGGTTTTTGTATGCAGCTCCGATTTTGTGTTGGGATGAGAGTACTGGCTACTGTGAGAGACTTGCTCAATCGTTACTGTTGTTCTCTCCTTTTTGTATAGAGGCCAAAACAGAAGCCATCTACATCTTGATGGAGGCTCGCGTGTTTGAGATGTACAAGAACCCCGAGGATTACGAAGTGCTCGCGACGTACGTTGGATCAGAGCTAGCTGGCAAGACCTACCAACCTCTCTTCCAGTATTATGTTGAAGAGGTAAGTATGTGTCCTGGTTAGTGATAGTTCTTTGACAAGCTTGTGTATGAGTACTTGTAGTAGGTGTCTTGCACCAGTCTGCCTCTATTTCTATGCATGCACTTCATCCTTGGCAGCTTCGCTCTATACTCGCATCCTTATTGCACCTTGCGAGCGCTGCCCGATAGCTATTGCAGTGTAGCGGTCTTTTAACCTCGCATTATATCTTCCTAACCTGTGTGTATGCACGCATGCATGTGTGCGTGTCTGGCTGTGTGTCACATGTCTTAACAGTGGAAACCAGCTGGTGCATTCCGTGTCTTGACAGACACATATGTCACCGAGGACAGTGGTACTGGTATTGTACATCAGGCGCCTGCATTTGGTGAGGTAGGTATTTTACTGTACAGGTGTGTGTGTGGGGGGGGGGGGGGGGGTGTTATTGGGTGTATGGAGTGGAGTACAGTAAACCTGTCAAGGCGACCACTCTGATAAGGCGACCACCTGTCCTAGAGGACCACTACAACCAAGACCAAGGGATGTCAATTTCAGTCAAATGACCGTGGATAAGGAGACCACCTGTACACAGCGACCACATTTTGAGGGTCCCATGAGCGGTCGGCTTACACATGTTTCACTGTACTATGCCAATGCCAAGTATGTATTGTTAACATGGCCATTGCTGCTAGTTTGAACACACATACTTCAAACAAAGTACTCAGACCAGAAAAGCTCAATAGACTTGTTGTCTGCATGATCTACACGCATGTATTCCTTTTATTAGGATTGGTGTGGACCACACCTCATCTCTTATTATCTGTGTATCTTGTTATTGCTGCGGGTGTGTGTGCTATAGGACGATTATCGCGTTGCCATGGCCAATGGCATTCTGAAGAAGGGTGGCAAGTTGGTGTGCCCTGTTGACGACACTGGCTCTTACCTGCCCGAGATCACAGACTTTGCTGGCCAGTATGTCAAGGTAGGTACATGTACTACTACCTGTGTATCATGTTCTGCTGGCGTGAGTGTTGCCTGTGCGTGTGTGTGTGTGTGTGTGTCTGCATGTTTGTTCATATTCTCTATTGTGCTGCTTCAACACGGGACAATGAGTTTGTGCAAGCATGGACATGCATGCATGTGCAGTGTGTGCTTTGACTTTGAGTAAAGTGTTGGTGCAAGTGAACTACATGTAGGTATGTATGTGTATATGGGTATGTACATTGTATGTGTGGAATGTATACACTGGCCTATGATGCTTGGTAAAAGGTTTGAGTTGCTGGTACCCTGATGGTGTTGAGCACAAGTGATCGGTCTATGCTGCGGTTCTAGTCTGAGTGTACCCAATGTTTCATGGCCACCTGGACACAGTAGAGTGTAGACCAGTACAGCAAGCATCTAGCCTTGATGCCACCCGGGTATAACAGAAGACTGGGAGCAAAGCCACCCTCCTTGGTCTCTATACCCCTGGTGATATTGTATGCGAGTGAGCGTGGCGTGTATGCGTTGTGTGTGTGTGTGTGTGTGTGTGTGTGTATGTGTGTATGTGTGAGGTTTGTGCTAAACACTATCATGGGAACCTTTAACTGTGACAACAACTGCGACTGAGGCCTTACAAATCGTTTGTTTGTTCTTTTCGTCAGTCTGTAAATGCTAGTGCCGGCACTCCTTTGCATTGTAGTCTCCTGGTGTTGTTGCTTTTATTTAAAGGATGCAGACAAAGCCATCATCAAGATGCTGAAGAGCCAAGGTCGTCTTGTTAGCTCCAGTCGCTTCCGCCACAACTACCCGTTCTGCTGGAGGTCAGTAGTTATCTTCCAATTTTTTTTCAAAACGAATAGTTTTAGTACCCATAGGCGAGACGTTAAATTCGTATACGCCCAAAGGAGTTGTGAAGGCGGTTTTACACTTGTCAGACGGGCTCATGGCACCCACATCTTGGCACCCATTGACTCCGGGTTGAACAATCCTGTTGTTCGAGGAGTGGTGAGCAGCTCCTCGTAGGTCAGCAGAGCCAAATCCTCATCCATTGTCATGATGCCAACTTAGTACATTACGCACAATTATAGGCGTAAGTATGATCCTGTCGAAGGCAGCTACGCCTGTGAAAACAAACTAGGCCATGGACAGCAAAAACTTGCATCCGCACTCTTCAAACGCATGATGCTGACTTATTTATACATGTATTCGATCGCGGAATTTCAGGCAGGCTTATGGGAAGACCTGGTGATTACGAGCTGAACAATCATAGCGTTTGAAAATGTCAAAATGCCTGTGTTGCGGAGGGTACATGCACATGATACACCGCAGGAGTTCCATGTGAAGTTTTCCGGGAGTATGCACACTCGAATCCCAGTGTGGGAAAGTCCAGATGGAACGCTTATGCTGCTTCACGCGTCTATGCTTTTGAAATGCACTGTGGATTGCAAGTTTGTAGAATTTGATGAACAGTTCAGATTGAGCAATATCTGCCATTGTGCCTACACCTGGCTACTTGTTTGAATATGTATTGCTTTCAGATCAGAGACGCCGTTGATCTACAGGGCTGTGCCAAGCTGGTTCATTCGTGTCGAACACATCGTCGACAAGCTCCTCACCAACAACAAGAAGTGCTATTGGTATGTTCAGTGTGTGTGGGTGTGCGGGTGGGTGGGTGCACGCGGGTGTGTGGAAGTATGCATGTGGGTTAGTGGATGTGCGTCAACGTGTGTGGAAGTATGCATGTCGGTGTGTGGATGTGCGTCAACATGTGTGGGAGTATGCATGTGGGTGTGTGGCTGTGCGTCAACGTGTGTGGAAGTATGCATGTGGATGTGCGTGCATGGGCATTGTCTGCCTACTTCTATACGTTCACCTACAGTGCTGGCCAATGAAAACCTGCACTCATAAACAAACAAAGCAGTGCAGCTCACCATGCAGCCGTACGATTCCTACGCTAGTTGGAAATGAAATCCTTCAGAATGACTCTGCGTTTAATTAACCAGCATTATACTGTGTTTTCCTGTAGGCAATCTTCATAGTCAGTTGTCAGCCTCAGTTACAGACTCAGTCACAGACTCAGTTACTGTGCTAGGGGGTAGACTGTAAACTGATGCTTGATCGTACAGCCCTAGGCATTGGAATTCGCTGCCATGAATATGACAACCCTGTGTTTGTAGTGCAAGAGTCGTGCAGTACGTGTCGATATATTTTTTTGATGAGGGTGAACTTCACTGGGCGGCACTGTGCTAAACCCTAATCTGCTTGTGCTTGGCTTGTTCTGTGATAGGGTGCCAGAGTTTGTACGTGAGAAGCGTTTCCACAACTGGCTGGAAAATGCTAGAGACTGGGCTGTATCTCGTAACCGCTTCTGGGGAACTCCCATGCCTATCTGGGCCAATGAAGACTGCAGTGAGGTATGTTCATTCGACTGACCTGGAATTGTTCTTGCAATGATCATCGACTGTCCAAGTACACATTGCAGTGAACTGCCTACTAGTAGCTAATGTGGTGTGTATGTGTGCGTGCGTATATGTGTGTGTGTATGGGACGGATACCCTGATACCGTCACTCCTTTTTCTGCACCTTGTCCTCACCCACTTACTGAGGTGTGGTGAGCCCATATGTGGGATCGTTTTCAAGTCCACCCAGAATTTTGGGGATTTCAGGCGGTGTCGGTCGTTGGGCAGCTCAATAGCCAATTGAGTCATCTTTCCAATATTCCTTTTGAGTCTCTCTCCCTTCTCCCGGGGAGACCCACATGACCAGTTTTGGCAGTGAGCAACAAGTACAAGTGTGTGTGTGTGTGTGTGTGTGTGTGTGTGTGTGTGTGTGTGTGTGTGTGTGTGTGTGTGTGTGTGTGTGTGTGTGTGTGTGTGTGTGTGTGTGTGTGTGTGTGTGTGTGTGTGTGTGATTTCGTGTGTGATTTCGTGTGATTTCGTGTGCATGCGCGTGGGGGTGGGTGGGTGTGCGTGTGGGTGGGTGGGTGCGGATGTGTGTGCGTGTGTACTGTATGTGTGTGTGTGTGTGTGTGTGTGTGTGTGTGTATCTGTGGTAGAGGGTGCATGTGGGAGGACTCAGGAGGTACGCGTGGGAGAGTGTGTGCATGACATAGTGTTCCTCAGACCATAGTACTGTAACTGTACTGTACTGCACTGGGTGTTGTCTGCTGTAGGTTGTGTGCATTGGGTCAGTTGATGAACTGGAGCGTCTGTCCGGCGTCCGTATCAAGGACTTGCACAGAGAATCGTAAGTGTCATCATCAACACTGCTGGTACAGTGTGACTGTACACCACATTCCTTCCTGTAATTACACTGTTACAGATCAATTTTCCTGTTCCCGAGGTGCATCGGATAGATTGTCTCTCTCTCTCTCTCTCTCTCTCTCTCTCTCTCTCTCTCTCTCTCTCTCTCTCTCTCTCTCTCTCTCTCTCTCTCTCTCTCTCTCTCTCTCTCTCTCTCTCTCTCTTTCTTTCTCTCTCTCTCTCTCTCTCTCTCTCTCTCTCTCTCTCTCTCTCTCTCTCTCTTTGTTCTGGCGAGGTGTCAGGCTGGTGAATGTCTCCGTGCTCCTTGTCAATTTTGTGCCTGATTACTGCACTATCTGACTGTTCATAACCTGGTTGAATTGATGGATTGTTTCTCATAGCTCTTTATTATTTCTCTCTGAATTGATGGATTCTTTTATTTCTCTCTCTTTCCTGTTTTAGTGAATCTACTGCTGTATTTGGGGCTGTAAATACTGGTAGTACCAGTCTGGTACTTTAGTTATGTGGCAAATCTTGGTTTCCGGGAGCTGTAACAGGGGCAGTTAATTTGTTTATTTTTATGAAGCTGTCAAGACGATAAGTCTTTTGTCTTTTGTTGCTGTGTGACTCTGTAGTGTGGATGACATCACTATCCCGTCCAAGACTGGTAATGGTGTGCTGCGCCGTATCGCACCCGTGTTTGACTGTTGGTTCGAGAGTGGCAGGTTAGTGTGGATGGCCGCACACTCGTGGATGTGTACATACTGTTCTGCACTGCTCTCATCATGCTGTCTTGAAAATTTGTTCTGCATCACATTCTGGTGTTCGTGTGAGCACTCTCTTTGGGGACGAATCAACATCTCTTATTCTAACTCTCTCTCTCTGCTTGTGGTGCTTTTGTTGCTGTTGACAGCATGCCCTATGCCCAGTGTCACTATCCGTTTGAGAACAAGAAGACGTTTGAGGAGTCATTCCCAGCCGATTTCATTGCTGAAGGTGTGGACCAGACACGTGGATGGTATGTATACTGTCCATAGTAATGTTGCTGTTCACCCTGGGTTTTTAATGTCCAACACACTTCTGGTGATTTCCAGAGGATTTAGGAATCGCCAATTGTACCTTTTTTGCAGGCTATTGGTCAATATTCCTGTGCTGGTTGATGTGTGTGTGTTTGTGTGTGTGTGTGTGTTTTGTGGTGTGTGCCTGCCTGTCTGTGTCTGCGTGTGCGCCCATTTTTGTTCTCATGTTTATGTTCTGGCCTGAGTTTCTCTTTTGATTGGTGTGTTCTGAGCTCTGCAACTCTGTTATGTATTACATGTACATTCTGACTATGACCCCCACCACCATTGTGTGATTGTGTGTGTTTGTGCATGCATGTGTGTTTGTTTATATGCGCTTGTGTGTGCTTGTGATTGTGTATGTGTGCTTGTATTTCTTGTCGATCAGGTTTTACACCCTACTGGTCATCTCCACTGCCCTGTTTGATGAGCCACCGTACAAGAACCTCATTGTCAATGGTCTTGTACTGGCCAGGTGTGTAGGCCACGTATTCTATTCACACTGTGCTGTCTTTAGTGGTGGCAGGTCCAGGTCATATCCGACTTTGATTTGCCCAGCCAGCCACATGCATTGCACAGCCCACTGTCTGTTCCTTCATGTGTGTGTTGGCAATATCTGCCTTATTGCAACAGCCGATTGGCCGAGTGTATGAAAATTCTGATCATGTCTATTTGTGTGGTTTGTGATTTCCAACAGTGATGGTAAGAAGATGAGCAAGCGTCTGAAGAACTACCCAGACCCCATGAACGTTGTCCATGCCTATGGCGCAGATGCACTCCGGTAAGTTACAAATCTCAGCGCTGTGTATCATACGTATGTATATATTATATGCTACTGTGCGGGGAACTGGTTGGCCCTGGTTTTGCTGCTGCTGCTGATGCTGGGCACTGAGCAGTCCTAGTGCTGCTGCTGCTGATGCTGGCTTCGCTGGTGGTGGTGGTATCAGTCAGTGCATCCTATGACAGTTGTAATGGACAGAGTATCTATCTTGTCTTCATCTTGACTTCAGCATTGCCTCGTATCCTGTGTGTACTGCTTTTGGTATTATTGTATGCACTGCTTTCGGTATTATGTGCAGACTGTACCTGATCAACTCTCCAGTGGTGCGTGCTGATACATTGAGATTCAAGGAGGAGGGTGTGAAGGACGTGGTCAAGGAAGTCTTTCTGCCCTGGCTCAATGCGTACCGTTTCCTTGTGCAGAACATTGAGCGCCTCAAGCGTGTAAGCTGTCATTCACTGTGCCTAGTCTCACCTCTTCTTTAGTGGCAAAGGATAACTCCTGGTTGTGTATGTGTGCAACTCAGCTCTGTTCTTTGAGCCACGTTTTGTACTATGGTCCAGACATTCTCCTGCTGCATGTGTCGGCAATGACTTGCTAAGCGTGTGATGCATTGGTTGTGCTGCTATCTACATTGCTAATTCACTGTGTACTCCAGTGAATTGGTCTGGGATGTGTCACACAAAGTTTACATCAGGTACCTTATGCTGTTGTGTTGACTTGTGTTGTGCGTGGTGTGTGTGTGTTTGTGTAGGAGGAGAATGTCAAGTTCGTGTTCAACCCAGAAGCACGTCACTCGTCTGGAAACATCATGGATTGCTGGATTGTGTCGTTCACACAGAGTCTACTCAAGTTTGTACACACAGAAATGGCAGGTAGGTAGCATGTGCTCTTCGCTACTTGCACACCTAGTGGGTGTGCATGTGCATGCGTGTGGGTGGGTGTGCATGTGGGTGCATGTGCATGTGGATGCATGTGCATGTGGATGCATGTGCATGGGTGTGGATGTGGGTGGGTGTGTCTGGCGTGATATACATTGCCCATGAAGACACCAAGGAGAGCCCTGCTGCCAGCCAAACCTCCCATGCCTAGCAACATTGCAACCATTGCTCGTCTCCATGATCAGTTCTTTTGCTGCAGCTTTACATCACCAAATGTAGCACAGTCGGTAAAAATGGGACAGCAAAACACAGCCACTGCCTCTCAGGACAAAACCCACATGTTAGAGCTATACACGAGGACAGTTTGAACATAGTTCGAGGAAAAATGATCATGAATCTCGTTGTGACAGAGGCGTCAGAGTAGGTTTAGGATTAGGCTAGATAAAGGGCCTGGGTTGCAAGAAGAGGTGCACCTGCAGCTAGCAAGGCCAGTGGAAGACATGCGGGGAGAATACAGCACTGCAGCCTGGGCAAGGTAGACATGGGAAGTAGCTATATGTATGGGATCACTAGGGATACGCTGGGTGCATGCAGGGGAAGGGATACGCGGGCATCCACAAGCACAGCGTCACTACAGTGCAGGGTACCATGCAGGGGAAGGATGCGTGGGTAGTCATGTACAGCAAGCAGATACCTAACAAGAAAAATAGCTTACAATAAATTGGCCTCTTTGTTTTTCACTAGGGAATACTCTTGCAGATGATGCGGGCTGAACTGGGGACATGAATGATCTTGCAAACATGATGTAATCATACTGCTTTTGTGTATCTACTTTGGGCTTAGCTAAACCTAAGCCTGGTTTTCTCTACTGCTTTGTCAATGGTAAGCTGGTAGCCCATGTGCACTTACATTGGCTCCTTGCCAGGTGCAACATTTGGCATTGTTTTGCCATGGCCTTGTTGCAGTGTTTTAGTTATTATGCGAGTATTGGTTGTGTAGTGTAGTAATGTTGCTGCTGCTGCTGTTGTTGTCGTCGTCGTTGTTGTCGTCGTTGTTGGTTACAGCGTATCGTCTCTACACTGTGGTACCGCGTCTTGTGCGCTACATTGGCCAGTTGACCAACTGGTATGTTCGCTTCAACCGCAAACGTCTCAAGGTTAGAACTTTGTAGCATCACAATATCTAATCATTTGCTATAGCATGGAGTTTTACGGCACATTTCAGTAGAACAGCTGTGTAGAGGGTGCCTGCATACAGCCGTGCTTGGATAGTTTCTACTAGTACCGTAAAGTCCGGAGCAAACGCCCACTTCGCTGCAAACGCCCACCCCAGCTCGATTGTACTATTTTCGCAATGCAGGGCACAGGTACGTCGTCCTGAGGACAAGAATGGTGTACAGAAAGTTCGATTTCGTACGAGTAGACATGAAAAGCCTACGAACTGCCTATGGCAAAGGCTAAAGCAAAAAGAACTTTCGCTATAGCTCAACATCAAATTCCCGCGGGCAAAAATGCACTAACCTCGCCAAGAAGGGACCAACTGCGTTCAATCCTTTCGCAGTCGTTCTTGGAAGCGATTGTTTTTTTCGCCATGCCAAGACGCCACAAGTTCGACGTGGAGTTCAAATGCAGTGCTGTAGAATGGCACCGCCTGCACGGCGAAAATGCTATCTCACGTTGCAAGAAGGCAAAATCTCTTCCAGATTGCATAGCCGAAAGAGCATTACAATCGTTCTCGTTTTCGGGTTGCCGAGGGAATTGTACAAATTTGTCCCTGGACATATAGGCTCTGTGCAGCTCCGACCGACGGTAACCAGGTAACTCTGTTTGGCGCGCATGAGCAGTGCTGAGGCCGAGACCCCTGGTCGGTTTAGCTGCTCTTGCCCCGCCTCCACTGCTTCGGCTGCCATCGCTATGTGCATCTCTGTGCGTTTTTGCCGGCGTTTGCACCATGATGGTTTGTGGTTATCTTGTAAAAAATAAAATAAAATAAAAACTGCGAACTTCACAGACAAAGGCAAGGCAAAGATGATTCATGGTGACTGAAGAGGAGCAAGAAAGTTATCCATGAACGTTTACAGATCGAAAGTAACTTGCTTTGACACTGCTCGAGTGGATTGCGACACAGTTGAGCCGCACGCCCAACAGTGCAGTCTCTATCGATCTATGAGCTTCCAAACTCTACTCGGCTCTAGCTTTGTGCCATAGTTTACCGTAGCAGTAGTCACTTTTCGCTACGGTGTGAAGTGAACTTTCAAGTCCGTCCCGTAACATACCCGTAGGGTCAGGCCAAAAGTTCAAGTCTCAGCGCGTACAGGCCAGCAGATCTTGTAAAAATGGGGTGGGCGTTTGCTCCGGACTTTACGGTACTATGCGCTACGCACTACAGTCACCATGGAGTCCGACACATGGTCATGTGTCTAGTTTATGTATGTTAGTACATGTAGTCATGCTGGTGTGTTTTGTTTTGTATTGTCCTTGTCGATTTCTTTGTCGTTTTTTCCAGGGTGAGAACGGTGCCGATGTGTGCACAGAGGCTCTGGAATCTCTCTTTGGTGTACTCTACGCCATCGTTCGCATCATGGTCAGTCGTAGACAATGAGCATCTACTCTTTGTATGCTGAAATCAGTGGTCTGTGTGTATGTGCCCAAAATGGTTTTGGTGTTTTGGTATGCCAGGGCCGTAGCAGGCGGTCCGGCAGGTCCGGCAGCTGCCGGACCAATATTCGGCCAAAAAAAAAAGAAAAAAAAGCAGCTCAGCATGTCCACCCATGATATGTGCAATAACTAACTTACTTGAACAAGTAGAGGTAGTGAGGTATATAATAGAGGTAGTAATAGCAAGAGTATAATTATTTTGAAGTTTGAACTCTAGTACTAGTAGTACTCAAGTACATGTCATGTACATGTTGTTGCGAATACCATGTACATAGATAGATCTATGTCATTGTGGGTGTTGTCCTGTACTTTATGACCTCCCGCCATTCCTCCATTGCAATGTCCTTTCTCCTCCTCCAAGGGACCAAAAGTCCATTTTTGGTTCTTTTATCACATGCGTTTAGATACTGTTGCTACGGGCCTGTATGCTGTCTTCGAATTCCTTCTTTGCAATCTGAACATTGCTGCTTGTTTGTATGCTTTATCTTGGCATGTCTTCAGGCTCCTTTCACGCCATTCCTGACAGAGCACATGTACCAGACATTGCGTAACTTCCTCAGCACGGAGAAGACTGATCTCAACGCCAGTCTGCACTACCTCATGCTACCGCGGCCTGAGTAAGTTGTCGCCACAAGAGCCTTTGTGCATGTCTATAGCACCATCCTGTCCTTGGTATTGAAAGCCAAGCTGCTGTCTCAAGTGTTCACTGTGACGCCCATAGTATCCCTACATGGCCAGCTCTCTGTCTGGGTCGCTTTACTGGATTCTACTATTTCTAGACTGTATTCTTCAGGCTCACTTCAGGCTCGACTCGCATTGCAAACTTCTGTTGTTATTGTGTTTCCAACTAACTAACTACTAAAGAAGAAGACTACTGAAGACTAGCCGAAAGGGAAAGGCACCTGCGTCTTATAACAGCAGGGCAACATAAAGGCACAGCAGGCCGAGCAGGGCGGCATAAAAGGCACATGTGAAACCAGAGACCCGGACCCGTCGAAGCATGCAAATGAGGGCCGCTCTATCGCCTGAGATGAATGCATACAAACCAGTATACATGACCATGCGTGCACATCTCCCCCTTCACTCACGAAATGGCATATGAGTGAGTACATGAGCAAGGCAGTGCAGCAGCAAGAATGAGCGCACCGGAAGGCAGCATGTGGAAAGTGCAGACGGACAACCACAAGAGAAAAACGTCAGACACATCAGAAAAGACTAGAGACAGCACACCAGTGTCAGAGCACCAGCCCTCTAACTAACAGAACAGCGCAGCTAACTGTCTGTCTCGACCGGGCGTCGCCTCACTCCACCGGGAGCGGAATGAGGCGTTGGATGGCTCGCCGGTAGATCTTGCCCCGGATCTCAACATCCACCACCCTGACGCAACTGTCTGGTCCGGGGAAGACACGCCTCACCCTGCCCAGTGGCCAACTGCCCCGGGGTGTGTCGGGCTCGATACACAGCACCACCTCATCGACAGCGATGTTCTTCTGCGTCTTGCGCCACTTCCTGCGCTGGTTCAGCAGTGGGACGAACTCCAGGAGCCATCTCCTCCAGACCTCCTTCACTGTGCGCTGCACGACGGCGAAGCGATCTCTGGGGTGGACTTGCTCTGTGGCGTTCAGTTTCTCTTCCAACGGCAGAGGTGGGTCGCAGCGTCCTGCGAGGAAATGCTGCGGAGTCAGCGGCTCGAGGTCGGCGGCGTCGGCACTGACTGTTGTCAGCGGACGGGAGTTGATGAGGTCCTCTGCGGCGACGATGGCGGTGTGTAGCTCCTCATCAGTGAGCTCAGCGGTGGCCAGTGCGGATCTCAGAGCGCGCTTCGCTGCCTTAATCATAGCTTCGAAGACACCTCCAAAATGCGGTGCTCTGGGCGGGTTGAACCTCCACCGGATGTGTCGATCAGCGAGACTGCACGCGATCTCTGCGCGATCGAGCTGCTCCACGGCTTCTCGTAGCTCCCGTTCAGCCGCGACGAAATTTGAGCCGTTATCGGTGACAACGATGCTTGGCGTGCCGCGCCGCTTAACAAACCGGTTGAACGCCATGAGGAACCCCCCGGTATCCATGGAGTAGGTGAGCTCCAGATGGCAGGCACGGGTTTCCAGGCACGTCATGAGACAGAAATAGCGCTTCGCTCGGGTTCTGCCTCGTCCTTGCTTAGTCTGGAACGGCCCGGCAAAGTCGATGCCGCAGTGCGAGAATGGTTGGAGAGACCCGGCAGTCCGAAAGTCCGGCAGAGCGCCCATGATCTGCGCCGCCGGTACACCCCAGTTCTTCCGACACGGAACGCACGACTGGCGTGCCGTCTTGACTGCTGATGCACCGTTTACTATCCAGAACCTCTCCCTCAGGTTGGACAGCAGATGCTGAGGTCCCACGCTGTGGCGGCACCTCCGGTCCTCCTTCTCGATCAGCAGCCGCGTGACAACGTGCTTCTGAGGCAGGATGATCGGTAAGCGTACACGATATGGCAAGTGTTTCGCAGCCTTCAAACGGCCTCCTACCACCATCAGCGGTTCAGCATGTTGATCTAGCGTCGGGGTTAGCGCCGCCAGCGGGTCGCTAGCCTGCATTGGCTTTCCGGCGGCCAGACGCTCCAGGGTTGGGCCGTACGCGTCCTTCTGCGCCTGTCGTATCCAGTGCCTCTCAGCGCGGCCTACCTCACCCGCCGTCAGCTCTGGCACGTTGACAGTAGGGTAGTTTGGGTTGGCTGCTCGCGAAGTCGACACTGCAACGGTGACGTCTTGATCGCTGCTGGTATCCTCCCCCTTCATGCCGACGCGCGGCTTGCGACGACATCGGCTGACAAACCGGTAGCACCACGCAGTCACCCTGAGCAGCTGCTCCCAGGTGCGGTATCTGGACGCCTGGAGGCGAGTGGTTGGCGTGACGGCAAGCGTGAACGTGGTCTCCCGCTGGATGACGCCTGGCAGACCTTCTGTGGACGCTGACTTCTCAGGCGGCCATACGTCTGGTTGCTGCGACAGGAACGTGGGTCCGTGCCACCACACCCGGTCCTCCGCCAACTCCTTCGCTGGTAGCCCACGGGTACCCTTGTCGGCGGGGTTCTGCTTGCCGGGTACGTGCCTCCACTGGGAGGGCTTCGTGGCGTTCTGTAGCTCTGAGACGCGGTTGCTGATGTCGACCTTGAACCTGCGACTGTGCGAGCGGATCCACCCCAACACGTTCATGGAGTCCGTCCAGAACGTGTGCTCGGCGACCGGGATGTCCAGAGCGTTGCCAACTTCGCTGCTATTCCGCAGACCCAAGACGGCGCCGCGAAGCTCCAGCTGGGGGATGGTCTGCCGACGAGCCGGGGCTGTCTTGGCCTTGGCCATGGCGAGCGTCACCCGCACGTTGCCGGCTGCATCCTCTGCGCGGATGTAGGTCGCCGCAGCGATGGCACGGTCAGACTCATCCGTGAACGTGTGGACGGAGAGGATGGACTCCGTAGCCACCTTAAAACTGCGTGGCGCGTTGATGGCGGCCAGGTCGGGCAGCTCGTCAAACCACTCCCTCCACTTTCTGGCGTGTGTGGGAGGAAGCTCGTTGTCCCACGCCTGGTCCAGCAACCAAGTGTCCTGCAGCAGCACGCGGGCACGGATCGTGAACGGCGCAATTTGCCCACGAGGATCCAACGCCGACGCCAGACCGCTGAGGACGGAGCGCCGTGTCACAGCGTGGGACCTCAGCTTGACGGCCAGCGTCTTCAGCTCATCCAGCTCGCGCTCCGTGTTGATCTGCGGCCAGCTCATGAGCTCGCGTTCCTGCTGTTCGAGGCTACGGTCTGTGCCCCCGTACCACCGATCCAGCTCCTCCATGATGGCGGAGTAGGCGCCCGGGCCGTCTAGCACGTCCGCGATCAGGTCCTCGGCCGCTCCGTCCGCCAGTGCCTCCCTCAAGTCTGCGAGCTTATAGTCCTCTGACAAGAGCGGGTTCTTGTGTACTAGACGGAGAAACCGCTCACGCCACTTCACATATGACAGCATCTTGCTATCGAACTTTGGCAGGTCCAGTGGCTTCAGGGACCTGCAGACTCCCATCGGGAACATAGCCGCTCCGTCTGCCCAGTCGACTGCTGGGTCGGTCGCCCTGGTGGGCGGGAAGTAGGGTTCCGCTGCAGGGTTGAGTCCCGCTTCCTTGGGCTTGAAGGCCTGCTGGACTGGACGGAGTCGCAAAGGCACTGGCGGGACTGGCTTAGGTGGTGGGCTGAGTCCCGCTCCCTTGGGCTTGAAGGCCTGCTGGACTGGACCAAGTCGCAAAGGCACTGGCGGGACTGGCTTAGCTGGTAGACGTCTGGGCTTCGCACGTGGGGCTGGTGTTGGAGCAGGTCGATACTTGAGCAGGCTTGCTCTCGGCACTGGAGCTGAGGTGTTGGGTTGTACTGCAGGCTGCACTGGCTGTTGCATGTTCAGCTGTATGGGCTGCTGTGCAGGCTGTGACCCAGACCCCTGTTCTAACCTGGGCCTGCAATGAGCCACTGCGTCAGCACCTGCGTCGCTGAAGGCACTTCGACTGAAGTGGTTGGCCAGCCTGCGCGTGGCCTCCGCGTCCGATCGCGCACGACGATTTCCCACGCCACGTGGGCAGCTCCCACCATTGATATCCTCGCTCTCTAGCTCTGAGCTCTCTGGCTCTGAGCTCTCTGGCTCTGAGCTCTCTGGCTCTGAGCTCTCTGGCTCTGAGCTCGAGGTATCCACAGCAGAACTTCGCGCTGACACGGCACTGCTCGCGCTGGCCAACTCCTCCGCCGCCCTCGCCTGCTCGACTTCGAGCTCCTTTTTTACCAGGTCAATTCGGAGGTCGATCTCCTGCTGCTTCAGAGCGGCGATCCGCCGTGCAGTCTTCAGTTCTGCCTCCTTGGTCCTACGCAATATCGCAGCTTCAAGTCCAACGTCCCCAAGGCTCTCGCTTGCGGACGTCCTGCCGCCGCTCCTGCGTCCCGACCGCCTCGGCTCTTGGGCCTGCTCCCCATCGGAGAGGAACCGCTTGGGCATCTTACCTAGGGTTCTCCTGCTACTACTTCGTGGGAACTCCATGACAGGCGACGGAAACAGAGACTTTCTGCTGGTCGTGATCCGGCTCAAAGGACCAGTTTATGGCCAGCTCTCTGTCTGGCTCGCTTTACTGGATTCTACTATTTCTAGACTGTATTCTTCAGGCTCACTTCAGGCTCGACTCGCATTGCAAACTTCTGTTGTTATTGTGTTTCCAACTAACTAACTACTAAAGAAGAAGACTACTGAAGACTAGCCGAAAGGGAAAGGCACCTGCGTCTTATAACAGCAGGGCAACATAAAGGCACAGCAGGCCGAGCAGGGCGGCATAAAAGGCACAGCAGGCCGAGCAGGGCGGCATAAAAGGCACATGTGAAACCAGAGACCCGGACCCGTCGAAGCATGCAAATGAGGGCCGCTCTATCGCCTGAGATGAATGCATACAAACCAGTATACATGACCATGCGTGCACACTACATGTCAGGGAATCCTAGAGAATGCCAGGGCTTATTCTTGGAGCAGTCCAGATTTCCTTGAGCTTAATATGTACATGTGTCCAGCAAACCCTGTCTCATCTTTCTGTTTTCTTGTTTGTGACAGAGAGGCCCTGATCAATGTTGCCGTTGAACGCTCAGTGGAGAGAATGCAGGCAGTCATTGAGCTTGTGCGAGTCCTTCGGGATCGCAAGACCATGCCGACCAAGGTACTGACAACTTTTTGCGTTGCCACCTGTTGGATGTGCAGGAGGCATTCATCTAGTATCGCTTGCCAGTGTGTACGTGTGGGTGCGGGGTGTGTGGGTGGGTGATGGTAATGCTGTGCCCTGAGCTGTGTAGCCCCAGCACTGCTGTTCCCCGGGTCGTGTATTGGAGCAGGCTACTAGGCTATTCCTTGAAGCTAGCCATGATTGTATCTCACATTATCTGCATTGTCACGATTTGTGCTTGTGTGTTGCTACCAGTACCCACTGCCGGAGGTTGTTGTCATCCACCATGACCAGCAGTATCTAGATGATGTGCGCTCACTGCAGCAGTATATCCTGGAGGTAGGTGTCTACATGATTGTGTGTAGTGACACCGCCACCGCCGCCGCCATCATGCATGCATCTACTCATCTATCATCTACCTCACACGGATACATTGTCGACCAGGCAGCTCTCCAGAGTAATTCGTTTGGCCTGTTTCTTGTCCTAGTAGAGTCAAAGACCTGATGCAATTAGCTATGTTATGTCAATATATGCCATGAACACAACTGTGAAAGGCATGTAAATGCGTCAGAACTCAATTATCTCTCGTAATTTCTTCTTCGATGATGGACACGCTTTGATCCGCATAAGTCTATAGCTGTGTTTGGAACACTGCAATCTGGGCCTCGCTAGGGAAGAAAGCTAGCTATCCCTTGCTTGTAAATCACGGCAGCTTCCAACCCGCATCCTACATCTTGTGTTACAGCATGTCTGTTGCCGATGCATACCTTCCACTCTGCAACTGATATTTGTCCTTAATGTAGGGATGTCAGCGAACGCACTGCGCAGGCCTCTGCGCATGCATTGCGTCATCGACTTTTTGAACGTGATCGCGGCCGACAGAGAAAACTTGGCCGCGGTCTGTTTGCACCACTGGGAGTCGTAAAATTACTGTTCTTCTGTCCCCGCGACCATTCAAATCATACGCGATACGGAGGACCCACGTACTCACCACGTTCTCCCCGGTCGATTTCTCTGAAAGTTTGCACATCGTGAAACACCAGTATGAGAGGTGTTCAGGCCAATTTTCAAGGGATTTCCCTGGTTGGATCGTTCCAAATTCGGACTTGCATTTCTCGCTCGCGGCCATTTCTTGCGCGATGAAAGCGCCCTGCCCTGGTGAGTAACCAGCGTCGCGCTTGGTAGAGAGTTGCTGCAATCAGCTCCCTGATGTCTTCGCTGCCATTGTCAGAAGCGATGGACCATGAATTTGTTTGAGAGTCTCTGGATGCTACTTTTCCTCAGCCTAGTTTTCAGCCATTCCGTGCATCTTCTTCGCACGATTTATTTTGCAAAAAATGTAAGTGTTCATGAGTTTTCTTGTCGGCCGCGCGTAGATGGGCCAGGCTGACCTGCGCAGATGGGCTGCGCAGTACGTTCGCTGATATCCCTACTTAATGTGTTCTGTTTTGTTGTGGTGTGGCTGACTGTGGCTTGCTGCATGCTGTGATAGGAACTGAACGTGAAGGCACTGACTGTGAGCCAAGACAAGGAGCGCTATGGTGTACAGCTTGTCCTGGAGCCAGAGCATCAGACTCTAGGTCGACGGCTCAAGGGTGCTGCCAAGCAGGTCTACGAGGCACTGAAGAGTAAGGACATCTTTGTTAGCCACGTGACAGTTCACTGCAGGATAAGAGTACTTGCCTATTTTGACATAACCCTTTTTCTTTGTTGGGTCACAGAAACTCTGTCTGCAATGAAAGTTATCACAGAGCATATTTCACTAGATTGCCTTTTATACAGTTTCAACCTCGGGTAAATTTCTCAAGTAAAAAGGTGGTGAAGATTTGATGGTGTTATATTGCACAATTTCAGCCTTTCGGCCAAGAGTGCAGATAGTAGTTCCATCAGTCTTCACAGCTGCATATAGCCATAGTCCCCACCACCGCCGCCACCACTACATACCACTCAGCACAGGTGCAATGCTACTGTGCTTGTACACATACTAGGGAACCCCTGGTCTTTGCTGCTTCTCTTTTCGTCATAGCTGCATGCTTCTGTTGTTTTCTTTTGCTTGTGTTTGTAAAGAGCTGAGTGAGGAGGAAGTGAACAACTTCATCTCTGCTGGCAAGGTCGTACTCTGTGGCGAGGAGCTGACCCTTGCCGATGTCAAGGTACGGAGAGTACAGCTTGCTTCAATTCTTGCCTTGCGTGTATGAGAGAGAGAGAGAGATGGAAAGAGATTGAGGCTGTCAACTCCACCATTGCCGCAACCATTGTGCATATTGTGAAGACGGTTACCTGTTTCTGTTAGGCCTTCACATCTCCTTGACGTCACATGCATCAGCCATGGCAGCAGGCAGTGCTGCTAATCGTATGGTGCAATGATGCTTCTCAGATGTAAAATATGTATGCACTGTGTACCTCAGTATGTTGCACCTGGTCTCATTCACCTGTAACTTATGCGCTGTGTATGCTGTACCTGCTCTCATTCACCAGGTCAAGTACAGTTTCAAGAAGCAAGCAGAAGGCCAGGACTTCGAAGCTCACTCTGACAACGATGTAAGTTGTTGAGTATCCCGCTGTTATTCGTGGACTCTTTTCAGTAATGACTAATGAGGTGTGTTTGTTGGAGATAACGCTTTGGCAAAATGTGCTTTATTGCACCATTGCACCGTGCTTCCCAAGTTGAATAGTGGGTGAATTGACTGAATTCCTTTGGAGAGTTTGTTGGGTTCTTTTTGGCAAAAGAAACATGTACCGCTATTTCCACTTTTTGCGTACACTCGCACCACTCTACAGAACATCCTAGTGTCCGTAAGTCTAGCACTTCACAGCGCTGTACATTGTACATGCACTATTTAGATTGAGGGGGCAACAAAGGGAAGGCTGGGACTGGTTCAGCAGGACTGGAGAAGGCTGTGCGGTGACTTTTTTTGCGATTAAGAGATAACAAAAATCATTTCCGTGATCGACACCAGCAGCCAAGTACAACACCTCATCTGTGCTTGGACGGGTGGGACCAACCCCCATGGCAAGAAGAAAACAATGGCCAGCTTCCCACATTTATGCAGAATCAACAAGAGCTCAGACATCAGCAGGTCAAGAAGAAAACACTTGCTGAACCCTGATTGGCTGAGGGCGGTTGGCCAGTCATTTCAGGTGTGAAGTTCAGAGCCAGGATGGGCTATAAAAGTAATCATTCCAGGAGGGGATGGTGGTCGGGGCTTGGGATGTTCTTTCTCTAAAAACACTACCAGTTCTCGTGTCTTCTTTCATTTCACTCAGCCACCGAGAACCAAATCTTTCTGGGCTCCCACATCTTTTACATTTTGTTTCGGTATCATTTACCCCAATAACACAATTGATACTTGGTCCGCGTCAGCAATATTGTCGCTTATCTTTCGACAATTTGAACTAAGACTTTGGACATGAACGCGTGCACATGAAGTGATAAAACTTAGTAAGATGGACGGTAAGGTATAGAATGACAACTAGCTGCGAGGAATTTATTGTCCAAGGAAGGGTTCCTACTTTTTTCGGTCCTCCTCGTCGCTGCTCTCGGCGCTGGCGACAAATATTTTTGCTCGGGATCGACTCTCTTGCTTTTGCAAGCTCATCTCTCTTCCTCTCCGCTGCCTGGCTATTTTCTAAAGAGAAGTCGATCGTGACGGTCGCCTTCTCTATAGGACTTCGCCTGGGCAGCACGACAGCCTGTGTGGTTCAAACCAGACGCCGTTCTTTGCAAGATTTTATTTTGAACGACGACGACGCGTACAGTACATGTACTTGCAAATCTCCACGACGCGCTGGATACTCCAAGCGAGGAGCTGGAGGTAAGGGAGCTGCGATCTCAGCTTGATGAGCGATCCCTGAGGGGAGCGATCTCGGCCGTTCAGCAAAATGGAGCTGATTCCGAGTAGCCGATTACTTTCTTGTGGCTTGCGCTGCTCTTGCCTGCACAGCAATGGTAACCAGATAATCTATTTTGATGCGGCGCTGTATCAATCAGAATCACCCACCTGTCGCTCTCGAAATCCACTCGAACTCTAGCTAGACCTTTCAGGTACTAACAAACTAACTTGCTAACCAAAATTGGGATGAAATGGGCTGCCAAGTAAGCATTGGCGACATATAAACAAAGCTGAAAGATAAGCGACAATATCGCTGACGCGGACCAAGTACGTGCAGAATGCATGAACTTGGATATCTTGATATATCAAGAGGTGCTGGCTGATGAGAGCTTCTTTGTGCCTACTGTCTGCTTTACTGTTGTTGTGTTGTTCATGCAGGTTCTTGTACTTCTAGACACAACACCCTCGCAGGAAATGGTTGACGAGGGTACAGCGCGCGCTGTCGTGAACCTTGTACAGAAACTCAGAAAGAAGGTGAGAAACATTGATCAAGAGAATGGAGAAATAGATTTTGCAAGGGAATTTTCTAAAATGCTAAATACGAGTACATTACTATCATGGCTATGTTAATGATAAATCCAGTAACTGTCTGGCGGGGTCAATTTGGCCTATATTAGCTCATTGTGAACAGAAGTGAGTGCAGTGCACACAGCTATGGCATCCACCCTTGCAGTGGAACTAGCCACTAAAATTTAAAAGTTTGTAGTGCCAGGACATTATAACATTATACCTGGCACTGCGCTTGTTTAGTGTAGTAGGCGAGATTCACTGGCATTGGCAGTAGATGATCACCGTACCATGTTTGGCAAGCTTGGGGTCAGGTGGAAGCCCCCTCCTAAGTTGGATTTTGTGCTTTTGGGTTCTATTTCTTATGCACAACTTGTCTGTATATACTTGAGAATTGAAGCCAAAACAAAGCCTTATTTCTGTCTGCACATGATTTTCCAGGCAAAGCTTCAGCCACACAACGCAGTCACGGTTACATATGAGGTGCATGGCTCAGAACCGGCAGAGCTCACCAGAGTACTGACATCACAGGCTGAATACATCGCAGCGTCACTAAAGCAAGCGTTTGTGCCAAACAGCCAGGCATCAGACAGCGAGTTGATCATCGAAGAAGATGGACAGGTAAGAAGCAATCTAATTACATGATCCATGCATTTTTGTCTTCACAAATAAATATTTTCTTTCCATTGCAAAGGTCAATGATGTATGCTGCTACTCAAATGATTACTTTTATAGCCTATCCTGGCTCTGAACTTCACACCTGAAATGATTAGTCAACCGCCCTCAGTAATCAGCAAGCCAACACTTGCTCGAGAGTTTTCTTCTCGGCTTGCTGATGGCTGAACTGCATGAGGAAGGAGAAAGAAGCCGGGAAATTCTACAGGAGAAGAAAATCTAAAACTCCCACGTGTGGCTTATTTACCAAAGAATTTAATTACAATTGTCCCAAGACTTCCTAGGACGTCAGCACTGATTTACTATATCAGCCAGCCAGGTACTAGTTGCAGGAGTACACTTGTACTTGAAAAAGAAGTATGCTTGTGCTCAAGTTGATGCTGTCGGTCAGTATTGGCCACATACAAAGCTAAAAAGTGAAATCAATACCTCATCCTGCACCTGAGCGCTTTCCTGCCTAAACACATTATTGTGACTGCTTCGATTTCTCCCTTGTTGCTCATCTGCCTATTGATCCAGATCAAGGGAGTCAAGAATGCCTCCATCTTTTTCCGCATCCTCAAGGCATAAGAATTACACGCCATCTATCATTGGATTCAATTCAACAACATATCACAAAATGGCTTAACTTACTACCCGCCATCTTCATCCTCACTCATAAAACACATACAGCTTTAGCCTGGTGGCATTTATGCTCCTCTTCTCCCTTTCCCTGCTTTTTTGCACATGGCCTGACCCATTATTAGATTGTCTATATTCTTCAGCTTGTGCAGCACCCTTATCATGCGTGCGGTATTTAAATTATGTGTTTTCGAACGCAATTTTGTATGCATTTCTTAAGCTGATTTCTGTCGATTCCGACCATTTAATTAACACAAGGAATTGGCCAGGTGCCCTTTGCAACCTGGTTTGGCAATTCAGGGACATAATTTGCATCATAGTCCCAGGTCAGTAAACTTGGCCACACCACACACATGGTAGTTCATCAGAAAGTTAGGATACCAGTTTCAGACCGCAACTTATGGCTTCTACCAGTGGCAAGGTGCAAACAGGGTACACATCAAATCACCGCCGGGAGTTGAACTTCACACCCCAGTTGGAGTGGACAAGGATCCAGACTGCCAAATTGACGACCTCCAATGATAATACAATGCGCGTGTTTCTTTCACCTGATCATGTTTTCGGATCGTGCACTCACCGATCATTTTGGTAATTTCTCTTCCGGTTGCGTTCTTAGACACCCTTAGCAAACAACGTTATGTTGTAAGGAGAAACATACAGAGATTTGGGTTCGACCTTAAGCAAGATGCACGCTATTTTTAGTACACTGTTGCCAACCATTTATGGCTCCATATACGCAATAGAAGGTGAAATGGGTACGCACTACGCAACATTTGGCCTAAAAACTTACCGTTTGTCACAACGATAAATCAGGCCGCATAAAGTTCTTACGCTGCAGCCTCAACGCTATATGGGTGATCAAGGTACGAGTACCGTAAAAAATAGTGTTACCGTTGTTTGCTAGGGGTGTCTATTCACAATGAATAGGCACACCTGCTTTCTTACATGCCTCCGAGTGGTAATTAGGAGAATCAAGGGTGCAGAAGAAGAAACATGGGGTCGGAGTGGGAACTGATGGGTTACTTGGATGATTGTGTGGCACACCCCTAGTCCAGCTCCCCAGATCAGGGTACTCCCACTTGCTGTGCACCTTTCTAACCCTCTAGAGTAACAACAATGGCTTTGCAACAGAAAGGCACCAACATAGCGATTGCAGTAAATTTGTCTACTTGCACACAGCTGCAGTTTATGTATCAAGTAAGACACAGGCAGTGCCTGGTCCCGGCATGCCCGGATAAGGGGAGTTATGCTGTCCTGCGAACGACAGTGCCCCTGCCTACGACTGATTTTTCGGTTGGTATGGTACCAATCTGCACGACTGTTATACGCATCCCATATTTGGATCCCGACCCCGGCATAATTCATACGCACTCCATTACCCCCACCCTTGCATGCAGTAATTCATACGCACTCCATTACCCCCTACCCCTACTAGTCATAGCCCAAATTTGCTAGCAATTCTTTGAGCAAAATATCGGATGCGCTAGTTGCCGGCAAGTTTTGAGCAAAATATCGAGTTTTGGTGGGCTTTTGAGAAAATCCAAGGCTTCTCAGGGACTTTCTCAACACAATCAGTCACCAAAGTTGAAAACAACCACAAAAGTTGGACAAAACAGACTCATGGCCACAATTTTTGTAGAAAGTTGAGCAGCAGCAGGAGCTCAATCAAAAATGCCTCATCATCAGCGACAATTATTGTTGATTTTTCCTTGAAACTCATTTTATCTCGAGCAAAACCAAAGCAAAATATCGATGGAGAAAGGAAATGCCAAGCAGAATATCGAAATGTTTGTGGCAAAATTATGCGGCAAAATATCGATGTGGGCAGAGCAAATTTGGGCCATGACTAACCCCTACCCCTGCATGCTGTAGTTCATACGCACTCCATTACCCCCTACCCCTAGCCCTGCATGCAGTAATTCGTACACATTCCATTACCCCCTACCCCTGCATGCAGTAATTCGTACACATTCCATTACTCCCTACCCCTAGCCCTGCATGCAGTAATTCGTATACACTCCATTACCCCCTACCCCTAGCCTTGCATGCAGTAGTTCGTACGTACACACTTATAACCATATTTGACCCATGTCCCCGCTGCCCCTGCATGTTATAATTAGTACCGTACACATTTGTAGCCCGTTTTCCCTCCTTCTGCCCCTGCACATAAAAACCACCGTACATTTGATCTAATTACATCCCTTTATAGTGTACATAGTCGGGCTATACACATAATAATGCGCGCCCAGCTAAAAGGGCGCGCTCATGCATTGCACCGTACATTCTATTCTAGTTCACTCTAAGGGCATGTTCGATTGTACGAATCCATCAGCCCCGGACCCGGATTCGCCAAATTTGTGCATGTTCGATTGTACGAATCCGGATCCCGAGAGCACGGATTCGGATCCAGTCAACCCACCTCCCAGAGACGGATTCGACGGATTCATTTCGATAGTACGACTCGTATCTACTCAAAACTCGCAATATGCGTACACTGGGTCAAGAGTTTACCACAACGCGTACAGATACTACGGGATGAGCTGTAGCAACGCGGTTGCCAAGGCCTTGAAACGGATTATCGGTTGTGCACATTCGATTGTATCCGTCAGATCGAAGTGATCTGGTCGGCGGGGATCGGGATCCAGTTTCTACAATCGAATGCAGCCTAAGATAACCAAACTTCGATAATCTAGTCAGAAGTCGAATACATTCCCTAAGGTTGACGTCTAGTAATTCTGTCCTCGTCCTGTGAGATATATGCTTTACCGACTCTCATAAACTGGTATCTCTGATTGTCTGGTGTGAACCAATAACGGAAACCCCTTTTATAGACAACACGACCATGCAAACAAACCAATCATCAGACACCGACTTCCTCCGGAAACAAAAAAAAACTCCATCACTTGGATCTGCCTGTCAGTTCTAGTGAATTCAGCTCTGTTGACTCCAGTGAAAATTTCTTTCGTATACTTGTGTGCAAGTCCGGTACATGCTTCCAAGAAGTACTGTATATCCACTCAGTAGAGAGCATTAGCAAACCGCCACGCTTACGGTCGAACGATTGGACAGCTCCGATTTCCAATAGTCAAAGCATGCACGGCACGAAGCCGTGTGTTGAACCATTCAGGCACGTGATGCGGGGATGCTGGGTTGTCCGAGGAAATGCGAGGGAAATTCGATTTTCGAGAATCGTAATCGTTTCGTCATCACCCGTTGGGGCTGCTCGAATCGTGCTCACGAAACAATTAGAGTTTCCCGCGTGCCGGCCTCGTTCCCAGTTTGTCCCAATCCTCCCACCCGACGGTGTGCTAATGGTCTCTTTTGAGTATTCTTGTGAAGCTTTTTTGTCCACTGATCCAAATTTCTCCAGCTTAGTAACTCCTAAGGATTTGAATACAGAAAGCCAAGTATACCATTCTGTTCAAGAACATTCTGCTCTGAACTGTGTCTCCACTTTGCCAAAAGGCTAAGCCCCTTTTAAAGCTGCTTTGTGTAATTTTAAAATGATGGCACTGTAAAGTCAATGGAACTGACTGGTATGGAGCACACATGATGTGCCAGTGGTGATTGCCAAAGAAAGATGATCATCATAGTAACACGAGTACACAACTCAGGCCTGGCAGTTACTCAGTCTCCAGACAGCCACAGCTGGCTGGTTCGGTTTCCTCAGTGGAGCTCAGGGTCACTGGCCAAACCAATCACAATGAGGTCTACGTATGTAGTGAACTACACTGCGTTTTTAAACCGGCTCGAAGCATCTGTCAGAGTACTCTGACTGCAAGAAACACAGCGAGCCACTGTGAACGAAGGCAGACAGCTTGACGCAAACCAGAAGGAGCGCTCACTGACCAAGCAGAGGCGAGAGAGCACTATACTCAATCACTGGATCAGTGCTGCCAACCTTCCGTAATTTCCATATTTGTACCGAAAATCACTCCTTTGTCCACAGTACAGCATTTGAGCAAAATGGTACGGACAATAATTAGAAATTTCTTCCAGGACCGATTTCTATCAATACAGTAAAACCTGGTGAAAGCGACCTCTGGTTTTAGCGACCACCTGCTCTTAACGACCGTTTTTCCATGCACGGACAGTTCTACACAGACACTGTGGGACCTGGTTCTAAAAACCACCTGGCTTTAACGACCGCTTTTGCTTGCACCGTGGGGTGGCCGCTTAAACCAGGTTTTACTGTACGATTTCTGCATAACAATGTTTGATAATTCGAACCTCGAACTGGGTATGTCCAGTTAATCAGAAGTCCCATGGAATCCACTCACAAAGAAAATGTGTGGGATTTGTGCTTATCATTCGAAGTTAGCAAAGCAAAATTAGAAGTTCACTTCATTTTCTGCAAATCAGTTTGGTTTGCATGCGCATGCAGTCAGTGTCCACTAAATCTGTGTCTCAGTAAAAGATGCGTAGTGTAACTCTGCTTGTCAATGCGAGCATTTTGACATACTGGTACATAACGTATATTGGATAATTAGAATGTCCGGATACTGTAATTAGAAGTTTTTCCCTGGCATTTTGAGGTTCGAATTATCAGGATTCCACCTGTAGAAGATTGGCAAGCGCAAGCTGAGTGATGAATATCCCTGTGCCAAAGCGAGTGCATGGCATGCTTCGACGACATGTAGCACAACATAATTATCATGTCGTGTTACAGTCACACATGGTTTGCACTAGCAAATTCAGCCACCGGTCACCGGCAAGCATGCTAGTGTCAAAAAAGCACAAGACAAGCAATGTACACGGCGGTACATTGGAAGTACGGAAAAAAACACTGCAAACTACGGAAAATCAGAAGTGGCAGTACGCAAAACAGTCCCAGTTGTTTGGCAGCACCGCTCAATCTCCGCACAGCTAGCTGTTTTGACGTTCTTGGGTCTCATCAGCGGAGTTCAGAGTGACTAGCCGAACAGATTAAAGTCAGAGTGCCCTAACCGCTATGAGCAGCACAAGGGGCTTTGTAAGTTTGTACGAGGGTGGATACTTTTTGAAGCAAACCAAAAAGAGTGCTCAGCCAAGGTGAGGACCCAATCTCCTGTCGACTAGCTGTTTCGGCCATGATCTTGCGCCGTCTCACCAGCAGAGCTCAGAGGGACTAGCCAAGCCGATCACCATGAAGTCTAGTCACAAGAAAGCGTTATGTAAATCGGCAATACTCTCAATCAACAAACACCGAGCTGTTTCAACTCTTCTCCGGTCTCATCAGCTGAGCTCAAACTCAAAGTGACTGGCCGAACCGATCCCAAAGCATCAGAGTGCTCTAACAGTGAGAAACACAGCAAGCATG